AATGTCATATTTTTATTAGTTTACACGCAGAGATAAGGCTGGTACAGGAGCTCTTGAACTAGCAAAAAGTACAACACAAAAACAGCAAGCCTGACATAGTGTACCTATCTACATATGTGTGCCCATGCTGTTAGTACTGCACGGCAGGCATACTGATATTTTGGGTGATACGCCATAGCTGTGTCCCAGGTAACGGAAAAGCAGACCATTTAACCAAGCATGCGTGCACATCAACCTAATTCATTGGCACATCAGATTTTCACCGCCGCTGGAAGCACACCAGTTCAAACGCTTTGTGTACAGCCATGTTTTTTAATGAATTAATCTTTCTCAAACATGTGTGCCCACAAACAATTATAAAAAATTGGTCCTTTTTCCATTTTAAGGTAGAGTATATTTTTCCATTTTTTGTTTTTACCCATTTTTCTTTGTTTAAAATAATTTCAGCATAATAAAATTTTATTTTTAATTTTTAAACAATTTTAATGAAGTATCAAATTTCGTAAGAGCATATTGTGACAAAAAAGTTAAGCTTCAAAAAACAACTGAACAAGTGCACTCCAACCAATTTTCAAAGCTGCACGTGTCTGCTAGATGTGTGCCATCACATGAAACTCTGGTTGGTCAAATGACCCTGTCTAAAGCAGAAAACACCTTTAGTCCCAAATGTTCATTGGCGCTGACTCATGCATCAAACCTGTGTAAGACCATTAAATGGCAGTTGTTCCCAAAGGCTATAGGTTTTGTCACTGGATCGGGTTTGGAGGCAAGATCGGGGAAGTCTTCCTCTAATAGAGCACCTTGCTGGCCACATCAGGGACAGCAAACAAGTGAGACAGACATAATTTATCGGTAGTGGTTAGGATGAAGCAGTCAGTGCCTCTAGAGACATTGAGGCAAGGTGAATTCAACAATAAAAACATGGGAGCAGGCGGAAAACATCCGTAGGATACATTTGACAAAAAATGTATCAACCAGCCTTGCTTCTAATGGCACCATCAAGTTTAAAAGTCAATTGTGGCATTTATCTCTCCCTGGACAACATCTGAGGCATTCTCATGCATAGTGATTGTGCGGTGACCTTGAATAAATTTAGCAAATCCATGTCAAGGGTTGCTAACAAGTGTGGTGGCAACAACCCGATGCTTACCACTGATTGGAAAACTGGATACAATGGGCTGTTATCAAAAATTAGTGGTGCAGTAAAACTGGGACATCTACCAAATGCAAATGGCAACCCAGCTGGCAGCGAGTAGGTCTCTCAGTAGGCAGCTCGAATATATGAGCTGCCTCAGGTGGCAATTTTCATTAAGCCAAATCAAACAGCACTGCATACCCACGTTGGCCAGCAGCATCAAGTAAAATGAAGGCAAGCATGTAATGATGCTGTTAGCCAGCAAACACAATTGCCCAAAGCGCAGGGAACAGCAGCGGCCAGTGAATGCGTTCCTTGGAAAGAACAAGTGGACAAACGAACAGCTTTCCAACAAATGAAACAGCGGCCAGAGAGCGTGCAGCTTAGAATAAACAAGGGGTGCCAAATAAACATGTCTGACCACAACGAGCTGCAAAGCAGATATACCAGCATAATCGGTTGCATTGTGCACAGTAGCTAAATCAAGAGCATTGGGCTCAGCAACAACAAAAATATCACCAGGCACGGTGGTAGTAGAATAGCCCTGGGCGCCCTGGCCAAACTATAAAGGCAAGTAAAAAGACACCACAAACCCAACGACCAGAAAACTGGCTTAATCAAATCCACCTAGGCAAAGTTTATGTTGCTGTAGGACGGCAGCTCAGTGCATGACGTTGGTGCAGTTTTGTTGGATACAAGGAACCTGAGAGAGTCAGCGGAGGACGCGGAATAAGAGAAGTTTCAAACAGCATTTTTGATTTTTGATTTCAATAACTTAAAAATAGGTGAGGAAAAAAGAGAGAATACCAGTTTCAAGCACCTGCTTGCTTGTATTTGTATGTCGCATTTGTTGTGTTTATCTGTTTTTTGGTCCTCTTTTTTGGCAACAAATTTGGCAGAATAGTTAATAAGCGACAATAAATAAGTATGCACTTTTGTCAAAATGGCCTCTGTTTGAAGAAAATCCACTGCCCTATTTTTAAACTTACTTTTTGCATGTTTTTGTTTCTTTAGTTGTCATGAATTTTCTTTTTCACTTTTTCAACTTTTTCTATATCTTTACACTTTTTTAAATGTTAATTTTACTGTTCAACATAGTGTGAAGCAGTTGGTAAAAAAACAAAGAAAAACGTCCGTGTGTGTACTTTATTAGGGTTAAAGTATTTTGTGACTGAAAAATAAGCTGATGAGAGTATCAATCAAAAAATATATATTATGTGGTAGGGGCACAAAGACGGAAACATGTTTTTTGCGTAATTTATTTGCCCATTCAAGACAAGCTGCAACGGTGCAGCGTTCTATTGAAACTCAGTCGCCTATTCAGCATATATACACTGTAAAATTGTCTAAAATTACCAGCAGTCTAAAAAGCCCAAAGTCTAAAACACCGGTTACATACAAATAAAACACCCACAGCGGCAGTTAAAATAAACAAGCTAATATTTAAACACTGAGCAGCTTACCCGTTGCGTAAAACCCGCGAATAAAGCAGTGATCAATCAGCGCATATGATCAAAACAGCCTTTTTCGTTTCTCTTCCGCACTTTTTTCATTTATTTATTTCTCGAGTATCAATATTAATATTAATATTATTAATTGACCAGCGACAATGCGCTTTTTTGCTAGCACAACACTACTTTAAAATTGGAAGTATGAGGCTGCATGTACCGCAAAATGGTAGAATCTGGAAACTGGCTATCCAAAAAATGTAAACACAGCAAGAGGCAGACTGAAAAGCATTGCCAAAAGGACAAGGAGGCAGACAATATGTAGTAAAAGTAAATAAAACGGCAAATTTCAGCAGCAATGAACTTTGCTCAGTGACATATGGGTTTTCCGAGCAACAAAGCGAGACTGAGACTAGAGCGTCAATTTTGTTCAAGTTTTGTTTAAAAATACAAGCTAAAATCAGGCCAAGGCCGCACAAACAGCAAGACAAGCGTTGGATAAGACATTAAAGTTTTGTTTCAAAGTGCGCAAATAACAATTTGGATGCCCATTATTAAGCCTAAGTGGGATCAATAGGTAAAAAACGCTCTGGAGCATGCAATAAAACCAATGGAAGTAGCTACCTTACTTATAAAGGTCCACTAAACAGGCGGCAATATAGTATTTGATATCATGAAGCTTTAAAACTAGCGAGACGCACATGCGGCAAGGACAATTTAAAGTATCCCTAAAGGGACCTTAGTGTTTAATAGACCAGATAGGTATTGGGTATTACAGGGAAGTCGACTACACCGCTGTAAAACTAGCTGCTACCAATATACCCAGTTTAACTCAAAGCCCGGAAAAACAAATCTCGACAGCCCGTGCAATTTGCAGACCCACAGTGCCTAAAATAAAAATGGATATATATATACCATTTATATAAATCAATGTCATTAATTACAGCACCTCGCAGTGGGTCGAGACTTGAGGAACCCGGGAGAAACACAAAAGTCATAAGAGCACTGGAGATAAATACATACATTTGTTTTAAATGGTTGTTACAGTTCAGGAGCTATTGGAGCAAACATTTTTAATAATCATTCGCATAATTGGTGCATTGGGCACTCTCGACTCTTAGAAAAATATTTTTATGACACTCGCATCTACCCCCTTGTCTTAGCTTAGAATGAATAGACATATCTACAGCCGTGCCATTTATTTATTTTTAATATGTATTTTTATTTTATTGTTTTTATTTATTCTGCTCTATTTTGTTCTGCCCAACTTGGCTTTTATTGAAACATTTTTAACCTTTATGGTGTTGCACAGCCAAATGACATAGAGGTGAATGTTGAGATTGATATTCAAGTGACTGCTTTCTGTTTTTATACCGACTGATAAAAGGCAAATATGATCATGAAGTACTAGACCAAGGAATCAATAATAATATCCAGGTATGATCCCCCTTTTATAATGCGCGTGCATACGCAAATATTGCAACACTGACACACCCAATATTTGGGCTGCTTGCAAAAAAGCCAGTACACGTTATCAGTGATTACAACGGCTAGCGTGTAGGACAGGGCAAGGTTGGGGATGGCACACACATACATATATATATATATGTCAAAGCCGATCTTAATTCTACTTTTGATTTCCTTGGTAATAAAAATTATTGCAAAACATACATATCATTTAACACTATTCGCATTGTGCTCAACACAATCATAACACATGTAAATGATTTTTATATCTATAATTTATAATTTATCTATGTGGCACTACAGAATCCCCGTTTTTATCCCCATTTGTGGAGGATAAATATGAATTACCCTGGTACACAATAAGTGGCTGACAATATCTTTGTGGGGGAATTTCTACTGCTTTTACTTTCCTACTTGCTTGTCGCTTGGATACTTCAGCGGAGCTTTTGTCAATAACATACGTTATTTGAGAGGTTATTTAGCTATTTTGGTGTTTATTTTCTCTAATTACTTATTTAAACATGATTGCTGTTCAGGCATAAATGCCGTATTTTCTTTATTTGATTGTCAGTGCACACATCGGTTATTGAGGATTTGACTGGCACTGACTAATATTTCGATTTTTAAGCATTCAAATAAGATGATATCTCTTTGTATTACATTATAAGCCAGAACTAAATCGGATAGCACAGTATAATATCGTGATGCAACAAAAGTTCTGGGTTATCAATCCGAGACGGTGCCCTGGCTATTGTCACGGTCTCTGAATTGTTTCTTTGACAATCCTTATACGCGGAAGCAACCGGTTCTACGGAAAATACGGCGTTGAAATAAGAGTGCATCTGCTTGTCCAAATCAATTGTGTAGTATTCACGGATAGGCCCGACGATGTACAGGCCATATGCTATTTGGTAGGTATGCAGGGCATTTCCAGATCTCAGCGCCAATAAATGGCTACTTACAAAGACAATGGTTTGAGCTCAAAAAGAGTGCGTGTAAGTGTTTGAAATATGAAAGTATGGCCATGCAGATCTTGATAATCACTGCGAATAAAAAAGTCTAAATCATTTGTTGGATGATCCCAAGCTATGAATGCAGAGCGATGTTTTTAAATACAGAAATCAGGCCAATAGTTATAAAAGTAGCTAATCATTTTTCTCTGGCGTGCTCATTATTCCAAAATAAAGCTGACTGCCCACCATCATAATACTTTTTTCTTTCTTTCCCCCTCTTTTTCTTCAGCTTTTATTTGGAACACTTTCTTTATTTCCCAATGCATGTGTAGTTTGCTGATAGTCACTCTGCTATAGATATGTTTTACGTGTTCTCTTTGCCCTTTGCATACATTAGAAGGGAAGCTTCTTTTTTTAATTTCAACACTTCAAAACTTCAATTTTCTAGTAAAAATTTTATCCTTATTCTTTTTTTGATCGTTAGCCTTTCGGCAATTTATTTTTATTATAAAAATAAACATTATGCCTTCCAACTCAATCCGCCGAATGTGCAAAGCAGTGCACGCAGATATCAGTCGCAAGGCCTCCAGAACCCCAAGCCACGGAAGCCGACTCGCAAGTCATCGCACAAGCTGGTGTGCAAGTCGTGCACTTCTACTTTTATTAGGACCACCGGCACTAAGAGCAAGGTGGCAGACGCCGATGCTTTCGTTATCCATATCGATGATGGTTACTTCAGCAACGATCCCGCACATATCAGGGGTCTTGCTTGCAGTCACCGACACTTGAATCCACACTTGCTGACACTGAGGAAACATATGCCCTCGAGCACAAAAACAAACGCCGCGAGCTCAGCGATGCACGCCGCAAGCTCGAGGTTCTCACCAATACCAAGGCAATAGATGGCCAGGTTACAGCGACTCTTGCTAATAAGCTCAGGAATGCATCCCACGCCATTGAGGAACTCGACAACGCTGAAGCAGTACTTGCCCATATTAATGAGGCCCTTACCAGTCAGCTCGATGACGCACCCCACGCGATTGAGGCGCTCTGCCAGTATGCGGATCTGAGTGAGGCTGCCCTTACCAACGCCGAGGCGCGAAATAAGGCGTTGGAGGACCGGCTCGAGTCTGCAAATAAATCCTCATTCAAGTAAGAACTGGCCAAAATCAATCATATGGTAACCGACAAGAACAACAAGCTTGAACGCAAACGCAAGCGCTCCAACAAGTTAAATCGGAAGTACAAGAACGCGAGAATCGAAAACACCAAGTTGAGCAAGGGGTGAATGATACGGTGCTATTGCTGAAGGCTCTTCAAGCAAATTGTCAATTCAGCAGCACGCATCGCAGCACTGGTGGTAACTTGCCAATACGCGCGGAACCACCGATGCCAACCCTGGCATAGTCACATCCATGTGTTGCGCCTTTCTTGTGCATATACAGAGCTTGGCGAACACATCAAAATATTTCCTGGGTACGGTCAAGCGAGGGAAGTCTTACAAACCACACTTTTTCATTTATCATTTTTCATTATTTTAACCATTTACACATGACGCTGAAGGGCAAAGAAAACAGCACTCTGACTCTGACACCAAAGCAGACAAAATTAAATCAAACCAATGTTTGTATTTTAAAGTGATATAGTATACGCTTCCTCTGAGTTGACAGTGTAAAGTAAAATTTTGAAAATTGAAAATATAAAAAATAAGAAAACAAAAGAAAACGTCACAAACTAAATGCTATTCTTGCTATTGTTCTGGTCAACAGCCTTCTTCACGCGGGCCCACGAATTGCTAGTGCTGACAGCGGCAGTCGGCGCAACAGTGGTGTCGCTTGAGGGAAGCGTCGAGGCGCGGGCCAGAGTGACACTGGGACTATTGCTCAGAAAGTTGTTTTCAATGTAGTTTTCAGTGTGCGGGCTAATCATACGGGCCTGCTGCGAGTTGCGAATGGCACTGAAGAACTTGACAGCGTGCTGCACATCCTTGACAGAAGCCTCCATGCGCATGCGGGCTGCCGAAATCTCGGGCAAGTGCTGCTGGGCGGGAGAGTTGGCACTCTCGAGGCCGAAGCAAGCGCTGAGATCGGGCAGGAAGCGGATGAACAGGCCAACAGGCAAGGACAGCATACCAATGAAAAGGGTTCCAGCCCAATGAGTGCCGGTGAGGGGCACGGTGGAGAAGGCGATACCACCATATGTGACAATGAGCCACTGAGCGGCCACGATGAACACCTGAACTAGCAGGAAGCCCGAGTCGCGGTGGATGTTGGCAAACACATTGAACTCGTTGGGCTGGATGCGACGGCAGTTGATCTGGTTGAAGACCTGCAGGAAGACAAACGAGTTGAATACCATCGTGCGCAGGACGGCGATGCCGGCAGCTGTGTTGGGCAGGTGGAAGATCTCGAGGCCGTGGTTGAGCAGAAGCAGATTGATGGAGACCTGGAAGATGGCCTGTCCGATAATCATGCGCCACATCTCAAAGGTGATCAGGGCCGAGTTGCGCTGCTGTGGCGGGCGGCCGAGCACAGCGTTAGTCGGGCCCTCGGTAGCCAGAGCCAGGGCGGCCAGTGTGTCCATAATCATGTTGACCCACAGCAGCTGGACGGCAGTCAAGGCGGACTGGCCGTCGGCGCTGAAGACAGAGGAAATGAATGTCAGAAGAACGGCGGTGATGTTGACAGTCAGCTGGAATTGCAGGAACTTGCGCACGCTGTCATTGACAGCGCGTCCCCAGCGGAGGGCCTTGACGATAGACTTGAAGTCGTCGTCCATCAGAATAATATCGGAGGCCTCCTTGGCCACCTCGGTACCAGCAATACCCATGCTGAATCCGACGTCGGCCAGCTTAAGGGCGGGGGAGTCGTTGGTGCCGTCGCCAGTCATGGCCACAACCTCGTTGCGCTCCTGGAGACGCTGAACCATAATCTGCTTGTCCATAGGTGAGGAACGTGCCATAACCTGCAGGCGGGGAAGCACAGCGTGCTGCTCCTCGGGGGACATGGCGCGCCACTGGGGGCCAGTGATGGCCTGGCCACCCTTGGTCAGAATGCCAGCGTCGCGAGCAATAGCACGTGCGGTCTCAATGTTGTCTCCGGTGATCATGCGCACAATAACGCCGGCGCGGTGGCAGTCGTCGACAGCCTGGCGCACGCCCGGGCGCAGGGGGTCCTGGATGCCCATGACACCGATCCATACGAGGTCAGAGAGGGGTGCGTCGTCATCGCTGCATGATTCAAGTCCGTTCGAGTCGATGTCCTTGTAGGCCAGGGCAAAGGTGCGCAGGGCATGGTTGGCAAATGCAGAGATGCAGCGCAGGCACTCAGTGCGCGTGTCGTCGTCCAAATGAACAACCTCGCCGTCCTGGTTCAGGTACTTTGTGCACGAGCGCAGGACAATCTCCGAGGCGCCCTTGGCGTGGACGCGGAACTTGTTGTCGCTCTTGGTCGGTACAATCGTGGTCATGGTCTTCTTCTCAGACGAGAACGGGTACACGCGCACGGGCTTGTTATCTGCGCGAGTGCTGCGGTAGTCCAGTCCGCACACCTTGCCGAAGCCCAGCAGCGCACACTCACTCTTGGAGCCAATGAACTCAATCTGGCCCTTCTCATCAGGTCCCTCGAATGCGGTGGAGTTGATTGCGATGCTCTCGAGCAGCAGGGACTGCACGCCCTCGGAAAGCTCGTTGTAGAAGGCTTGGGCGTTGGACCGGCTGCGCAGCTCGTGCCCTGCAACATATCCACGCACGACAGTCATCTTGTTCTGAGTCAGGGTACCAGTCTTGTCAGTGCACACAACGGTGGCACCGCCCATCGTCTCACAGGCGGCAAGCTGGCGAACCAGGTTACCGTCCTTGAGCATCTTGGTAGTGGCGTAGGCAAGCGAAATGGTCACAGCCATTGGGAGGCCCTCAGGCACGGCAACGACTACCACGGTGATCGACTCGATCACGATGGAGACAAAGTGCGAGAACATGATGCTGTACGGCGGGAACTCGGGGGCCATGGCGCACTTGACAAGATACTTGACGGTCAGGGTAATCAGCAGGAGGATAGCGGCGGACATACCGTACTTGGCAATCTGCTCGGCGAGGATGTCCAGCTTGAGCTGCAGGGGAGTCTCCGAGGCCTCTCCCTGACGCATGGCCATCATGATCTTGCCGTAGAACGAGCGCGGGCCAACGGCAACAACAACCATCGAGCCAACGCCCTCGAGAACCTTGGCGCCGCTGAGGATAAACGGATCGCGTCCCTCGTCGAGAGTGCCCTTCTTGATGGCATCCGACTCGCCGGTGGCGCTGGACTCATCGCAGGTCATGTTGTGGCCGGTGAGGTAGACGCCGTCAACAGGGATGATGTCTCCAGGCTCGATAAGAAGAATGTCACCAACGTTGATTTCCTGGACACCAATCTCGATTTCATTACCGTCACGGCGCACCTTTACCGTGCGGTCCTCCTTCTTGGCGTTGAGCTTCTGGAACTGCATCTCCTTCTGGTAGTCGTTAATAGCGTTGGTAAAGCACACGACCAGCACGGCCAGGAAAATGGCAGCGCCCTCGACCCATCCGACCTTGACGTCGTCGTTTTGTGGCTGCCAAAGGTATCGTCATAAATGCCGACCGCGAGCGAAACCGCGGCCGCGATGGTAAGCATGACTATTTTGTGATTAAGCGATTGTGAGAAGGCGTGATTTTTGCGGGAAAATTTAGCGAATGACATTGATCATTACTGGTCATTGCTGACAAGACAGCATGGCGCGCAATATCGGGATCACAATGGTCACTGGGATGGGGAGAAAGGAACAGGGACATAAGGCATAATAAATGGCCACACGTGTCATACAAAACCCATCCGGAGTGTTCAGCTCCTTGGCAAATTATGTCGTCAACATGCGGAAATGCGTAGAAAAAATTCACAAGCACGCACAAAGTCTCTTTCAAGCAAGAGCCGCGCATTGATTTATGTCGCAGTACAAAGCACACAACACAAAGCACACAAAGCACAAAGCACAAAGATGTGGGAAAGAAAATGCTTTGTACCAACAATAGACAAGCAAAAAGCAAGCAAAAGGCAGGGTTCAGTTGATACTTACTCAGCGTGCGGTCGTTGTACGCGGCAACAAGGAGCTGCCAGAAGGTGACCTGGTGAGCCTCAGGCAGCGTGTTGCGGCCAAAGACCTCGCGGCGCGCCTGGAAGGGCTCGCTCTGTTGCTCGCCATTAAAGCCAATCTGCTCTCTCTGCCTCAGGCCGACCTTGGGATCGACCTTCAGCGCCTTGCAGATCTCGGCCGGACCGCCGAGCTCACGAAGGCTGTCGGGGTCCTTGGGGTCAAGCATGTTGGTGAGCTGCTCGGGATTCACGCCAAACGTGCTGGTGCTGGGCACGGCGCCACTGCCCCGTGCCAGGCTGCTGCTTCCCGGAAGCAGCGGCGTGCGCTCACTGCTCCCACCGGTTGCAGGTGCCATGACTTAAAGATGGAAATAGCTACAAGAGAAAGCTCTGAGACAAAGGAGTTTAGAGGGGAGAAGCCGACTAATGATATTTTGCGTTGGTTTTGCTATGGTTATCCGCTGACGGGGACAAAAAATAATAACTTGAAAACTGGTGGGCGTGTACCGCACGGTCGTTAAAGAAATTGCAGAAAAAGGTAGTAGAAGCAATACTTGAAGAAAAATAGATGCGGAGAAGAGAAAGGAAAAAGAGAGGGACTGGCTGTGAGATGAAAATAGGGACAGGAGATGATAAGGGAAGCAGGTGTGCGTTTGTGTGCTTGAGCGTGGACAAAACCCGCTGCTATATCCTCGTGCGCTTTGTGAGAAAGAAAAGTGGGAATATGGAGGAAGGAGAAAGAAAAAACAACAGAAAATAGAAAACAAAGGCCGCAGCCTGGGCCTAAAAATGTGCCAATGCCAAACAAGCGCCGACAAGCCTGCTCGACGCAGACAAAGAGGACAATCATCCGGCCACTTTCCACAAGCATTGGGGACGAGGGATATGCGCGTTCCGAAAATCAAGTAAAAAAGCAGGTAAGGCCAATCAAAAGCCCCTCCCTTTTCACCCATTCTGGGCATCAAAGTGCGACCTTCTGTTTAGAAAGGCGAGTAGAGCGCGGGGGCAGAGGCGAAAAGCCAGTGCCAGAAAGAAGAAAAAAGATGTGGCAACTAGCGATTGTCGAAATAAAAATGAAATAGAAATCAAGTAAATAGGTAAATGAACTGCGCAAACATGCACCGTGCAACCACGAAGCTGCAAGCGCTGCAAAACTGCGTTTGTGCTAAAATCACACGCACTGTTCAAATGAAACGGAAAGAACATCTTTTTCCATCGGCAGAATAGTAATTTGATTTTATTTGTGCGATTGCCATGCGAATGACGATTGCATTACCGCCCAAAAAAGGGGGGCAATAGTAAAAGCACTGCCGAATCCCCACTTCCGCAATGCATCATCCATATCTGGCCATGTCAGAAAAAGCGGTTCTGCGCGACGCTGCCCAAAGGAGGGTAGCTCTTGAGCTTCGAAAATAGCGTACGCTGCTTGGCCAGCGACGATCCAGTGTCGCCCTTTGACTTTTGGCGCAGCGACTCGAGGATGCTCTTCAGCTGCTGCTTCTCCAGGTCGTCGCGTTTGGTCAGAATGTCCTCGACCAGCGCCAGCGGCAAATCCGGGTACTGCTTCTTGACCGAGAAGAACTCGAGGAATATCATCGTCGGCGTCGAGTCGATTAGCGAAATGAGGATGCGCACGACGTTTAACGTCTCGGCAACTGCGCTGCCATCCATGTGCTGCTTGAAGAACTTTGTCGCCCTGTGCAGCTCAAGGGTCAGCTTCTCGCTGGTCTGGCCCTTGTAAAACTTGACCTTGCCGGCCACCGCGTCTATGTAGCTAGCGCAAACCGCGAGAGCAAGTCCTGCATCAGCCGCCGGTACAGGTACTTGTCAAGGTGGTCCTGGAAGTCCTGGCAGTAATCCTTGAGCGTCTCGATGACCGGCTGCAGCAGGTCGTCCTGGTACCAGTCGGCGTGTACAGCGCCGATGTGATTGGCCGCAGGTCGGAGAACACAATGTCGGCCAGGGTCTGCGTGGCCGCCTCGGCTACGTTCATGAAGATGTCCATGGTCTGCGAGAGCTCCGCCTTGAACGCTCCTGGTGCGAGCGCGAAAGCCGGTCGCCGGTTCATCACGGATGGTCTCGGCCTGCACGACTGACCGGATCTGCTCGTTGGCCAGCGCCATTGTGTAGTCAACCAGGCCCTCAGCCACGTTCTCGGGCGTCTCTATCTGCTTGGCTTCTCGCTCTCCAAAATGTCGCGCCACTGCTTGCCGACGTCCTGGAATATCTTGTTGCACTCGGCCACCAGGTCGCAGAGCAGCTTGGCCCGCTGCGCCTGTATGACGACATCAAGGTTCTGGTTGACAATCTCGAATAGAAACACTGAGCCGTTGGTGACGTACAGGCCGTCCTCGCCCATGCTGGGCGCGTCCACGCGGCTGGTGAACGTCTCGGCCTCGGAGCGCATCAGGTTGGTGATCCACTCGCGGATTTTGCGCACGGCAATGTCCAGGTACTCCTGCGCCAGCTGGTCCTCACGGCCCTCGAGCAGGGCAGGCTTGAGCCTGTCCTTCTGGATGCTCAGCTCCTTGCGCATGGCCGTGTAGTACTCGCGCACCCAGCGCAGCAGCATCAGGATCGAGCCGCCCTCGAGGTCGCCTGAGATTAGCTCGTTTGTGGTTGCGACCACCGCCTGGTGGTACTCGTTGACAAACTCGTCAAAGATAAAGTAGTTGGGCGGGAATGCCGGCGCCACAGCCTCAGCGACAAACGTGAGCTCGTCGACGATGAAGCCGGTGACCTCGGTGATGCCGTCCAGCCCGTCGGCGTCCTGCTTGACGAAATCGGACACGCGCTTGAATATAAAGTCGTGCATCAGGTCGAGCAGCTTCTGCTTGTACTTTTTGATCCGGCGCTCCTTCTTGGGGCCGCGTCCCATGTTCGACGAGTCCATGGACAGGCGGTCCGACCCGCTGATCAGCGACTGGCGGCGGGCTAAGCCGGCGCCCTCTGTCTCGCGCTCCTGCGCGCGGTCGGCGGCCTCCTCGACCTCGATGACCTTGAGCAGCTGCACGATGATGTTCGTGCGATTACGCAGGGCCAGGTCGTAGATGCTTCCGGCAACATGCCAAAGAAAGGTCTCGAACTCGCTACGAGGCTGTCCAGGCCGCCAAACATCTGCAGCAATGTCTGCACTGAGTCGGCGTCGTTAACGCCCGAGAAGCCCAACGCGCGGTTACGAAAGTCCTCCAGCTTGTACAGGAAATAGTGCAGGCGCAGCAGGTTAAAATCGGCCTGCTCAAAGTTTGTCTGCGCGTCAGCGAGCATTTGGCGCACAAGCGTGTATTGCTCGTGAAACTCGCTGAACTGACGGTAGAACTCGTTGACGCGCACAAAGTTGCGGTTGGCGATGGATATTTTTTGGATGCGGTCAAAGTTGGTCAGGTAGCTCTGGGCCTGGTTGCACAGGTGGTCGACCTGCTGCATGTCTGTTTTGACGCGCCCAATTTGGCCCTTGGTTGTGTAGAGCAGCTCAATTCCCTCCTGCACATCGTCGAATTGCCGCCGCACGTCAGTGCTCAGCTGTGCGTCAATTAGAAGCTTCTCCTGGGCCAGCTTCCGCCGCACGTCGTCGGCCTTGTATACTAAATCGTCGGGGTGCCGCAGCAGCTTGGCCAGCCGCTCGATTGCGTATTGCTTAACGTTTGCGTCAGTGACCGTCTCGCTGAGCAGCATGGTTGAATGGTTATTAATAGAGTACAAAATGCGAAATGAATTTTTTAAAAAAAGGAAATTATAAATAACAGAAAAAGAATGCTGTTTTGAAATGAGCCGTGTGTGGAGAATGACGACGCATTGGCAATATGCAACACCGAAGGAAAAAAATAATGGAAAATAAATTGCCTGTGCGCGTGTTTTCGTTAATAGAAATTAAAGCGACGCTCGCTCGATATGCAACGCTTTAGGCACAGAAGTGGTCGCATTGTGCGCAGCTGCAAGGTCGGAGTTGGCGCCAATGCCAATCTCCAGCCCGCTGCCTGAGCCATTGAACAACAGCTGCTGCTGGCCGGCGTTGATCTGTGGGTACTCACTGTAGTAGCGAACCAGCGTTGTCGGCTCAATCGCGGTCGCAGACAGCGACGCTGACGTGGCGGCATCGATGCGCACGCGCACGTAGTCGCCAGGGCGAAGGCTCATTGTCGGCGGCGTGGTCAAAAAGACCTTGTGTCCGTAGTCGTCCGAGCCGAACGGCCGGCCATGCTTCTTAGTCAAGCCCTCGTACAGCACCAGGCCCTGCGAGCCGACCAGCAGCTGGTTCTTCGCCTTGGCCGTCGCGTGGAACGCAGTGATGATCTCCTCCAGCCGCCGACCCTTAACGTCGGCTGCCACGTCATCTTGGAACTTGCGGTGCGCGTGGGTGCGCTCGCGCATGCTGTACGCAAACATGAACGCCGTGTCGAAGCCCACGGCCTGCATCAACTCAACCGTGTCGCGGTGCTCGGCCTCGGTTTCGCCGCAGAACCCGGCAATGACGTCGGTGCTGAACGTCACATCGGGTATGACGCTGCGGATGTGGTGCGCCAGCGCGAGAAACGCCTCGCGCGAGTAACCGCGGCGCATGCGCTGCAGGCACGACGTGCTGCCCGACTGCAGTGGCAGGTGGATGTTGCGGCAGACGTTGGGGCAGTCACGGATAACCTGAATAAGCTCGTCGGGGAAGTCCTTCGGGTGCGGCGACGTGAACCGCACGCGCATCTCGGGATCGACCTGTGCAACGCGGTGCAGCAGCTCAGCAAAGCGACGCCCGCCGTCCTTGCGTTTGTAGATGGTGTTAAAGCCTCGGCTCAGGCTGGAGCCAGACCCAGAGCTGGACTCAGAATCTGGCACGGCAAAGACGGCGCTGTCGCTGGTGTCGCGGTACGAGTTGACGTTCTGGCCTAGCAGCGTGACCTCGCGGATGCCCTGCTTGCTGAGGCGCCGCACCTCGTCGACGATCGAGTCGATGTTGCGGCTGCGCTCTGTCCCGCGTGTGAATGGCACAATGCAGAAGCTGCACATATTGTTGCAGCCGCGCATGACGCTCAAATGGACGCTGATCTTGTTCTCGTCGAGCCGCACCGGCGTGATATCCGCATATGTCTCATCGGCAGACAGCATGACGTTGCCACTCCATCGGCGGACATTGCCCGCAGCGACAGCAGCCGTGGCAGCGACCGGTATGCGTCGGGACCGCAGACCACGTCAACCAGGCGGTCTGACTCGAGGAGCTTCTCCTTCAGCCGCTCTGCCATGCATCCAAGTACGCCGACCATCGGAGGCCGGTCTGGCCGTGCCTTAGTCTTCAGCGACTTTAGGTGCGCCAGTCGGTTCCAGATGCGGTCCTCAGCCTTTTCGCGGATCGCGCATGTCATTAGGAAAATCACATCAGAATCTTCGAGCTCCATTGTGCGCTGGTACCCGGCCTTGTTCAGCACAGACATCAGGATCTCCGTGTCATTGACGTTCATCTGGCAGCCATACACCTCAACATAGTACTTGCGGCCCTCACCCCAGTCAGATACAGCCATGTATGGAATGTCCTCAGGCTCGACGGCGCTGGCTTGGACGACTTTGCGCCCAGAGGCTGCGCCAAAAAGTGCTGCAGCGATGGCCCAGTACGGTTATTAAACACCAAGTGCTTGCGTCCTGATTTTGTCTTGCTGATGCTGCTGGCCTTTTCTGTGTCAAGCCCTTGCTGGGCGAAGCAACATCGGATCATGTGCGCCGGTGGTTGATGATGCCCAGGCGCGGCAGATCGCTCGAGTGCGCAGCCCATTGATGCCTCTGCTGCTGCCAGCAAAATTGATTACAGATGCCGACCAGTAAGCCATACGAGTGCACTGATGTGTTTATTTGGGTGGATCGGTGAGTGGGCTGTTAAAGATATTGAAAAATAGTTGGAAAATAGTTGGAAAAAGATAAAGGACGAGATGAGATGGGTCCAATTTTATTATGCGGCAGTTGATCGATCTTGCTTACCGCTCGAACTTTTTATTTAATCTTTGTTGATTTTTTATTCACCTCTGATCTCTGGCAGCGGCTCGGGCCAAGTATCGATTCGAATAATGTATTGTGTCGAGTCGAAAACACATGTTAGGCGCGAACGCGCTATTTAAAAATAAAGAAGCTGCGGAAGAAAGAAAAGAAAAAAAGCAAACCCACAAAACACATGCCTTTTCGGGGTTTCACTCTTTTCTCTTTTCGCAGTCCTGCGTTAAATTCAACACAATTATTTTTGTTTTATTTTTGTATATTTCTCATTTGCCGCACATTCTATACTTGATTCTATTTCTCCACTTCATTTCGCCCTTCAACATACATAATAATAGTATTAAAGCACAGCAGCAGAACAGCATAACAATAATGCCTCGCTCCACCACCACCACAGCAAGGTAAACACAATCAGCAGAATAATGTCGTATGTCTGTCATTTACGCAACATCCATAGCTGATACATAAAAAAAGTTTGACGCTTGCACATTTGATTAATGTCAATGTTTTTTCCACCCGTAGAAAGCGCAAGACTTTGGAGTCGGATACGGACAGCGATATTGACCCGACTGATTTCTTTAACGAATCGCGCGCAACAGCACTCCCAAGGCCAAGGCTGCACCCAAGCCCAGGGCCAAACCCAAGCCGAAGGCCGCCCCGGTCTCCGAGGCCATGAAGGTGGATGCGAAAAAGGAATATGGATTTCCTGCCAGCGAGCTTCCCGACGTTGCACCCAAAAAGTTCAACTATGCGCAGCATGCCATGGGCAAGGGCTCTGGCGGTGGAGCCGGCTTGACAAATCTTCCCGACGGCATTCCCAACTGCCTTGAGGGGCTGAAGTTTGTTGTCACCGGCGAGTTTGGAGATATGACGCGCGAACAGATCACCGACTTGATCAAATCATTTGGCGGCAGGTCACTTCGGCTGTTAGTGGCAAGACGTCGTACCTGGTGGTTGGAGATGAGCCTGGATCGAGCAAGGTGAAGAAGGCGAAGACCATGAAGACGCTCTGTCTCTACGAGCACGATCTTATTGCAATGATCCGCAGCTCCAAGCACAGAGAGGTTGCCGAACGGCAGATTCGGCAGAGACAGCACAGCCGGCGCAGGCAGAGGAGCTCGAGGATGATTCCGAGCTTGAGATTGTGTCGACTTCGGCGCCAAAGCCGAGCCCAAGGCAGCAGCTTCGGTAGCAGTGCCCTCGCCCACAATTGAATCAAAGCCTGCCCCTGTTCATGAACCTGCGCCTGCATCTGCGCCTGCATCTGCATCAGCGCCAGCGCTTGCAGTTGAATCAAAGTCCGATTCTAAGTCACCAGCGCCTGCCGCTGAGCCGAGGGCCGAGCCAGCGGTCAGGCCGCAGCCCAATACCATGCCAGGATCTTCTGCCGCTGTTCAGTCCGAGCTTTGGACTGAAAAGTACAAGCCTACCAAGCTCAAGGACTTGTGCGGCCACAAAACCAGCGCGCAGGAGATTTTGAGATGGCTCAGCTGGTGGGCGTCGGGCACGATTCCTGAGAAGCGCGCTGTGTGATCTCGGGGCCTCCCGGGATCGGCAAGACGACTACAGCGCACCTTGTGGCTAAGCTCGCGGGCTTTGATGTCCTCGAACTCAACGCGTCTGAGACGCGCAGCAAGAGCTCACTGAAGGAGCTTCTTGGCCCCGCTGTTGGAAACCGTAGCGTGCTAGAGTTTGACAAGCACTCGCTCAAGCGCCTCGAGGAACAGCAGCACAACGAGGACGACAAGGACGTGCTAGGCTCGGTATCAACCAGTGGTGCCAAGAAGTTGCTGGTTATTATGGACGAGGTTGATGGCATGTCTGGCGGTGACCGCGGTGGCAGCGCTGAGCTGATTCAAATCATCAAGCGCTCCCGCGTACCGATAATCTGCATCTGCAATGACCGCATGTCGCCAAAGGTCCGCTCGCTGGCCAACCACTGCGAGGACATGCGCTTCCGCCGCCCGACCGAGCAACAGATGCGCGCGCGTCTAGCACTATTGCGTTCCGCGAGAACCTGCGTCTGGAACCGAATGCCCTGGTGCAGATGGTGCAGTCCACGCACAACGACATCCGCCAGATTATAAATCTGATGTCTAGCTACGCGCTGAGCAGCAGCTCAATGTCGTACCTGCAAAGCAAGGCATTCACCACGCTCAACCGCAAGGAGGTTGCCATCGGGCCGTTCGACGTCATTGGCAAGTTTATGAACCGTGGCGAGAACGCATCCCTGTCGTTCTCGGACAAGCTGGATCTGTACTACAATGACTTTTCAATCATCCCGCTGTTTGTGCAGGAGAACTATATTGACAACAGGCCCGGCGGGCGTCCAATGCCCTTGAGACGCTCGACTGCCTGAGTAATGCAGCCGATTTTATTGCAGAGGCCGACATTGTTGAGACCAAGCTGCGCGGCTCGCAGCAATGGGGTCTGATGCCGCTGCACTCTGCGCTGTCGTGCGTCGGCCCGGCATTCCATGTGCGCGGCGCGCACGAAGGCATGTATCGCTTCCCTGGCTGGCTCGGCCAGAACTCAAAGGCTGGAAAACTGTCGCGCTACTTGAAGGATGTGCAGAGCCATATGCGGCTGCGCGTGTCGGCCGATAAAACAGAGATCCGCCAGTCTTACATCCCGGCGATGGTCCCGGAGCTGGTTCAGCCACTAGTCAACCAGGGAGCCTCTGGTATTCCCGACGTTGTTGCCATCATGGACCACTACTATCTTACGAAGGACCACTGGGATGCCATGCTGGAGCTGCATTTGGATGGCGAGGCGATACTCAAGAAAATCCCGACACAGTCAAGTCTGCGTTCACGCGTGAGTACAAGAAGACCAACCACCCGGTCGCTTTCCAGCCCATCGCCGGCGTGTCTTCGGTCAATAATGTGCAGGCTGCTGCGTTATCCAGCTTGAAGCCCGACACTGAGGATGTTATTGATGATGACGAGGGAGCAGTCTACGACGGCGCTGAGGACGACGACAACGATAATAAATCCAGCGACGACGTTGAGAACGACGCCTTGATCGCCGCCGCCAAGCCTAAGCCCAAGCCCAGAGCGTCAAAGACCAAGGCCGCAGAGAATGGCACTGTGGCGCCACGCAAAAAGAGAAAGGCTGCGTCTTAAAAAAATTTGTTTATTTTTTCTGTTGTGGAACGCAAACACAAACGCAAAATCACAATCACCATCAAAACCACAATCAGCTTGTCTTTTGTTTACTTTTGCTGCTGCTCCAGAATAGCAGTAGTAGCAGTAGCAGCAGCCAGCCCGCGGCAACGGTCACAAAACTACACTAACAAATCCCCAAACTTTGAGAAAACTTTGATATTTTGTTTACGCTTAACACTTTATCAAAAGGTAGTGCGTAAACAACTTTGAATCGCAAATTAAGGACGGCGAAAAAAGTGCCATCAGGCAGACGGAAGTGGAATCGTGAAATGGCTGCAGTGCTTAACTTTGCATCATCTTCAATTCCCTGCTTACAGGGGAGCGGCCTTCCTGTTTTTTTGCGCTGAAAGGCACTGTTGAGTCAGCTGAACCCGAGTCTACAGCAACCCCCGAGACTTTGCCCGAGATTTTGCCCAAGCCAAAGCCCAATCCCAAGATTTTCTTTGCAAGTAGCGTAATGATTAATATCTTTAACTATAGTGGCTATTTATTGCCTCTAGTTTTAAGCACATACCGGGTTGCTATGCAATCTAGATGGAAAATAAGTCGATTTTCAGGATATTCAAATTTTATTAGATATTTGTAGTTTCACTATTTACTTCAGTGTATATTTACATTGGCGCATTGTATGTGTACAAAAGCCTGATTATGTTGGCACTGGGGTTTTTCAAAGGAATTGTGTCAGTTTGATTACCTTTTGTGCATCAAATTCAACTTGCTCCATTTTTTGCGACACAATTGTCACAAAGGCTTAAAAAGGGGTTTTTTTTGCGGGTTGTTGAACCCCTTGAAACCTGCAGTACCGCTGCGGGCTTTTGAACATGAATATCACTATTTCGGACACTTTCTGTATTGTCACAATTTTTTGAAGCGAGAAATCTGGGCCTGGGCTGTCCTTTTTTTTCTCGCAATTTTTTGTTGTCTTCAAACCGCGTCCATTTTGGCCTCAACACTTTGCTTTTTCTTCCTTTTCTTCTTTTTTCAAAAAAAATTATTTTAAACTTCTTGGATTATTATTTTCTTAGCACGTCTTATTTTACACAGCAATTTTTGGCTGTCACCTAAATTTATAAAAGCCATAAGAATAAATTCATATTCCAGGCACTTTGCACATATTTTTTTCGTTTCCCCAACCTATTTTTTGCAGTCTTTTACTCCGACAAACTTTTTTCTTAGCATTTTCGCATTTACACTTGGACACTTTGCTTGCATTCATTCACTCATTTATCTGCACACAGACTCGGTTTATTTTTCCCCAACTACAGAAACTCAAACGCCAAACATGTATTCCGAAGAGTTGATTGCCGCCATATGCATCGGAGGGCTGGCCCTCACCACGATTGCGGTGCTCACCTATGTCGCTTGGCGCCAGCGCAACCAACAAACGACTCTTTACATAATGGTAAGCACCTATTTTTGTATTTAACGGGCGTACTAAGACACTGCTTACATTTGCTCGCGGGTCCTGAAAGGCCAACATTTAATAAGCACGCACAGCAAGATTGTTTTGACGAGAACACCAGGTGAAACCCACGTGTACTGTGGCGCTCTTTCCTGGGTGCTGCTTGGCACTTGTGCCTCTATTTTTTGTGTTGGCAAAGCCTCATATCCACATTATTTGTAGTTATGTTAATGCAATAAAAAGAAAGCATGCTCATGATTTGCTAACCACACATTTCGGATCTCGCCTTTACGACCGCTGTAGCCGACGAGAAGCCGTAGTAAATACTGTAGTCACGGGTATCATCGATGTACCACATGTATATGCAACCACTGACGAGTCGCAGCCGTTGCTAAATGCGTCGGCCATTCGCACTCGCTATGCCACCAACCCGAATGAGTTTGCCCGCTCGTATATTGGCCGCACAGAGTGCTCCAGCTTCATGGCGCAGCACTCGGTGGACAGATCTGTTGTCGGCTCGCCGCTTGCTATCGCAGAGCACTTTATGACTGTCGTGCCAAGTGATTCATCGGATTCGGAGGACTCGAGCATGGACTCGTACGCCAGCGACTCGGGCATCCCTGAGCCGACCGAGAGTGACAATATCACTTTGCCGTCAGAGTTGGCCTCAGCTACACCTCGCGCCAGCTGCATTTCCGAGATTAACGATGCGATTGAACCGGGGGTTCTGCCTGCAACTCCGGCCAGCATTCTGCTGGCTGACGAGCAGGCTCTCCATGAAGTCGCTGCTAGCGGAATCGACAACAAAGCCAATGATATCGACCACAGCCAGATTCTGATTTCGGGCACAAGCGCGATGGGCTGTGGCTGCTCTGCAAGCTCGAACAACACAGTCATAGCTGCCAAGCCCGCGGCAGCCGAAGATACCTCAGTTTTGAACTGGGAAACAGCGTGACCTCGGCTGCTTTCGACCAGCCGCGCAGCTCGACCCTCAGTGCTCAGGCAAGGGTGTTCGTCCCTGGCAGGCAACACAGGGTATCTGCTGACGCAGATGCCAATTCGCTTGCCTCGCTCAGGCAGTCAGTCAGTGAGGGTTCGCGTCAGCTATTGATACTAACGAAAATCGCACAAAATCCGATTATATTTCTGAGTTCGATGCGACTATTGCTCAAACGCAGGCGCTCAGGCAATCCACTGTCAGCAGCATCGCCAGCAGCAGCAGCAGCATCAACGAGTCTCGGCACCGCAGGTCGACCATTTCCACCCAGAGCACCCACTGCAGTGTCTCCGAGAGCACATCGGGCACAGAAAAGTCCAGCGAGCATGACACGCAGACCGAGTCGCCCGAGATTAAGAGTGCCGATTTGGCAGCAGAGCCCAGCCAGCAGGCGCCTGCAAGGGCTTCTGCCAAGCGGCGGTGTCGGTTCTGGCCCAGCTGCAGCAACCGCAACTGCAAGTATGCGCACCCGTCGCAGACATGCCGGGCATTCCCGAACTGCTCATTTGGCACTAACTGCATCTACATCCACCCTGGTGACGTTCAGAAGATTAACTTGGTAATTTCGCGCGCGGGCAAGAAGGGCGGGCCCAATCGCCCGAAGCGCAAGAATACCGATATCGTTCGCCTGAACAACCTGTCGGCATTTGTCAACTAGGGCGTCTTTCAGAGCATGTTTATTGTTATAGGAATAATAAACTTACTTTTATATATTTACACATGCACAAGTTACCATCCAGTATCAATTATCTATGTATTCAGTAGCGATAGAACACGTCGCAACAGCAGACTGATACTCCCGAAATGCGCGCAAGCAAAAACTTGAAATTCGTGCAATAAACACTGAGGAGCGTAGCAAATGGGCTGGCGACAGCACTTTACAAAGTTATAAATAAAACTTGCACAACACGTGCCATGCGAGACTTTAAAGTGTTTTTGGCACATACATATGCACAGGTATATAAATAGCAATTCATTGTTTTCTTCTATTTACTTTTGTCTGTTTCGCGCTTTATAAAATGCAAAAATAAAATTCTCGATAAAATCACCCTCCACCAAACCAGCTCACAAGATGATGATTACTCTCGAGCAAATGCAAATCATTAACCAAACATAAATAATATAATTAAAAAACAGATGGTCCATTGAAAATTATTTAAAGGCCGGCATGTTCCTCTTCCTTCCTTCACTCCTTCCTCTTTTTTGTTTTATCCATCACAATTGCTCACTCAAACATAATCTATATTATATACCATTACCTATTCATTATTTTTATTGCTTATATCGCCATTATAACAGAACAACCTCATCTCTGCGCGTCATGCATTTAACATCGTCAACAGGCTCAAGACCCTTGGAACCTCAAGATACAATTTTTAGCAGATAAACAAAAATCCCCATTCTATGACCATTATAACGACATTAAAGCTAACAAAAAATTCACGGTTGATAGTGACACAACATTCGAGGACCTGAGTGAGTATATAGAATACATTGTTGACATGAAAAAAAAGGAAGAAAAGGAAACCTCTACTAATACAAAAGCATTACCTGCATGGGTTTATCGTATTAAAAACGAAGTCGATTATGAGCTTCATTATTATAATGCAGTGGTAACAAACCAATTGCGCAAATTTTGGTAAGCAAGACTATTGGGAAGACTCAGCAACGGGCATAATTGTTGACAACGAACAAGTAAAACGACAGCATCAAGTAATGATGAAACAAGTCTTCAATTTCAAAAAATATATAAAGAATTATCAGGAAAAAAATGAAATTCAAGGTGAAGTTAACAGCTTCAGATACGCCCATCATGACTTTTTATATAAAAAAACCCTAATAAATTAATAATATAAATTGTGTAGTAAAGTTTTTATTTAGTTTACAAAAATAAAACAAGTATTGTCACCAATAAAAAATTGAATTTAACTCGTGTATAATATGTTAAAAAGGTACAGTTACATAAAAAAACAAGATACAACAATGACTACATTATTTGGCCTATAAATATTCCTGATATATATTATTTTCAGCCTTCATGCTACATATGCGCAATGAAAAACGCCTATACCCGCTATATATGAGTTTCATTGTTATTGGCCATCCCTTTTTGTAAGCAAAAGCAAAAGCTATTTGGCATTTGTTTTACGTTACTTTTTATATGTATCTTAAGCGGCGATTACCAAATGAACAAGTGCGACATGTTTCGAGCGGCGGACAACTATAAAAAATAACAATCACCCTACAAAAAAACACGAAAGGCATAGTCCATTATTAGGCACGAGCGAGTAATTAGGTCACTAAAACCGCACAGGGCTTTTGGACCGGCGGTTTCTAGGGCTTCGAGCGGGAGACGGCGTGCACGATCTCGAGGGATCACGGCACCGGGTATAAGACGCCACGGCAATGGCGGCTCGCGAGTGCGACGCTTTTCCCTCTCCACACGGCGCATCTCGCGCACAGTCAGATCCTGGCCGTCAAACAGCGCGCGCACAAGAGTGCGAGCGGGCTTGCGGATGTGCATAAAGTTCAGTATCCTCCGCGATTACACTCGCCGCTGTCGTACTGGCGACACACGCCTCGCGGAAATCAGTGACGGGCGAAAGCTCGCCCAAACGGGAAGCCCTCCATAGTACCGGTTGTTCAGCGAGTCGACGGCCTTTTGGGCATCATCCTCCCGGCGATACTTCACATATACGTTTCCCAGCAGGTGGTCGCCTACATTGTCACAAATTTTGAGCTCCTCGATCTCACCGTATTTGGCCAGCTCGAGAAACATGTCCTCGTAAAAGTCCTCAAAGCCGTGCTGGATCTCTTCGTCAGATAGTGTGCAGTCGGGCTTTAGCGACGGGTTCTTGTACATGTTGGACACAAGCATCGTCTGCGAGTATGTGGGCTTGACATGACGCCGCGAACACCGGTCGCCATGCCGGCATGACCCTATCTTGTGGTAGAACGAACAGTGGACCTTGTCCTTTTCAGTTCCAAAAATCGAAGCCAAATGCTCGGCCATCGTTGTGCTTGTGTAAAAAAGAGTTGGAACGGTGGTTTGTCTTTTGTGTAGAAGCGAGTAAATCAGAGCTTTCGCACCAGGCTGCTGTAGCTATAAAATAGAGGGAAAATATAAATATAATATGTTTCAATTTGCATAAATTCAAAGGAACAAAAAAAGATAAAAGTTGGTAATCTGGCCAAAGCAATAAAAAAAATTGATTTTTCTTCCCGCGCATACACATCAACAATGCGAGCTGAGCCAGAACGCATTCTTTTATTGTATGATCAGAGTGTAATTTGACAAAAGAAGTGCAATGCTCCTCCAGCCAATCACCTCACGTCAACGCATTTGGGCGGCTGCAAATCAGTTGCAATAGCAGCCAATCACAACGCGTAAAGCGGTCGCGATATTGGGGGTACACCCAAAAATAAAAAAGATTACTGGCGCCGCAGCTCGTCGAGCCGGTGGCAGGAGCAGCGGTGGACAAAAGAAAAAGGCATTGTTGTTGTCAACGCGCGTTCGCAAGAGAAGCAAATGGAAAATATAAAATTTTCACGCGGAAAAGGGGAAAAAGAATAAACGCAAAAGTGCGGCCTTCACCGAGCCGCCATGGCAAACATGTCATATCTTCCGTCTGGAAAAAGGCAAGAACGCAGAAAAGAGGGTGGAAAATAGTTTTTTCTTCGCTCATTACTCGCCCATCCATATTCCGCTAAAAAGCCACCTTGTCCGGCACAAAAGAGAATCGGTCTGGAAAAAAGTGGCATTTTCTTCTCTACTTTTTTCTCATCACATTTTCTTTTTTTGTTTTGCCCTCCCCCTCTTCCAACCAGGTTTTGCCTCACGCGACTTTTCATTTTCCGCCTGTAATTGGTTCCTTTTCTCAGGCTCACATTGCCCCTCTTGTCACTGGACCCCATATCCCTCTCGGCTAGCGGTTCTGTGTATTTGTTGCGGCCTCGATTTTTTTGTCGTTGTGGTTGAGCCATCAGAGCTATTTTTCTCTTTTTATTTTATTTTTATTTTCTGCACCCCACATTTCTACAGGCACGCGTGCTGGGCGTCTCACATCGCTTTCTCCGCACTTTTGGAATTAACACGCAAGCAACACACACACGTTACTACGCGTGTGCAACCACGGTAACTTTTATACCCCCGCAAGCGCTCATCACACTTTACTGGTAAGTTAATCGCTCGCATTTGCTTTATGCTCATTTTGATCCTTGAATGCGCTGGGTAGCAGCGCGGAACAGAACACGCGTAAATGCCAAGCTGCTCTCACTTTACCCCGTGTTTGTTTGCTTTGTCATTTGCGCTTGTTTACTCTCTGTTTTGTGCTGTCACGCTATCTTACTGCAGGTCGCTGTCACGCTAGGTTAATTTTCCTTTTCATTTCAGTAAAAAATATTTTTAAAAATTAATTTCACCCCTTTTCGCTCTTTTAAACACACCCTTCCATTGTTGTCCGCAACCTGTATTTTATCATTCGTCACCACTATCATTATACCTTGACTCTGCGCTCTGCATCCTCTATTCATATTACTTTTTGTGGTTATCACGTAACTCAGCCATCTGCAAGTTAAACCATTACACTAACTGCCTGGATCGCTGTTTTTTATTGTCCACGCCCTTTTACTTTTCTGCTTTTAGACGCGCACCCTCATTTGATTACATATACACAAGTCCAAACCGTTCACCCGTTGCTAAAAAAGCCACTACCAAAACAACCACACATTCGGGCATGATGGCGAGCGATGGCCCACACACGGATAGCGGCGCCAATGTAAGATGGTCGTCTCGTCTCCGGATAAAATTGCCGCAGCCCAGGCCGATTGCCCAAAGCCTGTCGTGGCCGACGTTCCCAGCGAATTGCGGCCCGACGCACCAGAGCAGCCTTATGAGCAGAAAATGTTACAGAAATCAGTATGACCGAGATCATCAGCACTGCGAAGACAAACGGCCACCCAGCACCAACAGAGACACACCATTCGATAGCGAGGAACCGTCTCCTAAGCGCATGCGCAAATGGAAGATCAGCCGGAGAAATCCGAACAACTGGAGCAGCAATGGGTGCCCATGGATACCGACGATCAACCTGCTGATCCCACTCTGGCAGTCACTGTGTCTGACACACTACCATTGCCTTTTGCTTTGGAGCCCTCAGAGCCAGTTGCACCCGCACCCGCTCCCGTTCTGGTCGAAGTTGCAGCTCCCCTACGGTCGCCATTTCAGATCAATTCCAGAGGCAGCGACAGAGCCAGTGCTGGCACCAGCTCCCGAGCCGGAAGTAGCACCTGTACTTGCACCGCATCAGAGGTAGTGCCTTCTCTAAACCAAAGCCAGCTCCACTGTAGACCCAGTACTGGGATCTGTACCAGCTTCGGTTTCAGAGCCAGCTCTGCAAGTAGAGTCGGCCCCTGTAGTTGTGTCAGCCCCGGTTTCAGAGCCAAAACAGAGCCAATCTCAGTCTCGGTCCCCCTCCCAGTTCAAGTATACACCCCAGCATCGGCACTGGCGCCGGCGCAAGAACAAGCCATGTCGCCTCCCTCAGCCTTCACACCAATGCATGTATCCAAGTCGACTTGGAAATAACACCAGCGGCGGCAGCTCGCGCGCGGAGATCATGCAGACCGTGTCTATCATGACCAAGGAGCAGCACAAGTACTGCACAGCCATGATCCGCGCCCTTAAAAGGCACCGCGACGCAGGCCCGTTTCTCAACCCGGTTGATATCGTCGCGCTCAATATTCCCGACTACCCGACGATCGTCACATTCCCCATGGATCTGGGCACGATCGAAAAGAAGCTAAAGTTCCGGCAATACCAAGATACTCAAGCGTTCTGCGACGACCTGCGGCTAATGTTCAACAACTGCTACATTTATAACGGCCGCGAGTCGTCGTCGGCAACATGGCCGCCAATCTTGAGACCATGTTTGAAAGCCAGCTCAAGAAGATGCCTACTGGCATCGACACTGCCCTCGCGGAGCACAACCGGCGAGCGATGCTAGAGGCGGGCTCTCGCACACCAAACTCTGCCTCGGCTATCCGGCCGAAGCGCGACGCGCACCCACCACCCAGCCGCGATCTGCCCAACATGCAGAGGAAGAAGTCGCGTACCGCCGATCCACAGCTAAAGTTCTGTCTCAATATGGTCAAGGAGTTTTTGAAGAAGGCCAACTTCAATATCACCTACCCGTTCCTCGAGCCTGTCGATCCGGTCGCGATGAACTGCCCCGATTACTTTTCGGTAATCACAGAGCCCATGGATTTGTCAACCATAAAGTCCAAGCTCGAGGGCGAAATGTACGCCAGCCCGCTGGAGTTTGAGTCGGACATGCGGCTGATGCTGCGCAACTGCTACGCATACAACCCGCCGGCCATCCAGTTCACGAGGCTGGCCGCGCCCTGGAGGCACGCTTTGATTCCAATGGACCGAGCTCCCCTCATTCGGCTCCAGCCAGTCGCCTGCTTCGTACTCGGGCGGTGCGGTTCTCTCACACTCGCCCACTGTAGGCGGCGAAGGGAATTTGACAAGCATGTCTATGGTGTTGACGATGACATTGACGTTGATGCCGCCAGCCAGGCCTCGCATGTCGACGAGATCCGCGACCTAGAGATGAAGGTGCAGAACATGGCACGCCAGATTGAGGAGCTCCGGCGCGTCGACAGCACTGGACGCCACCGCAGCACACCCCGTCGCCCGAGCGTGAGCTCTGCCAGGTCAACCACCCGATCCCCACCACCGATGTCGGCATCAGTCAACCAGACGCACCACCATCCGGGCTCTGCCAATGCCTCACCAATATACGCCACGTCGCCACCGGTGCACTCGCCCATGTCGCCCATGCCGACCACCAGGGGCAGGGGTCGCGGCCGCGGCCGCGGCCGTGGATCGCGCGGCGGAGCTGCTGCCATGGCCCGCGAAGACTTTGACGCTGGTGCATTCGGGTCACACACACCGACCGGCTCAGGTCGGGGGCGCGGGCGCCGTCGCCGTGGCAGCATCGAGTCTCTCGAGCTAACCATTGAGCAGAAGCGTGCGCTCAGCTCGCGCATTGAGGACCTGGACTCCAACAGGCTGCGCGTGGCGCTGATGATCATCAAATCGGCGTACCCCGATCTCAACGAGGAGGAGGATGAGATCGAGTTGGATATCGACTCGCTCGACCACTTCACTCTGCGCAAGCTGTACGAGTATGTGGTCCTAGACCGCGAGGAGGCGGCCAGCGAGGCCGTCCAGCGCAACAACTCACAGCACGCTGCAAAAAAGGCCCAAGCGGCTGCAGCCGCCGATCCTGTGCAGCCTTCAGCATACCCAAGCCCGAAGAGGCCGAGCAGCACCGCATGAGCCAGCTGGACGAGAAGCTGAAGCGTTTGGACTCTTCGAAGCCAGCCCACAAGCACGGTAAGTTTTTTCTTCCATTCAGCACTGATGGAAAGTGTGCCTGGCCTCCAAGATGTGAGGTCCATCAAACAGCTTGCCTTGTACTGATTCACATACCCATTCTTTTGAACTGTTTTTATACTAAGCATTTTAGGAAATTCGGGTCGCGCCAAGGGATCGAATATCGACTTGAGCTCTAGCGGGGAAAGCGGATCGTCGGATACCGAGGACTCAGGTGATCATTCTGACTAAGGCATTTGCCTTGCATGTGTGTTTGTGTGTGTTTTGCTCGCTTTTGTTCTCTCGCTTCCTCTGTAAAAAAACTACATTCTCCTCTCCAGCCTCTCGCATATATATCCACCCGTCATTTTTCTTTATCTCTCCTTTTATACTTTCTTGTCTCTTCTCTTATATTTTATTTTCGCCGACGACTCTCATCGCACGGCGTATTCGCATTCAGTTATCCTTTCCTCTTTTTCATTTATTGCGTTCTTCGGTCTACTTTGATGCGGTTGCCCAACAGGCTCATCTGCTGTAATAGGTTGGTGAGTGACCGAGTATGTGAATATTGGTTCTGACTCTTGGCGCCAGTACTGTCTTTTTTATTCGAGAAGAGCTTGCATTTGCTCACCGTTGGATATGAGTGCGAGTACGTAGTGTCTACAGATGAGGCGATTGAACAAATTGTGAACATATGCATGCCCGCCTGTCTGATGAATTGATCCGCTGTCTAGTCCATGCTGGTTGAGCGTCGCTGCTGCCACTTGTTATTCTGTGCGCCTTAACCACCTTTCCTTCACCCCATGCCGCAACTGCTCGCTGGTCTCTAACGAGAGAGAAGCAGCAGCAGCAGCAGAAAGTGCCGATGCAAGTCGGTGAGTGATTTGTGATCTCCCTTGCGCTTGACTGAAGCACGTGCAGCGTGATTTTTCAGCCAACACAATACAACACAGTACAGTACGCAGGGGTGTTTCTTCCATGGCGCGCAGGCATGAGTGACGTATAGATGCTGACGAGGTTGCACTCGATCCGATCGATTACCATAAAATTATCAATTCCCCTGTCTGTGCTGCCCGCTGTAAATCCTTGGCATCAGTCCACCTTTTTTTAATATTTAGCTACAACTTTTTCATTTTCTAGCGCGAATGTATTATATCGCTTTTATATCCTTTTCCCATGATATTTCCTATATTTCTCATTTTTATCTCCTCAGTGGTCTACGTGTCTGTTTTTTCTCTGTTTTCTTGACAGATGTGAGAAGCGAGAGATGGGTATATAATAAGCAATGAACGGGTTGTCACTGTTATTATGGACAATACAGCGAGATGACATGACACGGTAAACGCACACGTGTTTATCCGTTCATCTGAGCTTAATTGGATGTACACTTGCAGTTTTATCAACCTCGTTTCTTTCAACTCGCAGAAAACTAAACTCGAATGAAAGGTTTTAAACCCACTCTGTGTATATCCAATTTTTTTTCCACGCACGCATTTTGTAGCTCTCAAACGCACCATGCGCAAAATTCTCAAGCAGAACGCGCGCGCCGGCAGCATGGTGGGGGTTGGGCGCGACGCCCCCTTGGTGCAAGCGGGCGTGCGGCGGCACAACTCTGTTTCCCGCGAGGGCAGTCGGCGGAGCAGCACCTCGCGGCCGCCCACCGACATTCTGGCCCATCTGCAGGAGCTCAAGGCCAAGAGCGCCAGGTGCTCAGCCGCGGCACGCGCGACTCGCTCTCCGCGACAGGCAGCAGCGCTGGCGCAAACAACCAGCCCCTGACTGCCGAAGAAGAGAAGAGCAGAAAGGAGCGGTTGGCCAGAGACGAGCGAATGGCACTGCAGTACCGCGAACAACTCAAGTCCCGACTTCAGGATATCAATGCCTCTGCGATTGATCTGGGGTCGCAAAAGGCCACAATGGCGCGGTTTGAGCGGCAGATGCTTGGATCCAGCTCGCCTCGGGAGATGGAGCAGCTGGAGCTCGAGCGAATCAACGGCGTCAGGTCGCTGATCGGACTCCCCGCGCTCGCTCCTCCACCTACACTGGGCAATGCTGGCGGCGGCAGCGGCGGCGGCGTACGCCAGTCAAGGCCCGGCACGCCGATGTACGTGGGTTCTTCACCCTCGAACATCCCGTCTCCATACCACTACCCATCCGCTCCATCACACGCGTCTGCGGGCAAGCCGAGTGCTAGGCCGCACCGCTACCAACATGATCGCTCCTCCAGTTTTGGCGAGCATCAGGCCACTGGTGCATTCGGTGGACATAACTCGCGGCCTCAGGTGGCAGGCTCCCACCATGGCCCGTCTGCATACACGCCTGGCAGGGACGGCAGGGCGAACCAGCGCCAAGAGTTTGCTTCTGGCAGGGCCGACAGCGGCAGGGGCATGCGCCACATGGCCAACACGCCGACGAGGATGACGACGAAGTGCAGGACATGGACTTGGGCATGGAGGACGGCGAGCTGTCCGAGGAAGGCGAACTGGCAGAGTAGGGTTACAATATCAACATGTTTTTGCATCTGTCCCAGTCTAACCTTGGTACTTTGCTCCTTTTAATGACAATTAGGGAGTTTATGTTAAAACGCAAATATTAAATTATTAGTGTGAGAGAATATCGAGTATCGAGGGTTACGGTTGAGAATAAAAAGCAATGAGGGTGGGCCCAGTCTAGTTGCTGCGCTTGGTCAGATCAATGGTGTAAGTGTCTTTCTGACCGTCCAGGTGCGTTCTGATCAGCGACGGGTGCATCTGGATCGCAACGGTGCACGACAAAGTCTGGACCTGGACTTCGCGAGCCAAGTCGTATCTCCGGCGGGTTGCGCGCGCGTTGTGATTTATTGATTTGCGCAAACGCGGCGGACTCAGCGCCGCTGGCAGCTGCTGGCGATCGGCTCTGCTCAGATCGGCCGTTTCTGTGATTGGGCTGGAGACGACTATTGGAGGGTGCGGCTGGTGCAGGCTGCTGCCGCTGCCGCTGCCGCCAGCCATAGTTGAAGAGCGCAAACGGCCGGCACGCGCACTGCCATGAAGTGCGGCGGCCGCGAACATGGGCATCACCGGCGGGGGGACTGCATCGGCGCCGCTAGTGCGTCGTCTCCTCCTGGTGTCTGCCGATCCGCTGGCCCAGGAAGCGGCGTGGGGGTGACAGCGCTCTGGAGATGTACGGGCTTGGCGACGTCAGCTGGCTCTGGGCGGGCGGGAAGGGCGTCACTTCGCTCAGGACAAGGTCGCACGCGGGAGTCCCCGGCGCGCTGATTATCAGCTCGATGCGCAGCTGCCACACATTGGACACAATGGCGACGCAAAGCTGGAGGCTGACGACGGCGACGTTGCAAGCGAGAACCCCAGCGTGCTGTTTCCGCGACAAAACCCGTGGTGTTCGGCAAAAATCTTGCGGGTCAGCGCCTCGGTTTGGCCCGGCTCGTAGCTGGCGAACTGGCCGCCAATGGCCTCGACGCTCTCTAGCCAGATACTGATGTGATACACGTTGATCGAGCCGCTGTACAGATTGACTTTTCCCGAGACCATGTCGCCCAGCTGGTACGCCCGCTTGGGCAGCCACACGGACGCCAGCGCGCGCTCGTCCTGCGATAGCGAAAAAGACACTGGCGCGCGTCTGCCGCAGATCGCCTGGATGTTGGCCTTGGACGCCTCGGCGCCGACCGCCGCGCGCTCAGCATTGGCGCCCAATTCGATAGATGGCACGCTGCGAGTGTCGGCCAACATGTCACTGTCGATACCCTGCAGCAGCGACCGCAGAAACTCGGATCCTGCTAGCTGCTCGTAGATCCTGTCCAGACCGCCAGACAACAGCCTGTGCGTGCCCGCACCGCCGGGACTACCCATGCTGGCTGAGCTCGCGCGCGACATGTCGGCGCTGGCATGAACGAGGGCGATGCATTGCGCGGCGTCATCACCGAGGTGGACTCTTGGAATGTCAGACGCGAGCTGTTTGGCGGCATGTGGATCGGCCGCTCGAACGAGAATGTGGTGGCACTGCCGCTCGTGCGGACGTGGGCTAGCACTCGGAAGGGGATGCGAGCGACGTAGGAGCTGGATTCGAGCATGCTGCGCTTGGCGACAATGACCAAGTCGTAGGTTATGCAGGCGGCGCGGCCGCGAAACGAGGGCGGCAGCGACTCCGGCAGCTGTACCTTTAACGAATACGTCTGCGAGTCGCCCGGCGCCAGCGCGAGCTCGCTGAAAAGAACCGTGGGCGACGAGATCAGGATGGGAAGCGACTTTTGCGTGCGGCTGCTGGAGTGGCCCGCGCCGTTGGCGGGCGCCCAGCCGCCCAGACCTCCGCCGATCGGTGGATCCCGTTTGCCCTTTCCCAGCGTAGAGTCCGTGCCCCTGTGCGTCATCAGCAGGTCCAGCTGGTCGGGCTTGATATACGCCGTTGAGAGCGCAAGGCTTCCGGACGCCTCGACAAAGCCTATTGCCACCGCTCAATGCCAAAGTCTTCTTCGGATAGTGTCCCGGCGCGCGTGCCCTTTCGGGACGGCGGGTTGGACCCTCCGGCCAAGTTTCTCCAGAGACTGCTCAGCAGCCCGCTGCTTCCTGTCTCGCTAGGCGGGCCCTCATTGGGCGTGCTGCAAGTCGGCTTGCGTGATGAAAACACCCCCAGTTGCTGTTGCTGCTGCTGCTGGGGCTTTGGGCCAAAGGGGAGCCATGACGACATGGTCGTTGTGGGCGTGCTCAGCACAGAGGATGTGCTCGGCCGCGACTGGTGCCTGATGTTGGTGGTCTGAATCGTCAAACCCGCGTCGCGCCCACTTTGCACGCTCGACTGGTCCCTTGAAGCCGCCGGTGATTTGTCGCTTTGGTTCAACCATTGCTCGTCGTATGCGCCGGAAGAGCCGCGGTATGCCCTTGGTTCATCCAAGCGCAATGTTGGGTTGTTCAGGTACGCTGATCCTTCGTCGAGCGACGGAAACACCGCCAGCCCAGATCGTTTGTACTGCTGGCCTGCAGCGAGCCTGCGCCGGGGCCGTCGCCGCGCTCGCTCGCCCGGCTTGTCCGCTTTGCGTCGCCGCCACTGCTCGACCCCCTGTCCGGCCTGTACAGCAGACTGGGTGGCCTGGATGCAATGTCTCTCGCGCCCACCGCCGTGCTGTATCTCCGAATGCCGTTTATCAGCGGTGGCAAGGGCGGGGTGCCAGAGTGCTCGGAGCTGTCGTCCAAGCTGGGGAACATGGCGCTGCTGCCACTGGACTGCCTGCAATGCATAGCCGTATCGCCGGACACCCCGAATTGCACTATTGTCCTGCTCGTTGTTTTGCGCGATGCAAGCGAGAAGACCCACCGGTGGTCGGGTTTGATGCGGGGCCGCCTGTTGCCATGAAAGGCAGCCCCGTCACTGCCCGCGATATCGCCATTTCGTTCGATGGGGTGCGGCTGTGGCCCGCCGTAGCGAGCCCCTGTGTGGAGCACTCATTGGTGAACCGAATGTGACACTCGAGTGTGTCTCCGGCAAAGTAAATGCCCTGCTTTTCGAATGTAGCAGCTATTGTTAGTCCCATCTGAATGCGCTAAATGCCTTCGAGTCGCCAGGCCGACAGCTGGGCCAGACAGGTCGCGAGAGTAGAAAGGATAATGATTATTTACAAGCGCCGTGTATTGTCTAACAAAGAAGGTCGAGAAAGCGATGGCTACGAGCTGCGAACAGCGCCAAGTTGAAAGTTCAAAGCTGAAAGTCGAAAGTCGTGCTGTTGCGGAATGCGGAATGGGAGGCGTGTGTGCGTGCGTGCAAATGCGAAAAATTAAATGCCGAAATGAAGGACCACCCGCTCGGCCAAAAAAATAAAATAAAAAATAAAAAAGTGTGAATAAAGCACGTTTCAATATCACGGCTGCCACTATGTATACAAAAAATACAAAAAAATCTGAGAAAAAAGGGGAGGGCCACTCTCAACAAAGGGTGCTGCTGTTTTCATTCAACTTTGACCTGGCCGCCGACGGACCTTGTCAAAGAGCAGCGCTGCGTCGTCTTCATGTCGACTATTTTAAATGTATATTTCCATGCTGAAAAAAAAGCAAGTTCTATCAACCGCTGTGTTCTGCTGATTGGCAAACCTATTCCTTGTCCTCGTTATTGCCCTCATCATTCTCGCTGTCATTGCCCTCGTCCTCGCTGTCAGTATATTCAAAGTTGTCGTTCTCGTCGTCGCTATCGGCAGGCTCAGGGACTTCGGAGATCTTCATGTCGCCTCGGTTGATCTTCCGCATATAGGATCTCCGCTGGCGCTCGCGCATGCCACCCAGCTTCCGCTCCAACTCCTGTTCCTCCTTCTGGATATCCTGGGGGGTCTTTGCGTTGATGCCCTCGATAATGTTCTTATTTTCCAAGCACTTGGCGCACACAACCCTCTCCCTCGCACATCCGTCGCAGACAACGTGGTATGCCTTTGTGATCTTCTTCTGCTGGCACCATACGCACTTCTTGGCGACCGACAGGGGCTTGTACTTGCGGTACTGCTTTCTCCACAGGATCTGGTCAGTGCAGCGCTTGCACAGGCCGTCGACGGGCAGTGCAAGAATGGTTTTTGTTGTTTTGGACCCCCTGTTGTGCGTGTACGCAAAGGCGTTCTGGTACTTTTGTGCGCCCTTTACGGCTCCAGAGCCGCGCGTTGACATCTTCTCAGGCATGGTTGATTAATAATGTATTGGATGATGTGTAGCGTATATGCTGACAGCTTGTCTGAAAAAAAGGTATATAAAAAGTAGAGCAAGAGCAAGAACAAATGCGATTACAACGACATCGACTCTGGCAAGAGTATATGGTTTTGTCTACTAGGTTGAGACGAGACAAGTGCTAGATGCCCGTGCCCTTAAAAAAAAGTGGCAAAAAATTGAGAAAAAAAAGCGCGTAATCCACTGATCGCGGCCAACTGATCTGTGGGCTCGCCATAAACTTTTTTCTTTTCGCTCAAATTTCTAGTTATGCTGTTGCTGTGCAGGCTTGAAAAAAATAGTAGTTATTTAGTACAACTTTCACCCTCTTTGTACTCTTGCAAATTCCACATTCCTCTGGTTTCTTGGTTTATTTTTTTCCTGTTCATAGTACTTTTATTTGCGCTAATACCAGTATACGACATACGACATACGACATACACACGCATTCAAACTCGCTCTCGTACACATACACATATATAAACATCACAAACAGCCAAATACCGTTCTCCATCGAAAAATGGTAAGTCAGAACATAGGCTCAAGTAGATAGACCGCGCTGGTACAAACTGTGTGCTCCTCCCCCCCTTTATTTATGCCTGGTCATTATATAACTAAACCAAATAACCAAGCAATGCTTTTCTATTATCTTCCTGCTACCATGCCTGTAGATCCGCAGAGAGACCAGATTGAGGCGCGAGTTCCTATACAAAAAGTCGCTCGAGTTGCAGGAGCGGCAGACATTCGAAAAGAAGCAGAAGCTGAAGGAGGCACTGCGTGATGGCAAGCCGATTCCGACGGAGCTGCAGAATGAGGCTGAGGAGCTCAACCGGGCGTTGAAGCTGGACGAGGCGCAGGAGAGCACGATATCGACGCAGGACGACGAGTACGCGCGCGCAGGTGTCTTTGATCCCAAGGTAGTGGTGACAACGTCCCGCGACCCGAGCTCGCGGCTGCAGCAGTTTGCCAAGGAGATGCGGCTGGTGATCCCCAACTCGCAGCGTATCAACCGCGGTAACTACGTTATCAACGAGATCGTCGATACATGCAAGGCTAACGAGATCACGGATCTGGTCATTGTGCATGAGACCCGCGGACAGCCCGACGGCCTGATCATCAGCCACTTCCCGTATGGGCCGACGGTGCACTTTACGCTGTACAATGTGGTGTTGCGCCACGACATCAAGGACCAGGGCAATATTTCGGAGGCGTACCCGCACTTGCTCTTTGAGAATTTTAGTTCTAACCTCGGCGGGCGCATCAAGAGCGTGCTCAAGTTCCTGTTCCCTGTGCCCAAGCTCGACTCGAAGCGCGTAATGACCTTTGCTAATGATAGCGATTTCATCTCGTTCCGCCACCACGTATACGCCAAGAGTGGCCACAACGAGGTTCAGCTGGCTGAGGTTGGCCCGCGCTTTGAGATGCGGCCATACGAAATCCGCCTGGGCACGGTCGACATGCCCGACGCTGACAAGGAGTGGGTGCTGCGGACGTACCAGAGGACGTCACGCAAGAGGGATCTTCTCTAATATGCAGGCTCTATGCGGCGATGTGACAAAATTTCAGATCGGATCTGAACCTGAACACAACATAAAACAGAACAGATACCAAAAATATACTTTTATATTTATAAACTTTTTTAAACCTAACAAACAAACATACTGGGCTATTTCTTGCTGCCAATGACATCCTCAGGGTTGGTCACCCACTTTGGCAGCGAGTTGCCCTTGGGCAGGCCCAGCTGGAAATAGCGGTCGAGCAGTGCCTTGAACATGAGGCCACCGAGTACAAACACAAAAGTTGCCGAGCACGCATCGCTGGGGCTGCCCTCGGGAAGGCCCCTCTGCGTGAGACTGTGGAACACCTTCAGCGGCTCAAACGGCAGCCTTCCAATAGACTTTCCGCTGTACAGCCAGTTTATCAAGTACACAGAGCCGAGCTGAATGATGGCAACAACAAACATGTTGCGCATCTGCAGGCTGCTGGCCTTGCTGCGCGCGGCAGACAGCTGCGCCTCGATGCTCTCAATGCGGCGCTGGCGGTTCTTGCCATTACCGGACGTCGAGCTCTTTTCCTCCTCGAGCTTCAGCTCGCTCTGCTGCACCTTCTGTTTGACCTGCTGGAACTGCTCGGTGCGGTAAACGAGAAGGTATGAAATTGCCTCCGAGGTGGCACTGGCGACCAGGCTCAGTGCAAGTACAGCCGCGAAATCAGACATTGTGGAATGGTTTTGGAAAAATAAATAAGTGTGCGGAGCAAAATTTAAACAACAGAAAGCAAGACGAGTAGCGGATGAGACAGACGCGACAAGAGGAAGAAATAAAGCTAAAAAAGGAAAATTCAGGAATGCACAAAAAGAAGGTAGGAAACAGTTATCTGAAGTTCGAAACGACGTAAAGCTGGCAAATGGCAGAAAATTCACACGCACGTGGATCGAGGCTCCCGCGATGGCCTTACTGCTGGATCGGCATAAAGTTTCCGGCGATGGCCAGCGGGATCTTGTACTTGTCACGGCGCAGGGTGAAGGAGAAGCAGCAGCGCACGGGGTTGCTGGGCTGCGACGGCGACGGCTGGTCCGAGTGCGCGGCAGCGGCAGCGGACCTGCGGCCAAAGCCAGAACCGGAACCGGAGCTGGGCGCGATGCGTTTGGCAGCAGAGTTGGTGCGCACCATGGAGCGAATCGAGGCAGCGGTCTGCAGCACACAGGTGGTCAGGACAGCCTTCTGCGTGGCGTCAAAGGCATCTCACCGTATTTCTCCCAGTAGTTGACGGTCGACGTCTCGGACATCAACTCGTATATGCACACGCGGCCTTCGTGGAAGTACGACAATGGAACGCCAACCAGGTCGGCGAACTCGCGGTTGGCCTTGTAAATCTCGCCGGTGCGGCGCCACAGCACGCCGGCACGCCGAACGAGTTGAAGACATTGTCATAGTCCAGCAGCAGCCGCTCAAAGCCCTCCTCGACCAGCAGCAGGTCGATGTCGGTCAATGCCTGCGCGATCGACCGGAACGTCGGGCGGAAAGTGTTGAGCACCTCGAATATGCGGATGATGCTGCTGCGGCTGATGTTCGTCTCCATGAACCGCTGCATGCGCACGTACCCGTTGGCGTACTTATACGGCTTCAAGATCCGGCCTCGTACTTGGCGTTTATGATCTGCCGCAGCTTGTCCTCGGACGTGCCGTCGTTTGGGTCCGCCGCTGTAAGCAGGAACCGCTCGGTCTGCGTGACGCCCTCGCCGGTGCCGTTGTCCATCATCTGCGAAATCGTCGGCAGGCTGTGCGACCGCAGCTGTGCATGAGCGTGCGCCTGCACCTGGGCTTGAGCCTGCGCCTGTGCGTGTGCGTGCGCCTGAGCCTGAGCTTGGACCTGTGCCTGCACCTGCGCCTGGAGCTGAGCCTGGAGCTGCGCCTGCGCCTGCACGTGCATGTGTGCCTGCTGGAACTGGCTGAACTGATGTGCCGAGTTGCTTGCCGGCAGCTTACTCGGCGCAGTGGATTCGGCCACCGGCGAGCCGGCGCCTGGCTGGCTCGGCGGCCCGGTCGGAGAGCTGCTCGGCGGATTGCTCAGCCGGAGATCTGGGTCAAATCGCTCGCCATTGCGCATGCCACGCTGCAGGCTTTCAAGGAACTCGTTCAGCGCCGAGAACTCGTTGCTGGCGACGTCGTTGCCGAACAGCAGCAGCGAGTTACTGTCGAACCGCGTGCCGGCATATGGACGCCCGCCGCTTGCGTCTCCCAGGGCCCTTGTCGCTTCGCCCGAAGTCCCACTCAGGCTTGCCTGCAGCGTGACCTGCGGGAGCGAGCCGCCGTTAACTGCGCCAGCGCTGGTGCTGTTGCTTCTGGCTGAGAGCATCGGCAGTGCTGTGGGCGCGACTGATGGTATCGGAAGGCTGTGCGCCGTGGTGCTCGCGCCATTGCTCAAGTACGGCTGAGACATGCTGATGCTCGGGATGCTCAATGGCATGTTTGTGTGCGACGCTATTGTGCCGGACAAAGCGGGCAGCCTCAGCCCAGAATCTGAACTTGTCGTCTGCTGCAGGGCTGGCTCTCTGTTGATAATAGCACTACTGGAATCTCGGCGGCCGCCGCCGCCGTTGGTGCTGCCGTTGCCGTTGCCGTTGGCGTTTTCATTGTTGTCATCATTAATGCTGCTATTTTTGTTGTCGTTGTTATTGCTGCCACTGTCGCTGCTGGTGATGGCGGCAACAGCAGCGACGGGGCCCGCAGGTGCAATTGGCACTGCTTCAGTGTCTCTCTTTGGCAGCCGCGACTTTCCCTCTCTGGCAGTCTTTTTGGCGCCTTTGTATACTTCGCTGCTCTCTGCTGTGATATCCTTGTCCCGGCACATGTGCGGTATATTCCGCCTGATGCACCGCTGGCATGGCCGCTTGTCGTCGCACGACATATGAGAGCGCTGGCAGAACACGCATGCTATATCGGTTGTGTTGTAAAATGACAAGGCAGCCCACTGACGAGGACTTTTTAGTGGTGTGATTAGTTAAGTAATTTACAAACAAAAGGCCGAGCAAGTTTGATACGCAACGCATACAACAACTCGGGCAATACAATCGTCTCCCCCGGGGTTTATTAAAGTGAACTATAGAACCCTCGCTCCATTGTTGCAGGGGGGGTGTACTTTCATCGCCGCAGTAAGCAGATTGAAGAAAGGTCTGTGCGATTCATCAAGCCACACCTCAGCAGAACCAATTGTCGACCCAGAACAAAGGCTCATATCGCCCGGCTACTGCAATTGTACTCCCACGCGCGCACATACGCTACCTGCTGACTCGACACGCATTGTAGCATGTGGACAATGAGCGCAGGTGCGCAGGTGCGCAGTTCAGCTGCTCTGATGTACCCATCGCTGTCGCTGCCCGTCCTTACTATTGGCCTGGCCTGCACTGGCCGTGTCCGTATCCATGCGCGACAAAGCTGGCATTCGAGCTCGCGCGGCGTACAGGGGCAGAAATGAAAAACATACCTTTGTTTACTTTTTGCCGTTTGGCACGGCTGGCGTCTTCGCTATTTGTCTTCTTCTTGGTCTTTGGCTTGGATTTGGCCTTTGCGCCGGCCTCGGCCCGGCGTGCTGCTTCTGCAGTGGCGTTTCGCTCATCGGGAGAGAAAAGGGGATATGAGGAGAGGAGAGAAAAAATGAAAGGATGGATAGATAGTCGGTTATAACAGCGGCGGATAATAATTGTGAATGCCGATAATAATGATAATAATGATAGGTGCGGTTATCTATTTAGTGGTTCGACTCTGGTCGCAAAGTGAAAGAAAAATTACAAAGATGCAAGGAGCAAAGGGAAGGTAAAAAAATGAAAGTGCAAGATAAAGCAAGTGAGGGGAGGAAAGGAAAGCCAGTGAAGCCAAAAACCTGTGCGAAATGTTTGCTGGCCTGCACATTTTACAACCGCTTTTGGCCGAAAATTGGCACATGCCAGCAAAACTGACCTCCTGCCTGACCCTGCAGCCCGACTTGGATTTCTTCAGTGGCATCTGCGCCCCTGTGCCCAACTCTGCCTGTTCTGCCGATGCTGCTACACACCACTGCCACCAAGCAAAACCCAAAAGCCAGCAAAAGCTACCCCGGCCAACGCACATTATACATTGCACACTCTCTCGCACACAGACAATATACTCCACTACAATACCACCACCAACATTATCTTGCTGCTTGCTGCATCCCACGCGTTTGCTGAAGTCTAAGCCAAGAGTCGTCCGTCACATGTAAAATAAAATGGACAAGCCGCTCCCAGCCTGCACTGAGAACCATCGAATAAATGAAGGGGAACGCCCGCAACTCCTCCCCTCTTTACGCTCTGAAAAGGGATCTGGAACCACTCTGAACCTATATGTCGCTGCATGTGAGGTTTTGGGCCAGCTCGTCCATCTTTTACTGAGGGATTTACATCGCCGATTGCTAATTTTCACCTACAAATGCGTAAAAAGTAAATAGGAAATGCAAGGCAAACGACTCTGCGGCTCGAGCCGAAATTGCATTTAATCAAGCATCAAGCAGGCGAAAATTCTTTCACTGAGCGCTCGAAATTAGAAATTGAAAATTAAAAATTAACCCACCTACCAAAACCACACCACAGCACAAGTAGCAGCAAAAAAAACCATTAGTTCTATATTCACTCTCGCTCTTTGATTTTTTATATCATATTTGCACCCTGTGTTTATTTAAATAAGCTTATACAAAAAAGGAATTGCTGTGCTTGAACCATGAGACTCGACGCCAAGGCACTGCGCTACATGAGCAATGATGACTTCCGAGTCCTCACTGCGATAGAAATCGGCTCTCGCAACCACGACATTGTCCCCGCGCCCGTCATCGCCCAGCTATCGCACCTGCGCGGCGGCGGTGCCAACAAACATATTAGCGACCTGGTGAAGCGCAAGCTTATTGCCACAGAGACAAACTCAAAGTACATTGGGTACAAGCTGATTTACGCCGGGTATGACTACCTGGCCCTGCGCACATTCAGCAAGCGCGGCACAGTAACCTCGGTGGGAAACCAGATTGGCGTTGGCAAGGAGGCCGATATCTTTGTCGTTGCGGGCGAGGACCAGAAGGAGGTTGTGCTCAAGCTGCATAGGCTGGGTCGCCAGTCCTTCCGCAACGTCAAGCTGAAGCGCGACTACTTCCGCCAGGACCAGTCGCCCTCATGGATGTACATGTCGCGTCTGTCTGCCATGAAGGAGTATGCCTTCATGAAGGTCTTGCACGAGCACAACTTCCCTGTGCCGACCCCGGTGACCAGAACCGCCACTGCGTCGTGATGGAGTTTGTCGAGGCATTCCCGCTGCGCCAGATCAGCAGCGTTGGCGAGCCCGGAAGGCTTTACTCGACCCTGATGGACCTAATTGTCCGACTGGCCAAGTATGGCCTGATCCACGGCGACTTTAACGAATTTAACATTCTGCTCGGGGACGACGGCGTCCCAATCCTCATTGACTTCCCGCAGATGGTCTCCACCTCCCATTACAACGCCGAGTTCTACTTCAATCGCGACGTCAACTGCATTCGTACCTACTTCAAGCGCCGCTACAACTATGAGAGTGCCCTTTATCCCAAGTTCGGCCTCGACTCCAACAAGGAGTTTGATCTGGACGTGCAGGTTGCCGCGAGCGGTTTCACCAAGAAGGACCAAGTGCAGCTGGAGACCCTGATGACCGAGTTTGGTTTGGATGGCTGCGACGAAGAGCAGCCCTGCGACGAAGAGTTTGTGTACAGTGACGATGAGAACAACGACAGCGAGGAGGATTGTGCTGAGGCTAAGGGCGCAAACACGGACGATAACATTGACGACGAGGACTATGACGACGAGGACTACATCATCGAACAGGACCGGCTAGGCAACACGATCAGACGGAAACGCACGGAAGCCGATGCACAGTAACTGTTTTTTGCGCTGTTATTAAATATTAATATTTTTATTTCTCTGCAACATAGATGAAAAACCCAACTCATTATTTGATCACTCGTGCTTCACCTTGCCAGAGTCCATCACCACATCCTCGTTCGCTCGCGACTTGGTGCCATCAGCATTGGCTAGTTCCTCGTCCTCGAACACCTCGCCGTCTCGGGCTCCTCGCCATCCTCCATCTCGTCCGTAGTGGCATCCCCGTTGCTTGCCTTGGCGCTCAGCTGCTGCCTCTTTCCAGCGACCGGCGAAGAAGAGCTCTGGCGACCACGTTTCCGCGGCCCAGAGTGAATGTTGCCACTGGGCTTATCGCCGCCGTTGACTGCAGCGCTTCCGCCGATGGAGCTGCTGGCGACAGCATCTCCGAATGCTATCACGTTGTCACCAAGGTTGTTGGGCGACTTCGATTGGCCCTGCACCACAGATGAGACCACTGCGTCTCCAGAGTTCATGGCTGTCAGTGGCCGCTTGCTGGGCACGAGTGCAGAAATGGCGCTGCCGACAGTGAAGTTGTAAGCAGCAGATGCGGGCACCAAAGCTGGCTGGTCATTTCCCACAACAGTGCTGTTTATCGCTGAGGGCGATACCCCGCCCGGGTTTCCGTTTCCCTCGGCCGGCACGTGGTCGACGCTGGCTGCCAAGGGCTCCGAGGAGACTTTCTCATCAGATACCTTGAGGGCAGTGGTGGTGGTAGTAGTAGTGACAAGCTCGTTGCTCGACAATGGGTCGCTGGGGCTGCCCATGGAAACGTCCCTGCTAAAATTGCCAGCGGAAGCAACAGGCTCATCTTGGTGCAGGTCCTGGCTCACTGATGTCACCACTGCCTCAGCACCAAACTTTTCGGACATCAATCCCGGCTGCGGCGACAGCAGCGACATTTGGGGACGAGATGTAAGCGTGGTGGCGACATTGCTCAGGCTCATCAGTGAGTTGATTGCTGAGTCCTCCTTGTCCTCGTCAGCCACAGCCAATGCCGAAGCAAGGCTGAGGGTCTCGCCGGATGACACCAGAGTCATTGCGCTGCTGGAACTGCTGCCCTTGGCTGCTGCTTCATCAGCAGCAAGCACCATTGCTGGGGCGCTGTTGGTGGACCCTAGCGACGGGACACTGCTGCCAGAGCCGTTAAACCCGCCGCTGCCACCGCCGCCGCTAAGCTGCACCGGGGGCAGCCTGATCGGCGCTGCTGTTGGTCCCGAGAGTGCTGGAGTCGACGAGGACGATGTGACAAAGTCAGATGCCGGTATGGGCGTCGTTATCTGGGGTAGATTGATGGCAGCCGCTGTCATCGTGGATGCAAGGGTCGGTGCGCCTGTCGCACTTATCGCGGTGGGGGCGGCCATTTTGTACGAGGCATATTGGGCATCGGCCATGGCTACATCGCTGTCCCGATCACCGCTGAATGATACGCGTGTCTCTGCGCGCACAGAAGTGGACTGTTTCCCGGAGGAGGGGTAACACTGTTTCCGATCTTGGCTGAGCCATTCCTGCTGTAGGGCAGCCTCTGGGCAATGTTGTTGCTTGGGCTGCTATCGTCAGCCAAGTACTCGCCTTGCCGGTCATCCTTCATCTTGCGCCGGGCGGCATCTGATAGATACGACTGCTGGTGGGGAAGTGACGGCGGGGCCTGTACGTGGGAGTTTGTGGGCATCGGGGTCTGCGACTGCGGCTGGTGCTGCTGTTGTTGCCTAAACCCCGGGCTTTGCAGTCGAGTGGGGCTACGGCTCGAATTGTGCGCATCCACCGCAGCAGACGGCGGTCCAGAATACGCAGTATAGCCATTTACAGGTGGCGGACCCTGTTGAAATGCCCACCGGAGATAGAGGCTGGCGTCTGATCCACAGCCGGTGTGGACTGCTGCTGCTGATGCCGGTGAGGGGGCTGCTGAGGTTGTTGCGGGGGCTGCATTGGCGACTGATTGCGCGAGGCCATGTGGACTCCTCGTTTCGGTAAGGCCCAGTCGATGGTGGCTTTTGCTGCGGCTGCTGTGCGTACGGCGCGGATGACTGAGGATGGCCAGGTGTAGAGTATGGACGCGTAGCCGGCGGTGCCTGTTGGGCCATTGATGTCGGCGGATAGGGAGCTCCAGGGTACGGAGCAGACCCGGGATACGAGCTTCCGCCGCCAGGTGGGGCTTGGTTAGGGTAGTGAGACTCCTGGGCCTGAGTTGGCGTGTCAGCGCCCGAGGATGCTCGGGACGCGGCATAGACTCGTAGCGTCCATACCCAGCGTCCTCTGGGTACTCAGGGCGCCCAGCAGGGGCTGGGCCTTGGTGATGGTGCTGAGGCCCCTTTGGCTGATGCGCAAGCTGTTGCTGCGGTTGGTGGTGCGGGTGCTGAGGATGCTGTTGCGGGTGCTGAGGATGCTGTTGCGGGTGTTGAGGATGTTGCTGCTGTGGCGGCGGCGGCATGGGGGCTCCGTGACCAGGGTGCTGCATGCCAAGAGGAATAGGGGCGTGACTGCGCTGCTGCTGCTGCTGTTGGTGCTGCTGCTGTTGCGACATGTCACTGGGGTGCGAACATGCTCTGGAGGCGGCGGTGGCAAAGCACTTCCCATTGCACCCGACATCGGCGGTGCTCCTAAGCTGCCTGGGGCACCCCCGGTAACTGAAGACTCGCCTGCCGGACCACCGGGAGCGTTGGGCTGGCCAGTAGCTGTCGGGCCAATAGAGGGATCAACTGGCGACGGCGGCGGCGGCCCTGATTGCGAAAGGCTTGTCTGTCCCGTGCTTTGTACGCGGCGCAGCAGGTCAAGGCGCTGCTCAATGACTGCGTTTGACCGGTCCAGCTCTGCAGCCCGCGTATAGGCATCGATGGCGTCGTTGACCTGATTGTTACAGGCTTCGTAAAGCGCGCCAAGATCGAACCAAACCTCGCTGAGGTATGGGTTGATGCGGATGGCACGGCTGTATGCATCTAAGGCATCACGGTACTGGTTGATCTGGTAATACAGCACACCAATTGAGCACCAGTAGTTTGCGTTGTTACCATCACGGTAGACTGCCTGCTGATAGGCCTCGTACGCCTTGTTGTACTGACGCTGGACCATGTAGCAGCGGCCAAGCAGGTACCACGTGTGCGCCTCGGCCTTGTCCTTGTCGACCTCGATGGCCCGCATGAGCAGCTGCACGGCAGCATCAATGTTGCTCAGCTCTGTGTTCGGCTGGAAGTAGAGTGATCCGAGCTGCTGAAGCACCTTGCCATGCAAAGGGTTCTCGCGCAGAACGCGCTCGTAGGCGTCTCTGGCCAAGACAAACTCCGAGTTGAGTTCGTGCACGTTTCCGATCTGGAACCATATGTCTGTCTCGGTCAGAGGCTTTGGCGGATCGCTGAGTATGCGATTGAAGCATTCGAGGCTCTGCGCGTACTTACCCTGGCACTTGTGTATGATGCCCAAGCGGAAGTATATTTCGGTGGCCTTGTCAAATCCGGGATCCATGTTCATGACCGCGTTGAATGCCTCCTCTGCGTGGTCGTAAGAGCCGTAGCGATCATACAGAATGCCGATTCCGTACCAGAGCTTAGGCTCCTTTGGGTTGGGTAGGTGGATGATCGCCTGCTGGTACGCCTGGTACGCCTTGGGCAGCTCGTCCAGCATGAGGTAGCAATTACCAATGGCGCCCCAGATCTCGCCGTTGGTACTCTCGATGTTAACAATCCGCTGGAAAAACTCGACTGCTTTTTCAAACTCCTCGCGGCGCGGTAGATGTTGGCTATTTGGGTCAGCGCAGCTTGCGAATAAGGGTTATGGCGCAACACGTTGTCGTACGCCAGCAGGGCCCGATCATGCTCATTCATCGATTCTGAAAGCGATCCTACAATATGCGTGGGCAAAAAAAGGATAGGCAACCCATTTTTAGTTATTGGTGGAAGCGGTGCAACAGCAGCATAGTTGACAAAGGAGAAAATAATAAGGGCAACGCGTCACGGCTTGGCACCTGCTTGGCAGCCAAGAATCTAAAAACCAATATTTTGTTTGGTTTTTACAAGAGCAACAATGGCCCAAGTCATCATGTTTTTTGTAATAAAGCACCAGGTTCTGCACGCCAAATCTGTACATGACGGTTAGCATGATTAACGTACCTATATGCATCCAGACTAGCTCGGTCTGGCTGTTCAGTCGCTGCGTGGATGTAACCGGCTGCTGCGATGGAGGAGGTGGCGGCGCCTGCTGCTGAGGAGGCATAGCCGGCGGCGCCTGCTGTTGTTGCTGCTGCTGTGTTGTTGTTGTTGTTGCTGTGTTGCTGGTGTTGTTGCTGGGTGGTGCTGCCTGCTGTTGGGGTCCGGACTGTGGCTGCAGCTGCTGGGGAGGCGAGGAGGCCCCTGCTGTGCCGGCATGGGCTGCCTCGGCTGGCGCTGAGGCGGCCCTGGTGCATCATCGGACCCCTGGAGTGCATTTGCTGGTATGCGCCGTTGAGCTGGCCGTTTGGGTTGGTCGGCGGTATACCCATCTGCACTGAGGAATGCATTCCGGGTGGAACCATTCCAGTGCTCATTGCCTGGCGATTCTGGCCGGGGGTGTGTGCCCTCTGCGAAGCCTGGTGGTGACCCTGCATTGAGATGTGTAGTTTGATTTAAGAGGAAGCGTCTAGACTGATTTGAAAAATAAATAAAACAAAAAGGTGCAGAATAAAAAGGGGTGAATTCTGAATCAGCTGATTAGTCAAATTGGGATGTTAAAAGAGCTTTTAAAGAAAGAGATAAAAGAGTAAAGGATTGGACAAATTGGAGGATAAAAATACTTGCTTTTATTTTGTATTTTTGTGGGATAATATCCAATCGCCATTCAATTTGAAATGTACCTTGGGCCAAACAAATAATAAGTATTTAAAGTGAGAGGGGAAGAAAAGGAGAGTAACGGAAACAGGGGGCTGTGTGTGTCTCGTAGTCTCGTGTTTTTGTCGCGCAACTATTTTATTAGCGACAGATTGCACTGACGCGTCAAATATTCGCGCAAAATGCCTTTGTGAAAATGAAAAAAGAAGCAAGAAATAAGCAATCAAGCGGTGAGTCAAATAAAATAAAACAAAAGAGCAGGAACGTTGAAAGTGAGAAAATGAAAAATAAACTGAAAAGAGAGTGGGCAAAACTCGGAAGTGGGCCGCAAAAGCAAAAATGCGAGCGCAAGACGCGCTTTTATGCGCGGCGAGCTTGGCGCTGTCTTGTTTCCCAAGCCGCCGACTGCTCTCACCTGCTTTGCCCTTCTTTCCGCCGCATTCGATTGCAGAAAGGCGATTTGCATTGAGAAAATTTTTGGTTTTTCAAAAAATAAAAACGGGGAAGGGGGGACAAGGGCGGTTGTACACTGGGGTCAGCAACCCGCGAGCGGCAAACTGGGGCTGCCGCTATTTTTACTGCTGCAGATAAATTTTGCAGTTCAGTTCCTTTTGTTCGCCTCTGCGCTTGTCTTTATTTGCGGCTGGTGCCGTCACCCATCAGCAGCAGAAGCGGAGATGCAGATGCAGATGCAGATGCAGCCGTGCGTGCTGCAATTTGCTGGTCGGCACTTTGCTTCTGCTTGCATTTACTCTGTGGTGTTGTGCCCTTGTCTGCTTTTCTGCTTGCTGCCCCTGCCCCCCCCCAGCTCTCTGAAAAACCACAAGTACCAGCCAAAGTTGTGGTGATGAGTGTGAAAATGGATGTGAACACGCGTGTGTTTTGGACTGGCATTTGGCACTCGAAGCTGTGCTCCAAGCCTTTTGGGTTTACGTTAGGTGAAATTAAATCATTAAATCCGGTGTTCCATTTTGCTGGGCGGCTGGCAGGGCCAAGCGCGCGGATAATAACACGCATATGAAAATTACATTCAGCTTCGTTTGTTATTTTGGTTCAGAATACAATGATCTCGCTATTGTTCTTGTTGAGTTCCTTGATAAAAAATAGCCAATGGAGTACACGTCACGCACGCACGCACGCACGCCGTCTATGCGCTGGCGACATCGGCGGTGGCCACGGCCTCGATAATTTTGGCTACTGCAGCCTGCTTGTTCTTCTCAAACTGCTCTCTGATCGTGACCATCCGCTCGTCCGTCTCCTTCTGGATGCTCTCTGTCAGCTCAGTCTGGTTGACGCTCTACAACGTGGACAGGGCAAGGCCAATACACAAAGACAGACGGAGACAGAGACCGAGACAGACAGAGACAAGGGGGTATGCATGTGTGTATGCGCACTACGTTAGTAAAAGCTTCACTTTGCACACGTGGGGCGTGCTTGCGTCATTGTCGTTTTTGTACAGTGTGTTTTGCGGCAGAAGTCAGCCACTCGCCAGCAGTAGCAGCAAATTGGGCTGTTTTGGCCACAAAAAAGTAGAGGCAAAACAGCTCGACAGTAACTATACCTTTTTCTGGATTTCCTCGAGCTCGCGGGCCTTGCGCGCTTGAATCTTGGAGATGTCCTCGGCCGCATCTTTGCGGGCGTTGTTCAGGCGCTTTACGCGATCTACAATGCCAGAGAAAAAGTAAATGCAAATCGGCTTTAGCAGCTTTGTCCGCGCGTAAATATGGGAATATGCGACAGTGACCGGGACGCTCTCGCGCCGATGTGTCTACCAAACGCAATACTTACATTCGCGCGCCTGTGTGACTATCGCGGACGCCTCCTTCTCGGCTTCCAGCAGAGTGTGAATTCCTTGCGAGTTCGAAGCGGACTATAGAATGGATTTCAGCATATATTTTTAGTAGAGCACAGATAAAAGAATAAATGGAGGATGGATTGCATCCGAAACAAATTCGTGGTATTAGTGCCAGCTCGCGTTATAGGTCGCGCTGTCTTCGCTGGCGGGCGACTGCTAAAATTTAAATTTACCATCTCGGGTTACAAATGCAATTACAGTTGGTAAAAAGGTATGTTTAAAAAGTACTAATACAATTCGATTCGAATGAGACAAAATACGAATTAGACCTTTGGTAGCGAAAACAGACACCGCCGCGTGTGACATCGAGCACACAGCCCATCATTATGTGCTGCCAGCGATTTGATCTTTAATCCTTAATCCGGCTGATCAATAAGCTGATTCGTTGGGTACAGAAAAAAAAACAAAAAAACTGAAGTTTCAATTTTTTGGGTTCGTATCTTTGGCAAAGTCCACAATACGTGCGGTAGCTGCCCGCCTAATAAACAGGAGCGCTCCCTCTTTTCTCTCGACTTTGGCTCTAACAATAAAATTTATTTTTACTAGTCAACAACATGGTGCGTATCCATCGATTTTTATAAAACAAAATTATACTTGAATCCATCGCCGCATCCAACACGCAAATTGTGGCTATTGCTGCAAAATGTGTGCCGACGATGGATGCGACTATGGATGCATTCCGTACAAATGTGGCACAGTCTCGAATTTATGCCAAATTTTTATGAATTTGAATTCACACAAATTTGCTAATTTCTCTTTTTTGCCCCAATCCCTTTACATCTGTAGTCTCACTGTAAGTTCGAGCAACCTCGTCACGGTTCGTTGGCCTTCCTCCCCCGCAAGCGCGCCGCCAGCCACCGCGGACGCTGCAAGACCTTCCCCAAGGACAACGCCGCCGACCCTCCCCACCTCACTGCCTTCCTTGCCTACAAGGCCGGTATGACTCACGTTGTGCGCGATCTTGACCGCCCCGGATCCAAGGTCCACAAGAAGGAGATTGTTGAGGCCGCCACCGTTATCGAGGCTCCCCCGATGGTCATTGTCGGTGTTGTTGGCTACATCGATACCCCCCGCGGCATGCGCGCTCTTACCAGCGTCTGGGCTGAGCACCTCTCTGATGAGGTTAAGCGTCGCTTCTACAAGAACTGGTACCGTTCCAAGAAGAAGGCCTACACCAAGTATGCCTCCAAGTACTCCACTGACAACGGCAAGGAGATCACCCGCGATTTCGAGCGCATCAAGAAGTACAGCTCGTCCGTCCGCGTCATTGCCCACACTCAGATGAACAAGGTCAAGGTTGGCCAGAAGAAGGCTCACATTATGGAGATCCAGATCAACGGCGGCACCATTGCCGAGAAGGTTGACTGGGCCCGCGAGCACTTCGAGAAGACCGTCTCCGTCGGCGACGTCTTTGAGAAGGACGAGGTCATTGACGTTATTGGCGTCACCAAGGGTCATGGTGTTGAGGGTGTCACCGCCCGTTGGGGTACCAAGAAGCTTCCCCGCAAGACCCATCGTGGTCTGCGCAAGGTCGCCTGTATTGGTGCCTGGCATCCTTCCCGTGTCATGTACTCCGTGGCACGTGCCGGTCAGGATGGTTACCACCACCGTACCGAGGCTAACAAGAAGATCTACCGCATTGGTAAGGGCGACGACAAGTCGAACGCCTCGACCGAGTTCGATCTGACTGTCAAGCGTATTACCCCTCTCGGTGGCTTCCCCCACTACGGTGAGGTCAACGAGGACTTCATCATCATCAAGGGTAGCTGCGTCGGTGTCAAGAAGCGCATCCTCACCCTGCGCAAGTCCCTCCGCGTCCACACCAAGCGCTCCGCCCTCGAGAACGTCAGCCTGAAGTTCATCGATACCTCGTCCAAGTTCGGCCACGGTCGTTTCCAGACCAAGGAGGAGAAGAAGGCCTTCATGGGTACCCTCAAGAAGGACCTCGTCGAGGCCTAAGCTCTGTGAAACCGCTTTGGGTGTGTTTTGTAGTTTTGAAATTTACTTTGAAATATACCCTTGCCTTCATACTGCCAAACAATATTTTGATGCCAAATTATGTTGTAATGGCTCTATTAAAATATTTTATCAAGCACATTCAATGCTTGAACAAACGTGATTATCGATTATTATCCGATCTGGTGTTGATTCGTGCACCTCTATCCAACTTTTTTTTTTTTTCTCCAATGCATGGCCGAGATGTAGTGATGGCAATATGCGAGCGAATCCGACAGTGCCGCCATACATATCCGATCATATGTCGTGCCATTCTTTCTCTTCCCCCCTTTTTCATGTGTGACACTGTCGTTTACCATTGATAATTCATCGGTTGGCCTTGTCAATACTCACGCTGGCCCTTCGAATGCGCGGCAATGTATCGTGCTCTGCCATTTGTATTATCCCCTTATTTTGAGGCGCTAATTTGGTATTGTGTGTAATATTGGGAAGCAAAGGGAGCGTCTATCAAAGCCTCCCTGATTTTTCTGCGCAAGTGCAATAACTTATGCGTTTGCGTTCTCCCCAGAGCGTTATTATTTTGTTGAATAGTGGAGGCAAAAGTCACATGTGCAAACAATGGCATTTTCGTTCATTCTATTTAATAAATATTTCAATTTGCACGTTCATCTGCTGGGCCTGCGCCCATATGCAAATAATTTTTCAGATACGCGCACGTCACATACATCACATACATACGCGAGCTGGCCGGTTCTGGTGCCCAGCGAAGGATTGAAACGGGGAATGATTTGGCTGCCTACGATTTCGCCGTGTCCCCTTTTATTTTTGTTTTTGCTTTAGATCCAGGTTGGGCAGCATCCATTTGAGCGCTGATGGTGTAAATTGAATATTATTTTGGAACGAATTAAATGAAAAATTAGAAAACACCGAACGCGTACCAAAAAGCACCCCTTGTGGCGACCAAATATGGACCTATGAGCTTGGACGAGTTATTTAAAAAGTATCTCGCCCCAGCGATGCGAATGGCGGGTCCAGTGCTGCCTTGCAGCTGCTCCTTTCCCATCCACTCGCCCTGCCCCTAACAAAGTTAAACCACAAGAGGCGAGCGAGATTGAAGGCAGCTGCTAGTAATAACCCTTAGCCCCAAAGCCACAGTGGCAAGCGCCACCGGTCTGAAGTCTAGGAGGACATCCCCCCACTGCCGCACTATGGGGGCACGGCTGCTGCCCTCGTATCTCTGCTGCGCATCCATTTGAGTGCTGCACCCGCCAGTTCTTTTTATATGCTCTCCAACCGAATTTACACAAGCTTACGGCATATTTCCCTACTATGCATGGCCGGCAATACATATAATATTTGCTGTTCTGAACTTTGGAGCTTTATTGCTCGACCGCAAATCAGCGTTTTCTGTTTTAATTTTGAGTGCTTCTGCTGCTGAGTATTGCCTTTGACTTGATTTGTTACTTTTTTGCATGTGTGGGCGGGTGTGCTTCCTGTTCACTGTAGCCAGAAGTAAAGTTGGAATTGTAATTGTAATTGTAATTGTAATTAGCAGCAAATAAAATACTGAGGACAATAGCCGAGAAAATTGCAGTTCGCCACAGTCTTCTACATGCGGGCGCCAGCTCCAACTGCAACTGCAGCTCCAGCTCCAGTGATGACACCAGCGCAATGATTTGCAGTAAAATGCGCAGAAATATAAAGTTGACTTTCGCCATTTTAAATTACTCCAAACCGTGTGTGAGCTCCACACACCCTCCACAGCCTGCTCCTTGCACAAAGTCATTTCTTGATGCTGTATTTGCTATTTTTGGAGCGACAGCCGTCAAAGGCGTGTACATTAATTTTAAAGTATTATTTTCTCACTCTAAACTCTGTGCAATAAATTAGCGCCAGAAAGAGAAAGCAGTAACTTGGAAGCAGATTGTAGCAGCATTTGGATATAAGGTTTTCAGCAGTTACTTTGGCACTTCACGCATTGTGCGTGCTCGCTCGCAACCAGCAGAACATATATATGCTTTTCGCGGGCGCACAGAGGGCGTATGCGCGCCCTTTATCCCTGTATTATCTCCATCGTTGCGCGTGCATCTGCAAACGGCCTGGATTTCTTGCCAGCTTCAGAAACAAACTCAGAAGCTGACCTGCCATTATTTAGAACAAGCGGGTCGCCGCTGCCAACAAACTTGAAACAATGCACCCCTCCCCCAAATTGATGGCTGGCATCTTGTGGTTACGCCTTGCAATATCAGAGCCAAGGGTCGGCACAATTGTGGAAAGGCGCAGGGTGGACAAAAACATCAAGTTATATCCGGCAAGTTGTAAGGGGGTCGAACACCTGTTTGACGTGCTCCGCCACTCGACACTCGACACTCGATAAATGCATAATTATGACCTCTGCCGCGAAAAAATAAACGAATAATATATGAAATGCCCTGCGCCTTTTTGTCAGCCGGCCACTCTTGCATTTATACCGACCCCTGCCCACACAACACAGGGTGTAGTTTTTTCTTTTTGTTCCTCCTCGCTTCTTCCTTTTTACTTGCGCTATTTGCACTGTATTTTCTAGCTTTTATTTTGAAAGCTCGTTAAAGATACACATTTTATTTTCATTTTCGTTTATTATTTTGACTCTTTTACTACCATCAGCACCAAACTATCACAAATATCTATATTTCCCCTTTTCTTTGAAAGTTACTACTTATTCTACTTTTTTATTTTATATATATTTTTTTGCTTTTGGAAATAACAAACAAGGAGAATATAGACACGCACCACACACAGTTTTTGTTTAAACTCGCGCTTTTCATCACCATTCTTCCGAATAAACGCGCACGTTGATTTTTAGTTTTGCTCCTTTTATATGTGCTTTTTTCTCGCCCATTCATGACTTCTTGCAGCCTTATTATTTCTCTTTATTTTTGCCTTTTTCTATTAGCCCAACACAAGTGGCTATGCACATGTCCATCCATTAGCTTTTCTTTTCCCTCGACCAAACTTGACATCTTAGCTTGTTTTTTCTTTCCTTTTCCAACTATCATTACCTGCTTGTCTGCTCTCCTTTTTTGTTCTTATAATTTGCTTTCTTTTTATTCTCACTAGCCACTTTTACACCCTATTTTCATCTTGGAACACCTCTTTTTACATATACAAACACATATAAAAGCAAGCATACACGTACACGTACATCGGCATATACACTTGTTGTTTTCTCTACGAAGCACTCCACATCAACTTTTTATTATTTACATCTTGCTTTTTTATTGTTATTATAGCATCAGCCCGCCTATCCAGCCTAAAACTAGCATCATCAGAAACGCCATCAACAAGGACTGACGTGGTTATACCTGCGTTGCTTGTAGCACTGCTTTATAACATCTATTTTGCACCTTTATTGCGCCTTTCCAGACCCCTGGGTTGCCGTATTTTATATTTTCCGCCCGCTACAATTTTCATTTTTTTATTGCTTTGGTCTTTTACAACAACCGCACTAGCCAACGCGCATACACACCGACTGAAGACTTGTGCGTAAAGTTTTCCCCAGAATAGCTCTTCTTATTTTTATCGCACCGGCACTGAACTAGCGTATATTGATTCATTTTTTTATCAGAGGAACCCACAGGTTCTGTTTTATCTGCTTTATTATCTTTCATCTTGACACTCACACACACACACGCGCACACAAGTCCTTGCATACATATATCTTGAAATGTACGCCAGCAAAATCGACACAACTCGCAAGATTTTTGCGACATCATCGCCAGTGTTGTCACCAGAAACACCAGAGATGGACATGCTTCCCGCAGACCTCATGTTTGCAGACTACGGAATGCAGTCAACAACACTTGAGAATATGGACACCTGGTCTTCGATCCAATCGGGCCAAACAGCGCGCTCGACACTGTCACTCCAAAGCTGCGGCTCAGGGATAGATATCTACAATTTGGCCAAAGACTATGGCGGGCTGAGTATGGGTCAGAGCCACAAGTTGCTCGACGACCCTGCAGATAGAGATGATCTAAGCCGCAACAGCCATGGTGATGTGGATTGTACCGAGCTCGATGAGGCGATTCTTCGCGTGCGCTCGACCACAGTATCAAATATATTCGACATGTCAAATCCAATGTACCACTTTTCGGCAGTGACCAACGTCGACTCGTCGTGCGCGCATGGGCCATCAGCCCCACGTCCATATCGAGCTACAGCATGCTGTCGAGGAACGGATCGATGTCGATGCTGGTGACAAACACCAACGGCAACGGCAACGGCAACGTAATGGCAGCAGCAACCACGCAACTAGCAGCCCACTAAGCCTGCCTCTGATCACCAACCCAATCCACCAGACGACCAGCCTCGACAATTATTTTGGAATCCCAATGGACAGACAGAGACAGCGGGATCCGATAGGCGGCGCACTAGGAATGCCCGCGCGGCGCTTCTCCGAGTACACGCTTGAGACAGGACCCTCGCTCTCTTTTGCGCCGCATCCCTTAGGCCAAAAGTATGCAAGCGACACGGAAAATTGTAATGCTGGTAGCAACGATGCGCGTGTCAGCGGCATGCTGGGCAAAAGCAGTGACCGTCTTGCTCTCGCTCCCCCAGTCTCGGCTATAGCTCTAGCTATTGCTGGTGACGACGTTGATGATGCCGGTGGCGGTGACAGCAGCAGCATCAATTCGGCGTTCCAGCCGATAAAGGCCCAGAGCACTAAAGTTTTCGGTTCTTGGCGTGACTCGTTTGACCATCAGCTATCATCATGCACGAGGAGGACGGCTTGTCAGCCAACGGCCGGGCCCAGATACAGCCTGGACAACAGTGTACTGATGCACACTATGAGCTTCGCTAGCGGCGCGCCAAAATCTGCAACTCAGTCTCCAACTCGCATTATGCGGCAGCGCATGGCAGTGGGGCAAAGGAAGCAGCCTGTTTTCGGTCAATGGAGCTTTGTCGGCGTCCCCGGTAAACGGAATTCGCAAATCTAGCGCTGATCACCTGACCGGCGCTGCCACTGATGCGCCGTATTTTCCACTGCGCGTCCAGTCATTGAAGGACTTGCGCTGCCCGTCCATCGATCCTAGAAGCGGCCATGCATGTGGGCCAAATGGTGTCGACGAGAAAGCCGTCAACGCGGCTTTCGAGCGTAGCGCCAGCGTCCAGAACTCGGCGGCGTTCAGCCATTTCTCGAGTGTGTCGGAGATCCACAGGCGGCACTCGCTCAACAGCACGGGCCTGTTCATGCCGACGCCGGCAAACTCGCGAGGCGCAGCGCAACAAACCCAGGCCAATTTCGCGGTTCATCCGGCGCAGCAGGATGTCTGGCCCAGCTCCAGCCTCAACTATCTGGGCGGCAGCTGTGGCAGCCAGCCGGCATACGTTCCGTTTACGCACCCTGGCAGTGGAGGTGTACCATTGGTATTGGCCTGGGATCGGCGCCCCCTGTGACGCTCACACAGCAGCAGCAACCCTTCTATCAGTATAACGGGCCGCACCATGGCGGGTTTTACAACGGGTATCTGATCGGCGCAGTTCCGCAGCCAATGTTGTCGGCACCGCCTGCGCACATTCAAGCCCAGGCCCAGCACCCACCTGTTTTGTGCCCATGCCGCTACTTGCCCCGACGCAGCACCAGAACAGAACCAGAACCAGCAGCAGCAACAGGGCCCGACCATGCGCCCCAGCTACCCTGGTCCGCTCGTCTCGGCAAGCGGGGCTTATGCAGGCGCTCACACGCTGATGCCAAACCCGGCCACGAACATCACACCGAACATGCCGTTCGCCCACATGGGCATGGGCATAGCGTACCACATGCTGCCCAAGGGCACGCGCGTGTTTGTCGTGCAATTCAAGGGGGATCACCACGATCTCCACTTTGCCCCGGGCCAATGCCACTGACCCAAGGAAGCTGCCGCCGAAAGCTACAGGATTGGCACGTACGTCATGGTCGAGGCGGATCGTGGCGTTGACCTGGGGTACATTAGCAGCGAGCTACATACGCCGGAGGCCATTTTTGAAGTATACCGTGCCTTAGTCAAGTCTGGAGCCCACAGCGGCAATGGCGGAAAAGCAAGTCCGTGGCCAGCGAAAGCAAGCTGCCCGCGTCGTCGAGAAACAGGGTGCACGTCAAGCGCATATTTCGCGTGGCCAACCAGTCTGAAATTGCCGACATGAAGGGCAAGAAGGCTGCGGAGGAGCAAAAGGCGTTGGACGACTGCCATGAGCTTGTGAAAGACCTTGGTCTCGAGATGGTCGTCCACAGCGCCGAGTTCCAGTTCGATCGCCGCAAGCTGACCTTCACTTTTACAAGCCGTTGAAGCGGGTGCTGTTCCAGGACCTGATCCACGAGCTGTTCAAAATCCACAAGACGCGCCTGTGGATGTACCACAAAAAGCAGTGAGCGCCGCAGTTCAGTTCTATGGTGCAGCACCTTCTTTTCGCCCGCATCGGCATCATCATTTTATATCCTCCATTTTCATGTTAGTATTCCTCTGCCATTTTCAAAGTGCAATGTGATCAAGTTTAGTCAGTACCAACCCGACCTGCCCTGTGAGTTTGTCGATCTCTTCTTGCTGTGTGATTTACCCCCGTATAGATATCGTGTCAAGGCCAAATTTGAAGCAGCCGGGGTTTTCCAGATAACTTTTTACGTTTTTTAATCTACCAGCGCAAAGTACGTCTCCACCGTGCCAGCGTCATCAAAAAATTGTTGATCAGCAACGCGGCTGCTGTGCAGGTTATCTTTTTCACCCGACTCGGATGTAGCCACGCACTGCTTTCTCTTCCCTCTGTATTATAATTTCACTTGGTTTTTTCAACACACAAACTCCAAGCATCCAGGCAAATGGCATCCATCACTCGCACACTCCAAAGATCCAAGGACGTCGCGCTCGTCTTATGAGCACGTCGGCGCCACACAACGCACGGCACTGTACGACCTGCACAAGAAGAACGGTGCCAAGTTTGCCCCCTTTGCTGGCTGGGACATGCCACTGATGTACGCCGACCAGGGCGCGCTCGACTCGCATCTGCACACACGCAAGCACGCGTCAATCTTCGACGTGTCGCACATGCTGCAGACGCGCATCATCGGCAAGGACCGCAATAGGTTCCTGAGCACCTGGTCGTCGCCGACCTGCAGGAGCTGCCAGTCGGCGGGTCTACCCTGTCGCTGTTCACAAACGAGAAGGGCGGCATTGAGGACGACACCATCATCACCCAGCACAAGGACTCTCTGTATGTGGTCTCCAACGCTGGGTGCGCTGACAAAGATCTTGCCCATATGCTCAAGCACGCCAAACTCTTCCAGGACAAGGGCGGCGATGTTGAAGTCCGCAAGATTGAGGACCACTCGCTTATCGCTCTGCAGGGCCCTTCGTCGCAACGCGCCCTTGAGCAGGTATCTGGCGCCAACTTGAGCCAGATGCCGTTTATGACTGGTCAGTTCATCGATATCAAGGGTGTGCAGTGCCACATCGCGCGCTCCGGGTACACGGGCGAGGATGGATTCGAGCTGTCGATTCCCACGGGCGAGGTTGTCGCTGTCACCGAGGCACTGATGGCCAACCCTGAGGTCAAGCTGGCTGGACTTGCCGCGCGCGACTCGCTGCGCCTGGAGGCTGGTCTCTGCCTGTACGGCTCCGACATTGATTCCACAACCACCCCGATGGAGGCCAACCTGGTGTGGACTATCGGCAAGCGGCGTCGTGCTGAGGGTGGCTTCATTGGTGCAGACATCATTCTCGACCAGATTGCCAAGAAGGGCGGCGACCGCCGTCGCGTCGGCCTGATTGTCGAGGGCGCCCCAGCGCGCGCCCACTCTAAGGTGCTGAGCGTCGATGGCGAAGAGATTGGCGAGATCACATCAGGTGTGCCCTCGCCGTCTCTTGGAAAGAACATTGCCATGGCGTACGTGCGCAAGGGCTTCAACAAGAAGGATACTGAACTCAAGGTCAAGGTGCGCAACCGAATCCAGGATGTCAAGGTTGTCAAGATGCCGTTTGTCCCTGCCGGCTACTACAAGCTGTGAGGCGTGGGCAGCTGTTTGGCTGTTTGGCTGTTTGCTTGAGGCGCTGCCCATAGTGGCTACTTTTTTGTCATTGTGTTAATAATATAAATTACAGAATAAATATACGGTCAAAAGAGAAAAACAGACAGACAGACAGGCGGAGCAAATGTCTGTCCCCTTGGTGCCCAAAAATAGGGTCAGCATGCCGGATCTTGGGCAAACATGCGCGTGTACAGCCTAACGAGGTTGTTGTAACCCAAAATGTCGCCACAGCGCAAGAGATTGGCTGCATCGCAGTTCAGCGGGCTCGAGGGTTCAGGGTTGCAAGCAGCACGTGAATGGCCAGGCACATCGATGCCAGCGTCCAGGCCGGCGACCACTGGGCTTTCAGAATGTCGAGGCAGATCTCACCTGTCTCAAAGTGCACGTTCGGATGGCACACCGGGGTGACAAAGGTTAGCATCGGCGGCTTTATCGGATACTGCTCCGGGATGTCAATGTGGATCACAAAGGTGCCAGTGCTGTACGGCGTGTCGCAGGGTCCACGCATCACAGCGCGCCAGTACAGTAATGTTTCGTCACTGACAGGCTCCAGGGAGATGAGCTCCTCACCCAGGCCCTTCCGCACGTCCTGCAGCTCTCTAAGAAGCCTTTTGGTAACCGATGCCATTGAGTATTTTGCTGAAATAATATGTTACTGTCAGTTGAGGGAGGGCCAACTGAATACAAAAAAGTAAATGTGAACGTGGAAATGAAGAAATGAAATGAGAATTCACGCCAAGAAAACAACAAATAAAAAACGGAAATTAATAAGTCAAAGAAGGTGAAAAGGGCCAACACGACTGAGTTGGTGAGTTGACGCAGTTCCGTTTTAGCATGTCGATTGATGGAAATACGCAACCCCCCGGTGAGCATACCCACTCATCCCATATCCGCCACAGCTGGAAATGTCTGCACTGGGCAGCACAATCCGCTCGCCTTGGCCTGGCCTCGCCTGGCTGGATATTAGAACCACAGTGCCGGTCACGCCAACTAGACCTATATTATATATATATATATTTTTTAAATATCTTCAACCTCTCATTGCGACCAAAATGGACTCGGCCACGTCACAAGCGAAATCAGCCACGCCAGTGGTAAGCACAAACCTGAAGGTGCTTCCGACCGATAACGTCGAATACGGTAGCCACGAGTACTGGCAGCAGCGGTACACTCGCGAGACAGACGAGACGTTTGACTGGTTTAAGACATACAAGGACCTGACGCCGCTGTTTGACAAGCACATTGGCAGCAAAGCAGCGCGGATCCTGATGCTGGGCTGCGGTAACTCAACGCTGTCGGGGGACATGTACGAGGCAGGGTACCCAAACATCATCAACATCGACTACAGCGACGTGGTGATAGAGCAGATGCGGCAGCGCACGGCACACCAGCCCAAGATGACGTGGGAGGTTATGGACGTGCGCAACCTGGCGCTGGAGAACGAGTCGATCGATGTGGCTGTCGACAAGGGCACGCTAGATGCGCTGATGTGTGAGAAGGGCGACGTTTGGGAGCCGTCGAGCGAGCTGTGTGAGAACGTTGCAGGCGAGGTCAATGAAGTCGACCGCGTGCTTGCGCCCGGCGGAAAGTTCATCTGGATCACGTTCGGCCAGCCACACTTCCGCAAGCGCCATCTGCTGCGCGACTCGTGGGACCTGGAGGTCGAGCGCCTCAACGACGGCGGCTTCGACTATTTTGTGTACATCATGACCAAGAAACCCGCAAGCCATTGATTGTTTGCTTTTTTTACGTTTATGTTAGAACTGTGAACTTCAAGATCATCCCCGATTGTGTTTCCAGGCCATTGATATCGATATTGATGTCAGTAGCTGCAGAGAAAAGCAGGGCATGGCAGAGCAAGTCACGGCGCCGTGCTGCGCGGCGCTGCGCACGCCTCTGCCACGCGGAGAGCCATTGTCCAAGCGATAGAGCTGCGTGATGTCTCGGCTACAATGTCTATTTATAATGCGCTGATTTTCTGTGTTCTCGCACGCCAGCCAGCCAGCTGCAATTGATGCGCCGCCTCCTTCAAAGCGCTGCTCTGACAAGTCCTGTGTGTCGCCGCCAGACTCGTGCCGGAAAAAAGGTGGTAAAAAAACAGCACCCTTTTTGTTATTGTTGTGGTTGGCACGACGACGATGACGCTAGTGGTGATGATGATCCTGCCGCCACTGGCGAGCCTCGACTGTTTCTTATTATCTTTTTTCTTTTCCTTGCTTCTATCTCCCACTTTTCCACTCGTTCTTTTCTTTAGTGTATATAAATTTTTCCACTTTTCCACTTTTCCATTTTTTGTTTTCTCACTCTTATTTCAAGAAAAAAAAGCAATTTGCGTTGCATAAACTGTATTGGCCCGCTCCCTCACCCATTCACTCATTCAGCTTTTTGCTCAGTTGCTCGCATTTATACACACATTTCTATCAACCGAGCACTGGCTCTAGCCATAACCATAGCCATAGCCACAGTTGCAATTGCAATTGCAGTTACAGTCACAGTCACAGTCACAGTCACAATACCAGAACCAAAACCAGCAGCCAATGTCATTTCAGAATTTGTTTGTGCCGCGGGCGCGCATTGCCACGTTCAAGGTGCGCCTGCAAATTGAGGACCTCAACAACGTGCCCCCGCTCAGCGGCGTTTTCTACGCCAAATGGAAGTGCCAGGACCAAAGCGGCTCTTCGCCGAGTATGCCTGTGGTCAACCAGAGGTGCGGTGGGCGCATGCTGTCCAGAAGACTGTCGACATACCAATCAGCAAAGACGGCATGCTCATGCCATGCGAGTTGAAAGTAGCAATCAAGCAGGTACGTGTCCCCAGGGACTGGAAAACATTGTCATTATTTCTGTTTATTGTTTTATCTATCTGCACGGCAGCGGCATCAGACAAATATCATGCGTCACATCCCTTGCTCCCTCTTTTTCTTTTTCTTTGCCTCGGACTGCTCGATCACCTCGCCTCAGTTTGCACGAACTTGTTCGATTTCGCTCTCGAGTTTGTTTTTGATCGGCCAAGAGAGATACTTCTTGTTGGCTTGTTTTTTCCTCTCCGCTGCTGGCTTCTCATGCACTGATTTCGCACCCTGTCGATCCATCGCGTTCTTGTTCGATGTAGGAGGTGTACTCGCATGTGCGCACAAAGGTCGGCGCATTGGCCGTCAATCTCTCCGAATACGCCCGGCTGTCCGGATCGTCGCGACGCTATTTTCTGCAAGAATGCAAGCTCAATTGTACCCTAAAGGTAAGCCTAGTCACATCAAACGCTGGTGCGCATATCCAGCACCCTACGTGCCTCGGCCGAAAAGCACCCACCACTAACTGCTTGCCAATTGCCAATTGCCCATTCTTGTAGCTTTCCATACACGTCACGCAGGAGTCTGGACCCGAAAACTACGAAATCCCGCCCCTTGACAGATCGATGGTGCTCACAGACCTCAACGACATGATCACAAACGAAAGCAACGCCGCGCGGAGCGGCAGGGAAAACTCGACCAAGGGCACGTCGTTCTCCAGCCGCCAGCACTCGATCATACGCCAGAACAGCGGTAACGGACTTGTCGCTGCCAACTCGCCATCGTCGGTCCATACAACCAGTCGGAGCAACACGACAGACACGTCTCAGTCTTGCGCGCTGCTGCCCATCGACAACACCAACGTCCGTGACCTGCCCCCTTCCAGCGCTCGTCCAAGAAGAACCAGCAGATCGTCGAGGATGTGTTTGTCTCGTCACCAACCCTGCCCACATGAACCGGCCGGGCAGGCCCTAAAACGGAGGCGCATCCTGCCACCAATGCCAGCCAATGCGGCCGCGCGCTCCTCCCCTTTGTATTTCTATTCTTTTCCGACTCCGTTGTGCGTCTCATCCTCCTCCTTGGAGGCTTCTCTGTACGCCACGCTCTTGCTATTATTCATTTGGATTTAATAAACTGTGCCATTCATTGTCCACCAATGACAGCACCCAATCTGTCTAGAGTCTCGCAGCACCTCCCACCGAACCATTGGGGGGGGTCCGCCTATGCCAAGTTCCGTATGATGTCGCGCACAAGGTCTGCCAGCTCGCTGTCGCTGTATGGATCTTGCATTTTCGGCGGGACGTGCACGAACAGCGTTTTGGGCACTGGCAGCTGGCGCTTTGCGTATGACGTCTCCCCCTCGGCGAGAGAGGTATAGTATGTGAACTCGCACAGGTAGCGTCCAGCGTTCTGGCTGGTCACCACACTGGCCCACCCATTTGCAGCCAGGGTACACTTTAGCGCATCGACGTTGACCGACGTGCTTAGCTTTTTTGTGGTCGAGTACCCTGGGACGCAGCCGCTATCAGGCACATCCTTAGTGCCGCCATTGCCCTGCTTCGAATAGCCGTCCCGGTGTGCCACCCCTTCGAGTTTTACAACGCCCGGGCTGCCTGCGCCGCAGTGGATCACAATGCTGTACTTCTCGCCCAGGTGCAACTGTGGAACCAGCGCTGACACAGGCCATAGCTCACGGGAAGCTCATGGCAGTGGCAGACAACGGTGACGCCACCCGCCAAAATACGCTCTCCAGAAAGCTGCTTGACTGTCTCCCAGCTGCGGTTGTCCCTGGGCCGCGGCGTGCCAAACGGCTCGAACCCGGTGAGCAGTGCGTACTTGACGTTTTGAGAGGTATCCATGCTTTTGACCGTGTGCAAATAAATATATGAAGCGCGAAAACTTTTTCGAAAAATGAGAAAAGAAAAGGAATCTCGACTGTTGGCACGCCCCAATTTTGGAATCGCTGCTTGAACCACAAGCAAGGGGAAGCGCCTGATCCGATCCTAGCCTGGAAATCGATTTTTGCGCCCAGTCCTCATCTTGAACAGCTTCCCGATGGCCCTGATCTGATCTGCTCCACCAAACTTTTGTTTCGTTTTTTTTGTTTCTCTTTTTTGTTGCTTTTTTGCTTTCTTGTGCGCACAGCCAATTTATCTCAGGCTTAGATGCAGCGCGTATTCCGTTTACCGTGTCTCGCTCTGAATGCAGGGCTTCTCTGCCAGCTTTCCAAACGCCACATTGCGCATTCTTGTCGGATCCAGCGCGCTCGCACTTGCACCCGCACTTGCACTCGCTCGAACAGCAGCAGCAGCAGCGCATCACACGCCGCCCCTATTTTCCCTATGAGCGGGTGCATGACCGGTGTTGCTCAGTGAGATCATCGAATACCTTGCACCGCAGAAAGACAAGGTCTACTTGGACGGCACGTTTGGCGAGGGCGGCTACACCAAGCGCATTCTTGACGAGGCTGCCTGCCATGTGGTTGCCATTGACCAGGATCCCTGTGCTGTGACAAGGCGCGTAGGCTGGCCGAGGTATACCCAGGACGCCTGAGGCGTTGTGGCACGAGTTCGGCAAAATGGCAGCCTCGAGCGGTCATTTGACGGAATAGTCCTCGACATTGGCCTGAGCTCAAGCCAGCTCGCATCGGATCGCGGGTTCTCATTCCAGAGGGACTGCCCACTCGACATGCGCATGTCGTCGACTGCAGCGCACGGGTCGCTCCGGCGCCTGATTCCAGCGGACGTCGTTGTCAACCAGTTCTCCGGAGACAAGCTCAACAGCATATTTAAACAATTTGGCCAGGAGCGCTTTTCTCGCCTGATAGTCAAGGAGATCGAGAAGAGGCGCGCCAAGGCGCCAATCATGACAACCCACCAGCTCGTCGATGCGGTCGTTGCCGCGGTGCCCAAGCGCTATGCTCGCGAGGCACACTGCACCCAGCGACGCGCGTCTTTCAGAGCCTGCGCATCTACGTCAACGACGAGTTGGGCCAGCTGCAGTCTGCGCTTGCGTCTGCCACCAGGATGCTTAACCCGGGCGGGCGCCTGGTTGTGGTGTCTTTCCACTCGCTCGAGGATGCATCGTCAAGAACACTTTCGCGCGCTGGCAGAGGAACAGCCAGCTAAGCTATTGTTCGAAGAGGACGAGTATGAAGATGCTGCTGTGACCGATACTGAGACCGAGACCGAGACCGATACGGAGATCTACAGCGACGCTGGCACTGTGCCATGTGTATTTCGTCTTGTGACAAAACGTGTCGTCAGGCCGTCGGCAGAGGAGATTGAGCGCAATCCACGCTCGCGCTCGGCCAAGTTGCGGACCATTGAGCGCGTCAAATGACAAAAAAATGCGTGGATTTTTTAGTGTACATATCAAGCCAAGCCTTGCTGCCTGCTGCTTGTTCCCCCACGTGATCTTTGTTTTTTTGCCTCTGACGTGGCAAAATATATCTCGCCTGAGCCAAAAGAAAAGAAAAGAAAAAACAAGATTCAGCTGGGCCTTCTTTTTACTTTCCTCTATTTTTGAGCTTTTCACTTGATACGCCCAATTTTAGGAAATAAAATTTATCTTACATTCATACAAAACAAAACTAAATTAAACTAAAAGACTAAGGATTTTTATTCCATTCCATTCAATTCTTTTATACACCCCACATTATCGTCCGAACTTGCACCCGCTTGCTGAATGACTGTACGATATGGCCGACACTAACCAGAGGTCAACCATGCCGCGACTAGCAGTATATGGAATCTCGACCACAGTGCTGACGGCAGCGTGATTGCGTCGGCATTCACGCAGCACGAATACTTCTACACGGCGTGCGTCCAGCTGTCTCAATCAGGCACTGCAATGCTGGTGCTGGCAAACATGGGGCTGCTGCTGACAATCTTGCTGGGCAAGCTGCTGGTACGGGTCTTCTTTGGGCAGCTGCGCGCTGTGGAGGTCGAACGGCTATACGAGCAGGGCTGGCTTTCAATCACAGAGACGCTTCTAGCGCTGGCGGTGCTCCGCGATCAGTTTGATGTGGCGACGCTGAGCATGTTTGTGTTTTTGCTTTTCTGCAAAATATTCCATTGGATGCTCGAGGACCGTATAGGCTTTATGGAGCAGCAGACACGACTGACTGCGCTTTTTTTTGTGCGCACGCTGTCGCTGTCTGCTATCCTCGCCGTCACGGACTGCCTTATGCTGATGTACGCCGCGGAAAACACTCGGCGGTACGGCGCGACAATGATGATTGTCTTTGGCTTTGAGTATGCGCTGCTGCTTGTGCGTTTCCAGTCGACATGCGCCAAGTTTGTGCTCAACGTCATCGACATATCCCGCGGCAGCGAATGGGAAGAGAAGCAGTCGTTTGTGTTTTACGTGGATCTGCTGCACGACTTTGCAAAGCTGCTTGTGTATCTGGGCTTCTTTGTTGTGCTGACCATGTACTACGGCCTGCCTATCCACATTTTGCGTGAGCTGTACATGACCATCCGATCGTTTTATACTAGGTGCGGCGACTGGGTACGGTACCGCAAGGCAATGCAGAACATGCACCTGCGTTACCCGACTGTCAGCCAAGACGGGCTGGATGAGATGAACGATAAGACATGCATTATCTGCCGCGAGGAGATGTCCGGCCCGACCCAGGAGCAGGCTGATGCGTGGAACAACGCCCGGCGAGCCGGGAACGCTCAGCCGCTATCAGGGGATACGCCAAAGCAGCTGCCATGCAGCCACGTGTTTCACTTCAACTGTCTTCGCAGCTGGCTCGAGCGGCAGCAGAGCTGCCCGACGTGCCGACAGAGTGTGCTCGAGGAAGGCACTTTGTCGCAAGGCGCCCAAGGCCAGAACCAAGGCCGAGGTCATGATCCTGGCGCACCAGCAGCTGAATTAGCAGCGGCAGAAGCAGCACAAGGTGCACAGCATGCTGAGCAGGGACTCCCGGTAAATCAGCAAGGTGAAACGCCCGATACCGATCGTATGCACCCCACGCAACAAACGGAACATGGTGCTGTGTCACAGGGCAATGGTTCAGCCACTCTTGGCCAGAGCAACGTTGGCAGCAGCAATGTCGCATCAAGCTCTGGAAATTCTCGACGGATATCAAGTGTCGTGGCCGGTATGTCGGCAAACGCTGGTTTTGCAGGTGGTCAGCCCGATGTGATTGGCGCTATTAATGGCTACTACTCGCAACAAAACACGCATGCGGGAGTGCTGCCCGGCCATGCCGGCAATGTGCCCGCGGTGCCGGCGACAGGCACCTTGATCCCCATATTCCCACCGGGCGCATCATTGCTCGCACCAATTCATCTTCCCTTATTGTCTGACTTCCCGTCTCCCGATCTGAGTATGCTCAGCAGCGAGCAGATCAACAGACTGGAGTCAGACAGCCGCACAGCAGTGCAGGAGAGGATCAGAATACTATCGGCACTCCAAGTCCAGCTCTCATATATGATCGTGGCATTGACTCAGGTCGAGTCTTTGGTTCCATCTGCCCCCACAGCGACGGGAACAACAACACCATCGTGCCAGAACCATATACGCGGCCTGTTCAGCAAGCGAGTGAAGAAAAGAAAGGTGGTGTTCATAGCAGCCCAAGCAAATCTGAGAATAATAACGAGAACAAGACAGACGCTGGCTCTTCGCAAGCCAGACGCAGCCAAACCCGCAGTCACATATGTTACCAGACACTGGCAGCAATCCACATGGCGACAAGACCAAGGGCAAGGGTCCAGAGCTGGAGCCAAAGCTAGAGCCAGAGCCAAAGTCGGAGCTGGAACCGGAACCAGAGATTGACGAGTGATGCAGAGCGCATCCAACGGCTTTCAAAATTATAATTTTCAATATAAAAAATGGATTCAATTGATCTGGAAGCTCAAACACGAGTAGCTATTTTTCTTCAGTGCAGAGATCATCACGACACGTTATGTCTAATAGCCATCAGCAGGCGGCTCTGATGTTTCTGGCAGTGTGCTGTCTTGAGGAGAGCAGTGGAGACGCACGAGCTCCTCTTGCGCGCACTGGCGCACAGTCTCAAAGTCAGTAGAGACCATGCTCGCCCACTCTGGGCACCACATCCATTGAGACGAGGAGCACGCAGGGCTGGACAGGCCGTGAAAGATGCGAGCAATGGACCGAGCGGTCTTTAGCTGCGCGCAATGCTGGTAGACAAAGCTACGGATGCGAGCGCGTGTTTCAGGATCAACACAGGCCTCGGTAGTAGCATGACCAGTCGTAGCCTGGGTGATGGGATCAAGTGGCGCAGACTGCTGGGCCAAACTGCAGAGGCACGCAAATAGACCCAGTCTTGTCGATCAGCGTGCAAAGGTCCGGAGAGCGTCAGCCGAGGCCTCAGAGAGGCCAAGTGCTGCTGAGAAGCCTCGGGCGACGCAGCAAAGTATGTATCGATGGCAGCCTGGATAAACTCATTCTGTGTCACGCAAGGCGCCAACGAGGCATCTGTCTCCATAGAAATGTTGTCGGTGGCATTGCGTGTCAGGGCGTCTGATGGCAGTCGAGAGGCCGCAAACATGGTTGACGCAACGCAGTCGACTCTGCGGAGAGAGTCGCGGATCTTGGTATCATTGTTAGCTGTTATGGACGCTGCGAGGGTCGATATGTAGCTGTCTACGCGCAGGGCAAGTTGGTCACTCCAGGTCTCGTCGGATGGCCCATCCTCATTGTCAGAAGCAGCGGCAAGGTCAGCAGCAAACTTGCTCATATCGAGGGTGACTTTGACGATGCATGATGGTTCTGCCATTCTAGGAATAGCTCGCGCTTGGCTCGCCAGTGGTGCAGCTCCGATGAGACATCTTCAGGAGTCATGCTCATGGCACGAGCCAAGTCGAAAACGTCGACGGTGGCAGATGTAGGCGGCCTTTTTCCAGCTGGCAAACGGATGCCCTGACGTGGCTGCGCCGATGCGCCAGCATTGAGGTGGTCTGCCAGCTTTGAAAAGAAGGAATGGCTTTCGGCTAGCTTGGCAAGATCGGTGCGCATGAAGCGGATAGCACACTTACGATGGGTGTTGGGCTCGGGGGAATAAGTAGCAGGGTCGGCAAGGGCAAGATAGTTAAGCAGCGTCTGCACGACGGCCTGATCGGCATCAATGTCTGCTTGCAGCGCAGCAAGCTCGAGCACAGCAGTGTGGGCAACGTGCCAGGCTTTTGATCCAAGCGCAGCAGCTGATCGACGTGCGAGAGCCGCAGCAGCAATTGCATTGCGCACAAATGCGTCAGGAAAAAGTCGGAGCAACAGGCGACGCACAGCCGCAGAATCGACACCGTCAGAGTGAGCCCAGCTGCGGATGACTACGGCGTCAGAGGACATTGTGCCATCCTGCATGGCAAGCAGCAGAATGCCTCTTGCTTGCGCGCCGTCGCGGCCGGCGCGGCCAACCTCTTGTACGTATGCCTCCATGCTACGCGGCAGATTAAAGTGTACAACCGCGCGAATGTCGCTCTTGTCGAGGCCCATACCAAAGGCAACAGTAGCAACCAGCACGCGGATAGCCGCTACCCCAGAGGTCTCGCGCATGAACGCGGTCTGGATACGCGTGCGCTCAGCTGTGTGCTTGCCAGCATGGTACGCCTGCGCCGGTACCGAGCGCGCGGTGAGAAATTCAGCAACGCGGTCTGCAGTGGCCTGAGTGGCTACGTAGACAAGCACGGCACCGAGCGAGACCATTTCAGAGGAGCGCAGCATGGCGAGAAGCGTCTCCTCGCGCGCAGTTGACCGCAACTTTGCTGCGCCTACATCAACTGCCACCGCTCCTAGTAAAATATTGGGGCGTAGCACACCACCGCGCACAATGTCGTGGTTGTTGATAGCAAACATGGACGCCAGGCGTGTAGCCAGGGCGGCAGTGGCAGTTGCGGTCATCGCCAGCACGCATGGGTCTCCCAGGCGACTCAGGGCCTCTGGCAGCTGCAGATACGCCGGTCTGAAGTTGTGCGACCACTCGCAGGCGCAGTGCGCCTCATCGATGACTGCCAAGTGCACCCGCGGAACCCCAGCACGCGCCATCAGCGCGTGGAAACGCGGGCTCTGCAGGCGCTCGGGCGACACAAACAGCAGCTGCACATCTCCTCCTACAAGCTTCTTGGCTGCGTCGCTAAAGCTCGAGGCGTCTTCGCCCGACAGGCACAGAGCGCGAAGCGCTTGTGGCAGCCCGCGCATCTGATCGCGCATCAGGGCAACCAACGGCGTCACCACTAGGGTCAGGCCGCCGGTTGCCGCCCACAACACTGCTGCTGGAAGCTGATATGCCAATGACTTTCCAGCGCCTGTTGCTAAAATCAGCAATGACGAGCGGCCCTCGATGACACGCTGCATTGCTGTCGCCTGCTCACTGCGGAACGCGTCGAATCCCCACACATGCCGCAGCACCTTGCGCATGTCAATGCAGTGATCGACTGAGTCTAGCGCGCATAACTCGCTCGACTTTGAGTCTGTGTCTGCACGGAAGCTAAACAGCGACTGGCCATGAATAAGACGGGTCGGCTGCGCTGATTGGCGCGACCCACCTTCTGTGTCGCTCCGACATTCACGATTATTGTCATTCCAGCTGTCGTCGAAATTGTCGCTGTCACTGCCCATATACATACCGTCCTCAGCCCACCCTTCGGTACCGTTCTCTGCATCTTGGCTGCCGACCTTTGATCCGGGTACCGTTGTTTTGACGCGTCCCTTCTTGCCGATCATTCGCTTGTACAGCGCTGTGCGGCGGTCCTCAGTTGACTGCGGTCCATGGCGCCCATTTTTCAGGCGGAGCTTGTAAAAGTTGTTGCTAACCAGATTCTGCAACCCAACAGTCCGTGACCTCCCAGTGCCTTCGATGTTTCCATCCTTCCCTACAGGCTTCAGCTTCACCCGTCGTGTGCTCCGTTTCTGTGTTGTCTTCTTCCTATATGATGAAGATGCATTGTTCTGTCCCGCTGCTGCCTCGTCTTCACTGTCGCTGTCGCCTGCGACCAGCTCGCCAGCGGTAAGGTCACCCATCCCGCCAGTTGGCCGAGTGCGTGCGTCGCACTCTTCATGGCCGTCGCTCGTGTAGCCTTGAGCTGAGCCCGTCTGGGAGTCTCTGTGGATCTGGCCGCCAAAGGCGCTTAGAGATATTGATGTTGTCTTGATCAGCCGCCCGGCTCTAGCTTTGAACATGGGCACGCTGACCCCCGCACTTAATGTCGGCTCCTGCTCGGACATTGACATCATATTAAGCGAGCGCACCAGCGGTTGATGGGCCATGCGCGAGTTGCCCACTGCCGCACCAGACGCCAGAGACTGAGCCTGCTTCTGAGTCTGAATCGGCATCTGCATCTGCATCTGCACCTGAGCTGGCCGCTGCTGCCTGTACTGCCGGATCAGTGACGGCAGTGGGTGGTAGATAACTGTATCCCAGTCTGCAGCAGTTAAAGCGCCACTGTTTGCGTCAACCAACATGTTCACTCCCACGTCGTTCGCCTCCGCCAAAGATTCCCCGTGAGAGCTGCTTGCTTCTGTGGTCTGGTCTGATCCGCTGCCATTATCTGCAAATCTTTTTGTTGTTGTCGCAAGGGCAGCAGGTGCACACTCGCGGTATGCTGCGCTGCTGGCGCCGCCAATAGTCTGATCAAGTGGCAAACTCTGCGCCTGCGTTTCGGTTTGGACTCCATAGCTTCCCTGCGGTCGCAGTCGCGGTCGCTCTCGCCCGAGGCCACCTCCCCTCTGCAGTTATCATAGTCAGCTTGAGGATGGGTAGCATGTCTGCCAGCGCCTGCTGCTTGCTTTGAAATGGGGGCAGAGGCAAATGTACGGCGATGGTGTCACCTGTTCCCCCTCCTTGATCGCAGCTGGCTTGCGCTTTAGCGGCATTTCTGGTGTCGACGTCTCCATTGGCAACACTATGTGCGCACTTTCCTTTTCCGCTGTTGTTCTGACATGCGTCTGCCCACCGTCTCTTTCTTCAGTTTACTGTACTCGCGGTATTTGCGTGCAATATCGGGCATCTGCACCAGGTCGTTTTTAGTCGCGGCTCGGCCATTCTTCTTGTGAAAGTCGGCCTCCCAGTCCTTCAGCTCGTGCTTCAGGTCCCGCGCTTGTATCTGCGCGTGCGTTTGCATCGAGGACGCCGTCAGGCTCTGCATTAGTGTGTCTGTGTGTGAATGGAGGGAAAAGGCAAAAAAGCGAGCAGTCGAATGGCCTGAATAATGAGCACAACAGATATGCCGAATTGTAGAAAAATAAAATAATTAACGCTTTATAGATATATATATATGCACCCTAGCAAAAGAAGCACAAGAAAGGTAACAAAGAGCGGGGCCACAAATGCGCAGCCAGTAGCCAGGCTAGCAACTCAGGAACCATGTTCGCATGTTCTCGTCGCGTTGAAGCGCCAAAAAAATCCAAAATTGTGGAAAACGCGCGCTTAATCTACACGGTTGTGATGGGAGTCGGGGTTTGGCGTGCTTTTTCGATGGAAAAGTTGGGAGATATCAAATTATTATATCAACAAATCTGATTAGATCAAGTCTCTGTGGGAGGTCTCGCTTTTCAATTTGGACTGACCCTCAACGGCAAAGCCTACAATGCCACACGCTAGTCCTGAGCCGTTTCGCCACTACCTACAACAACGCGCTGCAGCACTAAGTTGCCGCTTCAATATTGCCCCCCTTGTAGGCATCGGCGCGTAGTCTTCGATATAGTCGGGCAAGTGGTACATATAATAAAAGTTTGGATTTTGAATCGTAGATTTGCCAGCTCTCTCGGTCGAAGCTATAAAACGGATCCACTCCTGATGCTCTTATTTAAATCAACCATGTCTGGGCAGTCACTTTTCAGGGTAAAAAACGATTTTCATAATTCAGCAATGGAAAAAAGGTCACCCAGTATATTCTCTTATTTGCCGTCGTCAAAATAGTTGGCAATAAAAGTCGGGAAGATGTGAGTTAAAAAGAAATAAAAAACCGCTCAATCTCTGTTCTAATATTTGTATAAAAATTTTTAGAATGCAGTGGTTGGTATAACCTGACCCAAACTTTTGAGTCGCAGGCATAGCATAATAGGTAGTGCCAAAAAATGGCATTATACTAGCCTTACTCAAGGCAAACCTCGCAATGCCCAGCTCAAAATATTTATGATAATTGCTTTTAATATCATTACAATAACCCTACGTTGAATAAAAGGCTTATTCATATTGTCTTGAGAAAGCGTGGCATATTTTACCAATATACTTAAGTGATTTACTCATTTAATATTTCAGGGGTTATATTCAATATTTACGATATATCCTTAAAGCCAAAATATGTATTTTTAGGTTGCCTTAATTTAATTTGCTTTTGTCTGCAGTTTTTGGTTACCAAAACTTGCAGTACTTTTTTATAACTATTCGACAATTCTAGTACCTTAAATATCATAATTTCAAGCATACAAGCCTGAAAGCAAAATTATTGATTTGGTATTCATATTTTTTTGTATAAACCGCATTGGTGTAAATTCATGGCGCCAATACCATTATGTATTTTTATGGTTTTATTGTTGGTAAAAAATACGGTTTGTAAAACATATTAATTTTTGAGTACGCTGCAGATTTTGAAAAAAAAATTATCACTTGTGCAACATATAGTTGCTGATAAAATTTTATTTCATTTCATTTTTCATCTATAAAAGCGCCCCTCAAGCGGGCGCTGCAAAGCTTGATTTTTGTCTTTGAAGAGAAAAAACAAAAAGAAAGAAGCAAATATGTTTAGGTCGCTTTTTTTGTTGCCTACGCACTCCTGGTTACAACTGCTGTCTTGGTTCATTTTACTATTCTGTATCCATCACTGTAGGTTATCATCTTCTGGCAAGTTGCCGTCTTTGTTTTATCTTTTTTGTTGGGGATAAGCTGCGCCCGTTCGATTATCTTGTTTGCTTACGCTTGTCGCGCATTGCGCATCGCTTTCGTTCGTGTTTGCCAACTCATGTCGCCCCACCAGCGCATCTGGTTGCCATCGTCGTCGTCGGTGCTGCTGTCGAGATGATTCCGGGCGATTCGGGTGACTGGTGATACTGGCAGTGGCGGCAGGCCTGCCCTGCCCATTGGAGCAAGCGTCATACAGCAATAGACTCTATTTTTTAGCTGCAATTGTATAAATATAAGAATGGTATACAAACAACCAATTAATGCGAATACATTTATTTATTTTTCCCATTCCTGTTTTTTTGAGAATTTAGGGATCGGATTCTACACAGCAATGTTATGCCAGCAATGGAGGTGTTGCTTTTTAAGCGGTGTTTTTTGCACATTAGTATGGACATGCTTAAAATATCTCGAAAATGGCCCGATCATGGATTAGATTTTTATACATTATAACTGGCGATCAGATCAGCCAACGGATTTTTTAAACAGGCGCAGGTACATTTTTTCGCTTACCTCAATTGTTTTCGAGTTTTTGAGCTGCATTTTTGGGGCCCAACTTTTTTCTCATTTTTAGATTTACTTTTACTCTCATTTTTTATTTTTTGCTTTTCCTTAATACATTCATTTAATTACAATGCTTGACATCAACCTGTTCCAGGCCGAGAAGGGTGGCAATCCCGAGCTCATTCGCGAGTCCCAGCGCCGTCGTAACGCCAAGCCCGAGATCGTCGATGAGGTTATTGAGCAATACCAGGAGTGGACCGATGGTACGTGTAGTAAAGTATAGACGCGTGTGTATGTATGTATACGTGCCGGACTAGCTACCTATGCCAGTGCCGCTTGTCGATGCCTGAAAGGCGGTTTTATTAGTATAATAGAGTCACGCCAGTCCCACTCAATATGGCCCAGTCTTCCAGCTAATATGTGGTCTGGTCTGGTTTTATATTTTTATTTGCACGCATGATGTATATGCAGATAAATTATGCATCATTTTTATGCCCCTAGGAATGTTGGTGATGATGACTCACTGATACTGCTGCTAATCGCAACCCCACCACCTTTGTTTTTATCGTACTGGTAATTAGTAAAGTTCAGACTTGACGAGACCAACCGCAGCATCAACTCTGTCCAGAAGGACATTGGCAAGAAGATGAAGGCCAAGGAGGACGCATCCGATCTACTGGCCAAGAAGAAGGAGCTCGAGGCGACGAAGAAGGATCTGATTGAGGAAGAGCAGGTCAAGGACAAGGCGCTCCGTGAAAAGGTCGGCAGTGTTGGCAACATTGTTCACGACTCTGTCCCTGTGAGTGCCAACGAGGACGACAACGAGGTCATCCGCACGCACTTTGTTGGCGGCGTCGAGCCCACGCGCCAGACCAACATGCGCTCCCACCACGAGGTGCTGTACCTGCTGGGCGGCTACGATCAGGAGCGCGGCGCCAAGGTTGCCGGACACCGTGGCTACTTCCTCACCGGCGCTGGTGTTGACCTCAACCTCGCGCTGATCAACTACGGCTTGCAGTTCCTCGCCAAGCGGGGCTACACCAAGATCCAGACTCCGTACTTTATGCGCCGCGAGATGATGGCCAAGACTGCGCAGCTGTCGCAGTATGACGAGGAGCTCTACAAGGTTACCGGCGAGGGCGAGGACAAGTACCTCATCGCAACCTCCGAGCAGCCAATCTCCGCTTACCACTCGGGTGAGTGGTTCGACCAGCCATCCGAGCAGCTGCCCGTCAAGTATGCCGGCTACTCGACGTGCTTCCGCAAGGAGGCTGGCGCGCACGGCAAGGACACCTGGGGAATTTTCCGTGTGCATCAGTTCGAGAAGGTCGAGCAGTTTGTGCTGACCGAACCCGAGAAGTCGTGGGAGATGTTTGACGAGATGATTGCCACCTCCGAGGATTTCTTCAAGTCCCTTGACATTTCGTACCGCGTTGTCGCCATCGTGTCGGGTGCGCTTAACGACGCTGCCGCCAAGAAGTACGACCTCGAGGCCTGGTTCCCGCACCAGGGCGAGTATAAGGAGCTGGTTTCGTGCTCTAACTGCACCGACTTCCAGTCGCGCAACCTGGAGATCCGCTGCGGCACTAAGAAGATGGGCGAGCGCGAGAAGAAGTACGTGCACTGCCTCAACTCGACCCTCTGTGCCACCGAGCGCGCGCTCTGCTGCCTCATCGAGAACCATCAGACGCCCGAGGGTCTCAAGATCCCGGCGCCCCTGGTACCCTACATGGGCGGTCTCGACTTTATCCCCTTCGTCAAAGACAGCGTCCCCAAGCACATGATGAAGTGAATGACCATCGCCCTTTGACTTTTGACAATAAAAAGCGTTCAGTCTCGCTCACTTGCTTGATAAAAATATTGTTTGGAAACAGTTGAACATCTCGTTATAAATATATATCATGAGAAAAGAAAATCAATTAAAAGATCTCGCCGTTCCTCAAAATTTCTTCGCCTCCCTCAAAGTCCTGCGCGACTACAGTCGAGTTCTTTGCCAGCGACACAGAGTCGATTATAAAGCGCGGAGAGTGCCAGATCTGGTAGCCCTCGGGATCGGTCGGGTTGCGCAGAGGGCGCAGAGCGTCGATGCGCACGCGGTAGGCACCGGGCGTAGTCTCGAACGGCTTGGTCAGATCGGTGTCCTGGTAAAGCGTCCCGTTGATTGTCGAGTTAGAGTAGCGGCCGCGGGCACTCTGGTAATTGCGCCCAATGTACTCGACGTAACCATTGGGCAAATACCCCGTGTGGTATTGGCGTCGTCCACTAGACGCAACTTGAGCAGTCGCGTCGGATGCTCTAAGCGGTAGTGCACTACAAGTTTATGCGTACTGTCGATGATGACGTGGGCGTTGTCCTCGAGCATGTCGGTGCTCCCTTCAGGCTTACAAATGGCAGTCCACCCTCGGGCGCTGACAGCACATCGAGCTTTGTGTAGTCCCCTACAAAGCCTGTATACGGCACATGCAGTGACTGAGCAGTGCCAACCCGGTCATCCCACAGCAGGTTGAATCGCAGGTAGCCGCCGTAGAACCACTTGTCATTTGTGCTCAGTCCTGTGGGCGCGACGACGCGCACGTACACCCGCTGCGACGTGCCAGGAGCAACGCGAATGGGCAGGCCTGGGCTTTCAATATAGGCATGCGGCTGTGTGTCTGCTGCGACCACCTCGGTGCTGTTAACATTTGGCCACATACGCGGAACGGCCGTAAAGCTGCCGTTGGCCATGTACGACGACACGGACATTGCAGCGAGGCTGGTCATGGTGCAGGTCATAAAGTTGGTTGGACTGTGGTTGAACAGAGTCAGCATGCGAGTGCTTTGCCCAACCACGTGCTGCTGACCGTCCAGGCCCCAGCTAGCGGAGCTTTCGGCATCGCTTTCCGTATAGTTAAGCGACAGCCGTGACGGATCAATGGTTGCGAGTGCGTTCACCGAGTCCCAGATGTTGGCAAGGCCTGAGCCCTGGCGCAAGGGCGACATGATTGTGGTGCTGTTTGCCTCCAAGGCCGGATGTGCGCTTTCGACAATTAGCCTGCGAACTTCCTCGACGCCAATCTTCTTGGTGCGCGCCTGCAGGATCAGCGCGGCCATGCCGGCGACATACGGCGATGCCATTGACGTTCCTGAGAGAGATGTGTATCCGCCAAGAGCAAGGGGGAATGTGGAAAAGATGTTACCGCCGGGCGCACCCACAGCTGGCGACTGGTGCAGCTCGGGGTCAGGACCCCACGACGAGAAGCGCGAGATCTGGCCTCCAGCAGGGTTGCTGACGCTCCTGGTGTGGTTGGTGGCCGTGAGTGAAACGGCACCAACCTGGAGCTCGTTGAGGATGCCCTGGCCGTCTTCAGCTTTGATCACCACGAGTGGGATGGTGACGTTGGGGCTGACCGAGGTCGGTGACATCAGCTCGGCCTCAGTATTGTACACCATCACGCCGACTGCTCCGGCTGCCTGTGCATAGGCCGCCTTATCTACAAACGTGCAGTTACCGCGCTTGATCAACAGGATCTTGTTGGTGTACTTTTCCGCGTATGGCGCGCATCCCTCGACTGTGCCGGCGCCGTCCTTGGGAGCAACTACGCCAGCCGGGGTGTCAAACATAAAGCGGTACTTGTTGTTTCCGGGCGGTGAGTGGACGATTGACGTGTTTTTGTTGACACCAACAATATCAATGCTCAGACTAGTTATCATCCAGTTCTCAAAGGACGCGACGTTGATCACACCCACGCCAAGACCCGGTGACCCCGACGTATACAGGCCATTGGAGCCGTCGTTTCCGGCTGAGGCCACCATAACAATGCCTTTGCGGACCAGTCGGGACGCGGCTACTGACAATGGGTCCTCGCTCCACCCGCTTCCGCCGCCAAAGCTCATGTTGATAACGTCCATCCCATCGGCATAAGCAGCCTCCATGGCCTTGAGAATGACGTCATCGGCTGACTGGCCCGTACCGTTTCCAGGGCAGCCGAAAATCCGGTAGGCACCCAGCGTGACCTTGGGCGCGACGCCTTTAACCTTGGAACCTTGGGCTGCAATAATACCAGTGACATGCGTGCCGTGTCCGTCGCACGTGTCGCGTGGGTCAGGGCCTGGCTTTGGGTGTGGAGTAGTACCAGAGTCATAGCCGTCGCCAACAAAGTCGCTGCCATATTGGAACGGGCAACCAGGTGTCTTCCAGCAGCCACCCAACTCTGGATGCATGTAGTCCACGCCAGTGTCGATGACTCCAACCTTGATTCCGCGACCGTCCAGGCCGAGCTCGGCCTGGGCCCTGTCGACGCCCGTGTGCTGGTGGGCAAAAATAAGATTTGGCTCAACATTGGTCGACGGGATTGCTGTCGAGCGAGATCTCATCTGCATGGGCCAAGTGCGCTTTACGCTTGGCAGACCCTCCAACCGCTCGAGGTTGCGCGTGTTGGGCAAATCGATTGCCACGCCGTTGAACAGGCGTTTGAATGTGTTGCGCGTGTACATGTTAATGCCGGCAGCAGTGACCTCCTTGTAGAACTGCTTGTGCTCAGAATCGCATTCTGCCCTGGCCGGCTCGCCTTGGAACTCGACAAAGTAGGAGCCTGGCTGGATTGCTGCAAGCACAGGCGTGTTTTTGGACTGTAGCGGGATTCCGTATGCCAGGGCCGAGATTGCCAGGCATGCGAAAAATGAGATGCGCATTGGTGTGCGGTGTATGCAGTAATGATTTTAAACGGTGTGCAAATGAATAACTGAGGATGGGATGCCGGCAGTGTGTCGGTGGGAAGTGCCTATATGGGTGTTCGTGTTTGTGTGAGTGGGTGTGGGTGTGTGCGTGCTGTAGGCGGAAGTTGAAGGGGAAGCAGAGATGGTAGAAAAAGATATGTGTATAGATTTGCAGTTGCTAAGAACAGTCGTGGACCAGCAGTCGTAAAAGTGCGCGCCGTCCAAAAGTCGGATAATGAGAAGAAAACAAAGTCGCCTTGGAGAATGGCGGATATCGATTGTAAGTGGGCGGAACTGAAATCCCTTTTTAATTAATGGACGCTTAGCGGTTGGATGTTTTGGATACGTTTGTCACTTTTGAGAGCAAGTCGGCTGCATATGTGGCTTTGGATGTTTATATTGCAGCGCGGTCCGATCGATTGTTGTCAGATGCAGATGTGTCGGTCTTGGTTGCTGCGGGCTGAAAGATGAAAAAGGGCGAATGAAGAATATGAATAAAGAATATGCCAACGGACTACAAACAATTAAAGGCCGATTGTGAGCTGTTTATCAAAAGAATGAACCGTAATAGCACTGTGTATATGCTAGCGAGCGATGCGTTGAGTCCCTTTTAATGTAAGAAACAACGCTGGGCGGAAAAATAAGGCCGAGTGAGCAGGCCCAGTACGCAGACAATCGAAGGAGCACGACGAAGCAAGGAGAGGAGGTGCGCCAAAGGGTACGCGCTTTTGGCGGAGTATAGAAGATAAAAGGTAGTATGCAGGAGGGACTCGGGAATAGGAATAATGAAAAGGGAAAAGTAGATAGGAAATGTCGGACTAATTAGGCGGCATGGGCGGCAGTATATAAATGGGCGCTATCTGTCAAAATGTTATTTTGGCAAAAAAAATTACAGGCGTCGCACCCCCGACGCCTCTCTTCCGGAGATTTGCACACGATGCAATTGCGCTATATTAACGCTTGGCCAATGCTGGTGGACAACTGTGTTGATGGTAGTGTTGTTGTTGTTATTCCTGCTGCCGCATAAGAATTTGCTCGCAGTAGCACGCGGGAGACCATGGATATGCCTGCAACTACACGATGGACGATATGGCCCTGACGCACTCTCCCTGGGCATTGCAGCGATCTCAGCTGGCCAACGTTTGCAGCTTATAAGCCTTATTACACAGTAACAAAATGCGAGTACAAAAAAAGACGCCTGATAAGCAAGCAACTAGAATTTGATGCGCTGGACAAAAACTTCCACACTTCGCCAGAGAAAATAGATCCATAGATCCACTTGCTCCTTTGACAAAGCCCTGTCTGTGTTAAAAACTGACTGTTATAACCGCCATAACATGTGGATAATCAATCCGTGCACTGCCTGCGGGGATAAGTGGCCGTAGTAGAGGGTGCGTTCCTGGCTTTGCACCCGGCTGCTGCTGCTCCTGAGTTCCTACCAAATAATCGCACTTAATTCCATACCTTTGGCAAAAGGTGTTAACACACTGCCTTTAACGAAAGCAAAGGCAAGTGCGTAAACACAAGCTCCAAGGCTACCCCACGCAGGCTGAGAACTTGATCATGTGTATGCTAAGCCTGCACACCTCTGAAATGAAGCTGCTTTTGTATGGCGATTTAAATGATTATATTTTTATTCAATAGCATATCAAGCAGTATGCACATCGCAAGTTACTGACGCATTTGCCAACAAATATGCATCCCATTCCTCTCTATTTCCCCATGGCGAGTTTGTCCATTATTCTGGCATACTCCATGATAGCGCCGGATCTGTGTCAAGGCAAACTGCAGGAACTGCCCCCACCCCCCCATCATCTGTTCGCTGGACAAACGTCCATCCATCGGAGAACAGCCTCAGCAAGCGTATTTTTCTCCTGGTTTGATTGTCAGCTCATCGCCCTCAACAGACGAATACGGGTAGAGCACCGTAAACATATCGCTGTCGATTGACTCGGCGTCGCTGTAAATTGTATCCAAAGCGACCGATGGCACCTTTTTTTCCGATTCCCGCTTTGGTCCACGTGTATTTCCGCGATCAATCTCTACGTCGGCGATAATAGCCTGTGCAACCTCTGGACACCCACGCAAAGACCCGTCCCGTTTTCGAATTGTCATATCGCGAACAATGACGTTGTCGTCTGATTCAGAGCCCGTCCCAATGGCACTGCGAAATGTGTTGTATTTGTCGACTGTTTCGGAATCCGTGAGGTTTGATTTGTGCGCCGAAACCTTTGAGTCAAAATTTGCCATGGTGAGCCCGTATGTCTGAATTTTTGGCAAGTGAGTTGTTAGTATTAACGTCTGGTCTGAAGTCCTCCTGACACTGCAATCTGCTGAGGTAAAGATGGAGACAGAGGCGGCGGCGGCAGCAGCAGCCTCGTTTGGGGTTGTGCCATCATTTTTATCACTGTTGTTGCGAATATTTCTGGTAGCCTGTTTGTCTGAGCGCAGAATCAACCCGGTTGCTAATGTGTACACATTGTCCACTCGCGACAATAGCCTTGCACCAAGTGCACTATTGCACCATGCCCTAGTTTTGGATTCAAATCCTGACTGTACATGCTGTAACCCCCGATATCGAGGGCTGCTCGACTGCAGGCATCGCTAGGACTATCGGCACTGCGGAATCATTGTGCTGGTTGAACGAGTTCGCGGATGAAGATAGTGACGGTGGCACAAAACTGCACCAAAGGCGGCCCACCCCTTGATAAGCGCTAGAGATGTCGACCGCAGTGGTGCACCAGCCTGTACATTTGTGTTTGTGTCTGTGGTACTATTGTATGCCTGCCGGCTTCAAAATCCCGCCACAACATTGCCCTCTTGCTGGTTGCTTGGCAGCCAAAAATTTGGGATTTGGCATCGCAGTCGGCGCGATTCCGCTGGCAAAGATACCAAGCGACCAGTGTAAAAATGAGCGATAGCAGCAAGCCCATGATTCCCATCAGCGCCAAGTAGAGCGCCTGGCTGGTGGCTGTTGGTAGCCTGCTACACCGCTCATCCACAAGAGACAAGCGGCAACAGCGGCTTCTCTGGTGGCTTTGCAATACTCGCACATCCGATGGATTTCTTCCGTGTCTTGTTTGTCTGCTCCAAGCTGGCCTGTTGAGAAACCTATAAGCCAAAAAATATTGAATAAGGCGTACATATTGTTAGTACTCTTATATAGGATACGTTAATTCTAGAATGCAATGTGAACACAAATAAATATACATATAATGCGGCCGACACAATGCAAATAAGAGCAAATAAATGATCTCCCACTTACCACATATCTCAGCTTCGCTCTCGATGTTCGATACACACTCTCCAGCTTTGCCATCGTAGGGCCACGACTCGCAGCTCTCTCCAGGGATTGGCGGTTGCTTTCGGCCAAGGTAGTATTGGCGCACATATCGGTGTCGGAGGTCAGCGCTGACCACTCGCCCACATAACTGTTGCAAGCGCTGGCGCAAAGCGGCTGCGGCTTATAGTCTTGGTTGCACGCTCGGGCTTCGGCGCTTTCAAGAAGACTACGGCATGTATAGGCAATACGATAACGAGGCTTTGGATGCCCGGCCCAGGACTGGCAGCCAAAGAAACTGTTTATGTAGCGGAACTCGTCGGTAGAGCCAAAATATTGATCTAGAACTTTGTCAAAATCGCCTGCATCGACGACATGCTGGCCACTAATAGTGACGAGTGTCGACATTCTATGGTTCCGTATCCGCTGCCACTGCTGCCGCCGCAGTACTTTGAATTGTGCAGCGAAAAGCATTGAGGCGGGACGCTGGTGCTTCGAACTTGTGCACCGCCCTCCTCGTAGGGCGGCTTGGTGGCACGGTTATAAATGCGGACGCACTGTCGCGGCTGATGTCGAGCTAGTTCCCACGTCGATTCGCAACCCCAGGTGTCTGTACAATTCGAATCCCATGTAGCCTTCGGGAGCTGGGAGGCCGGCTTTTACAACGATAACTCCAGCTTGTAAAATATAAATGAGTGTCAATAATGTGGCGGCGGAACGTTGCAACATATATGCAAGGCCGAGTCGATGCGACATTTCCAATCGATTGATCAGCCAATGTGTATTTTTTGCAAGCGGCAACTCCTCACAATAGTTGCCGATAGTGATTGTGCTCGGCTAGATATTGAAAAATAGAAATAAATAACTTTTCTGTGGCAAAAAATCGGAAACAAAGCGCAATTCAAAAGAACAACTGTTGAATGGTTTTTCCAAAGGGCTGGTTCGAGCTTAAACCTGGCCAAACTTGCATAACCGCTTCAGAAGCGGTTATGCAAGTAGAAAAGACTGTCTACAAGCTGGCGCAGAGATTTGAATGAAATAATTAATTTGGCGCAACGTTTGCCAGCAGTGGTCTTGCGAACTTGTGGTCGAGAAGTATGTCAGTTGAGGCACATGATGTTGCACGTTGCCTTATGAGACTAATTGATTACGCGTGTGGAAATCAGAGCAATGATAAGGTTGACTGTAGTTTCTTTATGTCATAAGGAGAGCATATAAAAAGAGCGGCTGCCGGGCAGCCAGGAATTGCTCTCCTTGGAAGAAATAAATACACTTTAATTATACCCTGTTGTAAACAAGTATTTATTTGTAAAATGGGCATGTTCTCCACAACCAGATGTTTGATGTCGGCGATTTGCCGGTTGATTCATCAACGCCACGAATAATGTGTTGTTTGCAAAAGAACATTGATGTCTGCGTCTGCGCGCAATTTGCAGCCCCGCTGTTGAAACAAAGAAATAGATGTTTTATCACGTTTTCTCTTGCATCCACCCCTCGCTTTGGCACAATCCCCCGCACAAAACTCTAGATCCCCTCAGCATCGCCCCTATTCTCCACCTTTGTACTTTATATACCAATGCCTCCCCGTTCTTTTAATTCCACTCACCACAAAGCGGTCACTGGAGCAGTCTGCCGATTGACGGGCGGCCGGCCGATTGCCATACTGGCGTGCAAATAAAGGATAAAACCCCCACGTGCCCGCTGCCGCTGCCTCAATAAATAAAATAGGACAAAACGTTTCTGCGCCCTGGCTTTTCATCATCTTTATTTTTCCATTCTTATTTTTTACAAGGCCAATTGGGCTCTTTTTTGCATTTTGTTTTGTGCCCTGTGCCTTCTACTGTGAATTCCAATTCAGCCCGCAATTCAACTCGAGCGCGCAACGCTGTGCACAGGCCCTGCTATATACCATTTCTGCTTGGACACGCACTGCAGCCTTTTGCAAATTACTTTCCTTGTTTATTTTTGCACAGGCCCTCATTCCTGACTTTTGCACTCACATCTGCGTGCACGGCCCTCCATTCCTTGCATTTGCCTCAACCCCACAGGCCAATACTGCGAATACATCTGGCTGCACAATGCAGAGCGGTTCGGCCGAGCATGAGCAGCGGATGCGGCTGAGCATGAGTTTGAGCATGAACTCCCGGACGGCTGCTGGCACAAGGTCAGTGCATCGTAGCAGTCCCAATGCGCCCGGTCGCTCACGTGAGAACGGGGGCTTATTTCCTCAGCACCCGTCTCGCGGACACTCGGATACGTCCATGTCTGTCATCATCCCCGACATGCCGTCGCCGTTGAGCTCAGCCCCGTCGGCACTTGCATTCAAGCACGATCGGCGACGAGACTTTTTTACTGACAACTCGACGTTCGCCGCAGCCACGGGTCGCCAGTCATCAGAAAATGCGGGAATACACTATGACATTCGCGAGCGCTCGACGGCAGAGCCCACAGATTCCCCGCTTCGCTCGACGAGCCACACAAAGTCGCCCACAGTCATTCAAATCGACACTAGCGGCAGCGAGTTGCCAAAGACTTCGCGCACAAACAGCCGCAAAAACAAGAGCACGAGCAAGAGCAAGAGCAGCGACAGCAGCCTGCCGCTGTTTCGGCGTGCGGGCAGCGAGAATGCCACACATGACGCGCATCGCGGTGGCTATGGCCCTAGCTCTCGCCTGCCCCGTTTTATCCTCGACAGACTGCACAATTCGGAATCTGGAAACACGCCTGCAGCCAGCAGTGCTGACAGCTTGGCTGCCGACAGCAGCCGGGCAAGCGTTGTCAGTGGCAATTCGGCCGCGATGGGCTCGCCCAAAAGCGCCACCAGCGTGTCTGCAATGCAGGCCATGCTCGAGCTTGAAGAGGCAAAGCTGTTGTCGGCAGAGCGCAAGGGCCAGCTGCGCGCAATCGATAGCGTGTTGTCAGAAGAGCAAAAAATTGCGTATGTGGGGCTTGTGTATGTGTTGCTGGTCGACATCCAAGATCGCCTTAATGTGCAGTTCAAGGAGTCACAATCATCAACGGCCAGTTTCATGAATTTCTCGCGCCGCCTAATGCTCAAGATGTACTCGCATATCCAGCTAAACGCCGACGAGCAGCGCATGGTAGAATTGCTTCCGCGTCATAAAATCACTGCCGCAGACATGGCGCTGTCGCTTGCCGCGCAGGGAGATACAATTCTAGTCGAAGCCGACCAGGATCTGGCCGTCATGCACAGCCAAACGGATGAAGAGCTGGTGCAGGCGCTTCGCGGCAGCTTTGAGTGCCGCTCTAGTTTTGAATCTGAGCGGCAGTCAAAGTCGCCGTGGCAGATAATGCGGTGGGACCAGAAGGACGAGGATGTCGAGCTTTATTCGCAGTACGCAATGCTTCCAACCGAGAGCCTTGATCCGGAATCAAAAGTGCCGGCTGCGTGCGAACCGGCATCTGCGCCCACTGTCGTTGGCGACGGTCTAAGGACAGACACTGACAGACCACAAGTGTCTGGCGTTGAGTTGAGTGCTTGTAGCACTGGCCGCCGCTCGCATGGCTCGACATGTAGCAGACCCAGCTCTAGTAACGGGGGATTGGAATCTGAGCTGGCAAAAGATGCAGATTTTGACCAAGCATTCGCGCCAGACTTTACAAAATTTGGCCACACCGAAATCAACGCTGCGATAACCACCAGCACCGACGCTAACACCGATGCACTAAGCGCATTGGATGATGTAACGCTAACAAAAGTAGACGCTGACCAGCAGCTAGCCATTGACGTGCGTGCGACCCTCATGTTAGACATGTTTCTGCTACTTTTGAGTGATGAGGTATACGATAGCCGCGGCCGTTACTTGCTCCGTCGCCTGGCCGAGGCGCTCAAGTACCCATGGGCCGAGGTTATGCGCTGCGAGCGTCGCGTCACTCATCAGCTCAGCCTGCACGACTACGCTGTAGATGTGACCGCGTCCACCAAGGGTACCACCGAAATAGCAATCAAGGAGCGGGCGGACAAGGGAAAAACTCGTCGCATGGTTATTATCGGCCTAGCGACTGTCGGTGGCGGCCTGGTGATTGGACTCAGCGCAGGGCTGCTTGCGCCAGCTATTGGTGCGGGCATTGGCGCCACTCTGGGTGCCATTGGAGTAGCAAACACGGGTGCTTTTTTCGGCAGCATTGGCGGCACGGCGCTCATTACTGGTGCGGCGACGCTGACAGGCAGTAGCCTGGCCGGGCGGCAAATCACCCGGCGCACTCGCTTTGCCGAGCAATTCGAATTTATACCATGTATAGACGAAAAGCAGACAAACCTAGTCCTCACGGTACCCGGCTGGCTAGGCAAGGCAGACAACGGTGTGTTTGCCTTTTCGACGCTCGATCCTCTAAATGGCGACCATTTCAGCCTTTTGTGGGAGTCGGAAGCGCTGCGCCGGCTGGGAAGCTCGCTGCGCATGATTGTTGGCGAAGTCTTTTCGATTACCCTTACGCAGACGCTGCAGCACACAGTTCTACCGAGTCTGCTCGGCCCGCTGTCTATCCCCATGTGGCTGGCCAAGCTGGGCTATGTGCTCGACAACCCGTGGTCCAGCGGCTGCGAGCTTGCCACCAACGCCGGGCCTGTGGTTGCTGACTTGCTTCTTCAGCGGGTCCAGGGCCAGCGTCCTGTCACGCTCATTGGTTACTCCATCGGCGCCCGGCTGATTTTTTACATGCTTCTCGAGCTGGCCAAGATGAACGCCTACGGCCTCGTCGAGGATGTTTACTTGTTTGGAGCGCCGATTATTGCCTCGGAAGAAGACTGGCGCACGGCTGCCAGCGTGGTTGGTGGCCGCTTTGTGAATGCATACAGCACCAAGGACTGGATTCTTGGCTTCTTTTATCGCACTACTAGTCTCGGGCGCATGTCGATTGCTGGCATGCACCCGATATATGGCGTCAATGGCCTGGAGAATATAGACGTATCTGACGAAGTACCAGGCCACAACGCATATCGCGAGGTCATCCCCATTCTCCTCAAGGGCATGGGCGTTCCGGTGACCAGCACGACACTGCACGATCCAAACGAGAAACCGGGCGATAGCGAGGACGACCGCGCTATGATCAATGAGCTTGAAAAGGCCGCGGAGATGCTGGAGGAGCACGAGAAAAAGAAGAAGAAAGTTTGGGCGCGACGCTGGTCGTTCTGGGATTCAGGGTCAACAGTTAGAGGAGGCAACTCTGCAAGCGATTCGTCTGTATCGCCCACCTCTAGCTTGACCGGCAATAATTCTGCGGCTGCCGCCCAAGGTGAGGTTGATGCTGCTGCTCGTGAGCTTGCCGAACTGGGCATTCAAGTCAAGGAAATGCCATCGACGTTGCCTGCACTGGTCGTTGTGCGCGACCCATCACCCGCTGTTGGCAGTGGTAGTAGCGGCAATAGTAATGGCAACGGGTTGCCTGCGCATTCCTATGCCTAAGCGTGCCGCTTGCCTGGTTTTTATTGTTCTACTTTGGCAAATGGTTACTGACAAGGAAATATGCAATTATTACCACTAAAAGAAAAGGAGACTACAAGTATGCTGCAAAACGACATCCTTTTCCCAGTTTGACTAGCAACCTATAAAGTGCTTAGAAACAAGTTGCAATAGACCACTATGGTTGACGATGTTAATCAGTTTGATGCTTTTTTTAAAGAGAAGCGAGGGCAGATGAATTCCTGCGCACGCGCTTGGGCTTGGGCTTTGGCTTGAGCATCGCTGTAGACTCGGGTTCACCTGACTCTGACAATGCCTTTTTGTGTTAAAAATAAGGAGGCATCTGGTCTGTAACTAGAGCATTGAGGATGATGCGAAAGTTTAACACCCCAACCATGTCGCAACTCCACTTCCTTCTGCCTGATGGCACTTTTCCCCATCCTTGATTTTGGTTCCGTTGGCCCTGAAGGTTTGCAGGCAGTCTTCCATTGTGCACTGGAGCAAGTCATGGCATAAATTTTGGCGAGGTTTTCTACCGCCATAACTATATTCATGCCTGTTATGGCTACCTGCTCCTGTTGCTGCTACGCGGACAACTCGTCGCGCATCCTCTGCCTGACTTGGCGCTCAATTTTGCCCCCACGACCAACCGCTCAGCCTGACAATGCGCTTGGGATTATCAGCGGGTTAGAGATTAATGCACTGCCCTCGATTCCGCTCAGCCAGCTCATCCCGCAACTGCTGCTTAATTCTACGGGAAATTTTTTGCTTAGACCAGCCCTTGTTCTCCCCTATCCATCAGATGATATCGGCAAACTGTGGGTGAATAGGTATCCACTGGTTGCAACTCCGCTGTATACTTTCTGTAAAAGATGCGGCGTCGCCAGCAGTTTTAGTTGCAACAGAAATTGCAGTGACTGTTGCTGTGACAGAATTGTATTAATATAATTACATTGTTAAACGTCGCGCTTAACCTATAGCCAAAGCACCAGTCAGACCCAAATTTCAAGTATTCCCCGCATTATCAAAAATTGAACTTGCTGATTTCTTAGGCTAAAAAATTGGGAGAAATAGATTTTAAAAATCCTCCGCTTAAAAATCTAGACTTTCGCTATGAATGTCTGGAAATTACAAAATATATATCCACTAGTGTACTGCAGATGGTACCGCCACAAACAGTGCCCCTTTTGATCGCCTACCCCCTCGTCTTGGCATTTTTTGTACAAATGAGCACAAAATCTGTGTGATAATTTAACGTTGGAAATCTAAAAAATATTTATAGAGTTTTGGACAAAGTCCTCCATCTTCTTTTTAGTCTGATTTTACCCAGTGAGGATTGAGCTTCCAGGCAGTTAATAGCCGCTATGTTGAGAATAATAATATTGTATTGTGCTTGGGCGCGGCATTCGGATTAATTGGCAATTGAGCAGGGAGTTTGAAAACAGGGTGGCCTTCACCAAATTTGCGACGATATAGGAATATCATAATGAAATTACACACCGATGCAATGCAGAGGTTCCAATACCTGAACTTAATGTTGGACTCGACAGTGGCCTTGGTTTCACCCTTGAGCGCCAGCTTCAAATTCTGTGAAATGTCGCATCTCATTTTATGATTTTTGGGAACATATAATAAATTGTGTGATTTTGAATATTGCATTTTTTGAGTAAGCTGCAAAACAAAAACTGAATAATAAAATTGTAAGAACTATTTCCAATACAAGTCGACTGCTTTGCATTTTCATTTTTAAACTTGGAAAAGTACATTGTTCAAATAGTTAAGCTAGTGTTGCTAACAATTTTTATGCAGTTCTTATAGTTACATTTTCTGAACTAACGTTTAACTCACCAGAGGCACAGCTTAAAATGACTATTACATTTATTTTTTTGGAATCTATAGATACGACAGAATGAATAGACGCGCGACCCCCTTTAAAAAGATGCATAATTATAAACTCGTGTAACAGAAACAAAATTCAATTAGTTATAAATATGATGAACTCAGGCTAAGCAACTGGCCACATCTCAATTTTTTGACTATGCGGCGACAAATCAAAAATGATTCTGTAAAATATTTACTTTCACTAACCCCCACAAAAACGAGGCGGACTGCAAACAAAATAAATGAGCGTTTTGTTTCAAAAATCCCAATAAAACACGACGTTGGCGCGCCGCTTGTCCCAGGTCGAAAAGTGGCATTGATTGTGCACTCACTTTGCATTTTTGGCTTCTTGTAGCTTTATTACATGTGTTTTCGGTGGCGCTTCGAAAGGATCTAAATACAACAAAAACAGCAGCTCTTGTCTGAATTCAACCTATTTTAAGCCGGTCACCCCGACGATCTGCTTGGTCCAAAACCTCAATATTTCCCCCAAATAAGCTGGGGCAATATTGGAAACAATTGGATTAAAAATATTATGCGGATTCATTACTGATATTAGAGGCTTAGCCTTTGTGGAAATGCAAAATAAAAATGTAAAACAATCTGTCAACAACAGCAGCGGCAATTTGCCCTCGCAAAAAAATTAGGCGAAAATATATTGTTTACTTGGCTATTTTCCTGCCTATGCTGCCATTGGCAAAAAACACTCCAAAAGTTTGTTTTTATGCAGACGTATCGAGTAAACGAAAATTAAAGTATGCATACATACATACAAACATAGCTTGTGCGTTGTCTTTAATTACACACATGTAATATTTTTGTGTCGAGCGCCTCCTCATGAGAAACCACTATTATAGGCTATTAATTATTTGGATGTTCGGTTTTGTGTTGATGATGCGCTCTTGAGAATTTGGGGACCATTTAATTGCCACCTATTTGTGTCTGCTTCAACTGCATTAAACACCATTTTCCGTTTCGAATTTTTATGTACCGTTTCCATTTATTCAATCGCCGCACCCTCAGCCATGGTCAAGCTGCATCTAATGCAAAACACAAGTACAAGCATTTATTTCAAGTTTCAGCTTTTTTCTTTTGTTTAGTTTTTTTTTCATTTTTCATTTTGTTTTCTTTCCACCGTGGTATTTTGTATAATTTTAATTGCGTATACGTGCAGCACATTTAGTTTTTATTAAACTGTACTCTATTATATTCTTCCTTTATTACCACACCATGGCAGTCTAAAGTAACCGACACTGCTTGTTTGATTTTGTACACGAATCACGAATATCACTCTCATATAGTTTATTTGTTTTCACATAGTTTTCACATTTACTATTTGCATATCATATCACATATTACTGTCACCACGACGTAAATGGTAGCACAACGCGCGCACAACTGTCGACTGCATTTGTACATTATTTACATCTTGTTGGCCCTAGTGGTCGGGCTGCCTGGGTCAGCAGCCGTAATCATATGTGGTGCTCAGCAGTTTACTAGTTTCACGCTCTACCAGGACCCCTTGGTGCTTGCCAGTGGCCGTTTTGTACCAGCTCATGTATCGCTTTTGCCCGGATGCACACTGGACTTGGATGACATGACAGCACGTTTGACACGCAAACCAGCGATTTTGGATGCTGCACCCATGGCTGTTATTGTGTGGGAGGAGGCGGTTTCCGCGGGCTGCTATTCGTATGCCCAAGTTGCGAAGCTGCTAAACCAGGATGACATATCATCCGTCCGGGGCGTTGTGTTTGGAAGTACGGTTAATACGGATCAATTACCGTTTGGCAGCCCAATCGTCGAACCACTATCAGAATTATCATCGGTTAGTACGACTGGCCTACGCCATTTGACGTTGACTGCTGCATCCACGGCAAGGACTCTGTCAGCTATGTCGCGGGCAGGCGCCACCAGCAGCAACCCACAAAATATTACATTCCAGCTAACAGCCGAGACAAACCCGTGGCTGGCCCTGACCAAAACTCCAGAATACCTTGCACAAAAATACGCATTCATGTGTGTGTCAATTCTGCTTATTTTGTATACCTTCTGGGAAATTGGACTGACCCTGTGTACCATGGATGCTTGGAACCGCCGCATTTTGATGTACATATTGGCAATTGCATACCTAATTGTCTTTACGCTGCTGCAGCCATATGCGACTGGAGATCGCGCGTCGCAGATGGTTGTCCTTGTCTCGTGGATATTCGGCTATATCAGCTTTTCTTTGTTTGTCGTAGCCTGGGGTACTATGGTCGAGACCATCCACAACCAAGTAACTGTGCTGCGTCATCACAGCAAAGTACATTATTCTGCTACTGCAGTAGTCTCATTATCAATTCTGCTGAAGCTGCTAGCATTTGCAGCACAGTCATACCAACTGGAGGTCGTTGTCAACATGGTTCTAGCTTTCGAAATACCTGCTATTTTTGGTGTCCAAACACTTTTGCTTACAATACTCATTTGGTCGTTTCTCAGCCGCACATTCGGCATTGCCATTTCAAAGCACACCAAGGCCGCTGTTCACAATCTGGCCGTCCTGTGTGTCATTGCTCTTCTTGGATGCCTGTGCATTGTTGCGCTTAGCATAACTCTGGCAACGCCTGCCAGATACACCTTACATGGCTATATGGCTGTTGTTGTGTTGTATGAGCTAGGTCAGTGCCTTTTGTTTATAGCCATTTTTGCTGCACTCTGGGTGAGGGACCACGCCCGGCGCACACGCCATCTGTACAGCCAGTATGAATTCTACGTTGATTCCAAAGTAGAGTTTATACAGCATGATGCACTGAACAGCTTGCATATGCCCCGAACCAACAGTCATGTTGGACTGCTTGAAAACGTCGAGTTGCATGGTAATTCCACTGTATGCAATATGTCAAGGCCTGCCTTTCACATGTCACCAGTCCTGCCTGTTGACAATTCTGCCTCAAGGGAATTTACTGCCACAAGATACTCGTTAACACCCCCAGCAACAAATTCAATACCCGCTCTACTCAGTGGACCAATGGGCACCATTAGACAGGTACGTGGCCACGATCACATACAGTCAGGTGGGTTAGAGCGCAAGACCAGCAAGCGACATGTGTATGTGCCACTTGAGCCAGCATCAGCTCAAATAATGAATAGGAGCCTTAGTAGAATCAACCACTATTGACAACATTATATTTTTAATTAATTTTGTAAATAACATTGTAAATTTAAAGTCACTATGTAAAAGCTAATGTGTGTTTGTGTGATGCCGAAACAGATCATCACATAAGCCCATTTCAGTCGAGAGGCCATGAGCTACTGCATTAATGCCGAATAGGCATTTATACAATAGTAGTGGAAGATTTAAATTGTCTATAAAAGAGTAATTAGGGAAGGTTCAATAGGAGGCTTCCCTAAGGAATTTTGCGATTTAGTTTTAACACAAATTGATTAATATATTAAAAATAGTATTCTCAGTTTTCAGGTCCGACATTGTTTTACCTTGGTAAAACATATATATTCAGTAGTTGTTGGGTTCCATTATACCTAGGGGTGTTGATCATGGCAAGAGTGGGTTCAATTCTCAGAACAGCCTCACCCTCACTGTCTGCTGAAATGACGTGATCAAGTGTCCCTAACCTATAGAAGCACATGCAATGCTCTAGAAAAATGTGGTTCTGAATTATTATATGCAAGTATCCAAAAATTACTTAGGGAACTAAAAAAAGCAGTGCTGTAGGCAGCACTGCGAATATAATGTTGTTCCTGTGAAAAACGAGCAAAACAGAGCAAATAGAAGCTTTGCAAGTTATATTTAAAAGAAAAATGGATAAAGTTTTAAGCTAAAGAAAGTGAAGAGACTGAGGAAAGCTGTCTTTTATATAGGAGACAGCGAGTGAAGATAAGGAACGTAAATAAAAGAGAAGGATACTTTAGAAACTTCTGGTCTTGAAATTATCTTACAGTACCCAAGATGGAATTATGCCAAGATGGAACTCCAACAGTTCCTTGATGTTGGCCAGCAATAACAGAAATATGTATAGCAGCCATGAGGGTTATTTTGATGCTTGGGAAGGAATATGTTGGGCACCACAGTACATTCTATGGCAAACTTGGTCATTTCATTTTGATACCATGTTTTTTGTGATGCTAGACATATTCTTTATTTTATATTTTAATATATGATATTCAGTGGCCAGAGCATGAAGTGTTGACCAATTTCAGCAACAAAGTACCAAACAGAAACAAATTCATTAACCAGTTCAGTAGAAGCCAGCAGCAGGTGAGTGTAGTAAACCCTCTGAAGTGACTGCAACCAGCAACACATTTTATCAGGTAGTAGCACTGCCAAGCAAAGTGGCCAGATCCCCCAGAGGGTAGATGACAAATGGTTATCAATCTTTGTGAACGAATATAACAAACCAGATTACATGTAGATGATAGCCACCACTTAGAGAATAGTTGATTATGAGGAGGAAGATATACCAAAATTCACCATGTTTGCTATTTGATAAAATGAATCTAGAATCAATTTATCTCATGTCAAAAACTAAGGAAAGAGAAGAGAGAGAAACACATTTTGTTGTTTTTGCAGTCTTTGTATCTCAGTTAGTTGCCAATCTACAAAGGAGACAAAGTTGGCCACCAAAAAAAGAGGGCTAACACCTGCTGCAGAAGAGAGTAGGTGAACATCACAGGGATACTAGAGGGCAAACTATGTTGGAATTATATCTTACCTACTGTCAGACGATCAACATTATAGAAGCCTCTAAAGTGTTCTTATCATTTATTTAATATAACTTGCAAAACTCTGCTTCACTCTACTTTGCTCGTTTTTTGCAGTTCATAGGGACAGGAGATGATGGCTGTGATAATCGCAATTTTACAATTGCAATTGTTTGAAATTGTGATTGTTTATGATCACAATTTCTATTTCCATTATCCATAGATTTAAATAGATAAGCAGAGCTCTTTATGCTCCTTTAGAGTGGATTTATATATAAAATATATTTTATACAAACTATTCTTATTATAATGTTTGCCTAGTCACAGAACCAAAAGTTGCAATGTAGTTGGCATTGGCACAATTCAATCAACATCTCCACCCCCACTTGAATGGCATATATGCCCTACCACCAGTATGGTAGGCAGAGCACATGCTGTGCATGGATGTCAATTATAAGGAAGTGCTTGCACCCATCTTGACAATTGAGTATGAGAAAGCAATCTCAGAATTACCATCTCATAAGGCACTTGGTCAAAGCAGAGTAGACATTGAAGTGCTCCTATACCAGGAGAGGTGAGCAAAATACCTCATGATTGACACCTTTAATAACATCCTTAGTGGAAAGAGGAGCTGCCCCATGCATTGGAAGGATACCAATATCATTTTAATTCCTAATTTGCTGACAGTCAGCAAGCATCTGGGACAACACCACCCAATTCCCCTGCTTGAGACCAAGCAAGTAGTCTTTACATAGATACTTACAGACCAACCAATATACACACTTGTCTCACAGAAGATACTATGTCCACACACACAATCTGTCAATAACTCGCAAAGCTTCTCTTTGCTCAGCTTTGTGAGTTATATTTAAAGAATGAAAAAGATAAAGGTATAAGCTAAATAAAGAAAGTGAAAAGATTGAGGAAAGCTGTCAATTATATAGGAGACAGCAAGTGGAGATATGAAATGTAAATAAAGAAGGATACTTTAGAAACTTCTGGTCTTGCAATCATCTTACAGTATGCAAGACGTAATTCCAACACAACCAACATGGAAGCATGGTCCACATTGGTAGGCATCTGCACTAATCTAAGAATGACCAAACATGTCTAATACCCACCACCAGACAACCTAGCACCCATCATCTTGGATAGAGAATGCCAGCAGATGGGTTTACGGCTGAGGTCATAAGACTGGTAAGAGAGCATGTAATGAACTAGCTCAGAATGGTCAAATGGTAATTAATAACAGACATTATGGTTCAGTATCTAGTATGGACCATAGTCATTCCTGCCCTGGAGTATATTACTCAGGGTATCCCACTCCTAGAATCTCAAATTTTGTTTCTGGCTGCTCTAATAGGAATTGTAATGCACTATGGATTTAGCACACAGCAAATTCCCATTATAATTTTTGACCACTGTAAGGGCATGCACATCCCACTACTCCAGACATAAGTGAAGGCTCCTGAATTACTGTGCAATCCAGCTAACCAACAAGCAAGGGGTAGCATGCTTTGCAGATTTGTGGCCACACTGCAGACTGCCACATGGATAAGCTGGAATCCTTGGGTGACATACAGACATATATGCACATGTCAGTCAATAGGGCTACCTCCTAGCCACACATGGGATGGCATATGTTAGCCTCTTGGCAAAGTGTCTGGTCTGGCACACTACAGCCTGTTATTGGCATGCTATGCCTTGCAGAGGATCCAACGACAACCATTTTGGAGTTGTTTCAATGTGTGCCAGAAACTACAACCCAATGCCCCTTCATCTCATAAAATAAATGTTGATTGGTAATACTCTCTGAGGTAACATGGCCACCATCTCTTCAAACCCACCAGTGTCAATACCAGTGAGATACACAGTTCTCCATTACTACAAAAATATTTTGGCATATTGAGCTCTCATAACCTCAAAAAGTGAATATTTGGAGAATAGCCCTACTATGAATCCGGTGGAACTGTCGCATACTGTAGATGATGCAGACAGATGCTAGATCCTCTATATTATCTTCTTATTTTGTCCTGTCTCCTATATAAGAGACAGTTTCTCTCTTTATATTTTCTTCCTTTTAATATATCTACAAGCTTCTCTTTGCTAGCTTGCTCGTTTTTCACACCTACAACCACAGATACATAAGTGCATGCTATAATCTGGCAGGCAATGGGGGATATGATGACAGCTCTAACATGGTCATTTTCCTTAGGAAACATGTGTGTGCTTCTCTGGACAGAGAAACTAGTCTCTGAGTGAACCTGTATAATGACATTAGCATTTACATGGATGGCTCACTTGTTAAAAAGAGGGATAAGCCAAGCATGGCCTTTGTCACAATAATGACATGCACCAACTGCAAAAGATGGTTACACTAGTATTCCATGTCATAATGGACATGGATAGGGATTATCTATGATGGATTAGCATTTTTGGCTGTACTGATACCATTTACAAGGAAACTCAGTCTACTATGACATCCAATAAGCTATTGAGATTGCTCAAATGATTATAGACAAATGGGATAGTAGAGAGCTGGTCTCCAAACCTGACCAAGAGTATCTCGACTGACTGATGTTCTTAAGTATCAGACCCATATGAGGTACTCAATATTTAGTGGGTGTACAACATATGGCACAGAGTTGAACAAAAAAACTGTTAGGGCTGCCAATACAGCACATATAGGGTAATCTATGATTACTGCAGTATGGATGGAAGCTGTGGACAAAAAATACTCTTTTGGGGAGGGATGCCTAGCCTACCAGACAGGCTTTGTCGCTGATGGGTGATAGCTGAATGAGCAAGGCCCTGATGGAGCAAATCACAGCAATGCACATTAAGGAAGAGTTCTTTTCCAGAGAGACTAGCAGCATAATAGGCAGAGGCACCAGAAAAAAATAATACTTGACACTGCACCAACAGCAACATCATCACAACTGCCCCTGACTTCTAAACTGCTGCTAAAGACCTTGTCTATGGCTATTAGAGGATAATGAGAAATTATAATTATCTATTTATTAAAGTCTTAAAATAATGCAAAGAAAATGAAGAAGGAACTACCAAATTATTGTTGTGGTTGTGTGCCATTATAATTATTTTCAAAGAAACTGATCATCATTGGCTCTGAGCCAATGATGACAGTCACCACCGTCCTTCAGATGATGAATGTGGCAGTGGATAAAGATGGTCAGTATCACAAGAATGCCTAGCCCATCACCAATACATATGACTCCTTCCATTGCTTTTTACATTAAAGGTACTTGTGACATCAGAAATGGGGGTTGAGTCATGGATAATGCAGATGTGTGAAATATGTTTATGATATTTCAGGCGTACAGCAAATTCTGAATAGCAAGCTTTTTAGCTCTTTTTGTAGTCTCTTTTGAATAATATTTATTATAACCAGTATTATTCTCATTACAGTATCCTCTTATCCTCACTACTGTAGTAAACAGACAGTGAAAATGGTACCCCAACACATATCCCAAACCAAATACATGTCTATACCCATCACCTGGCTGTCAGACTATTGAGATACAGGGCACATGCTTGCATGTTCATGATGGGAGCATAACATTCTGATGTGAAGGACTTTCACTGGAATCTTTGGGACCCAGTCATGCGTTTTATGGCTGAGATGGTTAACAGACTGCAGGTATATCCAGGGTCAACACATGATATATGTTGGGATTCTGTTCTTGGTGGAACTCCGTCTTGCATACTGTAAGATGATTGCAAGACCAGAAGTTTGTAAAGAGTCATGATTTATTTACGTTTCTTATCTTCACATGCTGTCTCCTATATAAGAGACAGCTTTCTTCAATCTCTTTGCATTTTTCTTTCTCTAAGCCTTTATCTTTCATTAAATCTATCTTTTTAATATAACTTGCAAAGCTCTCTTTGCTCTTTTTGCTCGTTTTTTACATTGATAGCTTGGTTGTTGGCAGCACAACAGCAGAAGATGGGATACTTGCAGCTGAGACCAGCTTTGGGGCTCTGGCCAGTCGATGCTTGTCATAGCAGGTGTCAGGGACTATGTAGTAAAGACCATCTTCAAAGTCTGCTGCCATGATTGCTTCACCATCTTGTACACAAATGCACGATTTTGGAAAAGACACATCCAGCCCATGCTGTGAAATGTTGCTGACTGACAGCATGTTCATCACTGACTGGGCACATGGTGAACATTGCATACTACAAAGTTGCTGCACTGTCACCAACACTGACTTGGCCAATACCACAGATCTTGGCAACTGCACCAGACATGCCCATGATGTCTCCTGAGCAGGGTGAGTAGCTGACAAAATCCTCTCTGTGTGGTGTTGTGTTGCCATAGCACCAGAGTCCAGCATCCAGGCAGATGGGTTGCTGAGCAAAGGCTGAGCAGATATGCTTGAGCCAGCAACCAGGTGAGAAAGTCCGCCTATGAAAACAGACCTGGAAGAGCCCTTGCTGCCTGATGCTGAGTCAGTAGTATCATGTCCAACTGAGGGGCAGTGCTTGGCAATGTGACCAGGCTTGTCACAGAGCTGACAGAGCAGTGAGGAAGAAGCTGAGATGGTGTAGCCACTGGCCTTAGTATGAGTAGATGCAGCAGCTTGGTGCAGTGTAAAGCGTCCTTGATAGCTACAAGAATATCAGCAGTCTTGAGCTTGGTAGGTGAGACATTGGAGAATTTGTCCCTGACAGAACTGTACTCCTCAGAGAGGCCAGCAAGGCGCACAAGTGGACTAATGGTCTTGAGATCAAGGTCCAGGTGGGGGGAACAGGTTCCACTTGTGATAAACAGCAGAGTCAAACGAGCCAAAGCTGAGCAAAGAGAAGGTTTGCAAGTTATATTTAAAAGGAAGAAAAAGATAAAGTTCTAAGCTAAAGAAAGAAAGTGAAGAGATTGAGGAAAGCTGTCTCTTATATAGGAGACAGCGTGAAGATAAGAAAGGTAAATAAAAGAGAAGATACTTTAGAAACTTCTGGTCTTGCAATCATCTTACAGTATGCAAGACGGAATCCGTCAAGACGGAGTTCCACCAAGAACGGAACTCCAACACATTTGTCACTGCCCATGAGGAGCACAGTCCTAGCTCGACACCCCAGCACACTCCAGTTCGCCATTCTTCAGCCACAGCCACAAGTACCAGCAACAGGAACAGCAACAGCAGAAACAGTACATCAACCACTGAGCCACTAGGCAGAGAGCCCTTTTCTGGGCATCCATCATCTCTGTCAAGCCGCAGTGCTCAAGATACTACCAGCACCAGTGTCAACATCCACAGACACCAGCCAACCAACCCATCTCCCTTGAGGCTATCGTCTACTGCTGCCAGAGCTACTGACCCAGTAACAGCCATGCTCAGCCGTCGCTCAGCAGCCTCAGCAGCCTCAGCACGAATCACTGACATTGCTGCTCATGAGCAAGGCACTCTCACCACTAGAAACAGCCAGCCTACAACAGACTGGTGGCGAGTGGATGACAGAGTGCAGGCCGACAGCACCAGCATGCCCAACCATGATGTCGACTATGACTATAACAGCAACAGCTATGATGACGACCAAGATGCTCTGGTACAGAGCAATGGTGCCCTGTTCTGTGGTGTGGCTGTATCAGCCCCACATCCTACATCCAGGCCATGCGCTCAGAGGAGGCACCCTTGTGGAAGGCTGCAATCAAAAGCGAGTTGGCATCTATTGCTGAGAATGAGGTGTTTGAGCTTGTCCCACGCTCATCCTCAATCCACCCTCTGAGCACACGCTGGGTATTTGTTGTTAAACAAGACTCAGATGACAAGCCACCATTGTACAAGGGCCGCCTGGTAGTCAGAGGCTTTGAGCAGCACCCTGGGATTGATTACTATGATGTGTTTGCACCTGTGGTGACCTACAAGTCTATTCGTATAGTCATAGCACTTGCAGCCTATCATGGCTGGCTGCTGCACTCCATGGACGTCAAGACTGCCTTCCTGCATGGTGACCTGGAAGAAGACATATGTCGAGATTCCTGATGGCATGACTGGTGACCGGACCAAGAGTGTTCTCAAGCTACGCCACTCCCTATATGGTTTGAAGCAGGCACCACGCACTTGGAATCGTCGCCTGAATACTTTCCTTTGTGGCAGCCTTGGATTCCAGTGCAGCAATGCCGACCCAGGTGTCTACTGGCTTAAGAGTGGCTCTGCAACATGCATTTTGACAACCTATGTTGACGACTTGCTGCTGGCTGCATCTGATGACAACATCCTGGCCAAGGTCAAAACTGCCCTGTTGCTGAGTTCTCAATGAAGGATCTGAGTCTGTGCAGCACAATCCTGAGCATCAATGTGCATCACATGTCTGATGGCATCAAGATCAACCAGGTTACTGCCATCCAGAACCTGGTCAGCAAGTATGGCCTTGAGGAAGCCAATGATGTTGATCTGCCCATTGCTGCTTCTGCCAAGCTTGGAGAGACTGCCCCACACCTTGCCAAGTGCAATGCCACTGAATACCGCTCAATTGTTGGCTCCCTGCAGTACCTGGCCATGGTCACTCGGCCTGACATTGCTCTGGTCACCTCTGTGCTTGCATCATTCAACCAAGAGCCACTGATGAAACACATGGGTGCTGCCAAGCGAGTACTCAAGTATCTGAAGACCACCTGCAACATGGCCATTCACTATCGTCGGTCTGAACACCTCAACCTAGTTGGGTACAGTGATGGTTCATTTGGACTGCGTACTGTGGAAGCCATGGTAATTGGTTATGTATTCACTCTGGCAGGAGAGCAGTTGCTTGGAAGTCAAAGAAACGTGCTCTTGGCTTGCCACCTCAATCCACAGTTGAAGCTGAGACCATTGCCCTGACCTCTGCTGTCCGTGAGCTCATGTGGCTACAAGACCTGCTGTGTGAATCCATGTACATGTTGACCCTGCCACCATTTCTGTGACAATGAGGACTATCAACAATACACGCACTGGTGCTGTGACTGATGCCAACAAGCACTACAAGTCTACTCTGCAACTTCCTCATGCTGCACTATCTCAGCAAGTATATCATCTCAAGTATGTTTCGACTGTTGACCAAGCTGCTGACTATCTGACCAAGCAATTGCCCCTAGATCCTTTGTCAGACATCGCTCATCCTCTGGTATGATGTGAGCACCTTGTAGGGGGAGTGTTGGAATTCCGTTCTTGGTGGAACTCTGTCTTACATACTGTAAGATAATTGCAAGACCAGAAGTTTCTAAAGTATCTTCTATTTTATTTACCTTTCTTATCTTGCTGTCTCCTATATAAGAGACAGCTTTCCTCAGTCTCTTCACTTTCTTTCTTCAACTTAGAACTTTATCTTTTCTTCCTTTAAATATAACCTACAAAACTTCTCTTTGCTCAGCTTTGCTCGTTTTCTCACTTAGTGTGTGCTGTCTTGTAGGAAAGCTGCAGTCGGATTAGCATCATTGGAAAATAGTGGCCAGATGGTGACTGACAGTATAATAAAATTAACAAGTGTGTAAAAAATTTATTTGTATGTGTGAGGACCCTTACAATAAAAAAGAATTGAATTGGCTACTAAATGAGAGGACTATTTCAAGAATATTGTAACGCGAATAGAGCGGGTTATAATGTATATTATTAAAAGAGATACGAAAAGAGCTAAAGAGTTCACTACCCAGAAATCGCTGTGCGCATGAAATATCACAGCAAATGTATTTCATGGATCTACAATGTCACGTGACTCAGCCCCATTTTTGATGTTACATTTAGTGTCAGCAGCTTTGTTCCCCTGGTGGTGAAAGGGGTATCAGCCTTACAATATTCAACATTGTTTTGCTCAATCACCCTTCTCACTTGAGATACTTTACAACTATATGTTGTAGCCTATTATCCTGCCTGGTCACAATGAGCCAGTGGTTATTTGGAGTTCGTGTGCCTCTGTTTCGGGAACTCTATCTTCAGTGCAACAGTTTTAAGGTTACCATTGACTGGCAGAAGCAGCTGTACTCAGTGTATCTTATTTTTACCATAGGAGACATTCCAGGCATTGCAGAGTTTGCTGGCATCAAGGGCCACACAGGCATGTTACCCTGTGAGTCTGGATATATTGGCTGAGTGAGCCAACAATGCTCAGTGCCTTTTTAATTATTTACAAAGGCACACAATCACAATAATAATTGTTGTGATTCCTTCTTTTTCCTGAACTTTATATTTGAGACTTAAAAATATATTTTCTAGACGTGGTTTTTCTATTAGTTCAAGGCATGGTTAGAAAGTCCAATGAAAGGAGGTGGAAGAGCAGGTCAGTGACATTTGACCAGCTGGGCAATGTGCAACTACACAAGTACTTTGCTAACAGGTATGGTCCAAGCCTTGGTGCAAAGTTTGCATGCCTGTTTGCTTTACTTGATGCGTTTACTGGGCCTTGGGTTTTCTATTGCGACGAGATGCATTTGTTTATAAACTACGCTGCCCCTAGAATTATTTTTGTTATAGGGATATGTAGCCGGTCTACAACAAACCCATGATGGGCAAGGCAGTGGAGTAGATAATCAGTCTTATTCATTAACTTTAGTTTTTGCCTTTTACTTTTTTATATCTCGCTTAATAAATATATTCTCTCTATTATTAGTTATATGTAATGCCTCACGATTGTATAAATAGAAAATTGTACATCAAATGTTTTGTGTTTATTGACTGACAAACAAATTTTGACATGCGCAAAAAGTATTCCATAGCTCATCCACTGCAGCTGGCAGGTACTGTGGTATCTTTTGTATTGCCATTACTATTACTATTGCGCTGCCATATCTGGATGTACGAGTCGGAAAGAAGTATCATCTGGGGCATAATCGGCTCAACAAGCAAGTCGCGCATCATGTACCACTTTTCGTCGGCTGCATGGCGCAGGTATACTAAATACTGGCTATCTGATGATGATGTCTCGTCAGCAGCGTATGCGGCAGATGAGCTGGTTGTCTGGATTGCAGCTGGGGCAGTCGCATCATGCTTCGGGTTCTGGCCCTGCTGCTGTTCTGGCTGACCATCGTGGCATATGTTTGCGATAAGATCATATGTCGTGTTGAATTTGCTGGCTGGCTGCACGTCCGGTGGCAGCAGTTCACCAAATGGCATGTTACGGATGGGGAAGTTAACTACAGTGGGGTTCTTTTCCACAGAAAATTCAGTTTTAGAGAACCTCTGACATGGCAGATGATGTACTGCGGCAGCTCCGTCAGCTGGTACCGCTTTGTCTCCCCATGCCATTCGACAGTGCTCGATCCATTGTACCGTTGCAGCAGCGATACCAGAGCTACTTGCGGAATTCCTGCCTCGCCGTCATCATCGCCGTCATCATTTGAAAACAGAGGTTTTGGCGGCAGGTCCAGCGACAGCGTCAGAAAGGGGGTCTTTTTCGCAGTGGCCATACCATTGGGTGCGTCTATCCCGGCGGATTCTTCCTTGGGCGCCAGCATACCAGGGTCCACGAGTGGCTGTTTTGTCACTCGTATTTCGCCCTGGAATGCGCGATACACGATGCTGCTGTTGCGTTTGCGCGAGCCGCCGAGATCCACATGCAGGGTGTTTAAAAGCCAAGTTAAGAATTCAAAGGCGTCGCCTTGGGCGTCCATCCTGAACCGCCGCTTGGACCGATTCACAACCTCCTGGACCAGCTCGTGCGGGCTTACATGGGCCTTGAATAGCTTTGGGTGCCATATTTTGCGCACAAGGCTGGCCAGACGTTGTACAAGCACCGGTCGCTTCTCTAGATCAGGCAGCAACAGAAGTGCATCGCGGATTGGAGGAACATGCGCTAGCGCCTGGACAACCACGTTCATGTAATCGTTGTACTTTATCTTGTTTAGGCCGACAAATCCGGCCAAGTATTTTTTGCCGCCCAAATCGTAAGCGACCTCACACCTTTTGTCAAGCTGGCTGACCTGGGAGCAGAGTAGGTCGGGCGAATGGCGGCCTTGATATCGTTCAACGACCGGTCCTCGACCTCATAGTTGTCGGGAAGTACATACACACCGAGCGTCTGGAGGTTGGCAAACACGTGGTGATCGTCGTTGATGCTGTGAAAGTACGCATGGGTCTGCTTGCCGCGGCCTTGGAAGTACTTGCCGCACACGAGGCATGCGTATATGTTGTTGTTGGATAGCGATACCGAGCACAGTTGCTCAAAGTCAAAGTCCAGATTGGAGCGGTTCACAGTGTCCAGATACATCGCCTCGATCTTTTCGGCGGCCTGATCTTGGCTGCTGTCAGAGTCGCTGTCTGAAATGTCCCTGTGCACGAGTGTTTTGTGATAGTCGTTTGGGCCATGTATTTCCTGCTCAGTGCGGCGAGCCTTGGCGGGCGGAGAGATGTCCGTACTGCCATTCGAGGCTGACCGCTTGCGTGCTGCTGACATTGCTGCTTAGAATCGGAGAAGCAAATTAAAAATAGACAATAAATTCACAAAGTATTAAATTGGGCTTTGAGTGGAGGAAAAAAAGGGGAGACTAAAAATGTATTCATTAAATGGCGGCTCGGTTAATGAGCTGCACATTTATCTTCAAATTTTTTTATTGAAAAATGTTCTTTTTCTTATTCTGCTTCGTATTTTACAATTCATTTTCCACTTTTTTGCTCAAATAATCATAACAAAACCACACACATTTTTAATGAATAGCGAGACGCAAGCGCAGGCCAAATACCGCCGCAGACACAGGCACAGCCGCAGACGCAGCACCAGCGTGGGCAGGGATTATCAGCCGAGGGCCCTGGCAGCATCAGCAGCAGACCCCTGCACCGCAAGGGCCTTTTTGACGATGCGCGGCTAGAGTCGATTTTCCGGCGAAGAGTGGAAAGACTTGTGCAGCGACCACCATCAAAGTTTTCGCGGAGGCTGCAGGCGTTGAACTATACGCTCATGTTTGGGGTTGGGTCGTACATGGTTCTTTACCAGGACTACGGTGACCGGCCACACTGCTTCACCGGACTGCGCAGGTGGTACTTTGGCAAGATCAACAGCATGTGGACGCTGTCCAGCGAGGAAGAGAAGGAGTTGCGCGAGCGCGGTCAATTAAAATAGCGCAAGTCGAATCGAATCCAATCGAATCGACCCAAAATCAAGCAGGGCGGCGGCGTGGTTTTCTGGCTTTCCTGCATTTAGAGTCTTTTAGTTTTGTGGATGTGCGCGAGTGAGCCAAAAGTTGCCAACTATATTTTCATCTGTGTACACGCACACGCACACGTACAGGCCCAGTGCCTGGACTTGGAGCTTCGTGGCGCAAGCCTACTTGAACAAATGCAAATGAAATGCATCTTAGGATAGATCCGATTCTGCTGGTGCTGGTGCTACTGTTTGGACTGCCGTACAGAGACTACAGTTCGACAAATCCCAGGCAGATTTGTAACCGGCAATCGGTAGTCGGCAGTCGGCTTGAGGTGTGCAGGTCTTGCAGATGTCACAGCGGTCAAAGCACACAGCGCTTTCTTGCTGGCTGGCATGTGATCATATACATGGCAATTTCTGTCCAGCCAGCCAGCGGATGAGTAAAATGCTAGCAACTTTGAAAGAGTGTTGTTTTTTATTTATGTTGCTGACCGATTGCAGCTCCCCACTTCTTTTGCTTCTCTCGTGGGTGCCGAGTTACCACGTTTTTTTTTTATCGCTTTAAAACAACTATCCATTATTTGTTATCACCAACGCCAACGCTATCATTCATTGGGCCGCGCTCAACAGGAAGCCATACATCATGCGCGCCAATCCAGTACGGGGCTCAGCAACACAAGCAGGAGCACAGGCAGGAGCAAGCACTCGAGTCTAGCGGGCGGGCATAGTATGGAAGGGCGGCGGTAGCTAAAGACAGCCCGCTTTCTGGCACCCTCATCACCGACTTAGGCGCAGACGCACACAGATACGCGGCCGGCGTGCGCAGCCCTTCATACTCACGCGTGGAAGCAGCGACGAGGGGACGTGCACATATCGCTAGGCATCCAAACGGGGATTGAGAGGGCATGGCACGCCGCGCTGGAAAGTGTTGGGTCTCTATCGCTGGCGTGGCACGACGAAGCCGCGCAAGCACGGGGCGATGTAGAGGCGATATGGACCTGTCACTCGTTTTCGACAGCGCAGCCCCAGTGGCCCCGCATGTGGCAGGCCGGGCCAGAGAGCAAAGAAATACCACACTCCGCAGCATAGCATTGACGGTGGCTCCGGCAACAACGCTGTGCATTCCGAAGAGAGTCCAGGCTTGCGCACCCGGCGTCTAGGTGGCCACAGAGAGGCCACACTCCGCAGCACGGCCATCGACAGCGGCTCTAGCCACAGCGGCTCCAACAGTCCAGCTACCGAGAACACTGGGCAGGGGCAGGGGCAGGGGCAGGGTGTACAAGAGGGCGTTGGCGCAGACCTGTTGTGCAACAAGCCGAGCACGTGGGTGAATCGATACTCCCAGCCCCGATGCTTGTTGTGACAGCAGCTCCCGAGAAAACGTCTCCGCACGTGCAATTGGTTGCATCGGAGGCAGCTGTCGACGCTGAGTTTACACAGCCCAGGCGCGCACAGCACACATCAATTCGCCTGCAACGGCTTTTGCCGCCAAAAACACCCGAGCCGCCTCAGAAGCCTCAGTCAGTATGGCCACCACTTCCAGCCCGCAAGTGCTCGGACGCGGGGGCCAGCACCGCTGGCGGGCGCAGTCACCCGGTGGAATCGTTATTTGGGCACAGCCCGGCAATAGCTCACCGCCGGGCCAGCAGCCTTCCGCACGGAACTGTACCTCCTGGAACCAGCACCGTCGCAGTCACATCGCCCTTGCTTGGCCACAGGCCCAACTTGGGCCTTCAGGGTGCCACACTAGACTTTCAGGAGGGCCCAGTACGAGGCGACAGATGCCTCACGTCTCTCGAGGAGCAAGTCTCCGAAATGTTTATCGAGCTAGGCCTGAGCTCGCCGTATACAGACAAGGGGCAGATCGCTAATGACAGGTTGTGCGTTCCAGGGGGCAATGATGGCGCTGCTGCCATCAATATCCAAGACAACAGTGGCAGCAGGTCTGGTCGACACTATAGTGGGATGGCGACTGTGCCTTGGTTTCACCAGGCCCAATACACCGAACCCGGCCTGGAGGAGCCTGCACCCGAACGCGACGTGGTTCTCGTCGATGACGACTCCAGTTGCGCCGACAATATAGTCGACGCTGGTTGTCTCCACCGAGGCCCCCTATATTTGACAGGTGTTGGGGCCGTTCATGGCGGGTCAGGCTCACACACCCAGCGAATTCCGGCAGCAACGGGCAACAAGCACAATGCCGCCAGCAGTGCCGCATCGGCCAAATTCGATTCTTCGCAGCACCATTCATCATTTAGGCCGCGAGCGCACGCAATTGGCAGCCATCGACACGCCAACCCACGCGAGTACTATGACAGCTCAGGTGCCGCATTTTTTGCCGCAAACCAGTGTTTGGTCTGCCACGACCTCAAGATGCCATGCAGTCAGATGCACGGCATTATCGCGCGCATCGAGCAAACCAACCAATATGTTTACAGCATCGGGAGGCACGCATCAGCTGTCGACGTTCTTTTGGCCGATCTCCGCACCCAGTCGCGAGCCCTAGCAGAGATCCTGTCGATATCCCAGACACGCGCATCAGCTCTTGGCCAAACAATCAGCCGCTCTATCAACAGTACCCAGCTCGCCGCTGGCGATGACGGCTTCTGCGTTGGAGATGCATGCTCGGCGCACGACTCTCCCCAAACAGCCAAGCTCATATCAACTACCACCATTCGCTTTCTAGAAAGACCCGCGACCTGCACAAAAGAGTTCAGCTGCTGGAGACACAGGCTTGTGCGAGTAGTACATCACCAGATCTTGGACACGCATCATTGGTTCCTGACATTAAATACAACAGAGGTTACACTCTATTACGAGGATCGACGAGAAAATGGCCAAAAACGATACAAGCACACAGCTGCGATCGTCACCAAGGAGTTCACGGCAGGATCACCAAGCCGGTTCCTCGCGCCACCGTCGGCCTGAGCAGCCCCTTGCTGTTAGAGTGCGGCGCATTGACAAGCAATGGTCTGAGCTGCGCAGCGTGATAGGCCAGCTCGGAATCAGCTATGTATCCGACGCTGTAGCCAAAAATTCTTCCGGCGAGACACTCACCGCCCTCGGCGCGACACCCAATGTGGTGGCGGCAGCAGCAATCGCTGCAGATGGCATTAAGCTGATTCAGCGGGTGCTTAAGAGCACACTTGAGTCGTTGGACGCGGCCAATGCCCAATGACAAATAGCAATAATGCCCAGTAATCAGAGCTGCATATTTACAAATAAATTCTAGGGCTGAGCTAAAGTAAATGTTTCAAAGGTTACATTTTTAATAAAGTTGATGGGCAATACTACCAACATGTCTCGATGACGGCTGGCTCGCAAGATACACCGAGTATATGCGTTAGCTCACAGCTCTAATGCCGATATCTGCGACTGTGACTCCTTCAGCATTGCTGCCAGGGAGCTGTCGCCTGCGACGGGGCCCGCACCCGCTTTGGCAATAGCCTGTTGATTCCGGTACCACGAAATGATGAGCTCTCGATCAGTCCGAATGGCCGCCTTTTGGCATTTTTTGATCGTGCCCGAGATGTGCCACACTCGCACAACGCATGGGTATCTATTAATGTGCGTAGCCAGCGTTAGCGCTGTTGTTACCATTTGGCAGTGGTCCCGCGGAACCTTAATGATACCCATTCGTGTCTGCGAACTGAAATATTTCACTACTTTATACAACAAAAAAAGGTCCGTTCAAAATCGAAAGAGTTAGTATATTTCTTGCGCATACAAAACCACTGCTGTTGGTTGCTTTGGCACGAATGCCCGTTGCAGTGGTGGTAATGGTGGTGGTATTGGCAGTAAAATAAAGGTTTAAACTCAGATCGTACCTTGAAATCCGGATGCTATGTGGCCGGCACCGAGGTCGCCAAAGTTTAGCTTGACCTGCTCGCGTACGAGACTGTTGATGTTCCTGGTCGACAGAATAAATGCATGCTGGCGTTGATCACTTGATGGTTTGCCACGCCCCCCAAAGCATTGCATTGGTTATGCTGAAGAACCTCAAAGCAAATGTACGGTTCTTGAATCTGACCATGTGTGTGAAATGCTAACAAGAGAAAAATATGATTTTTGTGACAAATATAAAATCAAGGCGCGCAGAAAAAAATAGAGCCTGAAAGCAATAAACTTCAATTGTCATACTATTTGGTTAGAGGCACCCCACGTGATAAAGTACTAGCGCTGATCTATTTATTTAATTTAAAAGTGTAACGTAAAAAATACTATACCAATAAGTGGGTGGCCGACTTGTCATCGGTGTTGGTAAAGCTAGAAATGCTTCTGACACGCGTGTCATTGACTGTACTGCTGATACTGCATGAAGATATGCGCTTGCGCCTTCCAATGGTCATGCCCAGCTTGTCGACGATCTGTCTTCTGGACTTGTCCAGCGCGGGGTTACCAAGGAATATCAGCAAATTTATCATTCCCTGAGTGGCCGGCATAATGTTAGCGATAATATACAGCCACATTGGGCATACTGGAGTCATGTTTGCGCACAGAACCCAGATTTGCGTAACAATGGGTACCAAGGGGTAAAGCATGATTCGGATAATAATTAGCCGTTGCCACTTCCTCTGCCAATGCTCATTTGTGCGGCGGATATTTTGTACCAAGACGACTCGCCCTCTGGAAGCACCATGCATCCCATCTTTTCCTTGTTTACTGTAGCCAATCTCCACCATACAAGTGCAGCAGTGACGAAGAGGAATGCACACGTGGCAAACATCCACGCCCACATGGTAACCCACGAAGTGATATTGAAGTACTTGGGATTATCGTAGACGTGGAACACTTGCATGTCGTACCTCCACTGCACCAACTTGTAAATGTACAGGATAGGATGCGTGATAAGAAATCCCAAGAACAAGCTGACGCACCCATACCACGGTTCGATACGATGGTGGTGGTGGCCCTTTTTGAAAACTACGGTGAGAATCATCTGGAGACCAATGCAGCCGCTGAGAAAAGCAAACGATAGCGTGGAGGCAGACATTAGCCAGTAAATGACGCGCAGCTGCGTCTCGGAGAGAAAAACCATGTAGTTGTTATCGTATGTGCACAGCTGGCACGCTGAATAAATGATATCACAGAGCGCAATCCACCCGAGAGCCGGAATGTCGTCAGTTTGTAAAGAACGGGTCGACGAACGCAGCCCCAGATCACGAAAATTACGACAAAGACTGAGCCCGCTATGGAGGCAATGTTAAATCCATGGCATATGACCGCCCAGTGGCCCAGAATGCCATGCGGAAGCTCTTTGGGCGATTCCATAGGAACGATCACAAATAAGAGAAGGCGATCAAATGGTATATTCAGATTTTGAAAAGCAGAGCCTATAATTACATAAATTTATATATATATAGATAGATAACGTATACAGATGGGTGATATGTGCGGGAGTGTTTATATTCAAGTAATTCGTAAAGTAAATATGTTTTTACGAAAGAAACGCAACAATTTATAGAAATTTTCAATAAAAAATAGTTGGTTAATAAAAATGCAAATGATGAGACGCAGCTGTGGTTAGTTTACGTTTGACTTGGCGACCATGTTTGTGCACATATCAAAATAAATTTGCGAGCTCGGAATGCACCTGCTGCTGCTGTCTCATGTCAAGATAAATAATATTTTTGCATTAATCAGATTTGTACCTTTAATGGCATAGAAAACAAATTGACAGAGGATAAAATTGAAGGTGTCATCATTAAACTATGTATAAAAAGATTTAAAATTGTAGTAGTATGCACATGTGAAACAATTAATTAATTATTGCCATTTGATTTGTAAGTCAATCTTGTAAGGACACCAGTGTTAAATATTAATATTAACGTGCAGGCAAAGCGACATATTCGCAATTGAGAACGCACACCCATTATGTTCTATATTAACTAGGGAGGCATGAAGAGGCGTGCGGTAAATCTTGCCGACAGAAGTGCGCGAGTACCAAGTATCTGTTGATTCGCGAATGGGAATATGGCCGAAACATGATTACACTTTGCTGTTGACGCTGCTATTGCAGATTTCGGAGGATTGTTTTCAAAATCAACGCACATGTGCCTGGCACAGAATGTAAACCACATCATTTAAAAGTACGGTATACTATATTGATTTTTATTTCGTCGTAAAAAAACCTTGCTTTGTAAATTCATGCAGGCCAGTGGAAAATGCAGTCAATTGCTAGTTCCAAAGCCTGTATGCATTCGCAATTACTTTGCATATCTGAATTCATAATTAAAATTTTGAATCAAGCCTCGCGTTTATGAAGCCAGAGAAGTCATGTGTGCGAATTGGTGCTTGCTGCACTGCCAGTTTACTCTTTGTGTTCATGCTCGTGCTCATCCTCTGTCACCAGCTGCATCGAGACAGCTGGTGACAGAGAGGAAATGGCAAAAAGATACACCCCGCGACCACACACAGCAAGCTGCGCAAGCACAGAAACCCAATCGGCCGGATCCAAGAGTGAGCCCAGGCTAACCACGGCAGATGGAACAGAAGACACAGTGCAGCCAAGGCCCGAGAGAACCGGGCGTATTTGACCAAATTGACGCGCACTTTGAGGATACCAGACTCGTCCACATGCACTCTTATCACCCGGCTCCTCTTGACAGATGCCTTGGTAGCGCACGCCGCCGAGAGGGCCAGCAGGGTAAATGTACCCAGCGGTAGCACGGTCAGCAGCAGCGTTGGGAATGCCGAATGAGCTGTAACCAAGCGGTACGACAGAAAAAACGATACCACACCTGCAACTGGCCCGTAGTAGTCGCTGGCAAGGGTGTCGAATACGCGATTAGCCATGTAAGAAATCGACATAATGTGCACCGACAGCAGAGCGTGCACCAAAAAGTAGCACATCTGGGCAGCCAGCGCTGCACGCTCAAGGGTTCCAAAGAAAGTGCTAGCCCCGCTGCCACCCGTTGCGGAGACGTTGCCGCCAAGCAGCATTATGATCATAATGGCCAATGTGGTGATAATGTCGCAAGTTGCCAGCCAGGGCAGCAGAAACATTGTCGGCGACTCTGTTGCCGGGTGGCTTTCGTTGTCAAAGTACTGATAGTAGCGGGCGACAACCTTCACAGCAAGGTAGAGTGTCAACAGGCACAGTGCGGCGCAGACAATCTTCATCCATATTCCTGGGGATGTGCGATCGGGTATCTCTGTCTGAAGCGATTCCGCGAACAAACCATGCATCCAGTGCAGCCCGGAAAGTACACGGCCTGGCGACATGAGTATTTAGTTATTGGATATACGATGTTAGAGCTTGCTTCCAGCAAAAAAATTCAACATAGTATCAGTGCGCGCCCGCGCGCACGTATACAGACATAAACAATACCAAATCTGTCATGCATCGGCAACTATGGTGCCCAGGCATGTGCCTGCAGCAGGATCAGCAAAGCGAACGGGAATCAATTTATTCAGCCAAATGTTTTTGTTGGCTGGCTCAGTGTTTGGGCCTACTTGTGGAGGTTCGACGAATCCAGCCAAGTCCCCTCCGGTTGGCCAGCCATAGGCGCCAAAGCACGCGCAGCGTCCGCTGCTGGAGCCGGCGATCAAACACGTTAAAGTCCGCCTGCTCGAGCCGCTCAAGCCATTCCTTAGCTGGGACAGCGGCCATTAGGGCGGGGAACCCGGCTCGTGGAGAGTTCGGGACATATATCTCGGCAACGCCACAGAGGCGGGTATAGCCCTTGGTTGCAAATTCGTAGACAGCAGCCTGGAGTTCAGGCGTAGAGCGTGGGCTGTGATAGAGATCGTTCAGGTCCACATGGTGCTTGGCGATTAGATCCTTGGGCATATCGCACCTGCCCTGGGCCAGCAAAAGCGGCAGCGAGCGGGTAAAGTTTACAATGGCTGTGGCAACGCCGATTGCGCGCGCAGCATTATCAGCGTGCATGTCACGCACGCCCAGAGCCTCAAGATGGGGGTGGATCAGGCAGGCGTAGGCGTGCTCGCCGTACTTTTCGACATCGGCCACGGTCTCAAACGTCGGGGAGGCCAGCATTTTCTCGCGCTCTGAGACCAAGCGGCGGAGCCATGTTTTGGAAATAGCAAAGCGCTGCACAGCATCGTGAACGCAGCGCACTATGGGCGTCTGCGTAGGGTGGTCAGTGTAGAGACTTTTCACTGACTCATTCCAGTAGGCAAAGCGCATCTGGGCGGCTGCGGTGTTGGTCGTCGACTCGCCGACACGCACCAGCTCGATGTTTAGGGCGCGGATTCCCCACACGGCCTCACGGGCGAGGCGTGGTGAGAAGAGCGAGACGAGGTAGTTGTCGTGGTCGTGGCGCTGCACCAGCTGCCGGCAGTACTCAACGTCGCCGCGCTGGGCGAGCAGCAGCGGTGGCTGTTGTTTGGCGGTGCTGGCATAGGCCCTCAAGCCAATGTTGCTGGCCAACAGCAGCGTGCGGGTCATCAGCGCTCGGCTCATTGTGTTGTGGGATTGTAAAATATATTGTTTTTGAGAGATGCTAATGTATAAGAGCGACAAAGTAAACACATTGGAGGGCGGATTGGGTGGATACTCAAAATTGCGCGATGAACGGGCGGAGATGGAGATAGCCGGGCGGCGCATATTATGGCAGTATGCGAGCGATTGATCGGGAGGCGGCGTTCAGGATCATCGATCACCAATCACTGATCAACTACTTGCGCTCGCGGCGCGCAATCTTGGTTGGGTCCTCCTCAAAGCGCAGGTCCCAGCCGATCTGGGGGCCGATCTTGGGCAGGACCTCGGCAACAGTGTTGACGTCCTTATCGCCGCGGCCACTGATGCAGATAACAAGGTGCTGGTCGGGGGACATCTTCTTGGCGGTGAGCATGGCCTGGTAGACGGCATGCGACGACTCCAGGGCGGGGATAATGCCCTCGAGCTGCGTTAAGCAGCGGAAGCCCTCGAGCGCTTGCACGTCTGACACAGCGTGGTACTCGGCACGACCAGTGGCATTGAGCCACGAGTGCTCCGGGCCGACACCCGGATAGTCGAGACCGGCTGACACGGAGTGAGTCTCAATAATCTGACCCTTGGCGTCTTGGAGCAGGTAAGTCTTGGCACCGTGGAAGACACCCGGGGTGCCGCGCGACATGGTCGCAGAGTGCTTGTTGGTGTCGAGGCCATCACCAGCGGCCTCAGCGCCAATCAGACGCACGCTGGCTTCGGCGATGAACGGATGGAACATGCCGATGGCGTTGCTGCCGCCGCCAACGCAGGCAACCACGGCGTCGGGCAGGCGTCCGGTAAGCGCGTGCATCTGCTCCTTGGTCTCGTTGCCGATGACGCACTGGAAGTCGCGCACCATGGTTGGGAACGGATGGCAGCCGATGGCCGACCCAACAAGGTAGTGCGTGTCTGCGACGTTGGTAACCCAGTCGCGCATAGCGTCGTTAACAGCATCCTTAAGCGTGCACGAGCCGGTGGTTGCCGGGATAACATCAGCGCCGAGCAGGCGAATGCGGAAGACGTTGAGCGCCTGGCGCCGCATGTCCTCCGAGCCCATGTAGATAATGCACTTGAGCCCGAGCTTGGCGCAGATCGTAGCAGTCGCGACGCCGTGCTGGCCGGCGCCAGTCTCAGCAATGATACGCGTCTTGCCTAGGCGCTTGGCCACTAGCGCCTGGCCGATGGCGTTGTTGAGCTTGTGCGAACCGGTGTGGCACAAATCCTCACGCTTGAGAAAGATGCGCGCGCCGCCCCATGCGGCCGTCAGTCGCTCTGCCGCGTGCAGTGGGCTGGGGCGGCCCATGAATGAGTAGAAGCTGCGCACCTCCTCCCAGAATGCCGGGTCGTTCTTGCACTGCACATACGCCTGCTCCAGCTCGGCCATGCAGTCGTGCAGCGCCTCGGGGATGTACTGACCGCCAAAGTCGCCGAAGCGGTCGGGCAGTAGCGTCAGGCTGCTGGTGTTGCTCGATGCCTGCGCGGGCTGCACAACGCGAGCGCCCAGCGGCTGCGCGCGCAGAGTCGTGCCGCTGCCGCTGCGCCCCGATACAGTCTCGGCGTAGGCGCGCGCGGCCTGGGCGGCGGTGCCCGGCGCGGCCGTGCGCATGGTCGTGATTAACTGGCTGCCGATGACGACGCCCTCAGCCATAGCACCGACGTCGGTAAAGTGCTCGTGCGTGCTGACACCAAAGCCGACGGCCAGTGGCAACGTCGTGTGCTTCTGAATGCGTGCTAGCAGCGTTGGCAGGCCTGAGTCCATCGACGCGCGAGCGCCAGTGACGCCGGACCGCGACACGACGTAGATGAACGAGTCAGCAATAGCCACCAGCCGCTGGACGCGCGCGTCGGATGTCGACGGCGTGATCAGTGGGATGTAGCTGAGCCCAGCACCAGCGCACAGCGCGCGGAACGACTGCGCCTCCTCTGGCGGCAGATCGACGACAATGTACCCGTCGACGCCAGCCTGCGCGCACTTCTCGATGATGCGCTGCTCGCCATACTGCATGATCGGGTTGTAGTATCCCATAAACAGCACGGGCACAGCCAGACCGCGCGCGCGCGCCTGCGAGACCATATCCAGGCACATGTCGATATCGGTGCCATGCTCCAGCGCCGCCATGTGCGCCGCTTGGACTGTTGGCCCGTCGGCAAGCGGATCAGTGAATGGGACACCCATCTCAATCACATCGACTCCACCCTTCTCCAGCTCGAGCAAGATATCGACCGTCTGGTCGGGCGTCGGGAACCCGGCCGTGAAGTATGCAACGAACGTCGGCCGGCCTAGATCAGTAGCGTGGTAAAGGTATGATTGTTAGTGTATTTTCGTAATTATCAACAAATACCAGAATCACATAATGTATGGCCGTTCCCGCCGCTGTTGCCGAATGTAACTTACCTTCTTGTGCCGCCGTGGCGAATGCCCTTGAGATACGCTCGGCCATATTGTGTTATATGTACGTGTATATAATGGATGTGTGCAAAGTTAGTGTGAGAACGCGTGCTGTTTTGCCCAGAAACAGTCGATCAATTGAAAGAAATAAGCAAGCGTCAAAGATAGAGCGAAAGTAAAAGTAAAAGCGAAGACAAAAACAAACAATTTTCAGGAGCTTGGCCACCCGCACGAATTTATACCCTTGCATCACAAGCAGCACGGTTGCCCCTTACACTCAGCTAGGGCTGCTCGACTGAAAGATGGAAAGACAGTGTGTGCCTGAGGATCATACCAGCTCATTAGCATTTACTGGCTGGTACAAAGAAAATATAAGGTGAGTCACTCCGAAGATCATTGAGGCTGAAGCCAACAGAGCAGAGAGAAAACCTTGTGCGAAGCTTTTATGTATACAAGTGATAGAGATTGGTTGTGGTGGCTGCAGCTCGACTCGAGCCGCCAATATGTGAAGCTTTGATTGTTTCTTTAGTGTGTGGGGTCATGTGCTTCCATCACCATTGCTGCGGCAATAAAATGCGCACATTTGTAAATTTACAAAACCTTTCTTTTTATTCTTTTTTCTGTTCTCGATTCAAATTTAAACAACTTTATTGTTCTTTTTTATATCAACCTTTATAAACAAAACTACTTGCCAATTTTGCAAGCATGTCAACCACCCACTACACACAGCTGCCGCCGTCTTATAACGCCGCCGACAGGATTGAGGAGGCCAGCGCCCAGGAGCACACCTCGGCTGACTTTGTACCCGATGACTTTAAGTACGGTGTCATGGTCAGTCAGTCCGACATTGCCATCCGCCACGCGTTTGTGCGCAAGGTCTACACAATTCTCAGTCTGCAGCTGTTAGCTACCACTGTTGTTGGCGGCTACCTACGGCACATTGATGCTAGCAGCGGCTTTCTCCTGCAGCACGTGTGGACCGTGTACGCTGCCATGGCCGGCACGATTCTCTCGATGGTCGGCCTGTGGTGGAAGAGCAACTCGCACCCCGCAAACCTCGGTTTCCTGTCAGCCTTTACTCTGTTTGAGGCGTATGTCGTTGGCGCTGCCACAGCCTTTTACTCGACGTCGGTGGTGCTGCAAGCGCTGGCTATCACGCTGGGGTTGTTTGCCGTGCTAACGCTGTTTACCCTGCAGTCACGCTACGACTTTTCCAGCATGGGGCCAATTCTGTTTTTTGCCCTGTGTGCCGTCGTCTTGGTCGGCTTTGTGCAGATATTTTTGCCGTTCAACCGCACCTTTGATCTGGTCATGGCTGTGGTCATTGCCCTAGTATTCTGTGGCTACATCGTGTACGACACGTACATGATCATGAACCGCATGACGCCCGATGACTACGTGATTGCCAGCCTTAGCCTATACCTCGACCTGATTAACCTGTTTATTGCCATCCTGCGCATCCTGGGCGACCGCGACTGAGCGCGGCCTTTCAAAATTTCAATTATCAATTTTTCGATTTATATTTTCATCTCCATATACCAACTTTATTCGAAAAATATTGTAATACCAAAAAAGCAACCGGCGGCCCTCGTTGCTCACCACGGCCGCCCCAGTGACTTTGCGGCCTGGGCGCGCTCGCGTATTTCGCGCTGCTTCTGCACGTCAATGTACTGCTCCTCGATAGCGCCCTCGATCGCGTCAAGTGCCTGTGCGTCCTGCGAAATCACCTGCGTCATGTGCGACAGTCCACGCTGCTTCTCATTGAGCATCTTCATGACAGCCTCCAACTGCACCTCGTCGGCGACCTCGTAGCCGTCGCTGCCGCCACTCGAAAGGCCAAGAAGCTCGCGGCGTCTGCGCGCATTGGCTTGCAGGCGGTACGTATGGTCTTGCAACTCAGCCAGCCGCTGTTTGAGCGCACCAGACCGCGACATCTCATTCTCCAGGTGCTCGATGCGCACACGGAAGACCTCCTCCTCGGGATGCAGGAGCTGGCCGCGCAGCCGTACAGCTGCAGCTGCTTCATAAACTCTAGCAGGCGTTGCGAGAGCTCAGCCTGGCGCCGCCGGCACTCAGACAGCCGCACCGTTGTCCCCGAGTGGTGCTTCTGCAGAATGCCACAGAGCTTGTCCGATACCTCCTCTGTGCGCGCCTGGTAGCTCTGCATCTGCAGCGATTGCGAGTCGACTCGCTTCCGCAGATCATCGAACCCATTGCTAGCACCGGCACCAGTGTCTGCGGGTCGGGGTTATCGCTTTGCGCTGCTGCCACAAAGTGGGGTCCTGGTCCGCCGGGCACTGGTACAGGTGTGCCTGTCCCGGCTCGGCTACATTGTAAAAGTAGTGCCGGAACTGGTGTGAGGCGAGGCCGGATCCCAACACTCCTTGATAATTAGCAGCTGTCTGCTGAGTCCTCAGCCTCGCTAGGCTGCTGTTGCTGTGTCGAAGCCGGCTGCTGTTGCTGTTGCTGTTGCTGTTGTTGCTGGAACTGACCGCCTCCTCCAAACAGCCCGCCCGATGGAGCAGCAGCAGGAGCAGCACCAAACAGCGAACTCATCTGTGCTGGCTGCGATGCGGCTGTGCTACTTCCAAAAAGGCCGCTAGCACCAGAGGTGTTGCCAAAAATCCCAGAGCTAGTTGTGTTCTGAGCCATCATGTTCATTGTTGCCGCGCCAGGGTTGCCGCCAAACGGGCCACCACCACCGCTCTGGGTGTTTCCAAACAGGCTGCCGCCAGCAGGGGCCTGCGCGTTGTTGCCAAAAAGACTGCTTCCGGTGGAAGCCTGTGCAGTGTTGCCAAACAATCCTCCCCGCTCCCGCCCGCGGCTTGGCCGAAAGTGGGCGCCGTGCCTCCTTGTTGAGCACTGGTACCAATGTCTGTTGCTGTCCCCGACCGCTGCCTCTTTTCAATTGCTGTTCCAAAAAGCGATCCGCCCGCTGGATTCGCTGTCTGATTGAAGCCGCCAAAAAGACTGCCGCCAGACGATGTTCCTCCTTGTGCATTGGCACCGGGTGTTCCGCCAGAGAATGAAAGCGATTTTCCAAACCCAGCCATTTAACGTATATAATAGGCTAGTTGCTTGGGCTCTTAAAACGAATGTAAATAATTGAAAAAATAAGTAAACAGAAATTAAATTTCACTGCCAAAAAAGTTTAAATTGAGTAATTGAAAATATACGCTAGCTGCCTTTTTTTCGTGTATACGCGGTTTGGCATTTGGGCTGTAGCATTTTTAAATATCGGCTCGACTCGAGCCAGTAATTTTGCATGTCCATTCGCACAAGGTGGCGAATTGGCACTTCCCGCCTAACCGCGACTGCCACGTACCAAAAGCAAGCATGTGCCTTTTTTGCTGGCAGCTTGGCAGTTAATGCCTGCACAGCGCTGCTTCTTTTCGGGTGAGGACCGCTTTTTACCCTTTTTGATTTTTCTGCTCTGCTCTTCACTTTTAAACATTCCAGTGCACGCCCTCATAGTTGTATTCAGCTGGCATTTTCACTCATATTCACCTTCACTTTTCCCATTTATTTTCGCTTTCATTTTCGCTCGCCGCGTACACCAAAGTAAAGCCGGCATAGTCATTGTTGTCATCGCACTCGGAACTCTCAAGTCATTGGTCGGTACGCTGCTCCAGACCGTCCGCCCACCCGACCGACTGGCTGCGGTCTTGTCAACTCCGCTGTTTCGGCGCTGTCATAGCCACAAACTAAATTCATTGCATATTTTCCATTCACTTGTAGAGCTCCAAAAAGGCTGAATTCTCTTCTCTTGGCTGTTAAATGCTTTGGCCCTTTTGAAAGGAATTGCAGAAAATGTCCCAGAATACTATTCCGACGTTTAAGCGCCCGCCTTCGCGCAGGGGCACACCGGCCACAAACGACCCGATTCCTTACTTCAACTCTCAACCAAACGCCGGTTCGGCAGCGACGGACTTTTTCAGCTCGTTTGCAAGTACCCAGCCAGCCAATGCTCCCGCGATACATCAGCAGCTATACCAGGGGTCGCAGATATATCAGCAGCAGCAGCAGCAACCCCAGGTAGCCCCAGCCCAACCCAGTACGAATTATCAGCAGTACCAGCCGCAGCCGCTGCAACCACCGCCGCGTGAAATCCCTCCTCGCAGCGCGACCGGACCAGCCACTGACTATCCTCAACAGGGCTATGGCTACGGCTACACCTCTCATGTCACCAGTCATGCCAATACTGCGACTGACCCTTACAGAAGCGCATCTGTGGTACATGGCGGCATGCAGTACGGCGCGCAATACGGCTACCAGCAGCCAGCTGCTTTTGGACCTACAATGACTGCACTGCGCCGGTTGAAGCCGCCGACTTTTTCGATCAGCTGGCTGGGAGTCCAGCGCAAGTCGAGACACAGGGACAGGGACAGGGAAAGGCACACGCGCCCGCGCCCGCGCCCGCTATTGTTTTGGCCCAGAGCATGCCTGCTTACTCTCAAGCTCAGACTGGCCCGGCCTTGGAATTTACCAGCAGCCTACCACATACAGTACAGACACCTACGCTGCTCAATACATCAACCATGCCACGCAGGCTTTGACCGCCACCCCCGACGGGACTTACTATGGCTACAATGCAACGGCCACAAATGCGTATGCCGAGCCAGTAACCAACATTAACGTACCAGCTGCTCAGACTGAGGGCGAGGCTGACCCCGCTAATGGTGTAGTGTATGACGAGTCATCCGGCCAGTACTACGACACAAAAACTGGGCAGTATTACGACGACGCCTCAGGGACATGGTACTACCCACAGCTGCCTTTGCAGTTTGATACCTCTGCTGTTTATGCGCCTGCCACTGTCGATGCAGCTGTCGTCACGACCGCTCCAGCAGCGTCCGAGCCAGCACAGTCGACAACACAGTTGGTAGCGCCAGTTTTCGAGCCAGTAGTGGCGCCAGAGGCAGCCGTGCCCGCAAGCACCCAAGAGTTTGACGGCGAAGCATTCTTTGACGAGATTGGCGTGGCTGCTGTAAACGATTCACAGACTTCGGCAGCTGTGATTTCAATTACAACTGCGCCGAGCGCCCAGCTCGAAAGCGCCCACGAGATAGCCGCTGTTCAATTTCAGCAATTAGCAAAGGTTTCACAGACTTTGGCACCAGCTGGCTCTCAGGAGTCGATTGTCATGGCACCGGGTATTGCGTCACAACCGCAGCCGGTTTTGGAACAACACCAGGGGCTTGATCAGGAGCCGCTGACGCCCAGTGCTGTTAACACCCGGCCAGCGGACACTACAGGCGTACAGATAAACTTGGCTAATGCTGTCTCTCCAAACATCGCTACAGCCATTGCAGCTGCTATACATGGAAATTTGTCAGACAATGTCTTTGCCGCGCCCACTACGCACGCACCCAGTGGCCATCCGGACAGCACTTGTGATGTGGCAGTCGCAGACGCCAATGCCAATGCCTCTGTTGCAGCGAACGAGGCTTTGCCTGTGAATATTATGGAAGAGCCCGCGCTCGATCACCAGGATTCGGCCTGTGGTGCAGAACACAGTTTGACTGATCCGAACGCAGAGATAAGCTCGACTGTCAACGCACACACACCCACGCACAGCGCAACTTTAGGCCAAACTCGTACTACTATGAGGTTTAGCGCCGATGCTGAAGTCGAAGTCGATTCTGAAGTTGATGCTGTGACTGCTATCGACACTGGCTCTGAGGCCTTCTTTGCCCGTGGGCACGATTCTGAGCACACTTTTGTTGAATCAACAGCTGCGCCTCAGCTGCCGCAGGTTGAAGAGGCACCGTTGGTGGCCATGGAACAACAGACTCACGATGTCTATAGCCAGCTCCAAAGTGAGCAGCCGCAGTCAGCAACTGGTGAAGATCTGTATGAATACACATCTGGGGTGCAGCCGCAACTTTCAGCTGCGTCCCAGGCTTTTACTGAGCTCAACAGCGGTTTTGATCAACACATTGGGCATGCTGCAACAACCTTCCCGGCTGAGGACATAGTAGGCCAGGCGCAGGACCACGCTCATGAAGCGGCTGCCCCCGACTCTCAGCCACTAGACTCTGAGTATTTGGTGGCCAGTCAGGCGTCTCTGCCTGCGACGTTTTCAATCAGTGCAGATTGGAGCCAGCAAACAGTGCACGATTCGGCATCCAGTAACCTTGAGAGGTCTGCATCTACTACCGTCGCGCCCGCGACACCCGGCGTTGCGCAGGCATCAACGGCAATTGTAGAAGCAGCAGCAGCGGTGGCAGCGGTACTGCCAGATTCAGCCGAGACAGAGTATGCTGATCCAGCGTTGTTTTACGGCCAGGAGGATCAGCAGTACCAGGGTCCACAGGTTTCGTCTGTTGCAGCAATCCACAGCTATGCGTTTTCAGACGCGCAACCGGTCCAACAGTATAATGCGCATGGGTTTGCTGAAGACACTACATCTAATGCTGAGGCTGTAACTGATGCGACACTTGGGACTAGTGTCCATTTGCAGCACCCGGCAGAAGTTGCAGCTTACACAGATGATAGCGCGTCGGGAAACTATGGCCTGTATGGGGGATCCTACTCTGCTGGCGATGTGCATACAGGCACTACTGCCACTGTGCCCGTGGATTCCGGCGAAAACGACACTGCCACATCGATGTATGGATATGGCTACAATGGGATCTTGGCCGGTGAGCAACAGCAGCATCAGGATAGTTACTGGCAGCAAGAGTATTCCCAGCAAGAGTATCCACAGCAGGAGTATCCGCAGCAAGATCGGCAGCAACCGGAGCAGCAGGAGTATCCACAGCAGGAGTATCCGCAACAGGAATATCCACAGCAAGATCAGCAGGAACAGCAGCAGCAAGAGTATTCACAGCAGGAGTATCCGCAGCAACAGCAGCAGCAAGATTACTATCAGCAACAGCAAGAGTACCCCGCTAACTCATATTCTCATTATGCTCCTGTGGTTGGCGCTGGTCACCATGAGCAGCAACTGCTTTGCCCGGCGTATACAATACGGCTTCAGTAGCAGTGCCGGAATGACATCGGCGCCGATGAGCGACATTGCTCAGAGCTCTTACCGCGCCGCGAGCAGCATGTCAGGTGCTATGATTCCACCACCAGCGACAGCAGCGGCCTTTGATCTTCCCAGCCAAAGCGAGCGCACCAGCACAGACATGGCCTACTACGAGCGCGATTCTAGCAGCATGAGCCACGGACAGCAGCAGCAGCTACAGCAGGACGTTGGTATCCATGATCCTCTTGGCCGCCTTAGCGCATGTCGCCCTATTATTTCATTTGGCTTTGGCGGCAAGCTTGTCACCATGCTTCCTCGGAACGTGCAGCGCTTTAATATCTACGACAGCGGCAAGGCGTCAAAGATTGCACCAGGCATGCTTCAGATCCAGCAGCTGTCGGCACAAATTTCTCCAGATCTGTGTGGCCAAGGGACGCTGTCTCTGGCTAACGTGCCGCTTCTTGCGGGTGAAACCACCCGGGCGGCGCTTCTCAGACGTCGGGATGCAGCAGTTGCATGCGCGAACGCATGGCTCGAGTCATCAAGATTGTCGCCAAGCAATACACTGACGCAAGAGGAGGAGGCGCTGTACAGAGTCATCATTGCTATTCTGGGCACGTTTGACCAGGCGGATGTCCCACAGCAGCCTGTGATTCTGGGCGTGTTGGATGCGCTGCGCCCACTTTTCGGAAAGTCTGGCTGTGGAGCGACCAAGAATAGTGATTTTGCAGAACCATCGCTGCCCATTTCTCACGGCAGCAAGCAGCAGCTGGAGAACCTTGAAAGCCTTCTGCTCGCGGGAAATCGTAAGGAGGCGGTTGATACGGCGTGCAGCCAGGGGCTTTGGGCACACGCACTGATTATTGCCAGCTGCACAGGGAAGGACCTATGGCAGTCTGTTATTTCGGCCTACACCGAATGCGTGCTGGGTGGAGAGCTGTCGACCCTGGGCACCCAGTACCGCATGTTTTCGGGGCTTGGCGCTGGAGCTCTTGATGAGCCGCGGTCATTTGACAAACGCAATCAGAGCGCTCCTAGTGACGAGTTTGTGGCAGCCGCAGCTATTGGCGGCGGCGGCAGCAGCAGTATTTCCTACTCGAGCAAGGCGGAGCAGCAGCAGCAGCAACACGCATCGGCCAATGGCGATCTCACGCAGACCAGCGTCAGCTCTGAGGACAAGACGAGTGATAACTGGGCCAAGGTGCTTTCGCTTATGCTGGCCAACAGGACCCCGGGAGACCAGGCCGCTATATTGGCGTTGGGAGACCGACTGAAGAAGAATGGCCGGACCGTTGAGGCACATATCTGCTACGTGCTCACTCAGCAGGGTAAAGACATTTTCATGGCGGAGGGCGCGGACGCTGAGCCGAGGGCCATTATTTTGGGTGTTGCCGAAACCACACGTACCCACGGCAACAGAAACCATGCATTTGACATGGCTGTGACGCGCTACTCTCGCTATTATCGCAAGCACTCGGCGATGTTCGTCACCGAGCTGTATGAGCTTGTGTTTGCGCTCAGGGCCGTGTCGGCAGGGGACTCTCAGTCAGCTGGCAGCACAGCGGCGAGCTCGGCCAGCACCGCGGCTGCCACGGGTTTGGCTAGCGGGAACGGGCCCAAGCAGCCAACATTGCTTTGCCTTCCTCACCTGCAGGCCTACAAGCTGTACTACGCTTGGTGGCTGGTTGACTGTGGGCAGACAGCGCTGCGTCGCGCTACTGCGACGCAGTGCTCAATATCTTGGCTACGCTGCCCCAAGGCACAGCGGTTCCGTTTATCAACAGTTCTCTGGTTCAGGAGCTGCGTAACCTGCGCGAGCGACTCTCGGGTGCAGGCATGACGTCGACCAAGGCTGCCGAGATTGTTGGTGACGACGCGGTGCTTGCGGCACCAGCTCAAAGTCGTGGCTTTCCCGGGCAATGCCTCGCCCGTCGTTCACATCGCTAATGACCGTGTTTGACTCTCCATCGAAAGGTTTATCACTGGCGCAGATGGCAACCGAATCCCGCTGGAGACCAACGCCACACCTGGCAAATTTGAAATCGGACCCGATCGACAGAGTGCGCAGCCGAACCGCAATGGGAACATCAACCGAACCATCCGGCGCGCCCACTAGGCGCCATCACATGGGATGGCCGGACACCCAGCCCGCATGTCACGTCATCCTCAGTTCCCGCTGATTCGTATGGGCATAGCTATGGGTCGCCCCGCCATAGCCTGGATGGCAGGCCATCATTCTCTGGCATATCTCGCCAAGATAGCAGCACAGAGCCGCCCAGGATGTTCACGCCCAGTAACTTTGCTTCGCAGATGGACTCCGCAGCACCGGGTTATGGGAACTTTCCAAACTATGCAACGCAGCCAGATCACCAGCAGCAACAGCCACAGCAGCCTACACAGCCGCCACAGTGGGGCGATCCGGTTTTGTGCCAGGAACGCTGGCCAGGGCGGATTCATCACCCCTAACACGTCTTTTGTGCCCGCGGCGGCAGCTTTATTGGCAGGTTCAAGGGGACCGAGCTTCGACATGGGATACGGAGGCAGCGGCGCGATTGAGAGCAGCGGCGCGCCCCCAGCAGCGCACGTGCACTCTGGATATAGCGGTCAGCATGGGGCAGCGCAGAGCAGCGGCTCTGTAGCTGTGGCAAACCACGGCTACGGCAGTGCAGATTCTGGGGCTGGAGCCGGCAATACCAACGGCGACGACGACGAGGATATGTTTGGGTTTTCCAAGGGTAAGAAACAAGTGTCAGCGGCTTCTGCGCAGTCAGCCCAAACCACACAGGTGCACCCCAGGTCAGCGCTGAAGCCACCCGCAGCTCGGTGCCCTCTGCTCGGGCATCAACCGATGCCAAGGGCGAAAAGACGGCGGGAAGGGTGATGGAGAGGGCGACGACAAGGCCAGCAGCGGAGTATTCGGAATGTTCAAGAGCCTTTGGGGCGGACGCAAGAACCAAGCCAATTTGGGCGAGGAGTCACACTTTGTATATGATCCTATTCTGGAGAGGTGGGTGGATAAGAACGCTGCTGGAGACCAGCAGGACAGCGGGCCGCTGCCGCCACCACCACCCTCGATGATGAAGTTCCAGCCGCAGAGCTCTTCTGTCCCGCCTCCCGCAAGTGCCGGAGTGTCGTATCCGCAAGTGCCCGCCAACATGCAGTACGGCTCGAGCATGGATTCTGCTTCGACGCCGCTTGGGGGACGCAACAGTGTTCCGCCCCCACCAGCGTTCAATGGAATGGCTCCTCAGCCTGTGTTCAATGGAATGGCGCCGCAGCCTGCGTTCAATGGAATGGCGCCGCAGCCTGCGTTCAATGGAACGACGCCGCAGCCGGCGATTGGCAGCATGGTTGGCAGGGCGACATCAACGGTTTATTCGGCAACAGGGGGCAATTTCAGCCGCACTGGCACACCCATGTCCATATTTGAGTCGACCTCGGCAGCCGGAGGCATGGTACCGCCAGCACTGGGCAGCATCGCTGGCACACGCCAGCAGGCGCGGCGCCGTGGAGCGCGGTCCAAATACGTGGATGTAGCAGGTCAGCTGGGAGATACAAAGTCGTAGCTGAGCGAGATGGAGGGGAGTTGCGGTTTGTCGACCCAAAACGATCCACATTTTTTCCTTTCATTTTTCATACATAGCATTTCGTCATCACCAATCTAACTGGGTTAACAATTTATTTTATTTTTTCCACGTCATGTCAACTGCCATATCAAAGAAGAGGAATATAAAAAGGGTGGTGTAGTCAGTTGACTACAAGAAAACTGGGATGGATGTGCATGCAAACATGCAAACATGCAAACATGCAGACATGCAATTTCAGGGTTTCAGGTTTGTTTTTCTTCGTTTACTTGAGAGAGCTAAATGGCATGGGGAGCATGATGCGCGAGCTCATGTTTTGGATGAGCGGAACGGTGTTTAGAACAGTGGCTGGCCAGCCGTCTTCGCTCCACGCAGCCTCGCGGACCTCCTTGCGCACTTGCAGATCTGGGTACTGCCAGAGGTGGTGGACCTGGTTGAGATTGCCGAGCTGGGAAAACCAGGCGCCCATGGGTACCTCGTGGTGCTTGCGGCACTCGACGCCGACGCGCCAGTTTTGCTCCCAGTCAAGCAGTGTGCCCGACTTTAGGGTGTAGCTGCGCAGCTCGTACAGGCCGCCCTTTGTCACGGGCGGGTGAGTCGGCCAAAAGTGGAACTCGAGCATGATCTGCGACTGGCGCTCGCGTAGGAACGACAACATCTTCTGGTGCAGCTCTTTGTACTTTGGATCGGTCCTGTACTCCAGATAGGCGGTGGACAGCGCCGGGTAGCCCTTGTACTCCCAGATATGGATAGCGGTGTCGAGGTCGCCGATGTCGGATTCCCAGCTGCCGACAAGCTTTGTGCCGGGGCTGAGGTTGCGGACGATGTAAGGGTACAGTTCTGCCACGACAGCCTTGTACTCCTCCATGCGGCCAGGTTTGACACGGTGGGTGGCCAGCTCGTGCACATACTTGCCGCGGGCCAGCACCTTGGATAGTGTGTCCCGGGTCTCCTGCCTGACCTGCTCAGAGCCGTGCAAGATGGTGCGGACGATGTTTGATGCCTTTTGTGGGAGCGTCTGTTTGGATTCGTCGGCATTTGGGGCGTCTTTGTCGGTCGCGTCCTCGCTGAGCGCGCGGCTGCCGTGCAGCAGCCTGGTGATGCTGGCTGGACGAACGGCCGGCGCTAGGGAGCCGCCAAGTGGGATTTTGAAGGAAGCAGCCAGAATTGATCTGTGGGCGGATGACGATAGCATCTGGTTTCTGGCGGTAGGAGAAAAAATAAGAAAGAAAGCTAATTGAAAGAGACGGAAGAGAAGAGACGAAGAGGGCTGTTTTTGTTTTGCGGTTAGATTATTGCACAATGCAGAGGCGGTGGACAGAAAAATTGGGCAAAGCAGAGAAGAGGAGAGGGATGCGCGCGCACAATGGCGGCGGCATTTATAGCGGCGGCGTGCGGTATAGGGGGGAGGGTCGGTCTGTCTTGGCAGGCCGAGAGGAGCGAGTGCATGCATGCGCGAACAGGCGGGCAGGCAGGCAGTCAGGCCAGTCAGGTGGGCAGTCAACCAACCAGCCAGCCAACCAACCAGCCAGCCAGCCAGCCTGAAAAGGGCAGGTCACATGCACGGGCTTGTGTCACTTCGTCGGCGCGGCAGCAGCGGGGTGGCGATTGCGCTGATCTCCAGCCACACGGTGTGCAGGCAGCGCACAAGGAACGCGTCGACGCCCGGCTGCGCGAGTGAGGCTGCGGCCGTGCCGACAAGCATGCGCTCGGCCTCGGCGGCCAGGCGCGCGCAGACGGCCTCGACCCACGCGCGCACGGCGGCATTCTCCGCGCCCTCCGCGTCCTCTGTGGGCCCGCCGCGCCGCCACCGCTCCCACCGCGCAATGGCGCCCTTGGCAGTCGCCCCCCGCTGCTCGGCGGCCAGCAGCAGGCGCAGCGCGGCCTGCAGCCGATACGACGGCTCGAGGTCGTCAAGCGAGATGGTAAAGTCGCCCCACAGCCCGTGCTGCCTGAGCGTGTCGACCAGCCGGCGCAGGCCGTCCGGCCGCATCAGCGCCGCTGCCGGGCGAGCGGCCAGCAGGCGCGCCTCGGCCGCAGCCACCCAGGCGCTGACAGCGTCGTCCAGCTCCAGCACCTGGAACGGGTTGCGCGCGAGCACGAAGCCGTACTCGAGGAGCATGAAGCGGTTGTCGTGTGGCCCGTACGAGATGAACACCTCCTGGCCCCGCGCGAACGCGCGCTGCGTCCGAATGACAAAGTGGCCGGTGCGCTGGTCGAAGTGCGTCTCGACGTCCGCCGTCTCGCTGTGGTTGAGGAAGTCGAGCACGGGCGCCAGCGCCATGGTGTCGGCGCCGGCGCCGGCGCCGGAGGCCGCCGGGCGGCCTTGGGCAGTGCCTGCGCTGGTCTGGCTCGCAGCGGCGGCCCCCAGGTGGATGCACCGCGTGTTCACCGCCAGCCACGCCCACACGTACAGCCTCCACCCGCGCAGCGGCGCCAGGCCCGCCGCCGCCAGGAACGCAGCTGTGGCCGACCAGTCGGCGAACAGCCGCGCCTGCTGGGCGGCCAGCCTCAGTCGCATCGGCCGCGGCAGGTGCGCCGCCACCCAGCGCGCCTCGGGCGAGCCAGCCGCAACGCTGCTGCTAGGCCCCTCCCCAGACAGCGCATACAGCGGGACCGAGCCGAAGTCGCGCGGCAGCGAGCCGATGTAGCTGGCCCACTCCGACGCGGCGCGCCGCCCGGCCTCGCCGCACAGCCAGTACACGAGCGACTGGTGCTCAGACAGCGTCCACCGCAGCGCGCTGCCGCCGCAGGCTGCCGCCTGGTGCGTTGTGCGGCGCCGCACCTTGGACGCGGTCATCAGCAGCTGCTCGGGCACACGGATATGTCCTCGCCCCGGCCAATGTCGCGCGTAGCCATCATGCCGCGGAACGTGTCTGGGAAGTACGCCAGCGTGAGCTTCGTCTTTGCCATTCCGCGCGCCTTGCACCAGCCGCGCAGCTCGGCCCAGGCGCTGTCGGTGCACGGCCGCCCGCGGCTGCTCGTGCCCGCACCATGGTGGTGGTGGTGGTGGTTGTGGTGCTGCTGCTGCTGCTGCTGCTGCTGCTGCTTGCGCCGCTGCCGCCGTCTGTGCGTGCGGCCATGCCTCATAAAGAAAAATAGGGTGTGTCAGCGCAGAACGCCACTCGAGAAGATGGACGAATTGATAGTGAAAAAGAGCTCTGGTGTGCAGAACAACGGCCAGAACGGCTTGACTTTGGCTTCCTAAGAAAAATTTGATTGTAGGCCGAGCTGATCAGCGCGCCTGGAATCTAGCTGCCAGAAAAATAATAATAATAAAATAGGGATCGCGTTTGCCACAGCTCGCCAGCGCTGCTGTCGCATAAGTCAACACGCTGCACAGCTGGCCCCGTCGCCGCCTGCATTGCGCCCCCCTCTGCGCAGCGAGTTCCAGGCCAAAGCTAGGCTAAGCTGACCAAGTGCGAATTTACCAGCTCCAAGCACAACCCGATTCTACACCCCCCCCTTTCCTCCACACACACAACAGCCCAATGAAGCTCAAGCAACTCGAGGGATATCTGGGCGACGTGGCGGCCTTTAGAGCCCCCAAGGTGCAGCTCGAGCAGTACCCAACCACTGCTCATCTCGCGTCGCGCATTCTCTACACCGCCGAGTCCTCGTACGGCGACATCGACGGCAAGGCGGTCGTTGACCTGGGCTGCGGCTGCGCCATGCTATCGGTGGCCGCCGCCATGATGGGCGCCAGCAGCGTGCTTGGCATCGATATTGACGCCGACGCCTTGGAGGTCGCCCAGGAGAACATCGACGAGTGCGAGGTCGCCGACGCCGTGGACCTCCTGCACGCCAGCCTGCTGGAAGACGGCGCGCTGTCGCTGAACGAGGCCCTGCTGGCCCCCATGGCCATGCGCTTCGACACCGCCATTCTCAACCCGCCGTTCGGCACGAAGCCGGGCAACAAAGGCATCGACCTCTGTTTCTCCAGGCCGCCTGCGCCATGGCACGCGGCGCCGTCTACTCGCTCCACAAGTCATCAACGCGTGCCTTCTTGGTCAAGAAAGCCCAGTCGTGGGGCTTCGACTGCGAGGTGCTTGCTGAGCTCAAGTTTGACGTGCCCATGATGTACAAGTTCCACAAGAAGAAGTCCGTCGACATTGACGTTGATCTGTTGCGCCTGAGCCGCAAGGAGCCCCTCCTCTCTGCAGAGGCGGTGTAGCGGACCATGGCCAGCCAGAGTCAGGGCAGCAAGTGCTCTGTCCCGACCAGTGAGCTGGCAGATTTGCACAGTTTAGTAGAAAACATTGTGATTTATAAATTGGTCTGCCATTACAGTCGTAATTAAAAGGATGACGACAACAAAGAAGAAAAAGAAGAAGAGCCATGAGAAGAAAATAGCAGCCGCCAAAGGCCCAAGGCCCAAGACCCAAGCCCAAGACAAAACAAGGGGGAGGGGAACAGCATCGGCAAATTGCAGACCGATCACGCGCAAAAGGAATGAGCGCACCCCGGCCGCCTAAGCGGGCAGAAGAAGAATAAAAAACAGTTGGGGCACACTCGCTGCGTGGAAGAAACAAAAAAGCAATGTTGCAGCACGCACGCAGAGTTAGCGTTGCGCATTGAACTGGGAGGCGTTGAACTGTGGGTGGGCGCCAGCATTCGCCTGGCCATCGTCGCGCGTAAGCGGGCGGTACCGCTGCTGGATCTGGATCTGGGCCTGAGCCTGGGCGTGGGCTTGGGCTTGGGCTTGGGCCTGCGCGCCGGCCATTGACATAGTCATGTTCATGGGCATGCCATTCCCGCTCCCGCTGCCGCTGCCAGGGGCCCCAGGCGTGGCCTTGGTGCTGCTGCGCAGGACGCGGTCGCTGGGAGAAACGCCTGGGGGCTTGCGCACTTGCTGGTTCTGGCTCTGGTGCTGATGCTGGTGGCTGTACATCAGCGGCTGCGGCTGCTGCGGCGACGGCTGGCCCATTGCCTGCATGTAGCCACCCATGGGCTGCTGGTGGACGCCCGAGAGCTGTTGCATCTGGTCCATGCCGCCGGCCCCGGCCCCGGCCCCGGCCCCGGACGCGTTGTTGGGGGGCAGGCCCTGCATCGTGCGATACTGTTGAGGTACAGTACAGGTACATTGCGAGAGGTGGAAGAGGGTTCTGCATTATAGCGCCGAAAGCTTGAGCGGGGTGTGTTGTCTTGTGAATTTTGTTCATTGTTCCCGGCGTCTGCAAGCGTCATAGCATTGAGTGCAAAGCTGTTTCTTACCTGCTGGTTAGCCGCGGAGCTGCCTGCGACCTGTAAGCTGCCACTGGGATGCCCTGCTGGGGTGAGAGCTGCTGAAGCTGCGCCTGCTGCTGCTGGGGCATGCTTCCACCCTGTGCCTGCTGGTGCTGCAGCTGCTGTGCCTGAAGCTGCTGCTGCTGCTGCTGCTGCTGCTGAAGCTGAAGCTGCCGCTGTTCCTCTGCGGGCAGCTGGATCTGTGGCTGGATCTGTGGCGGGAGCGTGTTGGCAGCGCGCTCTGCCTTGAACGTCGTCCAGTCAAACATGTAGTCGTATTTGAAGACGCTGCGGACAAACAGGTCGCGCAGCAGGCGCTTGAGGTATGTGTAGTCGGCTTGTCGTCAAACCGCAGGCTGCGCGCGTAGTTGAGGTACACTGCAAACTCGGTGGGGAACCCGCGGCAAAGCTCCTCGGTGCTGGTGCTCATCTTCTTTTCCATGATGCGGTCGTACTTCTGTTTCTTTGTCGCTGCCTTCAGCCCCTGCCAGGGCAGGCTCCCGCGCAAAAAGTACATCAGCACGTATCCCAAGCTCTCGAGGTCGTCTCGCCGCGACTGCTCGATGCCCAAGTGCGTGTTGATGCTGGCATAGCGCGCAGTGCCTGTGAGGTTCTTGTTCTCGCGATACGGAATATGCAATATGTGCGCGGGTCGCGGTATTTTTTCGCCAGCCCAAAGTCGATGACATGGACCAGATTTGTCCGCCGCCCGATTCCCATAAGGAAGTTGTCTGGCTTTATGTCGCGGTGGATAAACGACTTGCTGTGGATATACTCGATGCGTGACAGCTACAAACATGGGGACAATGCAATGACAGAGACAAAAATGGAATGTATAAATGAAGCAATCCCCAAGCTTTTGCATTAGTTAATTGCTTTCTTGGTGAACGCGCGCATAGTCTATTGCGCATTTTGGACTGTAAAGTGAGGCGTGTTGTAGTGTTTCAAAAGGGGTGCGCACTAAGTGTTTCTTTTCAGTTTTGGTGTGAGCGCCGAGTCTCTCGTCTCTCGTCTAGCGTCTGCTGTCTGTCGTCTGCCGTCTGTCGCCTAGCGTCTCTCGTCTATTGTCTCTCGTGGGAGCAGGGATTATTTGCCACCTCGCTGGGTGGGGAAACAAGGCACAAGCATAGCCGACATAAAAACAAATAAATACGAGCTTTCCCGACACAAAAAGTAGAATCAACTGAGAAAAAAGGCACTCTGTCTCTCCTCTGATATCGATGCACTCAGAAGGGTCTGTGTGCTTGCGTGGGATTGAACGAATGAACGAATGAACGAATAAGCGTATGTTTGCGCTTTGCATGCAGAAACAAAAATTAAGGGGGAAGAGACGGGTCGAGTAGAGCGAGAGAGCGAGACATAGATATAAGGATATGCGTTTTTCTTGCTAGACACAATGCATACAATTATAGTGCATGGCATCCATCATCGGCCAGTGGCCACAACACGGAAATAGTGGCGATGCTTGGAGGCAAAAATAATGAGCAAGTGGTAGTAAAGCTCCCCCATGCATGCACACCACATACGCATACACACAGCCAACCAAAAACGAACAAATGAACTGATATGCCAAAACCGGCTTTTCTTTTTGAAACTTACCAGCTGGTCGCCGAGAAGCAGCACGGTCTTTAGCGAGAATTTGCGGTTGCAAAAGTTGAACAGGTCCTCGAGAGACGGGCCCAACAGGTCAATGATCATCGCGTTGTAATCCTGCTCGACGCCAAAGTAGCGAATAAAGGGGATGCCGACACCGCCCGCAAGAGCCTTGTAGATTTTGTCTCGTACTCAAGCTGAGGATGGCGCGCCTTTACAGACTCGAGCTTGACTGCCACCTCCTCGTTGGTGACCACGTTTATCGCGAGGTAAATGTCGCCGAAGGACCCCGAGCCAATCTTGCGACCGATCCGGTACTTGTTGCCAATTCGAAGCTCCATGTGAATGTTGGCCGCGGAATGGGTCTGATTGGTTGGTGTGAGAAGGAAAGCGAGCGTGTAGTGTGAACAAATGAAAAGTGTGGCTAAAAAAGAAAGAAAATGAGAAAGAAAAATGAAGGTTGGTTTTTGTTCTGGCTTTGAACAAGAAATAAATGTAACGGAAAAGATGTGAGCCGAACTGGGAAAGAGAAGAACAAAAATAGAACCCCGAAATAGACTGGGCTAGATGACTGAAAATGTAAATAAATTTATAATTTATATTATATTATATTATACGAAATTCAAGAGGAGAGAGAGAAAGAAAGAAAAAAGGGCCTGGCTGAAGAAAGAAAAATAGAAAAAAGGCGGAGACAAAATATACAATACGGCGGGCGAGACTATTTTGCTTGTTGATGGCACCCGCTTCTCACGCAGACACTCCAAGCCTGGCAAATCCAGGCCAAGGGCAAAGAAAAAATTCAAGAAAAAAATGCCATTCACTCTGCAAAAAAAAGCAGTTGGGCTTAACCCGCGCAAAAAAAACCCACACTCTTTCTTGTACTGTTTGAAAGGCGAAGAAAATGTGGAGTGCCCCCTTTTTAAAACAAAAAGAGTGCTGGAAAGCTGAGCCTGTGCCAGAAAGACACGGAAACCAAAGGGGAGGCGGGGCTGGACTCTTCTCGGTACGCTTTGGTTCAGCTGGCGCAAATATAAAGGTAACACTTGAAGGTGCCGTCGTTTGGGAGAAATAAATCTGGGCCCCGTTATCATCGGCAAAGAGGCTTTCTTTGAAAGAGAGGTGCAGGGAGACAAAGCATATCATATATTCCTTTTTTCTCTGTGTATGCGGTGCAGATACGCGCTGGCATATCTCTCCTGGAATGACAAAGTGCCTGAACCCTGCAAGCTGCAAGTATCACCCCTCCTACAAAAATGCCAAATAAGGCAAGATGGCAGCAGAGACAACGACAACGAAACGACAACAATAGCACCAGTAATAATAACAACACTAATACTACAACAGCGGCCTCTGCTGTGGCTTTGTTGTCACGCAGGGTCCGTCAGAGGATGCATGCCAGATAGAGTGTGCATGAGATTGTGACCAGATCGGCTCGTCTGCACGCACTATTTTGCTCGGCTCGGCCAATGCGCGATTAAAGCTCGTACATGAAAAATTTTCCATCTAGGTTCCAGTTTTTTTCACTATTTTTTTCTTCCTCAGCTGAACGGCAGTAGTATAAAAGCTCTGATTTCGCTGTGTTTCCCCATCTGCTTCTTGCTTCTTGTCTTTACAACTATTGTCCAGAACTGTATTTCTATTGTTTTTGTATTGTTTAAAGGTACGCTTTATATGTTTACTTGCTTGCTTGCTTATAAAGTGCTGCTCGGTTGTCGTTGTTTGTGAGTGATGATAGAAAAAGTAGGGACAGCTTAGAGCTTTTGCTCGCTGCTGAAAAAAGCTTTTTCATGAATCTCGTATTTCGCTGACACAATATATTACGACTATTTTGTGCTTATTTATTCTGTATGCTCTATGGGCGGCAGTTACTCGTTATATTTTGGTACCAACTGCTAATATTTTATGCACTTTTGTGGTATTTGTTACGCTTGTTTGTATAGGTTTGTGTTGGTAGCAGATCGCAGTAGGTTTCCCCTGATGCAGTAGTGGTAGTAGTGTGGGCACGGCACTGCCGCTGCGCAGCTACTGCCATTTCTGAGTTGGCGCTATTTGAGAGTCAGTATACTTTTTTTTAAATAATATTTTGTATTATAATATATTGATGCAATTTAAACTAAAAACACACTTGAGTGTCATCAGAACAATGAGAAACAAACATTTTAAAGAACAATGAACTATTGTTAATCATTAAACCGCGCCGTTAAAGGCAGAACTTGATAATTCATCTAGCAGTCACGCGCATTGCAATTAAATTATTTCACATGTCTCCAGCACAGCAAGCATTGGTACTCCAGCCCGAGCAATGTCTTTAATGGCCATGAGGTTTGGAACGTGAAATAAAATGAAGGTCAATTCGAAACGGTAAACTGTAAACTGTAAAAATACTAGAGAAGGGAAATCACGCCAACGACTCAAACACGCGGTTGTGGCGGCAGATGCTAGGTCCGTACTCCTCGTACTCGGCCTTTGTGTGACTGAACTGGTAGAACTGGTCCGTGCAGGCCATAATGCTGCCACCGAACCACACGGCATGCCGCTGCTTCTTGTGCGCCACGACGTTGACATCGATCGGCTTGGCCTGGAGCCGGCCGCCGCTGAGGTCCTCGCTCATTTTGATGCGGCCGTCGACGATGCGCTTGATATCGCGCTGCAGGCGCTTGCCAAAGTCCTTGAACATGGTGGAGCCGCCAGAAAGCACAATGTTGTTGTACAGGCCACGGCGTGTGTCGATGGGGCTGACCTGAATGCACGTGTCGACGACCTCGGGCAGGGGCGTCAAAAAGTCGGAGCTCACGAGCTCGGGGTTGAAAAAGACCTCGGGGGCCAGGAAGCGCTCGTAGCCAATGTCGACCTTGTACGTCTGCTGGTTGATGCTGTTGACGGCGTCGAGGCTCTTGAAGTACTTGACGGGATCGGCGTCAAACTTTTGGAACTCCTTGGACATGTCATGGCATGTGTACGAGTAGTGCTCCTTTATGCGGCGGGCGATTTCGAGCGAGTCCTCTGGCGGAATCTTTGTCTCGCCGTGCTCACGCATGAGCTGCTGCACAAATGCGGTGATGTCACGGCCGGCAATGGGGATGTGCTTGATGCTGGAGCCCAGCACGTATCCCTCGGCGACCGGGATGACGTGGGTCACGCCGTCACCACTGTCGATGACTGTGCCAGTGAGCGTCTGCTGCGAGTTTTTGGCCGTCCAGCTGGCGGCGAGCGCAAGCACGGCCTGGACAGCGATGTAGAGGCCCTGCACATTGAACGACTCGAAGAAAATCTCGGCCATCTGCTCGCGGTTCTCGGGCGCGTTGAGTGGGGGCTCGGTAAGCAAAAAGTAGTGGTCCTCGGGCTCGCAGCGCATGTACTTGAAGATGCTCTGCTCCCAATAGCGCTCCATATGGTCCCAGTTGTCAATCTGGCCGTGGCGGATGGGATAGTTGAGCCCATACGACTTTGAGTTGTCACCGCCTCGTCGCCAATGTGAAAGTCCAGGTCCTCGATGCCGCGCTTTGACGCGATGCCGTAGCGGGACTGGTTGGGCAGCCCAATGACTGTCGGGATGACAAACTGGGGATCGGTGTTTCCAGCGAACCCCATTTTGGTGTACCTACATGAGTTAAAGTATTCGAGTCCAAAAGGGACATGAAGCAGAATTCAGGGTGCATTAGATAAATGTACAGATGGCGATGAGATTTGGCCGCCGGGCCTCGTGTCGGCTGCTCAGCTTTGCAAGCGGCAACAGTGGCAAAGCAAGGTCTGGACAAATTCTGAATTAGGCGCCGCTGCCCATCTGCCTGCTGCCGTCGATTGGTATGTGCCTTGCAAAGAGGCTAGCAGTTTCATTTCTCCGAGCCCGCGAGAGTGCATGCGTGCGTGCGTGCGTGCGTGCGTGTGTGCGCTCAGGGCGCAAGTACGTACCCAGTACCGTTATCAATAACAACTGGCGGCAGTTTGGACATTCTTTATAGCAGAGAAATATTATAACTATATTCTGAAAGAAAAATGTGTTTGAATGAAAATGAGCAATTGAAGCAATGCAAGCGCGCTTTCAAAATGACAAAACACGGACATTTCAGGATGCGCTCGATTTTGTGTGTATGCAGACAGCGCGGCAGCGGCAGCATGGGGATTAGGTTCCTTGAGCCGCGGCTCATTTGTAATCCGAGCCGTGTAATTCAGCGCAGGCGTGCCAGACCACGTGGGTGCCTCAGCTGGCGAATTGCGTTGGGGGAAAAGAAAGAAAAAAGTGCAATTGTGAGGAGAGCCACAAAAGCAAGGGCGCGGGCGCACCCTCTCTTCCCATTCGCTCGCTCGCTGAATAGATTTTTTTACTCTATCTTTTTTCAACAATTATAACATTGCGCTGCTGCCCGCTCTGCCCAGTAGCCAAGAAAAAGCTAGAAAAATAAGCTTGCTTTTTTGTACATCTTGATACCGCCACCCGCAGCTCTGAAACTAAGCGCGGGACGAGACACCAACACGCCAAAGCGCCATTTTTTTCCAACGAGGTAAGCGCATAACTGAGAAGACCCGAACAACGCGCAGCCGGACCGTGGCACAGTTCCTCAAAGGCGCAGCAGATCTGCCTATCCCTGGAGCCGGACAATGCTGCTGTCTTGACTATAATCTGGAGTGGTCGAGCGGCGACAAACCCAATGTCGACTCCCTTTTTTCTGCGACATGCCACTGCATGCAAAGCGCAAAAATGGTCCTTTGAAGTTTTTTCTCAAGGCTGCCTGCCAGGTGGGGCTCCCTTTTTCAGAAGCAGCACTGCTGAATATCCCTTTCAGCAAGACGCTGCCGCCCCCACCACTCCACTCACACGCCCACACACTTAAAGCCCTGCGCTTTGTTTGCAAAGCACCGGAGCACCACAAAATCTATACAAAGTTGATCCGTTTGCCCGAAGCAGCAGTTCCCACACTCACTAAATATCAACCATTTTTTCTCGTTCTTTTCCCCATCTCTATTTTATGTAGGATTTCCAAGCACGTGTATTTGTTAGCTTACGCCGTTTAAAAAACGATACGCGTACACGAGATGAACCCACCGTTCCACGATTTTCACAATTACGGGCTGCCGGTCGGCGACCCGACGACTGGTGGGCCCATGGACTACACGCAGCAGTACGGCGCCGAGCTGGCCGGTCACCCTCTGCTTATCTCCCAGGGTGAGGGCAGTGCATCGATGCCCACGTCTGCTTCCTCAATGGGCTCCAACAACGGCCCGCTGATGCTTAACAGCTTCAATGACCCGGGGTCAGTAGCCGCCGCCGCCGCGCCGCTGCCGCTGCCGCCGTTGCAGCAGCACCTGGTGGGAGCATTCTCGACGACGTCTCAGAAGACGGCGGCCAGACGCCGGGTAGCAGCGCAGCCATGCGGATGTCGGTCGGGCTTCCGGCTGTCCTGCCAAAACAACAGCAAAAACAGCAGCAATGTCAGCAACAGCAGCAGCGCCGCATTCGACCCGACTGCAGCGGCAGTTGCAGCAATGAGTGCCAGCAACGCGCCTCGCGACGAGGAGCCGATGTATGTCAACGCCAAGCAGTACCACCGCATCCTCAAGCGGCGAGATGCCCGTGCACGCATGGCAGCTGAGCACAAGATGAACGTCAAGCGCAAGCCTTATTTGCACGAGTCCCGCCATCGCCACGCAATGCGCCGCCCGCGTGGTCCCGGCGGCCGCTTCCTGACTGCCGCCGAGATCGCCGACATGGAGCGGAGGGGCGAGTTGCCGCCTGGATCCAGCGAGGCCTTTCAGTCCGCCAGCGCAAAGTCCAAGAGCAGAGCCAAGAGCAAGCAGGCCGCGCAGGACGGCCCGGCTCCGGGCTCCGGCTCCCAAGTCTTTGCAGGCCCAGCGGAGTGAAGATGCGATGAATGCCGACAGTGGTTCGTCGCCGTAGCAAACCACTTTTCCCGCCCACACACCCCCTATCTCGTTGATCTTGTAATTTTCTCCAGCCATAAATACAGTGCCATTTTTATTTATTTACTCTGTGCAAAAAGCCTTCTTTCGCATTTGCGTCGATGACTGCCTCCCCCCACTGCGGGGTCTGCTCGAGCATGTTCTTTCATCATCGCCAGTGGCGTTTTTTGCATCCTCGATCCCGTGCATCTCAAACCGGAAACAAAACAATCGACGAAAATGAGCGCCGATTGTTCTTTTTTTGCAAAGCACTTTAAAAACCCCCCAATGGATTAATTAAAAAATAAAGTCCATGCGAATGTAAAATATCCAGGCAGCTATGCTCCCCCACGCTCTTAGAAGCCGTTGTTGGCGAGCCACATCCTGACATCCTCGCGGTCCTTCTCGAACCATGCGTGTTGGATCTGATTTTCTCCAGCGACTGGTCGACCACGCGTTGGAATTTGCTCGTGTCCTTGGTCGCGAGGAACCTCTCGATCTCGTCGGCCTTGTCGTAGCCGATGAACCCACCAGTCGAGATGCGCACTAGCGCGCCCATGTAGCTCATCGATGCACGGTAGCGTGTGACCAAAAGATCGTAGTTTTCCTGGTACCACTTCCACAGCCGCTCGCGGTTGGCCTCACCAGTGCTGAGCGCATTGATCGCTTGGTGCACGTCCTGGTTGCGCACACTGTCGCTGAGTGCAAACTCGAGGAGCTCGTTGACCAGCGCCGGGTCCTTGGTGAACCCGAGGTTGGAGAGCGCTGCCAGCTGCTGGTCGACGGGGTTGGCCGAGTCCAGGAAGTAGCTCTTCGCCTTCTCAAACTCGGCGCGGCCGCCGTGGTAGATGGCAACTGCAAAGCCCGCGCGCAGCATATCCGTGTTGAATGCACTCTTGTCGCCATCAAAGAACGCGTGGAATCGGCGGTTGGCCTCGGCAATTACCTCGGCGTCGCCGCTGAAGCCCGCTGCGCTAATAGCCAGCGCGCGCAACCGCCCGACCAGGCTGTCTTCGTCAGCGCTGGCTGCCTCCCAGCCCAGCTTCTTGACCAACGGCGAGAAGAGAGTGCGGGACAGTGCGTGGATCTTCTCCTTGATCTCGTCGCTCTCGTTGACCCAGACTGACTTCAGGGCGTCCGTGCGGGTTGCGATTTCCTGCCACACGACAGGCTCGGTCTCGCTGGCGTACGCGCGAAGCAGGGTCAAAAAGTCTGACGTGCTGCTGTGCCCGCTGACTGCCAGGGATGCCGCATCAGCAATGACGCCGATGCGGTCGTTGGTGCCAAGCTCGCCCTCGGCAATGGCCTGAGCGATGTTGACCACCGCGCTGGCAGGGTACTTGACGCGGTAGATTCCGACAGTATCCTTGTTGAGCTTGTACCACTTGGAGGTGGACACCGGGATGTCAAACGTAGCTTCGCGGCTGGTCAGCACGTCGATGGGGCGCTGTATCTTGCTCTCTGCCGTTTCGATGCCCAGGGGCACCCACCACTCTGTCTCGTCCTCAGATTCGGCGGCCTTGCCTGCTGACAGGTACCTGTTCTGGCGGACCTTGATCTGGGATCCGTTCTCCAGCTCAGTGACAGTAATAATGGGATACCCGATCTTGCGCGTCCATGTGGCCATGAAATGGGATACGTCGACGCCCGATGCCTCGCTCAGTGCGTTCCAGAGGTCCTCAGTGGACGCGTTGGCATACTTGTGCTTCTGCAGGTACGCGCAGATACCCTTGAAGAAGCTATCGTGGCCGATGTACGAGCTGAGCATCTGGATGGCGCTGGCGCCCTTTGAATACGAAATAGCGTCAAAGATCTGGCTGATGTCAGCCGAGCGGCGGACGGGAACCTGGATGGGGTGCGATGAACGTAGGGCGTCAAGTGACAGAGCGCGCTGTAGGTTGTCAGTCAGGAACTGCGTCCAGATGGCATACTCTGGGAACAGATGGCCGACGGCAAGCGTGCCGACCCAGGTGGCAAAGCCCTCGTTGAGCCACAGCTCGCTCCACCACTCCATAGTCACCAAGTTGCCGAACCACTGGTGCGCGAGCTCGTGGCTGACAACCTCAGCAACGTACTGCTTGGCGCGTGAGCTTGTGCTGGCCTCGTCGACAAGTAGCGCAACCTCGCGGTAAGTGATCAGGCCCCAGTTCTCCATCGCGCCGGCCTCAAAGTCGTTGATGGCCACCTGGTCAAGCTTGGGCAGCGGGTACTCGGCGCCAAACACATCGGCAAAGTACTCGAGAACCTGCACGGACACGTTGAGCGCGAAGCGGCCCTTCTCACTGTTTCCAGGCGCAGTGTAGACGCGGCATGGAATCGGGCGGCCGTTGTGCTTGCCGCTGGTATGGGCCTCAATGTAATCGAGTTCGCCGACAATGAACGCCAGCAAGTAGGTCGACATGATCGGCGTGGTGCTGAACGACACATCCTTCAGGCTGTCGCCGACAGCAGCGATCTTTGCGACATCCATGTTGGACAGCGCGGTGAGGTTCTCCTTCACGCGCAATGTCACGTTGAAAGTGGCCTTCTGCATGGGTTCGTCCCAGCACGGGAACGCGCGCCGAGCGTCAGTGGGCTCGAACTGGGTGGTCGCCATGTTCTTGGTGTTGCCCTGCGCGTCAGTGTACTTTGAGCGGTAAAATCCCACCATCAGGTCATTGAGGATGCCGCTGAACTTGAGGCTCAGCGTGGCCTCGCTTCCGTTGGGCAGAGCCTGAGCGAATGCAAGGTGCGCGGTCTCGTCATCCTTCTTGAGGGTGATGCTGGATGCGCTGATTGAAGCACCTGACTGAAGCGCAGTGCTCGTCAGAGATGCCTCCTTAATCTCGAGTTCGTTGGAGTGCAGAACAATGTTGTCTGTGGCCTCGTTGATGCGGACCCTATTGAATAACAAAGTGTGTTAGTTGTCTGGTTTTATGGATAAATTCTGCGCTTGCACACCCAAGAGGGTGCCAGAAGGGCATCTCTATGTCACTCACTTGATGTGGACCTCACCGGTGTACGTGAGGGCGTCGAGGTCCGGTGCGAGATGGAGGTCGTAGTGGATGGGAGAGACGTTGGTCGGGAGAAGCTCGCGCTCCTCAATGGCGTTGTGGCTGGCGGACGTGCACATTTCTTTACTGAATAGCGAATTCGAAGACGGGACTATGAAGCGGGCAATATAAAGAGCCACGAGAAGCGGGAGCACGTATAGCAAGGTTTTTAATGAGAAGACTCGATGGTTTGCTCCAGGCATGGCCATTTCCAAAAAAAATACAAATGAGTGGAAATTGAAGCAAGCGGAATTAAGGGAAAGGGAAGGGCCGACAGAGTTTGAAAGGAGAGGCGGCGGTGGCTGAATGAACGCGTCACCTGGAAATCATGCAAAGAAAACAGCCATCCTTGTTGATGTTGTTTTCCAATCTTGCTGGCATTAAACTGAGTTTCAAAGCACCAGTGCATATAAAACACGGCACATTGCATCTGGCGCACAAAGCCCCCCAGTAGCAATATCAACAGACTTAACAACAACAATGTAGCCCTCACACGATAAGAAACTCACCTGAAATATATTCTGTTAGTGTTTTTTCTTTTGCTGAATTGAATTTGCAACAAAGTCCGAGTAAATGATAGAGAATAGCGAATAAAACAAACTGAGTGGTTGGCTGGTTGGCTGGCTGGCTGGAAGCTGTAAAATATAATATTTCGAGGTGGGGATTTGCAGAGTGGTTTTTAATAGTGCAAATATAATAATAATAGTTAGTTGAAAGCAGAAAAGAGAGGGGGCAATTATTCGGCGAGGTGATACTGCCTTTGTACCATTCACATCTTTTCATTTACATATCGCAGCCAAATTTTTTTAGTAAAGGGGGCATGACACAGCAACGATGCGTGGACCGAATGTATGCCTGCAGCCTATCACGACCCCTCGGCCAAACCAGCAAACTCAAGCTGCATGAGGATCAGGGGATAGGGCCGTGAGTACGCTGTTGCTGCCTAAAGTCAAAATTGTACATGCATCATGTGCCCAGCGATGCCAACGCCAACGCCAAGCCAATGCAATTCGCGTGTAGTCTTTTTTGTTTTTGTTGTTGCATATGGCCGTTCTGGATGCAATCGGGGCAATTGGGGCAACGGTGCGCCAGAAATTGCCGCCTTTAAATGCAGAAATGCGCTGGAACACAGCAAATGGTCGATTGGATTATATCAGCTGAACATTGAGGCAAGCGTGCGGCAGTAACAGTGCGCAGTCAGAGCTGAGCGCGAGTCACACATCAGATGACAACATTGTCACATTTGCTGTGACCACGGAATGTGACTATGTTTGTTCTCGCGTCGAATACTTAAATACTCAAGCCAACCTCAAAAAATGGAGAAGCAAGGCTGGAGGCCGCGAAATTAAACAATAAATGTCTATTACGCGTGACGGATCCGCTGCTGATAATAGCAGGCAATGGCAGCGCCAATAATAATGTCAATAGCAATAACAGTGACAATGCCAATGCTAATAATAATGCTAATTCCATCCCCCGACACATACACACCATTCGAAGCAAGCCATTCCTCTTTTTCACACAGCTGAGCGGTAACGTTGCAGGCTAATTTGCACAACCACCTCACAGCATGGCGCGCACAAAGAATGGTAATTGCATGCAGCTGGGGTGTGCACGGCTAACAGAAGCCGCACAGCTAATCAGTATTGTAAATGCCGGCTGGATATCCTTATTTCTCCACACTCACTTCCGATACTGGCGTAAAAGTGTCCGTAAACAGGCGAGTTGCTCTTTAATCAACATATTTTGCACGTTTTTAATCAAGAAAATGGCAGTTTGCAATTCAGTAAAAAAGTGAGAAAACTCTGGTGTAGAAAGCAAATGTTTCAGGTTGCCTTTAAATTTGACACATCGAACATTCGCATTTTGTATGATACGCATGCCAGTATGCTGCTAGGCTTTTTTCGTGGAGGCCGCTGCGCTGATCCATTGTTTCACATACGCTTAATTTAACCGTACCGCCAACTTTTTTGCTACTGGTGTTCTGCTGCTGCAACTCCCCCACCCTCATTTTCCCTCCCTGCCGCCGATATTATTCCATTTTCTCCACCGCCTTGCATCCCAAGGGCCCTTCACTTCATCACACCGTTTCAGAAAATCAAAAATAAAACAAAAGACAACGCTGCATTCTATTGCCTGCCGCATCCATTCTGCGTTGCATTTTCTATCGCTTCGCCTTGCCGATATATAAACAGCATATCTAGCCTCCCCACTCTTCCTGCTTTTCAACCAGCTCTCGCCCACTCCAACTTCATCCTTTTTTACTTGTTTACGTCTGTTAATAGTGTACCATTTTTAAATTAAGTTGTCTTTATTCATTTCTACCAGAACACAGCAAAGAGCGTGCTTCCAGACCCATCTTTCAACAAAAAATTTCCTCTCCTCTCCTCACTCACTGCACAATGGCACAAGCCTCTATAGAGATACCGTCCGAATGCGTGCCGCTTCGAGACTATCCCGTCAAACACCCACCAGACCCACCGCCAACCCACTACTGAGCTAGTGCCACCTTTCAGCCGCAGCTGTTTTATCATCACGCACTCTTCCTAGCAGCCCCACTACCACGGTTAGTGGGTATCCACATCATACTGCATATTGCATATCATTAATTTCTCATACAGCCAGCCGGACAATCGGCCAATCAATCAAGCATTGGATCAGCCAATCAACAAGCCAGTCAGTCGTTTATCCTGCACGCCGCGCACTTTCAAATTACGCATAGCATGCGCTGCCGTGGAATGCAATGGGGGTTTTATTTCTGGCATATGTAAGGGGCACGACAAATATATTTCTACATTGCATTCATTGCATTCATTGCGCGCTGCAGCCCGCATTGGCTTTCATTGACCAACACTCGTCGCATCAAGCTCTGGCGCTATCAATTAAAACAATGTTGTATTCAATATCGCAATATCACGCCACATAATTCATCAATATCGACTACGTCAACTGGTACTGTCGCCATCATTATTATCGGTATATCTACTCTTTTTTCTTAGTTTTGGTTTGTATTTGTAGTCAATATCAAAATATGCACTGTAATATTTGATTTCAATAACATAGCTTCCTTGTCAAATTATTTTCTTTACGTGCTTACACGCAAGCATGCACTTTTAACTTTACAAAATAAAAATTGGCAGCCGTCCAGCAAGAAACTGCAGAGACATGTATCGATACGCGAGCAAAGCTGTGAAAAGGGGCATTTAAAATGCTGATAATTATTTCCAAAAAATAAGGACACAAAACCAGGGAGGGAAAACGTGACATTTGATTTCAGAAAACGACTTTTTTTTTGCTTCCACTTGCACATTTTTCTTTTTAGTTATATATTTACATTAATTCGCGACAACTCTCGGCAAATAACAAAAACAAAAATGGAGCAAGAAATGTCAATTCCCGTCAACCACGACGACTTTATTCACGATATTGCCTACAACTTTTATGGAACACGTCTTGCCACATGCGGCTCCGACAGGTGCATAAAGATTTGGGATTTGGACAAACAGGCGGGATTGTGGATTCTCAACGAGACGCTTTCCGGCCACGACAGCTCCGTAGTCAAGCTGAGCTGGGCGCACCCCGAATTTGGACAGATTCTGGCCTCATGCTCGCTAGACCGCAGCGTCAGGATATGGATGGAGCAAAAGTCCAACCTGAAGAACAATACACTGCACTGGAAGTCTGTGTCGGTTCTCAACGAGAGCACATGCGCGGTGCACAGCATCGCCTTTGCGCCAGAGTACATACACCTGGCGCTCGCCGCAGCCAGCTCCGACGGCAAGGTTAGGTTCTACTCGCCGACCGATGTTATTGGCCTGACCAACTGGACGGCGTCTGGAAGCATTGAATTTATTCCGGGCGGCGCGAGCGACTCTGACGGCCCCTTGTGTCTGTCATGGTGCAAATCTAGGTTCTCAACAAAGTCCATGATTGTCATTGGCGGCAGCAAAGGAAACAAGGTCAAGGTGTACCAGCGCGACAATGTGCAGCAGTGGGATGAGATTTACCAGCTCGACAGCTACGACGCCTTTGTCCTTGACATTGACTGGGCTCCCTCGATGGGTCGCTCCTATCATTTGATTGCGACGGCGTGCTCGGATGGCCATATTCGCATATACAAGTTCTGGCCGGAGCCGACACACCTCAGTGCGGAGCTGACTGACTCGCTGTTTATCCGCGAGGGCGACGAGTTTGACAACGAAGAGCTCGGCTCAGCGCCCCACGTCGAGGCCGGCAACGGCGGCTATTCAGACGAGAGCGACGTCGATGACGATGAGGATGGCGAGGATGCTAGCGACGAGGGAAGCAGCGACAGCGACAGCGATGATGACAGCGACGGCAGTACCTCCGAGTCTGGAGACGACGCGCGGCCGGATAGGTCAGGGCGCGCCAAGGGCTCGGGAAAGAAGTCAAAGGCCAAGGACGATGGCGGTGCTGGCAAGGCGTGGGTCCCGCGGTCCGAGCTGGTGGGTGACTTGATCGTGGACCCGCAGGTGCCGATCCGGCGTGTCCGGTGGAACAGCACGGGCACACTGCTGGTGTCGAGCAGCGACGACGGTGTGGCGCGCATGTGGAAGATGTCTGTCAACGGCACATGGCGCGAGATTGCGGCAATAACAGCAGAGAAGAGCAGCGCAGAGGCGTGAGCCAAGGCGAGTTTCTTGTTTGTGAAGTAATAATGTTGAATTTAATTTTTTTTGGAATAGTTTACTGCAACAAAAAGAAAAGAAGCACAAAATAAGCTGGATCATTTAGCGGCCGCCGCGACCAGGCATGGGTGGCCGTTGGCCATGGGGTCCTGGGCCTTTTGGCTGGTGACGGTCTCGTCGACACTGAGGATCAGGCAGGCGGCCTCGCTGGCGCTGGAGATGGCGTTGATCTTGACAAGCGCAGGCTCCCACACGAACTTGGCAAAGAGGTCAGAGACGGCCTCCTCCTCAATATCAATTCCATACCACCTGAAGCGCTTCGGGTCCTGGGCGTGGCGCGCGCGCAGCTGGGTGATAAAGTCAGTGGTGTCGAAGCCGGCGTTCTCGCACAGCTGGCGCGGGATCACCTCCAGGGCCTTGGCGAAGGCTGTGATGATCAGCTGCTGCTTGCCCTCATCTGGCGCGCAGTCTCGCGCAGGTAGCGCGAAAGCTCCATTTCAATGGCGCCGCCGCCAGCAACAACGGTCTGGTTCTTGATGGCACGGCGCACGATCATGATGGAATCGTGCAGGCTGCGCTCAACCTCGTCGATAAACTGCTCGGCACCGCCGCGCAGGATAATCGTGCAGGTCTTGGCCTGGGGGCAGCCGCGGAACATGTTGAAGCGTTGGCCACCGATCTGGCATTCCTCGAAGCGCTCGCAGTTGCCCAGGTGCGCGGCCGTCAGATCCGACGTGGTGCTCTGCACGCGACAGCCGGTGGCCTCGCACACGCGCTCCAGGTCATCCTTGGTCACACGGCCGGCGCAGAAAACATTGCGGTCGGCAAAGTACTGAGTGGCCAGATCGCCGATGGGCAGGCGCGACAGCACAACATTGGCGCCGGTGGCCATGATGGCGTCCAGCTTGTCAAAGATGATCTTCCACTCGGCGTCGACGATGGCCTGGTACTCGGACACGCGGTCGACGCGAACCTCAGCGTTGTCCTTCTCAGCCTTGAGCTCAAGCTCGACGTTGAGGCACACGATCCGCGGGTTGTCAAATGACTTGGGCTGCTGCTCGAAGCCGGCATACGAGAACGACTTTTTAAAGGCCACGCCGTCAACTAGCAGCGAGTCCTGCATGGCACCGCCGGCGATCTTCTTGATACCAATCATGTCCTCGTTGAGCTCTTCCTGGTCCAGACGCATCACGGCGTCAACGACCATCTTGGTGAAGAACTCCTGCTGCGAGCCGATCAGCTTCGAGTTCATGCTGGTTGCAGCGCACTTTTCCAGCAGCGAGCGCATCTCGGCCTTGTCCGAGCGGTCAATGCTGACGGCCAGCTCCTTGATGTGGTTGATCGCGAGCTCGGCGGCCTTGCGGAACCCCTGATGATCACCTGCGAGCTGACACCCTCCTCGACGAAATCCTTGACCTCCTTCAGCAGCTCGCCAGCCAGCAGCACGACGCTCGTTGTGCCGTCGCCGACCTCAGCGTCCTGCGCGCGCGCAATGTCCACCAGCGTGCGTGCCGCCGGCTGCACAACGTCGAGCAGCTTCATGATTGTCGCGCCGTCATTCGAGATTGTCACCCGGCCCTGGGCGTCGACGATGAGCTTGTCCATTCCGCGCGGGCCAAGCGTTGTGCGGATCGTGTCGCAGATCGCCAAGCAGGCAGAGATATTCGACAGCAGCTGTGGCACGCCCTGCGATGTGTCGGTTCCCTCCTTAAGCACAATCACTTGGGGCTGCATCATTGGAACCTGTCCGCGTCCGGCCATTTTTTATATAGTAGATTATTATTTGGGAATGTGTGTGTATGTGGTGGGTGGGGAGGGGTTGTGAATGGAGAGCGGGCGGCAAAAAGACAAAAAAGACTGAACTTGCGGCAGAGAGCTATTTGACCCGATTTATTTATTTTTACTTTTTAAAAAGATTGGAACAGTCAAATTGAAAGCAAGTAAAAAAATGGGTGTATTTTAATACTTTACACAAAAAAATGGCCTGCGTTCGTCGTGGTGTTGGTTTATGCGTGCGTGAGGGGGTTCTTGTCAACAAACACTGCGACATGCTTATTTTTGTATGAAAGCTTTGGAAGCACGTAGCAACTTTGTTCCAAGCAAAAAAGCTGAGGGAAAAAAACAGCTGGATCGGCAAATCAAGCGGCGATTGATTTGATTCTCAGAATTACTTGTTTCTCTCCACGCTGGCGGCGTCGTCGTGGCTGATGCGCGTAACGCGGTTGTCGGCGGGCACTGGGTAGACCTCCTCGAGCTTGTCGCTGGCCCATATGCCAAACATGCTGAAGCCCATGAAGCCCATGCCGAGCAGGATGCGGTACCGGGGCTCAATGCCCTTGTAGATCGCCCACAGCGTGCGGCGCTCTGCCACCGGTTGCTTGTGCTGCTGCTGCTGCTGCTGCTGTTTGGGCAAGGTCGGCTTGAGCTTCTGAGAGTTGTGGACCATGGCTTTTTATAAAAAATATATTGGTTTTTGACAATTTGAGTAGCAGACGACGTTTGAGGCGCTGTTGGGAAGGATGGGGCGAATCAGAGGCAATGGGGGCAGTTTTCGATCCCGCACGCCCTAAAGTATGGCAGCAAACCATATGTCCCCACTTTGTCGCAATAGACCGTGGCTCAGCAGCCGTTTTCGCACCCCTCGGTCTCAGCTCTGGAATCAGAATTCAACCATTAATCATCCGACCGTCTATCATCTATTTATCCAGGACCACGGACCAAAATAACTGAATCCCCTCCCCCTTTTCGCCCCATCTTCCTTGCACTAATACAATAAAAAAGATAGACAAATCGCAGATGGGACGTGGAAAGTATACGGAACAAGAAGCACTATATGCGCTGCCAGAGCCAACGGCAGAGTGCCCCCTCGCACGGGTGCTTGGACCTCGCGGACAAAATCTGCACGAAATAGTTGTGGCGCGCGACCTAGTGACAACAGAGATCAACCAACGATTGAACCCAATAACAGCGAGTGGTTCACAACGCTGGCGCAGCTGCCTCCAAGGTTCCGCAGCGTCGTGTGGATCAAGCGCGGCAGCTACGTCTTGGTCGATCTCTCTGAGCAATTGACGGACAAGATTGGTGGTGAGATTGCAATGGTCATGATGGCTACTCAGATTAAGCACTTGAGGCAGATCGAACAATGGCCGACGCACTACGAGGATATGTGGGATGGGATGTTGGGTAAGTCTGCTGGTGCTGCGCAGCCGGGCACGGTTAAGAGCGAGTGTGGCAGCGAGGACGAGGACGAGGATATGGATGATTTGATGGGCGGCCGCAATCCCAACCGGCAATACATTGGAGGAAACGACGACAGCAGCAGCGAGGATGAGGATGAGGATGAGGATGAGGATGACGAGTAAAGCAAACAATTAGATCTAAAAATTTAATAATAAGCCAAATCAAATTATTCTATAACAGCAGCATGTTTTATCATGCCAACACTAGTTTTTGTTATTGTGTTGCTGCGGGATGACGTACTGGATCCATATGAGTTTTGTTCCGTGGAGCTGTGTGGGATGCAGTAGAGTGCCTGTCAGAAAACCACTACTGCATCCACACAGCTCCACGGAACAACATCAATAAAAGCAACGGCAATGTATGCAACAGATACAGCGACGACGAGACAAGCAGTATGCAATTGTGCGACACAATTGCTGTTCTTTTATTTTTCATTTTGGTCTGCTAAAGCGAATACAGCGCGTCCAGACAAATGGCGCCATTGTGGCCGCAGGACATTGTGTCTGTGCACAAAACAAAGAACAAGAACAAAGAACACAAGCACACAAAACACAGTAGCAAACGGTACACAATGGTGTTTGACCAACGCGTTTAGTTAAACACCATTGTGTACTGTTTGCTACTGTGTTTTGTGTGTCTGTTTAGAAGAGAGAAGAGTGCAAGGATATTAAAAGACGCAAAACATAAAAATACCAAGTATAAAAGTAAAAGTAAAAATAACAATGTAATATGACGGCACAGGCGGCCTGTGTAAGTGTATTAGTGGGCCGTGCTGCGCCACTCAGTAAGGCAGGGTTGACGGAACAGAGCGCGCTTGCTGGCGGAGAAGCTGCGCGTCCGGAGCGTGTAGTATAGGTGACGGCGCATACGAGAAGGCCAGCACCACGAGTCCACCCAAGGCGTCCGAGATGTAGTGGTTGGCGGTGATGACGATGCAGTAGATTGTGGCCATGGGGTACAGCAGAATAGCCCACCGCATCAGCGCGCGCAGCCAGTAGGCCGACGACGACACGGAAAGCGCCGGCGACGCAGGGCCGATGAGCTTGATCCAGGCGATGGCGCACCATGCGGCAAAGATGGTGTGCTGCGAGGGGAACGCGGCGTAGGGGTTGTTGAGCGTCTTGACGGCCTCGTCGTTCCAGTCCCACAGCAGCGAGCCGTGTGCGCCGATGGAGTCAATGAACGAGAAGTCGATGGTCAGGCAGGCGCCGACGTTGGCCCCCAGGGCGTTGAGGAAGTCGCAGACCGGCAGCAGACGCGGGGGCATGGTCGGGATGAACAGGAAGCCGAGGAAGGACACCCAGGCGCTCAGCACCCACACGGCGCGCAAGAAGCGGTACTGCTGCGCTGGCGACAGGTCGCCAAACGCCTGCGGCCAACGACGGCGCTGGCGCCCTCCGGTGCATAGTACGGCGAGTCCCCCGACGCCAGCGGCACGTAGTCGGCAACCGGCGATGGCGACGGCGACAGCGACGGCGACGCAGCGCCCTCGTTACACGCTTCCAGTTGACGCGAGTCAGCTTCCACGCGAACATGCGCACGAGAATGAAGACGAGGAAAATCACAGTGACCACAGGGTGCACGCCGCATAGTACGTGTTCCAGAACCGCCATCCACCGAGATGCGTCTCGTGCCACTGCTGCAGCCGCTGCTCGAAGAAAAGCCCCGTGCTCCGCTCGAATGCAACAATATTCTGCGCGTTGGCCAGGGAGCGCAGCCGAAAGTTGTGGAAGACCTCCAGTGTGTTGTGGATGTACGCCGACAAAAAGTTTGTGCAGAACGTCAGCGTCAGCAGCGCGAGCTCCGTCAGGGCCAGAAGGCACAGGCTGACGACCGCCTGCCGCTGCGGGTTGGCATCGCCGGCGATGCTAACCACGATTTTGCGCTTCAGCTGCTTGAAAACAAACGAAAGCCGCCGCTTCATGTTGTAAATTGGTTTGAAGAAATAAAGAGAAATTTTGCTGTGGTGTTAAAAGTACAGAAAAATAGCGTTGAATCTTTCTTTTCGTAAAAAAATATGAAGTAGCCGGTAGTTCGTCTGTCTGTCTGTCTGTCTGTTGGGCGTAGTGCAGTGCTGTGCAGTACAGTGTGGTGTGGTGTGGTGTCAACGGGTGCTCGGCAGTCCTTTGATATTAATGAAAAGAAAAAAAGTGCGGAGGTAAAGCACCAGATGAAATTTAATAACAATAAAATAATATAAGGTAACAAAACGGTTGTGTTTGAACACCAAAAGTCGTATATGAAAGGAAGAAAAGAAAAGAAGAGATGAGAAGATATTTATGTGTGGATGTAAAAGAGGGCGGCGGTGAAATCACGATCTATTTTAAAGTCTGGGCTTTTCGCTTTTTTTGCCAAGCGTGAAACAATGCTGACAGGCAAAATGCGCACTATTTTTCCCTCCCATCTAAAAGGCATAAAGGGATTCAAGGGGAGCATGCATGGACTTTGCACGCAAAGGTAAAAATGAGGGACTTGCAAGGTAAATTGCTATTTCCCTCCTTTGCTTTGGGTGGGGAAAAACAAGCGCTTCACTTGCAAGTGTCCCTAAGCGGATAGGCGTGTTCGGATTTATCTCGCAAAACGCACAAAGAAAATTTAATTGCTCATCACACTATTAAGCACACTTTGCATGCAGGGTGGAGAACTGAACTCAAAAGCTACTTGGCCCAGAAATAAAAGAAAGACTTTGCTAACTGTTGTGCGAAAAAGTTGGGAAAATATTTCCTTGCCTGAATGGTTGACGGTTGGGTCGACGATGTCCAAAAGCTGTTTTGTTTGGCAGGTGCCACTGTTTTTCTTGTTTTCCCTCATTTACTGCTAACGCTGAGTCGGACCATTGGCGGGATCAGCAAACGCCCGGCCCACGCCGCCAATTCAGCGTTGAAAATAAAAAGAACGTCGGTCGCAAACAGTGAACAGCAAACAGCAAACAGCAAACAGCAGCCAGGCTTTTCCGCCGCATTCCTCCTCTGGCCCCCTTTTATTTCAGCCTTGAGCACAGTCTCGGTCAAATCTCGGATATCCGCCAATAGCATCTGTAGCCACTAGCAGCAAGCAGCTGCCATTGGCTATCTGGAAAAAGGCCACCCCACGAAAAACCTGCTATTCCCAACGAATCACCCACACGATTGAAAGTTTGAGAAAGGAACACAAACAGGTTTATCGAAACGGATAATTCAAACCACTACAAGGTTCCCACCTTGGGGATTGTTGAGACGGTTTACATTTCGTTAAAAGATATGTTAACATGCTTAACATTCGCCAAGTGGGAAGTTGAATGCGACCATTTGGCAGACACTCAGCAGCAGCCGGGTGCAAAGAGCAGCCAGGTGCAAAGCCAATGAACGCACCTCTGGTGCGCTGCTACTCATCCCCACAAGCAACGCACAGATTGATTTATCTACATATCATGGTGGTTGTAACCGTCAGCTGTTTAACACAGGATAGGGCTATCAAAGGAGAAAGTGGTCTATGGATCTATTTTCTCTGATGCACTGGACAAAATCGTCCACACTTTGCCCAAAGTCTATTTGCTTTCTTATCAGGCGTTCTTTTTGTACTCGTGTATATTCATTCATTCTCGGATGCGCGCTGAAATATCATTAACAAAATTACAAGAAAAACAAGGATATTTTACCTCGGTATTGCTTTTGGGATGCCCGGCAATCGGCGCAGCCGAACCGCGTGTCTATTGGTGGGAGAGTGAGAGAGCGATTACAATCCGAAAGCCATCAAAAAGTAGCAGCCATTCCAGCTTTGCAATGCTGTGTAACCGTAGATGTGGCTGCGAGATTAGCGCCTTTAATATATTGAGAGATAATTTTCCCCACGAATGAGACAGATCGAGCATTATTGCCATAAAATGAATATTAACATAACCAATTGAGAAAAGTATCCACGCAAACCAATGCAAACGCAGTTGCTCAACGAGAGTATCACTTTCGCGAGGGAGACCCGCCGCGGCTGGCGTTGGTTGAGCTCACGCCGCCTGTGCGCCGTGAGCCGCCGCTGCCACTGCTACTGCCGCCGCGGTGGTACCCGTCGGCCACACTGGCAGACGACGCCGCCACTGAGAGGCCAGGCAGCTGCCCGTGCTGCATTGCCGAAGACGAAAACGGCGGCTGGGACGGCTGCTGGTGGCGGTCGGGAGACATGGTCATTGCGCGAGCCCCGATTCCCTGTGCAAGCCTGGCCGGTGACGGCGACAGGCGCTGCGCCGCATAGCCTCCCGCTCGCCAGTCTCCGCCGCGCTGCGACCCGCTGCGTCCCCCGTCACTGCCGTGTGGTGTTGAAGAGCGAACAGGCGCCTGGAGCGCGCTGCCAGCCTGTGCCGGATGCTGGCCATAACCATGGTGACCATGACTCTGCTGATGCTGGTGCTGTTGGTGCTGGTGCTGGTGCTGGTGATGATGGCCTGGGCCGCTTCCCACACCGCTGAACGTGTTGTGGCGCCGGTCGCGGTCGCGATCTCTGTCGCGGTCACCCGGCATCCGCTCGACGCGCCCGCCTCTGTCGCGCGACCGTGAGCGCACAAAATCCCTGCGCAGCCCGATTTCCCCGCTCTCGCGCTCGGCGCTTCCGTCGTAATGCTCGCGCTCGCCTCGCGCTCACGTTCACGAGGCCGGTACGCGCCGTGCCCTGGAGGCCCGCGTTCCCGATCGCGCTCGTAGCCGTTGTGGATGTTGGGCCCGCGCTCGAAGCGGTGGTGCGGCTCGCCACCGCCGGTGTTTGGTGCATTGCCACCACGCCCGGCTGATCCGCAATGTTGATTTGGTCGTTGCTGGGCCCATTGCTGCGATCATCGATGCGGTTTCCAATGGCATCGTCGTGGCGTTGGAAGGCGGCGGTGGTGGCGGTGGCGAGAGGACGCCCCGTTTGCCGGCTGCTTCGCCAGGCCGTATAGGCATAGGTGCGAAATGGGGTGTATTGGCGAGCGTGTGATGCGCGATGTGATCGCCGCCTGAGGAGCGACGGGCTCCGCGGCACGCGCTGTTTCGGGTAAGCTGCGGATGGCCAGCGGCGACAGGGACGGGGCAGAGACGCTAGCATTCGCCTGCTCGGGCTTGTCCGCATCTGAAGATGGTACCACTACTAGCTGATTTGTTGTGGCTGCACCTGCAACTGCGCTCACCGATAGAGACCCCTTCTCGGCGGCAGTGTTGTCTGTTATCGACTCGCCATCCGCAGAAAAGGTCCCGCTTGGCTTGCGCCGCCGGATATACTCTTCCAGAGAGAGCTTGGCTCTATTTAGCGGAGCCTCGCTCGTAACAGGTGTCTCCGGATGCTCGTCACCAGGGGCGGAAGAGTCGGCGGCGTCGTGCTGCCTCTCTGACCCAACATCGCTCGCACCGTCCTTGGCGTCAGAGTCCTTGCTCGGCGAAGTGACGGTGTTGACGCGCCGCTTCTTGTAGTCCTCCAGCGAAAGCCGCTGCTTCTTGACGGGCGCCGCTATTGCTGATTTGCCATCGGCAGCGTCAGGGCCGTTCGCTGCAGGCTCGGCATTGCTATCAGGTTGGTCGGCTGCTGTGCTCCCATCAGGGCTCTTTGATTCGGATTGTGCAACAGTAGCAACAAAAGCAGCTGATGACGGCAGCTCCATAATGATATCGACTGTATCTGCGCCTGACACGTGTCGATCAGCGCGATTGGATCTGTCGGTGTTGGTGTTGGCGCATCAGCGTCTGTTGGGACCGTCTTGACCTGCCCGTGGCCATGCACATGCTCGGCAGCATGCTATGATTGGTATCCAAAGGAGCGGCCGCCTCTTCGAGTTCCACTACTGTGCTGCTAGCAATGATCTCATCAGGATCCGCCATGATAACATCTTCGGTCTTGGCATTGTCCTGTGCTGAAACTGTGTTGCTCATATCTGGCCTGGCAACCGCCGAAAAATCGTTTCCGGGGGCCTCAGCCGACTGCTCTGCATGTTCCAAGTACTGGGTCATCCAGAGCTTCTTGAGAGGCAGCATCGGCATGTTGGTGGACGACTTCCTCGACGTTAGTGGCGCCCCCGATACCGAGCGCGACTTCTTGCTGCTGCTACTACCATCAGTGCCCACTGCGAATCCGGCGCTCCCCATTGCAGCGTCTTTCCCCACAGCCTTGGATTCATGCTGTGCACTGGGTTTGCGCTTGCGAGACTGAGAGCGCGAGCGTGAGCGCGAGTCCCGCCCACGCCGTGGCTGCTGCTGCTGCTGGTGACGCTGTGGCTGCTCGACTGCCGCCGGTTCATAGGAACAGTACCTGCTGCCGACCCGTTGGCGTCGTTGCCACCGCAGTTAGCTTCGTCATCCATAACCTCGTCTTCATCATCGTTATCAAGCGCAGCTGCTGAGCTATCTTTGCCGCCCAAGGACACGTCTGCGCTCCCCTTTCGCGATGATCCGCCATGGCCAGTGCGACGGACAGAAAAAATAGACAGGCTGTCCCTCGATGCAGAGAATGAGTCTGTCCCGGCATTCGAACCACCTTCTACCAATGCAACTGGGCTTCCAGGCGTCCCATCTGCCATACTCGCGATGCTCCCTTGCGTGAGTGCGGACTCCGCACGGACCGGAACCCGTCGGGAGACTGCACCTGTGGCGAAGAAGGATCCTGGTCACCAACATCACCGTTGCCCGTGTCGACCCTGAAGGGCCTGCTCACACGCCGTTTAAGCACGCCTCCGCTACCAAAGTCCGGACGAACTACTGATTCCTCGACACCCAGTGTCGCAAAAAGCTTGCGCACGCCGCAGTCAGTGTCCGCACACGCGCAGGTCATACCGCCAAAGGCCTGGCGCCAGACCTTGCTCATGCGTCGGCCTTCGGGCCGGCCCAAATAATCTTCGGCCTCAGCTGGAGACATGCGGCTCACAGCGGGCAGTTCCCCGTCCTCCCATTCCCAATCGATGGTCAGTTCCTCGTCTGCGCCCACATCACGCGATGCAAAGAGCCCCAGGTGAATAAGCGAGTCAGAGCTTTCTGGGATAAATATGCTCTTCAGGGCTACATTGGCGTCGCAGCTCCGCCGTACGAATCGCGCATCTGATCCCTGTCGGCGCGCGTCGATACAGAGATCGATCTCGGGATGAAAATGCGAGTGCGGCCGCGTTATACGAAGCAGCTCGTAGTAGTTCTTCGGGTCCTCCTTGTACGCCGCCTTGAGTAGCACCTGGCCTTTGTACTCACAAATGTACTGGTGTCGGCGAATGGAGTCGCGCGCAAAAAGACCAACCTGTCCGCGATCCTTGCCCACGACTAGCCTGTAAACCGGCAGAGGGCTGGCCAGCTCGACGTCCGTCATGGGTATCATGGGTGGAAGAGCTACGCCATTGACCTTGACACCAGCAGCCAGCGATGATGGCGCCGGCGGTGGCGGTGATGGCGTTCGCAAGTGATCCTTTGAGCTAGAGCGGTGAATTGGTAGGCTGTTGCAACCGCCGCCGCTGCTGAGCGCCGGCGCCACCGATAAGACAGATTTTGCTGTGGGTTCAATATTTGACTCCGTCTTTATTTCTGTCTTCGCAGTCGGCTCTGCTGTCTCTGCAGGCGAGAGCATGGCGCCAGCGGCAGAGGTTGGCACAGAAAGTGGTGTTTGGGATGTGACCGAAGCGGCTGCGGTGCTGACCACGTTTCGTTGCTCTGCCAACTGGCTGAGCACGCTTTGGAATAAGACCTGGACGTCTGCGCCAAGAATGTTGCGGTCGATGGGTGTGTAGCTGTGGTCAATGATGAGAGAGCCGTCGCGTCCCTTGTCTGACAAGCGCATGGACATCGGGCTGGACGATTCCCTACTCCCAGTCGCTGGTTTCGGCAGCTTGCCTCGAAGCTGCTTTGTGTCTGACACGCGCTTTCGGCGGTCGTTCGCATCGTCGGTTCTTTTGACTTTTCCAGACACGGGCCTTGGCCGTTTACGAGACTCCTTTGTGTTTCTGTATTCAGAGTCCATTCGCCGTTTTTGATACTCGACTGCCCGCTAGTTAAGTGTTGAAAAATAAAATACTGAATTGCCTGTTAGTAAGCTGCCTAGTCAACTGCAAAAGGTGGCTTGCGTGCATAAAGATACAGCAAAATAGAGAATCAAAGAAATGAAGGGCGGCAATGACACCTAATTTTAATATCTCAAACCTTTCCCACGCAGACGACTCCATTTGGTAAATTGCCGCGGTTTTCCCCCACCTCTCTCTCCCCCCTCCCCCCACCTCCATGCCATTCGCAATTTAAAGCAATCAAATTTACCTTTACATCAAGCTTTCGCGGATTGCACTTTTCGCACAAATACTCGTCAGGAACGTTGTCCTGGGCAACACCCACGCAGACTGCATGCTGCCAAACTAGGCAGTTTTCGCACTGTATAGTAAAGCCGTCGTCGTCGTCAATGTTGCAGATGCAGCGAATGACCCCCTGGTCCTCATCTGGTGTTGAATCGCCGCCGGTGTCTCTGGCGCCCGCTGAATTGGCAGGCAACATGGATAGTGTCGATACCTTGCGCGACAAGCACACAGTGTTGTATAGCGTGGCTGCAAGTGGAATGTTAAATTTAAAGAGTGAAAGCTGGTAGAATGCCCTTGTTGATAGCGTTAAGGAAAACGGCCAGGCAAAGGCACAGCTGCAAATGTATATTTTTATGTTGTTGCTCAGGCGGTTCGAGCGGTCGTACTCGCCCAGGCAATGTGCGTGCGTGTGTGTAAGGCGCGTGTTTTTGTGGGGCCGGACGCGTCAATTTCGGGTCAAAAGGTGCAAATGAGATAATGAAAAATGACCAGCACACGTTTCAACGAAAAAGGCGAATCTCAGCTTGGCGCGTTGAGCTTAAAGGAGTATGCACTGTATTTGTTGTTACAGTGCCTATCAGAGTTTGAAAATTGTCTTCCTGGCGCCACGAAAATAAATAAATAAATAAAGAGAAAGAAAAAGAAAAGAGAAAGAGGAGAGAGAAAGGAAATGCTGCGAATGTTGCGTCTGCCTGCTAAAGTGGGCCGAGAGATATAGTTGGCAAAGGAGGTTGGTATTGTGGTTGTGGTTGTGGTTGTGGTTGTCGTCGTGGAGTGATAAGGCAGCTGAATAATAAATAGGGCTGGTAGTAGTAGATAATTAGGAGAGGAAAATAAAGCAAATGAAAATAATTAAAGAAAATAAAAAGGAAATCGCGAAAAACGACTGAAGAAAGGCCCAACAAAGAAAAGGGCGCATACAAGCACACAGCTTCCAGCGAGGAGAGGGGAAAGACCCCCGATTTTGCTCCTCTTCGTATTTTCTGTCCGTCCGAGTTTGCTTTTCTTCGCTTTTTTCTCTCTATTTTTCTGGATTGGCCAGGGGACCAACCCAGTCTTTCCCACGTGGCTGCCAGTAGATCCCCATACTTGAGCTTTTATTTGAAGTGGCTGACCAAAAATTAGCAGATGAAAATAACGAGGCTCGGCAACGGCTGGGGCAAAAGGACTGCAGTAACTCCTTCAATTGTAAAATATAAAAATAAGAGAAGAGGGAGGAAAGGGACACCCGCAGCTTTGTTCGGGGCCTCTGCAAAAAACCTTCGGCAGAGCAAATAACAAAGCCTCAAAGGCAGTAGCCGCATATTGTGTGCTGCAAAGTGCAATAGAAAAATTGGGTTGCAAAATGTATCATGGCGCATTCAGACAGAATCAATTGCCGGAAGGTGCTTATTATTGTCGCTTTTTGAGCAGCAAAAAAACGCGAAGAGCTTTTTTCAAACAGGCTGCCCAGAGCTGCGGAGCTAGACCGAATCGCAAAAAGGGCATCAGGGAGCAGAGCCGCTTTGGTCAAGCCGCCGAGATCGCCCTCCTTGCCACAACTGGCCGCTGCCTCACTCTCTTTTCTGGCACATGCTTGTGCAGATGCGTATTCTCGGATGCACGCGTAGAAATTAAAATAATCTTTAAAGGGTTTGCGTCCTGTTGTCAGATAACAATGAATCGCGCGTGTCAGCTGACAGCGCCAATGGCAAGCTTCGGCCAGCCGAAATGCCGACTCTGTTTGCCAGTGTGGCCGGGTGAGAAAAAAGCCTGGGCCGCCCTTGCCACAGCTTTTTTTCGTTCTCCAGAACTTTGGAGAGCCACAAAAGCGCTGTGTACAAAACTCCTTTTGCCTTTAATTTAATTTATACTTTTATTATTCTTGTTCACAGAAGCACACACCCTTTTCCCAATTGGCCATTCAATTTCCTACGTCACGACGGCAATTTGCAACTCAAAAGGTCATTACGCCGCGTTTGCAGCTTTTGTGCTTCTTACCACCCAAATTCACTCGTTGAGTTGCTCGCTCACTCAGCGCGGTTCGGTTAGTCGAACAACCTCCGCCTCCCTCGGCACTCAGATAGATACGCACACACATACACACCTCACGCCTGCCGCGCCGTGTCACACGTGATACCTCGTTTGAGTTCACTCCCTCCTCGCTCAGGCGACTGGCAACATAGCCACAGAGAGAACGGGGCAAACGCCAATTAGGCTTTGGGGTGGGTGGAAAGCAGAAGCTCTTTATCATAGCCTCTTTTGCCTCTTGGCCTGACCTGACCTGGCCTGGCCTGACTTGTCTCGGCTTCTATTGGACTCAATAGTTAGCCTGCGCATTCTTCCGTTTTGGCTCATTTGCGTGACTGCAGCGCATGCACGGCAGCCCGAACAAAGGGAGCGACGCACCTTTTTTCCTCAAGCTTATTTCTGCATACCTGCCAACTCTATAAACAACGCACATTTTATATTCTTTTTTCTTTGCTTCTGCTTTATTTCTTTTTTGGGCTCTTGTATTATTTTCTTTGCCTTTATTATTCTATTTTCCGCTCCGCTTCAGCTCATTAATTGTTTGTTCTACAGCACGGCCTGCCATCGATCCTATTACTCGGGAAAGCGCAGCTCCAGTAGCGACACACGTTATCGTAATACCCCGCAACAGCATTCACGCACTCACGCACAAGCACAAGCACAAGCACAAACAGACACAAGCACAGCGCCAGTTTGTTGACCATGGACTGGTCGCATCTTTTCATGCCAGACGACAGCTCAGGCAACCATGGCTCTGGCTCACTCGATACTGGTAAGTATCATATTGTTCAATTGCATGCCTTTATTGCCATGCACTTGTCAGCACGCAGATGGATCCGTGTGGCCAAGAGCCATTGCGGATTTTATTGCCCCCTTTCTCACGGTTAGACCAAAAAAGACCAATGCTTCTGCTGTGACAACACAGACCGCCATATTTTGCGAGCGTATCTTATCTGGGCGAGTGTAGATCGCATCTGCACTCTGCACTCTGCCTCTGGCGAGCCAATGCCCAATTATTCCGCTTTATTTGCCGCCTGCATGAGGCATCAGCCGCGGCCTAACCTTTCTTTCTCTGACTTTTTCGGCTGCTATCATTACGCAAAGTTTTGGCTTGCCAGCACTATTCCCACAAAACCTTTGCCTTTGTTAATGCATTGGGGGAGGGCTCCGTTAAAAGCTCCGGCGGGGCAATTGTCTCCTTTTTCCCACTTTCATTTTCACATGTCAGGAATCGCACGGGTGTTCCTGAACCCCCCCCCTTCTTATTTGTAAACGCGGGGAGCAGGGCAACCTGTTGTGCACCGTTGCTCGAAGCAGCCATCGCAGCAGCTGCAGCAATCCAGACCACGCGCACAGAGTCTGACATAACAGTCACTTCAACCTCGCAAATAACTGTCCCAGATTGGCGGTCATGTCGTGTCGTGTCATTATGTGCTCACTCGCGGTGCAACTTGCTCATATATAACTAAAGCGTGAGTTCCTCGTGTTGCCTCTTATAGACCCGTCATTGTTTCTTCCCACCAGCGACTTTTTTGAAAATATTCCTCTGCCCTCAGCGACACTTCCTCCACGCCCACCATCAGTTCATCCAGATCTCGAGCCCGCGCCTCTCTTTTCACCTATACTGGACAACACAAATATACACTCTTCTGCCTTTCAGCACTTGAGAGGCTCTACACAGCACCAGATCAGCCACCGGAGTTTGCACGCCGGCCATAGCGCCAATTCGCTCGGCCTGCATCAACTGGAGGCACCGCATGCTTCGTTGTCACCTTTTCCAAATCAGCACCAGAGTTACCAGCAATACAACAGTTACCAGCAACCGTCACGATTTCCGCATTTCCCCACTGAAGTTCAACAAATTCACCCTGCGCGGCCGCCTGAGCTCGAAACAGCAGCAATCCCAACCCGGCGCTCAACAATCTGTTTGACAGCAACGAGGAGACGTACTTGAACTCGTTCCTCAACAGCTTTGACGTGGAGGGATTCGATCTCGGGCCATACCTTGCATCGCCGCCGCCAATGGCCAACTTTTCAACGCGGGCAGATTTCAGCGCCATGGGCATGGGAATCGGCGCAGGCATGATGGGAAGCATGGACGACACTATTCCGCATTTATCACTGGACGAGGCCGCACAAGATGCGGCGGCAACAGCAGCGCACGGGCTGGGGCACATGTCAACGAACATGAGCTCGCTTGGACCGCCCGATACAATGGCAAAGTGGATAGCAATGGATGTTGCCGATGCGTAGGTCATCGCTATTCGACTACGGTCTGGGCAGCACGGCGCACCTATCGCTTGGCAACGTCATGTCTGATGAGATTAGCAAAGTTTCATCGTGGCTGCTCCAGAACCAAGGCCATCAGAGTGGGTCCCCGATGAACAATTTGGGCGGCTCATTTAGCGCTACGGCGCCGACATTTGGCCAAATAGAAGCACCCGCGCTGGCTCATCGGGGCAGCATCGACGGGCCACATATGCAGTCGCGGATGGTGAACATGGCCGGTACCTCTGGCAAGCGAAACGGATCCATGCAGCAGCAGCAGTTCTCACAGCTGTCACCCGACTCGGACATGTTGATTAAGCGCAAGGCGTCGTGCGAGCAGATCGACCAGCCGCGGAAATCGCGAGGCAATGTGTGGTCGCCCATGCGCGAAGTACAGTCGACATTTAGAGAAAACAGCACCTCACTAGTGGGAGCGGCAGCGATTTCATTAGAGACAGGCACATCTGCAGCGCCAGAGACACCGGTATCGGCCGGCGATAACAAGTCCGTCAGCGGCAGCATTGGCGACGGGAAACGGCGAGGGACAGCAAGAAAGGGGGAACGCAGCGGATGGTTCTGACGGAAGACGAGCGGCGATCCAACCATATTGCATCAGAGCAGAGACGCCGTAACCAGATCCGACAGGGGTACGCGGAGCTTATGAACCTGGTGACGACGCTGAAGGATCCGGCGCTGGGCAACCATCCGGGGACAGCACACAGCACGCCCAGCAAGGCTGTCATCCTGTCGCACGCGGTACAATTTATCCGGGGGTTAGAGGACGGCAACCGGGTGCTGCGCAAACGCATTGAAGAGACACCGCGGCACTTGCTGCAACCCATCAGCCAGCAGCAGCAGCAGCGGATGGCCATGCAGGCGCAGGAGCGGGCAATAACACTGTCCGCTTACCGCAGCCGCTCGCGCAGTCCGTCGCAGCAGCGGTGAGCCTCGATATTTTCTCCGTCAATTTCGCCCTTGTTTTTTATTTAATATATTTAAAGTGTACTAATTATATAATTGCGATGATAAAATGTGTCTAAAATATAATTTTAGTCGCGAACCTAGTACTTGACGTGGCCTGAGAAGGTTGCCATGGCGGTGTCACCGCTCGAAATGAGGTTGATGATGGAGGAGCGGGTGCTGGCGGGAACTGCGTAGAGGAGCGGCAGGATGTTCGCGAGGCGGGGAAGGAAATCTCATTGCCGGTTCCCGAGGCGAGGGCGGCAAAGACGGAGCGGGCAATAGAGTCAGGGCGCAGAGTGGGCATGAAGAACTGGCCCAGATCAATGCCGCCAAACAGACCAGTGTTGATGATGCCGGGGTATGCAATGGAGAACTGCACGTTGTCTGCCTTGTAGCGCGACACAACCTCTCTGCGCATAGACTCGTGCAGCAGCTTGACGCCGCCCTTGGACGCGCAGTAGGTGCTCGCCTGCGGGGTTCCCAAGAAGGAGACAATGGAGCCGATGGACACAATGTGGCCGCGGTTAGCCGCGATCATGGCCGGCAGGAACTGGCGGATGAGATGGAAGTGGGAGGTTAGGTTGACGTCAATAACCTTGTCGACCTCGCGGTCAGACATGTCCAGGAGCAGCTTGGCAACGACAATGCCGCATTGTTGACCAGCATGGTTGGGTCGCCACCCAGGTCGGTGCGGATCTGGCCAGCCGCGGCCTTGATCGCGTCCAAATCAGTAATGTCGCACGAGTAGTGCGCGCAGTAGCCGGGACGCAGCTGTTCTGTGAGCGGGAACGGGCAGACGTCAATGATAGCCACGCGCGCATTGGCACGCAGCAGCCGCTTGGTCAACTCCAGCCCGACACCATGGCTTCCGCCTGTCACCACCACAATCTCTCCCGGCCAGTAGACCTCCTTGCTGCGGCGGCACAGGAGCAGACGGGTGGTCAGCTTGCACACTGATGGCAGTATCAGGGTGACTGTGGCCCAGAGGGCAGCTGTGGCAGCCAGCTTGCTGCGTGAGTCTGCCAGTCGGCTGTTCGAAAGGTGGTGACGCGATAGCGCGTTCACTGCAAAGTAGCTGAGCAGCGGCGAGCGGATGACACGCGAGAAATAACGCAGAAGCGTGTCAAGGTTAAAGCCGCGCGAGACAATAGGCTGCGAGTCGTCGATACTGAGAGCAGCGGACATAGTAAAGAAAGGAAATAAATATGAAAATTGGATGATGAAAAAAACTGGAGGTTATTCAGGAGGATCTGGCTACTTGTCGAAAAAAGGGAAATGTATGCATATTATAATTGCTTTATAAAGGGTTAGATTTGTTCTGTTTTTCTAGGGAACCTTTTCTAGACAACTGGGTGCATGTGTCTGTGCACAACCTTATATCGCCCATTACGACTTTCAGCAGGTGGTGCATGTAACAACTGTGTTGTTAAATTACCGGGGCGTTAGTAAAAGAGGATTGCTTGCTGCCAGAGCGAGGTCGCGTAAGAAAGATAAACGGTAATGTCACCCATGATAACGATGATCTTTTGAAGATTTGCTTGTGACAAAAGAAATTGACAAATCCGACTACGACTATTTCGGCCCGAATACACGATGCTGTGTCAGTTTGTGCGCTGACCCAGAAAGTGAGCCATGCATATAAGAGCTCGCCTGGACCCCAATTTTTCGCTTCGCTAAGATTACTATGGTACCTGGGCGGCCGCTGCAACTGCCACTCACAGTACATAATTCACCTCGATGCAATGGAATAGTTGTGATTTCTCGCACTGAATTTTAAAGATTTCATTTACTGATATATAATATAATTACAAATAAAAAACCTTGGCATTGTGCCCCTAAGAAAAAGCATGTTGGGCGTTATTTGCACCTGCAGCCCAGCACATCAAATTCACCATGCACGTGGGGGGACCGTAATCTGTGGGGGTAGCTGTGAGTCATGGTGGCAGGCAAATGCGCAGCCAAGAGCCCTGCTTTACCAAAACCCCATCATTACGTCCTGCATCTCGCACTCATTCATTTATTCACTCATTCATTATATCTACTTAATCAACCATGCTTGTCCTTGTCGGAAGTGGGCGTGCTCTGGGCACGGTTTGGTGGGTGCGGCCGCACACGCAGCTGACAGTTGGGCGGCGCGACACCGCGCTGGTGATCGACGGCGACCACTCCGTCAGTCGGCGTCACGCCACAGTCACAGTCATATCGGCGTCATCAGAGTCCGTGGAGATCACCGACGCCGGGTCAAAGTTCGGCGTGCGCATCAACGACACAGTCATGGAGCGCAGCAGCTCGTGCATGGCGCACCCCGGCGACCGCATCGAGTTTGGCGCGCAGGGGTCTGTCTTCATCGTGCGCCAGTGCGATGCAGCCATGTGTGTGACGAAAATGCGCGCTGACGCAGCATCGCAGACGTCCGAGCAGGCGCAAGCCCTAGGCTTCCGGCTGGTTGACGACATTGCTGAGGCGTCGTTTGTAATGATGCCGGCCGTGGCTGCCACACGGACTCTTTTGCGCGCGCTGGCGCTGGGCTGCCACATCGCTGACCCTGGATTTTTGAACGACGCTGCGGATGTTGGCCCGGCATTCCATCTTCCCGACGCGACGCCAAACACCATCGAGCAGTTTGTGGCTGGCCTGCGCTTCCTGCCCGAGCCGACGGCTCCACCGCAAGCTGCCGACAGCCCCGTTGAGCTGGATGCCAGGACACTGCGCCCGGACGCAGCGCGCCGGTGCCTGTTCTTTGGCCACACATTTATCTTTGCCGATGGTGAGCAGCTCAAGCGCATGCAGGTGATGGTGGCCGATGCTGGCGGCCGCTCCTGCGCGCTGCCGGTTAGTGACAGTTGCAGCGGTGACCAGGTGCGCGCGATGGCTGACGGGCGCGCCAAAGTGTGTCTGGTGCTTCCGCTTGAGCCTGGCGCTGCTGCCGACAAAATACGCGACGCCGCGAGAGCTGCTTGTTTGCGTCCGGTCTCCGAGTCGGAGATCAGTCTTGCGCTATTGGTGGTTTCAACCGACGAGCACACGAACCCTGCTCTGGTTGGGACTGCCGATGCCGAGGCCGATGCCAAAGTTGGAACTGGTAGTAAAGTTGAGGCTGAAAACAATATTGAGATTGCTGCTGCACTTCCCGCTCGTAGCACCCGCCGGAGAGCCGCCCCACGCATCAGCAACTTCTGGTCGGCGATGGTTGCAAGCGATAATTCTGGTCCTGAGCCTATGGTCAGAGCTGAGGACGGGAAACTTTCACCGCCACCAGCGGCAATGCAGCAGACACTGGAGCCAGAGCATGGGGATGAACTAGGGCCAGTGCCAGAGTCGGATCCAGAGGACCACGAGGACCATGCAGCCAACCAAGGCACAAGAGATGTTGCGCCGAAAGTCACTGTGTCTCTGTTCAAGGCCAAGCACACAATTGCCATGGCCACATATGCTTTGTCCGCTGGATCAGCCAACTTTAAACGATTTAAAAAGACGGTCCACCCTTACCAACAAGCAATTTATTAAACATCTATCCCACCACGCCGCTGAGCAGACTCCGCGTTGTAACAGCGCCCCCAGAAACCACCAGTTCTCGGCCACGGTACTTTGCCACGCGGTCATCAAGCGACAGGCCCTCGAGGAATGCTTCAATAACGTGCTGCCGCTTGACCACCGCCTTTGCCTTGACCAAGACTACAGCCTCGTCATCTCCACCCAGTAGTCCGACAATATCTCCGGGTTGTGCCGCTGCGCCGGCCTCCAGAACCTCCACCTGTGTTGCATCCGCCTTGGTGTTGGCTGCGGCAAGGATCATCCCCTGCGACAGGACGCCTCGCAGCTTGCGGGTCTTCATGTTGGCCAAAACAACAATCTTCTTGCCCTGCAGCTGCTCCTCTGAGTAGTAGCCCACCAGCCCGCTGACGATCGTGCGAGGCGCTGCTTCTGCGTCTGACTTCTCGCCCACGTCCACTGAGAGCACAAAAAGTGAGTCCGCCGCTGGGTGTCGCGACACTGTCTCAATGATACCTATGCGCAAGTCGATCTTTGGGAATGGATCCGCTTCGACCGCACTTTCGAGCTTGCTGCCCATCCCCGCGCCCGCATCTGTGTCTGTGCCTGTACCTGCTGAAAGGGTGCCAATGAATCTCTGTCGAAGCACTGCAGCCGCCATGCCATTCCCAGATACCCGGTGCGCAAACGCGTGCCTAGCCGACATCCTCACTCTGCTCAGCACTGCTCCAAATTGCATTGTCATTGCCATTGCCAGCTGGATTGTTTGAAAAAACTAGTAAGAGATTGAATTCAATTTGCGTAAAGATACAGAAAAGGAAGAAAAATGTCCGCCTTGCTCTTGCCATGCTTTTCCGGCTCAAAAGTCGTCCCCTGATCGACGCACGGGCTGCGCTGCATAGATATTCGACGTATCGTCTGTCTCGCCGCCCTCACTCACAGCCAGCGAGGCCCGGTTTCTCCCAGGCCCCGCCCACGAGTCTAAATTGTGGTACTGCGCCAGACGGTCCAGCGGGCTGAGAATATTGTCGTCCTCAAGTTCGCCATAAAGCGAGTCCATGCGCAGCGGCACCGGCGGCTCCATCGGCTCAGCTATCGCCGCGGGATCCTTGCTCCAAACCCCTGCACAGTCTGCGGCGTATCGTAGTCAAAAGTGACCTCGCTTAACATGGATTCGCGCTGCCGAGTCTGCTCTGCGTCCATGTACTTGATCGCTCGCATGCCGTTCGTTGTATCGCTGTGCGCGCTCCTCGCAGCCTCATTGTTGACCGTCAACGCTGCTTGGTGCCGCGCCGATGCCCCGATGGCTGCATATTGGGCCCGCTAGCTCCGAAACCAATGTCGTTCTCGTTCTCTGCGGGCGCCCGCCGCGCTGCTTCGCGCAACCACGCTGGAATTGGTTGCCCCGAATGCAGAATGCCGTTAATGACGTCCGCGTGGCTATACGACTGCGACATGGGCACAACAGAAGCTCCGTTTTGGCTGTAGCCCTGGCCCAAGACCGGCGTCTGTGCTCGATCGATGTGCAAGGCAATGTTGCTGTTGCTGCTGCTGCTTGTGCTCAGGCCTATATGTGCCAGTGGGCTCATTGGCGGGCTGAACGTCATCACACTGCTCCCGAGTGACGGGTTGGTATGCACGGGCGGAAGGTAGTTGTTGGCTACTATGTCGCTGCCCACTCTGCAATTCTGTGTCGTCCCGCTGCCTGAGCTATCTGCCAGCAGATACCCCGAGCTCTTGTGCTGCTGCGTATAGTCCTTGCGGACCCCTGCTTTCATTGCGCCCGCCACTATGCCTATGGCCGCCATACTGATTGCCGCCACCGCTCTGTCGTCGCCGCTGCCGTCATTGGCATCCGGGCCGGAGTCGCTGCCATTGTGCTGATGTATCTTCTCGCTGCCACCTACAAGTCCACTGTCGCCACCACGGTCGAGGTTGGGGCCAGATTCGGACCCATCCCCACTCTGCTTGGAATCGCCCGGGAACGGATACCGCGCCGTTCCGCGTCGCCGATTCCAGCGATAGAAGCCAAATGCTGCAATTCCAATGCAAATAACGCCGAGAACCGACGACACGACAGCCGCAATTAGCACGCGCGTGTTGACTCCGCCTTCATCCTTAACATGGTCCGAGGTGTCGCCTGTGCTGGCCGCCCATTTCCACGTTTTGAGATCCAGCGCGTACATGTTTTTGTCCTGACCGCTCGGCCCGATGCCCCCAAATATATACATGTTGTTGTTGTGTAGGACTGCAGAATGGCCAGCGCGAGCTGTTGGCCCCGAGCTCAACCCCGAGCCAGTGATAATTGGCGCCCTGGACCACGTAAAGTCAGCTGCTCCGTTGGTCTTGAGCATCCAAACAGTGCTATCTGAGGGTGCATCATCCATACTGTTCAGACCGCCAAACATGTACATTGTGTCGTCGGTACACACTGCCGAATGCAGGATGCGCTCGGCAGGAAGGTCGCCATCGACAGTCACCGCGTACTGCCAGATGTTGGTATTTACCGAAAACACCTTGATATCGTTGTAACTGGCGATATTTTGATCCGACCCGCCAAACATCACCAAAGACTCGATTGATTTCATGTAGCATAGTGTATGGTACTTGCGCGCCGGTCCGTTGCTGGCATAGTTCCATGACACGGCCGACGGCGACAGAATATCCATATAGTTAGCAATCCCCGGCGGCTTCTCGGCAGTGTTTGTGTTGACATTTAATGGAATGCCGCCGTGCATATAAAACGACTTCTTTTCGGGCGCATAAGCAAAAGCCGCACCAAACCGTGTGACCGGAAGCTGCCCTGCCTGCGTCGGTGCCCTCCAGCTCCAATTAGCGCTGTCCAGCAGGCTGACCCCAGTTGACGCCTTGTTCGGGACGCCATATGGGGATCGTATGCCCAGATGCCCTGCCCGTCCGCACCGCAGCCAGGCAATATAGGACCAGACTTGGGTGCATTGATCGTGTCTGGTGCATACCACTTGCTGCTGGTGGTGTTAAAGACGTGCAGATTGCTCATTCCGCTTGATGCCACACCGATCGGGTCCTTTGCCTCAGTGTCGCTGGTCCCGCCATAGAGTAAGAACAAAGGCGTATTGTCGGAAGCCATGAGTGGGACCATGCATGCAAAGGCGCGCCACGCTGACGTGTTGTCCGAGATTACTTGTGACTCGTTTAAGCTGCCCGCGCGCCGCTCCAATCGGGATGTGGCTAGCGTAGATGGTAGCCAGGCGACTGCGCATACTGAATGGCTATTGATAAGCAGGCTGCCAACAATGGCAATGGGCCAGAAGCTATCGGCGCGCATTTTCAAACGAAAGCGTGCCTCTGCCGTATATGTGTGAACTGTTATTTGGTTGTAGAATTAAAATAACCCCCCACCAATTCACAGCGATAGAACGATAGAGTAAGGAACCAAAAACTAGGTATAAAAATAAAATGTTAAAAAATACACAAATAAGAAAAGGAAATTTTTTGTTTAAAACTGACAATAAAAATGTATTTCTAGTACGCTGGTGCTGACAACTCGCACTATTTGATAGAACAAATAAGCGTGTGTAAGGTAACAATACGAAGCTTTACGAACCGAATTGCGCTTTGAATTGCGCAACCTGTATGTAAATTTACATGAAAGAACAACAAAAAAGCTAGTAACAGAGACAAGGGAAAATGAGAAAGGAAGAGTGCAGGCATTGAAATGTTGAGCTCGGCGTAATTGTGTGCGCACATTTATTTCTTGCGTTTTCGCCTGACGTGCTAAAAATACGCATGCATATTTTTTTGCTTTCTGCACGAGCGGGATAAAAAAAGAATAATATCTGCCACTATAATAGATCAAATTGCATGGTCGATTTCCAAATATAACGATTAAATAGAGGTATCGAAGGCCAAAGGGAAAATGGCAGTTACTAACAAGCTAAACGCACTATTGCAAGCAGTCCTCTAAACGATAGATAATTACAGGGGACTAAAATCATTTATTTGGTCCCTGCATCAATATTAAACATTTTGCATAGTGGACCATGATTTGCCAGGCCTTTTAATTGAGCAATTTAAATATTTAATACCGACCATATTTGGTCGCTGGAATCCTCAGTAATGAGCCGCATCGTGCAAGACTTTCATTATTCGATCTCACATCTCAAGGCCGCCCGCACATTCAAGGACCCCTGGATGTGGTTGCTGTGCCAGTGGTTCCAGTTTGACCCAGGTAAAGAAGAGCTCACCGAGCGCTCACATTTCGCAACACTCTAATTCAGCCCAGCCGCCTCAACTACCACGCACGACGCGATCCCTCACATTCGGATACTACCACCGCTGTCTCCCAATAGCTATAAATTCAGCTCCGCCGCCCATTGCAAGGAAACCATTGTGAATCACTCGTTGTTTAATGTGTTTTATTGAGTTTTTATAATATTTGCACTAAGTTACTGTGTCAAAAAATATATAATACCGATAAATTTGGAAAATGTTTGACGTTGTTAATGTGTTTGATTCAATTTAAATAATGTTGATAAAATAAATTTCCGATTTAGACAGACTTTGACGACTTAGTACATGCCGTAGTGCGAATATTTCTTGGGTGCTTCATAGTTGTAGACGGGGGCCACAGAGTTGGCACGTAAGTGGGAGCAGCAGGCGCGGTGATGTAGGCAGGGCAGCAGTCTCGGTAACATAGACGGGAGCAGGAGTCTCAGTCACAGTAATGCGGACAGCACCAGCGGTCTCAGTCACATAAACGGGAGCAACTGTCTCAGTGACGTAGACAGGAGCGGAGTCTCAGTGACGTAACAGGGGCAACCGTCTTGGTGATGTAGACAGGAGCAGGAGTTTCAGTCACATAAATAGGAGCAACCGACTCGGTGATGTAAACTGGAGGAGCAGTCACAGTAATGCAACAGGAGCGGGAGTCTCGGTGACGTAAACAGCAGGAACTGTCTGGTAATGTGGATAGGGGCGGAGTCTCAGTGACGTAGACAGGGGCAACCGTCTTGGTGATGTAGACAGGAGCAGGAGTTTCAGTCACATAAATAGGAGCAACCGACTCGGTGACGTAGACAGGAGCAGAAGTCTTAGTCACAGTAATGTGGACAGCAGCAGCGGTCTCAGTCACGTAAACGGGAGCAGCGGTCTCAGTGACGTAGACAGGAGCAGGTGTCTCTGTAACATAAACTGGAGCAACCGTTTGGTGACGTAGACAGGAGCAGGGTCTCAGTCACAGTAGTGCAGACAGCGGGAGCAGTCTCAGTGGTGTAGACAGGAGAAGGAGTCTCAGTCACAGTGATGTGGACAGCAGCGGCGGTCTCAGTCACGTAGACAGGGGCAGCAGTCTCAGTGACATAAACGGGAGCAGCAGTCACAGTAACATAAACTGGGGCAGCAGACTCAGTGACATAAACGGGAGGAGCAGGCACAGAGGCATAGGCGGGCAATGGAGGAACCTCAACGCTAGTGGCATAGTATTTGGGGGCAGCATTGGCACCAACCGCAAGGGTGGCCAGGGCAGCGAAGGAGATTGAGTACTTCATATTGATAAATGCGATAGTTCTACTAAATAGATTAAACGAGTTTGCTAATTAGGCGCAAAAAGTTGGGCAGCTAATGGTGACAAAGAAAAGTAAAAGAGTAACAGAAAAAGATCTAAAAGCAGATAAAATGTTGGCTAATGTCAGAATATGGAAAATATCTAATATAAACTTTAGGATACTAGAGTCGCTCTTTTATACATCGTCGAATGGTCGGCAACATCTCGACAGGACGTGCAATGTATTTGGGGGAAATTTTTATAAATAATTGTCCCTCGAAATTTCATCCACCACTTGCTGTTTGTTAGTTTTCGCAAACACAAAACAAAGCATTTGAATGTGTTTATTTTTTGGTGGCTACACTGCTCCTGTATGCAAAGCTGCTGTTATACACGGGTCACCCTATTGTTTTAAATTTTCCATGTTTAAAAATAACTCATTTCCTGCTACATACATTCACTATTTTTGTGTTTACGTTCGAGGTTAATGCATGAACAGATATGATCTACTGACCCTGTATGCTCTTATTGCTTTTTCCCAACGTCAAATATTCAGTATTGTTTGCCAAAACTCCGCTCATCATATAGTGCGCAGCGGGACGTCAAGCGAATAGAGCCACCCTGTCATTTGCCGAAATAAAATTAAATGAAACGGATCCAAATACCGCAACAGTACAATTGCACCACATATCCACCATCAAGTAGACGCTGATACAGTATCCCTTTAAACGTATAGTGCACTTAAACATATGTATCGGATACTAGTGCTGGGTTTTTGCAAAATGATTAGTTCTGTGTGAACATTGCAATTGCACTTGGCGAATAAAAGCCGTAATAGGCGGGGGAGATTGTGGTTAAAAGCGAGGCTGAAAGGCGTGCTAATGGTGCGTTGTTGCTGTTTTAAGGTCCGACAACAATGTCAAATTTTAGTGCGCACACATCAGAACAGCATGGCGCTATCTTCAGTCCCTCCCGCGTGGCATCATACTTTAGGGATACAGGCAATTATTGTGCGCTTTTTAATGTGTTTATTTTTTTCTCCGCTACGTTACGCCTCATTTACAGGCCAAAATGTTTGCGAAAAATACTATTTTTATTTTATTTTTTAAGGGAAAGTTGTGCGCATATGACCCAAAAATTAAACAATGCCGCTATTTACTTTTGTCCAAGAAAATGAGGCGTGCGATGCAAACAAACCAACAAAAAAAGCAAAATACAACAAAATACAGCAAAAGCAAGGAAGTGAAATGCATGCCTGCTGCAAATGATATATTGTGCTATAGGTTTGCATCTCAACTTATTCGTATCTATTTATACACCTTATTGCAAGTGATTTAGGAGGCTTCATTAACACGGAAGGGGACTCGGCGCAGGCTTAGAACAAGGCGCTTGAAAAGCAATTGTATTTTGAAACAAAGACGCAAAATTTCCCGAATAAATAGCAAAAATAAATGAGCGAAATAGTAAAAATAGCACAGATAATTAATTAGTTGCTGCAGCCGGTTCCGTTTCGCGCGTGAAATCAAATGCAGCAAAGGCAGCGATAAACTTGTCACGTTCGCTGGCCTCAGCCTCCTCAGAGACAACGCACTTTCTCCAATCCTCGCGTTCGGGTATTTCCAGGATCCTTGCAGCGAGCCTGCGGCCAAATTGGAGGTTAAATGCCTTGCCCCTCTTCTGGATGCGAATAAACAGCTCCTTCCCGTCCATAGAAGTGATATCATTGAATGCAAAATATCCGTCAATGTGGCTCTCTGGGTGGCCTTCGCAAACCTCCAGCCCGTCTTCCTCGCACAGCTTGTTCAGCGTGTCCCTGAACGTCGCGGCCTTAGCCATGGGTATCGGGACTATTTGCAACGTCGTGTGGACGTGCGGAAAGAAGCGACAAGTCTCGAACACGAGCGGAATGCAACCATACCCGGCAAACATCCCTGCAACACTGCCCACCCACCTACCAATCTCGGCGCACAGGCTCTTGTCAGAATCGCTGTCGCTGTTGCGTGCACGGCGCAGGCTGTCCATATGGGTGATGGGACAATGAGGACGTGGCCACCGCCTGGAATAGGGCTGCATGGCCCTCAAAGCCGCTGGCATCCTTGTCGCCGCTGATGACGAGCGCGCCCTTGGAAATCGTCATGTACGCCTCGTTGCCAATGGCCACCATCAGATTCTGGTCCACGTCAGGGTTGGACAGGCAGAACCAACAATTAGACAGATTTTGGCTGTGGCTGCTGCGGCGTTGGCGGCGGCATCCGGACACTCGCTAACCCAGTGCCCAGACTGGTTGCACTTTTTGCAGACGTACTTGGCGGGTGGCAAATTATCCGTGCGCTGCCGCTTTGACTCTTCCTTTGAGGGGCAATCTTGGATCCAGTGCCCGGGCTGCTTGCAAATTTTACAAACATAGTTCACTGGGGGAGGCTGCCTGCGACCCTGGCTGTTGTCATTGGGGCGGTCTCTGCTGTCAATGTTCTGCATGGCGTTGATTCCCGAGATGACCTTATCCAGGACCTTGCTGTCAAGCACCGAGTTCAGCTTTGCAAACTGGTACAGCGGGTTGGGCGTGCAGCTGTCAGGCACAGCGTTGGGCGTCACCTTGCCCTGGCTGGATGCCTGAAGCGGCTTCACATTCATAGCGTAGAACCACCTCTGCTTCCCGTGCTCGGAGTTGTTCACCGAGCCCAGCCCGATAAAACGCGTAAAGTGAGCCTCGGTCTCTGCTTGTCCGCGTCCGATTTTAATATTATCGTTGTACTCCACGGCAGCCGCTCGTAGAACTGGCCCTCGCTGGCGGCAAAGTGGTAGTGGGGCATGATCGTCGCGTTCAGGTACGATATTTTGTTCGAGGCCGAGGGCGCTCTCATGACCTTCTCGCCCAGCTGGTCCTTGCACAAAACGCCAAATGGCCAGTCGTAGGTCAATAGAATATCAATGCTCGGCTGGGACTGGGTTTTTTGGAACGCCTTTTCGTTCTCGCTCGCCACCTGAGTGATCAGGTCGGCCATCGCCTCGGTGTTGAACGCAGCTGCACCCAAGTCCTTGACCTGATCGTCAACAACTATGTCGATGGTTTCAGCGTTGTCGGTGTCCGGTGCAGGCTTATCGGCGGTCTCTTCGGCCACACCGTCCTGGGTTTCCTCTGCCTGAATAACAGACTCGGATTTGCTTCGATCTGCTGCTGCTGGGAGATGTACTTGCCGCCAATGTACGCAATCTTGACACCCTCCGACGTCTGCAGGATGCCTTGGCCGCGAAGAATGACCAAGTTGTTGCAGATCTCGCCCGATCTAAGGCTGGCCCTCTCGTCCACGCGCGGAGGCAGCGGCCTGTCTCCACAATGGCGTAGGTCATGATGGGCACGGTGATCTCGTTCTTGAGTATGGGCTCGACGTCCTCGTTGTCGTCAGCGCTGCTGCTAAAGAGGTTTCCGGTGACAAGCAAGAAAGAGAACGGGCCGTACTTGGTGTCCAGCTTTGCAACCTTTGCAAAAAAGTCTGGCAGGCTGCCGTTTACAGATCCGGCGACTAGCACCTTGGCAGAGGCTGTCTGGCTGTCCATTGTCACTAAAGATTTTCTATTAAATGTAAAACAAATTCTATAGGTGAAGTAAATACGATATAAAAGAAAATATTTGCGAGGTCGTGGGGCAAAAAAAGATCTTATACGGGTCCAAAGATGGGACAGGAGGGTAAAAAAATATCAACGGTGCTGCGGAATATCGAACTGGCCATAGATAAAGCAATGGTCATACAAGCTTATGGTTTCGGCCTTTGTAATCCAAACGGCCCGAACAGGTTATCTTTCGTGCTAGATGTATGGTCCAGCAAAAAAATACGCAAATAACTCTTTATGGCAAAATAATAAAAATCAAGGTGGAGAAAAGGCAGTAAAAAGACAACGCTCTTCACTCAGTGGTGGGCGGGCTTGGAGCCATCGACATAAAAGTTGCGCGTGGCCGAGGGCAGCCTGATTCGCGCGCCCTCCATATCGGGCGTCAGCAGAACCTGGCACCCAAGACGCGACGTGTCGGTCAGGCCAAACGCCAAGTCCAGCATGTCGTTTTCCTCGTCCGTCGGCTCGGGCAGCTCGTCGAATATCTTGTCGTCCAGGATCACATGGCATGTCGAGCAGGCACACGCGCCCTCGCATGCGCCCTCCAGATCGACATCATTTTCGTGCGCAAGCTCCATGAGGTTTGTTCCCTCCTCGCCGGTCACCTCAACCTCGTTGCCGTCGGGCTCAATGAAAGTAACTGTAATGTCTTTCATCGCGAGCGCCGATGCGCTGAACCCGCGTGGCTGTTGCCGAAGAGACGCCGTAAGCAGTGCGGCCATCGAGACGCTAGGCCTTGTCGAGGCAGACGATGAGCTCGAAACCAGCGAGTAATTCCGTGTGAGACGTGTGCATTGCTTGGCTGCGCTGGCAGTTCTGGAGAGTAAGTACAACATATATAGTTTGTGTGTATTAAATGTACAAAAATAACGGTAGCGGCGGGTGAAGGGTTGCTTCAACAAATTTGAATTTAAAGGAAAATTACTGTAAGTGTCGATAACAAAAATTTACACGGTTGATCTTTTCCGATAAAAAAACTTGATCTGAGCGATGACAGGAGCTGAGCCGATTACATCGAGTCGTTTAAATTGCCAAAACGCATTAATCAAGTGGTATTTGAAAAACGCTCTTTGCACTTTTCACTTTGCGCTTTGCATTTTGAACTTTGTGCCAAGTGCTTGGCTCGTTTTGCATTTTAAGCAGTTCTTTCAATTTCGTCACTGTGGTAAATTATATATACAACATATACAATTCTAGAGCTGCCATTCTGTACATCCATCTTGACAAGGGAACGGCCGCGCATTCCCATTTCACAAGCATATCTTTTTTATTTACCTTCACTTTTATGGCGCTGGAAAACTTTGACTTGCAGGCATTTGCACAGCGCTCAGCATACCCACACAAGAGGCTCTCGAGGCGCTGCCCCAGATCCAGAAGCAGCCCATTGGCTGGCAGTTTGCGTTTGACTTGCTAAAATCAAGCAACTTTAACTGCCGCTTCTATGGAGCACACACACTTCAGGTAAGATTGCTCGGGACTGGGATTCGCTCGACGAGGAGCGCCAGCAGGCCTTGCGGCCAGAGCTGATCCGGCTGGTAGCCGAGCAATGTGACGCGCCGCTCAACGTGCTCAACAAGATTAACCAGGCGCTCGCCACATACGCATTGCGCACAGTACCCAGCGAGTGGAGCAATTTCCTGCCCTCGGTGATCGAGTCCATCCAGCAAAGCGCGCAGGACGCGGGGAAGGATAGCATGCGTGCCGGATACGCATCGTCGACTTTCTGGAGCTTTTCCTGAGGAGCTGAACCGCACGGCGATTGGGTCGGCGCAGCAGGCGAAGCTCGTGCAGGACGTGAAGGAGCACTGCCATTTGTACTGGAATTGCTCACCGGCATTGTGCGCGGGCTTCCAGGCTCGCCAGAGATTGAAAATGTGCCCATGTTTGCCAAGCAGCTGGGCCAGGATTATGTGTGGCGGACACGCGCGTGGAAGGCCATTTTGCAATGGCTGCAGTTCGGCATTTCCGGAGACACGCTGTTTGTACCGATTCTCGAGATGGGCCTGCATCAACTGCAGATTCTGGCCGCGCATCAGCTGAGCGACGACAACGTCGCGGACGATGACGAGGTGACGCCGCGCTTGCTGTGGTCGAGGACATGGTTGCAATGTAAATATGGCGCCAAGTACGCGCAGACTGTCGGCACGCTGGTTCTCACAAGGCTTAACCAGCCGTGGTTCTCAAGCATCCTCAAAATGACCATCGATAGCTGCGACGACAGCATGCCATGCGGTGGAGCTCGGTGCTGATATCATTTGCCGAGACGCACATAGAGTTCCTTGTAACCATGATCACCAGCCGCGAGCTGTCTGGTCATATTGCCACGCTGCTGCAAATGATGCTGGCGCTGACCCGGTTCCCTGGATACAACGGAATCTCGGAAAGCCTCAGCGACCAGCCGCTCAACTTTTGGTACTTACTCCAAGAGACGCTAGTTGACTACATGGCCGAAGCTAGCGACGACCCTGAATCTGCGCAGAAGGTGGCCGAGACCAAGTTGAGAATAAAGGTCGGGTTTGTAGAGCTCCTGCGGGCGCTAGTGTCCAAGAGTGCGTACCCGCCGACAGAGACGTGGATCGATGCCGACAAGGAGGAGCGAGACCATTTCATGAGCTATCGGCGCGACGTCGCAGATGCAATTCTCAACGCGTACTACGTTTTGCGCGGCGACATGCTGCAGCTGCTTGTCGATGAGGTGATCAACAACATGGGCACTTTCAGTCTGGCCAATTGGCAAACCATAGAGTCGATTTTGTTTGCCTTGAAGAGCGTGGGTGAAGCGGTGCCCGAGTCAGAGTCTGACCACTTGCCGCGCCTGTTTTCCGCAGAGCTCTTGACGCACAACTTTATGCCCGTTCTGCAGACCAGTATCGACAGCGACAACCGCGCGACGCAGTGGGGGCTGACATCGATAAAGGCGTCGATCATTTCACTGATCGGCGCATATGGCGAGTGGTGGAAGGGTCACCCAGAACTGCTCCCCATTGTCCTGCCGTGCATGACGTCCAGCCTGAACCAACCAGCGCTCGTCCAAGCTGCAGTCGCAGCATTCAGGCGAATCTGCGACAGCTGCCGTGAGCAACTCGCCAATGCAGCCGACAGCATGGTTAATCTGGCCCGCGAGGTGCTATTAGCGGGATCTGCCGTACCAGCCCGCGAGCAGCAGCGGATATTTGAGTCTGTTGCCGAGGTCGTCATGGTGCAGTCGCCCGACAACCAGACTGTGGTGCTGGCGCCACTCTTGTCCTCTCTGGCCGCCGCACTCGACAAGAGTGTGCAGTTTTTGGAGGCTGCGCCCAGCGGCGCATCGCTGGCCGACCTGGGACCCTTCCTTGCCCCACTGATTGACACTTTGCGGCTAGTCGACTCACTTGCTCGTGGCCTGCAGTTCCCCGACGATGTCGAGGAGCGCGCGCTGATGGGCGACCAAGAAGCGGTCGCTGCTCTGACCTACGCCACACAGTGCTACCGCAGCTCCAGCGACATGCACGAGTTCCGACTGACACTGCTAGGATTACTGAATCGCGTGCTCACACTGTCGGCGTGGATCCGTGACCCGCTCAGTGGGATGCTCCAGATGGACGACACGCTGGTAGAGTGCCTGCTTGCGATCATCAACAGCTCTACGCGGCGCGGCCCACACGTATTGGCATTTGGGTTTGGCGAAGCGGTCGATTTTGTCGGAAACGCGTGGGCAGCGGTTATTGCGCGCCCGACAAACGGGAATTCTGGCGGCGCGGTTGCTTTTGGTTTGCGCTGGTCGGACCAGTGTCCTGCATTCCTCCAGTGCATCTCGCAGCTGGTGACTGTGTTTTCGGCTGCCTCCGATGAGTGGCAGCCGACGAAGCCCAGCGTTTCTGATTGCGACCGCATGCTGGGCGCCATTCTGACCCGCATAATCGACGACATCTACATTGGCATTTCTCGGGAGGTAGCCACACTGATCATTGCAATCGAGCAGCAGCCGGTCATCAACGAGTACATATTTGATCTTTGCACGCGAGTGCTGCAGACGCGCCCGGCATTGTTTGCCTGCTTGGACCAGGCTGCAGTCGGCCGCCTATGCGAGCTAAGTGTGCAGGCACTGTCTGTGCCCAACCGACTGGCATTGAAACCCACGGCATACTTTTTGACTGCGCTCATCCGGCTGTCTAGCAGCGTTGGCGGGCGCACTGATACGTCGGATCTACTGGCTGTCGTGTGGTCTGAGTTTGGACCAACATGGCTGCGCACCACATTGATAGGAATCGGCGGCGTTCATCCCCGCTCGCTGCTGCCTAATCTTGCTGAGCTGCTGTTTTCCATGGTCAAGCACCACCCACTAACCGTCAAACAGTGGATGACTGAGATGTTGGCAAATTCCAAATTTCCTTCGTCCCACGCCACTGCTGCCGACAAGCGCCTGTTTTTGCAGCAAATTTTGTCGACAAGGTCGTTCGTCAAGGCCAAGGGCGTAATCAACGAATTTTCGGTCAAATGCCGCAATTTGCAGGGTACCGCGTACGTTGCTTGATTCAATAAAGTTGGAAAGGTTTTTTTCTGATAATTTTTTTATCACATCGGAACTTGTGCGAAAGCCAGGCATGGCAGTGATTGCCGAATAACATTGTTATACACTAAAAGAAAATAATGAGGCCACAAGTATCCTGTAAATTGACATCCTTCCCATTCAGATTGCATAGCAACCTGACAGGTATTTAGAAACTAGTAGCAATAGGCCACTATGGTTGACAATATTATCCAGTTCGCTGCTTCTTTTAAAGAGAAGAAGCAGGGACAGATGGATTCTTGCGCACATGCTTGGGGTTGGGCTTTGGCTTGAGCATCGCTGTAGACTCGGGTTCAGCCCAACTCTGTCAATGCCTTTTTTGCGTGAAAAACGGGTTTTGAAAATCCCCCGCTTAAAAATCAGGACTTTCGCTATAAATGTCTGGAAATTCCAAAATCCATTTACATCGTTATATTGCACAATATTTGAAACTGTGTATCATGTAAAAAAAGCGTATATTTGTTGCTCAATGGTAACATGGCAGCCCCATTTGCATTATGTCATGTTGTGCTCATCGGCTGGCAATTCTTATTTTTTTCCACACACATACCGCAATCTGCATTTTGACCGCACGCCATTTTGTTTAGTGCTGCGCCCGTTTTTTATAAATCATTGTCTTTTCACCCACACAATTGATGGCTGCATGTCTCTCCTCCCCCCTTAAAAGCAAAAAATTTTCATGCCTCCAGAGCAGCGGCTAATTTGCACGCACATGTAAAGTCTGATTGTGTTGTCGTGCTTTGAGTAAAACATTCAGTTGAGCTGTTTATGAGCGCATATTTTCGGGCTGCCTGCTTGCTAATAACAACAAGAATATCCTTTTTCTATAAAATAAATGAGTTTGGAGGGGGGCATACTGTTTTTTTTATTGCTCACTTGTTTGCCACCCAGCCGTTTCTTCTTAGCATCAACCACATCTATATATTTTGTAAGCCTTATTTATTCTCATTATATATATTTTTTACATCTTTGGCCGCTCTGTACATATACTCCACAACGTCATCGGCGGCAATAAGTCAATCAGTCAATCCCCTCGATACCCCTATTCCTTACACATATCGATATACTGCAATGTCGTCCAACAATAACATTTATGACGTCTTGCCGCACCCGAGCCTGTTTCAGCATCGCCAGCAGGGGCAAGAACGTAGCTCGAATCACACTGAGTCGTCCACAGCTTTGCAATCGCCAGCCAGTGTTCAAAACACCACGAGCACAGGGGTGCATACAGAGCCGGCAGCGCAGCACTGGGGTGATGATGAGTGGTCAGAGATCCGACGGCGACTCTGGAACGCTAAAAAATAATTCACGCCGTTAAGAAAATTGGTCACGAACATCATTGCATTCAGCATCCAGCATCCAGCATTCAGGTGATATTGACATATTATTTTTTATAAACATACACGGATTCCAGCGCCGACATTGGATTGGGCCTGCCAATAGCAAGTGTTTTACGCGCAAAAGTAATTTTTTGAAGTATGATCCTGCTGCAAAAAAATATATAAAAGCTTTTCACAGGAAAAAGGGGGGAGCCCTGCCAATTGTGGCGGTAGCACAAAGAAAATAATCTTGTTCCGCACCTGTTTAGACGACAAATTGAGCCAGGCAGCAGCATCAGTAGCAGAAACGCCGTACTTCCAGCAAAAAAAAGAAGTATTGATTGAATGAAGAAAATGACGAAATAAAAATATTCAAACTGCAGCAGCCCTCATTTTGCACAGCTCTTGCATTCATCTAATTTTTACTTGACTGCAAATTGAAATGCAAAAAAACCGGGTCAGTCGCAATGTTGGTGGCATTATTCTGATAGCACAACTCTCTGAAGATCTTGCTGTCAAAAAATAAAAACAATCATGAACGAGAACATGGAATAGGCAGTAAGAAAACGGGCGAACAAGGAAATCTTCATTTTGGTGAAAATTCAATCATCATATCCGCGATTTTTCATTATTCATGAGTTGTTAGCTTGTTGGTTGGTTTAATAGCTGGCTGGTTCAATTAATAATTAAAAATGAGGCAAGCAAGTGATATTTGCCTTTGCTGCTACTTTTCTATTTTGACATTTACACCCTTTCCCAACAGCAGCCAAAGCAAAGGAAGCACGCCTATTATAAAGTGATTTTGCTCTCTTTGCGTACCCCCCCTATTTTTATATATTGTATATTGTACATTGCAACTTGGTGTTTGCTTTGGCTTGGAGTGAACTTGTGATTTTGATCTTTTTGTTACAATTGAAACCGTGATTTTAGATTCTGGTATTTGCTGCTCTTGTTTTTTCTCTTGTTTTTGTTTTTGTTGTTTTTGTTGTTGCCAAACTGACTGCTCGTTTGATTTTCTACAAGCAATTTGTTTTTGTTGCTGCCACTGCTGATCCTTCACCTCGATTCTGCATACAATGAGTAAAGGAACAAAACCCGTTGCTTCATTTCCAGCGCGAGCTAAGTGGCCGAGCACCAAAATAAAACACAAAAACAAAGAAAAAATAATGGGCATGTGAGCGCCATTGTGTAAATAAAAAAGAGTAAGAGTAGGAAAAATATACACGGCCCTTGGGAAAAGGTGTTTTTATTTTGGGCTGCCCGAGAGCCTGAGCAGAGGTCAAAGAACATTACTTGCTATTGGTGTTTTGTGAGCATATTGGGTTCAAGGGGAGGGACCAAGTTTGTCGACAACACAATCACACACCAGAGTTGGCAGTTGCTTCTAACCAAGGTACCAAGCCAACGCGGACTTCAAAAAAATAAGAGAACGAATGCAGCCATGCCTTTTTTTCTGAGCAAGCCATGTTTTATTTTTGCTTTTTTTGCGCAGGGATGCGCATCCCTCCTCCACAGTTGCTCTGCCCCCCCCTTCCCCCCGTCAGTGTGGAAAAGAACTAACATGGTGGAAATACGGGAATCAAATATCTTGTTTATTTCATTTGCGCTTGCCGCTCCCAACTTGGTGACCAATTTGGATAGAGGGAGAAAAAATAGGGGGGGTGTAAAAAAATCAAGGGGGGTGTAAAAAAAAGAGCTGCAAAGGTGTCTTTTTGTTACAAGCTGCTGCTGGCCAACTCAAAGCCAAAATGTGCCAAAATAAAAACGAAAAAAGAGAAAAAAGAAATCGGACAAAGAGCAAGTCAGCAACCGCAGTGGCAGCCCAAATAAATGCTGTGTTTTTATTCGCTAGCGACCTCCTTGCCTTCTTGACTTGGCTCTGTGTCTCCCAGCCATTCTGCAGCTTCTTGTTGCTTCGACTGTGCCAAAAAGAAAAAGGCTCGCGTAATGTTTTCATCAGAGCTGACGCCAGGGACGAGTGAAGGGCTAGCTGGCCAAAAATTCACACTTCCTCCCTTCAACCCTCCCCACTTACACCCCCCACTTCTCTTACTTCCCCTCTTCCCCCCCATTTACCGACTGGGCTATAAATGTCGCCCCTCCCGCCCCCCTTACTAAAATTTTTGCCCTCCATATTTTACAAGCTTGATATACGCGAGTTTTTTAAACAGCTAGAATTTCTTCTCTCCAGCCAACCAGCCAACCAGCCAACCAACCAGCCAGCCAACCACTCCCTACCTTTTTTCTCTTTTCTCTCTTTTTTATTCCTTATTGGGTCATGTCAACATCAACAGCGTCATCATCGTCGTCGTCATCGTCAGCCGGTCAGCACATCATGGACTCTGGAAACCCAATGTCACGGCGCCGCGTCAGGCAACTATCGTCAGTCAAGGCATGGTGCCAGATATACGGCTTGGAAGCAGAGGGCGACGGCGACATTGAAGCGTCCTCATACCAGTCATTCCCTGATTTGCGCAAGCTTCTCGACGAGGAGTGCGCCGAGATTGAGCGCAAGGAATTGGAGGCCAAGGCCAGCATGGAAGCGCGCATCAGACGCCGGAACAGTGACTCGCTGAGCGACATCGTGTCTGAAGGTGGGCGCAGCAGCAGTGGCTCGCCTCCCGCAGGAAGGAATGGCGAGTTTGGTGCGTCTTCTCGAATTATGGACTCCCTGTATCGCTTCATTGATCCCATTATACCTGCGCTGGGCGCCGGTGGAAACTCCAAGAGTGGCGGCAGCGGCGGTGCCCGTGCGTAAAAAACGCATATTTTAAAACATATACGCCACGATACACGCCCTCATCATCTTTTCCCTTCGCTCCCGTTCTCCTGTAAACACATAAAAAATGGGGGGCTTTGGGGATTGTGGCGAGTACAATGTGAGGGGAGAGCAGGCGACAACTAATGGTGCTTGTTGGGCCCCTGTGTTGACCACGTCAACATTGGCAGCAACAAAAAACATTTCAAAAAAGGGCTTTGTCTGGCGCAGGTGTTTATTTGCTTTATCGGCTTGAGCTCGCCTCGCCTCGCCTCGCCTCTCTTTTCCTCCCCTTCTCCCACTTCCTCCATATTGTCTTTTTCTGTACTTCATCTGTATTTTTGTTTTTGCTTCTACACCATATAATAATCTGTAATATCTTTTCACTCATTTCAAATAATGAAAAACACTTATTTATTTTTTGCACTCTTGTTATTCATCTGTGTGCAACTGATATGTGCATGATCGCTTTTGTTTTGCAAAAGGCCCCCTGAAGGATAATAAAGAGAGAGAGACTAAAAAATATACACAGCTGATATAACATCCCACACCTTGCACCGCAGGAGGGTCCCGTGGTCATGTGTGGTTCTGACATTTTATGTCAAAACTCCCTCTAACTCCACTGCACTCTAATTTTCTTTTTTTTCTGTTCCCATTTGCGATGTTGCATTGATTTTTCGCTGGCAGAAAACCCCCGCATTTTTCCACCAATAAGTTTAAAAAGGAGGGTTTTTATTCACGCGCACCATTGTGTATGTATCAGCGCAGAAACAAAAATTGAGGCACAAGATGCAGGTTCACACATAAAAACAGGGCGTCATGTGCGAACAAGTTTCATTCGCGATATCGTTCATTTCCTGCTTCAAATTAAAAAGGGAAACATTCCATTTGTATGCATGTATCCGTTTCTCATTTCTGGCACTCCGAGCCCTATATCGCCTTGTTATTGATCGCATGCCATGTGCATAACATTAAAAAAGAAGAGAAAAACAGTGAGAATGGCAGGTGGGGGGGGGGGGGGGGGGGGCAAGAAGAAAAAAGTATTTCACACGGCGTACGATTTCTTTCCCGTTTCGCTGATGGCGCAAATATGGTCGAGGTCGCGGAAAATGTCGTTGTAGTCGAGGCAGTAGCCTACGACAAACAGATCGGGCACAGCAAATCCAACGTAGTCAGGAACGTACCCACATGACAGGGGCGTCTTCTTGAGAAGCAGCGACGCCACCTTGACTGACTTGAGCTCATACTTGGACAGTGTCTCGAGCAGCCTCTGCATCGTCTTACCCGTGTCAATAATATCCTCGACAAGCAAAAGGTTCTATACGTTGGGTGGGAAAGAGCCGATGAAAATGCACAGCACCAGAGGGGGTTATGTGTGGCGTTAGTAGTTGTGAGAATTGTGCGTTGTAATTATATATCCTTTTTTCAAGCGAAAATGAGATGAGTGATCTGAGCCCAAATCGATCGCTTGGTTCAAGCTGTCGACTCAAGCAGCTAATCAGCGGTTCTTTTTCAACACGTGCGCAACAAATTGCCCGAGCGTCAAAAAATGCACTTTCGCAAATTCTTACCTTTCCCTTGAGCTCCTTGAGCTCCTTCTCGGTCATCGAAATGTGCACGTTGCCCGTCGACTTGTCGTTCTCGTAGCTCTTGACGCGGATAAAGTCAAGGGTCATTGGCAAAGTCTTGCCCTCCTTGTTAAGCGCCTTCTTCATAAGATTGACAAGATCGCTGAAGAACTGGTGGCCGCCCTTGAGCACACAAGCGACGACTACAAAAAATTTTACATCACACACGCAAAAAAAAGTGTATGCCGCAGCCTTACACAAGTTAGAAAAACGATCGATCAGCCATTGCACCATCAGCCGCACAAGTGATGAAACAAAGGCATTCCACAAGCTTCCGTTTTAGAAAAATCTTCGACACTTACCAACACGCTCGTTATCATACTCGGATGTGATAATCTGTGCCAGCTTGGCGATCCGGTCCATAATGATTCCATGAGGGATCAGGATGCTCTCAACATCATCCTTGTAATGCCCGGGAACAACAAAGTGATCGAGCTTGTACTTGAACTTGTCCTCGACGACATCAATCCACTGCGAAGGATCCATCGGCATCTTTATCGATGGTTTATGTGGTTGTGGTTGTGTTTGTGTGTGAGAAAAAAATAGGTTGAAACAATAAGAGAAAACCAGTTCTACCAAAAAAGAACAAAAAATGTTGAGAAGAGAAATACGAAGAAGGGAAGCACACGAGCTTAAAATTTTTTTGTCTGGGGGTAGCTTTTTCCTTCACCAATCCGTGGGTTTTCTCCTGTTATCGGCAGCAGCAATAGCAATAGCGGGTTTTTTCTTGGTGAAGTGCAATTAAAATATTGCATGGGCAATGCTCCTGCGCTGCTTAGTTTAACCACGTGCGGCTGATGCCCAAGCCGATCGCACATACTCTTGATTTGATCTACTAATAACCCCGTGATCGCTAATGCGATTTTCCACAGCGTACGCGCATATGTAAACCGCAAGTGGAAAATTGACGGTTTGCATTTCTATTCTTTATTTTTTCTTGCATTCGAATCTATTCTCTCAATTTACCACATCCAAATTCCCTTGTCACCAAACTACAATAACAGAGTAAAATGCGTGGAGGCGGCTACTATTCGAGAGGCGGAGGGAACACTGGGCAGCGCGGAGGAAGCAACACAGCCAGCGCCGGCACCAGCGGCAGCGGCAATACTGGTAACACCGGTGGCAATAACAACGGCTACGGAGGAAACACCAGCCACAGAGGCAACCACCAGGGGAATGACGACCGCGACAACAAGGAAAAGAAGAAGCGTGACGCGATATTCGATCTCAAAAAATACACTGACAAGCGCATCTGCGTCAAATTCATGGGCGGACGCGAAGGTATGTAAAGTCAGAGCTTTTTTTGCAGAGAGAGAATATTCAACTGCGTTTTTGTGTTTTGCTAACCTAATTTTTCTGGTTTATATCTTGTATGCTTCATCTTTTTATGTTGTAGTGACTGGCGTGCTCAAGGGATCAGACCAGCTCCTGAATATTGTGTTGGACGAAGCCGAAGAGACTTTGCGCGGTAAGCTTCACATTAAACAATATTAAGATGCCTTTTTTCTACAGACGCATTGCACGTTGGTGACTAAAATAATATGCGCCTTTTTTGTATTCGCATTTTTAGATACCGAAAACCCAGACTCTTCAGAAGAGCGGAAGCGGCATATTGGTCTTGTTGTGCTGCGTGGACCGAGCATCATCTTGGTATCGCCGACAGACGGCTCGGAGGAAATTGAAAACCCGTTTGTTCAGGCAGAATGAGCAGCAGGTTCTTGTTTGTAGACGAACCACAAACCATTTGTTTTTAGCATGTGCAAATATACACCATTTACTGGAATTGACTGCATTTTTGTAACTTTAGCATTTGTCTCTCAAAAACGTGCTTAATGGCAAATATTACTTGTGATTTTTGCTGTGTCAAAAAAAAACCCAGTTTTTAATGCTGGTTTTCAAAAGAGCTATCTTAAAAACACTGAGATATAACCTCTGAACAACATAGTGGTGACAATGACAAGTCAAGAAAACATACTGGAAATATGTTTATGTGTTGCCCATTTTGTTAAACAAATACAAAATTAAAATAAAAAAGACGCATAAATAATTAAAATGCAGGGTTGGAAAAGTGAATGAGTTTTCACACAAACTTACAACTTCATCTTGGCCAGCTCCACTACCAAGCATCATAGTATCTTTGTTGAATATCGCTGTCGATTGTTTTTGTTAGGTTTGGCATATTGCAAAGATCGTTAAAGTCAATTCACAAACTGATTCGCGTAGCATTGGATGTCAGCGCTTTAAAAGCATGTTCACAAAAGGATGAATCATTCCCAGCAATGACATGTACAGGATGCTGCTTCCATTATTGCTAAAAAAATGCCATGTATAAATAAGACATGGTTTCTCGAGTATTCAATTGGTAGTTTTTTAGGCACTCTTGTTCTTTTTTTTACTTACAACCGAAAACATCCTTACTTTATTCAACAACGATTCTTTTCAAAATGCAGCTCTTCTCATTCAGCACTCTTGCCCTGGTCGCTGTTTTTGCCACCGCTGTCGTGCACGCCGATGCCTACGCCGATGCCCTTGCTGAAGCCGAGGCCGCCCCCGAACCAATTGCCGAGCCGCAGGGTGGATTTGGCAGCTGGAGATGGCAGCAGTGCAACTGGCGCTGCCGTGGTCGCTGGGACTACCATCAGTGCATGCGCTGGTGCCTGTTTTAAAAGTTAGACGTTGTGCCACGTCCTATTCTGCCCCATCTGTATGGAAACCAAGGTTATCTCAGCGCTTGTTTGTGTATTATTTTTAATTTTTTAAACTAATATATAAATTTAGTGCGGAAAATGGTCACAATATGTTTGCTTGTCACTATTAAATATAATAGTCGTGTGTTTATTGAACCAGATAATTTAACCCTGGGATTGCATTATTTCAAGTGTTGTCTACAGTGTTTTTAAGAATCAAGTCAAGACAGTGGTCAGCCCAGGTGATTCCTCAGGACAATTGCCTTTTGGGGGCTCAGACACAGGCTTTGTCAAGTATGTATGCTTAAAAAAGAATACTGTTGGAATCAATCCACTTCTAACACACTCATTGGTGCTAAGATTGCGTGGAATACAATTTTATTTAGTTGGCATACAGCCAATCTCAAACAAACAAAGTATACATTGACAAATCGAACGGATCGTATCGCTTAGACCCGTAGGACAAGTTGAATATATTTACTTGCACAAGTTCTGTATTCTCCGATGCAGTGAGATATTCAAGCAAATGCTTTCTGGCATTATCTCCAACGTAGATAAAGCGGCATCCGTATTATCTTTGTTCTAAATTATTAAACCTAGAAATTAAACTGCGACAGCATACTTTTAATAAGGTAAGTCAAAGACAAGCTAAGAACAGAAATAATTTATTGGTGGATGTGTTATAATCACGTGGTATATTCTCATTCAAAAAACACGATAGTTGAGAGCGTTTTGGTAAAGTATGCGCTAGTTGACTTTACTGGCAACAATTTGTCGACAGACGAGCGCTTGATTAAAATAAGTATTTTATATACTTCCTTTGGCTACTGCCATAATAAATACAGCCGGCGTACTTAAGGCATGCGTAAACATACTTTGTTCAAGCAAAACAAGTCTCCAGTACCTAGCAATGTGCTGAGTAAAAATATAAGAATGTAAAAGATAAATAAAAGCAATACAGTGCATTGCAAAACCTGTTCAGATGGTCTATGCAAAAAATAAGAAAAATATGATGGCAACAAAAAATACTTGGTCAACCACTTGCTCTAAAAGCCTGCCTACATTTGTGCGTCAGGATTGCACAGTATATGTTCTATGTTCATACAAAAAGCCTCACGCCTATCTTACGCCTTGAGTGATTTAATTAGATATATAATTTGTAAAGCTAATTTAAGTAGACAAATTGGGCAAGTTGAATCAAAAGATATAAACAAAGCTATTGCAATTATTATCTATCTTTCTAAATCAAATGAAACATCCAATTGTACAAAACAGCCAAATTGTTTTTGCCTATTTTGAAATTGTAAAATTCAAGTAACTGCGTGATCATTACATTGCAGCTATTTTTCGACCAGTCACTGAAAATAACAACAAACAAACAAACAGCCCTACTAACCCAGAAAACAGGCAGAAGCAAATGTCTTATTGCGTTAATCAGCTTTATATGTGCAATGGTTTTTCTGCCTGGTCAAAACGGCGCATTTGCGCTGTTTCTTAGTTTGTAAGAGAAATACATTCTTCACTATTCTGGTAGAAATCAACAAAACACACAAAAATGTATGGCGTCCAATGCTTTGTTTCCAAGCTTTCTTTCAACAAAAGGGCAGTGTTGGCAAATAAAAAATATATTAGTTTCCGTAAACAAATGCAACACATGTATTATACTCACTTACCCCTTACTTTTCTGTCACGGAACAGTGTGCCTGTTTTTTGAGAGTCATCAATTGTCTGTTCAAATAGCAATTGTTCGTGTTTCATGTTGGGTCTCTTACCCGGGTTCATTAAATGTACATGTTAATTTTTGGAACAAGCCTCGCTCATAAAAAACAAATAATTTTATTGTTCGGCTTGCAAAAATGGCCAACCGCATGCTTGTATTTTGCGAAATGGCTTGGTCATTTTTGCTTTTTTTCGGTACAAACAATGCAATGCTAACCCCATTTTATTCTTCAAGCATATGAAAATATTTTTATGCCATTTTTCGGCAGTTTTGGGGTGTCTCATTGCCCGAAACAAGCCCCTTGGTGCGCAAAAAGAGTACAAAGATATTTCAGGCTGGCGGAACACAAAGAACCCACTGAATTTTTTATTTTTCCAACTCTTTTCCCCAACCGACAGTGCCTTTTTTGCTGCCTTTCTCCTCCATCCATTCGAGTATCTCATTTCGTATAAAAAGAGCGCCCACTTTCCAAAATATTTTTTGGTTCCCTATCTCCCTCCCAACAACCACCACTTCCTCTAAAATACTACCACCTTTTTTCCAATACACATACACACATTTTTCTAACATTACAACGTCATGACTACGGTACACGCGCGCACACACAGCAGCATCGACTTCGACTTTGACTTCAACATGGATTATCGGTTCACAATACACAAATTTTGTAGGAGGGGATCACATACACATATACAGCAGGTCTCGCGCAGCATCATCCATTGCATTACATCGGCCCATATATTATAGCCGCTGTCTGCCACAGTCACAGTCACATCCACAGTCACGCTCATTCGCGCACAACAAAAATAACGTGTCTAGTAAACACTCGGTAAGATATCTGCAACTGGTCTCATCAATGTCATGTCTGGGGGTATATACGAGTGTCAACAAAACACCTAACAAAAACCTGGAGATAAAATAGACCCATGGTTTTTAATAAAAATCGGGCCGGTTCCATTCCGTAAGACCCGTAACTGTGGTATATACGGGGGCCCACAGAACATTTGTTCAATATGAATCCGGCTGGTGACACGCCTAAGACCTGAAATCAGAGGCAGCGGAATGGGAGGAGGGCGGAGTTTACTCGTATACCTTCTCCGGATTGCCAGCGTCTGGATGGGCTCCTCACAAAATCACAACACGGGCATGGCTAGAAAGAGTAGCGCATGTACCAAACCCAAAGACATGACAACCAGTTGCAAATATCTCCGAGCGTCCAACGACATTTCACACTCGATGCTCTATGGGCTCTAAACAGCTATAATTTGCGCGGCGATGCTTTTTAGATGGCACTTTACTTTTAACTGTGCTAATTTTTGTCTTTGCCGCTCATCATGGCAGAAAATAAAACCACTGTACATACCACACCCAAAATTTCCATTGAAAATTTAATTAGAAAAATTAGACTGAAAAAGCCAAGAGAATGAATTTTGTAAATATCGCTCGAAAAAATCAGATAATATTAGAATATCAAATTGCATAATTTCAGCTTGCATGCACTTTTGCAGCCACTGATTTAGTCTGTGTTTTGGCTGATCATGTGCAACAGCCATCAAACAGAAACACATGTACAACTAGTGGGCACTTGTCCAGCTTAATCTGCTGTTTAGCTGATAAGAGTGCGTTGGTAAAAAATAAATATAAAATAAGAGATGACAGAAAGCATACAAACAATGTGGCTGTATTGACATTCGCTTGGAATTGCGATTAATACTGGAGAGCATTACAGCAAAAAGCTGTTGCAGCAAAAAAAATGCTTCAGCTTTTTGTTAAAAAAACAGGAGATATTGGAGAGTGTACAGCTAATGATACATTCAATTAGGAGCTATTCGTTAGGATCGAGATGGGCATATTCCCTGTGTAGATAATATATAACCCATTTATACAGCCTGCTCTGCAAAATCGCATCTAGTGCAGCTCAAAAATAGCAACGCGAATGTAAGAAAACTGTTGTTTGCGGCTGGGTCTGGTGCTTTATTTTTCATTCTGCCATTATTTGCATTGTATTTTTTGTGCTCTAGATATTGACAGCCTGATGGCAAAAGTTTGACAATTAGCTTGGTGTTGCCTCAATAGTTAATTTATTTTACAAAACTAAACTATTCGAACAGGTACATTATTTTAAGGACCCTATTAATGACGCTGCTCAACCTTTGCAGCCATATTTTCCTCATTTTTTGAGTAAAACAAAAGCAACTATATCAATATTTCCTGGCTCTCGCGCTAATTTATAAAAAGCCTTGATTTGCTAGCTATTGAATAATCAAAATGCAACAAAAACAGCGGGTGTTAGTTTTAGGTTATAAAATCCTACAAATTAAATATCACCTGGCATATTGTCCGATACGCCTCTACACATTGAAAACATATGCCCCAATTATTTTGATAGTAAAAAGTTGTGATAATTTATTGAAATAAACACTGGTTAATCAATGTTTGTGTAAAAACATGTGGACAAAAAACACACTGCAAAAGCGCCACTTACAGTTGTTATTAAATTGTTTTTAATATGTGCACAACTTAATGAAACCAAAATATCTGTATATTGTTTTACTCAATGTAAAATACAAAATAATTATTTAGCAAAGATGCTCTCCAAACAAGCCAAACTTATTTTCATGTTGCCCGCATCTATCCACATATAAATAGCCAGCTTTTTTACTGGCATTCATACCATCTGTTTTGATACCTTACCACACACCCTTACCATTAGCAAATATCAATTCATTTATTAGCAAGTTTTTACAAATGAAGTTTACAGTCATCACCTTTGCAGTTTCGCTATGGCCAGTGGCATCTTTGCCGCAGCAGTCGACAGTCATCTTCCAATCTTGTAAAACGTGGTTCCCTTTGCGATACTATTAATTGTCCCCCAAAAACAAAATGTAGAGTACTGCCAAACCCTATAACAAAAAAGCCATTTGTAATATGTTTTTAATTTAAATATCTGCAGCAATTTGCACGGATTTATGGATTTCAAGACCGGCAGTGCGGCCTGCTCAACATATGCACTATTATATCACCTTTTCTGATCTCAATGTATACAATTATTCAACATTTTTATTACTATTTTAGTTATAGTTTTAAACTTTAATTTTTGATTATAATACGAAATAAATCTAAATCTAAATAATTGTTTTAAATTTCCAAAGTCCTGCACCTGGCAGCATACCGCTCAAGCACTTTCAGCAATCTCCGGACAATGAAAACCCCAGAATGTTGGGTGTATCTTGAATGGATCGACTACCAGCAAGATATCCGTTGTTTTGCCGTTGGCTGTGCCAAGCTCCCCACATATTTTATCGCGTATTTCAGCGCCAGGCAATCCTCGTTGTAACCGCTGTTTTCGATTAGAGCCGCGCGCAAGTCCTTCAGCAGGCTCCAAAGCATTTTGTAGCCGGGAACATGCTTGTTTGACCTATCTAAAATGCGCGAGAAGTTAGCTTCGGAATCCAAAAACGTGCGATTATTGCGAGGAACTGACACCCAGAATTTCCGTCCTGCTTCTTGAACAAGCTCAACTGTGCTCTTTTTGGCCTCAGTTTTGGTTATTGGGTTTGAATTGCGCTCAATGATGCTAACGCTCATAAATGGAAGAGGGATCCCGATGTTTTTCTCTTTGTCCACGGCGCACAACTTTGAGTTGTATGATTGGGCAAAATCCGCAAGCATTCCCTTGACACGGCCACCCTCCAGATAATGGAAACAAATTGCATCGGGCGTCAGATTCCTGTGGACAATGTCTATTATTTTGTTAAACTCGCTGTATGCCTTCATCGCGTCCTTGACAACGATTATCAGCTCTTGAATGGAGTTGACCTTTGTAACAGGCAAGCTGGTCAGTCCAGTGACATACTGCCTGTGGAGACACGGACGAGAATGTGAGTGTTGAGGGAATTGGTTCTGTTGAATCCCGGTAGAGGATTCCAAAGTCCATGCTGTTGACAAGCTGGGACTCGGGTCCCCGCCTAAACTACACAATACTGCCACATTTAATAGACAAAAAACTCCCTGAGATTATTGTGCGCTCTGAAATGATGCCCCAATAGACGCAAAAGGCAGACCTCATCATTGATATGCTTGTGACTAATGTGCTTGCTGCAAATATCCTTGTTGGCAGTGTTGTCCCAGCTTGTGCCAATTAATTCGGACCATACATCTCTGACCAGCCTTGTGCAGTGTTTATTGCGGCTGGACTGGTTGGCGGTGGGGATAGCCATAGTTGCCAAAAAGCATTGCATGCGCCGCCCAAAGATATTATCGTCGGCCTCTACCATCTTGTTACTGTGGTAATAACTTTTCCGGTAATCCCGTCGGAAGCGGTTTGGTTACTGCAATCTCCTAGCATCCGAGGTCATGCAGCGCTTAATGGTTGAGTCATATCCCAGCCGGTAGTCCTCAGTGTAGGACCAATTAACAAAAAGCCTGATGACCTGGATGTCCATGTTTTCGGAAGCTATGGAAAAGTTGGAGCCAAACAAGTACGCCTGGACTAAACTGTCGCGGATGGTCAGTCCCCACTGGAAGCCGCAGTTGGGCTGCGTGCATTGAATTTTGCGACAGCGCTTAATCAGCTTAACCTCAGCGTCGTATTTGTTGTTATACGAGGATCCCTGCCTGACCTCAACGGGGGCAAACAAATTTGCATGCCATTCATCGCTGATTTCTGCAATTTCTGACTTGCTAGTAATTGTCGACTCAATTCCGGAAGCAAGAACATCGTCGACCACATGGCCACAATGCCTAGAGAAGAAAGGGCATTGCCCTGTCCATTTGTTACCTCTGTGGCTAATGCAACGGACAAGAGAAGCACCTGCGTGGCTCAGGGCGCCCCTGCTCTCCCTTGGCATGGCGATGCAGCCCATCGACAAGGCGAGCAATAAATAAAACAAACGCATCTGCGTTTAAAACACCGGATTCTGGGTACATGTGGTACGCTTGGTCGACAGATGTGCCTGTGGTTGCCCATTTGGAAAATATGGCGTGTTCCTCTCCAATATGCTCTGCCAATTCAGATATTGCAGCATCCTCCATGCGGAACATCTGGGCTGCCTGAGTAGAGTCGTCATCGATGAGCTTTGCGAGCATGCGCTTGCTGTCGGTCGGTCTGTGGTTGGACATAAAATGCCGCATGGCCTTGCAAACAGCCCTGGTAACGGTTGTCGCCCTCTTCTGGTAGGATGTAACCTCGGACTCGGCCAGGCTGGTGGTATTTGTATTTGTCTTGCAATAATAGTTTCTTCTGCATCGCATCTTCCCCGTAATTAGCGTGCATTTGATCATTGGGTAGGCTCTCTAGGGCACCGACCTCGACTCTGGCAATGGCAACGGGCGGTGCAATGTCAGCGGGTAGTGCAATGATAACTGGCTCGGCTCTCTGAGCGACGCCACCTATTACAATAAAAATCAAACGACTTTAGTAAATATGTATACATTGAAATGCTCTTTTTTCTACAGACGTACACAGCTGCACAAAACCATCTAAAAACTATTAACGCACTTACCATCCATATAGTGATAAATATGGTTTTGGTATTCGAGTTCAAAATGTCTTCAGTAGTTTCCGGTTCAGCACCATTGTCGCTGGTAGGCTCGGGAGGGATGCTGTCAACTGTGAGCTCCATGTGTGCCTTCGCCCTTTACCAGGAGGGTAGTTGTCAGCGTTCTCATTCGAGCTCTTGCGCTTTAATATGCTATTGCTATCCCTTTTTGACAGTCATTGCAAAAAAGTAAAAATTATAAAATGGAAAGCGAAGTGGAATGAAGTAAAGTGGAGTAAAATGAAATGAGGCGATATAAGTTAATAAAAATAGCTTTAAAAAAATGGTAGAGTAGAAAGCGATGTGGACAAATATGTGAGCAGAGTTGGGCCGTGGTGGTAATGATGGTGTGCGAGTTGAATGTAAAAAAGATGGGATGGGATGACTTAGAATGGAATGAAACTTTGGAAAGAAGGATGCTATTTAAAACTGTAGAGGAAAAATTGGCATGTTGGAAAAAAGGCAGAGTAAACATAAAAAGTGCGGCGGAATGTTTATTATTGTGTATTGGAAAAAATCAATGCGAAAATGAAGGGTTTAGAGGTTATTTCGGTAAATAAAGCAAACACATGCTTTTAAACGGATTCATTGTTTTTCACGCTGCTTTTGGCCCTCCCCTATAAGTTTACTAGCCGCGAATAAGAGCATTGCCTATACGGCAAACACAGAGCAAAATCAAACAAGCAAAATTTACGTATCTTTTTTTGCACTCAGGGCATAGTTTCCATTTCAGTTTGCGTGATATATGTCGTTTACATTGTTGGTTTATTAAGTGCAGATCACACATGTTATAAGGACTGATGTTGGTTTCCAATGGATAGTGCCCTTTGCGGTGGCTTTGGATCAAAGTTTTTTTATCGCGGAGGGAATATTTTGTGGCGCCGTCGCCAAATGATGTCTATTTCAAATAAAACTCTCCTCATCCCTATATTTACCTGTTTATTTCCCGTATTTGTTTACATCTTTTGTTTTATTGTCTAAAGCAGGAATATCTTTCAGTTGGGGTTGGCCACATGGCATTTCCGATACGTTATGCTGTACTTTTGTCTTTTACTTTGGCACACGCAAAAAAATCGAATATTCGCATTCGCATTCATTAGCATTTATCAGTTATCAGTTATTGGCAACTACTTACATATTATCCGGAGAATCATGACGCATGCAATATTATACATCGATAATTTGGTTATCTTCATTGACATTGATACCAGATTAAAATTTACATATGAAGAAATGCAGGTCATCATTTTGAATGTATTATAAATAGAGAAAAATCATGATTTTCGAGTCATGCAAAGTGACAGCCAGCTCGATCAATCCACACTAATTATCTCACGCAAAGTGCCAAACAAAAAAAACGACCCTCGACGTAACCAATTTTTTAATTGTCAAAAAATGAAATTCCATCTATTGGCATCGGCTGCATGCAAACGTAAAATTAAAAGATGTTGAGAATTAGTTGGTCTGATCAACGAACAATGCAATTGCAATTTGGAAACTACACTGTAACAAATCCCGACATGCAGAGTAGCCTTTGAGATTGTGTTTACGCAATTGCCTTTACATTTTGTTAAAAGGTAGTACGTTAACAGCGCATAAACACCTTTTGCCAGAGGTAGGAAAAAATAATACACACATGTGAACCATTCATAGACATTTGGCAGCGGATTAAGGATGGCGAAAAAGTGCCATCAGGCAGACGGAAGTTGAACCGTGACATGATGGCCGCGGTGCTGAAATTTTGAACTATCTTCAATCCACTTCTTACAGGCGAGCAACCTCTCCGTTTTTTACACATAAAGGCACCGTTTGAGTCGGCTGATCCCGAGCCTACTACAGTGACACCCAAGAGCTTGTCCGAAATGTTGCCCAAACCAAAGTTCAAACCCAAGCTTCTCTTCGCAAGAAGCAACAAACTGGATAATATCATAGTGGGCTATTTATTGCCTCTAGTTTATAAGCACGTGCCAGATTGCTATGCAATCTGGATGGGAAAGATATCGATTTGCAGGATACTTGTAGTCTCATTCTTTTCTTCAACGCACTTTGCCCTCAGCTTGGCCAGCCATTTTTATTTTTATTTTTTATTTTTGTGCCCTTTTTGCTTCTTTCCAATTCGCGCAAAAATACACATTCATTTTTTCACACGCATTTTGCCACTGAATGGTAATTAGTTTTTCGCATTTACCAATACACTTTTTTAACAACAGGCACACTTCTCGCATCTTAATTCCACAAGCAAGACATGGTTTCCCGAACAGCGTCAACGGCAACAACATCGGCAGTTTGCGCAGCTGACAAGCTCGACTTTGGCTCTATCGCCTCAACCACATATAAATTAGCTGGCCAGCCGACACAGCTCGGTCGAAAAGTGGCCAATGCGCTGTTGATAATTGAGGAGGCAATTGAGAAATACGAGTAAGTGCAAAGCAGAGTAGAAACACGGGAAACTCATAATGGTTGCTTTGCTACCGAGCAAACCACAAAAATAAAAGCATCGACTGACGCAAATCTTTTGCTTTGGATTATAGGATGGAGCATATTGCACTGAGCTTCAACGGCGGGAAGGACTGCACTGCGCTCATGCACCTGGTCCGCGCAGCGCTGCACAAACACAGCACGGCGCGCGGCCAGCCCACGACTGCGCTGGTGTCCTTCTGCGTGCTGTATAAAAAGCCATTCCGGAGGTCGACTGCTTTGTGAAAAGCTCCGTCGGCCGCTATAGCTTGGGGCTGGTGGAGAAGAGCGGGTCGATGCAGCAGGGGCTACAGGCATTCAAGGATGACCACCCCGAAGTGCAGGCGATCTTTGTGGGCACGCGGAGGGACGATCCATATGGCGACAAGCTCGATTTTTTCTCGCCCACAGATGCCGGCTGGCCGCAGTTCATGCGCGTCAACCCAATTTTGGACTGGACCTTTGATGACGTCTGGGGATTCATCCATGGCGCTGCAGTGCCGTACTGCTCTCTGTATGACCATGGGTACACGTCGTTAGGCGACGTTGAAACTACCGTACGCAACCCTGCGCTGCTGAAGGACGGCGTGTACCAGCCGGCGTGGTCGCTTGCCAACGGGTGTCTGGAGCGCAGTGGGCGCTCAGCATCGAGTTCCTCCCAACCTTCGGCCAGTCTGGATGTGTTCGCAGCTTCTAATTAGGCGGGGTGGACGACGCAGTTGAGTAGCAGTATCGCGGATGCGTCATCTCGGTTTCGAATTACATTTGACAAGGTGTCGACTGCTTGCACAAGACACTTGAGAGTATAGTTTTAGAGTTTAGGTATTTAGTTTATATATAGTTTTCTTTCTTCCAGTGTTCACTGCATTTTGGCTCCTTTTTGGCTCGATCACTGACATATATTCGTCCTCGGACTTGGCTTGTCAGCCCACCGCTTTAGGTGGCAAAGCAAGGTTAATCATGAACGATTGCCAGCTCCCCCCCCCCCCCCATGCATGGCAGAGGAATGAATCAGACCGGTTTTGAGATTCTTTGTGTGGCATCATCCTTTGTACCACTCACCCTGATGCTGCTCTACTGCCTAAAAATACCCAGGCGAACGAGCAGAGTCCAGGAACTCGCGGAAATGAGACATTCAAAAATTGAACATTAAAGTTTTTTGTGTAAACAAACAACCATTCAACCCAAAGTCAGTCATTTATGAGCTAGCATGCAATATAATGATGTGACCAAACAAATCACCTTTCAACACAAACAATTAGTACGGAAATAAAGAGATTAACCTCAAATGTTTGTGCAATGTGTCGCCCATGCCATCACAAAATGAAAGCAGAAAGATAAAAAGGAAACGGAAAAATTGATGGCAACCAAATTCAGTTTAATGCAAGATGCTGGATGCCAAATGCCAGATAATATTCCAGAAGCGCGTTCGCAAAAAAAGGCATTTAAAAAGAATAAGGATGAACGCTCAGGCTAAAAGCGATTTGCGCTCTAACATGCAACCACGCATTTAGTTGGCCAAGCTCGCACTCTATTATCTCTGCCGCGTGCTCTTTTCAATTTTTGGCTATTTTTTTAAAAAGTTATCAAGAAGAAATAAAAAATAAAACTGATACTTGCCCTTTTCTTCTTCGTTTTGCCCTGCTGCTAACCTTTTTCTAAAACAAATATTTTCTAATTTTATACTACTCTTTTGTATCTCTTCCCTTCTATATATCGCACGCACGCACTCTCACGCACACGCACGCAACCCAGCAATAGAGACGAGGATCCTGGCCAGCTTGTTTTCTATTTATTTATTTTTATTTGTTATTTTCTCCATCTGATTCGCGCGCTCGCCCGCTTTCTATTTCTGAACTCTCCTCGCTGCTCGCACTTTTATATTTAGGCTTGTGCACCGTGCTATTGTCATTTATTTTTGCATTTATTTTTCTCCAGTTTTCGTATTTGGCGGTCCAGCTATTTTGCCTTTTTACCCCCTTTCCGGAACAACCGCCTTTTTGGTCAGCTGTCTGCCGGCCAACCCAGATTTCCCCTCTTGAGCACAATTTCAGAAGCATAGCTCCCCGATCAGCTTTCAATTCCCAACTGATAAAAAGGCTCGGTAATTTTTCCTTTTTTCTTTCCTTTTTTTTTCCTTTTTATATTATTGGACCAAACTTTGACGCCTTATGCAACTGCCGTTTGGACAAACAACCCTGCCACAACTCCACACATTCACTCCCCGCGTCCCGGAGCACCCCTTTTCATTGCCACCCCACTTTTTAATATTACTGCCGTCCTGACTGCTTTATTTCTTTTTTTTGGCACTTTTTTTATTGTTCGGCGTCATTTTTTAACTCTATTTTCTGTCACTCACGAACCAACCGGCACCAACCGGCTCTCATCGCGTCCACACAAGCCATTCACGCGGCCGATATCACAACCACAACCACAACCACAATCACAATCACACAACCATCATATTTATGTCGCAGCCCATGACACACATAGACACCATCAATATGCAGTCGCGGCTCCCGCGGCCACCGCTGTCTGCCCTGCCGGTTATCACCAGAATTGGCAGCCACCAGATTCCGATCCAGTCACAGCATCACCTTCAGCACCAGCACCAGCACAGCAGCAGATTCCACACTCTGCATCTGGACTCGGCTTTGGCTCCAACCTCGCTCAGGACAACGGCACGCCATCATCTACGCCACTGTAAGTATAACACTCAACCACATTGTACACCTCCATTTTACCAACTTTGTCCACGCGGCGTAATGCAGACCAATGCCAATTCTTGTTCATCCATGATGGGCGGTGCATACACGCGCATGCTCTTTTGACAGACCGCACATGCAACGAACAGGCCGTTCGGGCATCAAAATCAACCAACTACATGTCTGCATACTCCTGTAATTGCGAATACTAAATGGATAGTATGCATACTGCTGCTGCGCTAATGCTTGCACTATTAGAAGGACAAAAGCGCCGTATTTTTGTATGGGCCCCCGACCGGAACCAGCCTTATATATCTTGAGTCAATGCTGAAGCAGCTTCTGTTAAAAACGCCGCAGAACGGGTGGAGCTATGGTGTGCTGCTCAGTGACCACACGCTGCAGCCACGCGACCGCATCAGAATTAATGGCGAAACAGTTGACAGCCGGGTTTTTGAAAGGTGCGCTCGCGAATTCCAGCGGGATTTAGACAAAGAAGGGGGCTACATCGGGCACAGGAAGAAGAGCACAGCCAAGCAGAGGGTGGAGAATATGCTTGTTAACGTTGCGCTCCGGGTTTTCGACAGTCAAAAGGTGACCGCCATTGCAATTGCTATGGCCCACCCTATGTCCGACACAGATGCTCTTGCATGTGCATCATTGGAAATGCAAGGCGCCAGTAAGGATACTAGCGACTCAAGCTATCGGACCATCGAGCAGCTGGTTCTAGACATATATACCCCAGACAGGATCATCTGCGGCTTTGAGCCCTTGTCGGAATTTTTGGAAAGCCTGCCTGGGAGCTGGCGCAAAAGCCTTGGCTACTTGGCCCGGCGGCCTATACACATGATCTCGTGGCCTCAGCCAAACGCCGTGCGAATGCAGCTCCTCAACTTGGCTATGGTCCTCGGCAACACCATTGAGCTCGTGCAGCCCCTGTCGTCGCTACCGGCGGCCAAAGACGTGCAACTGGGAATCTACGGGCCGAGCAAGCCCAGTTTGCAGCGCTCGCGCTGGCGCTGTGCCAGGCATGGGCGCACCACAATGGGCTGTTACGGCTGCGCACGCATACACATGGTGTTGGCGAGTACACCACTGCAATGGCTCTCAGCACGATGCGGCAAGTGACAAAGCAGACCATAACGTTTAGCCCATTCCATGCGCAGAACCAGACGCCCTTGCGAGACACGCCGCCGTGGATGCTGCGCGGATTGAGCAACGCGTGCTGCCCGGGCCAATTTTACACGATGCCTTCAGAGCCAGCGGCACAGGCCAATGGCACTACAGCTGGGCCGAGACACCCAGCGACTTTAAGCGCACCGGAGAGTGGTTTGGCGGAGTGTGCCAGAAGAACCACGCCAATCCGCGGGTGTTGCTGATTCACCTGCCAGAATCGTTTATTTCGACAGTCAGGTGCCGGCGAGGCGGGGATGGCCAGTGGGTTTCGTCGGATTACCGCGAAATGCTCAAATCGCTCTATTTGCCGCTGCGCAATATCAAGTGGGCCTGCTGTGTTTTTGCCGCCGATATTCTCTACGAGTCCAATGTCATCGAGTCCAACGTGCCACCCGTTCTGTCGCAGTATGTCCTGCGCGAATACTGGTCCCAGATCAGCGGACAGCAGACAGAACAGATTTTCATTGCGCCCAGTCTGGCTAGCGCGCTGAAGCTGATCGCATCGACGTGTGCCACACGGATAAATGCTATGCTCGACCGATCTCTCCCGTCCTCTGATTATCCATCAAGAACAGTGTCCCCAGTGGTGGGCTCCGAAAGCACGATCTTTGAGCATTCGTCGAGGCGCAGACCATCGCAGCTGCTCCAGCCGTCGCCGTCGGGCAGCAACATCATGAGCATGACCACTCGGCCGTCGCGGGCCCTCAGCAGGGCCACCGGGCTCAAGAACGCAACGTCAATGGACAGTCTTCGCGAAAGCAGGCGAAAATTCTCGCTGGGCATGGGCAACTCTGGCAGCGAGTCAACGATATCGCTGCCGCTCAGGAATCCCATGGCCACTGTGTCGCCGGGAATTGCGCCAATGACAGCGCCCATGGCGGGAACAATTGCCTCTACTCCCAAGGTCGACATCCTTGTGACGGGCGCAAAGTCATTTGTGCAGTCGACGATTCTCGTTGCTCAGAATCAGACCTGTACTCCATAAAGTGCGCAATTGTAACATTTTCTTTTTACGATTTTTCAATTTTTCTTTCGTTATTACAATACTGGCAATGCTTATTATTCTACAGGGTATCCACTAGCGCTTGGCGACAGCCGAAAACAAGTGGTGCCTTGGCGGGCTGTGGGCATTCTGGTTGATGTTCTAGACGAAAACCCGGTGCTGTTGCTTGCCGCGGTGCTAGCGGTGTATCTGCTATTCGTGCTTGCCGCGCTAGCTGTGCCGTCAGAGGGATTGCGCATTGCCTTTTTCAGCCGGCTGCTGGCCAGCCTGACGGCGCCAAGACCATTGCGCACCTCGCCGTTACCATCTTCATAGTTGTCGCTGGATTCCTCGGATGAAGAAATGTTGATCGTGGTCGTCGTCTTCTTTGACAGTATCCTCAACCCGTCGCTGGATTTAAACGAAGAATCGATGGGTTTGTACGTAGGGTCAGCGACCTTTGCCCTCGGCTTCTTTGTCCGTGCTCCACGGGATACGGCCCGCGGCACACTTAGCACAGTATTGCTTGTTGGCGATGGGAGTGAGGCAGACGACGAATACGAAGCCATACTCGCTGTTCGAGATGGCGGCATCGCTGATTTGCTCTTATTGGTCGTCTGCCGCATTGCCAGCGGCGTCGTAAAGCTGCTGGCCGACTGTAGATTCGTCTGCACAATTCGCGTTGAAAGCGGCGAAGGCGAGAATGCCACTGTTGTTGCTGCCTCTGTCTCCGCCAATTGCGCCGATGCTACTACATGCGGGCGCACCACGCGTATAGGGGAGGCGGGGATTGCAGCAGTCGCAGGCGCAGCCATGTTTATTCTTGGACTCTGGCCAGTAAATGCAGCTGGCGGCGACTGGTACATAGGCAAATTGGACAGGTCAGTCATGTAGTTCCTCATAAACTCGTCGTTATGACACGGTACGCATAACGTATGGTACCCGCCAAGCCCACACAGTCCGCCGCCGTGTTTCACGTCAATGATATGCGCGGCTTCCCAAAACATACCCTCAGTAAACTTGTACTCCATGCTGGACAGCGGCCGCCTGACCTTCTTTAGCCACTCGGGTGTCCGCTGAGACAACCTTTTGAACACTTCAGCGCGCTCCTCCAGGGTTTTGCAGTTTACAGACTCATTGAATACCGCGTGGATATCGATTCCGCAGTCAAAGCAAACCCCACGGTCGCGCTTATTCAGTTGTTCACGGACATACTGGTTATCTCTGCGCATACGATGCTCGTGTTCACATCCTTCGCCGAACAAAGTCGTGATACGCCGTGATCTGTCCAATTTGGGTTTAAGACAGAACAGGCTGTTTTTATCTTTAGTCTCTTGCCCACACCACAGACACAGAAGATTACCCCGGGGTCCGCGCAAGTACCGGTTGTCGCATTCGGACGCGGGAATATTTTTGGATGTACGCAGGGGCCCTGGCAACCAGCGCTCGTACCGAAGATCAGGATACCGCTCGATCAGTATGGTCACTGGCCAGCACTCCTCGTCTTTCGGCACCACCTGTCTGGCAGTGTTGCGCGGGGCCGCGCGGCTCTGACTGCGGCTGCCCGGCAGCGTATCTTCTGGTGCAGCATCAAAGTCTGATAAAATCGCGGCAGCAGTAGCAACAGCAGGGTTACGACGGTAACGGCGCCTGGGCGTCGCATTGGCTGTTGATGTGGCGTGCATAGGCTTTGATATATGCTTAGCAATGGTTCGACTGGTCTGGCCAGTTATCGAGAAGAGCATGGCGAATATCAGCTTGAGCGTAAGACCGGCGAACGGGTAGCTGCGCTCGCTGACAAAGTGGTGCGCCTCGGGACAAATTAGAAGGCACATTTTGCGAAAAGCCCTCCCGCGAAACAGTGAATTTGTCGTTCTTTTCAGAATTTAAATTGTTGAAGGGTGAAATGTAAAGTTGTTAATTATTTATATTTGTCAATAAAATAAAAAATAGGGTTGTTTTAAAGACAGCCTGAAAACAAAAAGATGAACCCGTTGAGTGTGCCATACACCTCAGAGAATTTACCGTAGATATTTTCCAACCACACCAACCATTTAAGCAGAGTATCCACGATATCATAAAAGTGTGGCTAAAGTCCAATACTTTTAGCTCGCTAAATAATATACAATGTTGATCTTAGTGGACAGCAGGTTGCTGCAGCTCACAGGAGGCAATAGGACGCGACCCAAATAATTGTCATCCCCAATTTTTGCTTTTTTCATTTTTCAGAATTTGGTTTTGAAAAAAATGGTACGCTCATTTATTGAAAAATAAATTATAAAAAATTATATTTGCAACCAGTGCTATCCAGTCATCCAGCCAGCTAGTACGCCCGCTTGTCATCTTGCTCGCTTGTTAACTTGCCTCCCGATCATAATATAAATACAAGCCAAAAAACACCATAAAATTCAAATATATGTGCAAATTTACTTACCTGAAAGTGTGCGTGTTGGCAGTTGATTAAAATGTATATAAAATGCATTATCTAAAAAGAAAAAGAGAAGAGAAGAAACGCATTTATTTTATGTTTCAGCCACCCTTGTATTTTGGCTGGCTGCTATCATCAAAAAAAATTGTGATGCCATAATTAAAATACATCACGTGACATTACTGGCGCATATAATGTGATTGTCGTGATATTGCACGCACGCTGCGATTTCATAAAGTGAGCTTTACTAAATGTATATTTTATTGAGACTACAAATAACACTAAACACAGTAAAATTGTTGTTGCAGTGTTGTGAGTGTGGTTAAAAGAGAAACCAAGAATATTCAACTAATCAGCCACAATGAATACTGCTAAAAAGGGAAATAAATATGTATTGGAAACTAAAGTATTCCCACCATGAGGATGAGACACCTTAGTATATATCGAAACTAAACTATGATATGTACATGGAATCTCCTGTCCGCACCATTTATACAAACATCTAAAAAGGTGTTAATAGCAAAACAAATGCTATTTTAAAATACCTCGAAATTACATCAATTTTTGCTGATATCATTATATGGCAAAAACAGGTTCAATCATGAACACTATGTACCTTCAAAATCAATATGATTGGATCAGGGCGTCGGGTGACGTTCTGCATCTGTCCGATGCATCTGTGCGCGCATGCGGGTCTCAGCCCGGACCACTGCCTGGGTCGTGCCCTCCTAAGGGGTTCTCAACAGTATATTTGTAGCCTCATTATTTTCTTATAGTGTATACCAAAGAGACAGATTCCTTTCTGCCTTCTGTTCATTTTTAATGTAAACAAGTCTGCATAAAATTTTCCTTTGCTTCTTTATTTTTCTCCCTGCCCCACCCCTGCAGCCCAACCAATCGCGATTATCTTTGTGGTGGAAATGATTTAGCCAAGTCACTATGTCTCTAGGCCTTGGGCATCTTGAGCGCCGAGAGCACGACGCCCGTAGCAACGCCGACATTCAACGAGTCGATGTACTCAGGAGTGTCCGCCCTCTCTGGGATATGAACATTGATATCGCTGAGATCCAGAATGGGGCCGCTGATCCCGCTCTGCTCACTTCCCAGGACAACTATAGTCGGCGAATCCAGCTCGGGAAGCTCATCAATCGAGATGTTTCTTGCAACAGCGGTCGTGCGCGTAGTCGTGCAGATGATCGACCAGCCATCAGTCTTTGCTTTTCAATGACTTTGTCCATTTTAAAGATCCTGTGTATGTTCATGCACTCCATGGCGCCCGAACTGGTCTTTGAGACGGTGGGGGTCGGGCGGCAGTACTCCTCGCCGCCGAGCAGCAAGCCGTCAATGCCAAAATACAAGGCTGAGCGGATGATCGATCCCAGGTTGTGTGTGTCCTGGATGCCGTCGAGACAGAGCCACAGCGGGAATTTGCGCCGCGGCTGGTACACCACATTGCCAGACTTGAGCACGACTTCATGCTGACCGTTGTCAAACTTGCCGAGATCCGACAGTTTGTTGACCATATATATCAGTCTTGAGTATGACGCCCTGGTGCACGGAGTTGTTCAGTACCTCGGACATCGCTCGGCTGGAGACCTTTTTTATCGGAATCTCCATGCTTTCCGCCAAACTGATGACCTCTTCGAACCGGGGACGAGGCATGTCGCCCTGGAATTCAGCCTGAATAAAAAGCCCATAGGCCTCGCGGCGCCCTTGCCTCAGAGCAGCCTGGATCGGCGCAAGTCCGTAGATAAGCTCCACGTTCGGCATGTCCAGGCCGAATGCGGGTGCATCTTGCTGTGATCCTTGCGTGAGATGGGCTTGAAAAAAGTTGGCCTTGGGTTGAAGCCATTCCTGTTGTTTGAATTTGGCTTTGAGAAGGTCCCATTGCGGCCGCTATCCTTTCTGTCGCCTCCCTTGTGGTAATGCCGGCAGGACATGGCTCCAAAGGTTGTTGTGATCGTCTTGCTTGCAGCCAATCAATCGTGGCGGGAAACCGAATTGCACACAATGCCCGAGTAAAACCCATCGTTATTGTTGTATTTGTTGTTAGTAACGGCTGTTGTTAACAAAGAAAAAGTATTACAGTCGATCAAAGATCAAGAAATCGGTTATGAAAAAAACCAAAACTGGTCGATTGACCCAACCAATTTGGATTACGTGCTCGAAAAACGCGCATTTATGGTTTCGTATTTTTTGTTAATATTTTTGTTTTATTTTCGCGCGTTGACAAAAACTTTTTCTTTTATAACTTTTCAATTTACCTTAATTCGCACGCATTTTGCACATTTCCACATATAATTCACTCACACTCATTTATTTTCATGAAATGCGCAGAGGTACAAGCAGCAAGGTGCCCCCAAAGGCAGCAGCTTTCCTCCGTCGACCACATACCAGGGCCCAGCACTCAAGCGCAGCGCCACAGCTCGCGCGCAACCAAAACAGGGCGCGCTGAGCAAGTCTGGGACGGAATGTCATTGCTGACTGTCGTAACACCGAAGAAATTACATGCAGAGGGCTCTGGAAGCTTGCTGGGAAAGCGCACGCGGTCTTTGCATTCCGGAACTCCTAATGGTGCTGCTGCTTGTGCTAATGCAGAGCTGGTAGAGATACAGGTGCTTGTTGCTAGTAGTGATAGCGAAGAGGACGTTGAGTACATTGCACCGGCTTTGCAATGTCAAAACCAACAAATAGTACAAGGGACGCTAAATTAAAAACCACCCGATCGCACTGGACGATTTGGTAGACGACGATGACGACGATGACTTTATCGAAGTTTGTAGTAAGAACAAGAGCATCAGTAATGATAGCCGAGCTACAGCTGGCAGTACCACATTGGTCAATGCAAGTACCCGTGCAAACAAGGTGGATTGCATGAGCAACGATATTGAGATTGTTTCGGTAACGGCCCAACAGCCAACAATAGTCACTACGCCAAGGCGCGGGTGCAACACACATCCAATGAATTGTTTATGCCGTCATCCCCACCACTACTCCGCCCCACAGCCCGACGATACGCCGGTACAACAGCCAGTCCATCACACAGCCCATCGTATTGGCAGAGGATACGCAGGAATATTTTGGCGGCAGCTCTGGGTTTGCGGGATATATTTTTGGCGACCACATTGGAGGAAGCGGTTCCTGATAGCAACGATTTCAAGTTTAAATCTGTTTGCGCGTCGATCAATCCTCGAGTGAACATGCAGCTGTTCTGCGCTTGAACATTCGGAAGCGATTCCAGAGACGCCACCCCTACCGCCGCATGCTAGTCCACAGGGTAACTGTCACCATTGATGCCTCCACTTTGCGAACTCACCACAATTCGACAAGTAATGCGCGCCGATCTGTCCAGCGACCCCATCAGCGAGTTCAGGACGCCTATAAACAGCCCGTCAAGGGCTAACGCCTCGCCACACGTTTCAACACAAGACACCAGTTGCCGGGCCGGAATCCGACTCTATTCAGTTTTCAGATGACCATCGAGATGGCGCTGTTGAATCTCCAAAAGTTATGCGCAGGGTCCCGGAATTACGCAGTGGTACCGCGAGGGCTTGCAAATGTGTGAGGGCGATTCGGAGGAGTATACGCAAGGGGAGTCTCAGGGCCTGGAGGACCCATCGCAGTTTTTGGACGGGTTTGACGACGAGCTCAGATTTGACAACGACAACGAGCCTGAGTCAATACTAATTGGCGACGATAGCGAAGACGATGAAGAGGTAATAGGAGGAAATACAGATAAGAGTCGCGATACGCGTGCTACTATTGGTGCTGATGATCCGGGATACTCGTCACCACTCGAGGGTTCTGGGACTTGCGCAAGCCTGGGGCATACAGCGAGCGGGATAGGGCCATGTACCTGAACCAGTTTGCGCCTAGCGATCGACAGGTAGCCATGCGCGAGCGCAAAAGGACTCGGACAGACAATGCGCACGGCTCCTTCGATGTATTGCAAGACAATGGTTTGCCTCCATTACCCTATCAACAGCCGCGGAGAGCTGTGTCCACCAGGGGCAGAGGCCACGGCGGCAGCGGAACAGGGGAAGGCACTGGTGGCACTTGGGGGCGTGCTTCTGGCAGCCGTGGACGTGCATCCAAACCGGCTCGTGGAGGTCGAAGGACCAAAAATCGACGCTCGAGTGGGATTCGGCCAATGCCAAGCTCGAGGCACAACCAGCAACGGCGGGTTCAACGACGGCCCAGCAGCATACATTGTCTTCTAGATCCAGGGTTGCTGTGCCAGTCGGTTACAACTACTATGCCGGCGAGCCTGCACTTGACTTGTCCGCATCGCTCAACTGGGAAGGTGGCGGCATATCTCGCTTTGGCTGACTCATTCTTTTTTTTACCGAAACAACGGACTAATAATTTCAAGAAAAAGAAATTTTAAAAATGGCAAGACCGCCAGAAACTATTTGCAATGCTTAGAGCGTAAATGCGCCGGTGGCCACGGCCAGATTCCTCTTGGTCATCATGATGTTGTACACCGGCGTACTTTTCGTGCGCCATGTCTTTAAAAGAGACTCGCTCTCGGTGACTCTCTTTGATTCCAAATACCTGCGGCATCGCGCTTTTTGCTCTCAGCTGCAGCAGTGGAAGCACCTGTTCCGTTTGCAGTCGCTGATTTCTTAGCACTATTTTCCTGGCCATCGACGTCCATAGCCCCAGAGTCATCGCCATCAACACCTTGCTGTTGTTGCTGCTGTTGGCGCTCGTCGCGGCGCTGGGTGATGATCGGGTGGTCGCTAGCCGATGCCGACCGTTTGATATCCCAGGCACGAACAGTCTCGTCTGCCGATCCCGAAAGCAAAAGCGTTCCCTCTTGGCTGAACGCCAGAGAATAAACAGGCCCCGTATGCGCAGTCATCGTATCCATGCAGCGGCCAGACCCCAATCCCATACACTCACAGTCTGGTCCTCGCCCGCCGACGCCATAACCCGACCATCCGGCGAAATAGCCACGCAGTCGACTGATCCTGTATGGCCGGTAAACACGCGCACGCAGCTGCCCCGCTGCACGTCCCATAAGCGCACAGATTTGTCACTGGACCCGGTGACGATGTACTTGGAGTTCGGGTGGAAGCGCACGCAGTTGACATCCGACAGGTGGCCTGCAAAGATGCGCAGGGCATAGATATGGTCGCAGCTCCACAGGCGCGCAGTGCGGTCGTGTGACGCCGTGGCAAAGTAAAAACCCTGAGGGGCAAACGACACATCCCACACCGGGTAGTTGTGGCCCTTGTAGCACACGACATTGGTGTAGGTATCGAGGCTCCACAACCGCGCGGTCTTGTCCTCGGAGCACGATATCAGGTACTTTGAGTCAAAGCTCATGTCCAGCCCATAAACGGGGCCAGAGTGGCCAATGAGCTTGCGGTGGTCGTCGGTGGTCTTCTCCCGCACCGACTCAATGTCCTCCTCCGAGTTGATAGATGCTGGGTAGAAGTTGCTTTGGAACCCGCGGAGTGGTTCGCGCTTGAGGCTCCAGAGCTTGACATAGGAGTCGGAGAACCCACCGGCCAGCAGCGAGAGGTCTTCAGAGACCGCCGCACAGTTCATGTTGCCTCCACTATTGTGCAGTGTGTACATGCAAATCGACGGCAGGGCGGCAGGGCCCAGGGCAATGCGCTTGCGAAGTGCCTTGAGGTTGGCCATCTGGTGGTCAACGTCGACGCCACGCGGCGGCGGCATAGGGGTGGCTTCGCGCATAGGCAGGGCATTGGCCGAGTTCTCCTGCTTGACCTTGGCAAAGGTCTCAAGCAGCACAGCAGCCTCCCTGCTGGTGGAGTCCTTGGCGCGGCGGCCGATCTCGTGTTGCAGTGTGCGGTCAACTTCGTCGCGCACAAAGGCGTCCAGTGGGGCGCTGCCTAGGGCGATATCCTGAGAGTTAAACAGGTCCAGCTGGTTCTGCGTATGGCCGGTGATGCCGACATCGGCCTCAGCCTCAGAGGAGATGGGCACAGTGCCGTCAACCGTACGAATATTCAAATGCTGGTTGACCGTGCGCATCAGCAGAGTATGGTGGTGGTCCTGCAAAAACGACAGGAGCAGCTCAAAGCCGACGCGCGTCATCCTGATGCCGTACTTGTTTGCGCGGAACAGCTTCGCCAGCTCGTTCTCCTCCACATGGCTGGCGGTCTTGAGCGTACCCAAAACGCCAATATCCCTGCCGTGGCTAATCGCGTGGTCGCTGCTATACAACTCCATGAACTCCTCGGCCTTCTCCGCCAGCCCGCGCACCAGCAGGTCCATATACGAGTGGACGAATATCGGGTATGATGCGGCGTAAAGCTCGTGCTTGTACACGTCTAATGAGCTGTCAATCCACCGCCGTAGTTCGCGGTAGCTCTGACTGTAGGCGTCTGGGTTACCCTGCTCGGCTTCGTTGTAGAAGAGAATCCAGTTGGGGATGTTCGCGTCCGAGCCCACTTCGTTTGAGGGGAACGCACTGGCAAGGTCACTGAGCGTTGTCTCTAGCCCGTCAATGTTTGCGTTTTCGCGGAGCGCCTTTTCAGCATCCTTGTAGCCCTTGGACTTTAGGTACTGGAGCACAATTTTCTCCACCTGCTTTTGTGATGCGCCGGAACGCCCAGCTGATGAGGATGCTGCCCCGGTGTTGCTGGCATTGTTAGCAGCGGCAGTGTTGCTGCTGCCGCTGCTGCCGTTTGGTGCTGGTGTGGATGTCCCAGGCTTGTTATGGTTGTTGTTGTCAGGAGCGGGAGAATCTTCTGTCCACTCTGTCTTTTTGCCCGACGACATTGTTTATAAATAAATAAATAAAATATGACCCTGTCGTAGTTTATCGTGTTGTGTTTAGTTGGCAAAATATATTTTTGCTTATATTGGCGAATACAATGTAAAGAGAGGTGTATACATATACGATAGATAGATTAACAGCGCGTCTCTAATAATAAAAATTATGCAAAAAATGGCAATTTTCTAATTTATACACACTGCGTTTTGAACCAGGCATCGCGCGGGTGTATGGGAAAATAATCAGCTGTCTTCCGCGATGCGCAAATCAAACCGAGCCAGCAGAAGCGCACGCTTTAAAAAAAGTATTTTTTCGCTAGTCACAACTAAACATTCATTTTGTCTCTTTCCTTCTTTTTCTTTTCTCATCTCGTCAAATTCCTCTTCCTAATACCCTTTTTGTTTTCGTTCGTGTACATCCCCTTTAATTATTTATTAAAATCTCTACTCTCTAATTCACAGAAAAATGGCTCACTCGGTCCTGTTTGACCAAAATCAGTTGTACAATGGCGGAGGAATGAACAATCAGGCGGATGGGTTGGAGTTTTACCAAACACAGTATACGGACCCCAGCGCAGCCTCCGGTGCTGGAGTGCAACAGGGCGGAGTCGACGATTTTTACGCCTCCTCATACGGCACCGCTATGCCCATAGTCGAGAGATCCTGGTTGGCGGCCTTTGGCACCGGAGGCTTCCCCAATGAGCCCGCACTAATGGAAGAACTGGGGATAAATTTTCAGCACATAAAGTCCAAAACGCTTTCCGTTCTTAACCCGTTTAAGCCCTTGGATACAGAGATCTACGATGACTCTGATATGGCCGGACCATTGTTGTTTATCTTGGTTTTGGGTACTTTCCTGCTGCTTAGTGGTAAATCCCAGTTTGGTTATATTTATGGCGTCGGGTTGATGGGTACTCTGGGAATTTGGACTATACTTAATTTGATGTCGCAGGGCGGCATTGCTGTTATGCGTACGGCTAGTATCTTGGGTTACTGCCTGTTGCCTATTGTGTTTTTGGGCAGTGTTGGGTTGGCGGTGGATTTGAAGAGCACGCAGTTGGGCGCTCTTGCTGCTGTGTTGCCTATTGCGTGGTGCACATATTCATCCGCCACTATGTTTGTCACTGTTCTGTCCATGTCCGAGCAGCGGTTATTAGTAGCATATCCTGTCGGTCTGTTCTACACGAGCTTTGCGCTGCTGACTGTATTTTAGATCTTTATTGAAGAATTGGTACTTAATAACAAAATAACAGAACAGAACAGAACAAGTCACTATCGCTCGCTCACTTCGCTCGCCGATGGCGGAAAATAGGCATAGACTAAATTCTGGACATATTTGTCCCAATCGTCTTTTGCCACTGATCGCGTGAACCGAACTGGAATTCCTGATCCCTTGTTGAAGCAGTTGAAGGTGATGCGCATGTTTAGGCTTGCCGCAATACCTCTGTTCCAAAAGCACCACCTGCTTTTGGGTACTGCTTTTTTAGGTGGGCAAGCCGCATCATCCAAAAGAAGTGCAGCGTTAATAGACGTTTATTTGCGTGCGTGATCAGGCAATGAGGAGCAGACAGAAGGAGAGAGGAAGGAAGAAAGGGTTCCCTGCCTGGCTATTAAATTTAGTAGGAGGTAAATATAATATTTGAACTCTAATAGAGGGTGTTTACGAATAGTTAATAGCTGCTTTCAATGGTTCAGCGGCGAATATGACTGCGTGTGTTGCTGTTGCGATTGGTGTTGCTGGCGCGCAAACCGAAAAGAGTCTGTCGGGTGCGCCGATGATGCCAGCTCGGCGAGCGAGGGCAGCTGACGATCGGACGTAAACAACCTAGGAGCATCATTCACCAGCGGCACCGGCGACGACACGCGTCGGCTGCCTCCGCTGCTGCTGCCTCCAGCAATACCGACTCCAGTAGCTGCAGAGCCGGCAGTAGCGGCAGAATGTCTGCTGGTACTTTGTTGGGACAGTGCCAATGGCGGCAGCGGCAATTGTATTGAGGACTGCTGCTGCGGCTGCTGAGAGCGTGCGAAGTAAGTATCAGGACGCGCGGCAAGCTGCGGTGACATGGGTATGTTAATGGACGCGCCCAATGTCCGCTGCCCATTGCCGCCCTCAAAGTGATTCGATCCGCCCTGCTGTTGTAGTTGCTGTTGCTGCTGCTGTTGGTAGTGGTGTTGGTGCAGATGGTGGTAGATGGGCTGGGTCGCAGACTGTTGCAGTGGCAGCGGCGGCGGTGGCGGTAGTGATGGCCTATGAGAGCCACTGTCAATGCTTCCAAAGCTATGGTACGCCGGTGGCATCCCAGAAAACTCGGAAGCCATGGTATGCCTGCGCTGGTACGTATTAGCGTGGTTGTATCCGCTACCGCCAGTTGGCTCGGGCGTGGGATTATGGCCCTTATCTTGGTCAAAGCTGTGATTGTGGTGCTCGTGAGATTGCAGCGCCGGCTCGCAGTGAATAACCCCAGCGTCGGCGCTATTTAGCAGCTGTGTGCCGTTGGCCGAGTACGACACTGGCGGCGCTGACAAGGGCGTGAGTGGCGTCGATTTTTGCAACGTGTTAGTCGAGTCCACCTGAAGACTCACCACGGGCAAGGGTCCAGGCGACAGCGTAGAGTCAGGCTGTAATGATTCCGGCGCCTGATCTTTACTTTGATCCAAAATTTGGATTTGCGCTTGTTGTACTTTACTGCGCGATCGCTTGGGTTTTGTCGGCTTTGGTGGACCCATTGTGCCGGTCACGGCTGTCGGCGCGGGCGACTCTGACGTGGCATTGGGTGCAGCAACAGATGCGCCACCATCACTAGCAGTATCTGTGGCTGTGGTCATGGTCGCCCGCTGCTTGGACGCCGAACTACGCTTGCGCGGTGCCGACGTGGACGCTGTGTCATAGCGCTGGCGCTTGCGGATAACGTCCGTCTTTAGCGCAATAGGACGATGTTTTTGATGCAGGCGATGGAATAATCCACAGGCATTGCAAAGGGGGTTGTTATCCTCGTCGCGGCGCCACAGCGGCGTGTTCATGGTCGCGCAGTTTGAGCACACGGTCCTGGGCGCGTCATCATCGGCGCCGTCCTTGCGCCCGGCGCCCGTGCGCAGCGACTTTGGGCGGTGCGTTTTATGCAAACGGTAGAATAACCCACAGGCATTGCACAGGATAGTGTCATCGGCCGAGCGGCGCCACAGCGGCGTCGAGGTTACGCCGCAGTTGTCGCATATCGGCCCATCGTGACGGCGCCCATTATTGCTGTTTTGGCTGTGATTTTTCCCATGATCAACCTGCATGTGTGCAGCAGTTGGAAATCCCACAGCGCCCATTGGACCAGGATACCCGACGCCGCCCCACATGGCTGGCGCTGCGCCATATTCGCCCATTGCCCCGGGCATACCGAGCGGCGCGCCCGCAGGCAGCGTTGAGAAGCCAAACTGTGACCAGTCGCCGCTGTTGACCGAAAAAATGTCGTCCAGCGTGATCTCGATCTGCGGCGCGTCGAGATCGAATCCACTAGACAGAAAGCTCGACGGCCCGAACGACATAAAATCCGATGCCTGCACCTCCTCGCCCGACTCGTTGGCTGTGCTAGTGCAGGCGTGCGTGTGCGCCTGGGCGTTGGCATGCGTGTGAGTGTGGATGGGCTGTTGCGTATGCATTACCGGTGCCAGCGACGCGAGAGCCGCCGCCGCCACCTCTGCCACGGCAGCCGGATTAGTTGAGTCTGGAGAGGCAAACCCAAGTGGTGATCCAATTCCGCCCATCGAATCCACAGCCTCAGCAGCGCGCGTGCTAGCCCCTTCGGCAGCCGCTTTGGCGACAAGCGCAGTGTTGGGCTTTGCCGATACGCCCTTTTTCTCGCTTCCTGATGCACTGCTGCCGGCAGGGTCCCTGTCGTTTCTGGAATGCGCTGTCACTGGTGCACTTACGCCCTGCGTCGACCCGCCATCCCTTCTGCGCGCGTCGTGCTGCTGCAACTGGCTGCACTGCGCCTGGCCGGAATCAGCACTGGCATCCGCCCTGTCTGCGGTCGACTTTCCTAGCCGCACCTTAATCTGCATGGGCTTGGCCTTGCGCATGGCCTCTGGCCGTCGAATGGTCTTTTCCAGCTGCTGCGTCGTGGCCGGAGACAGCTTGCGGTAGTCCTTGCCCTTGCCGCGCGCCTCCAGTGTCTGGTGCAGGTGCCACAGGCGCCATGACAGGTTCTCTAGCCGCGACCCGTTTTCCAGCGAATCTTTGACCTTTGTGCACACACGCCATAGCGTCGATAGGTCGCCAACGTCCTCTATTTCATTGAACGGCGAGAACAACTTGGTGCCCTTTATCTTCAGCAATATGGGAGCCATTGTCTCTGTCCCCCTTATCTCTATTTGTGCTTGTGTTTGTTCGTATGAACCAAGGGAGTTTGAGAAGAGGATGTATGCGCTTTGTGCTTGAATATCGATACCCGCCTGCTGTTTCGTCCCAAAAAGAGAAGGAGAAAGAAAAGGAGAAGGGAATTATAATACAGGCGCAATTAAACTTTAATTGAAAAGGGAAGAATAAAGCAAACTTGAAATTTAAAATGCAAAATAAATAAATAAAAAAGTGTTCAGCACAAAATAAAGAGAGAAAAAATATCACAGATGGCGTGCGAACAGTTGAAATAAAAAAGCAATGAGAACAGCGTACCAAGAGGTTTTAATACAGTTCTCCGGCGGCAGAATATTGAGACGGCTAGCTGGTGACTGTCGGGAAAATAATATCCCGAGAAAATTTGGAAACTGCAAAGTGTAAAAAGAAAAACTTTAAATACAAAAAAGAAGAAAGTTTAATACTTTTTTATAGTTTTTGCATGCTGAAAAATTAGCAAAGGAAAAAAGGAAGTATGGCCACAAGGTAAAAGAAAATTCAATTTTACTTGCTAGTGGTCAATTTTTACCCCCACCTCCTCTTGTTCTCAAACAATGGATAAACAAACAAAATCCCCTCTCGATATTCTCGCGCTCAAGAATAATGCCTATTTGTACTCTTCCTCTTTATTTCCCCTCCTGCAACCAGCAACCGTTACTTTGGTCAATGTGGCTATCATGTGTATTTATTTTTACGCTTTGCACTCTGGGCAGTAAGTGTTTCTTTTTTATGTCGGAATCCCACTCTTTGCTTTGCTAGTTCCATTACAAAAAGTGTATTTTCCGGCTTTACCCGCCACACAAACATGACTCTACGAAAAAGCAACTTTTTTGGAAGGATTCCAAATATGCACAGAAAATCCTGGTCTGAAAAGGGCAATTTGTCGAGCTGGACTTTCATTTGCACCACAAAGAAACAACTGTTCTCACATGCGTTTTTTATTTGCACGACAGCTGACCCAGTTAAACAGAAGAGCTCGTTTGAGCTGAGTTGAGCTGAGCTGAAATGTATTTGTGAATCTCCCTTCTATCCATATCCCCGACCGACGATATCCCCGCCAATTGGCATGTATGTACATTTTATTCGGCTCTGCCATATGCCTTTGGCATTGACAATTTATAGCCACATGACATTCCCCCCCCATCGAATTGCTGCCTTTTTATGTGGTGTTTGACGAATGAAAAACAATAGCATTATAATGTCTGCTACTTTTAAAAGAAGAAGGCAACAAGGTTGCAGTCAGACCAATCCGTCGTACAGATTCAGGGCTTGCATGATCAGCGGATCCTGATGCGACCCTTCCTCAAAACCAGCCATATCGATCTTGCCATCATTGTTCTTGTCCATCAGATGGAAGATCTTATCGACACGCTTCTCCGGCGTATCCTCGTCCTCGGGCAACTGCACCATGCTCCCAACCATACGGTATATTGCATCGACAATTTTCAGCATCTCATCCTTCGTGATGCACCCGTCGCCGTCAATGTCGTACAGCTCAAACGCCCACTTGAGCTTTTCTTCGGGAGAGCCCCGCGATGTGATCGACAGGGCCTGCAAGAATTCTGTAAAATCTATCGTACCGTTGTGGTTGCGGTCAAACACATCGAATATGTAATCTGCGAATCGCGACGGGTCGCCAAACGGGAAGAACTGTTTGTATATGCCCTTAAAATCTGTCCTGTTTAGCTCTCCAGTCGGACAGTCCTTCATAAAGCCCTTATGCCACTGCTGTATTTCCTTTCGCTCAACTACAATGCATTTCATTTGAAGAGAAACCTGGTTTTAGTGTTAGTGTTTGAGTGTAAAATTGCTTCTTGTGCACAACATAGCAATTTTTTATTTCGACACAGTTGCTTTCTGAATTCAAACAAGAGGGCACACACAAACACACGCACTCATTCGCTCTCTCTCTCTCTACCTACTCTCTATCTCTCTATCTCTTCTTCCCTCTCTCGGATACTTACATTTCGTCGAGCTCTGCAATTCTGTGAGTATCTCGGCTGACAACTTGCTATTTGTCTTTCCCATGCTGATAAATTCGCCCTTTTTCTCTTTGTTTTGCTTGAATGCTGACGATTCGACTATAATCTAGGCGAGGTGGCTGGTTGTTGAATGTAAAAGTATAGAGGTGGTGCGCATGTACAATGAAAAGTGGAAAAATGACGAGAAGGAGAGAGAAGAAAATATAGTGGAGGCTGAATTTGCGGGAAGAAATAAATAATGGTTGGCAGAAAGAAGTCGGTATTTAGAAAAAAGAACACGAAAATCGAAGGTTTGAAGCTCGCGAAGGTTGAAATTGACTTGGCGGAAAGAAACGCATCAAAATGCCTCATCGTTCATCGTCATCAAAATCCTCACTGGTTTTTTTCTGAGCTTGCCAAAATAGAAAAAAAGGCTGTAACAGTAAATAACAATAAACCTTTTTCTTACTCAAAGTGACATGCATGACGTTTTTTCTTAATGGACACTCGATTCTGACCTTCATGTTTTTGCAGCAAAAAAAGAAAAGAAAATTACCCACGCTATTTTGCACACTAAACAAGCTAAACAACAGAAATATTGCGCTCCTTACATATATTTTATTGTTTGTCAAGGCGGCACTGCTCCTGGAATTAAATTAAAAATAAGCAAACGCTGAGCAAGGAGCTGGCTATTCAATACACACTTAAGCATGGGTGGTGGTATCAAGGGGGTCCCAAAAAAGAAGAACGATTGCTTCTGTTTCGACCTTTAAAATTCTAGAATTCTAAAAGTTTGTCCGCCTGACTGCCCATTTTAAGCAAACGATTAGTGTTTTTCCCTACTCTAGAATACGCGGGGGCATACGCAATTATTTCTTTTAAGAAAAAGGACATATTCCACGCATGCAGATCTGTGCAACGCTGTGCAACGTATAGCAGGACGGACACACCTTGGCTGTATTATTTTTGTATTGTCTTTGGGCAAATGACGAATCAATCCGTGGACATTGTTCTGGCTTGTTTGTAAATGGCCCATATGGAGACTAGCCAATTCGCAGCTTTACATTGCATTTGGCAGTTGATCACGTAAAAAAGTATTAATGTATATATATATACATATTGTTTTAATGCATTTGCGTGAGCACATTTGTAATGCCAACTTGTAAGGTATTGTTGTCCCTCCCACGCTAATTATGTGATTAAGATCGCTATTGTACTGATTTCTCGAACCATGTATGCGAGTCTCGTGTGTTTCAGTACTGAAATCGAACTTATTTTTATATTTTTGTACACCATCCTACCTACCTTGTTAGCTTCTATCCTCACCATAAATATTTTAAATAATAAACGGCATTAATGCAAAATCAATATAATTGACTGTATATATTGAAAATACCCCTAGGTCTAATTTTAAGCAAGCAATAATATTAAAAGTTACTAATGCGCCTTTTTTGCGTGCTCACACATTCTCCGCTAAATAATTGCATTCATATACACTATACGAAAATAATGAGTCTACAAATATCCTGCAAATCGATATCCTTCCCCCAAATTGAATAGCAACCTAAAAAGTGTTTAAAACTAGTGGCAATGGACCACTATGGTTGACGACGTTAATCGGTTAATTGCTTTTTTGAAGAGAAGAGGCAGGGGGAAATGGATTCTTGCGCACACGCTTGGGCTTGGGCTTTGGCTTGAGCGTCGCTGTAGACTCGGGTTCAGCCGACTCTGACGATGCCTTTTTGCATGAAAAACAGGGAGGTCGCTCGCCTGTAAGCAGGGAATTAATGATGATGCGAAAGTTCAACGCCGCAGCCATATCGGGATTCCACTTCCGTCTGTCTGATGGCACTTTTTCGCCATCCTTGATCTTGGTTCCGTCGGCCCTGAAGGTATGCAGGCAGTTTTTCATTGTGCACTGGAGCAAGCCATGTCATACAATTTGGCGAGGTTTTTCTACCTCTAGAATTGTATTAACGCCTGTTGCGGCTACCTGCTCCTGCTCCTGCTGCTGTTGCTGTTGTTTATGCTGCTGCTGCGTGGCCAACTCATCGCGTATCCTCTGTCTGATTTTGCGCTCAATTCTGCCCCGCAACCAGCCGCTCAGCCTGAGAATGCCCTTGGGATTATCGGCGGCTGGATATTGATATACTGCTCCCGATTCCGCTCAGCCAGTTCATCCGCAGCTGCTGCTTAATTTTGCGGGAAACTTTGCCCTTAGGCCAGCCCTTTTCCTCTCCTATCCACCGGATGATATTGGCAGACTGTGGGCAATAGCTATCCACTGGTTGCGACTCTGCTGTACACTATCAGTAATAGATGCGGCATCAGCAGCAGTTTTAGTTACAACAGAAACGGCGGTGGCTGCTGCTGCGACAGACACAGCGGCTGAAGTGGTGCAGCTGCGAGAAAATAGATAACGCTGCTGCTGCAACGGAATTGGATGCTGCTGCTGCTGCAATTGCGACATGGTACTTGTGCTTGGGATTCTTCAGAAGAAGACCATGGGTTTTGTGAAATTTCTCCATCCTGCTCTCACATACCGGGCAAAACATTGAAGTACAATACTGCCAATCAAGTAAACAGTGAATCGCTGGCCTATAAGCATTTACCGCAGCCCCTTGCCACGAATTGGCTCATGATGCGGGTCATGTCTGAGTCCAATTACCAAGAATAAGGACTGCATCTGATCCAAATTTTGCGAGTTTGATGTCGGCGCGCTTTCTGTTAACAAAGAAAAGATAGCGGAGCTTGCGGTGCAGGGGGTCATTTGAGCTGCTGCCGTCATACTTTCGACTCTTGTCGAGGGTCTGCGTGTTGTGGTAATGTTCTCCTAAAACAAATTATCACTTTATGGCGTCAAGGAGGTACTCAACATATAACTTGCAATTAAGTGTACTGGAGCCAGAGTGGTTAAGCCGCGCTCGGTATCCCCAACAGACGTATACCAATCATTTGTTTCCGTCTTGGCGAGCTTCGCGGGATCAAGCTTGAAGATATTTTTTGCATTTTCGCGAATCCGTCGGAACACGCGTTCACGACGCTTATTAGCCTCGGAATTTTTGGTGTGGCGGAAAGTCTTCCTCTCACCCTTTTTGTAATTGCTTTTATATCCGAGACAATATAACATATCCCTACGACTGGTATTACAAAGAATTGATTTACCAACAATATCATGAATAATATTTTTGACAAATTATCAATGTATTCTCAAGAAGCCTTCTTACTGCGGGGTACACTATTGTTGTTGCTGTTACTGTGAGTGTCGCCAGAGCCTTTCCTAGACCGTGAAATCCTCTCGGCCTTGATCCCTTCCTCTGTGTGTTTGTGGGTGAGTCAAGTACTACAATTATTGCTACGCCATCCGTACGAATGATCCCACCAAAATTGTGCGGTCTTTTGACCTCTTGAGTATCAGGCGAGAATGGCCAACAAGATATATCACAAAATAGGGACTAAATTTCCTCTAGCGACTTGACTAAAAGCTCACTCATAGGCGGAATCTTGGGGATCCCAATATCCAAGCAAATACTAGCCTTGTGCAGCGTTCTGAGTCGGCTTGTGACAGACAGAGTACACCGTGCAAGGATGGTCTTGTCAATTGTAGTAAACCCCGGCACAATAGACGTCCTCATCAGGAAAAGGGAAATTTCTTCATTGTCTTGCTGAGATTTAAACCCCGGAAAATCTCAACAAAAGCCCCAATGTGGTTCACTGTATTGGCCACAGAGTCATACTGGAGCCCCCTATCGCCAAAACTGTGATCCTCAGGGTAGGTGCCAAAACTCTTCTCAATTAGGTGCTCCATTCTGTCGCGAAGCACAGGATCTGAAATTTGTTTGGTATTGATCTGCTTCCCGGCTCTGCTGGAATTATGATATCCTTGCTAATGCACTGTTGTATTTGTTTTTTCAGTATGGCCATCCTTACTCTTAATAACTCGTACCGCTGTTTAGTCCTTTTCTTTACATTAAGTGCTATGTCAACCATATTTTTTAACTGCCTGTTAAAGCGCTGAGATATATGAGATTTATACGCCGCCAGAATTGTCGGTCCCTCATAATTAGCAATATAGGCCGCACCAATGAGATGTGGGCACTCAAACTTGATTTCCTTGAAAACGTGTGCCTGTGCTTGCTGACGAGTTTGGTGTTTGCGTTTTTCAGGTTGTTGCTGCATGGTTTGTTTTTATCTCCGAGGCAAAGGACGATGAAACATTCCCTAAAGAAGCCTTGATTTAAATAGTCGACAATATTAAATTCCTCGTTATTCAGTTCTTGTAAAAATATATACTGTGTGAGCTCGTATGTGGCTGTTGTAACATGGTGAATAATGACATGTTTGCGCAGGAGTGTCAAAGAATAGGGACAGTACATTTTGTAGAGGCTGAGGAGTGCATCTATGCTAATGGGCATAAAAAATATATAAATATAAAAATAAAAAGTTGAATGATAGGACTATTTTCCAAAGAGGATATAAATATATTTTTCTAAAATAAAATTAACTAAAGAAGTCTCATCGACTTTATCGTGTTCGCAAGGGATTATTATATCCAACGCATCCAAAACAATAACAAGCACCGGCACTGGCATTGGCATTGGCGCTAGCACCGGTACTGGTTTAAGTGCCTAAAAGGCCCAAAGGCCAGCGCCCTGATTCCCTGCTATTTCCAGCCCGCAATGGTGCTTAAGAATAGGCGTGGGTACAGGGCGCGCTGAATACCAGCCATTTTATAGAGATTTATATTATTTTCTAATTAATAAAACCCCAAAGCCCTCAATCTAAAATATTTGAACCCCGAAATTTTGTATGGAATCGCTCTACAGAATCGCTCTATGGAAAATTCATTTTTTTAATTCAGGGATTGATGAGAAACCTCATGTTTTAGGCGCTAAAATCAAATTATTTATCCATTTCCTCCAAAAAAGTTTTTATTTTGGGCAGGCAAAAAATAAAGTGAAGTACTTCACCCCACATTTTCATCGTGTATTGCACGCACTGCCCCTCCCCCGCACACACCACATAATTAATATACACACGCCCAGAGTAATATTGCAACGAATTTTTTATACAATTTAATCAATGCATTTCCCCATTTTTCACTTTGACCATGCTTACCCCCAGATTGCAAAAAGAATGCTCATCAATATTATTTTCTACTTTAAAAAAAACAGTGACAATATATTCTGTACTTTGAAAAAGTCTTACACGCAAATATGCGCACACGAAATTGCTGAATGTTTAAACATTCTTGCGGAGAACAAACCTAGAGACAATAAATATATTTTTCCATGTCCCACGCTAATCAGCTTATATTTTCGTGTGCGTGTATCTGAACAAAAAATACGTAAAGCAAATATATATCCGCCTGCCCGGCAACGCCGCTTGATTCGAAAAATGGTCGATGTAATAAGAATGCAATATACCAGGTTTCTCTTGATTATCTAGCGCTTTGGCAATATAGTAAATACATATATTATTCCGGATATCTGGCGCTTATATCTTGCCTTTCATCTCGCAAAAATTTTATATTATTCAAACTTTAAATTAATATTGCCAATATTTTCGGATTATATTTGTCACCACTAATTAAATTTCATTTGACAACATAATTGGTCTGCGCACATACCATGACTACGGGTCCCTTTTTGATGGGAGACAACCTCCAGCTCCTCTGCTCAGCCGCAGCTGCCGATGCAGCTGGTGGAGCATAGTACGTCAATCAACATATTTTAACTTTGCATTTTTGCTTTCACCTTGCTGCAATGTCAATTCATATCAAATAGAAACAAACTGGTTACTGAGTTCACAACCCATTGCTTTTGCTGTAATGTAGCTATCCAGAAAAATCCCACATTCTGACTATTCGGCAGCAGCCAGAGAGATCACGCGTTGGCAGTGTCAGCGAAAAGAGTAATTATGAAATACGCACAATTAAAATACTCAGTGCAGCAAGGCTATAAAATAAACAAACCGTGCAACTTTTGAACTAATATGAATTTCTTACACTGTTCGTACTACTATAGTGGACCGGCGGCCAATTGATCCGCCCCCAATTATCCAGCTCATTGTGCAGGATCCGCTAAACCCAAACAGCAACTCATACACAACAAATCCTACATTTTTCATGCAAGTAGTGTTAATGGACGAGGCTGCCAAAGCACCACTGCGCTATCTCAAAGGCCACCGCGCAGCAGCCATGGCAGGATCCATGGTCTCTCCTCTGCACACACTGCGCGACGCCAGCTTGATGCAAGGCGCCTACTTTGTCTTCAGCGATCTCAGCGTGCGCATGGAGGGCTCTTTCCGCCTCCGCTTTGACCTCTTTGAGATGGAAGGTGAAATGGTGCACCGACGGCATCAATTATCTCTGACATATTTTCAGTCTACTCGCCCAAGCGGTTCCCCGGAATGATGGAGTCAACTCGCTTGTCAAAGCTGTTTGCCGAGCAGGGCTTGAGGATTCGAATTCGCACCGAGGCTGGCACAAAGAAAAGGGGAAAGAACTGGCCTGCGAGCTCGAATTTGCAAGCAAATGCACCAATGTCGATGTGGACGTAGATACCGATACGTTACCACCAGCAAAGCGGGCCAAACTGTCACCCCTGACATCGGTAACTTGCGGGATGCTCGGCGGAGCGTCAGGACCCGGTAATCCCAACTTGTTGATATTCCAGCACAACCAGTTTCCAGCAGACTACCACAGAAACAAGGAGAACATGCCCATGAGTGAGAACCAGCAGTGCCTTCCGCAAAAGGGAGTATTTGAAGCAAACAACGTGTGCCACACTCGCAGGCAAAGCAATAGAGCACCCCACCAGAGCAACTTATCGCGCATAAAGTTTGCCGCCCGTTGGTCAGCCGAGACGATCACTTGCTGGACCTTAGCGACATTGCTGCTGTGGCTTTGCTGGACAGTCTGAGTGGAGGTAGCAACAGAGGCCAAAAACTAGGGCACCACCAGTAGTGACCGATGCCGTAATATCTAAAGCTCTTGCTGCAGAGAGCTGTGCAAGCCAGGCGTTCTCTCCCGGATTCGCACCAACACTATCCTCATCCTCACCAACGACAATGGGTGGCATTTTTTCAAGCATCGCCGAAACGTCTCAGCAGCCAATATCGAGCATTGGGTTTGACTCTGGCATGGCCCCGGCACCGTTTTCCATGGGTGCTCCGTTCTCCAGCTACCGCCTCACCAGCCTGCGCACTCCGGATTCAATATACGGAAATAGCGTGTTCCTGGGAGCCGCACCCAGACTCCACCCGACACTGCGCTCGGGCGGAGGCGTCAATAATAGTATTATCAGTGGAAATGACTCTGGCATATTCAGCTATAATTCTAGGTCGGACAACAGTGCCGCCGAGCCAGCAGCCTCACAGATATTACAGTTGCCACAGCGGCTGTACAACTCACAGACACGCAATTCCAACATTGGAACCGAAAGCTATGGCCACAGTCACAGCAGGACAGGCATGGGAATTGCATATGCTCAACAAGAACATGACTACCATGCTGCTGATAGCCGCGGAGGCGAGGGCTGGAGCGGCGAGACTCTGGCTTCCATTAATATGAATTTGCCCCATGCTGGCCATCCGCCGCCCAGTCGCACTGACCTTGCGGGAGCAATTGTATAGATATATTTTTCAATTGCAGCACCGCTGTATATTCATATATAATATATTATTTCCAGAAATATGGTTAGCCGCCGCTCACTGGCGGTATTACTGCCACTTCATCGCCGTCGCGCAGCAGAATGTCCTGCGTATTCTCAGCCTCGCAATACTCTTGATTCAATGACAACAGCGCAGTTTTCAAGACAGCTTCCATATTTGGGTGCCGCTGCCTAATTATATTTACGGCCGATTGAAGCGTCGCGGGCGCCTGCTGCTCAAGCTCAATTGTCTCGCTACTCAAGCCGTGGGCTGCGTCGCGCGCCGAGGCAAAATAAAGCAACTTTATCGAGATCATGCGAGCGTCCTCTGTTTGCAGTGATAAAATTTAGATATAGCAGGTAAAATAAATCGAAAGAAGCGAGAAAAAAGAAAGCAAGGCAAGGCAAAGAAATGTGGCACCCTGAGTGATCCACTTTGCGCAGATGACGAAACAAGAAGAGGACAGAGAGCTGCGGCTCAGAGAATGCAACAAAAAACGCGATATTAGTTTAACCCACCGACTCGCCTGTTTATGGACTAAATACGAAAGGAGTTTTGTGCTTCAAAACAAAAACCATTTTTTGCTTTTCATTTATTTTTATTTGCTAATTTTTCACATTCTTTAATCATTTACTTCAGGCGCAAAAATCACCCGCAGCATTGACAACAGAATTTCACAAACACACAATTCGAATTATGGCCGCGCCATCGGTACAGGAGCAAACAAAAAGACGGATAGAAAGTGCAATGTCCTCATTCGGACCAAAGAGGGCACGGCGAACCACAGCACGCACACCATTGGCTCCGTCAGGCTCGACAAACAGGGCCACAGCAGCTTATACAGGTAGTCTCGTCAAATTCCGGCCGTGGAGCCACGAAGACCTGCTGGCACGTATATCCACATACAAAATCCACACATGGCTGGTCCAGTCACAACGGCTGAGCCCTGTCAGATGCGCGCGCAGCGGGTGGGTAAACATAGACTGCAGCACGTTAAAGTGCACGGCGTGCTCGGCCATTTTGATTGCAGAGGTTCCAGAGGACTTGACAGACAGTGAGGAGACGCAGTGGCTTGAGCGGCTCGGCCAACAGCTGCAAAGCTCACATAACGCCAGTTGTCCATGGAAGGGCCACGAGTGCGCCGCCAGTGTTTATAATATGCCACTTGCAACCTCACGAGAAACTGTAGACGAGGTGTGCCAGCAGGCGGCAGACATGCTGGTATTTAGCGCGCAGCTACCGAGCACCAAGCACCCGCTCAGCGCGTTTCAGACAAACTTGATCCGCGATCTCAAGTCAACGGCCTTGGGCTATTTGAAAATACCAGCCCCAACGCAGAATCAGTTCCGGAAGGCAATCAGGTCATCTCATCATTGATTTTGGCGCTTTTTGGATGGCGAGTAGATTTGGCGATGCCGCGACCCGCGATAAAATGCGAACTGTGTTTTCGCTCGGCTGGCCTGTGGCTGTTTGACAGCAACTCCAGCAGCAAAAGCGGCGACCAAGGTATTTCCGGGGCGAGCAATACTGGCGAATCAGATCTTCGAGTGTTTGACGTGGTCAGCGAGCACCGGTCGTTCTGCTACTGGGCCCACGGGCCCAGCCTGGATTTTGAGGAAGCTGATGACGCCAGCGAATCATGCACATCATCGCCAACTCATCAAACAGCAGTCGAATCGATGGCGGCACCTCAACATACAGCCACTGATGCAATTCCTGGGTGGCAGAAAATAGTAGCGTCACTTTTGCGCGCAAAGGCGATGGGCTTTGTCGGTGGGGGTGGCAGCGGAAAAGACAAGGGCAAGAGAAAATACGGCGGAGCCAGTGGCAGCGGCAGCTCGGATGAAGATACCAGCAGTGACTCAAACGACTCTAGCAACAGCGTCGATGGCGGGGATTCTCGCGAAGCAGTTTTAAGTGACCACTCAGACATTCTAAAGCAGCTCAAGGCATTCAACATTTCGGCAATATCGTCGGCGGCAAAGGCATTTGGAATACCGTTTAGCACGGGTCTGCTTGCCAGGGCGGCCAAAAGACTGGCAGCAGCGCATCAACTGGAAGACACACATGCGACTATAGCAACCGACCCGGTATTGGGGACAGCTGGCAGTGTGGACGACGGCTCGTCGTCAATATTGCTTGCGGAGCACATTGGAGATCACCCTGGCTGGAATGCCGATGGCTTTGTGGGCCTGGCACACATGGGCATGGATGCCGCTGAGTTAGAGGAGGATGCGGGCGCTCATGCAGATGAATACGACTTTGGATCCGCGGCGTATAGCACTGATATCGACGACATTCCTGCCCCCATCGACACAAGCGGGCTCGAGGCTCTGTTGGGCGACAGTTCGCTTGCTGCAGCTCTTGAGGACCCCTCGCGAGCGAATGCGATTCTAGAGTACATCAAGGGTCTTATCCGGGCCAACAACGAAGCAACGACGTGAGCTCTGGCGACAGACCGCTTTATCACGTGCCAAAGCCCAATGTGCCTCGTGTGTATTGGATTTGAATGATAATTAACTTTTCCTTTGTTTTTTTCAGGCAGAGTAACACCAGTCTCAGTTATTTTCTATTAAAACTGCTTATTGATTCTTGTTGATATTCCCCCCGATACACTGCAGTTGTGATTTGGCCATACTCAACTGAATGGACAAACAGAGCAACATCCGCCAAAGAGACCGCGGCAGGTCTACGCCTGACAGGGCTGACGATGTTAAGGATGCGACCAGCAGAGCCAGACGAGTGGCTATTTTGGTACTTGGCGACATCGGGAGGTCGCCTCGCATGCAGTATCACGCGCTGTCGCTAGCGCGAGCGGGCCATCTTGTCGACTTTATTGGATACGATGGTGCGACACCGATGGAAGATATTCTGACAGCGCCAAACATCACACTGCGTCATATACGGGTGCTTCCGCAACCCACATCCGCGCCGCGCGCTGTATTCTACGTTTACGCGCCTCTAAAGGTTGTGTACCAGCTATGGACGTTGTTTTGGATGCTCTTGTTTATCATCTCTCGGCCGGATGTCATTCTAGTGCAGGTAAGGAATTATTATAAAAAACCACACTGGAAAAACTTTTCAATGTTGTGGCGAGCTGCATTGCTAACTAAACCAATGTTATATTCTGTCAAATATTTATAGAATCCACCAGCAATTCCGACGCTGCTGGTTGCCCGTGTTTGTGCATTTTGACCGGTGCGAGGCTGATCATCGACTGGCACAATACGGGTACACCATCCTGGGCATGAAGCTTGGCGACTCTCACCCAGTAGTGGCGCTGGCAAAGCGGTAAGACGATACATGTGGTTTTGCAAAAAAAGTGCATCGGTAATCGTTGCAGATACTGATCGCAATGACATTGATGTCCCTTTTTAAAAATGGGGTACAGTTCAAACAAGCTCAATAACATCAATTTGTGCATCTTTTTAGATTTGAGCAATTCTTCGGCAATTCAGCGTACGCGCACTTGTGCGTTACAAACGCCATGGCGTCCGACCTGCGAGACAAATGGGCAATTAAGTATGTAAAATGCGGTACTGTTTGCTTTGAATACAATGAGGGCGCACAAGCAAATGAACGAATGAATTAATGCATGCGTGCTGATTTGAGCCAACGGCTTTTTGTATTCGCTAATGTCCGCCCATATTTAAATACACTCTGTTATCACCTCAATTTTGGTTTTCAAAATTTTAGAGGCAAGCTTGTGGTGCTCCATGACAAGGCGCCGAAGCACTTTAAACATCTCGAAGCAGCAGAAATCCACACAGTAAGCATACACAATTTATTTACATTATATTCAATTGCAATGTCAAGGATTTGGCTAATATATGCTGTGCGCTCCCCCATTTTTCATGTTGCTGCAATTTTTTCTCGAGTCTGCTTATTTATAGCTGTGGACGAGGCTGCTGAACGACCCGCAGTTTGCAGGGCTTGGCAGCCTGATTTCCAGCGGCAGTGGCAGCGAGGACCTCAAGGTACAGTCAGCACAAGTCTCTCTTTTGACGCGCAAGGACAGCAAAGGCATTGCGAAAATGCGCAAGAACAGGCCGATGCTACTTGTCAGCAGCACTAGCTGGACAGCTGACGAGGACTTTTCCATTATCCTTGAAGCGCTGACGATCTATGAGCATGCAGCAACATCAAGTATGCAAAGCGTCCGTGCATTGCCATCGCTGGTGGTTCTCATTACGGGAAAGGGCCAGTTGCGCGAATTCTATGAGCGCAAAATCTCCCAAATGCAGCTCAGCAAATCCACATTGTCACAGCGTGGCTGTCGGCCGAGGACTACCCGCTGCTGCTTGGCTCTGCCGACCTGGGTGTATCTCTGCACACCTCGTCGTCTGGGCTCGATCTGCCGATGAAGGTTGTGGATATGTTGGGGTGCGGCACGCCTGTGTGGCCTACCGCTTTTCATGCATCAACGAGCTCGTCACCGAGCGCAACGGCATGGTGTTTGGCAATGCGTCGGAGCTTGCGCTGCAGATCCAGGATCTTGCGCGGCAGCTCGATGATAAGAGCGGATCGTACCAGCAGTTGCTTGGCGGAGCTGCCGAGTTCCGCCGGATTGACTGGGTGGCGAACTACACACAGGCCCTCGAACTGTTCTAAATCCGTTGTTTTTTAGATTAACATTGCATATGTCATTTTTTAAACTCAACAATACAAGCTTCAGCCTTGTATTCCCCATTTTTCTTCCGAGTTTCCAATAACATAGTAGTGCCTTTTTTGGGCTTGACTTTTCATTTCCTCTTTTTTTTCCTTGACTCATTTTTAGTTGTAAAAAAACGATATTTCGCATTACATTCACATTTTCTTCAATTCTTTCCACATACTATGAGCGACAACAACGACCGCCCGCTATATTCGAGGCGCACCGCTCAGCACAGCGGAAGTAAAACTGGTTCTGCATTCGCAGCGATATTTCGCAATGTGCTGCGAGGCACATTTCCGCAGGACAGTAATTATAGCAACAACAACAGCAGCAGCAGCAATATTAGCAGCAGCAAGGGCCTGGCAAAGCCAGAGCAGTTTCCAAGCATTGACACCGCAGCGACTGGCCCCGCCACCGACCCTGTCGCACAGTCAGCGGTGGCGGAGCACCCGCGCGACAACAGTGCCGATGAAACAGGAGGCATTGATATTGGCCAGACGTCATTGGCAACAGCAGAGCTGCAGACCGCCGCCGAGGGTCCACATAGCATGGAGCTTGCTGAGGGCTTCACAGGAGACGATTCGTTACAATCGGCCGATTCGCAAGCCAGGCTCGGCCCATTCGATGCAGATCTGCTAGTTCTCGAGTGCGCTGGGCTGGCCGACCAGGACGCGCCGATGGATCACAGACTTTCGGCGCTGCAGAAGCTGGTTTTTGATATCAAAGGCAAGCAATTGGTCAACGTCAACGCTATGTGGCACGCAATCGGAGACATCGCCCGGCTCGTCTTCCAAAACTACGGGGATAATGATGATGGGGCATGCCAGCTAGACTCGGATCTGCGGTCAACCGCGCGTATGCTGATCCTGAGTATTCTAGTTGAGCTGGCCGAGAGCAAGCTACAGGATAGCAGCTTCGGATTCGATGCTTTTGGGACGCGCAACGAGATGCTTGACATTGTCAGCCAGGCGGATGGCTGGGCCGAGATTATGCTGGCAGTACGGTGCGCGTCGTGGGCCTCGGACAACGGACAGCACCTCGCTGAAGACTCAATGACCTGGTTCGAGCGGGCCGAGAGCTGGGTGCGGCTGGCAGCCGATCAGTGTTACCCGGAAGATCCGCTTTTGGAGACTGCGCAGGCCCCGTCCGCGGATGCAGCGGTAGCGTTGACCGCCTCGCTGGAATTCCTCTCGCACATTATCTGCGCTGAGTACCCCGTTTTGGACCCCTTGCCGATATCAAAAATAACATCTTCTTTGTGCGAGAAGGCTATGCAGACCAAGCTGCTTAGAGAGGGCGCCATTGAAAAGGTGATGTGGATCTGGGGCGAGGCCACGCACCTTCATGGCCTGCTGCATCTTCTCAAGACTGTGATCACCTACGGCGCGCTGTCAGAGGGAGTGCTGATGCAGGGAATTATGTTGTTGTGCACCACAGTCAGCATCCCCATGTGCAAGCAGCTGTGTTGCGACATTGTGTACACGCTATTCACGTCCTGTTACATGCGCGACACGCTGCTGTCGATGAGCCACATCACAAATACAAAGGACACGTCCCTCAACAACACGCCCATATACGGCATGCCCGCGATGACGCTGTACCAGCTGGCAGTTAACGGCATAGTTTTCTTCATCACACAGGTGATGGATACGGGGCCGACATGCTTTCAGTTCAGCCTGCGCACGGGCAACTGTCTACCTGTACTGGGCAAGGCGGCTGATTGCATGCATCCCGAGGTGCTGCGACTGGTGTTCCCCTACCTGTGCAGGGTGGCTAACGACGACCGCATTGATTCGATTCTCGTCGACGACTGGGGCATGGTGCTCAGCATCATGACGAGCACCATTGAGTGCCGCACGACTGACAAGTACAAAGACGAGCTGGACGGCGACTTGGATGGCGGCGAGAGGGCTGCGACTCTGGCCCAGCTTTATGATTGCGCGCTAGAGTCGATTGTGGGCGTGTATCGCCGATACAGCCATTTCCCGCCGGCCTCGTCGTCGATTTGCTGCTGAGGCTGGATCACGTGCTTTCCGACGACCTCGCCCAGGAGCTGCTGCACTTAGTCGAGGTCGCCGGTTTCCTGAGCACCGAAGAGGCCCGGCGGCTGGAGACTCTTGAGAGCCTGATGCACCTATTTTACTTTGACCGGTCGCGCTCGATTGCCCTGCGCCAGAATATGGTCCAAGTGTGTGTTAAGGTCTTCTCCGGGCGCACCAACGCGGACCTTGCCGGATTTTTGCGCATGCCCTTTATCACGTCGCTGCTTGAGCAGCTGCATCTCGAGGAGGATGGCAAGGTTGTCGAGAGCGTGCTCGAAATGGTGGAGATTGCCATGAACAAGGCCGGCGACTCGCAGCTATTCCATGCGATACTAGGATTTGCAGCGCAGGCGGCAATCGAGCCACAGTACACCCGGAAGATCCAACAGCAGCGCCAGAACGTGGGCAGCGCGACGCATCACGGTGAGGCATCTCCGGGGCAGTACAACTTTCAGCATTCTGCACCGAGCTCACCGCCTCCAGTAGCGGCACCAGTACTGGCACCTGCACTGTCACCAACTGACAGCCACGTGTCCGACAAAAGCGAGGCCAGTTACTCCAGCTTTGAGCGCATTTCGATCACTGTGCACTGCCTGCTGGCCGTTCTCGAATGGCGCATTACAAACACCGCCGTCAGCAACGGCATGGACTACGACCGCTCAGTGCCCGACACCATTGAGCTCACCGAGCGGCTACTGGACATGCTCGAGTCCATCCACACGTTCCCGTCCGTGCAGCGCGACATACTGTCGGTGTTTACGCGGCTGCATGCTGACTCAATGTTGAAGCTGTACATCCTGCCCTCGTGCAACGACAGCGTCATGGATCAGCGCGTGAGCTTGCGCGAAAACAGGCGTCTGCAGCTTGACGCTGTAACCAAGGAAGGAGGGAAGGCCAATCCTGCTAACCCTGAGTGCAGCAACATCAGCTCAGCCGCTTCCAGCACCCAGATTATACAGTTCCCGATCCAGCGCTACGTCAGCATTCTAACTCATCTGTTTCAGACAAATACCGATATCGAGACGTACAAAACCCTCTGCAGTGGCCTGCGGGTGCAGCTTGGCAATGCGTATCTGTTCAAGGACTGCAGGGACCAGATACGCACGCTGGTCAACTATCTGATCAGCTTTCTCCGTATGTCAACGTACGGTCAGGATGGGCGCACGCGGCTGTCGGCCACGGAAAAGGACCGCATGTCGACACTCACTTACAGCCTTTTGATCGGCGTCATGCATTACAAGGAGCTTATCCAGCGCAAGCAGCAGGACTCGCTGATTCTCGCCTTCTCCGAAGGGCTGATCCTGACCTCGACATCGTATGCTACGTCGCAGATCTGCCTGCACGCGCTTGGCGTCGGCATGCTGGAGATGCCGGCGCGATGATGCGCACCCTGCTCGGAATTTTGGAGCAACTCACTCGGATCTACTCGTCTCCTCAGATCAGTGGGCACCTGCTGGAGTTCGTATCGTCTATCTCGCGCGAGCACCAGCTATACGCCAACTTCCACACCAAGGACTACACGACTCTGTTTGCTGTGGCCATCAACTATATTCAGTTCCACAATAACCAGCGCCGGCGCGAGTCGTCTGTGTCAGCCAGTAACGACGCTTCGGGAGCGGCTCTGCTGCTGCGCCTGCAAAGACCTCTGTTCAAAACGTGGCGCTGAGCCAGTACGTTTTCATCATGGCGTACCAGATCATTGATGTCTTTTTTCTGTCACTCCCGACGAGGCTCAAGTCGGAGGTCGTTGACCACATTGTCATGGGCCTGCTGCGGGCAAACTATAGTCGCACCAGTTTGGACGAAGCGAACGCGGTTTGCTTGGACATGATCCTGAAAAACTACAACCGGTCGAGCGATGAGATTCTGAAACTGGCGGACGCCGTCTTTGCAGAGGACCTCGGGTCGGTAGTCGAGCGTAGCTGGCTGCAGCACAACGCCATTGTGACTATTCGCGCCCAAAGACGGGGCTTGCTGGCACAGATAATTGTGCGCAGTGCGAGCGGAACGACCTTGCGCATGGTCGATCTGCCGGCCGAGGTCCGCAAAAAGTATGCCGAGCGGATCGAGCTGCCGCCAATGTCCCCGCCGATCAGCCCGACCACCGATTCGCCAAGTTCAAGCTTGGGCCCCGCTGTAGCGCGGGCGCAGTCACGCGGGCGCAGCATCAGCCGAAGCCGCCGGCTGCACTCATTGGCAATGCCCGGCGCGCCCAGCGTGCCATCCGAGGCTAACACGCTGCCGCAGGACTCGATAAAGAAGCTGCTTCTCGGAGAGCTGGTGACGAACAACGCGGCCATGAGTCGCGCCGCGCACCTACCCATCAGCTTTGGACCGGCGCCGTGCTTGGCACAAGAGTTCATCACTGCGTACCCGGGCCTGCAGAACATCGACCCACCAGAGCTGCTGCCCTCGGGCGCCGAGGCCATCGCGCGCTCGATCCGCGTCTTTGACACTATGAACACCGTTGACACTTACAAGGTCAGTGTTGTTTACGTCGGGCCCGGCCAGACCACTGAGCGCGAGATCCTGCTTAACCAACAGGGCTCGCCGGTGTACTGGAACTTTTTGCGCGGGTTGGGGACAATCACACGCCTAAGCGGCATGAAGGGGTTCTCCGCGAGCCTGGATACTAGCGGCAACGACGAAGACGGCCGCTACACCATTCGTTGGCGCGACCTGGTCTCGCAGCTAGTCTTCCATGTTGGCACGCTGATGCCGGCGCGCGAGGACAAGCACGAGCAGATCATCCGCAAGAAGGCGCACATGGCCAACGACTACGTGCAGATTGTGTTCAATGAGTCAGGCAGGGACTATGAATTTGACACGATCCCGAGCCAGTTCAATTACGTGCAGATCATCGTCACGCCGGTCGACGGCACTATTTCCACCCGCGAGGAGGAGATAGCCTGGCCGCACGGCGAAACTCAAGATGCGGCGAGCCCTGAGAACGACAAAACCATGTATGTGCAACTCTACAAGGTCATGACCCAGGTCAACCCAAGCGTGCCCTTTTACGGGCCGGCCATCGAACCGAAGCTGCTGACGCTGACTGCGCTGCCCGCGTTTGTCAGGAGCATAGCGATCCACGCAGCGATCCTTTCGAATGTCTTTTCCAGCTGCAAAAAGGCCGACTCCAGCGCTGCCGAGTTATCTCGCCCTGGCGCGCGCGGCTGCGGACCATCCATCGCCTTCGCCAGAACGCGCAGCGCGAGGCTGCCAAGTCTCCTCCAACGCCGGGGGCCGATGTCTGTGGCGACTCGATGAGTGACTTTGGAGACATTGTCAGCAACCCGGTGCAGCCACCACAGCCAGCCAGGCACTGGGCTTCCTTGTCAAGGATCTGAACATGTTCATTGGTCGCGCTTGATTTGATTCCACGCCTCCAAACAATCATATAGTGACAGTATAAGCGCTGGAAATAGAGTTTTGGAGCGCAAAACCATATTTATTTGGTCAAACGCTCGTATAGTTTGGCTGGTATTAATGAATAAACTGAAAGAAAATTAAAATGATGAAAAATGGAAGAATCATGCGCTGGAGTGGACATCATGTCATTTATCCTTTTGGGATCTATAGATACGACAAAATTGCTATCATTTTAAGCAGGAAGCTTACTTTATTTTCTTCTGCTAGTCATTTTAGGCTATGCTTCTAGTGTGTTACAAGTTAGTTCAGAAAATGTGGCCATAAAAGAAGTACACTCAAGAATAGTTTGAAAATAGTTGTTCGATAATCGAACTAGTGTTGCTAAGTTTAAATATGAATATGCAAAGCACTCGACTAGTGTTGGAAATAGTTGGCTTACAATTTTAGTACTGAATTTTTGTTTCGCAGCTCGCTCAAAAAACACAGTATTCACAGACACGATTGATTTATGATCCCAAAAATCATAAAACGAGGTCCGACATTTCACAGAATTTGGAGCTGGCGCTCAAGGACAAGCCCAAGGCCGCTATTGAGTTCAAAATCAAGTTCAGGTGTTAGAACCGTGACATTGCACCCGGTTGTAATTTTATTATGATATTCCTATATCGTTGCAAATTTGGTGAGTACCACCCAGCTTTCAAACGCTGTGATAGACCGCCAATTGATCCGAATGCTGTCCCAAGACAAACGCTGCTGCCAAGCGCAACAAGACTGGGTATTTTTATTATTTCTTCACATCAAGGCAGCTATTACTTACTGCCTGACGGCTTGGTCCCCGCTCGTTTTACCCAGTGACTACGAAATGAATGGAGGACCTTGTCCAAAACACCATCATTATTTTCTAGATTTGAAAAAATAAAAATTTTAGTTGGTTTACCACTGGACATGGTAAAAAAAGCGTGGCTATTTATCATCGGCTGCACCAGGCATCGTGTCTCAGAAGTTTCCTGTTTCTTTTGAACCTTCGGTGAGCCGGAGCGTCAGCCTTCGTGTCTTGAAAAACGGAACGCTCGGGCTGACATTTTCGGGCGAGCCTGGGCTCCACATTTTGTACTTTTGGCGCAGCTGCCGCGGATACCGAATATTCGTCGGCCAGAACCGAATATCTGACCCAAAGACACCTGCCACAGAACCCGCGTCGGTCGATTCATCCACCTCAATGAATTTGGAGTCTAAGAGCATGCCGCGCATTTTGCCATCCTCTTCGACATCCTTGACGACCATCTCGGTGTCATTTCTTGAAATATCTTGTCGTCTGCGCCAAAGAGCCTCCTCTATGGTTTCCCTAGTAAGTAGAGTTTCCATGAAAACTGGCCGACTCTGACCCAGCCTGTGCGCGCGCTTGATTGCTTGCCGCTCCCGCGCAGCCTGCCAGATGGGGCTGACAAACCAGACCCGCGACGCGGCCGAAAGATCAATCCCGTATGCTGCCAAATAGACGTCGACAAGGATAACGTTATAAAATGTGCTAGTTGAAAACGTCGTGATATTGTGCCGACGCTGGCTCTGGCTCATTGCCTGGTTGGCGTAGACCAAATGAGGTATCCGTGCCACATCCAAAGCTTCGTGTAGCAGCGCCACCTCGTTCTGGGTATTTGCAAATATAATGCACTTTTCATCTTGGTAAAAAAGACGGATTTGATCGAGAATGTATGCAATTTTGTTGCTCGTGCAGCCAGACACCTTGGCCGACTGAAGCTCCTCAAACTCGCTCGGATCAATATTGGTCGAGAGCGGCGGCAAGCCATCGCTTGCTGTGGCCATCATGTCCTTGGCCGCTGCCACCATTTGCAAAAGCTGAGATGCAGTCGCCAGTCGTGCAGATTCAGATCTTTGGCATTCAGCAGTATCAGTCGGCGCGTTAAACGAATGTTCGCTAATTTTGTGCGGCAGACCGCTGATCCAGTATCCTACTGATTCGGCATGCGCCACATAAGCCCACTCGGAATCACTAGATGCCCGCTGCAGTTCGGCAATGCTTCTTCGCAGCAGATCAGCATCCTCAACTGAGTACGGCTTCTCGCCTCGCTCCCAAAGCTCGAGTGCCTGCTTGCCGTTCATCACACCGTCGGCAATATGCTTTGGGCTGATCGAGAACCAAAAACAGGCATGGAACAGATTTTCGACGATCTGGCGCAAATGTCGCTTGTTCTCTGGGTGAAAAAAGTAATCCCTCCCGACCCGCTCAGTCAAAACAGCGTTGATGTTGAAGAACGCTACAACAGTGTTGTATGTAAGCGCCTGGTGTCGCGTGGGAGACAACTGTACGATCTTCTCGTGGAGCGGCGGGAGCTGCACGTCGCTTGTGATTGCGTCGGGACGGTTGCGGACCATTATGCTTTGCATCAGCGCTTGCAGGCGATCGGAGGCACCGGGCTTGTTTCGTTTGTAAGGAAGCACCATGAGACTGGTCCATGCGGAGGTCGAGTGGGCAAAAGGGCCGACCCGCAGGAATTTGGATACGAGGGTCCCGAGCTGCAAAAAGTCTGAGGAGCTTTCTCGCGGATCCACTAAGTGTCTGCGCGGCATCTTGCGCGCCCTGGCATTTGTGCTGTTGTTTGGCCGCGAGTCTGGACATTCGGAACTAGTCTCAAACCCAAATTCCAAGTTTGCGTCTGTGTCTGTGTTTGTGTCTGCATTTGCATCTGCATTTGTATCTGCTGCTGCCGCCAATGTTGGTGGTAGTGGTAATGGCGGCCGTGTTGACTGCTTGTCAACAGTGAGAGCCGATGTTGCGTGAACCAAATTGTGTGTCGGAGTTCCAGTGCAAACCCAGCGCCGCTCGGCAATTAAGTATGCGGCCATGAGCGACCGCGTGGTATTACGACTCGACATAATGTGGCCTTCGTCCACAATTATACGCTTCCAATGCACGCGCAGCAAGGGCGACCTATTCAAAGCACTATATGTACGTCGGTTACACGTGCACTGAGATAGTCCGCGCGAATAGCACCGGCACATGTTCCACAGCTCTGCCAGGTTTGAATCAATCGGAATGTACTCTTTAGACAGTCTGCTGACCGAAACAAGGACCAAGTCGTATTTGATCAGTGTCTGTGGCTCAGGAATTGTATTCACGCTGTCGTCCAGTTTGAGGATCTCCAAGCCGCCGTGGTCCTCGACATGTTTGTATTTTTCGCGCACCCATTGATCGACCAAATTGTCTGGTACCACGACTATGGTTGAGCTGCTCAGGTATACTTTGAAAAACACAGACTGCATGTTGTCAGTAGGCGCTCCTCGCCGCGTGCGGGATTCAGCAATTGGATTGACCCGGTAGTATGGTGGATACGGCTCCAACTGCTGCCACAAGTCATCTGGGATCATGCCGTCGTCATGCATTACGCGGAGAGACTCGGCACAGCTCAATAGCGCAGTTCTGATAGCCAAATACTTTAATGACGGCACACCCTTGTGTGGAAGACTAACGCCTGAATTATTATCACCAGTTTTCTTGCCAGCGTCGGTTTCCAGTCTGGAAGTGACAGTGCCGACACATGGCAATGTTTCGCCTTCGATAGGAGGCCGGGCCATTTGACGCTTCGTCAGTAGTATTAGTGCTAGACACTCGCATGTCTTTCCAGTTCCCATGTCTTCGCAGATGATTCCGCCGCGCGCATCGCTGTACCATGCAACGTCCTGCGCCGGAACAGGTGTGTTTGGCGATTGCTGGTGCGTGTAGATCCAGCGGTTTGTCGCTTGGTCGAATCCGTGGGCAAACTGAAAGAATGGCAGAAGTGGGTGACAGAAGCGCTTGGTCTCTATGTTTTCATTTTCAGTTAGCGGAGCATAATTTGGATCAATAATGAAATCGGGAAGCAGCTCGCGCCTCAGCATCTTGAACACCGAGTTCTACATGATTGTTTCGCATTTACAAAATAAATTATTAAATTGAAAATCAATGTTTTCAGAATTAGCATATAAATGTGTCAATATCAAATTCGGATAGATTGGTATCATCAATTGCATGCACGCAAATCACATTATTTGCTTCAAAGAATATTTAAAAAAGAACTGAGGACTACTTACCTTTTGATATCGATACAGCGGTGTGCGCATCCCGTCGTATATGGATGCACCGATACATGCCTGGAATATGTCGGCGTACTCGCTGCTTAGACAAACATCAATATACAGCGACGGATCTGGCGAATCGAGAAACTGGAATATATCGAGCAGGCTGGGAAGATCCTAAATCGAGCAAACCAAAAGGGCGTCCTTAAAAAATATGAATTGACATGATAATGTTGAGTACATTTAAGACACAATATTTTGATTTAAGCCGTGCTTCTCCAATTTTGTTTGCTGAAACTTACATTGTCAGCAGCAACATCTGGCTCAATGCTTTGTGTTTGTTGGGAATGTTGCTTAGCGGCGCTTTTGCGCTTCGGCTGCCGCACAGGGCTCAGAGGATTTTTGGTGGCTGGTGCCTGCATGCCAACGACAGGTTTTGCGAATATGGCAAATAGTAATATATTGAAAAGATAAGCATGCCAACACTCTCACGTCCACATGATGGAAGCAGAGATACATGCATGAGTGCCCCCCAAGCGGAAGGTGGCTGGTGGCTTTTGGGATTTGACTGTGCAAAGCTCGGCGTGTTTGTGCCCAATTGTGTGTGTAGATAGTGCTTTGGCGTGTAGGTCGAATCTGACTAAACAATATTTATAATACAAAAAATCAATAATTGACTACAAAAAGCGTTGAAAACACAGCATGAGTCAACGAGCCTGGACACTGTGCAAGCAACCAAAAAAAGTTGATTTGCCCATTTGAAATGATTGACAGCCAGGCCATGCGCAAAATTAATATCCAAGGATGCCTGATTTCCAGCGTGGAGTTTTCTGCTCGACGATCACGCTTTATCTTGCTCGCTGGGAATAATACTTATTTGGCGTTCCAAAGGCGCCGCCGGATCTCTGACCATTCGTTGTCATCCCAGTATTGTGTCGCCGGCGCTGTCTGCATTTCAGAGCTTGTATTATTGTGAAGGCCAGTTGGAGATTGTAGCGCCGTGGATGATCCCGTCGAGGACGCAGTGGATAGGGCCGTGGCCGGATGGAGCTTGTATAGAACGAGCTGCGCTCCTGCTGTGTCTGCTGCTGCTGCTGCTGCTGAAACAGGCTCGGGTGCGGCAAGACATCGTAGATGTTGTACGATGACATTGTAATAACGATGTGTGTGTGTTTGTGCGAAATGTAACGCAAATGTAAAAATCAAGAGCAGGCAAAGCTGGGAGAAAAAAGAATAAACAGCCGGATGAATGGAGCATGAATGTAGATATCAGCAGCAGAACACCGTCCTTTATATAAAAGCTGAGCTTTGGCTCAAGCGGAAAAATATCAGGTTAAAATGAAAAATAGAATGTGTGCGCGTGCGGCATTGCCAATAATCTACTGGAAGACAACAGATAAAATTCAAAATTTTCTACACAGGGCAATACGTTTGGAGCGCGTACAATGGCGTGTAGCAACCAAATAAACAATTGTAAAAAAGAACACAGGACTCGTGCCCTCCGGCGTTGCGCTGCACTGTGTTGGTAAGGTAAGGTAAGGTATGTAAATAATGTATTGTTCAGGCTGGCGTGACAGGCGCAGGAATTGGCAGCAACGGGAGGGGGGGGTGCTAACAACAATCGAAGTGCAGTCAGAGCGACAGCTGAATGTATGTATGAATGGCTGGGAAAGCTAGAGTATCAATGTCTCGGCTGAAAATTGAAATGGAAAATAGACACAACAGCTGAATAAAATAAAGCGAAGAGACAGAAAAAGACAATTGTTGAAAAAGGTTCTAGAGAATTAAAGCAATGCAGAATATCAAGTCCAATCTCTCGCTAAATATATACTTCTTGTATAAAGGTGGGCCTGAAAGTTACGACCGAGCCTTTGAATGTGTCCCATCCAACAGCGTAGCACATGGGCGCAGCTTTTTGTTTCCTTGGTTGGGAGTGTGGATGTTGAGCTTCTCACATGGCTGATCCCTTCCACACTTGCCAAATTTGTACAATAGAGCAAGAGGAAGGGGGGCACACAATTTCTTGCCCGAATTAAACCAGGGATCGCTTCATAAGCCTTGTACTGCGCGCCATGGCCGAGACGAGTGGTGCCGAGCCATTTGTTTCCATATGCTGTTGAAAAAAACTACAGAAACTTTTCTTGTAAAAGAATCCGCTCAATGGCACCAGACTATTTCTGCTCCCATGTTGATTGCCATTTTGGCAAAGTAAAATATGTATTTAGATTGAGTACAATGTAAACACTTTAAGGTACAACATTTGTTCGAAAAAAGATCACTTTGATTCCCATGTTCCTCCGAGTCCATCATTGGACCTGGGGGAAGAGGGCGTTCTCAGAGGAATTCAGCCAAGATGGTCAGGCATTTTGTTGTGCCAGCCGGTTACTTCGACCGACCCTTATTGCGCCTGTGACATTGGAGCAAATTGCAGGCTGACGAGAGAGCAGTGCGACACTAAAATGTAACAATAGCAGTGCTTACCTTGATCCAATCAACACTATTTAATTACTATCACTGGTAGCAGCATAAGGGTTTTCGTTGGGATCAGCAAAAGCCCAGACTCAATTCTATTTTTTTTTCTCAATGCAACCTCAGTTGCCTCTCCTACAAGTGTTAAAGTTTAGGGCTATTTTGTGATCCAATGGAAAAACAGAGCGCGCAAAGAAAATAAAAAATTTGGTGCAGAATAAAAGGAGCAAAGTTTTGAGAAAAAAATTGCTACTTTTCTTTATTATTGCTTTCCCCTTTTTTTGATCTCTTATCAACACGCATTATTGATTAAAAAGCACTAAATAAGTTTAACCATGGCGCGCGATTGTAACTGCTCGTTGCATGTCAGTCGAATTAGGAAGGGAGTAAAGTAATTATCAGAATGAGCCAATTCACGTGCGGGTCGTAAATTGGGCGTGTTTTTTCTTCCGTTTTCGCGTGGCTATTCCGGTTAACATTTGGCAGTTTATGGACTAACGAGCACGACTCTTGGCTGATTTGAAATTTCAATTGTTATTTTTAGGTCCGGGGATCTGAAGGCTGCTTTCGAAAAGTACGGAAAAATTAAGGACGTTTACATCCCCTTGGACTTTTACACCAAGGAGTCCCGCGGGTTTGGATATGTGGAGTAAGTTCATCCGATTGGTTGGAGACGGCGTTATGACCCATCTGTTTTACTTTGGCACAGAAAAAAACAATCGCGCATTTTTTATCCACACGAGCACGTGTTGCAGAGCAAAAAATAAGCCTGATTTTAGTTGTCAATGGTATTTAAGCGCTGTTTCATGGCCTTTTTTGGTTGATTCGCACTAAATGACATCCCGATTATTGTTGTCTTTGCTAATAGGTATTATGACCGCGAAGACGCTGAGGCTGCGTACGATCGGCGCAGAGACATCATGGTTCTCAGAAAGCCGGTAACTATCGAGTTTGCGCGCGGAAACCGCAAGTCGTCGCGCGAGATGCGCGTCACTGAAACGTAAGTACATACAGTCCAATGCGTTGTCTTGCTATTTTGTATACTTTGTTTGTATTGCTTGGGTTTTGGATCTGTATTTGTGCATGTGAGTCATGCCTGCGCGTGCTGCTTGTAATTGCTGTTTCAAACCCTTGTGAAGTCACAGTCACGAAGGGGTTGAGAGTAGTAGCTTGGTATATTAAAGGGGCGCAAGCTGTGGCACGCGTGTGCGTGGACTTTGCTGCTTGAACTTGTGTTTTATTTGCTAACATGTGTATTGCCACCCCAGGCAGCACTCTGCTGTGTTGACCGAGATGCCAAGGTTTTGCAAGTCAAGATCGCAAGACCAAGAGTTTCAACGCCTTCCGCTTGCTGAGCGCACGCATGTTTACATGTTCACATCATCATAAACGCAAGATCCCCAGTTCATCCACACACACACAATCCATTTCCAGCAAGGGCCAACACGACCAATTGCACTCAACAAACATATTGCCAAGAGCATACTATGTATGCCACAAGATCACATTCACCCATCAAGTACCCACCATTTGCACTAAAGACAAGTCAAGCTAAGCCACTTCACCACTCTCTACATGAATCATTCTCCCAACCCTCCTTCATCTGCACACGTGCCCAATGATTTACGCAAGTCTAGTGACGGGCGGGACAGCAACCGCTCGCGCAGCCCGCGTCGCAGCAGAGGCAGCCGCCAACGCAAAAGGTAAGGTTAAGACACTACTATTATTACTACTATTTTGTAACATATCACAATTGTATTTATATATATCCACATGTATTTTTTCATAACGACAAGAAAGATACGTGCGACATTCTGGCCAACTGGGATGGTGTGTCATTCATCTATGCCCCGCGCAGCATACGTTTTGAAGAGGGATGCAACATATTTTGATGCGCAGGCGCTGGTTTGTTCCACTGGTTGATCGCCAGCCTATGCTGTTGTGGTTTTATAAATATTGGCAGTGAAATGCAAGTTTGCTAACGCTTTTTCCGGATTGACTTTTTTTTCAAATGTGATGTTTGGTGGCGGCACACTTGTCGTGTGCAACTTTTTGTACTGTGTAGCAGCTCTAGCCGCAGCCGCAGCCGCAGCCACAGTCGCAGCTCTAGCCGTAGCCGCAGCCGTAGCCGTAGTCGCAGCAGGAGCAGCAGCCGCAGCCGTAGCCGCAGTCGCAGCCGCTCGCCATCCAGCCGGCGGTACCAGTCTCGGCGCCATGACTCGCGGTCGCCCAGCGTGTCTCGCTCGAAGACCCATGGACGTGACACACGCTCCAGAAGACGCCGCTACTCCCGCAGCGTCAGCAGCGATGCCAGCAGTCGCAGCCGTAGCCGTAGCCGCAGTCACAGCAGGGGTCGCGGCGGGCGTCGTGGGCGTGCCACCGTCGTAGCCCCAGCTACAGCAGGAGCCGCAGCAGCAGCCGGAGCCGGAGCCATAGCCGTACCAGAGGCAGGGGCAGCAGGGGTAAGGGCCGCGACAGCGGCAAGAGCAAGGGTGGTGCGAAGGGAAAGGGGCCGATAGGCGTCACAGCCGCAGCCGCAGCCGCAGCTATAGCAAGAGCGTGAGCAGGAGCCCCTCGCGGTCGCGGTCGCGGTCGCGATCGCCGGCAAAGGCTGCCGAGGCACGGTCTCGCTCAGGAACGCGTACACCTAGCCCGCGCCGGACACCCAACAACTACGACAGCCCCGGCGGCATCGTTGGTGGCGGCGAGGCTGGGAAGGAGTATGCGGCAGGGTCGGAGCCGAAGACGGCGCCATGGATGTGGTCGAGGTGGATAGCGTGGCATCAGAGGCTGATGACGCGGAGACGCACGCTCTTTATAGCGAGGACAATATGCACGCGTAGTCTGTGGCTTGTAATACCGGGCCTCTCTGTCTTATTTAGATTTTTCAAGTTCCCCCCCCCCCCCACCCAATTCATCATATTGACTTTGCTTTGGACAGAGAAATGAGAATGAATGGCGCTGGATTTGTTGTGAAATGGCCCACACCAAGGGAGGTGAAGGATGGCATGCTATTTTTTATTGCAGCATCCAGAACTCCACAACCAGCCATTCCAAGCTCTCGGGAACATACTTTTTTTCTCCCTTCTTCGTTCGTGTCTCTTTTAGTTTCATTTTTAAATTATCGGCGGCGGTGGCATTAAAAATGATACTGTCTCTTCAGCCGCGCATGGGCATCTATAATAACAGCAGCTCTTTTTCAAGCCAAAATAAAAGACGAAGTTGATGCAGAGCCATTATAAAAACAATGCACCTCTAGAAGTGCAATATACATCCACTGTCATATTTTTTGGGATCTGAAACCATGCCATAAAAGCAGAGGACAGGCCAGAATGCACTGTAGCCACGTGGGTAAACACAGGACGCAGTCTCCAAACCCTTGTATTTGGCAGCAGCAGGAATTGGACTAGCACCCAGCAAAACTGAAAAGGGGGGATAATTTATTTTTTAAAAAAGAAAGGTCATCCTGAGAAAGAGGATACACGAAAAAAGGAAAAAAATCGAAACAGCGAAATCGCTTTCCTCGAATTTTTTCTTTTTCCAAAAAAAATCAAATAATAGCAGAAGCGGGGGGAGAGGACACTCGAAACTTTTTTTTTTTTTTTTTTTTTTTAAAAATCCAATTTTCATTTTTTTCTCTTCCAAAACCCAGGTGTTGCTCTGTTCGCGACACAATATCGATTGGTCATTGGTCAGCCACCGGCCATTTCATTTCATTTCATTTTTCACTTGGTTGCTAATAGAATCGCGTGAGAGAAGAGAAAATAGGCAAAGGCAGCAAAAAAATGAAAGAAAAAATCGAATAGAAAAGGGAAAATGCAACTCGATTTTATATTTTTATTTTTGGTCACGCAGGATGAAAAAATGGAAAAAAAGACGCGTGTATGATGGTGCAAAAAAAATGCATTGCTCAGCTGTCGCCGATAATTTGGAAGTGAGCGTGTAAAGTGGAAGAGAGAAAAGTAGAAATGGAGAATAAGGCTGTGCTGTATCCAGAGCACATTCGCTGTTCTTCAAAGCCGAGCCCGAGCCCGAACCCGAGCCCGAGCCAGAGCCAGAGCCAGAGCCAGAGCCAGAGCCAGAGCCAGAGCCAGAGCCAGAGCCAGGGCTGGAACCGTCAGCCCTCACTATCCAACGCCTGACGCGTCAGAAAACAGCCTCGTAATTGCGCAAAATAAACCATGGCTCGATTTATTTTTGGTATTTCATTTGCAGGCGGTTTTTTTCTTTGGCGCGCTCAGCACAGAAAAGAAAAACCCGCTTGGAAATAAAAATAATGCGGGAAATTGAAAAAAAAGAAGAGCAGGCAGTTTTTTTGTTGTTTTTTCCTCCCCACGTCCAACCCTGCGCAGACTGAAGAAAAAAAGCGAGAAAGAAAAAACGCAATTGTTGCTGGCATCCACTTTGCCCTCCCTGAATTCTGGCTTTTTTGTTTGAATTTTTTTCCTCCTCCATCGTCTCGTCCCCCCTCCTCTTTTTTTCCTCTTCCCATTCTCCAAGTATTTAACAGCCCGAAGCTGCTCCTGTCGTCTGTTTTTTGAAACTTTCTCTTTTCCTTCTTCAACTCCTTTTTTTATTTAACTTTTCACTTTTGTACTTTTTGTGATTATCTCTAAACATCGGTTTTATAATTTGTAAGTGCCAGCTCATCAACTATTTTATTCCCTATTTTTCTATTTTTCATTTTCATTTTCATTTTCATTTTTTATGCCCTCTCTGGCAGGCTGTGTTTCTCGCCCTCACTCGACCACTCCCCACTTTTCCTATTTCCATGCGTTATATTTCTTGTATTTCACGTGTGGATATTGCCACCGCGTCTCAACTCTTGCCTTCCATGCAATCATAACCCGGCTTGCATTATTTCTCATTATTTCTGCCGCCCGGAGTTATTTATGCTGGATAACCCTTGTGTTACTGGAGGTGTGAGTGGCGGCTCTATGTGTCTCATGCCTTTTTGATGTCGATTGTTGCTCGAGTCTGGACGTGTAAGGACACTCGCAGCTCCCTCACAAGTTCCTTGTGCTTTTTGCCAGGATGAGAAGGTGCTGGGGCCGTGATCGAGCACAGGCGGGGCGTCTATTTTGGCCCAGCCCAGCAGCCACAGAAGCGCTTTCTTGGTACTAGTCCCTTGATTCCGGTGTTGGACTTAGCGGCTTTTTTGCGCATCTATCTCAGCCTACAGTTGCAGGGCCGACAATCACGGAGTGAGTTGCAGGGGCGGGAGGACAGGATACTGCGTCAGAGCTTGTCGCAATAATATACGCGCAAATCGGGGCCCCTGACCCCCCCCCTGCGCAAGCGCCGTAAGGCCCGATATGCCGCAACTTGTTTGTTGCTGAGGCACGCTTGCACAAGTCCTGCACAGCCTGCACAGTCTAACCGGGCTTTTTTCACTCTTTGCTGCAAACCACTTCACCACTTCTGTCTACTTTTCTTTCGCTGGTGACGCGTAGAAAGACACGCGAGAAAAAAACTAGTACATATGCACTCGCAGCATTTTGCACTTTGTATTTTGTATTTTTGAGTGCGTGGCGCGCGCGCGTCTCACCCATGTCCCAAGTGTTCAAGCTCTCACATTATAAAATTTTTTTCATCGCGATTTTTTTCTGTTGCCGCTTTATCCAAGATTGCTTTTTTTATTGTGGCCCTTGCCTTTTCTTTATCCTCCTCCCTCCTCCATCCGACATTGGCAATTTGTTTGTTTTTGCTTTGTCCTGTTCGCGCAACACCCATCTAATTATCGTGTTTATCTTTGGAACATTTTTCTTCTTCAAACTCTTCTTTTTTCTTGCATCGTAGACTGATTACAGCCAAAACCCCCACACACATCCACAATGTCCACTGAAATCGCCAATATCGATACCACCGCCACCGAGGCTGTCGTTGCCCTCGTTGTTACCCCCACCGCGCCCAAGAAGGCCGCTGCCCCCAAGAAGGCCACCAAGACCAAGGAGACCACGGAGGACTCCGAGAATGTCGAGGTCCGGAAATCGATACGTAAGCGCTCTGCCCCTAAGGAGGAGTACATCCCCGATGTCTTGACCCGCCCTGCCCCCAAGAAGAGAAGAGTGTCCAAGGCTGCCAAGCCTGAGGCTAAGAAGGCTGACGAGGCTAAGAAGGCTGCCCCGGCCAAGAAGGCCGCTGCTCCCAAGAAGGCCGCTGCCGCCCCCGCCAAGAAGGCTGCTGCTCCCAAGAAGGCCGCTGCCACCAAGAAGGCCACCGCTGTCCCTGCCAAGAAGGCCGCTGCCGCCCCCGCTAAGAAGGCTGCTGCCTCCAAGGAGAAGGCCCCCGCCAAGAAGGCGGCCGCTGCCCCTGCTAAGAAGACCGCCGAGAAGGCCGCTGCCCCCGCCAAGAAGGTTGCTGCTCCCAAGGAGAAGGCCGCCGCTGCCCCCGCTAAGAAGGCCGCCGCCGCCGCCCCCAAGGAGAAGACCGCTGCTTCCAAGAAGGCTGCTGCCCCCGCTAAGAAGGCCGTCAAGGCCTAAGTTGGCAGGACAAACGGAGCGTATGAGTGGTGGTGGTGATGGTGGTGGAGGCGTGAGAGGGTGCAGGGTATGGGCGTGTATATGAAGCTGCACTTTCTCGTGCAACAAAAAAAAGGGGGCTGGCCACTTTTCTTTCATGCCCTTGTGCCTTGCCGTGTGCTATACTTATGCTGTGCCTGCTTTTATTTTTTATTTTTATTTTAGGCACGGCTTTTATTTTTGCTTTTAGCAGCAAGTGTTGAAAAAGAAATGTGGAATTTTTTCTGCCCCCTTGCTATTTCCTTTACCTGCGCTTCCTTCCTCCTTCTTTCTCTTTTTCTGCTCTCCCTGTTCTTCCTCACTTTTCTCTTTGCCAGAAGCTAGCTCTTTTTTTCAAATGAGCAACAAAAAAAGCGTGCTTCTACTTAGTCTTGTGCATCAATTCAAACCAGTGCTTTTTACTTCATTCGTTATTTTTTCCTCTTAAATATTTTTTCTCAATTCCTACTTCAATATCAAATCGACACTTAAAAACACTTTTATTATTATTCCCATTCCATTGGCTTGCATATATTTATATATTTACTTATATGTTGAAAAAGGAAAGTGTATTTAATTATTAATATATTTAATTCGATATTGGAATGGCCTAGATGGCGGCTAGAACAGATAAAGTAAAAAAAGTTTATAAAAAATAATAAACCCATTCTTTTCTGCGGATAAAAAAAACACTGGCGGTCTTTGCAGAATCCGCACGATATATGTAGCCAAAAAGTAAAAGTAAAAATAAATTGATGAACAGATGACATTGACCTTTTTCAACTTTTATTTTATTTTATTTTTTATTATATCTTTTTAGTTTTCTACTACCTGATCGCTGTTTAGCCTCTACAAAATGGCAGTAAGTGCAAATGTTAGATGGTGATTGTATATGGGCAGCAAAAAAAAGCACACATGCACTCGCGTGTAGCTTACAAGGGAGGGGAGTGCAGTAAAAATCTAACAAGAAGCGCGTCTATTTCGACTTTTTTCTTATCTGTGACGTTTAGGAAGAGAAATAATATTACGGTCAATTAATACTTGATAGTAAAATAAATGAACTTGGGTGTTACTTTTTTTATACCATATTGAATAAGTTGTAGGGTTTGAGTTTATTTACAACGACATGGGTTGGCAGTTTGCTGGTATTCACCGCGTGGGTATTTGTACTGATCCTGGGGCGCAACCGCATGTTCCGAGATACGATTGTTGAGCGCGCGCACGTTTACTGCATGGAGACGCTTCCTGGGTCGATTGATCGGTGGGTGCGTGCAGGGATCAGTGACGCTGTGGTTGATAGGGCCGAGCGTGTGTGGTTGGCGCTGTTTGGGCGCAGAAACCCAGTGTTCCAGATCATCGCTGTTGTGCTGTATTTCCTGGGATTGGCCGTGTTTATGACACAGGCGGCACCAATGGTTCCTAACCGGTACATGGGCGCCTGGCACTGGTAAGTAGTCTACGCGAAGTAATGTGAAACAAAATTTGGGGATACCTTGTCGTGAACATGATCAAAAAAAAATGTTGGCTGTTGGTGCTCAAACTTTTATTTTCTACTGTATTTTCCGGGTAGGATTCCGATTATCGCAACATTGGCGGTCAACATGGGCACATACGCGGCAGCATGTGTCGCTGACCCGGGTGTAGTCCACGCAGGCAACGTGGCACAGGCATGTCAGGTATTCCAGCCCGACGGGCTCCTATACCCGGATACACCAACCTGCCGCACCTGCCTCCTGGCCAAACCGGCGCGCTCCAAACACTGTGCGAGCTGCAACCAGTGCATTCAAATGATGGATCATCACTGCATGTGGCTCAACAACTGCATCGGGCTCAACAATGCACGCTGGTTCCTCGGTTTCCTCACCTCTTTTTCCCTCGTCTGTATCTACGGCTCGTACATTTTCGCCACGGTTATCCTGGAGCTACGCCATACGCGCGGCCTGGTAGGTGCTATGGTCCGCAGTGAGGAGACCGGGTTGATTGTGCCGATCAGCTTTCGCACGTCCATTCTTTATTTGCTTGACCAGAACGTTATGCTCGCGGTATTGCTCGTGCTCCTGGTCATATTGACTCCGGCGATTGTGTTGTTCACTGCGTACCAAGTGCGTATTGTGTCCCTAGGGTACACGAGTAATGAGGAGCATAAGTGGCTGAATGTCGCGGATGCAGTCAAGGACGGTGTCGTGTTTGTGGTGGAGAGTGAGAGTGGCAGCGAGGCTGTGGAGGTTATTGAGGTAGAGGAGCAGCTGAAGGATCCAAGACCACGCCAGATGGTTAAGGATCTGGCTGAGATCAATAACCGGTACCATCGCGGCGCTTGGACTAACTTGATGTTCGTCCTGTTTCCGCCGTCTGCAGAAGCCTGCGCCCGGACCAAATCAACGAAAACAGCACATGTGGAGTAAACCGGTCTCACCTTTTATTTTATTTTTTATCAATGGGATGAGGTTTACCTTGTTTTTTTGGGTGTATCGCGCCGCAGTATTGAAAAAAAAGATTAGCGGATTTTTTTTACAGTGATCTTTTTGGTTGTAATGCCTGCAGAGGTATAAAAAAAAGATGAGTAAATCCACAAAATAGATACTTTTTTTTGCCCCATTCTTATTTTCTGTTGGCTGGCGTTGAACCAGGAAGAAAAAAAAAACTAAAAAAAATTTACATTAATTTTTTTTTGCAACGTCAGGCAAAACGAACAAAGCTGAAAATGTATTATTTCCCCTCTTTCTTCACTTTTAACAAAAATTTTTAACAACAAAATATATACAACAAACACAACCCTCTTTCTTTTTTTCTTTAACTCACTTTTTGCTTAACACGCACTGACTAGTTATCTATACACCAGCTACATAAACAACTTTTTTCTACAACAGCTTTTTATTTTATTTTGCTTATTTACTTAAATTCAAGTCCTTTCCGTACGTTTTAAATGTCAAAGACAAAGTTTCCGCACCCTTCAGCACCAACAATAGCAGCACACAGCCAGACCAAAAGGACCACATCAACCAGCCCCACAGCCATTAGGAAACCCACACAGCCATTACACCAGCAGCAGCAGCGGCGGCGGCACCCGGGCACTGGAGGCGGAAAGTGCCTCACTGCATTGGCAGCCTATGGCGGCAGCGGCGGCCATTCTGATAGCGAGGAGCTTAGCGACTACAATATTGACGGTGGCATGGCCGAATCGGGCGCGTTTGCAGTAAAGCCGCGCGGCAGTAAGGGCGGTCGGCGAGGTCCCGGACAGCACGAGATGCCGCTGTCCATTGAGGATGTGGTTATTGACGATAACGAGGACGAGTTTGATTTTCCTCGCGGCGGTATTGATGGCCCGCGCCCGGTGTACTGCGTCTGCCGCAGGGGCGTCATATCCGGCGAACGCATGCTTGAGTGCACCGATTGCAAAGGTAACAACAATTGATATGATTTTTTTATATTGTTTTTAATCCTGTGGCCTGGCCTAAATTTTTCTCTTTTTCTCAGCCATGCCTTGGTCTGGATAACGTATACAGTTTATATTTCTGATCTGAATCGCACTGGCTAAAAAAAATTGTACTTATTATTTTTAAATTTAGAGTTATTCCATGGCTCGTGCGTGGGCGTGCCGCTGCATTCAATCCGCGAAACGGCACCCCCGTATGTCTGCGAATCATGCCTCCAGCAGCATCCACGGAGAAAGCGCACTCCGGGGACCATTCTGGGCGTGGGAACCAAAATCGTGCCGAAAACAGCACCGAAGAAGAGCAAGAAGAAGCGCACCACAACATCCACGTTCGACGCCAACAACGATGATGACGAAAATGACATTATTTATTTGCGTGCAGCGGTTTCGCCACAAAAGCCGCTGCTGTCGTCAGCGATTGTCGATCCGACAGGGCCCGATGAGGCTGGAAAGGCTGCCGCCGGCGCTGATGATGGTTCTAATGTCACAGCGACCTTTCCACTTCCTGCTGCTAACCAAGCTGGTAAGTTTTGTTGGTGTTATTTGCTAATGATTTTTGTTTTGTCCTCTTTGTTAATATTGCTGCCGTTGTTGTTTTTTATTTCCTTCCGCCTTTACAACAATTTTTTCATCCCCCGCTTTCATACGTGTGGGTATTTGTTTTACCTCATGAAATACTTTTTTCCCTCACCCCCCCCCCCCACGCCAAACTTGAAAGTTCGGCGCTACATATATACTCTCGTTTAATACAAATGGCGCTGGCCGCCTGGCTGATTGTACCACATCCCCCCCACCTCACCGGACAGTGTCTGCAGTGGGGTCGAGTTTTCGATTTATTTTGCGAAAAGGAGCAGGAGGTAGTGGGGGTGAAGGCCTAACTTTCAACTTTGTGTATTTTATGCATTTTCTGTGGCCGGTTTCATCATTCTGTCTCAGGTTACTGGTTGCTTCTGACTTCTAGCTTAATTTCCATTTTTATTTGTCACCAATGCCTCTGTGTATTTGTCTGGGTCTTATTCTATCATAACTTTCCATCGTTATTAATAATTTGTTCTGTTTTTCCATTTTTTTCCATTTCACTATTTTTCTTTTTTTCTTCTTTTTCTTCTTTAAAAAAATAGCACTGGCCGCATTCATGAGCGCAGCTTCTGGGGATATGCTGGATGACGATGACATTTGTCCCATTTGTGAAGACGAATGCACATGTGGAAACTCCCGCTCGTCCAACTTTGGTGCCGCCAGCACCTTTGCATACCAGAATGACGATCTCAACGATAAAGGCAATGGCGGCCCACTAATGCCGTTATTTCCCCAGGTTTCCATGCCTGCCAACTTAGCAACAGCAGCAGCAGCAGTGGTTACAATTAAAAAGCGCGGATCAGCGCCCAAAAAGATATCGAGAAAGTTGGAATCGCGGATAACAAACCCAGTTGCTGCCACCAAGGCCCGGGCAAAGCCGCGCGCCAAAAAGGGAAAGGGCTCTGAGAGAAGCCTCATTTCGCGACTGGTCAACGGCATGGGCACAAACTCTGCGCTTCAATCGGATCTCCTTGGCAGTGGCGATGAGGAAGAGGGTGTTGAGTACGAGCTCTTTGAGTCCGGCAGTTTGTCCGGATTCCCCGACGCCACAGTCTCCCTGACCAGCAGCGATGACGAGGATTTTGAGTTTGCTGCGTTTCCCTCAGCAAAACCTAAGGCCAAGGGAACAAAGGCGCCTAGATCAGTGGCCGGCCGCCCATTGAAGAGTGCAGCGGGTAGTTTCACCCCTGTTTTTGCTGACATTACAACACCCTTGCCGCAGACAAAGGCCACAGCCAACCCCACCAAGCGTGGCCGGCCACCGAAATTAGCCGCTGCCCTGGCGGCCACAGCCAACAGCGCGGTATCCGGGGCGAGCAGCTGGGAAAATAAGAAGAAAAAGAGCCAGCCAATTGCCCAGCAGCTACAGGACCTTGTCGTGTCTCAGGTGTACGAGGTCGACGCCACAGTTATCCGCGGGCGGGACCGGCGGCAACCGGTCAACAAGCGCGGGGTGTCTCCGATTCGTGCGCCCAGCGAGGCCCTGAGCGGCGAGGACGAGTTCGTCAACATCACAGACGTGACCAGTGACACCAGTGCTGACTACCCCAGCGAAACCGAATTTGACCTCCCGAGCACCCAGGACAAGGAACCGTCTATACGAACAGTGTGGAGCGACACCAACTCGCATGCAATCGACGGTGACGACGACGACGAGGACATTGAAAAGGCCGAGGAGGCGTATCTGGCACAAATGCAGGACAACGATTTCTCCTCGTCGAGCCTCAGTGACTTGGATGAGGAGCGCTTAGCTGGTATTCGCCGCGACCGCGTGGGCGACCTCGATCCTGATAGTGGAGATGAGAGCGACTCAGAGAGTAACAATGATGAGGGGTCCGAGAGACTCCACGTGCGGCGGCGAAAGCGGTCAAACGTGCGGCGGCAGAGAAGCCGCCTACGCGACTTTACAACGGCTATTTCTAGCGCATCAGACTCGGACTCGCTTTCGGATATTGGCAGTCTCAGCAGCCTGTCATCGAGCGACGAGGAGTCGGAGTCTGACCAGGAGCTGACTTTCCGCGAGGCTCAGACTGAAGAGGAACGTGCCCTGGTAGAGTACGCGGAGTCCGGTGATGACCGCGAGGACGCCCTACTGAGTATGCACTTGGACCAGCTACGGGCAGTGCGCAATGTCATACATGATTGCTCGTCGTCCCCGCTGCTCGAGCACGCCGGATCGGGATCCGAAGTGGCTTCGGATATTGACATGGACATGGAGATTGCGTTCACCTACTGCTCGCGCAGCACTGACGACAGCAGCGATGATCTATCCGACGACCTGATGGAGGGCTGGGGCACGGACGCTCGCAGGCGCTGGGAGGCCGAGCCGGGATCGAGCAGCGACTCCGCCTTGAGCGAATCCAAGCTCAATCGGCTGCGGCTTAAAGGCGACGAAGACGAAAACCACAGCGACCTATATTCAAGCGACTCCTACGACGAGTTTTACACCCGCAGTGCGTTCCTGGATATGGGCAGCGATGATGGAGATGACGCGCAGGAGGACGCCATGTACCCGTCGGGTCTTGATCTGGACAGCGCGTCGCTCGCATTGGGCGTGGCCCTAAGCATGGAGCAGCAGGGGTACTCGAAGGAAGACGCCGCCGCCGCTGCTGCGGTTGCTGCTGCAGCGTACCCGGGCGCGGGCGCTGCTGCAAATGGCAACTCGGTCGACGACATGCTTGGAAAGCAGGTGGCGATGACAACCATCACGGCGTCGATGAACGCCAACGGTGAGGCCGACCCGATCGACGGAATTATGTCCATCAAGTCGAGCTCCACTGCCAGGGGCACTTCGCGCATGGCAACAGGAACGCACACGCCCTATTTGACTTCGGAGTGGCGTGCGGCGGCGGCGGCTGTGGCAGCTGTATCGTACCTGGACACCACCAAACCACCGGTTATATCATATGTGCTGCCCAAGGACCTTAACGAGGCGCGGCATCCGAGCATTGCGCTGGCTGCAGCTACGGCAGCGGAGGCGGAGGCGGAGGCTGATGCGCTTGTTGCCGCTGTTGTAGAAGCAGCTCCAGCTGCACTGTCTGTTGCAGATTTGTCGGACGGGTGGAAGATACAGGGTAATTATGCTGCGACTATTGGAAGCAACGACTCGACCACGGCTGGGCTTCAGTTGGTAATCGATAATATTACGGGGTCAGCAGCGACCACGGCCAACGCTGTTGATGTCGACAAGCACGATCATGAGGTTGCGGACGAAGACAATGACGAAGGCGAATATGAAGATGAAGACAGCGACGAGGATGCATACCACCCGACTAGCAACACCAGTGGCCACTCGGTGGTGCCGTCGCCAAAGTCTTCCATGTCAGAGTCCGCGATGCTGCCGAGCGCATTCACCTCGCAGCTGCCAAACTCTTCGTTTTTCAAGCCCCTGTCGTCGATCTGCTCGCCCATTCGCCGTACATCGTCGACAAACACCGCCGCGATCCAGTCTGCCCGGCGGAGATTGAGCGTCGGGCCGGCCTCAGCTTCAACAGAGCCAATTGAATCTGTCGATAACATGCTGTCCCTGGGCTCCGGGTTTGTGCCAGGCGCACCACTGGTGTCGCTAGCAGAGGTGAATGCGGCATTGAGCGCTCTGGCTGAGCAGTCGACGTCGGCTTCACCTGTTGGTGCCACCTTCGGATTATTGAAGCGCAAACTGAGCGAGAGCAGCATTGGGGAGTCGGCCACAAACGAGAAGCGTGTTTGCGGAAACAACATATTTGCTGAGATGACTGGCGAGGCTGCGGATGTTGTGGTGGACCAGCTTCCGCTTGACATGTCGATGCTTTTTGCGACCGGAACAACGAGCAGCGACATTGCCAACGCCCTCTGCAGGCCCCGTACGCCGCAAGATGTCAACCCAACTGTGGAAATGGGTGCTGGCACCCCCATGCGCAGCGCTGTGGGCATATTTCCTGTCGACCACGATGCTGAGGACGACATTGACAGCTGGATGATGAGCATGGATCAGCTGGTGGACACGGACGCGCTTCTAATCAAGTCGCCGCCGCCGTCCCCTGCGGATAGCACAGCCGGCAGCATGGATGCGGGTGGAATGGGCCATTTGCCGCACATTGGATCGGTCGGCGGCCGCATAGGCGGCACAATGACAACTGGAAGCGGCACGGACTTGTTTGCGCGGTGGGATCGCATCCCGGTCAACATCTTCCGCCGCTCAAGAGCCCTGGCGTCGAACCACCGCAGGCAGCTTTCCTCGGATGACATGCTAGGTACAGCATCGTCGCTGGCGCTCACGGCAATCAAGTCCAGTCGCCAGCGTCGCACGCTCATAAACACCACGCTCCTGGCGCAGCACACTCTGCCCGCAGAGGCCGCGATGCAGCAGCATGCGATGAAGCTGGCCATGCGCAATGGGCGGCGCGGCCTGCGCAACCCAGAGTTGCATCTTTCGGGCATGGCTCTGCCTCCGCCACCGCCCCCCACACCCTTGTCCTCCGTTGCTGGCAGCGCCCAGCGCGAGACGGTCGACCTGAGCAACCCTGCAGCGCTTATCTCGCCTATGCTCATGCTCCAGCGCAACCAGTACAGCCAGAAGGCTGAGAATATGTCTGCAATGGGAATGATCCAGGCAATGAGTGCGGGAATCTCTGGTGTTGACTCTGTCAACGGCGCAGGTGTGTCTGGCATAGCGCGGGCAGATTCACAACATGAGAGGCACCAGCAGCTTGTGGCTTCAGGAGCTGTCCCTGAGCCGGGCACGCCCTGGGAGACTCTGAGCCAGCATTCGGATCACTCCGAGGTTACTGCAGCTTCTGCTGAAGTGGCCAGACTTGCTGATAGCAGTCGCATGGACACTGGTGCTGGTGACTCGGGTGGGATGTCTAAGGACCACATTTTGGACGGCATGCATGATGTTGATATGGCTGGGCTGGGCGACGACGGCGGCGGATGCGGATATGCGTTTGGGTGGCTCGAAGACGACGAGGATCTGGGGCTGTTTGCTATGCCCGAGTTGTCTACAGGCAGCAGCCGACAGCAGCCTAGCATGACGATGGTGCTGGCTTCAACGAGTCCCATGCTGATGCCATTTATGGCTGGCGGTGGTGCTGGGTCTGGCTCTGGCGGTGGTGCTGGTGCTGGTGCTGGTGTTGGCGGCAGTAGCAGTGGCGACTTTGGATCTGAAGCCCACCATCTGTAGCGATGTGACGCCAGCATTCTGCCACGCGCGCAGGGTTTTATATGTCACATATATCATCACGAACTTTACTTTATTTGCACTTAGAATCGGAATGGTCTCGAATACCAATACGCCAAAACATGTACTTTTTCACGATATACAAATTTATTATTTAACCTTATTTATTTATTTTTAACTTTTATTTACTTTTGCAACAACAACAAACCATATCTAGTAAATCTCGTCGAATGGGCGTGTATCTGTGAAGCAGCTTTTAAAGACCTTATTGACTGCGGCCTCAGCATGCTTGTCAGACTTGCAGTTGGGGTTTTCCCGGACAGACAGCGCGGCTCTGCGCTTGACGCAGACCTGGTGATGCTTAAAAAATCCTAAGTTTCCGCGCATCATCTCCTGGAACCAAGTGCAGTCGCCGCTGAGGCTAGCCGCTCTGATCTCAGTGCATGCGTGATGCTCCAAGTTGTACCAGTCGATGTTGTAGTTTGCTTGATCGTACGCGTGCACCATTTCATGAGCAATTGTCGTTTCCAAATGGCCCTTGCCAAACAGCCGATTGTAGCACAGCTGAATGACACCGTCGGTGGAGAAGCCGCCGCTACGCATCTCGTCGCACTTCATGCACGGCATGTTGCTCTCGTCGAAGGGCGTTCCTGATTTCTTTAAGCTTTCGGACATGAACAATACCAATGGGCTGGTTTTGAGCAGATCATCGCGCCATTTTTCGCACGTCCGGCAGTCCTTCATGTCACTTTCGAACTCCTTGAGCACCTGACGCTCCTGCTTCTCACGCTCAGTCAGTCCCCAGCCAGTGAGGTTGGATACTGCCCGGCTCCAGTTGTTGAAGGTACCGCGCTCCTCGGGATTCATTGCTTGGTATTGCTTCTGGAATACTTTTGATCTCTCGCTGGGCGACAGAGTCGCTGAAATCGTTGTCGATGACCCGGGTGTTTCCATTTTTATATTAGTGTGGTTTTTATTAATTTATGAATGTGAATTAGCCGGGAAAAAAAGAAAAGGGATAAAGTTAAACCACTGTACCTGGAATTACAAAATGCATACCAAATCGGAAAAATGAAGCCTTGGTCATGATCGCCTGATTTGCATGGTTTAATTTTAATATTTTAATATATCTGCGAATCAGCTGTTAAGCTTTATAAATAACCCTTTTATTTTGCCTTGCTCGACGTGTGCGCACAATCATATGGAAGCTTTAAATGTTTTGTATCGTTTTTAGAATACATAAAGATTAAACAGACGCTTTAACATTTTAACAAACGGCCAGCAAATAGCAACAATAACTGCACCAATGGTTGCCGCAGAAGCTACAACGATATAAAATGCCTGAATGTCCACAACAACGCCAAACAGCCCAATAGCAACTTTTAATTGGTTTTTTTTATCTTTTGGATAATAATAAATTTTGTATATGTATAGTATACTTGTTATAATAAGAGGGAGGTGTATAAGGAGCACTAGGGTAGTAGTATTAAAATGTGGGGTATGGATTTATAAAAGGTTTTCTTACAAATGTTTCTAAAATATTACTAGCGCCGGCCTCGTCTTACATACATGCCTCGTCGCCTTTGTTGTGCACATTGTCAATTGTGCGCTTCATTGGTAAGAACTGGATCTTCTGCAAGCAGACCGGTATCTTGGCAAGTTAATGTTGTGGTTTCCGCGTGTATGCGCTCATGCGTCTGCATTGCAAAATGGGGAGCATGTTTGGGCATCAATGTAATGCCTCCCCAATTTACGCCTGCATGATCCAATTAGCGCCCTATCAATCGGCACGTAGGTGGAAACCTGTTTTGCGATTCTCAACCTCAACATCCACTTCCATATCTTCAGTCTATGCAACATACTGAATCATAATTTTATTTAAAAAAGCATAATAGAGTATAAAATGTATTGTATTATCAAACCAAAAAATTTAAATAATAAATAATAAATTTATGTGTCAAGATTATGTGATAACTAGTATGTGCAAAACATACTAAAATTTATCGTGGACATTGCCACATCATATAAAGCTCATGCGCTTGATTTTTGCATATTTGGCTATTTTGTCGTCGTCTCCCAGCCTGACCATACCAACATCTCCGCCAGGGTAGTATATACCATATTTTAAGGTGTTGTCCAACTCGTTTTCTTGGACAATTTCTTTGATAAAATTTTCAACTGTCGTTAATTCGGTAAAAGTACCGGAGACTTTACGTTTCGCATCCTTTTTATTGTTCAATTTAAAGTAATAAATTAACAATGGTTTTATCCGTGTTGGGCACAGATTTCCTTAATAGGAAATGCCCATCAGTTGCCCTTTTCCTTGTGAGTAGAAAGACTCACAGCCATAAAAAGGGCAAAACAACAACAATATTTTATGAGTTCTCGCTCTTCTCTTTTCCTAGTTTTTTAGAATATAGTTTTAATGACGCCTATTGAATTCACCCGTTAACAATCCGTATGGATTGTGATTTCCATTGTTGCTGCGATTTGATGTAGTTGATGTTTGGGTGTATGTTGAAACTGTATATGAGTGAACAGATTCTATAAAAATGTAAAATATAATAAAAATGGAGTGGGAAAACCCTCGTCTTTTATACATTTGGCATAAAGATGCTTTAGTGAAAATGCTCTAATTTTATAACTCAGAGAAATGTTGGAATACTTCCGGCATAAATGCAAAATAATTTTCTAACAAAAAACAACTGGCTGTACTCCAAAAAACGTGTTTTGTATGTTTTTTGTTAGTGTTAATTTTTTGTAGACTTCTTCAGTATAATGTGCAGGGAATATAATAAAATGCGCAGAATCCGCTTTATGCGCTTTGTCTAGGACACTGTAAAAGCATACAACCATCAGTCAGTTATATTAATGAACATATTTGGTTTATTTACTTTCTATTTAAGCCCTTCACTCGCAAATACTCCAAATTAACATTTTTTTAGAATGAATCAAATTAAGCTTGCTTAGTACTTCATTTGAATGATAAAAATGCATTTCAAAATAAAAATTGCTATCGGCTGCCGTTCCCATCCAAGTAGAGCAATAGGAAACTGGTGCAGGGCGTTGGTTTAGTGCAGGCATTTATTCATGCATTCTTTGTACTTGTGGTGGTGATGGTGGTGGCCATGGCAGCGCCGATCACACTGCTTCCACTTTGGGCTACTTTTGTCCTCTGGCCCGGGAATAGGATTGGGGGCTGCCTCAGCGTTTGCAAGGGCCTCAGCATACACAGTGGAAATGGCAGTGACAGTAACAAGGACAATAATAGTAAGCGAGAAAAACTGCATATTCGAGATGGTTTTGTTGCTCAATTAAATATGGGTTATGTGAAATGACAAAGATGTCAAGAATTATTTGAATGGTTCTGTCAAAAATGAATTCTTTTTATACTTGTAAATTTTTAGTAAAAAATGCCAGCAAAAATATATACCGCTACTTTTTGTGCTCTATAATGTCCGGAGGGCAATTTCTACACACTGATAAATATTACTGTAAAATATCAACATGTATGCTTTTTTGGTAAAGAAAGCCAAAAAATGTATTGTACCACAGTTTAATAAATGTGTGCACAGTTTTTTGACAAATTATTTGTTTTTAAATAGTCATCTCTAAACGCTAATTTTTTGCTTAATGTGCATATATTGTTACGCAGCCTGAGGATATGGAGGTAGACGCTGAGAGCAAAAATCACGAGACAGATTCTCGTCAGCTCACAGATGGATCTGATATGGGCCAAATCACAGGGGATCAAATTAGGCACCACAATTGACATCCGGACATACTGCCTGTCCCGAAATGGATGTGCTGGGCGCAAGAATACAGACATGCCAATTATGCCATATCAGAGACCCGGGTTACTTTTATAAGGACTAATTCTCGCTAACGGAGCACACGACTGCCAGTGAGTGCCACAAAGACAAGGAGATATATATAAGGCAAGGCCGGCGATAATAGCACTTTAGAAACACTAGTAATAAAAACCTTTATAGTTTCATACCCGTCTTTTAACACTATTACAGTAGTGCTCCTCACACCCCCTCTTACATAACAATATCTATTTTATATTTATTTGTTGTCTAAAAATTGAACAATAAAGTCCAAAATAAAAAGTTTAATAAAAATTCAATAGATGTTGAATAATTGCACACTGAAATAAGAAAAGTGATATAATAGTGCATATGTTGAGCAGGCCGCACTGCCGGTCTTGAAATCCATAAATCCGTGCAAATTGCTGCAGATATTTAAATTAAAAACATATTACAAATGGCTTTTTTGTTATAGGGTTTGGCAGTACTCTACATTTTGTTTTTGGGGGACAATTAATAGTATCGCAAAGGGAACCACGTTTTACAAGATTGGAAGATGACGTGTCGACTGCTGCGGCAAAGATGCCACTGGCCATAGCGAAAACTGCAAAGGTGATGACTGTAAACTTCATTTGTAAAATACTTGCTAATAAATGAATTGATATTTGCTAATGGTAAGGGTGTGTGGTAAGGTATCAAAACAGATGGTATGAATGCCAGTAAAAAAGCTGGCTATTTATATGTGGATAGATGCGGGCAACATGAAAATAAGTTTGGCTTGTTTGGAGAGCATCTTTGCTAAATAATTATTTTGTATTTTACATTGAGTAAAACAATATACAGATATTTTGGTTTCATTAAGTTGTGCACATATTAAAAACAATTTAATAACAACTGTAAGTGGCGCTTTTGCAGTGTGTTTTTTGTCCACATGTTTTTACACAAACATTGATTAACCAGTGTTTATTTCAATAAATTATCACAACTTTTTTACTATCAAAATAATTGGGGCATATGTTTTCAATGTGTAGAGGCGTATCGGACAATATGCCAGGTGATATTTAATTTGTAGGATTTTATAAACTAAAACTAACACCCGCTGTTTTTGTTGCATTTTGATTATTCAATAGCTAGCAAATCAAGGCTTTTTATAAATTAGCGCGAGAGCCAGGAAATATTGATATAGTTGCTTTTGTTTTACTCAAAAAATGAGGAAAATATGGCTGCAAAGGTTGAGCAGCGTCATTAATAGGGTCCTTAAAATAATGTACCTGTTCGAATAGTTTAGTTTTGTAAAATAAATTAACTATTGAGGCAACACCAAGCTAATTGTCAAACTTTTGCCATCAGGCTGTCAATATCTAGAGCACAAAAAATACAATGCAAATAATGGCAGAATGAAAAATAAAGCACCAGACCCAGCCGCAAACAACAGTTTTCTTACATTCGCGTTGCTATTTTTGAGCTGCACTAGATGCGATTTTGCAGAGCAGGCTGTATAAATGGGTTATATATTATCTACACAGGGAATATGCCCATCTCGATCCTAACGAATAGCTCCTAATTGAATGTATCATTAGCTGTACACTCTCCAATATTTCCTGTTTTTTTAACAAAAAGCTGAAGCATTTTTTTCTGCAACAGCTTTTTGCTGTAATGCTCTCCATATTAATCGCAATCCAAGCGAATGTCAATACAGCCACATTGTTTGTATGCTTGCTGTCATCTCTTATTTTATATTTATTTTTACCAACGCTCTCTTATCAACTAAATACCAAAAGCAAACGCAGATTAAGCTGGACAAGTGCCCATAGTTGTACATGTGTTTCTGTTTGATGGCTGTTGCACATGATCAGCCAAAACACAGACTAAATCAGTGGCTGCAAAAGTGCATGCAAGCTGAAATTATGCAATTTGATATTCTAATATTATCTGATTTTTTCGAGCGATATTTACAAAATTCATTCTCTTGGCTTTTTCAGTCTAATTTTTCTAATTAAATTTTCAATGGAAATTTTGGGTGTGGTATGTACAGTGGTTTTATTTTCTGCCATGATGAGCGGCAAAGACAAAAATTAGCACAGTTAAAAGTAAAGTGCCATCTAAAAAGCATCGCCGCGCAAATTATAGCTGTTTAGAGCCCATAGAGCATCGAGTGCGAAATGTCGTTGGACGCTCGGAGATATTTGCAACTGGTTGTCATGTCTTTGGGCTTGGTACATGCGCTACTCTTTCTAGCCATGCCCGTGTTGTGATTTTGTGAGGAGCCCATCCAGACGCTGGCAATCCGGAGAAGGTATACGAGTAAACCCCGCCCTCCTCCCATTCCGCTGCCTCTGATTTCAGGTCTTAGGCGTGTCACCAGCCGGATTCATATTGAACAAATGTTCTGTGGGCCCCCGTATATACCACAGTTACGGGTCTTACGGAATGGAACCGGCCCGATTTTTATTAAAAACCATGGGTCTATTTTATCTCCAGGTTTTTGTTAGGTGTTTTGTTGACACTCGTATATACCCCCAGACATGACATTGATGAGACCAGTTGCAGATATCTTACCGAGTGTTTACTAGACACTTATTTTTGTTGTGCGCGAATGAGCGTGACTGTGGATGTGACTGTGACTGTGGCAGACAGCGGCTATAATATATGGGCCATGTAATGCAATGGATGATGCTGCGCGAGAACTGCTGTATATGTGTGTGTGATCCCCTCCTACAAAATTTGTGTATTGTGAACCGATAATCCATGTTGAAGTCGAAGTTGAAGTTGATGCTGCTGTGTGTGCGCGCGTGTACCGTAGTTATGCCGTTGTAATGTTAGAAAAATGTGTGTAGTGTATTGGAAAAAAGGTGGTAGTATTTTAGAGGAAGTGGTGGTTGTTGGGAGGGAGATAGGGAACCAAAAAATATTTGGAAAGTGGGCGCTCTTTTTATACGAAATGAGATACTCGAATGGATGGAGGAGAAAGGCAGCAAAAAAGGCACTGTCGGTTGGGGAAAAGAGTTGGAAAAATAAAAAATTCAGTGGGTTCTTTGTGTTCCGCCAGCCTGAAATATTTTTGTACTCTTTTTGCGCACCAAGGGCTTGCTTCGGGCAATGAGACACCCCAAAACTGCCGAAAAATGGCATAAAAATATTTTCATATGCTTGAATAAAACGGGGTTACATGGCATTTTGCTTTTTTCGGAACAAACAATGCAAAGCCATTTGCAAAATACAAGCATGCGGTTGGCTATTTTTGCAAGCCGAACAATAAAATTATTTGTTTTTTATGAGCGAGGCTTGTTCCAAAAATTAACATGTACATTTATGAACCCGGGTAAGAGACCCAACATGAAACACGAACAATTGCTATTTGAACAGACAATTGATGACTCTCAAAAAACAGGCACACTGTTCCGTGACAGAAAAGTAAGGGGTAAGTGAGTATAATACATGTGTTGCATTTGTTTACGGAAACTAATATATTTTTTATTTGCCAACACTGCCCTTTTGTTGAAAGAAAGCTTGGAAACAAAGCATTGGACGCCATAATTTTGTGTTTTTTTGATTTCTACCAGAATAGTGAAGAATGTATTTCTCTTACAAACTAAGAAACAGCGCAAATGCGCCGTTTTGACCAGGCAGAAAAACCATTGCACATATAAAGCTGATTAACGCAATAAGACATTTGCTTCTGCCTGTTTTCTGGGTTAGTAGGGCTGTTTGTTTGTTTGTTGTGATTTTCAGTGACTGGTCGAAAAATAGCTGCAATGTAATGATCACGCAGTTACTTGAATTTTACAATTTCAAAATAGGCAAAAACAATTTGGCTGTTTTGTACAATTGGATGTTTCATTTGATTTAGAAAGATAGATAATAATTGCAATAGCTTTGTTTATATCTTTTGATTCAACTTGCCCAATTTGTCTACTTAAATTAGCTTTACAAATTATATATCTAATTAAATCACTCAAGGCGTAAGATAGGCGTGAGGCTTTTTGTATGAACATAGACATATACTGTGCAATCCTGACGCACAAATGTAGGCAGGCTTTTAGAGCAAGTGATTGCCAAGTATTTTTTGTTGCCATCATATTTTTCTTATTTTTTGCATAGACCATCTGAACAGGTTTTGCAATGCACTGTATTGCTTTTATTTATCTTTTACATTCTTATATTTTTACTCAGCACATTGCTAAGGTACTGGAGACTTGTTTTGCTTGAACAAAGTATGTTTACGCAGCTAGTACCGCTGTATTTATTATGGCAGTAGCCAAAGAAGTATATAAAATACTTATTTTAATCAAGCGCTCGTCTGTCGACAAATTGTTGCCAGTAAAGTCAACTAGCGCATACTTTACCAAAACGCTCTCAACTATCAGTTTTTTGAATGAGAATATACCACGTGATTATAACACATCCACCAATAAATTATGTTCTGTTCTTAGCTTGTCTTTGACTTACCTTATTAAAATATGCTGTCACAGTTTAATTTCTAGGTTTAATAATTTAGAACAAAGATAATACGGATGCCGCTTTATCTACGTTGGAGATAATGCCAGAAAGCATTTGCTTGAATATCTCACTGCATGGAGAATACAGAACTTGTGCAAGTAAATATATCAACTTGTCTACGGGTCTAAGCATACGATCCGTTCGATTTGTCAATGTATACTTTCTTTGTTTGAGATTGGCTGTATGCCAACTAAATAAAATTGTATTTCACGCAATCTTACCACCAATGGTGTGTTAGAAGTGGATTGATTCCAACAGTATTCTTTTTTAAGCACACATACTTGACAAAGCCTGTGTCTGAGCCCCCAAAAGGCAATTGTCCTGAGGGATCACCTGGGCTGACCACTGTCTTGACTTGATTCTTAAAAACACTGTAGACAACACTTGAAATAATGCATCCCGGGTTGAATTATCGGTTCAATAAACACGCGACTATTAATTTAATAATAAGCAAACATATTGTGACCATTTTCCGCACTAAATTTATATATTAGTTTAAAAATAAAAAATAATACAAACAAGCGCTAGATACTTGGTTTCCATTCGGTGGGCAAATAGGACGTGCACACGTTAACTTTAAAACAGCACCAGCGCATGCACTGCTGGTGTCCCAGCGACCCGGCACGCCAGTTGCACTGCTGCCATCTCCAGCTGCCAAATCCACCCTGCGGCTCGGCAATTGCTTCGGGGGCGGCCTCGGCTTCAGCAAGGGCATCGCATAGGCATCGGCGCGCACGACAGCGGTGGCAAAAACAGCGACCAGGGCAAGAGTGCTGAATGAGAAGAACTGCATTTTAAAAGAATCGTGTTGAATAAAGTAAAGTTTTCGGTTGTAAGTAAAAAAAGAACAAGAGTACCTAAAGAACTACCAACTGAATACTCGAGAAACCGTGTCTTATTTATACATGCATTTTTAGCAATAATGGAAGCAGCATCCTGTACATGTCATTGCTGGAAATGATTCATCCTTTTGTGAACATGCTTTTAAAGCGCTGACATCCAATGCTACGCGAATCAGTTTGTGAATTGACTTTAACGATCTTTGCAATATGCCAAACCTAACAAAAACAATTGACAGCGATATTCAACAAAGATACTATGTGCTTGGTAGTGGAGCTGGCCAAGATGAAGCTGTAAGTTTGTGTGAAAACTCATTCACTTTTCCAACCCTGCATTTAATTATTTATGCGTCTTTTTTATTTTAATTTTGTATTTGTTTAACAAATGGGCAACACATAAACAAATTTCCAGTATGTTTCTTATGACACAGCAAAAATCAAAAGTACAACTTGGTTTGTGCGTTTACTGAAAACCAAGTCGAGCTTACAATGTATGAAAATAGGTTTGGTCAAATAACTTGTTCTTTCAATTGTAGAATAAGCGGATCAAGCAATTACGCATGCCTTTTTTATTAAATCCAACGCACTTCACTTGTAGTGACGTGGCCACAACAATGCTCCAAAATGAAAAATGAAAACAAAAAGAAAAATATCACACGCACACTTTTGTATTGCCCATTTATTTGTTTTTTATTCCCTTTGACAATTTATATTCTACAATTCATTTGCTTCGAGGTTTTTAGTTTTTCAATTTAGAGATTGCGCACCACGCGAAAGATTGCATTTCGGACGCATTTTTCTTTTGACAGTACTAGTACCAGCTTTGATCTCATTTGGTCTTTGTATTCGAGTACTCTTTGTCCGCGTGCTTTATTTATTGTACAGGGTTTTTCCTGAGTCAGGCACATGCGCATTTCTGTATTCCAGCAGGCGTCTGTCACGCTCGCTTCGTTGGTCGTATTACTGACAATGTCTTCAGCGGCTAAAGCGACTTTGCAGAGCCAGCTGTCATCGCGGAAGTTCTCCAACGCGCAGTTTTCCAACGCATTGAGCGGGTTCCAGCTCTCGCGACTAGCAGAAGCCTCGCAAAAGCAGAGATCCTGGCTAGATATTCAAAAGGGCGAACTCCTTGCGCCGTGCTTGTCCCGCGGCAAATAGGATCGCCGGGGTACCGAGCCGCGCAAGGGTTGATTGTGGACACTTTGGGAAAGCTCGGGTATGCGATCTCGTGGGATAACTTTACAGCATCCACTCCAGCCGGAAACGTGAAGATGGCCAATATTATAGCCACGCACAACCCGGGCGCTGCCAAGCGACTTGTGTTGTCGGCGCACTACGAGAGCAAAATAATGATGGAAGGTGACTTTGTGGGCGCAACGGATTCGGCAGTGCCGGTGGCTTTGATGCTGGATGTGGCCCGCGGTCTTGCTGACAAGATTGATCAGCTGACTAGCCGCGACCTGAGCCTGCAACTGATCTTTTTTGATGGAGAGGAGGCATATCACGAATGGACAACTACTGACTCGATCTACGGAGCACGTCATTTGGCAGATAGCTGGGAAAAGGGGCCGGACTCAGCAACTGTCGCGGCGCTTAGCGGAACCACACAGCATGTCCCTGAACTGCAGCGCGTTGAGTTGATGGTATTGCTAGATCTGATTGGTGCCTCCACTACAGCATTTGTTGCGCTTGAATTGCCCACAGCAGACCTTTTTATCCAGCTTGGAAAGCTCGAGAAGCGCCTGCACAGCGCTGGGCATATTAGCCGCACGTACATGGACATGGCAGTACAACCTGGATCGAAGAATATTGCAGATGACCATATTCCATTTGTCCAGCGCGACATTCCCGTGATGCATCTGATTTCGGTTCCATTCCCCGAGGTGTGGCAACACTCGACGACAACGCCAAGGCACTGGACCCCAGGGTGATTGCTGACATGAGCATCATCCTACGCTCTTTCGTGGCCAGCTACATGCGGTTGAGCGTTTGACGAAGGGGACAAGGCAGACCCACAAGAATTGGGCCGTTGTCTGAGGAGAAATCCGAGCCTGATATTACTGATGATGTTAGCGACAACAGTAATAACAACGATGATGCGATTCTTGCGGGTGATGGCCCTGACCACCAGAAGGCTAGCAACTTTCCTGGCACAGGCCGTGCTGTCTTGTCCGACATTGCTTTTTTTGTTCGATTTGTCTCTGTGCTATTACTAGGCACTCTTTTCCACATTCTCATATCCAGATTTTTGAGGTTGTAAACTGGTCAACGTAAAACGAATAAACGCGTTGTGGTGAATGTATTGCTAAAATAGGAATGGATTAACCTATTTGTATTGCTGCACACTTGGACACACCCTAAACGAAAATCGTTATCATTCTAACAATGTGTATCTCTTAAGTTGCCTGGATGCCTGTCTGGTTCCCATTATTGGATAAAATGACCCCATCCTTCAGCTGTTATGATAAAGTGTAAATTTGCATAAATGAATTGTCTATTGTAAAGATTAGTACTTTTCTACCAATGAAATATCGAGCTGAAGCGCTGAGGGTATTACTAAATTGGGTGGCTGTGCAGTGAGAGTAATTAGTCCACCAAAATCGTTAACAAATTCGTTGTGATCGTAAACTGAAGGCAGGTTATAGTCATCCGTGGCGGCACTCCTGCGCGTCGCGCCAAATATTGTCACGCCGCCAATGTCTGCCTCCAGCATATTCTGCATGATCTCCTGCAAAATTGGGCCTACCCTGCTGTTCTTGGGCTTGCGTCTCTACGCTCTGAAAAGGTAGAACAGCAAGCATGATAGCATTATCCCGCCAACCGAAGCACATACTCCAATAATAATGACGCTTTCTTAGACAATCCATCCTTGTCGTCTACAAGTCGATTCTGAACTCGACGGATTATCTGGTCGTTGAGTGGTGTCTTTCGCCTGCTGCAAGTCTTGGCTTGCGTACTATTGACCACTCGCTTTGCGTAAATACCACCGACCAAAGTAATCCAATTGAGATCATTCTCTTTGGGGCTTTCCGTAGGAAAGTCAATGCCAGGTTTAAGACAGAAGCATTGCCTCTATTTTTAAATATCTGAACTTTGCGACCAGCGTTATCGGGAGAGGTTATTATACCAGAGTATAAAAGTTGCGTTGAGACTCAAAATTGCACAGGCCATCTACGCTTTCGTATATATGCGAGTGACTGTAAATTCCCGCTAGATACTGTGAGCCGGCTATAATTCTGTATACAACTCTTAGGGTACTTGACAGAGAGAGAGCGTTTTGTTGGCCTGGCCGACCAGATCAGCATTGCATAAAAGCCGTTTTTGTTAGCATCATACAACTCCGAAAATGACGTGCACATGCCGTCGTCGTAAGCTAAATATGTTATTGCAGCTGGGATGCTCCATATTTTGTTTTCAAAATCGTTGAACAAGCTCCGAATGTAGATAAGGGTTTCCTGATAATCACTCCGGTCAGGTGAAATGGGGTTTTCCAATCCAGTTTGTCCTACACGTTGTACTGGACAACTGCGATTTTGTTGGCCCGGCTTCTCGAGTTGTATTTGGGGTGTATTGTGATGAAGGTGACTGGGTAGCTAGATGTTTTCCCATTGATTCTGTTGTCAAAAATACAACGTATTCCGATGCGTTGTGGTCGGACACGCAGTCTGCGCTGACAAATGAGGTTTGGCTGTCAATAAGACCGAGGTCGCAGGAAGTGTTTTTTATTTTTGACTAGGACGCCAGCCTTATTTGATCAAACATTTGTGACGGCGTTAGGATCCACCTGCCGCGGAATGATGCAACCTGGGACAATGCTAAATAAACGAATAAGTATGCAACGCGCAAAATCATTGTGGTTAGATATAATATAATGCTTGTTTGGGAAAAAGAAAGAAAGAAAAGCAATTTTCTGATAAAAAACTTTTGACAGATACTCGTTGCAAATATTTTTCAATAATGAGAAAAAACCTTCAACTCGCATGTCAGCATTTACAACACGTTCGGATAAAACCTGCACAGTGTACGCATGTTTACTTGACAATTACAAAATAATAAAAACGCGTATCCGAATGATTATCGGCATATCGTATTTTAACATATCAATTTTATTTCGATGCGCGCTCTTCATCATACTTCTGAAAGTGTGTGCGCATCTGTTACATTATGATGCTTGTTTCTCTCCTCACTTTCTGCAGGGAATCTGAATAATTCAAAATTAAATATGCCACGAGTTCCATGTTTATAAGGCTGTGAATATGTAAATATTTTCAAATTTTAATATGTGACAAAGCTATGACATAACTTCGACCCTTTAAACTGTATTGCCGTCTGAAAAATATATTGTGCACAAGCCAAGCTATCAATGGACGACATTAGTAACAATAATAATACTATGCTTGTACGCAAACCATTTTTAGTAATAAAGCTGCACATTTTACTAAACACCCTGTTGAGAAGCACACAGGGGGCTTGCGACTCGGACCGGTGACCCAAGCCGAGACCCGTCGGCGCGCACAGATGTATCGGACAGACGTAGGACGTCAGCTCACGCCCTGATCCAATCATATCAATTGCAAAGCTGCGTGGTATTCATGATTGAACCTGATTATGTCAGAGAATAACAGCAGCAGATATTAGTGCAATTTTGAGGTGTATCAAATCGCATTGTTTAGATATGGTTATTTCTGCTGTTATTCGTTTGTGCATGTGCAGCGTAGGATGTTCTGCGCACTTGTCATAGGTGTTTCTGATATATACTCAGGCGTACCGTCATGAGGATTAGATGCCTTCAGCTTTCCAATATACCTTTATTTCTCTTTTAGAAGTATTCCCTGCGACTGCTCAGTTGATTATTGGTATCCTCTTTGGCCACATTCACAACAATCCACCATCCGCTTCTTTTTTCCAATGCATAAGTGTAGTTATAATTCTTGCGTATTATTTTGTTTATGCTCCACCAGTTATCATTTGGTATTTTATTTACCAAGTTGTAGTGTGAATTCACGAGGTTAATGCTCCAAAAAGGATTGGACACCTCAAAAGAGCAGAATGTGCCCATATGCTCAGCAGCTGACTTGGAATGAGTTATTTTTGCCAAAAGGAAAATATTACTGTGTGCGCATCGAAGGACAACAAAATTAAATCAATTGCAAAGATGCATGGCGTTTTTGATGTGCTTGGACTTTTTATTTGGGCAATCCAAATACTTGCTTGGAGTAGCCAGCCACCACATGTCCCTGCTGCAGAAATAATAAATTGTGAATGCAATTTTTTTTACAGATTTTGCACATTGTTCCCTTGCTCACTCTTGGGACTCAAAATAGTGCACATTATAGTAGCATTTGCATCAAATGAGGCATTTCAGCTAGCCCATTCACATCGAATCAATCAGCGACTGACCGGGTGCGGCTGATGCATGTTTTCTCATTGTTTTGTCACTTTTTTATACTTTTTTTATACTTTTTTATAATAGGAAAAATAGCGCGCACATATTGAGACTTTGGCCATTGTAGCCGCTTTGAGGCATTTTTGCTCTGCTTTGCATCCATCATTCTGTTCTCCAAATCAACGCGCAGGCGTAAGAGGATGAGAAGCGAGCTTGAGTGGCATATAAAAATAACGCTTGGAGCCACTCCGAAATAATTGCAATTTCCACCCTTACTTTTTAGTTTCCTCCCTAAATCCCTTGCTTAATACTTCACATTATTTAACTAAACATTGCCTTATTCCCTTTTTATTCTCGATTGATTTTAACTATTAGAGAGGTGGAGAAAAAATCCTTCAAAACAGACTCGGAGTGTAAGTAAATGAGTCGTTGACTATTCAAAAAACAATACACCCCCACTTTCAATACCAACCCCATGCATATTGGTGGCTTGATAAGTGTAGGGGGTGTAGTTGGACATTTGCATACTCTTGCCGATAAGTTGGCTACTATTCCTTAGTATCCTTAGCTGAATCTGTCTAAATAGAATTACTCATACACTGTCCTTTTGTTGCATCCATCCCTGACATTTTTCCTCTAAATATCCATATTCACCCCATACATCAATGCACTCCACCAATCTTTCAAAATAACACTCCCATTTCTCCACACTTTTTCAAGACATTTCTAGAAAATTTGAACAGCTTTACAAATGTACCTTTTGTCGAGTATAGTGCTTCAATGCCTCAACCAACCAATAAGTATTCATTTGGTCATGCTGCGATCACAATGTATACGCGCCTCTTTTGTATATTGCTTGGGATTATATGTTTTATGTACAATTTCGTATTCTATTTTAGTTTTTTAACGGGAAATATTTGCTTGAAAATGACAATTAGTATGTGTATTTTATTTATTATTAATCAACTGTGGGCTGTTCTATAGAATGGTCGTTTGATTGTCTGAATATATTTACATACAACGCCTCCATGTTGGGTGGCGAGGACAAAAGTAGTCAATTATGATTTAATAAAAAATGACATATGCCGATATGTCAATATGTCAATATGGCTACATTTATAATGTGCCACCACGTCATGCCGCAGCAGCATTATACTAACACAAGCACCTCTAATTTCTTAATGTTGCGTCTATAATGTAGCTTGCTTCTCAGTATCGGCAACGAGCTAATTAAGTTTGCTCCAATATATATTTAATTTATACAGCTTAAATACCTCGCATCTCTTCTCCCATCTTGTCCTGGGCTTTCTATTATTCATACATAGCGCGACCTGCATCTTGGTCAACTATAATTTTGTATTACTATTTCAACCAAACTACAAGAACATTTGTCGCTCAACAGAATAACTATGCCAAAATCAATAGCATCCACAACGTCCACCCCGTCCACTAATAAAAACCGCCTTAGTGGAGCCAGCACTGCAATGTCTGATCAGCTCCGGAGCCACAGGAATGTTATTGACAGCAATCATGGCAAACCACATGTGCCCGAGACCGAAACAACCCTGAGCGTTACGGGAATAACGTGCGCAGCGTGCGTAAACGGCATTGAAAAACATGTTGGCGGAATGACTGGTATAAGCAGCATCAAGGTCGACCTAATGACAGCCCAGGCCATCGTCCAGCACTCGGAGCTGTATATGTCGGCCAATAATCTGCGCGAGGCCATTGAAGACATGGGCTTTGATGCCATGATTATCTCGAGTAAATTGCTCTCCAAATCCGAAAAGTCAGACGGAGGTACCACAGATGCAGTTATGGGCGACCAGCCAGTTGGTTCGTGGTTTACCGTGGAGGGCATGACGTGCGGCTCTTGTGTGGCCGCGGTAACATCAATACTAACTGCGCTTCCTGGCGTCATCAGCGCAAATGTTCAGCTGCTGACCGCACAGGCATCTGTCAAACATCTGCCGTGTAAAATTGGCGTCCGCGAAATAGCCGATGCGCTGGGCGACGGCGGGTTTCAGGCGACCTCACTCGGCGTAGACGAAAATGCAGAAATGGCGTCAGATCCTTCGGCAATTGCGCTGAAAAACCTGCAGAAACACCGGAGAGCGGCGGCAATTCGGTTTGGCTGGTCGCTGTTGTTTGCCATTCCCATGCTTATCATTGCAATGATCATCGACATGGCACTGCCAAAATCCAACCCCGTGGCGCAAAAGTTCCACCACAAGGTGTTCAAGAGCTACTCAGTGTCAGTCATCTGCATATTCTTTATTGCTACGGCGGCGCAGGTTTCGCTGGGCTGGTACTTTTACAAGCATGCATACAAGTCGCTGGTACGGGCAAAGACTGCCAATATGGATGTTCTGATTGCGCTGGGAACCACCGCCGCCTACGTTGGGTCAATTATCAGTGTCACCATGCAGCGCGGCGCTGGTGAGCAGTTTTTTGAAACTGCCGTGTTTTTGATGACGTTTGTGCTGCTTGGACGGTGGCTCGAGTCCATTGCCAAGGGGCGCACGGTCAGCGCCGTCGAGGCCCTGGTCAAGATGCAGCCCAACGATGCGCTGCTTGTGCGCACGTTGGGAAGTACAGGCGAGACCTTGGAGACCATCAGCGCCCGACAAATCCAGTTAGGCGATTTGCTACAGGTGAACAACGGCATGCGCGTGCCATGCGACGGCGTAGTGACTATGGGCCAAACTGATGTTGACGAGGCGCTGCTGACAGGAGAGTCCGTGCCTGTGGTCAAGACACAGGGGTCGGTGGTCACCGGCGGCACACTGAATTTGTCGCAGAGCATCCGGATGCGCGCAACGGCAATTAACGGATTGTCAACACTATCGCGGATTGTCAAGCTGGTACGCGAGGCGCAGTCCAACAAGCCTCGCATACAGGAAGTTGCCGACCGCGTTGCATCACGCTTTGTTCCGTTTGTGGTGCTAGCATCGTTAATTGTGCTCATTGCCTGGGTGTCTGCCGGCGCGGCGGGGCACATAAAGCACCAGTGGCTCGAGTCTAAGAAAATGGGTACTTCGCATAGCATGGGCGACGACACGAGCGATCCGGGAAAACCAATGGCGTATGGCATCTTTGCCCTGCTTAACGCCATTAGCGTACTGGTTATTGCCTGTCCCTGCGCGCTTGGTCTGGCAGCGCCGACAGCCATTATGGTAGGCACCGGAATGGCGGCGCGCTTTGGAATCCTGGTCAAGGGCGGCGGTGCGACAATGGAGGCTGCCAGCAGCATTGACATCGTGGCATTCGACAAGACCGGCACACTGACCATGGGCAAGCCCGCGGTGGTTGACTACCATGTTGACCAAGCGCTGTTAGCCCAGATTCCCGGGTTCAAGGCATGGCTCAATTCTGGAATCTTTGCACTCGAGTCGCTCAGCAGTCACCCTCTGGCCAATGCACTGAGCGCGTACATCCACGAGAATAGCGCGAATGACAGTATCGATTCCGTCAAGATTGCGCCTCATCTGATTGATCCCAAAGAGCTTCCCGGGCGCGGCATGCAGGCAACCATAGGAATTTCTACCGAGACAGCACTGGCGTTTGGGTGGCCGGCGCACGTAATGCAGGCACAGCTGCTGATAGGTAAAGACGAGTGGGTCAAGGAGGAAGGGTGTGACATAGAGATTCTGCTGAGAACCCGCGCACAATGGGCTGACAGTGGGTACACGCCGGTGGCCATCGCGTTGAAACTCGCTGGTCACAAACTGAAAGATGGCGGGCGGACGGTTGCAGCGTTTGCATTGTCGGACCAAGTGCGTCCTGAAGCGCGCGACGTGGTTTCCAGATTGCGGAAGCGCGGCATCGACGTGTGGATGATCTCGGGTGACCACCCCTCGGCGGCCAACGCGATTGCACGCATTCTGGGCATCGACAATGTGATGGCCGGTGTCCTGCCCGAGCAAAAGTCTGAGACCATTCGCTTACTGCAGCAGCGTGGCTGTGACAAAAAGCCCAACATAACAGCGGTGGCAGGCAAATTTGGATTGCGCTGGCTGCCATCTTTCCTTGATTTTTCGTCTTCAAGGCGCCGTCCGTATGCCAGGGTGGCCATGGTCGGCGACGGAGTCAACGATGCGCCAGCACTGGCACAGGCCGACGTTGGCATTGCCGTCGGGTCGGGCACTGCGGCTGCCATGGAGACAGCGCCGGTGCTGCTTATGCGGCCCTCGCTCTATTCATTGTTGACGTTCCTTGACCTGTCGACCACTGTGTTCCGGCGCGTCAAGCTCAACTTTATCTGGGCGTCCATGTATAACGTCGTGTGCATCCCGATAGCCGCCGGTATTTTGTACCCTGTCATCAACCGCGGTCTTCCACCAGTCATTGCAGGTTTGCTGATGATTGCCAGCAGTCTGACAGTGATGGCCAGTAGCTTGTCGCTCAAGCTCTACCGCGAGCACAAGTACTGAGCAATTTTATTTTATTTTTCCATCGTATATATAATTATATTCTATTCAAAATAATACTATCTTATTTCTTTGGCGTAGCAACCTTTTTCAGCGCAACAGTCTTGTTCGTGCCCTGGAACTTCTTCGGGTCCTTGCGGCTCATCCGCGTGCGGTCGCGCACGCCAGTGCCGCCCTGCCAAAACGCGTTGTTGCCGTCAACCTTCCTGATGACCTGGGCACCGCAGCTAATGCACAGTCCCGTCCGCTCGGACTTTGAGATACGCTGCTCCTTGGCACAGTTGCCGCAAATCATTATTTGTGCATATTCGTAGTCGTGGTCCTCTTTGTCATCGTGGCAGGTCACACACGGGTACGTCTTGCCACAGCACGGGAAGCGCAGCCACCGCTTGCTCCGGCGGAAATGCTTGCACGCACCGTAGTCAGGCAGCGGCTGTCCGGGAACAACACCAAGACGCGCCAGCTCCTCGCGCTTATTGACCTTGGTCCGCCGCGTGCGCTCGACTTCGCGCGAAATCATATTTGCTGAGTTCGCGGTGCCACCCAGGCTCAGCCCGCTCTGCAGCTGGACAAAGTGCGGCTCATGCAACTCCATGCCCAGGCGCGCATAACATGTGCGGCAATTGGTATTGGTGGTGGCACCAATACCAACGCTGGCTGTGGTGTCCACCGGCTTAACACCTTCGTCGTTCATCGCACATGGCTCACAGGAGAGCGTGAATTTCGACGGAAGCAGGTCGATGGGCGCACAACTAGAGCAATCGAGGTAGCCAATGGTAGTACACTCGGAGAACAGCCAGTCAGGGCGGAACCGGACGCCCAAAATGGACGTGCATGTGTCGCAGGCTTTCCACATTTGCTGGTCCTTGCCTGCACGCCGGGTTGGTTCGATTGCCTTTAGCTCAACAGTGCTCCTGCATCGCCCACAACGGACAGTAAGGTTGAGCGAGTGACAGTGCGCGAGGGAGACGTTGGTCAGCTGAATTCTACCCATTCGGATCTCTGTCCCCGGCGTACTGGCTTGGAGAACGCACCAACTGTTTCACTCTCACCATCTATTTCACCTTCGCCTTCCATTGCGCTGTCGCTGTCGCTGTCAGAGAGAGAATCATCGTCGCTGTCATCGCTGCCAGCCGCGTCCATATCCAAATTGGCCAGCTGCTCTGGCAGTCCCGCCTCTGCCATCGAGATGGTCTTGATCCATGGCTTTTCGCTCCCTGCGTCCACACCCTCGTACGGCTTTGTTTTTTGCATATTCGAGATGACAATGGCAGTGGCAGCGACAGAGGGCGATGAAGGTGCCCCCTTTGGTGTCTGCGTCTGCATGTTCTGCTGAGTTACCTGAGAAGTGGCACTTTGTAGCAATACTGGCGCCGGAGCAGGCGGTGGGCTGGAGAGCATTTCTGCCAGCTGTCGATCGAGCCAATTGAGGTGGTGCAGAATGGATGTACCCGGCGACTCCACTACATGCTCGCCAAACTTCGGCTAACGTAATCCAAGTAGGCCTGCCGACCGCCAGTGGGCTGCCACGTGCTGGGTTTGTTCTTGCGGCCCAGCAGTTTGGAGGAATCAATATTCAGCGTCAGCGCGGGCGACCCCTGCGGATACTTGCGACTGACGCTGAGTGTGGCATTGAACTGGTAGATGTCAAAGTCTTGCATATCGGGGTCAGTTGGCATGATGTCAGGCCGACGACCGTAATACCGTTTGGATGTCGCGAGAAACAGCGTAGCTGCCGCGGAAGCGGCGCTCAAGCTGGGAGAGCTCCGTGGCCCGCCTGGGGTCTTCCATGCCGCTGATTTCAAATGGTGCTGCCATCGCATTTAGAAGCGGTTTGGGTACGGGCCGTCTCACTGCTGGCCGCGATGCTGGGGGTTCGAGTGCTGCTGCAGCCGACGACTGCGAGACCCGTGACTCTGGCCGGCTGCTATCGAGGTTTACACCCTCATTGGCTGTGCCCGAATCGTCAGACCCAGCGGCAGCATCATTGGACTTGTCTAGTTGAGCTTCCTCTGCTTTGGATGATTTGCCTGATTCGATGTAGGTGGTGAATTTGATAGTCGGCGCTGCCTTCTGCTGCATCAGCTGCTCCAAGTTCTTGTCGAGCCAAATAATATAGTCCACAAGGCTAGGCGCACCGTCGGGGTTTCCGACCTTGATCGCCGCATTGACAGTTTTGCGCACATGCTTGGAAAATCCGTTCTCGACGTTGCGCTTGATTCCCACGGGAATGTTCTTGTTGGCAATCTCGATTCTCAGAATCCGATCCGACGTCCGCCTGGCTGGATAGACCGACGGTATCACCAGGGCCATATACAAGCGACTCACTTCATAAGGGAAATCAGGATCCGACGGCTTCATCTCCACGGCAAACGCAGATTCGTCGCGCGGAGAGGTGAGCATTTGGACCGTCCATTCAGGCACTCTGAGCAGATCCTCGGTTTGGGCCTTGCGAACAGAATCCATGCGCTCGGTGTTGTTCTTGCCCTTGCCGCCTCGTGTCTTGCTGCTGCGCCCCTTGTTTCGGCCACGACCATTGTTATCCGAATCATTGTCGTTGTCGCTGATCGGAGCTGTCGATTTGGGCTTGTCAATTACGTGCAAAAAAGGGCAATCGTTGCCGGCTTTGCATGACTTGCCCTGTTGGATGTAACGGCATGCCACTGCACGTGGTTTGCAGGCCTGGCGGCGTGAATTCTGGGTGGATTCAGTTGTCTGTTCTTGTCCCTGTGCACTGTTGCTCGTGCCCGAGGCAGCTGCTTCTGTTGTCGCGGATGGCGGTGGTGGTGGCTGGTCATGGCCATGCACCACCGTGTTTTCGAATCCGTCTAGGCCAGCTGTTAACGCCATAATGCAATTTAATAAATAAAAAATAAATAATTCTAATTTGAAGAGTACAAAAAAAAGATCAAGTTGATGGATGAGGGAAGAGAAAGGAGGGAGAAAGTCATTTTTCTCGGTTTGGCCGCAGCACCGAGACAATAAAATAGCACTGCTGCTGATTTAAGCACTTGCTACCACGGTGATCACGATTTACTGTGGGGATGAGGGAAGTTCAAGCTTGGGTCTGGAGCAAACGGCAGCGTGAGTAAAAAAATGAAGGAAAAAACTCCGCCTTTTATTGAAAAATCTATTTTCCGTCTAATTTCGTTTTTTCCACCTTTAATTAGTTTTTCTCTTGTTCAATCGAAATATATTGACACCAAACTTTATAATTATCAATATTTTTGTTCTTTAATTTTCAGCAAATACACGCATTTTTCAACAAACAGCAAACTATAATGTCCGCCCAGTCATCAGTTAGCGAAGTGGCAAATGCATTAACAGCACTCTACCAGGGCACGAGCCAAGAGGCACGCGATCAGGCGAATGCGTGGTTGGGGCAATTCCAAAAGACGGTAAGCAAAACAGCAACAGAAGCAACGGCGGCCTGACCTAACTACTTGCGCGGTAATATTCCAACTAACTCAATTTTCTCTCTTATTTTACCTTGACTGCGAAATTTTACGTGTGTCCCGTAGACACAGGCATGGTCCACATCGGACGCTATACTCGGTTCGGAAGAACTAGGTCCCGAAGCAAAGATGTTTGCGGCACAGACACTGCGCAACAAGATTATCACCGACCTTGAGGAGCTCGGCGAGCAAGGTGCCCTGGCATTGCGGGACTCTGTCGTAAATCATCTGAGAAACTTCCGCAATGGCCCCCAACCACTGATCACTCAGCTGTGTCTGTCACTGGCTGATTTGGCCGTGCAGCTGGGAGCCTGGACCGACCCGTTTGCCGACATGACAGGCATGTTCTTGTCGGATCCGATTCCGTATCTTGCTTGCTGGAGTTTCTGGCGGTGCTCCCCGAGGAGGTTCTGAACGAGCGCATTATTGTGCCTGCAGAGTTCTTTCAGAAGCGCTCGGAGGAGTTGCTGACACGGCGAGCGGGCGACTTGATCCAGCTGCTGGTGCGGTGCCTGCAGCAGGCTGATCTCAAACCCGATGCGCACACGAGGGTCTTGGTTTGCTTTACGTCGTGGCTGAAGAACGGCGAGATTACCCTGATTATGGTTCAGAACACACCGCTCATCGAGCTGGCGTTTGCGGCGCTGAAGGCGGACGACAGCGCTGTATTCGACACGGCGGTTGATGCGGTCTGCGGGATCATCCAAGAGACACACATCGACCGCGATGACGACCCGAGCGCCGTCCAGATTAAGAACGCGACTATCGACAATGTAATGGTTCCCCAGCTCAACGCGGTGGCGGCGCAGCTTCGTGCCGACCAGCTGGTCATCGAGGGCGACGAGGAGCGCATTCGCGGGTACTGCCGTTGTTCACTGAGGCTGGCGAGGCCTGGGTCGAGCGCATTATTGAGAACATCTCCTTATACGAGGGCCTAGTGTCCGCCATGGTTGACTGCATGCGGCTGGACAACCTAGACGTCATCACCATGCTGTTTGAGTTTTGGAGCAAGCTGGCCGACCTGACGCTAGAATACACGTCGTCGTGCGACAACTCCCGCAGGGCCCTGTGACCGTATTCGAAACACTCATCGATATCATCATCCGCCACGTCAAGTACCCTGAGGTCTTTGAGACTGATGACCCGAACGACGGGATGACTGCCAAGGAGCGCGACGAGTTCCGCGAGTTCCGCCACAATATTGGCGACGTGCTCAAGGACTGCGTGCGGGTTGTCGGCCAGACACGCGCTCTGTCTCATCCGTACAATATTATGATCGGCTGCATCGACGGTCAATCACAGATGCCGTGGCAGGACATCGAGGCGCCGCTTTTTGCCTTGCGCGCTATGGGTGCTGAGGTGAGTCCGACAGAGAACGAGATGCTGCCTAAGATCATGGATATGTTTGCGCGCTTCCCGCCGCATCCGAAGCTGCGCTACGCCGCGACATTGGTGATCGGGCGCTACACCGAGTGGGCCTACGAGCACCCACAGTACGTCGAGTTCCAGCTCAACTATATTGCTGAGGGGTTCAAGGTGCGCGAAGTTGCCGCTGCGAGTGCCCAGTCGCTCAAGTACCTGTGCCAGGACTGTTCAAAGTACTTGGCTGAGCATTGGGCCAACCTGCTAAAGTTCTTTAACGAGATGGCGTCCAGTGGCTCGCTGGATGAATCCGACGTCATCGAGTTTTCTGAGGCCCTGGCCCACGTAGTCAGCGCCGTGCCCCCGCCTGGCACGGCCGCAGCCATTGAGTCGTTCTGCCTGCCTGTTGGCCAGGAGCTGGGGGTCATGCTGCAGCGGCCTGATCTCAACAACGGCGAGAAGCAACATCTCGCGCTGCTGCTTGACCGGCTTGGTGTATTTTTGCGCTACGTGAACATTGAGGACAATGAGTCTGCCGAAGCGCTCACCGGTCGCATCATCAACGAATCTTGGCCACTACTGTCCATGATCCTGCAGCGGTTTGCCGCTGACGCTGTGGTATCCGAGAGCGTATGTAAGTTCACACGGGTGCTCGTCGAGTTTTACCCGGTGATAATGCGCCCCATCACTACGCAGGTCGTCGACTCTGTTGTTGAAGCCTTCCATCTGACCGGGCTGAGCGTATATCTGTGGGTGGCGCGTCGGATCATCAATGCAAGCAATACGCTGGCCATCGACGAGGCGTCGTGCATGCAGCTGGTTGCCAGTATGGTCGAGCGGCTGAGCGAGTCCGCGCTGGCGCTGTTCCAGGGAACACCATTCTCAGACATCCCCGAGACAACCGAAGACTACTTTAGGCTGATCGAGCGCGCAGTGGAGGTTGCTCCCGGGTACATCTTCACCATGCAGTCGTTCCCGTTTATATTCCAGGCGGCTATCGCTGCTCTCGAAGTGAACCACTATCACGCACAGATTGCCGTCGTGCAGGCCTGGCTTCGGATGCTGGCCCGACGAAGCGCCACTTGCGCCTGATCCAGGACAATTGGAAGAACTCACACGTGACTCCTGGAGGCTCAGGCCGTGCGCTGACGGACAGCCCGGGATCACAGCGTCGGCGCAGCCTCAGCCGTGTTGACCCGTACCCGGTGGAGCAGGTTGTCGAGCTGTGCGTAAAGCATGGGTTCGATCTGACGGTCAAGCTGCTATACGGCCTCATGCACCGCTTCGATCGCGAGAGCGTGTCGGAGGCGGCCGATGTTTTTGCCTCACTGACCGCCATTGTCAGCGAGGGGCCCAGCGTGGTCAAGTCCCAGTTTGATGGCCCACCGGCCGCAACCATGTGCGAGTGGGTGCAGGCAACGATTGCTCAGATCCCTGATGCCAATTACTCTGCTGCGGACAAGCAGGACATTTTGCAGGAGCTGTCGGAGCTTATTCAAGCCCGGAATTGGCCCAAGGTCCGGATTCTCATTAGCGACTTTGCGGCGGTTTTCTGGAGACGCAATGCCAGCAAGAATTAGACTATTTGGCGAAAGAAAGATATTGATTAAGAATTGTTTTCTATAAATAAAGTACTACAAAAAAATTACTTTCAAAATTCCAATACCTCAACGACAAGCCCGCAGGCCGTGCATTTCTGCTCTTCGCTGCCGTCTTCGTCGCAATTACCGGTTGACTCGAACGTGTGCTCGTGCTCCATTTCAAGGTTAAGCTTTTTACTGCGAGTTTTCTCGAACTCCTCGACGCGCGTACGGCGACGGAGATCTAACAAAAATAATTAAAGCGAAGAATAAAATGAATTAACAGCTTGTATCTGGACAGTAATTTGGCTTGGCACTTGTAGATTCTTCAAAAAAAAAAATTGGAACAAGCGACGAATTTTTTGTGCTTACCTGCCACCGATGCTTGTATTTTTTCTCTTTGCGCGCGCGCTTCTCGTCGATTCGTCGCTCAAACTCCTTGTCGAGTTCCTCCATGCTGCCCCATTTCTTGATGGCAAAGGACTCGAGGTGCTGTCGCAGGTACAAAAGCATGTTGTTCCATGTCGACTTGTGCGGATTGGCTTTCTCCCAAACAGGAAACAGCTCGCGGTCGCGCAATTCTCCGTCAGTCAGCAAATAATCCTACATTATCATGACTTTAAGTAAATTAGTCCACATCATTTTGTTGCTGCCGTTGTATTGGCATAAACCCCCTTTGTTTTACAAAAAAAAGTATTTGCGCCGGTAACTTACATCTTTGGCCTCGGTTTTAGTCAGCAGCGAATACCTGTCTGAGATCTTGTCGACACACGGCTTACACACCATAACCTTGAATACCTTCAAATAAGTCACATCAAGATCCAGCGATCCGCACTCCACACACATCTGGCACTCATCAGGATCTGGGTCATAAGGTATGTCGTCGATTTCCAAAACCTTGCGCTTTTTCTCAGGCACATTATCCGAGCGCTCTTCCTCAAGAAAACCGCCGCGTGTATCGCGCATTGTGCTTAGATTGTATTCGTAAAAGCCGGAGGACATTTTTGTGGCGCGCAGCTTTTTCTCGGCTGGTCCTGGTGGTGCTAGGCTTGAGGCAGGTGTTTGGGATTGGGATTGCTCGGCGTGTTTGCGTTTTGTAAGGGCGCGCTGTCGGTTGGACTCTATGAGTGCCAGCTGCTCGGGCGTGAGCGGGTTTGGATCTGGCATTGTGCGTACATAAAAATAAGAATGTAAAAAATAGGTTGAGAGGGAAGAAAGAAAAGAAAAATTAAAATTAAAATTTTTTGGATGGGTGGGTTGAGGGGCCAAGTGCTTCTTCTTGGAATCCGCAGCAGATTCTTGATTTTTGCTAGGCTGGTCAATTGATTTTGAAGTGATTACGTCATGGACAGCGCACAAACAGCCAGCACCAGATCCAATATTCAATATCCAAACTGATGCTATTATGCGCAATCTGTTCTGATCCGTTTTGTAATGATATCCACCCCCAGTCTCTTTTTTTCCCACCACCATACCACCCCCACTCAAACTTTTCTCCTCTCCGCGTGCGGATCACAAATATATTTAATATATCGCAAAATTTTTGCTTCTTATTTTGCGCATCATGAGGTCAACCTTTTTTCAATTGCAAACAAGATTCTCTTCTCTTTTACTTTTGCTTTCACTTTTCATATACCATTTTTATAATATCAACAACAACATACCGAATAGAGTCGTACTTAAAGAAATAAAAGATGCAGAGCGGCGTGTACCATAAAAGGTTAATGTCAGAGCTGAGGCAAATACAGTCCAGCACGCTCAGCAACGTGCATTTAAAAACCTACGAAGGCCTAGACACCTGGGTAATCACTATCCACGGTGCTGAGAAGACGCTGTATGCTGGGGAGGAGTTTACATTGCGGCTCAAATTTCCGAGCAACTACCCGTTCGAGGCTCCCGAGGCAATATTCGTGGACAAGGTCCCGGTGCATCCGCATGTTTATAGCAATGGGCATATTTGCCTGAGCATTCTGTATCAGCAGTGGTCACCTGCATTGACTGCGCAGACTTTGTGCTTGTCTATTCTGTCGATGCTTTCGAGCTGTGTGACAAAGGTATGTATGGTATTATGAAAGCGCTGTTTGCTTGAGTGGTTTTTTTTGAGAGAATATATGCAAACATTGTATTTTTGTGATACTAATTTTAAAGGGGTTGTTTGTAGGAGCGGCCGACAGGCGATCTAAACTACGTCACGGTGGCCAGGTCGCCAAAGGATGCCATTTGGAATTTTGACGGTAAATCATTAGGAGACAAAAGTGCCAGGATAAATGCTTGGATAAATTAGGCATATGCTAAATTTTCTGAATGTTTTGTTTTATAAATTTGCTGTAGATGACAGTGTTTGACGTTGTTACAACATGACGCAGTTCGTATAAACAAATGGACATAGTTTGCCAGCGGCTGGACATTTCAAATCGATGAGTCAAGTGTTCTTTCAAGTGTTTACTTGTAAAATAAACAAGATCAAATACTATACATTTCAAACGCTTTTAAACCCCTCAATTGAATAAAACGTTATATCCGCTCACACAGCCAGATGGCCACGCCGCATCCGCCCTTGATCAGCTCAAATTGTAGCTTATACAGGGGCGCCAGCTGCGATCCATTCTCCACCGCAGTATCCAAATGCTCCAGCTCCTCATCCCTGCACTTTGCAATGGTACCCTTGAGCTCATCCAACTCCTTATACTTGAGCTGGTACAAGTCACGAAGCTGATCATCATAATGCCCACCAATCCTCGTCTCCACAGCCTCCGTACAAGTCATCGCCGACTTGACGCCCAACAACGCCGAAGTAACACCCAGCATATACCCGCCAACAGCTGCCAAGGGCTGCAACAAGGTGGGCCGCACTTTGAAATCAACAATGAGCTGATCCATTAATTCCAAGTGCACCATTTCCTGATCGCGCATGTGCGCGAGCAAGGTTTTGAGCTCTGGCGTTTGCCGGCCTAAGATAGCCATTTGCCCTTTGTAGATTGTGACGGCAGCGGTTTCTCCGGCTTGGTTGACGCGGATGAACTGGTCTATCATGGCGTGCTCTTGTCTGGTGAGCGTGAGCGTGTTGTTTTTCACTTGCACTGTATCCTTGTATTGGAAGGGCTTGAGATACGGGTTGTGCACTGCCGGGCTGCTCAGAGCGCGGGTCAGCGGGCGCGTTGAATTGGCAGTAACAATTCGTAATAAAGTTGAATTCATGTTTGATTTTTTTTGGAAGAGAATAATTGCTAAATTCAATTTGGATATTTGCGCGGAAAGGAAAAAAAAGAGTGAACAGTAAATATAGAAAATTGTTGGTGACGCTGATAATATTCTCCCACTAAAAAAAACACCGCATTTATCGTTTATCAGCTTTGATCAGATACTGGTGTTGATTAGCAGTTTAGGATCAATCTTAATAATTCTGTGTTCGATATATAATTGCAGATATTTCTGCACACTAAAAGAAAAAATGAGACCACAAATATCCTGCAAGTTGACATCCTTCCCATTCGGCTTGCATAGCAACCTGACAGGTGTTTAGAAACTAGTGGCAATAGACTGCTATGGTTGACGATGTTATTATCCAGCTCGCTGCCTCTTGCAAAGAGAAGAAGCAGGGGCAGGTAGATTCTTGCGCACACGCCTGGGCTTGGGCTTGGGCCTGCGCTTGAACAAAGTCTTGGGCTTGGGCGGCTTGAGCAAAGTCTCAGGGGCCGTTGTAGACTTAGGTTCAGCCGACTTTGACGATATTTTTTGCGCAAGAAACGGGTTTTGAAAATCCCCCGCTTAAAAATCTGGACTTTCACTATAAATGTCTGGAAATTCCAAAATCCATTTACATTTCTGTATTGCTGCCGGAAAATCAGCAGGGGGACTGACTTGTATGTAATATGATGTAATAAACTTTGATTTGTCTGGGACAGCTTGTTTATTTTTTATCTCTCGCGGCGTGTCCGGTTCAAAAATTCAAGTCTAATATGGCTTGGTCACGGGAAAGTCGTGAGAGCAACAATCGGAGATGATGCACTGCGCCATTGAGCCGGCAAAAATATGAGAGTTAAAGTGACACGGCCGTACCACACCAAAAACCCCCCTCCTTTCTCCTTTTCTTTTCTTCATTCAGCTGACTTTTTTTAGTATTTGCATTAACCTTACTCGTACCTCTATTATTATAAGACAAATAAGTGCAACCATTTTATACCATGTCCACGCCAAGCCCCCAAAGCACAGGCAGCAAAGCAGGAGAACATGTTTCCTCCAACGCACAGCGCGTATCTGCGATACAAGAAGCGGCGGGATCGCGCCCCGTCTCTGGGTCCACGCCCAGGAGCTTTACGCAAGAGACAGAGCTTCTCATCTCGGGCTCTGTGGCCGACGACAGCGACGCGCCATTAAGGCGGCCGCGCTCTGAAATGGTTCTGTCTGAGGCCGAAGCAGCGCGGCGGCTAAAGAGACATTTGGTCACTCGCCCTCTGGCTGCGCCCTCCATGAGCTCACAGCCGCGGAGCTACGGGAGCCTGGGTGGCAGCAACGACAATGGGTATCGGACGAGAACGACGGCGAGGACGAAGGTGACAGCAACCGGAATGCATCGGACGATGAGGAGCCTGTGGATCCGTTTACGCTCCCGTCGGGCGACATCACGCACCCGCTATACCGGTGGCACGAGGAGCACGGCCAGGGTCGCGTGCGGGGAGCACGCGGCGGAACCATAACCGCACGCGGTCGTTTTCTGCGGCGCCGTCGGACACGGAGTGGGGCCTCGGGTACACGCCCGACCAGATCCTGGCACCCGGCGGGTTCAGGCGGCAGTTTGTGCACGAGCGTGCGGCGCAGCAGGGCCGGCCGGCCAATATTCTGACGGCGAACTTTGTCGACTACATGGGCTCTACGGCCACTTTGCCGGCGGCGATTACCCGAGTGACGAGGACGATGACGAGGACGAGGAAGCGGGTGGCGACGAGGAGGAGGGCGGCGCTGAGGAGCGCGCGGCACTGATCAGGGCTTCCAAGCGACAGGCGCGCGATATCAGGGGCACAGCAACCCCGCGCAAGGCGTTCTTCCTGCTGATAAAGTCATTTGTCGGAACGGGGATCCTGGTGCTGCCACGCGCGTTTTTCAACGGTGGGCTGGTCTTCTCGACGGTGCTTATGTCGGCCATTGCCTGGTACGCGCTGCACTGCATGATCATGCTGTCCGACGTCTACTTGAGCTTGGCGGCAGCTACGGCGACCTCGCACTCAAGCTGTACGGCCGGCCGCTAAAGTACTGCGTGCTCGTTTCTATTGTGTTGGCGCAGCTGGGATTCTGCTGCGCATATGTCATTTTCGTTGCGACCAATATGCAGGACCTGTGGAATTCGCTCACCGGGTGCCGGTACCAGTTTTCGGCCGAGGCATGGATCGTCGTGCAGCTGCTGGTGTATATTCCGCTGTCCTTTGTGCGCAAAATCAAAAAGTTTGCCTCGATCTCGGTTATTGGGAACTTTTTCATTCTCGTTGGACTGGGCTACCTGTTTGTTTACGACTTTTGGTCGCTGGCTGTCACGGCCCAGCAAAAGTCGTGCAGTTTAACCCGAGCAAGTTCCCGCTGCTGGTGGGCACGGCGCCTTCTCGTACGAGGGCATTTCGCTGGTGATCCCGATTGTCGAGAGCATGGAGCACAAAGAAAAGTTCAACAAGGTGCTCACGTCCTCGCTAGTGATCTGTGCGGGGCTCTTTGTGTCCATTGGCGCGCTCTCGTACCTGACTTTGGCGACGCCATCGAGCCCGTTGTTCTGCTCAACCTGCCCAGCGGATCCATGTGGACATTGGGCATACAGCTCCTGTACTCCCTAGCCATCATCATGTCTGTACCCTTGCAGCTGTTCCCAGCCATCCGAATTCTCGAATCCGGCCTGTTTACGAGATCAGGGAAGGGAATTTGGTCGTGAAGACGCAAAAGAACTTGTTTCGCACTTTGGTCGTTGTGGTTGTAGCGCTGGTGGCTGTGTTTGGCGCCGAGAAGCTCGACAATTTCATCGCTATTGTCGGTGCCGGCGCCTGCATTCCGCTGTCCTTTCTGTTCCCGCCGATGCTGCACTACCGCGTGTTTGCCAATACTTTGGGCGCAAAGATTAAGGATATGGCTTGATTACTGTTGCGCTTTTTGGCCTCGTCTATGTCACATACATTAGCGTCGACACTTGGGGATCCACCACGCCGCCGCTGGACCGCTGTGCGACAAGCCCTCCTTAAGTTAAGTTTAAGTTTGATCTTTATGAACTCATGAACGCTTCAAAGATACATTGTATTTTTTATTTATTGAATCGGGTATAACCAATGCAATGCTTTATTCGCTCCATTTTGAACTATCGTCGATCTGATCCCGTTTGCCCACACCCGCATTGGGCACACCGCGCATGCGCTTGCGCATATCCAGTAGTCCGCGCTTGCATTCAAACAGGCTTTTGCCGAGCATCTTGCATTGCTCCGGGACGAGGTGCGCAGATCCTTGTTTCTTATGCACTCGTCGACAGAGTGTCTCTTGATGAATACGCATTCGGACCGTAGAAGGCATGAATATATTCGTCGCGGATCCCATCGCAAGAAGGCATTTTTAAATTTGCAATAATTAAAGAATAGAGAAGAATAAAAATAAAAGTTGTGAAACTGAAAAAAAAGTGAAAAAGTCTTCGATTTTTTTTATCTGCGAGCAAAAATAAGTGATCTCCCCCACATTGTGATTTCAAAAGTTGGTTGGTTTTCAGTCGAGCAAGTAATGGGACAAGAAAAAAATACTTTACAAAATGTGATTTTTATTATTTAAATTCTGCATCATTAACGCAGAAAAAGAAAAAAAGTAAGGAGTCAAAGAGGAGTGGAGAAAGAGGTCCCATTAGCAGGCGCAAGCAGTGCCGCACCGGTTGGTCGCGTCGCACTTGCAATCAACGCACTTGCATGCATCGCCGCACTTGCACACCTCATTGCACTTGCAAAGCTCGCACTTGCAGTTGTCACCGCACTTGCACCCCTCATTGCATTTGCAAGTCTCGCACTTGCAGTTGTCACCGCACTTGCATGTGGCAACCTTCTTCTTGGTGCTGCAGCAGGACTCGGCCCCAGCAGCCTTCTTGGTGCTGCAGCAGGACTCGGCCTCGGCCGTCTTGTCAGCGCAGGAGCACTTGTCGCCGCATTCGCATTTGTCGCCGCACTTGCACTTATCGCCGCACTTGCACTTGGATGAGGTCTTCCTGCAGCTGCTGGTTCCGGGCATGTGCATTCGGTGGTGCCGGGCTGTCCGCATGTGCATGAGGCGGAGTCGCATTTGCCGCCGCACTTGCAGCCGGCGCAGGCAGGGGTGGCAGCGGTAGTGGTAGTCTTGTTGTCGCAAGGGCAAGCCATTTTTGTTATGTGTTGAAAGCTGGGTTTGGAGATGGTTTATGAGCGTTGAAAAAGGATGATAATGATGGTGTTTGTTAAGTTGGAAAGATGAAGAGAAGAGTCGTGCGGATGGCAGCGGTCTTTTATACCCAGAAATTTGTCTTTTTGGGGGAGGGTTTAGTACAGCTCTGCCTTTTTTAGCATTGTTTTACATTGTTCTAGCACACCTTTTCTTTGCTTGCTACGATCAAAGCACTCTTTATGCCGTGTGAGAAATTAACGCTATTGGCTGCCCCTTTCTCAAACCAAACAGCCGTACGCATCCAAACCTCGCTTAAAAAAAGAGGGGGGAGGGCGGACTAAAAAGAAGGAAAGAAAGCGAGGCATTTAATTTCGGTGAGCACAGATTGGCCAGTCCAGTTTTTATTTGTATTCCTCTCATGGTCACAGGATTTTCCCACACGCCTTAATGCAAAATGCAAGAAGAAAGAGCGGGGGAAGTAAAAAAAAGAATATTTAGGATAATGGAGATTTCCATTTTGTTCCAAGTCAATATTTTTGCGCTGAGCGGTTTTTGCGAGCCTCACAAAACATGGCTTTTTTATTTTAGAAAAAGAGACCACCCCCCCTAATTTATTATACGTTTGGTCGATACTGCGAAAATGTCTCACAAAACACATGGGAGCTTGATGACAAATAAAAAAATGGCAGATTGATTGATCGCGTAATCACATTTTTAAAATCTAATCAATCCTATTCGCGTCGCATCACGCAACTCTGTGAACAAGTAGTTGTTTATTTTTATTGGCAACGCTCACTTATTTTTTTTCCTCTCTCTCTGCCAAATTTCCCTCCTTTCACATACTATTTTACCCCCGCTCATTGGATTTGCTTTTCTTTTATTAACCCTCCAATTAAAAAAGTTTATTACTTTCCATTTCATTCAGCTCCTAGAGGGGGGGAAATACACACCATACCGAGAAACTATGAACGCAGCTACACCCGCCACAACCACGTCGCACGCCGGCACGCCGGTGCCCTCTGACACGGGGGACAAGCGCGAGTCAACAGCGCAGGTGAAGACCAGGACCGCGCGGCGGCCGAAGAAAAGGTAATAAACGAAGAGTACAAGATGTGGAAGAAGAACTCGCCGTTCCTGTACGACCTCCTGGTGACGCACGCGCTGGAGTGGCCATCGCTGACGGCGCAGTGGTTCCCCGATATTGAGCGGCCCGAGGGCAAGGACTATACCATCCAGCGGCTCTCCTGGGCACGCACACGTCGGACAACGAGCAGAACTACCTGCAGATAGCCCAGGTGCAGGTGCCGAGGGACGACATGGCAGAGCAGCACAAACTCAATGGCGAAAGCGGGGAGCTTGGCGGGTATGGCGGCGCCGAGTGCAAGATCAGCATTGTGCAGCGGATCAACCACGATGGCGAGATCAACCGGGCGCGGTATATGCCGCAGAACCCCGACGTCATTGCGACCAAGACCGTGGTAGAGAACGGCGCCGTGTTCATCTTTGACCGCACGCGCCATCCGTCGACGCCGGCCAACGACGGAGTGTGCCGGCCGGACATCAAGCTCGTCGGCCATTCGCGCGAGGGCTACGGCATGGCGTGGAACGTGCACCGGGAGGGCTACCTGCTCAGCGCATCCGAGGACACCACGGTGTGCTTGTGGGACATCAAGGGCGTGACGCGGGACCAGCGCAAGCTCGAGCCCCTGTGCGTCTTCCGCGGCCACACGGCCATCGTCGAGGACGTAGCGTGGCACTCGATGCATCCCGAGATATTTGCGTCGGTCGGCGATGATCGCCGGCTGTTGATCTGGGACACGCGGCGGGCACCAGGCGAGAAGCCCGTGCAGGATGTCGTTGCGCACGAGTCGGAGGTCAACTGCGTGGCATTCAACCCCAAGTCCGAGTTTGTTTTCGCCACTGGGTCTGGCGACACCACCGTGGCGCTGTGGGACCTGCGCAACCTCAAGTACAAGCTGCACTCGCTGGAGGCCCACAAGGACGAGGTGCTGCAGCTGGCGTGGTCGCCCAAGCACGAGACTGTGTTGGCCTCGGCCAGTGGCGATCGCCGCGTCAATGTCTGGGATGTCAGCCGTATTGGCGAGGAGCAGACTGCGAGGATGCGGAGGACGGCCCGCCCGAGCTTATGTTTATCCACGGCGGCCATACCAGCAAGGTGTCGGACCTGGGCTGGAACCTCAACGAGGACTGGACCATGTGCACGGCTGCCGAGGACAACATTGTGCAGGTGTGGCAGATGGCCAGCAACATCTATGCGCCCGTCGATCCGTCGACTGTGCCTGCAGAAGCTGTCGAATGAAGAAGAAGAAAAAAAGTTTTTCTTCTTGGTCTTTCCTTTAATTTCTTTGTCCTTTTCCTCTTTCTTTTTCTATATCCCTTTTCTCTCATTTTCAATTACAATTATTACAAAAAAAATTATCTTTATAATGTCCACAATCAGACGGTTCCGCGCCATGGACATGTTCAACTTTGGCAGCGTCAATTTGGACCGCTACACAGAAACCTACGACCTCTCCTTCTACCTCTCGTACCTTTCAAGCTGGCCAGACCTCTTCAACATAGCTGTGTCTGCCGACGACACCATGATGGGCTACATAATGTTTAAGTTGAAGGCGAAGAACGGGAAAAAGAATGGCACGGCCACGTTACTGCGCTCACTGTAGCACCAGAGTGCCGACGCCTGGGGCTAGGCCGCGGCCTCATGCAGGTGCTGGAAGATGCATCGGAGAAGATCCACAATTGTTACTTCGTCGACCTATTCGTGAGGCCGTCTAATAAAGTCGCAATTGCTATGTACGAGGGAATGGGGTATATTGTGTATAGGGAAGTCATTGATTATTATATGACTGACGGTATTATGCCGACGGAGAGTGCCTTTGATATGAGAAAGGCGCTGGCGAGGGATGTGCACAAAAAATCGGTTGTCCCGTTGAAGCGCCCGATCACAGTCGATGAGCTGTTCAACCCAAGGCGATAAGAAGATTCACACAACTGTCTCCCCCCCTCCCTCTCTCTCTCTCTCTCATTTTTGGACTACTACTGGGTGTGGCTTTTGGCTCTCTCGACAAGCAAAATGAATAGACGAAATAAAATAAAATTGTTGAAAAATTTAGTGTATAAACGACGATAATGGGAAAAAAGAGAGAAATTTATTTTAATAAAGGCCAACCAACTACTTAGTCCTTCTTGGCATCCTTAAAGTCGGCATCCTTGGTGTCCGACGACTCGGAGCTGCTGCTGGACTCGTTGTTGTTCTGGCTGGCGCGCTGCTTGTAGACCATCTCGAAAAGCTTCAGCGAAGCCTGCTGGACGTTACCAGCCTGCTGCTTAATCTCCTCAGCCTTAAGGCTAGTCTCACCCGAGTTAACCTTGGCCAGTGTCTGGCGGAGCTCATCCAGCTGAGTGCGGATCTTCTCACCCTCAGCCTTGTCGAGCTGCTCCTTGAACTCCTCCATGTGCTTCTCAGTATCGGTGATAATGGACTCAGCGAGTTGGTGGCCTCAATAACCTCACGGCGCTCCTTATCGGCCTCAGCATGCTTCTCGGCGTTGGCAATCATATCCTCGATCTCGGTCTCGCTGAGACCCGACGACGCGGCAATGGTGATGGACTGGTCCTGGTTGGTGGCCTTGTCCTTGGCAGACACGTTGACAATACCGTCGGCGTCAATATCGAAGGTGACTCGATCTGGGGCACGCCCTTGGGGCTGGGGGCAGGCCGTGAGCTGGAAGTTGCCGAGGATCTTGTTGTCGCGCACAAGCTCGCGCTCGCCCTGGAACACCTTGATCTCGACGGCGGTCTGGCCATCGGCGGCAGTCGAGAAGACCTGCGACTTCTTGGTCGGGATAGTCGTGTTCCGGTTGATCAGGCGGGTGAAGACACCGCCGAGGGTCTCGATACCCAGGGACAGAGGGGTGACGTCGAGGAGCAGAATGTCGGTGACCTCGCCGGCCAGCACACCACCCTGGATGGCAGCGCCCATGGCGACAGCCTCATCGGGGTTGACGGCCTTGGTGGGGTCGCGACCGAAAATGCCCTTGACAGTCTCCTGCACCTTGGGCATGCGCGACATACCACCGACCAGGATAACCTCACCGATCTTGTTAGCGGTGACGCCCGAGTCCTTGAGCGCCTTCTTGCAAGGCTCAACAGTACGGTCAATCAGCGACTTTGTCAGCTGCTCGTACTGGCCGCGGGTCAGCTTCATGTTGATGTGCTTGGGGCCCGAGGCATCAGCAGTGATGAAGGGCAGGTTGATGTCAGTCTGGACGGTCGAGGAAAGCTCGATCTTGGCCTTCTCGCAAGCCTCGCGGATACGCTGTGTGGCCATGCGGTCGCCCGAGAGATCAATGCCGGTTTCCTTCTTGAAGTCATCGACGACCTTGCGCACCAGGTAGATGTCAAAGTCCTCGCCACCAAGGTGGGTGTCACCGTTGGTCGACTTGACCTCAAACACGCCCTTCTGGATCTCGAGAATCGAGATATCAAAGGTTCCGCCTCCGAGATCGTAGACGGCAACAAGCTTGTCGCCCTCCTTATCCACACCGTAGGCCAGCGCCGCGGCGGTGGGCTCGTTGATAACACGCAGGACGTTGAGGCCGGCAATGGATCCGGCATCCTTGGTAGCCTGGCGCTGTGAGTCGTTGAAGTAGGCCGGCACAGTGATAACGGCGTTCTTCACGGGCTTGCCAAGATAAGCCTCGGCGGTCTCCTTCATCTTACCGACGACAAAGGCACCAATCTGTGCGGGCGAGTAGGCCTTGCCACGGGACTCAACCCAGGCATCACCGTTGCTGTGGCCAACAATCTTGAAGGGAACCTCCTTGATGTCGCGCTGGACCTCCATGTCCTGGAACTTGCGACCGATCAGACGCTTGGTGGCAAAAAGGGTGTTCTCGGGGTTGACCACGGCTGGCGCTTGGCGGGGACACCAACAAGGAGCTCGCCGTCCTTGGAGAAGGCAACAGTCGAGGGCGTGGTGCGGCCTCCCTCAGAGTTCTCGATAACGCGTGTGTCTTACCCTCCATAACAGCGACGCAAGAGTTGGTCGTGCCGAGATCAATACCGATGACCTGGCCCTGACCTTGCCACTCATGGCGCGGACACCCTGCTTCATGAAGCTAGGGCGGGCAGCGGTAGACCGCAGGCTGCGCATGCAAGACATGTACATTTTTAGTTTGGTTTGGGTTTAAAAGTTGTGAGTTTTTTCAAGTGGGAGAGGGTGATTGTACAGAAAAGAGAGTAAAGTGAGCGAGCTCTATAAAGTAATAAAGACCAGCAACAGCTTTAATTAAACAAAAAATAGATAGTAGTGAGAAGAAGAGAAAAAGAAGACAAAGAGGATTAGGATAAAAAAATTTACAGACGCAGCGCAATATCCACAGGCGTTAAAAAATGTGAGAATCGTATTTCGATAAGCTTCAAAAAAAGTTGGGTTTGGGCCCTTGTGTGCTGACCGCCGACCACGCTTTTTATTTGATAATCTCGTGGAAGCATTAGAGGAGTGCCATAGAACATTTTCGTTTGACACCGAAGCTCATCGAAAAAAATGTCAAAAGATTACGGCGAGCAAAAATGGAGGAAGAGAAGGAAAAAAAGTGCGTAATTAGCGCTTTTCAACCCCATCCACCCAAGTCCGCCAAATCCGAGTAATCTCGAGCCGTGATTGGCTGATCGCTCCAAGTGGACATAATTTCTTGCCGTAAGCCTGATAACCAGTCACATTCGTTTTAAATGTCTTGATCTTTTAATCGCACTATGCTGATCACAGGAATAATATAGCACATCCTTCCTTTTTTAATTTTAATTTTTGGTCGTGTGTCTGGAACCGCTGCGTATTTGAAAATATGAGCTGCAAGCGATCTAGAACATCGTTGTAATATTAGATTTTGTATATTGCGCGCACTTTATATAAATGTACTAGTTTTCATTTTTCATTTATTTTTTTTGTCGGTGGCGTAGATCATTTGTCTGTTAATTTGTCCAGTGTGCTGGGCACATGCCTTATATGCAGGATGCCTGTGGCACGAGAATAAGAACGAACGAATAGCAATGGCCACAGATAATAAATAATAAACTAGCACTGTCGCTTGCCTTGCTCAAGATAAATGCCTATATAACAGGAAACTATAACCGCTGGGTTTCTTTTTTCTCTTGTTTTCTCTCTTTGTATATCACACGTACAAAAAATATATACACATTTATTCTTTTTCAAGGGAATTTCGTTACTTGACAGCCTTTTTTCTGCACATCAGATTATACCCGACGCACAGACCACTTTGCAATTTTTTCTTCTTTTTTTGCTTGCATCCAAACGAGCTTACAAGAAAAGTATAAAGTCAATCAAATCAATTTTTGGTTGGGTTGGTCGTCGCGAACAATGACCATCACGCAGCAAGACAGGTAAATTGTCCGAATATAAATAAAGCGCCTTCATTTATCATTTTTTGAAACTCAATTTTGAGTTGTATCTTTTTCTCACAAGCCATGCCTCTAAATAATCTTACCATGTGATTTCAAGCAATGTTTTTTATATTTCCCCCCTTTTCTTCCCTTTCTTTTTTTTAATTTTTATCTGTCTTGTTTTTCGTCTTCATCTTTGCTTCTCTTTTATTCTCACACGCATATATATATTAACGATAAATTACAAGTACTAATCGCACTTTATATTTAACTAAATATTATGGTTGCTCCAATGGTATCTCGGAGGAGGAACCGGTACACAAACAACTGGACACAACCTCTAACAATACCACTGTCGGTAACTAAACAGGACCTTAGTAGCGTTGTCAATGTATACGAGTTTGTCAACCCTTTGCACAACAACATCAGCAGCGCACGAGCTGGAACCACTGGTAAGCTGGAAAATTTTTTATTGAAATATCCTCAATAGAGAATAATTTTTTTTAGTAGCTGGGATTGTAGTAGTAAAAGACAATATAGATAATCTCAACTATACATTTTTTTACTGCACCCTGTATAATTTATTTATGAAAAATGTGTGTAGGCAATTGAGAGATGTCGTATTGTGTCCATCAACCAAGCCCGAGTTGTATTCAATATTCCGCTGCAATGTCGATAAATACGACATTCGCAAACACCAAGTAAGTATTTCCATATGACACCATTCATATTTACATTTTGCCATTGTAATAATAAAAACATGTTTTTTATTAATATACATGCACAACTATACATTTTTTGTTTTAAACGTTTATAGTCTACGCGAGTGCTGGGCAATTTGGAGTTTGACCCAGTGTCCATGGCAATTAGCGGCGACTACATAGTGGTGGGTGGTCAGCGGGCAGAGTTGGCGGTGGGGCGACTGAGTGAGCCAGATAATTTGACGGTTGTCCGGTCAGGTGGATCCATTAATAATTTTGTAGCACTCGATCAGCAACAGCATGCGGGGAATCGGCGGCGGCTGCGGGACTCAGCAGCGTATATCGAGGATAGTGTGACGAATCTCAATATTACTGGAGAACATGATGTGCCGCGCTTGTTAGTATGTAATAATGACCATTCGGTGCGGCTCCTGGCACTACCTAATCTCGATTTATTGACTGAATTGCGGTTCCCAACGGCTGTGAACTACGGTAAGCAAAAAAATTGTTATTTTTACTATTGACATTGCTGATATATATGAATCATTTATTTATTTATATATGCATTGTTTGTCCTTAAAATTAATCATATACCTTTTTCATATATTCTCACCAAACTCTTTTTTTTATAATATACATGTTGTAGCGGCAATCAGCCCCGATGGCACAAAAATGTGTGTGGTAGGAGATTCAAACGAGGTGTTTTTATTCCACAAGCGCGGCGACACATTTGAAAAAATAGCAACCCTCACAGCCTCCAACGACGCCAGCTTCTCATGCGACTGGAGCCAGAACTCGAAGCAATTCGCGGTCGGCAGCCAAGACGGCTACGCCACAGTGTGGGATATTCGGTCGCAACAAAAAATGGTTCAGCTCGAGACATTCCAACATGGGAGATCGCGCGGTGCATGCAGGAATGTCAAATTTTCACCTAGCGGGTCTGTTGATTTACTGGCGTTTTCGGAACATACCGGGTACGTCAACATTGTTGACACAAGGGAGTTTGCCCGGAGGCAGGTTCTCAGTGTGGCCATACTGGGTTCGCAGACTGCTGGGGTTGAAAGTGCAAATGCTGAGGCTGGAATGCATGATTTGCAAATCACTGGCATGCGATTTGCTGCTGATAGCTCAGCGCTGTTTGTCGGGCTGGAGCAGTCAATCCTCGATACACGGTGGACCAAGTCGGCAGACACAGTTTTGCAAGCAGTGCGTTGATTTAACGCAAAAAATAAACACTTTTTTATTAGTGAACCTGAGAGCTGGCCAAACGGCCATACAGCTTGGGCGCGGCATTGGCAATCCACAGCGGGTCAGCGGCAGAAACCGCCCGAGCATGTAGCTTGTTAGTGAACACCAGCTGGTCATAAAAAATAGCCGGCGTTTTTTTGCCAAAAAGCGACGACCCCGGGTGAATATGCACCGTCTGCGAGCCGTTCAGCGAGCGATAGGATCCATCAGGCTGCAGCAGCGCGCAGTTGTGGAAGAATCCAGCCAAAAAGCATCTCAAAACCACAGTCAGATCCGACCCACAGCTGCGCTCAACGTTCATCCCCAGGCGCACGCATAGGCGACTCAGCTGCTGACGCACATCCAACACGTGCTTGATATTCCGGCGATTAACGAAGTGCTCCTGGCACCAGTCCTTGTCGCCATGGGCTTTGGTGAACGCGCGCAGGAGGTTGAGGAAAGTCAAGTGGTCGCCGTCCGACGACCTGAAGGCATTTGCGCGGCATTGCTTTCATCGCGCTTGTCCGCAGGCACATAGAACAGGGAGTCGACGGAGAGCAAGGCGACAATGTCGATGGCCTCGCGGGTGCATCCGGCGGCGGCCGAGGCATGGATGACTTTGGCGTAGGAGGGCTCCAGCGGGAACTCCGACATCCACCGGCCGAGCTCAGTCAGCTCGCCGCGATCATCCAGAGCCTCCAACGCGTAAAGCTCCAGCAGCGCGTGGCGCAGGGCCTTGCGCGACGGCCGGTCCATAAAGTCAAACTGCATCGGGTCGCGCACGCCGGCGGCCTTGAGCTGCAGAACAACCATGGTGAGTGGCAGCGCTTGATCTCCGGCACACTGTCCTCGGGCAACTGCGCGTAGTCCGCCTCCGTGTACAGCCGGTAGCTGTGGCCGGCGGCCTCGCGCCCGGCACGCCCCGTGCGCTGCCGCGCCGACGACTTGCTAATGGGCTCAACCAGAAGCGACTCGCCGACGCGCGGGTCGAAGCCGCGCACCTTGTGGACCCCGGAGTCGATGACGTGGCGGATCCCGGGGATCGTCAGCGACGTCTCGGCGATGTTCGTCGCCAGAATCACCTTGCGTGTAAAGTCGGGCGCCGGATCGAACACGCGCGCCTGCTGGGCCTGCGGCAGCGCGGCGAAGATCGGGCACGGCAGCAGCGCGGGCACGCCGGCAGGCAAGCTGGCGGCCGAGTCAATGAGCAGCCGCTCGACGTTCTCGATGTCCTCCTGGCCAGCAAGGAACACGAGGATGTCGCCGGAGGTGCTGGGCGTCTCCGTGTGGATCTGCAGCGCCGCCAGGTGCGCGGCGTCCAGGTAGTCGGCCTGCGGCGTCGCGGTGTAGTACGTAGTCACCGGGAACTGCCGCCCGGCCACGTATAGGATCGGCGCCGAGTCGAAGTACGCCGAGAACCGCTCGGCGTCCAGGGTGGCGCTCATGACGATCACACGCAGGTCGTCCAGCCCCGTGACGTCGCCGTGCACGGCGTCGGTCACCGCCACTGCCGCGGGGGCCGGTTGCTCCGCGTCCTCTTCGCCGAACTTGACGTGTGTGCCCCGCGACCGGTGGTCGGCCTGCGGCTCGTCCAGCGGCTGCTGCGCGCTGCGGTTCAGCTCGGCCACGCGCGCGCGCTCGCGCTGGATGTCCTTGAGCATCCCAAGCAGGATATCCGTGCGCAGCGTGCGCTCGTGCGCCTCGTCCAAGACCACGACCGAGTACCTGCGGAGCAGCGGGTCCGCCAGAATCTCTCTCAGCAGCAGCCCATCGGTGCAGAATCGCAGCTGGGTCAATGGCGACGAGCAGTCCTCGAACCGAATGGTGTACCCGACCCGGCCGCCCAAGGGGGTGCCGACCTCCTCAGCCACGCGTTTGGCAATGGATGTGGCTGCGACGCGCCTAGGCTGGGTTACGGCGATCGCGGTTTGGCCCCTGGTGGTGAACCCGCTTTCCAGGAGGTATTGCGGGATTTGTGTTGTTTTGCCGGATCCGGTTTCTCCTACTACCACCACTGTCGGGTGGTTGGATATATGGTCTATGATTGCGTCGCGCGCTGTGAAGATTGGAGTGCTTCGCGTTGGGGCCGCAGACGCTGCGCTTGTGCGCGGTAGTCCGGCGTGGTGCTGTTGCCTTCTTGGGCGCTTTGTTCTGGACGCCTGCCTCGTTGAGAGGCTCCGAATCCGCAAACTGAATCTTCCTGGCCATCGTGTGTGTGAATTACTTGTAACAAATATGTATTAAATAGAGGGTATATGCTGGCAGCAAACAGGCGAAGCAGCAGAAGCAAGGCGGCAAGTGAGTGGTTCTTTTTTTGTTGCAGTTTTTTTTTTTTTTTTTTTTTGCTGGTGCGGTTTGTTGAATTTCTCATTTTGATCCGATAAAACAATATGAAAAATTAGATTGCAGTCTGGTCAAACTAGAAGCCAAAAATCGCAAACCCACACACCTATTTTTTTTTTATCTTTTTATCCCCTCTCTCGATTTCAAATTTCACTCCTTTTTTCCACCCCCCCTCCTTCCTCTCCATTATTTAATTCACTATTTATACAATGTCTAAACTCGCCACAGAGATTCTCACAAAGACGGTTCCGCCAACGGTCACTTTTGCTAGCAAGCCCAAGACCCTATACGAGCTGCTCAATGTCCAGCGCCTAAATGCTTTCAAATTCAAGACTACGCCCGAGCACTGGTACCAAAAGGGTTTCGATCAATGCTACTATGAGATCCACAAGGTCAAGTACAAGCAGTACAAGAATGAACCAACCCATGGAAAGGCTTGGGGGATTCTGTTTTGGAACGGGAAGCCGGTTAATGAGAAACCAAAGGAAATCCGCGGTGGATTAAAGTTTAGCTGGCGTAGGTACGAGAGCCCGCATGCGAATGGGATCAATATGATGCCCAGAAGGCCATGAACATGGAACGTAGGAGGACCCATTTGGTTAGGGACTTTGTGGCTAGTAGAATGCCACAAAGGCAGAGTAGGACTGACAGTAATATAATAATAAAAACAATACATATACATATTTATTTGAAACAACAAAAAAATTGTTATATTAGCGTGGAGGAAACAAAAATACCCTTTTCTGGCTGTAAATACTTGATATGGAGACCTTGTCAGACGTTGATGTGAGGCTATCGCTGCGTGGCCGTGAAATTATCCATGTTGTACGAGTCGCCCGCTGGGAATCCAGCGTTGTTTGCGTTGTTTACAACGGGGTTGTTAGCAATGTGTGTGTGTAGCGGCGACTGGTTTCTGATGCCCGGGGGTGGTAGCAGTGGCGAAACAAGGGGGCCATTCATCGGCTGCGTAAATGGTGTTGTGCCAGCAGCCAGCGGCTGTTGTAATGGCGGAGGCGGCCCACTGTTCATGACAAATTCAGGCCCGCCGTTGTACATCGACGGATCCACCCAGCTGCCAGGCATGGCGCCCTGCCGCGGCGAAGGCGGAACGTGTCCGCCATTATTGTACCCGACGAAATTGTTGTACCCGGCGTTGTTGTTGTTGTTGTACCCACCATTGCTATTGTTGTACGGCCCGTATGCGCCAGCGGGCGGCAGCGGCACTATTGCCGACATGGGCGTGGGCGGCGTGGTGGGCTGCGGCGGCAGTGGCGGCAGAACAGGCAGAGTCGGTTGCTGGTTCTGGCCAGCGACCTGGCTCGGCTCCCTATTGCGCTTCAAGAACGAGCCAATGATGCGCGGCCTGCTAGGCGGCACATACACAGGCCCATTTGTCTGCACACTACCCTTCCCCATCTTATTGAGGCGCTTCGGGCGATACCTCCCGCAGCAAGCAAAGCAGCGACAGCACATACAACACACCAAGGTCAGCAATATAAGGCCAGCGCCAATGGTGACCGGGATCGAGATGGCCAGGTTGCGCTGGAACAAAAGCAAGAACTGGTAAAAGCCATTTCACCCTTGCACTGGCCGTTGCGGCACCGCGCATGGAATCCACAGTCGGTGCCATCCATAAAGCTGCCCGACATGTAGTAGCAAAGCAGGGGATTCGATGGCTTGCTGCACTGGAAATCACACAGATCTCCGCCCATACTGATGGTGCATCGCTGCATGGTTCCGTCGGACCGCCCCTCGCCGCACACTGCGCGTCTCGCGAGGTGCACTGTCCCGAGGCACACTGCAAGCCCTTGCCTTCACCGCCGCACGTCTCTCCGTCCTTAATGTGCGTATCGGCAGGGCAGTCGGGAGAGCTCCCATCGCATGTCTCTTGGATGTCGCACTCGGAGTAACGTAGCCTGCACACAGTTCCTGTTTGAGGATCTTACACTGCTTGCAGCAAAGATCGTTAGAGTCAGCGCATTGCGCCCCAGGCTTAAGCTTGCACGTGGCGGCGTCGCAGCACGGATCCGCCTTGCATTCCTCGCTGGTACCACAGTCGCATTCCTCACCCTTCTCCTTGATGCCATTGCCGCACATGCCGGCGCTCAGCGTGCTGCGGCTGCCGGGGTCCTGCAGGCACGATATGCCGGCGGTCTTGATCGTCGTGCACATATTTCTTATGAGCACGGGCTGAAGTTGTCAGAGCTCACGGGGCTGTGGGTTCATGATGTACTTGCCACCGCAGTCGCAGTTGCCCGTGCAAGGGCAGCAGTTGACGCAGTCCGCGCCGGTGCACGGGCACTCAGAACTCGTGCAGTCGTGCGAGGCACCAAAGTTATGTCCGACCTCGTGTGCCACAACTTTCCACTCGTCGCGAGAGACCGCTGACACGCCGGTGCCCGAGGACACACCGTCCTGCACGGTGTTGGTCGACGACGAGGTCGTGCACATGGTGCCAAGCCACGCCAAGCCGACCTCTGTGCCCGACGGGCAGTTGGTCATCAGGTGCCACAGTCCACAGCCATCACTCTTCCGCGAGCCACGCCACTTGCTAAAGTCATTCAGCCGGTTGTTGATCTGGTACCCGTTGCTGCACCCGCGGTTCCACGCCGCGTTGGGATCCACTGCGGTCGGGCATGTCAGCTCCTCAATCTGCAGCGCAATGAGCCCCAGCGCCACGTTGAGCTGCCGCTCGTACACGGCGCTGGCCTGGTTCCAGTTGCTGAGAATCTGCTGCCGCGCGCTGTCCTGCGACTGATAATGGGTGACGTATGAGCAGTCCGCGGCCGCGCCCATATACAACACCTTGCGCGCCGCCAGGCACCCGGCACTGACCGCATCGTTGTTGTTGTCAAACGCCATGGCCCGCTTGGTGAAGAGCGTGCGTGGGTCGCCTGCTCGCTTTTGCATCTTGACCGGGTGGAAGGGGTCGCCTGGGTTCAACCGGTGAGGCTCATTGGGGTGTTCCCCGGAAGCCTATGCATGCCGCAGGTCTGATGCCCCCCGTGCTCTGTGACGCCAAGCCCGTCGACTTCCCGCACAAGGTCCGACTGCCTGTACACGATGGTCCTCGCCAGCCTCAGCTCCTCGCTGCCGCGCGCATACGGGTTGCTGAGCATCGGGTCGCCGTCCCTCTTTGTGCGCATGTACGCGGCCGCCGGCTTAACGTAAAACGTCTCGCCGCCATACCCAAACACGCCATCAACCACCGCCTGGCCCCAGGTGTCTTTGAAAATCGACAGTCGTGCCCACGACTGCTGCTCATCAAAAGAGTACCGGTCCTCCTTGAACATGTCCCATTTGCGCAAGCTCTCGGACACTTCGCGCGGTTGAACTTCGCCCACTCGCAGGACGTAACCGCGGTAGATGCCGATGTCGTGTGTGGGGATGCTTGTGCGCTGCTTTTTGCCATTGCTCATTGTCCGCGTCATCACTGCCTCGGGATGCACCAGGTCGTGGTTAGGCTCGACAACGAGCGAGTATGTTGTGTTGTAGGCGCGCAACTGCACGTGGAAGTGCCGTCGTCAATCATTGTTGCTAACGTCTCTTGCTCATGGAACGACCGCTTTCTCAATTTGCTGTTGCCATTACCGTCTCCGCCTGCCACGCCCAGCCGGTGCACTACGGGGTCTGCTAGAAACTCGTATTGTGAAACTACAGGGATGCTGCTTCTTGAGGACCTGCCTATTGTTAAAATCCAAAATCAGTATTAAAAATATTCCGAACCCTTTTATTCGTGCTAGCGCTAGTGTTAGTGTTAATGTCTTTTTGTTGCATGACCCGAGACCGTTTATTTATTTATTGTAGCTTGTTTCTCTTGTGGTCCATCAATATTTCCCCTCTTAAATAACTTCTCATGCCCTTGTTACCTTGTACAACTCCTATGCTAAAAACAGCACCGCCACTGCAACCGCTTGAAAACAAATCCTCATGGTATTCCTGTCTGCTATATGATGTACTCTGTCTACCGGTCCGTTTGGTCTGTCGTTTAATCAGTGTGTTTTTATTCTATAGGTACAAGGAATGACAAAAAACAAATCCGAGGAAAAAATAGTTGTGAAATGCAGAGGAATATAGAAAAAGGGGATCAAAAACAAAGAAAAATAAAATAAAAAGAGGGAGTGTCTACGGCTGCTGTCGATGATTTCTACAAAAAAGATTATAAGGAAATATGTGACGACGACAGAGTGGTAAAAGATTAAAAAAACAGAGTATAAAAAAATAAAATGAGGGGTAGTAAAACAACAGCCAGCGTTGTCAAAGTTTCAAAAACGTCTTGGCTTTTCTTTTTTCTTTTCTCTCTTGGTTAGCAAAAAACCCATGCGTGAAGTAAACAATGCTTCAAATTGTGTATGTGATGTGATATTTAATGCGCCTAAAAGTGGGAAAAAAAGATAATGTCACTAGAAAATAAACATTTGGTCAGAGCGAAGCATCTATAAAGAACAACTAAAAACAAAAACAAGCGTTGTTTTTGTTTTTGTCTTTGTGTGTTCTCTCGTCTCTCCTATTCGTCTCCTTTCTTTCTCCTTTGCAGTGCGTTGGTTTGAGATGGTTGTGTGTTCACAAGCCTTGAGGGGATGTCATTTTTATCTGCTCTGCAGTTTCTGCAAGTGACCCTTCGAAAAATATAAAAATAGATAATGCCAAGCCAAGCAAAATCCCCACCTGTCTATTTTAAACTTTCAGGATAAATTTGAAAGCTTAAAAATGAACAATACACGAATCCAAGAATCTACATATTGCCAATCTGGAAAGTATCTAAAATTGAAAAATGAACAAAAAATCAACGGGCTCACTCTTGCTTGTGCCGCCACATGCCCTCGCTGAACATGTCAATGACCATCGGCTTGCTCTTAGGCGACTCGTTGGTCGCTGGCTTCCCTGAGCGATAGTTACGCCACCCATTGCGGTACCTGTTGATCGCCTGCTGCCACAGCATCTCCAAGCTGTTCGGGTCGTTGCATATCTCCATAAAGTTGGCACGTAACGTGTCCGGGTTGGTTTCGTTCGACGTCGATACTGAAGTCGACATCGACATCGACATCGATACCGATGCCGACGCCGACGCCGACGCTGATGCTGATGCCGATCCCAACGGCGGTGTGGCCGAGCCAGTGCCCCACTCATTGTTGCGCCCGTCGCTATATGTCGACAATCCAATGTGGTCTATCGACTTGCGCAGCGCCTGGCCCTTCGGCTGCCTGAAAAACACGTCACCGTCAGGCATTGCATTGCTGCCGCCGCTGCCTCCTGTGTGTGAAGACATGCCGCTCAGCGGCGAATGTCCCTCTTTATGCCGCTCAATCGCCATGCGTGTGATGGCCGCGTTGACAGAATCAAAGTCTGCCGGCAGCATGCCTGGGCTGTTAGCCACCTGCATCGAATACCACTCGGGAATACGGAGCTTCTGGCCGTAAATGCTGTTCATGATTGGCGGCTCCTGGAACTGGTGTGGCCACATCTCGTGCGTGTGCCGTACTGGATAGAATGTTGGAATCATCCTGGACACCGAAGAATTGCCCGTCGCCGACGGGAGCATGTAATTGTCCAACTCACCAGCGCCCCTGCCAGGCACTAAGCTGCCAGACTGCAGTTGATGCTGATGCTGATGCTGATGTTGATGTTGGTGTTGATGTTGGTGCTGGTACTGGTATGCCTGGTGCTGAGCAGATGTGCGAATGGTCTGTCTGGCATTGCTACTGGGTGGTGTCGACACCGCCGACGTGTCCGAGGCTGACACAGTAGTCCCCATCGCCATACCCGATGCTGCCAACGTTGCCGCTGCTGGTCCTGACGATGCTGGCGCTGTCGCTGGACCCGAATCGCCACGAATCATGGAGTAGGACCCGAGACTCATCTGCGAAGTGGCTGTCGCTTGGAGCTGCTGGTGGTTGTTCAGCTGCTGCGGGCGCAGGTGGGTCTGATGCGATGTGAACAGGTAGTTGTTGATCCACAAAAACTCACCCGGCCCGCAAATCTGCACAAACGCCGTGCCCGAGCGGTGCACATATTGCGTGTACTCGTGCTTCTGCCGCGTGAACGTGTACTCACGATTCAACATGCTGGTATGTGGGTGGCTGTCCTCGGCCTCAACATCAAGAATAAAATCTTGCTCCTCCAAGAGCTCGCGCTCAAACGGATACGTCGGTATGCACTTGCTCATCCGCTTCACCGTACGTGTGCGCTGCGCCAGCAACGCCCGCTCGTTGTCGACAGACTTTGCACTCTCAGAACTGCCCTCCGAAGCATCGGTGTTGTACCCGTCGTCGTCACTAATGTCGGGCTCTGAGTCAGAGTTGCCAAAGTACGCAAAGTCAGACACCCACTCGTCGTCGAAAATGCCCTCGACAGGCGGCGGCGGCAGACCCAGGTTAATCCGGATTGGCGAATGGAACGGGTGGCAATCCTCGATTGACGTGTCCTGCGCCCGGGGCGCTTCAACCAGCCTCATGCCACAGCGCTCAGCCATTCGCGCCCACCCGCGAACCATGTCGTCGATGCGGTAGTTCGTGCAGTTCAGCCAATTGATCGACAGATGGAAGCATGTCATCGGGTTCTGCACCGCATCCAGATGCACCAGGCAGTGCTCGCTGCGCGTCGACTTGCGCTGCTGGTCTAAATCCAGCCCAAACATCCTCGACTGGTGCAACGTCTTTGGAAGCGGGCGCTTGCTCTTGCGTGCCGACAGCTTCGGGAACACGTCGGGAGTCCGTGTGTACTCAATACCCTTGATCCCCACGGACGGCGGAGCCACCTGGCCCGAGTATCTAGCCGCATTGTGCTCATCAGCCGCAACATTGCCGTCGCTGGAGCGTCCTGCCTGTGATGCCCGGGTATGCAGCCGTTGCTGACGCCCAGGGCGGTTGCAATTGTCCACCACTCCAGCTTCACGCTGAGGCTTGCTGCTACCGCTGTCTGTCTCGCCGGCATGCGCCGCAGACTTGGAGCTGGCAAGCTCGGTGACAGCCGCTGAAAAGGCAGCAATATTGCCCCCCGTGTCCGTGCGCGCGCGAAGCTTGCTGACCGGCTGTGGCTCACTGGCCCATGGATCCGATAAGTCGTGCGTCGTCTCCCGCGACATTGATGTCTTTGTCAGTGTGTGCTTTTTCGAGGCCATGCCAGTCCCGCTCAAGGCTGTGGCAACAGGCGTGGCTGAGGTGCTAGCTCCCATAGAGACCGTCGCTGCAGAAACAGTGGTCGAATCGCCCTCATTGATCATCGACGGGGCCTTGCTTCCTTGGCGGCTGGCTGGACGGCTTGCGTTCGGCGACGGGTTGTTGCTGCTTGTGCCATAGCGGCCCATCTTGTCGCCGAGCCCGATACTCGACATCAATGAGCTCTGCGCTCCGCGTGCTGGCGTTGCTGCTACTTGCTGCTGTGTGGTTGCCAGTTGCTGGCCCTTGTGAGCTAGTACAGAGTCGGTAAACAAGTAAAAATGGTGGCCATCCATAAAACTGTTCTTGTTCTGCGCCGACACAAACAGCCCGCGGTCCATCAGCCGGTTTCCAGCGGCCACCGCCAGCGAGCGCCTTGTGACGCCCTCAAAGTTGACTAGAATCCAGTCTACCAGCTGGTAACCGACAAATATTGAACTAAAGTATACGTAGTGCCACCTGATGTTTCGCAGCCTGACGCCGGCCTTTGGGTGCTGCAGGGCGTAAGCCAGCTGTGCAAACGGCGACTCTACATTGAGTGCCTCGTGCAGACCCAATGCTGGAGCCGCTGGCGTCGGAAGCGAAATGGGAAGACTAGGATCCGAAAAAATGTTGTCGTTCATGTAGTAGTACAGCTGGTTAATCAGGTACGGGACTGGGTACATGGTCGTGTACCTGATCTGCATCAGCGCGCTGGGCATCAGGCTGTTCAGTCCAATAGTCTTCTTGCCGTCAACTCCAACTGACGTGCTGGTCGAATGTACCGACTGCTGCACTGGCGGCTGAGCACTGCTGCCAGCGACCACAGAAGTCGCGGGCGCCACGCCAGCCACCGACTTTTGCCGCGGCTGCTGTTCCTGAAGCTGCTTCGGCTGCCCCCACTCGCCGGCCGCCTGGTTGCCAAATACCGCCGAGCTGCGAATCATGTCGGACGGCAGCGCGCCCAAAAAGCGATCCTCCAGCTTCTTGCGCTCGTCCTTGCGCAGCATGCGCAGAATGTGATCCAAAAACTTTTCAAAGTTGGCGATGCGCACGTCCTCGACGGACAGCAGCGGGTTGGACTTTGTGTTGACAATCGTGTCGTTTCCCAGCTGGTCCACGGGAATCAGGATATAGCGCGTGCGCCAGTACTTTGCCGACTTGTTCAGGTTAGGCTGGTACCCCAAAAGAAGATAGTCGAGGTTGTTCCAGTTGACCTCCTCATCGTGCGGATAGCAGAAGCCGAGATCCGCGGGCATGTACCCCATCTTGTTGTTGCGCGACCACATCTGAAGCCGGTACTTGTAGTCCGTCTGGTCAAAGCGCTTGATGCGCTCCCACCGCGTCACAGCAATGCCAGGCGTCAAGCTAGGTCCGTTGGTCTCCTGGAGCTTAAGTTTCTGGATCTGGCGGCCATTGCTGAGCCACACCGCCTTCTCCGAGTTCTGCATCGCACCGACCGGCAGCAGGCTTGAGTGTGGCGACCCAGAAGGACCGGTCGGCTCGTTGCACCCGCGACTACCCATCCGGTCGCCGCTGTCTGGACGTGCGCCGCTCAGCTTTGTGCGCACCCCACGGCTACCAATCCGAGGCAGCAGGTTGCCCGCATTCTTGCAAGCGCCCGGAGGAGCGTCCCCGACGTTAATGAATTGGAAACCCTGCGCCAGCCGCTGGTACACCATCTCCTTGAGCCTGATGCGCGTCAGCCGGTCAGTCTTCTGCGAATTGGTCATTGAACCGCTCATGACAGCGCCGCTGGAGACCGCGCCGATATTCGCTCCGGATCCAACTGTAGACACCGCTGGGGCTGATGTCGCAGTGTGACCAGTCATAAACTGCGCAAACTCGTCGTAGTCGTCCAGCGGCAAGTTGCCTGAATCGTAGAGGTCGATATCCGGCGTCTGCACGTGGTAGGGGTACTGAGTGTAAAACGTCTCGAGGTCCTTTGGGCGGTAGTCTGTTACCAGCGGCAGCGACGCCGGCGTGCAAAGCGACCGCCACTTGGGCGTATAGCTAGAGACTAGCCAGTATGTCGGGAAAGCCAGGGCCCACCGCTGCGACACTACCGTGTTCGGCAGCAGCTCGGTATGCGGGTTGCATGGATTATACGAATAATAGTGTCGGCTGCGCGGCCAATGCTGTGACAAATCAGTCGGCTGCGCGGCCAACGAGTGCCGGTCGCTGCCCCATGCAGTCCTCCCGTATTGCGGTGAGCTGCCTTTGTGCCCACCGGACACAGCAGGAAGCGTCGAAGTTGACCTTAATGCAGTGCCCATCGTTCCAGCCGTGGCAGCAACAACCGAGGACGCACTTACTGTCTGCTGGCCGCTGGGGAGCGTTAGCTGGAACTCGGGATCGGAAATTAACACGCTGCTCAACGCAGAATGTCTTTGCACTGTAGCGACAGGATTCACTGTTCCGGAATTAAAGTAATGGATAGACTGCTGTTGATGGCCCATGTCGTGGCCCGCAGCCGCGCCCTTAAACGTCCTGATGTGGTCGTCCAAGTGCGACTGCTTGGTCATAGACTCAGACACCCCACTGCGACCACTGGGAGTCTGTGGAATCATCAGCGGGTCTTTGGCCGCCATCTCCCAGCCGCCCTGCATGTACTGGGCTCGATTGACAGACTGTGGCAACTCTACCACGCGGTCTGCACCAGACTGAGCAGCTTTGTCGGGCGTAGCATCACGCCATTTTGCGTTGCCCGCAGTACCAGATGCAGATGAAACAGTAGCCACCGCAGCGACTGCCATTGGCACAGTCATCTCAGAGGAGGGATCAGCGCTGGACGACGGGTGGCGGCTCTCAGATTGCTGCTGCAGGGAAGAGTGCGCTGCATCAGCATGAACGTCTGCTTCCGGAGTATCAGCCTTGAAGGCCAAATTATGTTGCTGCTGCTGTGGCCGCTTGCGCTGCGCGCTGCTGCGCATAAACACCGAGGAGCGCTGCCGCAGTGCCGATGAATTGACGCCACCGCCCAATTTGGCCTCACGTGGGACCGATGATGATACACTCTGCGATTGGAACTTCTCCAGGGGAAGCTTTGAAAGGTGGCCGTGATGCAGGCTGGGCGAGGCTGACGTCGACACTGTTGCTAGCATGTGTTCCGCGGTGTCTGCGCTGGCCGAAAGCCCAATCTCGGCAGACACTGACGTCTGGAGGTCAGGGTGGCGCTGTGAGTTCTGGTGGGAATGCGGCTGCTGATGAGGATGCGAGCTGCTGTCGTCCCAGTTTGCGGACGCATTGGACGGCAGAGCACTTGGCTGCGTGGCATGGACCGTACCGGGCGTATGTGATAGCGGGTACCGGTGCTCGCTGCTGCCGGTACCAATACCGCTGCTTCCCGGAAAGCTTAGCCCCGCCGCAGTGAAAGACGCCGCTATGTGACTGTTGTTGGGATGCGTGGCTCCAGAAACATACACCAACTCGCCTGACGGCGCGACAGAGGCGAGATCCGTGCTGACAATCGCCCGCCGGTCGAACTTGTCAAAAAGCTCCTTTAGCGCCTCGCGATCGGAGACAGTTGCAAGGCGCACAGAGCGCCCGTGCGGGCCGTCCTTGGACAAGCTTGTCATGTGGCGTGCCTCTGTCGAGCTGCTCTTGTCGCCACGGGTGAGCTGCGGGTGCAACACTTCGCCGACCATGCTCTCGGTGCTCGACTCGAGGTGTGCCTCCAGTCCCAGGAGTGACGCCAGCTCGGTGTCCATGGCCCGGAGCTCGAGATCGGGAATCGTTGGCGGTCTGTGCAGATAGCTGGCAACCCCGTTGACTGAAAGATCGCCCATCTTGCACACCGGCCTGAAATCGTCGGGACGATCGGCATCGCGCTCGTCAGTGTAGTTGTAGAACCCGCAATCAACCCAATAAGGAAAGTAGCAGTGCACCACGCGCCGATCGACGTCTGGAGTCGATATGTCCGGCGTAAAGAACGGGTACTCGTCCAGGGTGAGATCATTGATGCTCCTAGGTATGTCGCCAACTGCTGTGTCCTTGTCGCTCAGCAGGACGCCAATGACCGAGCCGCTGCCGCGATTGGGCTGGCCGCCACGATTTAAAGATGCCGCGCCAGCATTCGAAGCGTCAGAGTGCTGTTCGCGGCCGCTGTTATTGTAGCCGGTGTCGTTTTTGAAGCGAGACCCCGTTAGATACGGCAGCAGCTCGTTTTCCCAGTACTCCTCGTTAAAATACAGCGGGTCCATCATAATGGGATCCACCGACAACATGGCCTCGGTCATGGGACCTGCAATCCCCTTGGAAACGCGCTCCTTGGCCGGGGCCGCGGCCGCAGCCGCGGCGCTGATGTACCCGCCGCTGTCACCGGCCGCATCCGCCGCGGGCGAGGCAGAGCTAATCTCGGCGGCCTTGGCCGCATTCGTGTCCAAATTGCCCTGTGTGCGGAGATACATTGCCCAACGCTGATCCTTCTCCGGGGGGACCGGCAAAGACTTGTATCGGAAGACCGGCGGGCGGAACAGGGGCTTTGGTGCCAGACAGACCAGGTCGACGCGCATTCCGTAGTGAAGCATGCGCTCGGTTGTCATGCGCAGCAGTTTCTTCTGTACATCAAACACACCAAATGACGGCGTAATCACCACGGTGCTGAGCCCAGTGCGCGACAAGTCGCGGTCGACATGGTTGCTCGAAAAGCTGTTGATCCCTAAATTGATGGCCTCGAGGATGTTCCCCTGGCTAGCTTTGCTCAGATCACCGCGCAGCCGGTGGCCAACGCTCGACACCAGCTCCTGGATGTCGCGGCGGTAAGTGTTGAACTCGGATAAAATGTCCGGCAGAAACGCCGACCAGTCTGAGCGCACCTCCATGTCCGCAATAACCTTGAAGTAGTCCCGGTAGTACCGCTTGCAGCTCTCGTCGTAGATCAGGTCTTGGAAGTACATGCTGTCGCGCACATGGTAGTACCAGCGCGAAAACATGACAATCGTCACCATGTGATTGAGCTGCTCTACATGCCAGCGCCGGAACAGGTCTGCCAGGAAGCAGTTGACGGCCTTTTCAAAGCACAGGTTGCCATCCTCCTGGTACGCCCACATCTCCTCCGACATCTGAATGAAAATAATAAAGCGGCCGGACTCTGAACGAAAGATCGGCTGCGTCTTGTTGTCTATGTAGCCGCAGGGGACCTGGACCTTGTCCTTGTAAATCCGCCGCACCGACGCCCTGATCAGCCCCTCAATGTTGGTTTGCTTGTTGATGTGCACAATCTTGTGCGACAGCGCCCGCCACAGCCGCCACATGTCGCTGCGGCCTACATACTGATCGCGGAAGGCGATCTCGACAAAGTCAGCGCGGATGGCGTCGCGCTCGCTGCTTCTGCTGGTGTCCACCTTGCGAATTGCCACACGCTGGCTCGTCTGGTAGTCGCCCCACACAGTTCGCGCAACATGGCTAATAATCGACGCCTGTATCTGCGGCGCGTCCTTCCTGATGTCACCCACCTGCAACAGAATCTCGTTCGTTGGTACAGGCTTGACAGTTACGTCGTTTCCATCCTCATCCGCATGGACACTTCCGTAGCCGCTGTCGTTGCCATAGAACAGCGGCGAGTCATCCTCGGGCATGTTCATCCGCTTGCTAGAATCGTTGAGAAGAGTGCTGCTGCCGGCATTGCCTCCGTTTGCGCCCATGCGGCGCTTCTCATCCATCTCCCGCCGGAAACCGCCATTCCCCGCATCAGTCAGTCGCAAGGGTCTACTGCCTTTGGTGTCTGGTCCTCCGGAATAGCTGGTGTCGGTTCTGTCGCCAGTTTGGACAACTCCAGGTGTAGAGACCACACTGGGCTTCCCAGAGTCAGTCGATGATGCTGTTGCTGCCACAACGCCCTTGCCCTTCCCAATATTGACAGGGTCGCTGCTGTGCACGCCGCCACTCGGATCGTTGGTGTCAAAGGAGGCTCTGGGCGATGTCATCTCGCCCTCGTCACCGTCTGCCAGCGGCCGAATAGACACTATATCACCAACTCTAATTCCAGGAAAGAACGACGGGTTCAAAACCAGGTCGCTTGCTGAGAACGCCTCCTCGTGCACCCTAAGCACGCATATCTTGTTGAACGTGGCCGAAGCCCCGTGGGTGCCGGCATCGTCAGCGTGGCCGCTCTGGGAGTTGCGGTGGCCTGGCGGCTGGTTGAACGAGGTCGTGATGCAGCTTCCCTTTCCTGCCTGCGTGCGGTTGGGCTTTTGGCCTCGGCGATCGAAAATTGACACATGGGTGCGCTGCCTCCCTGCACCGGCGGCACCACCACTGGAAGTCGAGGCTGGCTTGGGCGGCATGTGTTGCTTTAAGGACTGTCAGTGTGTTCGTTCAAATGTGTATGTATGTGTGTAAAAAAAATAATAGGAATGTAAAACGAGAAAAATAATAAAAACCAAATGCGAATTTCGATTGACAAAAGCAAATGAAATTCAGTAAAAAAAGCAAACAGCTCTATGTGTCCAGAAAAACACGAATCAAGCTTGCTTTTATTTTTATTTCGTGACGTGGGCATTTCGCAACGGAAAAAATTAGGCCTTGATACGCTTGGCTGGCCGCTCTTCAACAGCATCGGTTGGACCCGAGTCCTCTACAGCATCGGCAGGTTCCAAAATCACTGATCCCTCATCAATGGGAGCTTTGGACGCATGCGCAGCCTTGCTATCCCCGTCCTCTAGCTCCCGCTTTTTGGCACGCTTGGCGGCCGATGTCTTGCTCGCACCTTTGCCAGTACCCGCCGGCTCGGCGCGGTCATTGATGAGCTGAGCGCCCTCAGACTCGTAAAACTCTGCCAGACCCATAGCCTCACACATCTCTTTGTAACGCCGCGACGAGCGCAGGCGGATGTAATCGTCGGACTTTGTCTCCGGGTGCATTTGCAGCAGGATAAACTTTGTGTTCAAAAAGATATTGCTCGTGCGTACGCATATCTTGGTCAGCTCGACCGCTGTGTGCATTGCTGACAGCTTGCCCTCGGCCCGGAATATCGATGGGTTGGCTGCAGCTCCGCGGGCGGTCATGACGCTGGTGACGCCGATGCGGTCGCGGGCGCGCTGCACGTCCTTGTACTCAAATACATCGCCATTCAGGATTATAGGCAGATCTGGCAGCTCTTTGACAATGTCCCTCAGCCGGCCCCACACTGCCTTCTCAGATGGACGCATGGCCCTTGTGCGGCAATGGACAGTAAGTGCTGTGATTCCGGTGGCCGCTATCCGCCGAACCAGCTCCAGCGTCTTCTCAACATCGTCAAAAACTCTGATTTTGCATGTCACTGGGACGTTGAGATTTTTGACTAAAATATCGAGAATCGCGCACAGGCGATCGGGATCGGCCATCAACGCCGCGCCCATGCCGCCCAGTATAGAGAAGCTTTTGGGACAGCCGCAGTTCAGATCAATGCCCGAAACGTCCTGCTCCACAGTCTTGGCCGCGGCGAGCGCCATCTCGGGCTCGGCAGCACCAAGCTGGAAAATCAGCTTGTCCTTCTCGCTTGGGAGTGTGGCAAATATATCCTTGTCGTTTTTTATGTACGAGATGATACCACTTTTTTCATCGACTACACGCTCTGCGCCAACAATGCTCTTATCTACAATTTCGGGCGACCATACTAAATCGGCGCCGTACTCCAAACACAACAAGCGCATTGGGAGTGAGCCAATGCGGACCATGGGTGCTAGGAAAAACCCATTACGATATCTGTCCTGCCATGCCTTTCTTTTATCCTGCTCGTCCGCCATTGTATTGTGTGTTGTGTCGAAAATGGGGGTGTGTGGGTTGACAAGCAAATGTGACTTGAACCAAATTGAAGTGAAGTGAAGTTAAGCTAACCACATAAAGTAAAATTAAAAGTGTTAAACAGAAAGAGGAAAGAGAGACGCGGGTGCATCGAGCATGAAAAAAGCTTGAGCTCCTCCAAAAGAGCCTTTTGATTTGATTTCTTAATTACGCTAAGACGAACCACTGCGCAATTGCGCTCTTTTTTTATTGATCTATTTTTGGCTTTTGAGGGGAACTCGGTCTTCTCTTTTCTGTCCACTGTTATTGTGAGAGCGTGTGTGTATTGTCGATCGATACTGCCATGTGTGATGCTTTTGTTTTTGGTTTGCGATCCTATTGTGCTGGCGGGCTGCCCAATTGTTTCGACTCTTTTAAACTCGCGCTTTCCAAACCGTTTTCGCTTTCTTGTAGCCATTTCTGTTCTATCTCATACACACCTCTGCACCTCTCGCTTTTACACTTTTACACACTTTCTTTCATCCCGTGTTGCTGGACAACTTTTTCTCCCTACACCTTCACTATTTTTCTCTCCCTTTAGTTCACTCTCATCGAGCATCAACCATGAAGCTCTCTGTTTCGATTGCCGCCCTTGCCGCGGCCGCCTCTGCAGCCACATTCAACGGCTTTTCCTACAACCCCAAGGAACTGACCACCGGCAAGTGCCCCACGGTCGACACTGTCAAGTCCGACCTCAAGGTGCTCAGCCAGTACACCAACCAGGTGCGCATTTACTCGGTCAAGGACTGCAACCAAGGCGAGCCCGTACTGCGCGCCATGGAGGGCACTGACTGGAAGGTGCAGCTCGGCCTGTGGGTCAGCGAGTACGAGGAGGTCTATGAGAACGACCGCGACGAGCTGATCCGACTTGCCGGCGAGTTTGACTTTAAGAAGCAAGTTTCCGCCATCATCGTCGGTAACGAGGCCATCTACCGCAAGGAGCAGACCTCGGCGCAGGTTGCCGCCAAGGTTAGGGACGTCAAGGCTGCCCTAGCCAAGCTGGGTCTGAGCAGCATCCCCGTCACCGCTTCGGAGACCTGGCCCTACTACGACAAGACTCTCATTGACGCTGTCGACTACGTCAACGTCCACGCATTCCCCTTCTGGGAGGGCTTCAAGATTGAGGATGCCCAGGACACCGTGTTCGGCCATATCTATGATATCCAGAAGCTCGCCGATGGCAAGAAGGTTGTGGTTGGCGAGACTGGCTGGCCCGACGCCGGAGGCAACTACGATGATGCTGTACCTTCGCTCGCCAACGAACACCGCTACATGAAGGAGTTTATTTGCCGCGCAAACCTCGAAAAGATTGACTACATCTGGTTCAGCGCATTTGACGAGGCATGGAAGCCTGTTACCAATGCCAGTGATGTTGAGACGCATTGGGGTGTTATCAAGGGCGACAAATCTCCCAAGTTTACTTCCCCCATGTACGACTGCAAGGACTTTGTCCCCAGCACCAAGCTTTTCGAGACCGAGAGCGAAAGCGAGGGTGATGAGGAGAGCAAGTCTTCCACCAGAGGTCGCCCCAGCTCGAGTGGCAGCTCTAACAAGCACTCGAGCTCTGAGGAGGGCACCATCGATGAAGACGTTGAGGAAACCAACGAGTCGGGTTCTTCGAGCCAGGGCAAGAGCAGCCACTCCGACTCGAGCTCCAGCGGTGCTTGGTCACTAACCTCTTCCATTATCCCTGCCGCCGCTGCTGTTCTTGCTGCTGCTGCATTCTATTAAGCAATTTTAATTGAATATTTGTCAAAGACATTTTTAATAGACATGCTCAGTAAAATTTGATTTTGATACAAACTGATTCGGGTAGCATTGGATGTCAGCGCTTTAAAAGCATGTTCACAAAAGGATGAATCATTTCCAGCAATGACATGTACAGGATGCTGCTTCCATTATTGCTAAAAATGGCATGTATAAATAAGACACGGTTTCTCGAGTATTCCAGTTGGCAGTTCTTTAGGCACTCTTGCTCTTTTTTACTCACAACCGCAAACACTTTTACTTTATTTACCAGCAACCATCATTTTCAACATGCAGCTCTTCTCATTCAGCACTCTTGCCCTGGTCGCTGTTTTTGCCACCGCTGTCGTGCGCGCCGATGCCTATGCCGATGCCCTTGCTGAAGCCGAGGCCGCCCCCGAAGCAATGGCCAATGCATTCCCTGAACCTCAGGACCAGCCGAATCAGCCGGGTCAGCCGGGTCAACAGGACCAGCAGACCCAGCAGACCCAGCAGACCAGCAGGGTCATCAGGGTCAGTACTGGAACTGGAGATGGCGGAATTGCAACCGGCGCTGCCGTGACAGCTGGAACTACCAGCACTGTATGCGCAGGTGTATGTTTTAAGCGATAAACATGGTGCCTTGTCTCACTTTGCTTCATCCGAATTGGGATTATAGTCACTGTCATAGCACATAGGTGCATGTAGCAATTTGATTTATTTATTTTTTAAAACAAAAATAATATATAAATTTAGTGCGGAAAATGGTCACAATAAATCATTGTTAAAACCAAAGCTGAGAAAACCTCCTATTTAGCCTTTCCTGCTACCATTTTATAGGCAGCTATAAATCTTGACCGCTGCTGCATTAATGCCTGCTCGGCATTGACTTGGCTCGCAAACTCTCGACTCAACTGAGCTTATATGGTGAGAATCACCACAATTACCACCTTAGGCAATGCACACATGAAACTAATTGGTTTTATATTTGTGTTTGCTGATTATTTATGCATGCCACCAGTGCACTTGTTTTTTGCGCAGCACAGCACAAAGTAGAAAGCATTGTGGGGAGCGCTTTATAACAAAAAGAGCTATTTCTATATAATTGCAGTCTTTAAATGATTCAATAGGAATAATTTCAAGCATTATAAAATAAAAAAAGGGTATGCCAAGCTGGCTTTCATTAGCCTCTAATACTGAATTCCTGTGCAGATATTCCATGAGTGCGCTATACAAAAATACATTCTTTTTCTGTTTCACATACAACATAATTATTACTTTATTAGTATCCATATTCTGCGCTTTATTTTATTTACCAACACTGTTAAACCCAACACCATGAACCACCTCATTCAGAAGTTTATTTTTTTTATGTGCTTTCTGTTTAGCTTTGCTACTGCTCTGCCAGCAGAATCCAGTGATGCTTCGGCGCACATGTACAAGCGCGAAATGACCCAAGAGACCAGAGACAACTATCTGAAAGCCGGTGTTATACTGCTCGGCATTATTACAAGCATTCATGTATTAAATATAATCATAGGAATTGTGGCAGGCATTATTAAAGCAATTCTTTAAGATTGAGTTCCCATTTGCTGACCATTTGCTGGCCATTTGTTGCACTGGCAACGTGGCTGTTTATTCATTACTTTTAAATGTTGCCTTTTTATTAAATAATAAATAAAAAACATTTGTTACTATTGCACAACCCCAAAGATATGAAAGTGGATGTTAAGGTCGAGAATCGCGAAACAGGTTTCCACCTGCGTGCCGATTCATAGGACGCTAATTGGATAATGCAGGCGTAAATTAGGGAGACATTAAACTGATGCCCAAACATGCTCCCCATTTTGCAATGCACACGCATGAGCGCATACACGCGAAAACCACAACATTGACTTGCCAAGATATTGGTCTGCTCGCAGAAGATCCAGTTCTCACCAACGGAGCGCACAATTGACAATGTGCACAACAAAGGCGACAAGGCACGTATATGATATGAGGCCGGCCCTAGTAGTACTTTAGAAATATCAGTAATAAAACCTTTTATAAATCACCCCTAACTTTTAACACTAGACAACTAGTGCTCCTCACACCCCCTCTTACTATAACACTACATAACATTACAATGTAAGCACACGTCGAGCAAAGCAAAATGAGATATATGATGTCTTTTTTGGTAATATGTTTTTCCATTGGTTATAAAATATTAATTAAAAATATGTGGCGTGTCTACCAATGTTGTAAATAATATGCTTGAATATTACAACTAACCAACAGCAAAATGGTTCTAATCCTTATTCATCTCGATATTAATATTTTACTAATGGTGGTGGTTATAAAAAACTGCATTTTGCTAGCAGACAGGGATACCAGAATTATACTCAAGCATGGGTTGGGCTTGCATTCTCGGACTGTTTGTGTTTTTAATTCTATATCGCAAAGTTTGAACAAAGAATGTGATTAGCAAAATGTGCGGGGATAAGTGAACAGATTGTGCACAAAGTAGAGTAAATATACTGCTATGCCAAAAAAATGTGTAGATTGACGCTTTATTTTTTAAAAAAAGGTATACTGCTTTGCTAATAACATGTGGAGGTAAAAGAAAAAGTGGAAATATTTGGATATGCATATTTTTTGTATCGTGTTGGCCAGATATTCTTAGCAAACCATTCAAAATATCTTGTTTTTGTTTGTTTGTTTGTTTGTTTGTTCAAACTTGTTTATTTAATTCCTACATTTCCAAATACATTTTTATATTATTATATAATATGCTGTTACGGGGAGTATCCACGTCAATGCTGGTTCTTTTGACATGCCTGGGGACACAAGCACAGGTAGAAGTGCGAGAGCCACCTCCACGACGCTCAAAGTTCAGTAAATTCTATATAAGCGCAGACGATGTCGACTATAACATGAAGTCACCTCTCGGCGGTAAAATCGGATACCCCTGTCGAAACACTTCTGCGGGCCCCATCCAAGGCACACTAGTAGCCGGACAAAATCTCAAAGTATCCTTCGACGGCACAGCGACCCGACAAGGTGGCGACTGCCAGTTTGCCATTTCATATGATAATGGGGAAAACTTTGCTGTTATCTGGGATAAACTTGGCAACTGCTTCCTGGACACAGTCAACGGTGGCTACGAGGTACCGATTCCAGAAAGATTGCCGGCGTCGAAGAGCGCCGTGCTGGCATGGTCATGGATTCCGTCTATCAGTGAGAGACCGTATTACATGAATTGCGCTGATGTGAGAATTGAGAATTACGGTAAACAGCAGGAGTATACGGCTAAGGAACTGCTGGTGGTTAATGTCCTGGGAAGCCAAAGCTGCTATCTGCAAAGTACCCGGACAAAGACACACTGCCGGATTTGCTCGATGCGCGCCCGCTGATTACCGTCAGTGATCCTGTCAAGCCGCTGGCAGTGAAGTCGAGACTGATGAAAATGAATCGGCAGAGACTAACGAGGACATTGTCGACGAGCAAGAGGATGAGGGACCTAATGACAGAAATCCAGGAACGGTGATTCTGTATGTTTCAGAGACCACAGTCACGTCGACACAGGTTGTCTACATCAGTGAGTATATCACTGAGGAGATGACCAACAAGCAGGCTATGCACACGTACGGCGCGAGGATCCAGACAAGGGCGAGTTGTTCACCACCCTGGGACCCTACGTCAAGCCCCTGTTTAGAACCAATGTCGGGCTCACAATTGTGCCAGACTCTACAGATATACCGACGTCCACAGCTATGCTGTCGTTCACCGAAGATTGGGCCATAAAGCCATTTGCGCCGAGCGAGAAATGGCCTGGCGCAGAGTCGCTCGACTTTATTGTACCCTCTGTCTCCGGTCCGCAGACACCCACAGCCACGCCTACGTCCTCACGGCAGAGCATAGACATTATGCTGACAGACATGGCAAGTGGCCATGGCAAGGTGGATGTAGGCTATGGTTTTCCCGACTCGAAGTTTGCCGCTGGTATGCCGCTGTTCGACTTGTCGGCTGCTTGCTCGCTAACTGGGGGCGCAAATTCACTGATCCGGAATTGGGCCTGGCTGAAACAGGCATGCTGCCAAAGCTGAGCTCGATATCCACGAATAGACCGCTATTCAAGAGCGTCACCGACGCAGCTCTTCTGAACAAGTCCGACCACCTGCGCCAGACGCAGGAAGTCAGTCCGCGTGCGACTACTATTCTCAGCACAATGACCAAGGACGGCAAGCCGGTGCTGCAGGTGATTGTGTCGATGGAAAACACAGTCGTTCCAGAGAGCATGACTCTTGCCTTTTAAATTAATTATTTTCCTTTGCTCATGTTATTTTATTAAGGCTATTTATTCGCCAAAAAATAAATAAACGCGTCTAATTATCTGACAATCTTCTCGACCTTGGGCGTGTTTAGCGCCTCCCTTGACGGCGACGCAAACGGAATGGGCACGGCCTGCGACGATTTGGGCAAAACGGCCAGAACCTTGTAGATCCTGCCCATGCTCTGCACATCAGTCAGGCGCGTATAACAATCAACGAGGTTTTTCTGCACGTTCTCATCGCTCGTGCTCTTTAGCAGCTGCTGCAGCCTCGCCTGGATGCCCATAGCATGCAGGAACGCACCCTGCTCCACCGGGCCGTGGCACTGGGCCCTGCCCTTGGCAGCATACCGGAGGTAGCTAAAGTCTACGTCGGCGGTTAGATCCATTAATCCGGGGGAGCTCAGTGGATTAGCGAACTTGTGGCTTCTAATCCCACGGAACGTATCACCCTGGGTCCAGTCCTGGCCGTAATCAATAATCAGGCCCATGCCGTTGTTTGCCGAGATCCAGTCGGCCAGCTGCGTCATCACGCGCGCGGACTCTGGCGAAACCTCCACATGGTCGCCCTTATTGAACATGGACGAGAACTTGGGGTTGTTCAGGGCCAGTGCCGCATTAGCGGTGACGCTGCGCGAGCGCACGTACTTGAAGTGCGTTGCCAGCTGGTTCGCGTCCACTTTGCCTGCGTTTGCAGCGGCCGCCATCGGCGCAGCGTCCGAGTCAGCGACGTCAACGAGGATCTCGCTCCACTGATCGCCCGCGCCCTTCTCAAATTTGTACACTGGCAGGGCGTCGAAAAACTCGTGCGCCATGACCATCGGCACGCAATCGCTGCCGCCCTCAACTTCCTCCATCAGGTCGTACCACCGGACGGTCAGCCCGTCAGCGCTAGTCGCAGCATTGGCGTCCCCTTGTCGTTCTTGTCCTCCACCGTCCTTGTCGACTCCCAGCTGCAGCCCAGTTTCTCATGCTGCATTTTGCGCAGCTCCGGACTGCGCTCAATAAAGTGCACTGCGCGGATACTCGCCGCAAAGGCTGGGAACCGCTTAGCGGCCCGGAGCATGTCGGCCATCAGGGTGCCGCGGCCAGGACCGAGCTCCATAAAGGAGGTCTTTTCTGGCCGGCCCAGCATCTCCCAATGCAAAACGTACCAGACTGCCATGATCTCGCCAAACATCTGGCTGATCTCCGGCGATGTGACAAAATCGCCGGAACGGCCGAATACTTGGCCGCGCGTGTAGTATCCGCCACGGGACTGATCAGCGCGGTCTGCATGTATTTGGCTATGGAGATGGGTCCTGTGGATAGGATTGTGTTGCGGATATGCTTTGTCAGTGGTGCCAGCTCTTCCTTGACCTTGATTGAGCTGCCGTCGGGCCGAAATATCTGCGTGCTGTACCTGTAGATGGCCGAGTATGAGGATGAGGCTGAAGCAGATGCGGTTGCCTTTGCCTTTGCTGCATGACGCAGCGCGCTACTGCGGATTGCCAGGCCGGGATCATTGCGTTTTTGAACAAAAAAGATAAAGTGGTTGGCGATTCGATTAAATAAAAAATAAAATTGATTTTGCGTTAGAAATTTGTTAGTAGGCTTAGCCTCGACCGCGCGCTGGTTCTGTTGTGGCAGCATGCATTGAAATATGTTTCAAAGGTATGGCAATAAGTCACAACACCGCTTTAAACCCGAAAAAACGGGAAATTATTAATACATAAAATTATATATTCACTAAAGTAACGTCCACGACTAGAATGTCATATTAAGAATATCGCCAATAAGGTCTTTTTCCTTTTGCTTGTCTCCTGACCACCAAACCAGCTCTGTTCCCAGCTCCATCGTCGTCGCTCATAAGATTTGCGGGCAAATCATGCGACGGCGGGGGAGAGATGTGAGCGGAACCGAAAATACCGATCTGCCCTTTTTGGTCCTCCTGGGCATATTGAGCGGTGTAAACACATCGATGTCCTTTTCTAAGAAATCGCAATCTCCATTATCGATGGGCTGCTCTTATATCCCTGCACACCCTCTGCCTGCTGAGCAATATCGAATCCCAGATCTAGTCCGAGTCCGAGCTGGTCATCCGCTGACTCCATCATCATCACGGGCATTGTCAGCGGCAGCGAGTCATCCTGGGTCAGCTCCGGGGGCTTCTCGCTGGGCAGTGGCCAAACATCGGGGCCTTGGTGCTGCGGAACATGCCTTGGGGCAGAAGCTCGGGGATCAACAGCGACTGTGGCCGAATTAGCTCCGGACTATGCGCGCGTTCCGCCAGGTTCTCCACCATAACATTTAATTTGTCTTGTCCGCGGTATTTTTAGATTCAGTCTCAGTTCGGGTGTGTCGCTGAGCCTGCGCTTCCGTCCCCTCTGAGTCTTCCGTTCAATATCATTTTCCGCGGGTGCTTCCAATCGTGGAGCGGCGATTCGCTCGACAAGCTGCATTGCGCGGCGCCTTCGCACTCTCTCGCGCCTGGCGCGTATATCGATCTCCGGACACACCCAAGCGCCTAGGTCTTCGCCTGTAAGAAATTGCGCAGTCACTCGTGTGGCTTTGTCATCCGGCGGTTGCTTGGCTGTCTGGGGTGGCCCCCAGATCCGGTATATGTCGTTCTCGTACTCCTCGTCAATAATGACTGTGGGTTTGGCGAGTTCCTGGGTGTTTTTGCAGCCTGCTTTGTGCTTGGCTTGGTGCGCTTGTTGACTAGCAGTTGAACTGCTAGTGGCATGCGGAATTCGAAGCAGCTTAGGAACCGAATTGGCCGTGGGCATATCCGCCCAACGCGCGGCTGTGCCATACTGTTGTTGTGTAATAATAGTCGAGGATACAGCGACCTCTTTACGAATTATTATTTTTTTGCAAAGGCTTGTTTTATTCTTTTCGAATTTTGGACCAAAAAATATGAAATATTAACTGATGTTGAAATACAGTGTAACAAAAAAGAAGATGGGTCTGACCATCACTCAAGGCAGAAGCTCAATTGCCGACTGAAAAATAAAGGGGGGCAGAGAGTCAATGCACGTGAGCTTAATTCTTGGGACTTTTTTCCCCAGGTTGTGTTGCAGAAATAGCTGTCGCTGGGTCTTTATGAGTTTAAAATTTTGATTCTCCACTCATCCTTTTTTGTTGGATAGGATTTAGGCTGGACTCGGAAGATATCGCTGCGGTGTAGTATACGTCAGCCTTCTTCTGGTTTTTGTACGCGAGTAATGGGGCCTGTGGTGCAGTGGGTCAAACAACTCAGCACCTTTGGTGGTAATGGTGTAATGCCAGGTCATGGTGTTCTGGTGGAACTCGTTGAGGACAAACTTGGCCTTGCGCACCTCCAAAAGGTACTTGGCGTACTTTTCGAGATCCAAAGACCTCGACTCTGCACAGGCTAGTGCGATCTCGGCTGCGACGACGGTCATGTACTAGTCTTCAGCAGTGGCAAGCTTCTCAATGTATGATATTGCGTGCGGGCAGCGATTACTGATATGTGAGCTCTTTAGCTCTTTGCATAGTCCCAATTTAATATATTCAGTATAAGTAGTAAAACTGTTTTTACATATCTGTATATGATTTTGTATTTAAATTTAAATTTTATTTACAAAAAACTATTATTCGTTTTGAATATAAACCAAAAGCGATTGCCAATCAACTATATATCTTCATATATTCAGTTACATATCACAGTAACAAAAATACGAGCGCAAAAAAAGACGCATGATAAGCAAGCAACTAGAATTTGATACGCTAGACAAAAACGCCCACACTTCGCCCAAAAAATAGAACTATAGATTCACTCGCTCATTTGACGAAGCTCTGTCCTGTTAAGCAATTGATGACTATAACCGCCATGATATGTGGATAAATCAATATGTGCGCTGCCTGCGGGGATGAGTAGCTGTGGCAGAGAGTGCTCTCCTTGGCTTTGCAACCGGCTGCTGCTGCTGAGTGTCTGCCAAATGATTGCACTTAATTTCTTACCTCTGGAAAAGGTGTCGACACACTTACCTTTTAACGAAATATAAATGTAAACGCGTAAGCACAATCCCCAAGGGCACCCCGCAGATTTGGGATTTGTTACATATATTGTAAATGAAACAGAGAGGCAATGTACATGCACATGCGTGTAAAAATAATACAAGCAACACAGGCCATGCGCAGCAGTCCAGTTCGCTCATAAACAAGCAATATTCTCCTCTTTCTTGTCGAGCTCCATTTTGGATCCAGGTGCAAAATTGAACAATGTTGACAATAAACTAAGACTAAAAAGTAAAATAAAGTAAGGTACAAGAGACAGGAGACAGATAAATAAAAAATAATAGTGTCCAACTAAAAACAGCAAACTTTCTCCACCACCCATACAAATACGTTCCCTCCCTCATTTCACTCTTTACTCGGTGGTCTCCTCCTTCAAAACCTCGATGGCCTCGACGACCTTAGCCTTGAGGGCCTCGGGGTTCTCAATAAGGTGCAGCAGCTCGCCGTTGTCCATCTCGAGCAGCATACCGGTGATCTTCGGGGCAGCCTCTCCTCGAGAGCGGCAATGAGGGGGTACAGCGCCTCGCCGAGAACCTGCTTCTGCTCCTCGGGCTCCATCGAGGCCAAGGAAGCAGCAGTGAGCACGGAAGCGGACTGCTCAACGTCGGCAGCGGGCGCATCAGCCTGCGAGGCCTCCTGCGGCTGGGCAGAGGTCTGCTGGGCAGTGCGCGAGTTGCCGCGGTAGCCACCACGGCCGCCGCGGGCAGCGTAGCCACCGCGGTTGCCAGCCTGACGGTTGTTGCGGGGACGCGCCGGGCGAACACCGTTGGAGGGCACAGGGTACTGGCCGGGAGCAGGGTACTGGCTGGGCATGGGGTACTGGCCCGGAATGGGGGCCTGGGCACCCTGCCAGCGGACGGGGCGCGGGTTCTGGTACATGCCGCGAGGGGGAGCGTAGCCAGGGGGGTAGTAGATGGGGGCACCGAAGACGGGCGCGCCCATCTGGGGAACTCCCTGCCACTGGCGCTTGGTGGCCTCGATCTGCTGGCGGCGCTGGTCGCGACGCTGGGCAAGAGCAACGTACAGGGGCTTGTTACCCAGAATGCGGTTGTTCATCTCGGCGATGGCCTTGCTGGCCTCGTCGGGGGCGGTGAAGCACACAAAGCCGAAGCCCCGGGACTGACCCTTCTCGTCGCGCATGACCTTGGCGCTGGTATGACACCGTACGGGGCAAACTCCTGGCGCAGCTTGTCATCATCGACGTCGTCCTCAAAGTTCTTGACATACAGGTTGACGCCCTGGTACTTGCTGAGCTTCTCGTTACGCGACTGCTCGTACTGGCTGCGCAGCTCCTCGTTGCGCTCGGCCTTCTTCTGGGCGCGCGACACAAACAGGGTCTGGCCCTTGTACTCGGTCTCGTGCAGGCCGTCCAGGGCCTTGCTGGCATCCTCGTGGTCCTTGAAGTTGACAAAGCCGAAGCCGCGGGACACGCCCTCCTCGTCGCGCTGGACAATGGCCGAGGTGATCTCACCGTACTTGGAGAACATTGTGTCGAGCTCGGCGTCGTCAATCTCGGGGGCGAGGAACTTGACGTACAGGTTGGTGAACTGCGAGCGCTGCTCGGCCATGCGCTTCTGGCGCTCGTGGCGGGAGACGTGGTGGCCGACAAACACCTTGGTGTCGTTGAGCAGCATACCATTGACGTTCTCAATTGCCAGGTCGGCCGCCTCGCGGGTCTCGTAGTGGACGTAGCCGTAGCCGAGGGACTCGCCGTTCTCATTGGGAGCAACCTTGCAGCTCAGAATGTTGCCGAACGCGGCAAAGGTGTCGTGGAGCGCCTTGTTGTCAATCGACGGGTCAAGGTTCTTGATAAAGATGTTGCCGGAGCCATCCTTGCGCAGGCTAGGGTCGCGCTGAGACCACATAATGCGGCAAGCACGGTCCTTGATCTCGGTGTAGTTGAGGGCCTCCAGAGCACGCTCACCTAAAAAAGAAGTAAAGGTAAAGAGGACACACAAAGGGCGCGTCGGGCAATGGTGACTTTAGTAGCTCCGTTCAGTAATAAAGGAAAGAGGGGCATCACCAGATAAATAAATAAAGCAATAATAGTGTGGGCGTCTGCTGACCTCGTAATAGAAGACAAAAAAATAAAAAAATAGCAGTTATGCAAGCATAGCGCGTTGAGAGGCACACACAAATTAAAACGGCGCACTCCTGCTAGTGCACAACAAGGTGTGGGAGGGGGAACCCTGTTTGTACTGACATGACGAACAATAGATAAGACAGGCGCAGTTCGTGCAAAATTGTTTAACCGGCCAGAGGGAAAAAGAGCAAAATTCAAAAGGGGGAGGGACGCAGTAAGGGATATAAACGTAGAAAACAAATCTTTTTTGGTTGCTTTTGGAGTACTTACCATCCGAGTGGTTGTGGAAGTTCACGTAGGCGTAGCCCAAGCTGCGACGGGTAATCGCATCGCGGCACACGCGGATGCTGGCAACGGGGCCAACCATGTTGAACAGCTCAAAGAGCATGGCCTCAGTGACAGAGGGGTCGAGCTCACCAACGTACAGGGACACGTTGGAGAAGGGGACGGCGGCACCATCAACGGGGGCGCCAGCGGCGTCGGTAGGGCCAGCTACAGCAGGGGCAGCGGCAGCCTCAGTGGAGACAGCGGGGGCAGCAACCTCGACAGGAGCGGCGGCAGCGGGGGCAACTGCAGGGGCAGCGGGGGCGGTGGTGGGAGCAGCAGCGTCCGACATTGTTCAATTAAGAAGAGAATGAAAGAAAAATATTGGTTTTATGTTTTTTTTATGAGGTAGTTAGATTAGGTTTCCTTGCTTGTAAATGCGGGAAAACACCAAAGTAACTGTGACCTGGAAAATTTAAGAAAAGAAAATTTGAATTTGGGGTTTTTTAAAATAAAGTGGAAGAAAGGTGTGAAATAATTCACGATGGCATGGCGCAGACTTTTTCAGCCAAAATTAGCATTCATGCGAGTACTCCTCTTTCTTTTTACTGTGGGGGACAGGCATTTTGAGTGTGTTATCCCATCAATGGAAAAAAAGGATTTTTTGCTTTGCCCAAAAAAATTTCATTGGCTTGTGTGCTTTGAAAGACTTTAGTGTGCATTTAAAGAATCCAAGCTGCCCTCATCAGCACTTAATTTTCTTGCTTTTTTTGGGGAGGAAAAGGGCAGGGGGCAGAATTTTCTGCAGATTAGATTGACGGCTGTTGATCCACGATTACACGCGTTGAAGTATCAAATTCCAAGCCGAATGGTTAAAAACCAAAAACCTTAGTTTTTTTGGAATGGAAAAACCCAAGTAAAGCTGCCAGCACCATCGATTGCTTTGTATCGAATACAGGTTTTCAAAATAGTCTTTTCGGAAAGATATGCCAGCTGATGCAAGGGCTCAATTTCTAATTCTAGCAGATAGTCTATACTTTTCTGTTTCCATTATCTCGACTGAATTAGAGGCGCCAACGATGGGCTTAATTATACGTAGCTTTACCTCGCATTATACTTATTAAATTGAAGTGTTGAATTCGGGCGTCTGATAGTATACTCTGTTTTGATTATTGTGTTCCGCCGGCTTCCGATAATCCTGGCTGTAGCCAAGATGACTCCAGAAATTGAGACATTCCACGAGGCCGTTTTTGCAGAGGATGGTTTGGACCAATTGACGTTGATTCTATATTATATACAATGTTTGTATAGAAGAAAATAGAAAATGTGTTTGATGGACTGAAGACCAAATAATATCTGTTACCAATTGTATATACATTGGCCATCGCCTCAGCCAGTGTGCATGTTATTACCATTACCATTTTATTACATTGTGGCCAGGATAGGATAGGATACTCAATGCTACTTTTGCAGTTACCAATCTCCTGAGACGTAAATATTTAGAATTACCGGCAATACTATATCTCTATTTGAACATTAGCAGCTCTATGATTATATTCTGCGGACTCACTTAAGCAGTATTGCAAACGGCATTTGTATTGGCAAAACAATGGGTCTGATGGGTGTTCTGGACGAGTGGTCGGTGCTAAACAGCACCCAACATCTGCTGATAATAAGTTTAGTTATATTTTCATATTTTTGTAGAAACAGATAGATTATTTCTATTAAAGTGAAAAAGTGAAAATTCTGAGAGGCTCAAACATCGATATCTATAATAAAAAATCAAATATTCAAAGAACAATATTGCATGAGAATTAGCTAACTTGATATATTTGTTTATCCAGCAACACACCATATGCGTACGCTGTATTCGCGCTTTTTGGAAGTAAATTCTTACCGTCAAATAGCCAGACCGTATCTTTTGGCGACGCCTTTGCTTGTTTGATATATATGTAGTCCCTGTCAGGACGAACCTAAAAGAAATAAAAAACAAAAGAATCTAAATTACTGCTGCTATTCGTTGCTGGGTAATGTTTTTTCTCAATAATAAAATGGTATTGCTTTTATTTACCTTTTTTTCACACCCGGAAAGCATTGAAAGCACGGACTGGCATATTGCATCCACAGTGAGCACCGGGCACCAGTTCATATACAGGATGCTCAGACAGATATGGCCGTTGCTATATACGTGTGGATGAACGGGGACTGTTCCGACAAATGTAACCACCGGTGATTCAATTGGATAGTCTGTGGGGAATTCAAAGAGCAAGGTGTACTCCTCGTTGGCGTATATGGTGTGCTCAACACCATGGAGGCGCACAATCCATTTGTCAATATTGTCGGCTGCGTCCAGAGATATGTGCGGCGAGGGCAATTTTTTTAGCTGATGGAGCTCGCGCAAGAGTCTTTTTGTGCGAAGTGACGAGTTCATTGGGTATCTGCGAGTTTTGTTGGTTTTTATTTTGACAGCGTAAAAATATAAAATGTGGTATTTGGGTAATTTTTTGTTGCGGAAAGGCTTGGGATTAAAAAGCTGAGGAAATAATTTTTGCTTACAAGTTTATATATATATATTTTTTCAAACGTTTAGGCCCGAGTTTGATTTTTTATTCCAAGTAAATATAGAGTGCGCTGGTGAAACATTGCGCGTATGCAGAACATAATGTTGCATCGACGTGTCTCGCTTAAGATGCCGAAATTGGAGCTTGATTGATCATGCGTGATGCAAGCACAAAAATCAAGACTTGGACGCATGTTGATATTTCCTTTTTCTGTGCACTTTTCCGACGTCACAACATTGGGGTTTTATTTTGCTCTTTTAAACTTTTTATATTACAAACAAACAATTTAATAGCTTTCGATTCGGGCCAAATGTCAAGCGAACTGGAAAACACGACAAATTCAGAGGCGCTGGTCGTCGATACCAAGTTTGATACAAAGGGCGAACTACCTACGGCAGCAGCTTCTGGTGCTGCAATTCCACAGCCCAGCGACAGCTCCTCAGCGCCTACTTCTCCCACTTCACCCAGAGTTGCAGAGGCCAATACCAACGAGACCAGCGCAGCAAACAACACAGTACCAGCGACACCATCCGAGACAACGAACAATAGTCCGAAGTAGCACAAAAGGAGGCAGAGGAGCAGCAGCAAAAGAACGCCGAGCGCGACCGAGAAATAGTCGAAGAGTTTGAGTACCTGCTGGAAAAGAGCCAGCAGCTATTCACCGGACTAAGTGACTGCCGGAGATCGGCAGCAAATACTGGATGCCGCAGTTCCAGCGCACATTTGAGGTGTACACACGCCTTTGGAAGTTCCAGAACCAGCACCGGGTTCTGCTGGAGAAGCCAGAGCATTACGGGCTAAGCGCTGGGAGGTGGGCGAGATGGCATCTAAAATTGGGCAGCTGTACTACCGCTACTACCTGCGGACGAGTGACACTAACAACCTGCATGAGGCGTATGTGTTTTATGAAGCTATCCGCGAGCGCAACTACTTCAAGGGCGAGCAGGAGACGAAGAACTCGGCGTTGATGATCAAGAAACTGCGTTATTATGCTCGGTTCATCGTGGTCTGCCTGCAGATGAACAACGTGGCGATGATGCTACAGCTATTGGAGGAGGTGCGCGGGCTTATTGATTTGTACGCGACGACGTTCAATCCCGTTGATAAGATGGAGTGGTCGCTGGTGGTTAAGGAGATGGCGCTGTTTATGCAGGCTGTCTGCGGACCGCTGCCGACCGATGAGGGCGGTGCCTCTCTGCCGGTGAGCTACCGGCTGTCGGCGCGGAGACGGCCCAAGGTGGACAGGGACGGGCCGCGCGTCCGCCTGCAGGAGGCGTTATCGTGGGCAATCGTCCAACACAGATCAAGTTTTCCGAGCTCACGCTCGACATGTACTACATGCTGCAGATGCTGGAGCGCGAACCAACTAATGTCAGCGCCAAGGATGGGGCCAAAGAGCCGAAGTTGCGCCTGCAGCAACGGACGAGGGTTCTGCTGTCGCTGATTCCACTGCAGTTTCACCAGAGGCTGCCGGCGTCATGACTGCTGATGCCGAGAAGAAGCTGGAGGGTGCAGCACAGGCCGGCGATGCAGAAAAGGAAAAAGAAAGGGCCGACATTGCTGGAGACAAGGACTCGGAGCGCGACAAGATAGCTGTGGGGCGGCGCAACAACCCGCACAAGTACGTTCTGTACCAGCCGCACTTTAGCCAAATACAAGTGTACCTGGCCAATGCATTCCGCGAGATTGGCGAGCAGGGCTGCGTGCTGCTGTACCTGTCCTCAGAGGGCAGCAGCGCTAAGCCCGCGACAGAGATATCTACAGCGGCGGCATTATCGCACGGGTTCATTGGTGGTATTTCAACCACCAGGCGGAGCACAGGCGAGACCAAGGATCGAGGCATCGAACAGCTCGTGCATACGGTGCATCCCGCCGACCTCCTCCCCTACACGCGCAAGCCGTTCTTCCTGATTGTTGAGAGCGAGAGCTCGGGGGCGTACTTGAACATGCCCAATCTTTTCAACCAGCCGCTCCTCTGCCTGCTCTCGCCGACAGCGTACCCGGTGTCGAGCAGCTCTGGAAGCATATACACGTTCTTCTTGCACTCACCGGTGATTGCATTCTGTATTATATCACAGGTGACCATGATGACGGGGGCAAAATGGTCCGAGGTGCAGCGGATGTTTGATGCGCTGGAGGACCGGGTGTTTGAGCTCCTTCTGGCGAAAGTCACGGATGCTAGAGTGCGTAAGTTCTTGGGGGACGATTTCTTGCGGCAGATGGTCGCGCGTCATGTCATTTGCTGCGTGACGCTGGGGCTGCATGTGGAGTTTAGCCGGCCGGAGCATTTGCCCAAGGCGGAGCCGGAGAGGTTTGAGGCTGTGGTCGAGGACAGCGAGGTGATAGGATTGGTGCGGGAGATTGTGGCTGCGTGTGGGGTGGAGGCACTTTACAGCATGGCTGAGAAAGTGCAGTCGAGGTCGCCCAGCCCGGCGCCATCTGTGGCATCTGCGGTATCACCCACTGTGCCTGAAGCTGCGGATGCCGAGACCGCGGTCTCTGGCTTGGTATCCGAAGAGCCGTCCTCGCCGCAATGAGAGTGACGTTTCTTTTATTTGAAGTTTTGGTTTTCAGTGATTGGCTGTGATTGTGATTTTTGATTGTAATCAGCGATTTTCACCACTTTGTGAACGGAAATAAAAATTAAGCTTTTGCGCATGCGTCGTCATTTTTTTGTTCTCGTAATTAAAAAAGTTGAATCCATCCTAGCCCACTTTGGAATCGCATCCATTGCAGCTCATGCACTTTGGCTTGTTGGCTTGGGGAGGAGGATAATAGTGGATAAAAAGAATGCTGAGTGGAATAACTTTGCAATATTGGTATTAAAATCCCCAAACTTGCCCTCATTAATATTGCTCACGCGCTTGCTACTTAGTATTTTATTTGTATATTTTTATTAATATTTTTTTCCACTTGCTATTAATTTGAATTTCAACTTTTTTATCCTTTACAGGCTTAAACCCTTTTCATCATTATTTTTGTTTACCACATCAACAAGAGGAACTCCTTTGATGGATGGAGTTTTCTATGAACAGGGCCAGGCATTCGCTCTATTATCCGGCCTCCGGGTCGGCGGCATCCAAGGCTGAGTCTACGCAACACAGCAGTGGTTCTGCAGCCAATGCCACCGGCTCTAGCTCTAGCTCTGGCCACAGTGGTGGCGCACCACATCGTGATAGCCACCATTATGATCGAAGAAAATTAGAATCATCGCCTCGTCATCACTCAGCTTCCGTCACATCGCCTTCCTCTCGCTCATCCTTGATGATATCACCATTAAAAGGTACAAATAAAAATATTAACGCACTGACAAAAAAATTTCTCGCCTTTATAAGTTTATATTTTGCGAATTCCATCAGCATACATATATTAAAATATTTTTTTTGCGAGCGTTGGTGTGGGTGTGAAATTCCACCGCTAATTTTACTTTTTATATTAATTTTTTAGTCAGTACTGATACAGTCGGTATTCGTTGTCCCCTGTGCCAAAAGAGGATAGATCCATTAGAGTATGACAAGCACTACAAGACTGAGCTTTCGATGATCCAGCGGCAAAAAATCGACAGAAAAGAAACCGCCAGTCGGTCAAGGCCAGCAGCAGTGAGCGGCCAGCAGGCAGGATCACGGACACACACATCAAACCAGCTACCGTCCGGCAACAGGGTTAAAGACCTAGAGGATGGAGAGTTACAAGACGAAGAAAAAGAGGAAGAAGAAGAAGAAGAGGGTGAGCATAGGGACACTGCCTCTCCCGGCAATAGCAGCAGTATAAGCAATATGAGCAGTAGCAGAAAAGAGGCGGTGGGCGGGCCGCGTAGATCTGGACGGATGCGGACGCAGCGGGTCCTGGTCAATGTGGCGCCACCCAAGCCAACCACGCCGCCGCCGGTGATGAGCCGCCGACGGACAGACACAGCGGCGGCGGTGGCGGCAGCAACATCGCCTTTGGCCAAGTCGGCATTCGAGGGCTCATCGCATAAGCGGCGACGGCCTAATCTCCGGACATCGCGCAGCAGCAGCATTGAAACGCCTCCGGTAATTGCGCAGGAGGACAGCCAGCGGTCGAGCACGCAAGGCAGCAACACAAGAAATAATAACAGCGGCACTAATCCAGTGAAATGCTTTATTTGCAGTGCGCTTCTGGGCGGCGACATGGATGAGATCAATGCGCATATCGACCAGTGTCTTATTGACACGTCGGCGGAGAACACTGGTGGGGAGGAGGGCCCTACGGTGGAGTATGAGTGGGGTGGGCAGACGCGGGTGCGAGCCACAGCTATGCTGGAGGGTGGGGTTTCAGCAGCCCTGGGATTTTCGGGGTCACTGACAGTTGATCGAGACGAGGACGTGGATGTGGATGCGGAGGACGAGGCCTGCTTTGGAGTTGCCCAGTACTCGGATGCGGATCTGGTCATTAAAAGCAGCGAGTCGCGCGCAGGTAATGTGCCGTTGGTTGCTGCGGGCGGGCCGCAGTGGGAGGAGACGCCGCTGCCGCTGGACGATGAGGCATCAGCACGCGCTGCGCGGGAAGAGGATCTCAGGCGACACAGCGGCCGATTCGGCAGCGGATTCGGCAGCGGCGGGGCATCGCAGCTGGTCATTGATGCGCTGAAGGAACGGATTCGACAGCAGGACAAGCTTCTGCAGTCAGCACACAAATGCCTGATCTGTCTCGAGTCCTACGACCGGCCGTGCATATCAGTTAGTTGCTGGCACGTGTACTGTGAAAAATGCTGGCTCCATACTTTGGGAACAAAAAAACTCTGCCCGCAATGTCTTCAAATCACACAACCAACGGATCTACGAAGAATATATTTATAAAGTAATTGTTTTCTTTGGTTTAGGCTGTTACTTTTTGGTTCTGTGCTTGTTTCAACACGAGTTTTTGCTTTAATTCGATGCCATAAGGGCTATCAATGTTCTTGTCCTTGGTGAGCAGCAGGTAGTTATCAAGGCCCCCCTTTTTGTCAATAGTGCGGAGAATACGGGTGGTGACGCGGATCTTGAACTTTTCCTGAAGAATGTTTGAAAACAGGGAGACCTTGTGGATGTTGGGCAGCCAGATGCGCCGTGTCTTGTGTAGGGACTTGGGCTTGTTATTGCCGTGCTGGACAGTGACACCACCGAAAAGCCCGTCCATGTGCTGCAGCCGGAAGAACGTCGTCGTGGGCGGGCCGCGCAGAATGCGGAAGGAATTGAAAGCTGTCCCGAGCATGGGTAAATTGGAAAATGGAATGGATTAAGTAAAAAAATGTGAATTGAACAGAAGTGAAATGAATTAAAAAGGAAAAATAGACAACTGGACCAAGCATAACTTCTGTGCAAGGGTTGCAATTTCTCTCTCTCGCTTATCGAAATTAAAAAGGCCTTGATCGGCGCTTGATTTTGATATAAGATTTAGGAATTTTCTCCTAAAATAAAAAATAAAATTAGTTATGCAGAGCGCTCTGCTTGACAACCACCAGCATGTTGCGTCCGGCGCCAACAACATTGATGACGCCCTCAGTCTGCAGCTCGCGGATGACCTGGTCAAAGAGACGCGGCGGCACCGGCGCATACGACTGGTCGTTCAGCCTGTCAAGCCAAGTCTGGTACGCGGCGCTATTACCGGCATGGGGTGAGTCCGGCAGGCTGGCATCCGCAACGGCAGACGCCGTTGATGCCGCCGGCTGGGGCTTGGATCCTGCGGCGCGCGCAGTAGCCAGCAGCAAATTGCGAGTCTCACGCTTGATGGCGTCCAACTGCCTCCTGTCGCTAGCCGCAAAGCCAGTGTTGATCAAATCGAGGTCGATCAGGCCAGTGCGCGGATCCGTCGCAGACTCGCGCAGAGCCTCACGCATCAGCCTTGCAGCCTCCTGAACATCGGCGACATCGACCACGGTGGACAGACGCATTTTGGCGTGGGCCTCAGCCATGCGGATCATCGACTCGAGCTGGCGCGCTGTTGCCGTTACGCGGCCGCTCGGTGCCGAGCCCTGCGCCACGGCGCCAGACGTCGTTGCGCCGGCGTGCGCGTCCCGGCCCATCCGCCGCAGATCCACATAGGCTTGCACCAGCGCTCGCCGGCGTCGTCGGAAATGTGCGGCCGCACGTGGCGGCGCGCATACGCGATGTACCGCGTAAGCTTGTCGGCTGGGACAAGAGGCAGGGTGGCTGAGTCGTGGCAGCGGGCTCAGCTGGCTCGTCGACGTACAGCCCGACGATGTGTCGCGCCAGGCGGCGGTCCATGGTCTCGTCAACGGTGTCCAGCACAATGAACACCAGGTCAAGCGCGACACCAGCGTCGGGGGCAGATTGATGTTCTCAATGATGCTTAGGTTCTTGTTCCACTTGCTGTCGACCGGGTTGGCGGCGGCAAGTATCGAGCACCGCGCGTTCAGCGACGTAATGATTCCGGCCTTAGCAATCGAAATCGTCTGCTGTTCCATGACCTCGTGCAGCACCGACCGCGTCGAGTCCGACATCTTGTCGAACTCATCGATGGCGCAGACACCGTCGTCCGACAGCACCAGCGCGCCAGACTCCAGCACTAGCTGGCGCGTGTCGGGATCGCGCGTTACGTAGGCTGTCAGTCCAACGGCCGAGCTGCCCTTGCCGGACGTGTACACGCCGCGCGGCGCCAGCGCATGCACGGCCGACAGCATCTGCGACTTGGACACACCGGGGTCGCCGACCAGCAGCACGTTAATGTCACCACGCGACCGGGCGCGCCGGCACGTGCAAACTGCTTGCGCACGCCGCCGAACAGCTGCAGCAGCAACCCGCGCTTGACATCGGTCATCTCGTAGATGCTGGGCGCCAGCGACTGCGCCAACATGTCGAACAGCCGCGGGTCGCGCGCCCACCGCCGGAACTCAGCGATCTCAGCCGCGCTGAACTCAGTGATTTCGGCGCCGGGCTCGGTGCTGGGCTCTGCGGGGTCGTCCTGCGGTGCGCGCGCGTCGACGACAGCCGCGGCCACGTCCAGGCCGCCGCGCGCCTCGGCGGATGCCACGCGGCTGCGGCCGAGGCGCCGCACGTGCACGGCATCGATGTACGTACGGTAGATGGCCTGCACGGTGCGCATGCGCGGGTTGGTGCGCACGGGCACGCCTCGGTAGATACCAGTGATCTCCAGGCGGTCGCCAGGGCGCGCGGCGTCGACCAGCTCGTCGTGCAGCGCCACAGTAACAGTGTGCGGCGTCTGGCCATCGGGGATGACCTCGGGCGTCTCTTGCAGCCGCGCCAGCTGCTTGTCAGCAAAGGCGCTGCGGTTGTGCACCAGCTCAATGGCGTCACGCTGCAGGCACGCAGCATTTCCGCACTGTGCCGGCTCGCTGATGACGCCACGGTCCAGCCCCACGGTCGTCGTCCACTCGCACTGCACGCAGCGGAAGAACGCGCGCTCCATGTCGGGATGACGGACGACGCGCGGATCAGCATGCCGCGCACGCTGACCATCTTGTCGATATCGCTGGGGTTGAGTTCGCGCATGTTGGTGGTGGCCGTCAGATTGTACGGCCGCACCTTCAGGTCCGACTGTGCCAGGTCCATGTCGGCGTCCGGGAAGTGCTCCATGAACAGCTCCGTCAGCACGTAGTCCATGATCGGCACGACCTCCTCGGGGTAGTTGACCAGCTGCCGGTACAGCCGCTGCGCCGGCGCGTACGCCACAGGTTCTGTGCATCCAGATTCAGCTGGAACACCTCGGATGCATGCATGCGCCGCAGCAGCTGCGGGTACACTGGCTCGCCCAGCTCCGCCGCACTCAGCGTGCCTGCGGCCGGCGGCCGGTGCGCTGCCGTGAAGTGCAACAGAAAGTCCTTGAACGTCGACATGACCTCGCGCACGTGCACGATCGTGCCCCAGATCGTACGGATCTCCGTCGGCGCAGTGCCAGCCTCGATTTCGCCCAACTCCGAGGACAACGCCTGCGCGGCGCGCGAGCCCAGATCGCCGCGCCGCCCGCTTGCCCGTCCACTGCTCTGCGCCTGCGAATGCAAATGCGCGTCCATTGACATGCCGCCCAGCTGCGAGGACAGCGTATCGGTGTACCCGGCGGGCAGCCCGCCCATCGCCTGGCTGCTAAAGTCGACTCCGCCGCCAGGAGTCATCGCAGCTTCGCTGTAGTTGAGGTTTGGCGACGACGACCGCACTTGCTCGACCATTGTGCGGTTGGATTGGCGGATGCGTCCGCCCGTCGGTACCGGCGCTGGTGAAAATGGCGCTGGTGTCTCTGGCAGCGTGTTGTAATCGTCGACATTGACTGGGTTGAACCCCGGCCGCCTTGGCGTCGGCTGCACAAAGTCATCCATGTCTGAGTCATGGTCGAGCATGGGCGAGCTTGAGCGTCCACCAGACATTATGAATTCGGCAAAGTAAAGTAAGGCGGAAAAGTAGCGATAATGCTAGTGCTGGTGGTGGTCTTAATAAAATTAAAATAAATAAAATGTGCTTTATTGTTGGCGAGAGAGAAAGAAAGAGAAAAGGATGAAAACTGTCTGAAATGTTTTGGTTTAATTTTTCTCTCTATTCACTATTCGCGACCTAGCGTCTACATTGATCAAAGCCGTTTAGCAGCATTTTTTTAACGTAAACATGCTTGATTTGATCAGCTCAGCTCGCATTCACTCAATCGGTTGCGATTGAGGAAACTAAACTGAAAATTGAAGGCGAAAATTTGATCACGCTGGTGATCATTTCAACCCAAAAATAACAAGCAGCGCAGCTGTGTATCCTTTTTTGACAATATTGTTATGCTGCGCAGACAATTTTGAAAAGGAAATAAATGATAAATATGAAACTGAAACTGAAAAGCTTGATCTTTTCTGTTATTTTTTATTTTTGCATTATTGTTTTTTATTTCGCCCTCACCATTTACTTTTTTACTCTCCCGCTTCCCAACTGCCATGTTTGCACCTGACCCCGATGCGCTGGCCGCCACCGCCAAAACCCTCATTGACCGCGCCCAACACACACCCACTGCAGACCCAACCGCTATCGCCAGCGAATTGCGCCAAGTACTTGATGCCCTGGTCCAGGCAATGCAAACCCAACCCCAATCCGAACACTCTCGCACCCTAGAATACGCACTTCAAATCATAACACACCTCCTAACCACAGCCACTCTGCACAGCTCGCTTATCAACTGCGGGATCCAAAGCACAGTCCAGTTGCTTCGCACCATGCCAGCGGAAATTGCAGACACCCCGAGCCAGGGCTGCACCGATCGCAGGAGCATCCAGGGGGCGCAAGCCCTAGACGTGTGCTTTGGTGGACTATCCAGGGCGTACGAAATCATCGACAAGCGGATACAGAACGACCCCGGCGGTATTGATGAAGCCTTGCAACTTGCTGCCCAGTGCACTGAATGCATATGCCAGGGCCTGGCGCGGCTCTCAGGCGGCATTCTGCAGTCCCAGGTTATTTGGAAATCGGCCTTGGAAAACACAGCGCCGTTGGCTCTTCATCTGGTCAAAATATGCGAATGCTCTGCCCACCTGTACGCGCACTGCGCCAGCCCCATTGTGCGCCGCCAGCAGCAGCAGCAGTGCGCGGAGCAATGCGCGCAGCTCAAAATGGGTGTGTGCAGGCTGGTCGATTTGACATCAGCAGTCTTCCGCTCCGAGGCGCATTTGACAGGGGATTCTGGAATGAAGCGGTCGCTGATGGAGAGGTACATTAGCTATGTGCTGGGAACCCACAGATTAATGCTGGCGTCGCCACCGCAGTTCAAGGCACAGTGGCAGACCATCTGCGCTATCGCCACGCAATTCTCGGCTCCGGCGTTTGACTCTTCGGCGATGTGCTTACGCGTGTATAAAAAGTCGTGCGAGAGCGTTAAGACCTGGTGCTTACAGTCTTTGGAGCAATGGGCTAGGCCGGCTTGGAGGCGATGGAGGACGAGAAGCTTGCAAGGAGACTGAAGACGCCCTTGGCGTATATTCGCTTTGTCGTTTTCCAGATGCCCTCTTTGATAGCAAGGATCTCGGTCGATGCGTCGCAGTGGGCCGAGGTGGTGTCCTGTGCCATGGCGATGCTGGATGTCGTTTTTGGCAAGTTGTCGGACATTGAGGTTCTTGCTGGGATTTCTAAAGACGTGGCCAAATCGGTGCGTCAATTGGCTGTGCTGGCTTGCTCGAAATTTACTGTGACCTTGTTTTCGCACAGCCTGCATCCCGTTACTCAGTATGTGGGGAAGCTGGCACGAGCGCTTGGGGATGTCGACCGGTCTGGCGGACTGGGTGCTTCGCGGATACCGCTGCTGGACGGACTACAGAGCCCGGCGGCGCATCGCGAGATTCTGCGAATAGTGTTTGAAAATTTGAGCTCATTCACTGCGCATCAGCAGGAAATGCTCTTGTGCCCGCCAAACAGCAGCACCACGTCTATTGTTCGGGCATTTGTATTGGCCGTTGACCGCGATCCGGCATCCATGTTTGTCCACCATAGAGCAGACAGCGACCGGGACCAGGAAGAACCCTCGGAGTACGAGGATTTGGTGGTTTCCGCATCCCTGGGCGCATCAAAACTCTCACCGGCGCTTTTCGCGCTCTGGGAGAATAGCACATTGTTGGCCATCTTGTCTTCTTTGCAGGGAGGGCTTGGGGCGCAAATCATGGTTGACGCATGGCTGGTGCTCGCCAAACACGCACTTCCGCGATCCGTCGTTTTGTCGTCTATCGGTGGAATCGTGGAGGTGGTGGCTGCTGACGATCTGCTGTCGCTTGGTGATGCACAGAGAGAGTTGTTGCGGAGACTGCTGGCGGGGTTTCTGGCCCAATGTACGGACTGCGAGCGGGAACAGGTCCTGGGAAATGTGGTTGGACAATACTCTGGTGATAATAATTGTGTAAGGCTTGCACGAGTATGCGCAGTGCTTCCATGGGATAGCGTGGGCAGTGGCGGAGAGAAAATTCAGAGTATTATTTGTGATGTGGCAGCCCGGTTGGTCGCCCAATTGAAGGCGTTGAATAGAGAAGGGAATCTGGGCCGCGCTCCGCCACACGCTTGCTGCCTGGCTGCTGTGTTCCCAACAATCCATGTGCCCGACCAACAGCAGCATCGGCAGGAAAAACAACAAAGGCTTGCGAGCGATATATACAGCTTGATATTTGACACTCTTACTCAATGCTTAAAAGCGAAGCATTTCAACTCATGGCACCAGTGGCTCGTTGATAGCTCTCTGATTATTGCCGCGGCACTGACAACTGAACATTTTGCGCAGTCTGCCGAAATCCTAAGGCAAATATCTGGCCACTTATCCTCGCCGGTGCTTGACATCCGCAGTCGTCGTTTCTTCTGGCACGTTTCGCCGGGAGCTTTCTGGATGCCTGCATGAGCTTTCAATTGGACCCGGTGGTTCCTCAGTTGACCCAAGTGTTTGCCCACCTGCTGCGCCCTGACTCACCCTGGATTGTCCGGCATGAGGCCCTTGTTTGCATCACATACTTTGCTACACAGTCGGAGGACTCTACAATTTTGCGGCGCTGATCCCGAAGACATGTACCAAGTTCTGATGTCGTATATAAGGCGCTCTTCCACTCTGATATTAATATTACCTTGTTGGACATGTATCGGTCTGCATTTGACCTGCAGCTGCCGCGATTTCGGGACATTTGGAACACATGCTCTGGAGCATCCAGCAACGGACATCATGTCGCCACTGGTGCGGGAAAGTCGGCCGTCGCTGGTATTGTGGATTCCGCAAGAGCATTGATATTTGATCTGAACTCGCTTGGAGGACCGCTGCCGGACAGCCCGTCTGCCAATGCCTTCCGCAGTGAGCTGGCACAGCTGGCTCGGACCATAGAGCGCTGCTTGTCTGATATATAACTCACGTGATGGCATATAATATATCTGCAATTCATGCGCGATGCCAGACGGTGAGCAAATTTTTAATTTTTTCTTTAGATTTTGTGTTACAAATATAAATCAATAGATACATTTTTGCTTACATTTAATTTTATATTTAGCATGTCTGCATATCTGACCGAAGAATTATGCAAACTCGGGGTTGATGACGACGCCATTCTGGAGTACTGCAGCGGACTGCTCGAGGACGACACGATGGACTCTGAGGAGAAGCAAGAGGCCATAGTCGGATACCTCGAGGCCATCCTCGAGCAAGACGTCACTGCGCTGGTGCTCCAAGCGCTTGCGCTGCAGTCCGAAGCTAAAACACAGAGACCCTGGAGACGCAGAAATCCGCGCAAATGGCGCTCTCTGAAGCCCTGGAGAAGGAAAAAGAGGAGTTGCAGCGGGACGCACAGAGCCAAGTGGAAAAGCCCAAGGAGATGACGCTGGAGGAAAGGAAGCAGAGGGAGAAGCTGATTGCCGCATACGAGTATCGCAATGCGGAGATAATTGAGAGAGCCGATGGTGAGTCGGAGATTGTGGTCAGAGAGAACAAGGGTGCAGCTGCAGGCGGCAGCGGTGGTGGTGGTGCAGGTGGTGAGGAGGGCATTTTACGCAATAATAATGCCCAACTTGTTGCCGAAAAGGAAAAGCTGGCCAGGGATACCAGCCGGACGGCTCACCAGAAGAAGTCGAGAGGGAAAAGGAACTGCTGGAGGCTGATAAACTGAGAAAAGAAAAGGAGAAACGACGGACGATGAAAAAGGAAAAACGGAGAATGTAAGATAAACCAAAAAATCAAACGTGGGAAAGTCTACTTATCTATTGGTTTTCTTGTGTCTCTTGAGATTTTCAACGTTTGAGTTTCGAGACACAAGCCCTCTTTTTTATACTTTTCAACCTTATATTTTCTCTTTTTAACATTAGAATTCCAAATTTAAAAACTATTATTCTTAACGATGGTTTTATCGGGAAAGGCATTGGCGCTGTTTGAGGGTATTCGCAAGGGCGATAGGAGGGCGCTGGCTCGCGGTATAACGCTCGTAGAGTCCACCGATCGGATCACAGGAGCGATGCCCGGGAGCTTGTCTCGGCGTGCGCTCGGATGCCACGGCCCAGATCGCTGCGCATCGGGCTGACGGGCACGCCAGGAGTTGGCAAGTCGACGTTTATCGAGGCATTCGGCATGCTTCTGATAAACAAGGGACACCGAGTGTCCGTTCTGGTAAGCAACAATCCAAATCCGTCTCAATATCGAAAATCACAGGATATGCGGGTAATAAATAACCTAAAAAAATAAGCGCAGTCATTCTACATTCTCCGCAATATACGAACAATGGGGGCGAGTAGGCGGTTGATCCGTCGTCGGCGCGCTCGGTGGGTCGATTCTCGGCGACAAGACACGGATGCAGGATCTCAGCGTAGCCACTGAAGCCTACGTGCGTCCCTCGCCCAGCCGCGGGTCCCTAGGCGGTGTAGCACGCAACACTCTCGACTCCATAATCCTAACCGAAGCCAGCGGCTTCGACATCTGCCTGGTGGAGACTGTCGGCGTCGGGCAGTCTGAAACAATGGTTTCCGACATGGTTGACATGTTTATCCTTCTTCTGCAACCGGGCAGCGGCGACGAACTACAGGGCGTCAAGCGCGGCATTATGGAGCTCGCTGACCTCATCATTATCAACAAGGCCGATGGCAACTTGGAACTCCCGGCTAAACTGACTCGCGCTGAAATCACCAATGCCCTGCATTTGATGATCCCCAGGAGGAAAAGTTGGACGCCAAAATGCTTGCGCGCGTCGGCGGCTACAGGGTATAATTTGGAGCGCGTTTGGGGATCGATTGAGAAGTATTTTGAGGGGCTGAGGGAATCTGGAGAGTGGGATGGATTGAGGGCGGCGCAACAAGAAAAGTGGATGTGGAGGGAGGTTAATCATTTGCTCATGGGCAGGATTAATGCCGATGAGGCTGTTAGGGCTTTTGCAAAGTCTCTGGAGGAGAATGTGCGGAGTGGCGAGATTCCACCGGGAATCGCTGCTGAGAGGGTTGTTGATAAGTTCCTATCGTCATACATTTCACAAAAACATGAATTCAAGTGAGAATTGACTTGATCAAGCGCTATTTTTATTTTTCCCACTTTGCTTTGCTCGACAGATTCTTAAATCATAACGAATTATTTATCCACAAGGAAAACGACTCTAACAATAGCCTAACAAGAAAAAAGCCACTGTTCGGTGCAAAAAACGGCCAGCAAATGGCAACTCAATTTTCAGTAATAGCTTTAGGAATGGCTACCACAGATACCATGATTATATTTAATACATGAATGCCTGCAATAACGCCAAGCAGTATAAGACCGGCTTTCAGATAGCTGTCTCTTTCTTGGGTAATTTCGCGCTTGTACATGTACGCCAAGCATCACTGGATTCTGTTGGCAGAGCAATAGCAAAGCTAAATAGAAAGCACATAAAAAAATAAACTCTGAATGAGGTGGTTCATAATATTGAGTTTAACAGTGTTGGTAAATAAAATATAGCGCAAAATATGTATATTAATAAATAATAATTATGTTGTATGGAAACAGAAAAAAATGTATTTATGTAACGCACTCATGGATATCTGCATAGGAATTCGTATTAGAGGCTAATGAAAGCCAGCTTGGCATACCTTTTTGTTTTATAATGCTTGAATTATTTATATGAATCATTTAAAGACCGCAACTATATAGAACTAGCTCTTTTTGTTATAAAGCGTCCCCACAATGCTTTCTACTTTGTCTGTGCTGCGCAAAAAACAAGTGCACTGGTGGCACGCATAAATCATTAGCAAACACAAATATAAAATCAATTAGTTCATGTGTGCATTGCCTAAGGTGTAGTCATAAAAATTGATAGCTTTTCACTCGCACATATACATTTAGCTATTGGTTTTATCTAAAAAACCAGATTTGAAGCATTGCATTTATTTCATACATTTGGGTTATTGCGTAATCAACTTTAATTATTTTGACCAATCAATTTTGGGATGAGGCGCAGCAAATGTTTTTGAATAGCAAAATAGCAAACTTGTAGGGAAAAGGGGGTGCAAAAAAACCTAAGCCACGTTTTGTAAATGCAATCGCTAAACATTAACAATGGGATCTGGTTGTTTTATATTTCCTTTTTTGAAAATGTGCAACGACAGTCTATTCCAGATAAAATATATTTTGTACAATATGATTGCCCTTGTTATTTATTTTGCAACAAGAAACAATTACAATTTAATAAAGCCATTAATAGCTAAATTGTATACATTTTCCCTGTTTATTTGAAAGACAATTGTAGTGTTAGTTCTAGTATTGTGGTGGCGTGGGCACATGCATATGCTTTTCTTTTTATGCGCCAACTGTTTTGTTTTGTTTATATTTTGAAAAAGTTTACATTGTCAGTATATTATATTAATTTTTGTTTTGCTTTATACTATTTTTCTCTCATAAAAATTTGTTTTACTAAAATGCACTAGCACTCCAAAAACAACACGGTGCTAGCATGGGTTGCAAGTTTTTATAAATAGTACAGTTCTAGACGCTGTCTGGCATAAATTATTCTTTAAGCTCTTTCAACCTTTCTTACTCTTTTTACAAGTAATATTATCTTTCAACTAGCATTTGCACTTCATCAGTCATGAGATTCAGCGTGTCCACCGTATCCAGCGTATTAGTGCTATTGGCTGTCTGCACATTGACTGCAGCCTTGGATTTTACGTCGGCTGAAGCGTTTAAATGCGCACGGAATAATTGGGCAGAAATTAAAGATACTTTTAATTATTATTCATCATACATGGAATATTTTTGTTAGCAGACGATATTCAAAAAATCAAAGGGTTTCTTGGATCTCCGCCTGTATTGCCAGACAGTCCGCCAAACAATGAGTGGCTTCATCAGGCCGCTACGACATTGCCCGAATGGATGTTTACTAAATTTGGCGGTGACATTATAAAAAAGTGTAATTTGTAAATGAAGATAAAGTTCTTTATATAGCTATTCTTTTGTTATTTATACTAATAAATATTGAGCAGTATAAATATACCTGTTTTGTTAATATTGACAGCAAAAATTATATTTTGACATTGCGGGCAAAATTCATTTTGTGCGCAAAGGGGATATTAAAGTTGCTAAAAGAGGATATTAACTGATCTAAAAAGATTATAATTATTTATTCTTTTTCTACAAAATTGAGCAATAAAGTCCAAAATAAAAATAATAATAAAAAAAGTTTAATAAGCGCACTCCCACAATATTAAAATAGTATTATATTGTGGACAAATTAAGCTTGCTGTGATACAAGAAATTGCGGCTTGTCTCCGGCGATTGATTAATGAATCAATCGCTAGTTAATTCCCTACTTGGATATGCGGGAATTCATACGCACGCATAAATACCAATGAATATAACAGTGGAGGCTGTTCATCCCTTAGCTTTCTTTTAGTTTATTTATTATATATATATATAACATAACACTTGCTATACTGCCGGTCTGCTAAGACACAAGAATATACATTTTTAAAGTTAAACATCAACACAAACTTTAGTTGAAAATATAAAACAACCACCACCTCCAAATTGTTGTACACTTTTTTGACCTGAAGGGTATGATACTTTCTTGCAACTAAATTGCGCTTGACAAGGTTAGGGGTGGTTGATGTGCCAACTGCTGTGGCAAAGATGCCACTGGTCATGGCTAGGACCGAAAAGAGATAGCGTAAAACTTTATTTATAAAATACTAGTTAATAGATAGGCTGGTAGTTGTTGGTGATGGGAATGTGAATGCTTGGTAAGGTATCAAAACAGATGGTATGGATAGCGGGCAAAATCTAACTATTTATACTTAAATGAATTCTTGCAACAAAGGCTGTGGTGGTGTTCAAAGAGGTTTAATGTCAAGACAATTATTTTGTTTTTATTGTTTTCACGTTTCAAGTACAAATTAATTGCGGTTGAAGGTGGCTTGTAAATCCCATTCATAAGATTGTACTGCAATCAACCCTTGTAAATATGCTTATAATAGCTTGATCTATGTATTGTGCACTAAGACTATTGTAAAAACTATTTTATGAGCAAGTATAATACTAAAAATGGTTTAATATACTAGCGCAGCTACATATGCTATTGTATAAGAGCCAGTTGCATATATTGTTTGTGTATAGAAGCATATTCCAAAATACAACGTGGGAGTTAGAAGATCAAATATAAACATAATAAAATTACTTTATTTGTAATGTTTGTTTTAGTTTTCAAAAAGTATACCTAATTAATTATTAAGCTCAAATAAAAGGGAAATGTGACTGCAAGTGCTAATTAGGACATTAATTGAGTCCCTAAAAATATGTATTTGTTTGGATAATCAGTTTTTTATTAAAAAATTACCCATTGAAGCACTTTTGACTTCTTCTAGCTTTTGGCGTCAGGTTGGCATTGTTAAAAGCACAACTAAAAATACGTGACAAATAGCAGAGCAGAAGGCAAATCACTACACCCAGCCACTAACAACAAAGCGTTTCACGTCCATATTGCTATTTTTGAGTTGCACTAGACGGGATTTTTGCAAAGCAAGTTGTCGAAAAATGGGGCATAAATTGTGCACATAATGAGTACTTTTGTTTGGATTTTAAAAGTAACAACATATTAAATGTATCATTAGCTGCACGCACTTCAATATCCACTGTTGTTACTTTACTATTTTTTATTTTTTATTTAACAAAAAGCTGAAGCATTTTTTTGCTGTAATGCTCTCCAATACCAATCGCAATTCCAAGCGAATGTCAATACAGCCACATTGTTTGTATGCTTGCTGTCATCTCTTATTTTATATTTATTTTTTACCAACGCTCTCTTATCAACTAAATACCAATAAGCACAACGCAGATTAAGCTGGACAAGTGCCCACTAGTTGTACATGTGTTTCTGTTTGATGGCTGTTGCACATGATCAGCCAAAACACAGACTAAATCAGTGGCTGCAAAAGTGCATGCAAGCTGAAATTATGCAGTTTGATATTCTAATATTATCTGATTTTTTCGAGCGATATTTACAAAATTCATTCTCTTGGCTTTTTCAGTCTAATTTTTCTAATTAATTTTCAATGGAAATTTTGGGTGTGGTATGTACAGTGGTTTTATTTTCTGCCATGATGAGCGGCAAAGACAAAAATTAGCACAGTTAAAAGTAAAGTGCCATCTAAAAAGCATCGCCGCGCAAATTATAGCTGTTTAGAGCCCATAGAGCATCGAGTGTGAAATGTCGTTGGACGCTCGGAGATATTTGCAACTGGTTGTCATGTCTTTGGGCTTGGTACATGCGCTACTCTTTCTAGCCATGCCCGTGTTGTGATTTTGTGAGGAGCCCATCCAGACGCTGGCAATCCGGAGAAGGTATACGAGTAAACCCCGCCCTCCTCCCATTCCGCTGCCTCTGATTTCAGGTCTTAGGCGTGTCACCAGCCGGATTCATATTGAACAAATGTTCTGTGGGCCCCCGTATATACCACAGTTACGGGTCTTACGGAATGGAACCGGCCCGATTTTTATTAAAACCATGGGTCTATTTTATCTCCAGTTTTGTTAGGTTTTGTTGACACTCGTATATACCCCAGACATGACATTGATGAGACCAGTTGCAGATATCTTACCGAGTGTTTACTAGACACGTTATTTTTGTTGTGCGCGAATGAGCGTGACTGTGGATGTGACTGTGACTGTGGCAGACAGCGGCTATAATATATGGGCCGATGTAATGCAATGGATGATGCTGCGCGAGACCTGCTGTATATGTGTATGTGATCCCCTCCTACAAAAGTTGTGTATTGTGAACCGATAATCCATGTTGAAGTCAAAGTCGAAGTCGATGCTGCTGTGTGTGCGCGCGTGTACCGTAGTCATGACGTTGTAATGTTAGAAAAATGTGTGTATGTGTATTGGAAAAAAGGTGGTAGTATTTTAGAGGAAGTGGTGGTTGTTGGGAGGGAGATAGGGAACCAAAAAATATTTTGGAAAGTGGGCGCTCTTTTTATACGAAATGAGATACTCGAATGGATGGAGGAGAAAGGCAGCAAAAAAGGCACTGTCGGTTGGGGAAAAGAGTTGGAAAAATAAAAAATTCAGTGGGTTCTTTGTGTTCCGCCAGCCTGAAATATCTTTGTACTCTTTTTGCGCACCAAGGGGCTTGTTTCGGGCAATGAGACACCCCAAAACTGCCGAAAAATGGCATAAAAATATTTTCATATGCTTGAAGAATAAAATGGGGTTAGCATTGCATTGTTTGTACCGAAAAAAGCAAAATGACCAAGCCATTTCGCAAAATACAAGCATGCGGTTGGCCATTTTTGCAAGCCGAACAATAAAATTATTTGTTTTTTATGAGCGAGGCTTGTTCCAAAAATTAACATGTACATTTAATGAACCCGGGTAAGAGACCCAACATGAAACACGAACAATTGCTATTTGAACAGACAATTGATGACTCTCAAAAAACAGGCACACTGTTCCGTGACAGAAAAGTAAGGGGTAAGTGAGTATAATACATGTGTTGCATTTGTTTACGGAAACTAATATATTTTTTATTTGCCAACACTGCCCTTTTGTTGAAAGAAAGCTTGGAAACAAAGCATTGGACGCCATACATTTTTGTGTGTTTTGTTGATTTCTACCAGAATAGTGAAGAATGTATTTCTCTTACAAACTAAGAAACAGCGCAAATGCGCCGTTTTGACCAGGCAGAAAAACCATTGCACATATAAAGCTGATTAACGCAATAAGACATTTGCTTCTGCCTGTTTTCTGGGTTAGTAGGGCTGTTTGTTTGTTTGTTGTGATTTTCAGTGACTGGTCGAAAAATAGCTGCAATGTAATGATCACGCAGTTACTTGAATTTTACAATTTCAAAATAGGCAAAAACAATTTGGCTGTTTTGTACAATTGGATGTTTCATTTGATTTAGAAAGATAGATAATAATTGCAATAGCTTTGTTTATATCTTTTGATTCAACTTGCCCAATTTGTCTACTTAAATTAGCTTTACAAATTATATATCTAATTAAATCACTCAAGGCGTAAGATAGGCGTGAGGCTTTTTGTATGAACATAGAACATATACTGTGCAATCCTGACGCACAAATGTAGGCAGGCTTTTAGAGCAAGTGGTTGACCAAGTATTTTTTGTTGCCATCATATTTTTCTTATTTTTTGCATAGACCATCTGAACAGGTTTTGCAATGCACTGTATTGCTTTTATTTATCTTTTACATTCTTATATTTTTACTCAGCACATTGCTAGGTACTGGAGACTTGTTTTGCTTGAACAAAGTATGTTTACGCATGCCTTAAGTACGCCGGCTGTATTTATTATGGCAGTAGCCAAAAGAAGTATATAAAATACTTATTTTAATCAAGCGCTCGTCTGTCGACAAATTGTTGCCAGTAAAGTCAACTAGCGCATACTTTACCAAAACGCTCTCAACTATCGAGTTTTTTGAATGAGAATATACCACGTGATTATAACACATCCACCAATAAATTATGTTCTGTTCTTAGCTTGTCTTTGACTTACCTTATTAAAAGTATGCTGTCGCAGTTTAATTTCTAGGTTTAATAATTTAGAACAAAGATAATACGGATGCCGCTTTATCTACGTTGGAGATAATGCCAGAAAGCATTTGCTTGAATATCTCACTGCATGGAGAATACAGAACTTGTGCAAGTAAATATATCAACTTGTCCTACGGGTCTAAGCGATACGATCCGTTCGATTTGTCAATGTATACTTTCTTTGTTTGAGATTGGCTGTATGCCAACTAAATAAAATTGTATTCACGCAATCTTAGCACCAATGGTGTGTTAGAAGTGGATTGATTCCAACAGTATTCTTTTTTAAGCACACATACTTGACAAAGCCTGTGTCTGAGCCCCCAAAAGGCAATTGTCCTGAGGGATCACCTGGGCTGACCACTGTCTTGACTTGATTCTTAAAAACACTGTAGACAACACTTGAAATAATGCAATCCCAGGGTTGAATTATCCGGTTCAATAAACACGCGACTATTAATTTAATAATAAGCAAACATATTGTGACCATTTTCCGCACTAAATTTATATATTATTTTTGTTTTAAAAAATAAATAAATCAAATTGCTAAATGCACCTATGTGCCATGACAGTGACTATAATCCCAATTCGGATGGAGCAAAGACAAGCCACCATGTTTATCGCTTAAAACATGCACCTGCGCATGCACTGCTGGTAGTCCCAGCGACCCGGCACTCCGTTGCACTGCTGCCATCTCCAGCTGCCAAATCCACCCTGCGGCTCGCAATTGCTTCGGGGGCGCCTCGGCTTCAGCAAGGGCATCGCTAGGCATCGGCGCACGACAGCGGTGGCAAAAACAGCAACCAGGGCAAGAGTGCTGAATGAGAAGATTGCATTTTAAAAAATGGTTGTTGAATAAAGTAAGGATATTTCGGTGTGAGTAAAAAAGAACAAGAGTACCTAAAAACTACCAACTGAATACTCGAGAAACCATGTCTTATTTATACATGGCATTTTTAGCAATAATGGAAGCAGCATCCTGTACATGTCATTGCTGGAATGATTCATCCTTTTGTGAACATGCTTTTAAAGCGCTGACATCCAATGCTACGCGAATCAGTTTGTGAATTGACTTTAACGATCTTTGCAATATGCCAAACCTAACAAAAACAATTGACAGCGATATTCAACAAAGATACTATGTGCTTGGTAGTGGAGCTGGCCAAGATGAAGTGTAAGTTTGTGTGAAAACTCATTCACTTTTCCAACCCTGCATTCAATTATTATGCGTCTTTTTTATTTTAATTTTGTATTTGTTTAACAAATGGGCAAATTTCCAGTATGTTTTTTATGACACAGCAAAAATCAAAAGTACAACTTGGTTTTCAGTAAACGCACAAGACCAATCGAGCTTACAATGTATGAAAATAGGTTTGGTCAAATAACTTGTTCTTTCAATTGTAGAATAAGCGGATCAAGCAATTACGCATGCCTTTTTTATTAAATCCAACGCACTTCACTTGTAGTGACGTGGCCACAACAATGCTCCAAAATGAAAAATGAAAACAAAAAGAAAAATATCACACGCACACTTTTGTATTGCCATTTATTTGTTTTTTATTCCCTTTGACAATTTATATTCTACAATTCATTTGCTTCGAGGTTTTTAGTTTTTCAATTTAGAGATTGCGCACCACGCGAAAGATTGCATTTCGGACGCATTTTTCTTTTGACAGTACAGTACCAGCTTTGATCTCATTTGGTCTTTGTATTCGAGTACTCTTTGTCCGCGTGCTTTATTTATTGTACAGGGTTTGTTCCTGAGTCAGGCACATGCGCATTTCTGTATTCCAGCAGGCGTCTGTCACGCTCGCTTCGTTGGTCGTATTACTGATAATGTCTTCAGCGGCTAAAGCGACTTTGCAGAGCCAGCTGTCATCGCGGAAGTTCTCCAACGCGCAGTTTTCCAACGCATTGAGCGGGTTCCAGCTCTCGCGACTAGCAGAAGCCTCACAAAAGCAGAGATCCTGGCTAGACATTCAAAAGGGCGAACTCCTTGCGCCTGTGCTTGTCCCGCGGCAAATAGGATCGCCGGGGTACCGAGCCGCGCAAGGGTGATTGTGGACACTTTGGGAAAGCTCGGGTATGCGATCTTGTGGTGGTAAATTTATGACAAACCACTTTAATTGTATTTAATGTATTGAAGTTACAATAGTCATAAAATGTAATAATAGAAAGACTAAATTAAAAAAGAATATATCAAAGCTCCATTATGTTGTCGGAATTCGGTAATAGTGATGATATGTGGAAATACCCGGCGATGATTGATGAAAAATGTGGCATGTGATGCATCGAAAACCCCCTAAATGTTTTCTAGATAATGCTGATTGGCCGTTTGCCCTCTAAATCAAAAAATCAAAAAATCAACATTTTGTACTTTCTCATTGCCACCACGCTTCATCATCAGCAAGCGGCATGATCGAACATATGAATTGTAGCGGAATAATGACAATTGGGGGCGGCGGAATGAGAAGCAGTAGCACGATAAAGAAAAAAGAAGAGAAAATGGCAAAACCGTTAGTACCCAGAACGATTCACTATATACAGTTTTTGTTTTTGTTTGTAGCTGCGTGCACAGCGTTGTGTATAAGGGAAGAGTGTGTTCTCATTTTGTTACCTTTGTTACTATGCACGGTGTACAAGAAGCGTGCTATTGTGTCGACCTCATCTACAGTGTGAGTGGTAAAGTGACGGCTGGCGGCAACAACCAAGTCATCTTTGGACGAGCGCGCCTTTATATTGAGCTTGAAAACCTGGCGGTACTTGCGTAAAACCTGGATATTGAGAGAGTTGAAGTCCAACTGCGAGTACTTTTGTGCGCGGCCGCTGTTCTTTGAGGATACCATGTTGTGCTGGGTGGCGTTGCTTGTGGAAACAGAGGCTGGGGCGGCTATGGATGAAGAGGGTTTTTGCCTAGGAGCCATGTTTGGTATATGAAGTATTAAAAATACGAAGTGTTACTTTTTAGAAATTTGCGAGGTGTTTGAATAAATTTAAAGCGAAATACAAAATAGGACTATTAAGGAGCAAAGAAAGGGGAGAAAGGTTTTTGCAGGCAACGCTCGCTTGCCTTTTTGGCATGTTTTTTTGTAGCGTGTGGAAGGAAAAAAAAGCCATGCAGAAGCATCATCTGCACTCAGTCAGACCAAGAGTTGCAGCCCAATTTTATGTGGGCAATTATATATTTCTCTGGATGCTGATTGGGCAAAGGGTAATCAGGGCGATTATGAGGATTTTTTTGAGTTTGTGGGCTGAGCTGGTTCATTTGGATAAGAAAGCATGAAAGGACAAAAAACAAGCAAGCAAGCATTTTCGTCTCTAAATATATAATTTTTAATTTCAAAAGGTTCAATTCATAATGTCTGTTGGAATCCGGCACTTGCGCGGTCTATATTCGGGATCAACAGCGATGAGGCTGGCTCTACAAGGTCTTCACGGAAGCAATGGCAGTAGCAATTTGGCGAGCCTCCGAATTCTCGGCGGGCACAGCATTTATGCAGGCCCAAACAAAAGCACAACCACATCGATGCGTCAGTTACACACGACAAAAACCGCACATGAGCAGCAACAGCAACAGCAACAGCAGCAGAGAAGGAGGCACGTTGATCCTCGCGAAGAGTTTCGCCATTACAATGAGCAAGCACGGCGCAAAAACGTCACTGGAATCCTGTACGTCAGCTCCTTTGTAATTATCTTCTTAGGAATTTCATACGCTGCCGTGCCTCTCTACCGCCTCCTCTGCAAGCGCACAGGCTTTATGGGCACTCCCAAGACCGAGCCCACAGTGCGTGATATCGAGTCCCTGCGTCCCCTGGAGAACCATCGCAGGCTGCGAATCAAGTTCTCGGGCCAGGTCTCCACAGTGCTCAATTGGTCATTTAAGCCCGAGCAGCGCCAGGTTTCGGTTGTGCCCGGTGAGACTGCGTTGGCGTTTTTCAAGGCGCACAATCGGTCGGATAAGCCGATTGTCGGGGTGGCCACGTATAATGTTATTCCAGAGCAGGCCGCGCCGTATTTCAATAAGATCCAATGCTTCTGCTTTGATGAGCAGCAGCTGGATCCGCAGGAGGAGATGATATGCCTGTGTTCTTCTTTATTGATCCAGAATTTGCCGCTGATCCACTGATGGACGACATTGACACGATCACGCTCTCGTACACCTTCTTCAAGGCCGCGGCAGATAGACGGAGGGAATCGCAAAAACGGACTGTGTGCAGGTGTTTGTTGTTTTTGTATTGCATTCAGGATGAGGCGAGTCAATACATAAATAAATAAAGACGTGAATTCCGTATTTGCTTATTTTGAGAGTTTTTCTGGGTTTGGGTCTGGGTTCTGGGTCTGGGTTTGACTGGTGCGATCGCTTTGCTTTACTTTGCATACTGGCGTCCAAGCAAACAAGCAAACAAACAAGCTTTTCTGTTCTTATTATCCAATGAGCGCACAACTCGATCTCATGCTGCTCAATGGCTTGTTTATGCACGCGCAGCCATATGCCCACCTCCAATATTTGTTTATGAGTAAAAACATGTTGCGGCCAAACGTCTAGGCTCCGCACTGCCAAGAAAGAGGGTTTCAGGTGGCACGAGCTTGCTGGCTATAAATAATGCCCCTGTGGCCATACAGCAAACCAACACATCTTGTTTTTCCATCTTACACAACCTCGGTTTAACTTTTACTATCGCTTTCTCACCTTCCCAGAAACCAATCTACACGTACACCAACTCCCTATCAACCATGGCACACCTGTTTGATTCCATCAAGGACAAGATCGAGTCTACCATCGACAAGGCCAGCAGACGGCTGAGCCACGACGACAAGGACAAGACTGCCCCCCCAAGGACAGCCAGAATGACGGCGGCAACAGCAGCAATGCCAGAACAACGACGGCCTTGGCCAGCAGAACAGCAACACTGCCAATGACTATGCACAGAAGCCCCAGAACCACGCCTCTGACCTTGGACAGCAGGGCCAGAATACCGGCAACGCCTACGGCCAGCAGGCCAAGGATCTCGGCCAGCAGACCGCCCAGAACCTCGGCAACAAGCCCCCTGCTTTCGGGCAGAACAGCGGACCCGGCGGCGGCTTCTCCATGTAAAATAATTTTATTTGTTTAGTTTACTAGAATATAAAAAAGGTCCTTTTTAAAATATAAGTTTTTCTTGTTTCAAAATACATAAATTTGTAAAGAATTTTTTATTCTTCATGAAGTATTATACTTCTCTTGCAAGGATGCCTCGAGCTTTTGGAACTCCTTATTCGCCTGTGCCTCCAGCTCATCCCCGACATCTTCGACACCAGTGACCTCAGGATATAGTACGAGAGCATGCCCTCAACGCCGTGCTTCAGCGTCACCGAGCTCGACGAGCATCCTTTGCACGCGCCCCTCAGCCTAATCTTGACAATCCCCGATCCCTCATTAAACGAGACAAAGTCCAAATCCCCTCCGTCCTCCTGAATCGCCGGCCTCACGCGCGACTCTAGCAGCTCTTTAATCTCAGCGACAATCTCCGAGTCATGCTCAGCCACGTCCATCGAATCACTTGTCTTCTCTGCATCTCTCGGATAAGCGAGCGTCCGGACGAGAAATGATCCATGATGGCAGCATATACGTCGGGCTTCATCAGCTGCCATGGGAAGTCCGGGTCCTTGCGCACGGTGACAAAGTCTGAGCCAAACATAATGCCCTTGACGCCCTCGATGGCGAACAGCCGCGTGGCCAGTGGCGATTTGAGGCCCTCGCGTGGAGACGAGAACTCTATTGTGTGCTTGGCGCCTTCGGGGAGAACGGGCACGCCGGGGATAAACTGCAGGGCGTCTTCGTTGGGCGTTGTGGCTGTTTGGATGAACATCGTGCGCCGGGCCATTGTCTGGGCGCTGACGCTGGTGATGTCCAGTCGCGGTGTGAGAAGCCGGCTGCTGATGTGGCGTCTGAGCGGTTGCTGTGTCGGCCGAGTCGATGTGCGCAGAGCGGCGGCAACTGCCGTGGTTGTGAAGAGCCGAGACAACATATTTTACGTCTGTGATTGTAGTTTATTTTGAAGTAGTAGTGGTCGTAATGTTGGAAAAAAGAATATAATTTGAAAGTGAAAATAATTTGAAAGACGGAGCGAAGCAAAGAAAAGAAAAGATGAGATAACAGGGTGAATCGATATTTGTGCCCGTCCAATTATTTGCACCAATCTTGTCGAGCATTCACGTGAGTGATTAGCTGCTTCGCCAGATATTTTCTCCTTTTGAACCTATGCGCAGTTGGAAAAAGTGCTATTTTTTCTCTCGATTGTTCTCCCCCCGCTATGCTCTTTTTTCCCTTTCAAGTTTTTCTTTTTATTCGTTCGCGTCTGTTTCAAGCAACTTCCAACTTTATACCTATCAAGTTTACATCATTTAGAATGAGCGCAGCGAGTGCAGATGCTCAACAAGAACAACAACAGCAGCAACCACAACAGTCGACTGAGACCAGAGACTCAGGTAAAGACACCCCCGTGTTCGATACGCAGGCAGAGCAGACGAGCACAAGCATACTTGTGTCGAAAGCATTTTTTTATTTACAAATACTGTTAACGCTAATCTGTGGCTTCTGTTGAATTGTGTTTTTTGTTCATTTTGTAGAAAGGGACGTGGTTTTGGAAAAGATAGCGCTAAATGAAAACAACACGTACGTGCATTTCCAACCAACAACAACCAACAAAAAGCTCTTTCTTGATGGCGACAACCGACAGTGCGTTAATAGACACTTTGTACTTGCTTTAATTATAAATTTGTAGTATGCCGTGGCCAGAGCTGCGGACAATCATCAGACAAAAGCTAGCGCAGGCGGTTGACACGCTAACACATCGCCAGGAGAATAGACAGAACCGCAGCCAGGATGAGAGTGGGACTGGAAACCAGTTGGATACATCTACAGCCGAGGCTCAGTCTTCGCGTAAGCGCACAAGATCGGAGGACACGGGCAAAACCGGCGACACTCGGCCACCTGGCCAACAGGCCGGCTCCCCCGAAGACAACAGTGAATCAATTGACCAAGATGCAGAAGGCATTGAAGAAGAAACCAGCGAATCTCAGCATATCGAAGATCCCGACAGCGTCGACGTCCAGGGTATGTCCCTCGAGACCCCGAAGGATGCAATGACCAATGGCCATGACTCGGACGACCCAAGATATCCATGATCTTGAAGAACGCATTAACTACTGTTTGCGCACTTTCGACGAGGCGCCCTTCACGATCCAGCGCATTGCTGAGCTGCTGATGTGGCCCGAAAGGCACTACCGTAATGTCATAAAGTTTTTGCGTGCTGTCGAGCGCGTCGTCTACGTGACATCCACCGTGGAGGAATTCCCCACTACCGCACACATGCAGGATGAGAACGATGGTGGTGAGCTCCTTGAGGATAGTCTAAATGCGAATGCGCCACCATCGGTATATTCGTTTGTTGATACTGCTTCTGTTACTGCGCGGGGCTCGGGTTTGTCAGACGGGAATGTGCAGACTAGGGCAGTGATGGCTAGAGTCCCGGTGACGCAAGTGTGTTAATGCCGAAAGCGAATGCGAATGCGAATGCGAGCACTGTGCCGCTGGACGCCTCTGATACGGGCATTTTACATATTCAGCCTACGTCGACGGATGACACAGAGACAATGTCAAAAATTCGCGACAATGTCGATGCTGATGTGCCCGTTTATATCGATGATCATGTGGGCGGATCAAGCAAACTGACTGTGAAACCGGTGTTTCCGGAAATTGAATTGGAATCGACAGTAGAACCGTCCGAGGTTATGTCTGAAGTTGTGTTTGAAGAAACAAGGATGCTTTGGCGGAGAGCAAAGATGCAGATGAGGACCTGAGAGAATATTTGATATATGTTTAGGTATTCAAATATATTTTTAATAGACAACAATACAAACAAACAAACAAACATTTGTATTTTCTTGGAGGGCGAATGGGGCTCCGAATGCTTTGGTTAATGGTGTATGGAAGAAATAAAATGATTTTTAAATAGAGTCGGGCTCGGCAGCCGAGATTTGTTGTGGTTCCTGGACAAGGCCATCAGTAACATCAGCAACAACCGCAGCTTCAGCAGCAGCTTCTATAATGGTGGGCGCTTCTGAATTGGTCTGATCTCCTGTGGTGAGAAGTGTGTCAATAGGGGTCGTCTCGGCAACAAAAGCTCAGCGACAGCATCAAGCCGAGCATCTACTGCAGATGTCTGAGTATCAACAACATGTGCTTCCGTAACCTGGGTAACATCAAGCTCAGTCGTAATCTCAGGAGCGACCTCAGGATTAATCCCGGAAGTGACCTCAGGACTAGTCTCAGCAATGACCTCAGGACTAGTCTCAGCAATGACCTCAGGACCAGTCTCAGCAATGACCTCAGTACTGACCTCAGTAATGGCATCAGCGACATCCCCAGTATTGATCTCAGTAATGACCTCAGCGACATCCTCAGTATCAACCTGCATGGGCGCATCGCCCTTCTCAACATCTACAGACTCGTCCGGCTGAACGGAGCCCACCTCAGGCATTGCTTCTCCAGTCTCACTTTCCAAAACACCTGCGATAGCGTCGATATTGTCTACCGATGTTGAACTATATATTGCCGCGGCCACATCCTCGACAGCAGCTACAGCTGCCTCCAACGCGTCCGCCGGAACATCCGCCGTCTCTTTCATCACAACACCGTCTTCCTCTCCGTTATCCGGCTCTTCGATCACCTGCACTTGCTGCTGAGGCACACTTTCCTCCTCGTCATCCTCATGAACGACTGTCTGGCCAGCTACAAAATTGCAAGCAAAAGAGTGAGAGTACAATAAACGCTTGGGGCAATTAATATATGCAGGTGATAAAGCACTACTCACTCTGTAAATGTATTGATTACTTTCCCTTTCCTTTCCATTATACATACTTTTCTCCCACTTGAACACCTTGTATGGCGATGCAACGGCATTGTCCTCAGAGGTTGCAGACTTTGCAGGTGACGCCCACACTTTCCTCCATGCATACACGGGTTGCTGGGCTGAGCGGGCCTGGCGGAATGCCTCATTGGCAAACGTATAGCGCATGCGCTTTTGGCGTCCCGGCATAATAATAATGTTAAAATAGGCGGCAAAGGTGACAAAGTATAATGATGACGGTATTAATAGAAAAAGGGTTAAAGAGAGGCATGAGATCCTCGTGACCGCCGGCGCCTGTCCGCACGTTTGGCAACTGTAACACCAGCTCCAAACTTATAGGCATATCACACGTGATGTAGGCGGTGGCTATTTTTAGTCTGCAGAGTGCATGCATGTGTGAAAATATCAAAAATAATGAAAAGCACTATCAAATCATGCCTTGCTTGGCATTTTTTGATACACGACTTTTAATATTCTTCCCGTTGCGGTTATTGTTGTTTTGGCATGTCTTCCATGCAGGAAGAGCAGCACGCAAGGAGGAGCATCATCACCATCACCATCATTGTGTGTCCTCCCCTTGGCCAAAATGCCAAAAACACACATTCGAAAACAAGTTTCCAGATTTCGCATCGATATTGTTTTTTTGGGCAAAGTTATTTTTGTTTTGCATTTTACCATTTGATTTCGATTTTTTGGTGCGGGCGCCGCAGATCCACATTATTTTTCCAAGCCACACGCGCTTGCTAATTGCCTGGTCCTTAAATACATGGAAGTTAAATAGCAAAGAGCTGTCGTCACTCTAATTTGCAAGCCCGAATCCAAGCAACAGAACCAGCTTAAATTAAACAGTAGGCTCCACCCCCTATCCCCCCTTTGTCTACTGCTTTTAATTATTGCAGTAGGGCTGAAAGAATGCTTATTCGAAGGGAAGGAGAGGGAGAGAGCATGCTCGCTGTATACGTATATATATACATACCACAATCTTTTTAGGTCACATGCAGCCCACTCACAAAGAAACTGTAGCGGATTTGAGTAGCGTGATTGGCTTTGTTGTGGTGGTGTGAGGGTATCACAGCACTTTTGCACACGCAGAGTGGAGGTATCACAGTCGGGCCATTTGTATGTTGCTAACCGCCTGTGAATGAATTTTCCAATTATTTCTACACTTGAGCTGCCTATTTAAGCGCCTGCCAAAATAGGCAGCTCAAGTTCAGCTTTTATTGCCAGAATAAAAGCTGTTGTCCTTTCCGCTGCATTTTGCCACACCCAAAATAAAAAACAAGCTCGGCAGCGACCAATATTCGGGCCAAAGGAACAACACACAAAAAGGGATTGTCACCAGTGAGAGCGCAACAAAAAATGCCGTTTCAAAAAATCAGTGCCCCATTGGCTGGCAAAAAAATCCATTCTGCAAGCATTGATTGGCTGCAAAGCTAAAGTGTTCTGCGTGGAGGGAGGGCGGAGGAGAGGCGCGGAAAAAGGAGGGAGATGCACAACACAAAGGGAAAAAAGTGATGGCGGCGGGCATTGCGCCGCGTTGCTCCTTTATAAATACCTGGTCATTTTTTCATCTTTTTTGCTCTCTTCCCCTTTTTTCCGCTCTAATAACTTTCCACATTTTTCTTACTATAGCTCTGCCAAACCCTTCTATTTCTTCCACTAATACTTTTTTGTATATCCAAAACTAGGTTACTTTTTTTTTAACATACTTGTTTCATAGTCTACTCACTGAGTATTTTTCAACACTTTCTGTACCAACAAACCAACCCCTTTCACACACACACACCTACCCAAAAATCAAGCTAGCTAGCTGCTTACCATATCTTCAAGCATCTTTCACACTGCTTAAGCGAGTGTAAAACATCCTAGTCTTCCAATAGCAACATCAACATACCTCACCCCTCCGGGCAATAAAGAAAGCATATTGCATAAATTAATTTGTGCAGTTTTTCTAGCGACCGAGACAAAAAAGAACTACATTATTTCACGCTCTCCCCCTCTTTGTCCAGTCGTCCTCCACGTCGTATGCGCATATAGTCGGATTCATATTTCTGCATAAACAACCCCCCATTCGAGATTCCTCAATTCTTTAAAAAAAAAGAACTCAAATCATGTCGGCCCGAGTACCCACTGCTTTCCGTCCTCTTGAGACCAACAAATCATTTGGTGTTTTTGAGGCGCCCGTCCCCAGACGCACAGCCACAGCCGCGCCCTCGTCCATCTACTATGGCACAGGCAGCAGCATCGACACGGACTCGTACGCGCAAGAGCGCATGCAGCTGCTGTCCAGACTTGAGCAGCGCTGGTACCCAGTGCGTCCCAGCACATGCAACCCTCGCAGCAGCAGCGACTGTGCTCAACCCATTCCACGCAGAAGCTACCCGTCCTCGTTTTCGGGCATGAATAGCGCCGGAACCAGCCGCCCGTCGTCGTCCAGCTCCCAGGTTGACCTGTTTGCCGCGGAGGATGCCGCGTGCATGGAGCTGCGTGGGATCTTTGGAAACAGCGAGTTTACCGGCTCTGCTTCGCGCTCGTCATCGGCCAACTCGTCAATCATGGATGTCTCGTCGAGATCGTTTGACAGCGACATGGGTCTTTTCCCGCTGGAGGAGATTATCGTTTGCCCTCAGACCCCTCCCATGCGCTCGCATAACCCAGTGCCGCTCAATACTGGGTTTGGTCGCGGATACTGAGACCCTGTAAAAATGGCGGTTGCTTGGCCTTGTCTTTGCACGGAAAGATGGTGTTTTTTGTTTATTGTGGGGGAGCGGTTGACTCCCATTATTCTCCTCTGCGAGGATGACGGCGCAAAAGCCGCTCCCACACCTCGGGCCTTGTGTATACTTATTGCCCACCCCAACCCCCTTCTTTCTTTGCGCTGTCTTGTATTATGTGTTTGTTTGGTTTCTTTTGTGCGGGCTAATTTTTCTTTGTTTCGCTCTGCGATCCGCTGGAGGAAAAAAAACTGTAGTGCATTTTCATCCTGCCTTCTCTGCTCGCGCGTGCGGGGAGAGGAGGGGGGCATGGTTTGTTCTTTCATTTAATGGAGAATGGAACGTGTGGTATTTTTGGTGCATTAATTTGTCTTGTGGGGTGTATTTTATTATCCGTTTCTTTTTTGTACAAATTGTCCCACAGCAATATTTTTCATTCATTTTTATTCCCAGTACTCTTGCACTATGGATACTGTGGCATGGTCACAAATGTTTTAGTCTTATTTTTGTCATTTTTTACTCATTTCACGTCTTCATCACACCCCCTTTCCCCCTCCGCTTATCACTTAATTCTCTCGCCATCAAAAGAGCACCAGCATCAAACCAGCCAACGCACGTAAAATAGCCACCAACCTGGCTCTTCTCTTAACACAAACACAAAACGCACGCACCACCTCTTTGTTCAACCTGGGCCGTATTCTGATCTCTAGCTTTTTAAGTGTCTTATTTTTTATATTTTGTTTGCATATAATACCTTCTCTCTTTTTTACTCGTGAGGCTTGTAAATAACACAATCCTAAGCCAAAATGTAAATGTAATGAAATAAATAAGTGACAAATGAAATATGAATTATGAATTATGAGGTTTGAGATAGTGATGTTCATTGTTATCGTTGTTGGCACGTACACAATGCATGTGTATATATGTGCGTGTAAATCCAATTGAGTCGATGCGGATACGGATGCAGATCAGATAGTCCGATCGAGTTCTGTTCCATTCCGTTTTGTTCCGTCTGGGCCGCATTTTATTTTATTTTATTTAATTTTACAGCACATTTGCACTATTACTGTTTTGATCGGCGTTGATTTGATCCAAAAACTTTTTTTCTTTCTTCAATTGGTTTTTACCCCCAACCAAAATTTTCCATCCGTTTTTTTTTTTTGCTAGGCAGTCACACCAGCGCAAGCTATCAAAGCAAAGGGCAAAAAAATACTTTTTTGCAATTTATCAATTTTAGCAGTACCTTTTATTTATTTTTTTCTTCTAGACACACTAAAAGTGACAAAAAAACCTTCAAATTTAACACCAACCAATCTGTAAAATGGCTGCTGTTTCAAAGACGTACATCGGGCTGAGCTTGGGTAACCACAACTCGGTTATTGCTATCATCAACAAGGACCACCGGGCCGAAGTAATTGCCAACGAAGATGGCGAGCACAAGACGCCCACTTACGTTGCGTTCTCGGGCGAAGAGGAATACCACGGATCTCAGGCCAAGCACCAGTTCGTGCGCAACGCGCAAAACACAATCATGGGATTCCGTGACCTCCTCGGCAAGACATTTGCCCCCGAGATGAACCAGCTGCACCCAGGATTTGCTCGGATCGAGGATAGCGAGGGAAAGCCCGTCTTTGTCATTGAGACCGAGAACGACAACGGCGAGACCCAGAAACTGCGTCTTTCGGCGCACGAAGTTACCGTCCGGTACTTGGCCAGACTGCGCACTACGGCCGAGGATTACTTGGGCCGGAAGATCGAGGGCGCTGTGTTGGCCCTGCCGGTGTCGTTCACGAAGGAGCAGAAGGAGTCTGTGGCGGCGGCTTGCGAGGAGGCCGGCTTGCCCCTGCTGCAACTCATTGCCGAGCCCATTGCCGCTGCCATGCAGTACGGTGTTGGCAAGGGTGCGTCGCACGTGGATGCCAAGGATACCCTTGCCCTGGTTGTCGATGTCGGAGGCACTGGCTCCGATGTCACCCTTGTGGCTGCCCGCGGTGGCCTGTACACTATTGTTGGCAGCACCCACACTGATGCCGTCAGCGGCGACATCGTTGATGACGTCCTGGTCAAGCACTTTGCCGGCGAGTTCAAGCGCCAGTACAACATCGATGTGCTCCAGGGCAACCCCAAGGCTGTGCGCAAGATGAAGGAGTCTGTGGAATACACCAAGCGCACTCTGAGCTCCGCTGCCTCCGCCCCCTGTGCCGTCGAGAGCCTGGCGAGGGCCTGGACTTTAACGGATCGATCCAGCGCACACGCTTCGATATCATGAGCGGCAAGGTGTACACCCCCCTGCTGGAGTCCATCGAGAAGGTCATTGCTGACGCTGGCTACACCCCGGCGCAGGTCGACCAGGTTCTCCTGTGCGGCGGTGCTGCGCGCCTCCGCAAGCTGCAGTCCCGCATTGCCGGTTCTTCCCTGAGACCACCGAGGTGCGCGACGAGGGCGAGCTTGACGAGGTCATTGCGGCCGGATGCGCGGAGCAGGCCGCCCTGATTGCCCAGGGCAGCGTGGTGGCCCCCAAGGAGGCTGCGGCGGCGGAGGATTTGGCCGTTGAGGCGTTGGCTAAGCCCCTGGGCATTCAGCTCGGCGAGGACAGCTTTGTCCCTGTGCTGCTCCAGGACACCCCCCTGCCGGCGTCCCGCTCGGTCAAGGTCGCGTTGCCCCATGGCCAGAAGCGCGCCTATGTTGCCGTTGCTGAGGGCGAGGCTGTTGCCCCTAAGCCTGAGGAGGATGACGAGGACGACGAGGAGGAGGAGGAGCAGGAGGAGCAGGCTGCTCTTCCCCTGTTCCGCCCCGCCAAGCTCCTGGCCGAAATGGTCCTGGAGCTCGACCAGGCTGATGAGAACACCCGTGTTGTCATCACGTTCTTTGTCGGCACTGACAGGAAGCTCACCGTCACTGCATCAGAGCCTGTCTCCGGCAAGTCCATCACTGCTGAGATCCCCCAGTAAAAAAATAAAAATAAAGCCTTATTACTTAGCATCTTCTATAGAAGTACATAATTTTTTTCTAAATTTTTTTTCTGAATCGAGCATATTTCAATATCCCCAGTTTTTTTCTTCTTTTCTTTTTTTTGTTGGTAAATGCGCCTATTTCCATCATCTCGGTGCCAATGTGTAGAGAGCTCTTTTTGGTGGCGGATTGTGCGTGACCAACTCTGGTGATGTCTGCTAGTGAGTATAAAATGATGTCATTCGCCTTTTCTCTTCCTTTTTTGCTTGTTTGCTAAAGCAGTGTTATGCAGAGGCTGGTAGGGCGAATTTTGCCATTGGCGATGACACGCATATGATTTTGACTGCCATTTTGCATTTTTGCGTTTTGTGTTGCTTTTTGCATTGTTTTTTTTTGCGTCGTCCCAATGGGCTTATAAATGCATGGGGGGAGGGGAAGGAATTGTTTGCGAAAAAAGTGCTTTTCTGTTTCCCCCAAAAATTTTCAAGATTTTTTCATTGTTTTTTATACTTTACTACTACTGTGCACTACTAATACTCTATTTGTCCAACAAAAAACATTTACACATATATACCGCACATCATCGCTTTATAGATTTTCATTTCCCAATCAACTACAATGTCTACCGGTCCCTCGCCCCTGTTTATGCCTCTGCAAGCGTCTCCACGCCTGGTCGCGCAGATGACCGGGCTGAGCCTGAGCCAAAGCCAGCTCGAAGTATCGCAGCAGCACAACCTCAAACGCATGCTACGGCGCATCCGCGCGTCGCGCCAAAAGACCATTACCACGTCCCCGCGCATCATCCGCCGCTCAAGCACACGCCGCCGCATGCCCTCCATCAGCCTCCCTTCCTCCGCCATACCGGCCGCCACAGCCAACAAGCCTGCCGTGGACCAGGACAATAGCAGCGAGTGGAGCGACGACAGAGAAGACGACGATGACGCGGCATTGCGCCAGATGGATATCTCCATGGATATCTCGGACAACCCGCCAGCAGACGTATTGAGCGAGCGCATCGCCACCTTGTTCAACCAGGTGTTTGCACCGCATGAGGAGATCCATGGGGAACACGTGCGCGCGAGCCGACTGAGCGGCGCAATGACCAACTGCGTGTACATGGTTGAGATTATCCCGGCGCCCACCCTGGCCTCCTCATCCACCAGCGCGCATGTGCGCCGGTGGACCCGGAACAAGCCGCAAGAAGGTCCTGTGCAATTGCCTGCCAAGTACCTTCTGCGGGTGTACGGTGCGGGCGTGGACGAGTTCTTGTCGCGCGAAAAGGAGCTCTACTGGCTGGCGCAATTGACATCCTTGGGGTTCGGGCCCAGGCTCTATGGAATTTTCGGCAACGGCCGCCTGGAGGAGTACCTGGAGAGCACGACCTGGGCAGAGACGACATGCGCGAATCATCGACTAGCAAGCAAATCGCCCGCAGAATGTGCGAGCTCCATAGCCTGGTCAGCTACTACCGGCCATTCGATTCGCGTGGCCATCATCACAGGCAGCAGCAACAGCAGCGGCCTGGCATTGATCTCAGTGGCACCCTGAGCTGTGGAATAACGTTGACTCGTGGATGCGCCTAGTGCATGCAAAATGGGACCGCGTCCTCCAAGCCTGCTCGCGCAACCCACAGTGCCTCGACATTCTCGAGCACTGGACCCGCGTACAGCAAGTCGCTGCCACCCTGCGCCAGCTAACGGAGGCCCGAGGCTTCCCCATAGTATTCGCCCACGACGACCTCCAATACGGCAATATCCTGCGCCTGCGCGACACCGGCGAGCTTGTTGTTGTCGATTTTGAGTATGCCGGATACAACTACCGCGGCTTTGACATTGCCAATCACTTCTGCGAATGGATGGCAGACTACCACCATGTGAAGCACCCGCATTTGCTTAATGAGAGTGCGTATCCGGATAAGAACCAGCGCGAGGGATTTTTGCGCACGTATGTTAAGGCCAAGGCCTTCTTGGACGCCAACATGAAGGCTGATGTTGGGCTGGTTGAGAGCGACGATGTGAGGCATATTGAGCTGAGAGAGATTAAACTGGGCGACGCGAGAATTGCTGAGGAGGTTGCTAGGCTGGAGGATGAGGTCGCGTTGTTTGTGCCTGCGTCCCACTTGCATTGGGGTGTTTGGGGCCTGCTGCAGGCTTGCTCCAGTGACATCGACTTTGATTATGTCGCATATGCTACCCAGCGCCTATCCATATTCCTCAGGCTTGTCTCGCAGATGAAAAAATAAATATTAAAAAAATGTATAGAATGATATCGGGGGGTTTTTTTGTTATTAAAACCCAGTGAAAGAAAAATTAGTTGTGAACGAAAGTGAAAAAAGTAAGAGGAGTGTGATAAAAAAATACACCTCCAAGCACACAAAGAGAAGAAAAGAAAAAAGAGAAGAAAAAAATTTAGAGATTGTGTTATTGTTTTTTGCTAAACCACGAAGTGATCCGGGTGCCCAGGCTCTTAAACACTCCAGTTCTTGACCCAGCACCATTAATCCGCGATGCCGACGATACAGCGGAAAACACCGACCTCGGCGACAGCCCGCCCAACCTCGTGGCCTCCTCCTTGGTCTTCTGATGTTTCGTAACCAGCATTGACTCGGACACAGAGTCAAACGTCGGTTTAATTACCGTTGACCCAGGCGAATGCGCATCCATATGCAGACACTTGGCACTCGCATTTGATCTGCTGCCGGGCATTGAAATAGACCGACGCAAGCTATTGGTGATCCGCTGGTACTGAAGGGACGACTTTGGCTGTGGCTGTGGCTGCGGCTGCTGCTGAGCTACCGGTTCTTGCTCCTGCTTGCCATCGGCCTCGGCGTGTGTGACTGCTGGCGAAGACACGGTAGTATTGTTCTCGTCCAGAGTGGACAACAGGGATGCTCCAAATACGAGCCTGTTGGGATCCGCACTCAGCATACCCGTGAACTCCGGACCGTCATCTACATCCCCAAATCAATACCCTGCATAAAATCCTTCACCCCCGAACTCCCACTCACCGACGACCGGTTCGAATCCGACTTGTGCTTAGTCGGCGCCAGCTCATTAATCGCATCCTCAACATCCTGCGCGCCCAACCCATCACCCACAACCCTATTCCCAATGCCATCCGCAAACTCGCCACTCTCACTATTGCCGCCTTCGCCCAGAATCGGCTGTTGCTGTTGCTGTTGAATCGAATCATTTATATCGGTGCCTGAATCTGCAAACGTTCCTGTTACAGGGATACCGCTGTTCTGGAACTGCTTGCTGCACCAGAAACACCGCTGCTTGCCACATAGTAGCTGACCGGCCGGTCCCACTCCTTATCATTCAGTACTTTCTCCGCCGCCGCGTACACTGCCCCGGCAAGATCAAAGTCGCTCGAACTTCCACTGCAACTCTGCCTGTCCGCGTTTACATCGGTCTCCTGAATACCACTGTCCGCCGTACCACTGTCGTTGCTATTGTTACTGGTGCTACTATCGCGCTTTTGTGGAAGCTGCGCATTCTCCTCATCAATGGGCTCGATGGCTGTGGTGGTAATGGCAGCCGAGGCAATGGCGGCAGAGGCTGCGGCAAAAGCAGCAGTGGCAAAATCAGTGGCCGTAATTGCCCCGATATCCTGGTTGGAGACACTGCGCGCTTCGTCAACGTTGCTCGAGTCGTCCGACAAGGCGGCTGGAGCAGCGACATCCTCGATGGCGGATTCCACGGGCTCCGCGCCACCCTCAGCAACAGCAATAGCAACATCAATAGCAACAGTATCTGGCTTATCGGCTTCAGCAACGACTGCATCAGTCTTTACTGCGCTTGCCTCTGCATCAGCATCAACCTTGACATCGGCCTTGACATCGGACTCTACTGCGATGTCAGTCTCAATTGCAGGCGCAAAAATCTTTGGCACAAACGCCAGCGACGACTTGCATCTAAACCTCAGCTGTTCGACAGCATTGGGCAATGGCGCCACCGTTGCCACACATCCAACCTCAGCGTCTCCATTCCCAATATCGACGCTCTCCGACCTACTGTTATCACGATGAGCAGCGGGCACCGGAACAGGCTTGAACGTGCTGTACCGGACATTGCTACTGCCCTCATCCTTGATCTCCACCAGATCCTCCTTGGAAACAGCAACGGCAACGACAACAGCGGCCGAGACACTGGTAAATGCACCGACTGAAAAACGCCCAACCTTGGACTCAGACGCCCCTGGCCATTTGCCATCCCCGACAAGCCTATCGGGGCTGGTGGGTCACTGTGGACAACACCAGCGGCGGCACCAGCAACACTGGCAGAGAGAACGTTGTTTCCGCCGTGGCCTCCGCAAGAGCCTTCTGGAACGGAACCTGCTTCAAAAGCTCAAACCCACAGGTACTATCAGACGTAGTGGGCCTTGAAGCATAGCTACCCAGCGGCGTGCAAGTAGACACCTTCTGGGTTCCGCGGGTCAAACTATACATGGTGACTTCAATGAGTAGCTCGTAGGAGAACAGGAGGAAATGTCCCGGGATAATATGCGTCGACACCGGCACATTCGTATGCACATTGGCGCTGCACGACCGGTTCCCTGATGTCTTGGTTGTCATTGAGCGAATAATCCCACTATCGCGCTTAGCCAGACCACCGCCCTCGGCGCCCATCTCGCTGACCTGCGACGCATTAGTCACAGAGGATGCGCTGGCCTGCTGACTCATGCTCAGCGAGCAAGCGGACGCTGCCGCCGCCGATGCCGCGTTAGCCGCCAGCCCGACCGCAATATTCGTCAGCTTGAGCGGATTCACCTGGCCAATCTCAATATACCGGCACCAGAGCACATCGGACTCGTCGGATTCCGACGGCGGCCGTGCAGATGCCGGGCGGGACCCACTGGCGATAAACTCAGCGGTCTCCGCCGAACTGAACGTCCGGCGCATCCGGCACTCCACGCGCTGCCGCAGCTGGCTCTCAGCCTTGCGGATCGTGCGGTTGGACTTTAGGCACTCGATATGTACGCCGCCGACAACCTGATCACCCGGCATATAGTCGGTCTGCGACAAAGTGACTCGTGTCACCAGGCACTCCTTCCCGCGATCATCATACCCTGTGCGCGTCACTGGCGCCAGCAAAATAGGCGACGGCTGGCAATTGAGCAACGGCACGAAGGATACGGGCTCGGAAACACGCCCCACTACGGTCTCATTGGGACCAACCAACCATCCAACAATATGGTAAGCTATTTCAAAACTCTGCGACGGAGCCGATACGCACACGCTCTTGACAGCTGTCGGGTAGTTGGCGCAGGGAAAGGCAATTGAAAATGGAAGGTTCATGTCTGAGGTGTCCTTGGCATTGTCGTCGCTCTTCACTTCCTTGCTCTGCTGCCATACCACAAGGCGCTCGTCAAAGTAAACTTTGTTCAGCGCGCGCACGCCCTTGCGCGGCTGCAGCCCATCTAGACTGTCATCGTCGTAGTCCTCCAGCGTCCCGCCAACTACCTCGACACCGCGGTACTGGACCTCAACACGCTCAACACCCTCGAATGCACCCTCAGAGACCAACACATGACCTATCGAGAATAATCAAAAGCAACAACAAAAAAGCTCGTAACAATGTTTTGAATAAGCGCGTCTCAATGAGAAGTAAAATAAAAATAGCAACAAAAAAAACACACAATGCTTATATATTTTTTGTGCCTCACTAGCCCAAATGAAAAGTAACCAAAAAAGGAGGCTTTTCATTAATTTATTCAAGCAAAATGAAAAATGAAAAACGCTTCACATTGTCCTTGTTGGTTGAAAACCCAAGGACGCATCCGAATAACTCTTTTTTCCAAAGCACACAATAGGAGACTGTTTCGCTGCGTATTACCAGCTCAGCTCCCTTGGGTGTTTTGTTGTTTATTGCATTCATCATTGACAGTGAAGGAGAGTTGTGACAGAAAGAAGGGAGAGTAATAGGAGGTGAAAAATGAAAAAGGCACCCACACATTAATATGCCAAAGTGCCACAGTCCAAAAAAGCCTAAAAAAGTGTGTGAAAGTGTGTATCCAAAAAATAAACAATGAACGAGCAAAGATATTTGTTATGTTGATGGCCTGACAAAAAAGAAGAGAGGGTTAGGAAATGAGGAGGATCTTCCCATTTGCAAAAAAAAAGTGATGCCATTATATTTACCTGTTAGTATTCTGTCGGGGCCAGGAGCACCGGCCGTTCCGTCCTCCTGAGGCAATACAACCACCCGGATTTTATCGCTCTGCTGCAGTTGCGACATGACTACGGGGGTGGGTGGAAAGGAAGAGTAGGAACCAAGTTACAAAAGGAGCGTTCACAGTACGTTAAAGTAATAAAAAATTGTGCGTTAAAGTACAGAAATGAAAATATTCGGATATGTAAAAAAAGGGTAGCAATAACAAAAAAATAAAGGAACGTTTAGAGTGAAAAGAAAAAAGATAGAGAGAGGGAAGGGGAAGGGGAAGGAGGAAGGAGAAGAGAAAAAGGATGCAACTCACAAGAAAGAAATGACGAACAAGAAGCAAAATAAAAAAGAATAATATGGCGTAGAGGTAGACCAAAAGAAGAAATAGAGATGAAAAAAAGAAAAGGGCGCAAAAAAAAGGTATAAGAACAAAAAAAACAATTGAAATGGCCTGGGAAGCATTCGTTCAAATACATTGAAAATGAGCGCTTTGAATTTTGTTGATGCATTTTGGAAACCCGAAGCACAAAAAACTCGCTTACAGAAAAAAACCACTTGCAGTGCCTAAAACCAGTTTCGGTTCAGCAGGGTAAAAAAAAATAAGTAAGCGGGCCCGTGGTCTCCAAAATAGCCCACACATTTATTATTGCGTGTGATGCATTTTGTGGGTTCAGCCTTTTTTTTCCAATGTCGATCTCCACTGATAATTTTTGATCGTCGCTACGACACACAACAATGCAAGAAAAAATCAAAATACAAGACGAGGCCCCGCCTCGCTCGTTGCGAGCCCGTCTTTGCACTGCCATTGCGTGTCAAAACCGACCTTGCTGTGATCAAAAAATGAAAGAGAGACGAGGGGTGTCAATGCAGTAAAATAAATAAATTGGGGAGTTGGTCGTGAAAAAAGGGAGGATTGGAGGCGACATTTTAGCAACGCAGGTAAATGTTCTGAAGCGCACTCAAGGCCCGCTGTGCATGCTCCATCTCCTCGCGAATCTCTGCGTTCTCAGCGCGCAGCCTCGCCAGCTGCACCCTCGCCATTGCGCGGTCGCCCTTGATGACAGATGCGCTGGCTGTATCCTCGAACGCCAGCATCTGCCACTTGTCATCACTGACATCCATATCGCCGCTCTCCTGGATCCGCGGGAGCGCCTGCTGGAAGTCCGACGAAAGCGCTGCCTGCTGCTGCGGATGCTGCGACGTGGCTGACGGCGGGCCTGGGCGCAGCCCAAGGCTGGAGCGCCGATCCGAAAGCAGCTGCCCAAAGTTCGCCGGCTGAGCGCCTGAGGGGTCGCGGCCACCGCCCTGCGGCATCGCTCCCCCGGCCAGCGAAATGGCATCGTTAAAATTATCGGCGGCCGCGCACGCAGTCACGGGCGAAAGCGACCATGCCGATCCAGAATCTGCCGCCGTGCCCAGCATCGACATTGATGCGCCCTGCGACTCATCGTGTGCCGCCGACAACGCCGATGTGCGCCCATGCTCGGCAAAGGTGTTGTTGGCTGAGCCGCCGCCGCAAACGACGCTGCAGCGGCTGCCAGGCCTATAGGCGCCGCTGGTGCTGACGCTCGCTGCTCATGCTGCTGCGCGGCGTTGGGCGAGTACACGTTGCCCGACGCCATGGATGCACGCGATGCGCGACGGAACTCCATGTAGCCAAAGCCGTCCCGCGACCAGTCAAATGAGTGGTCGCCCTCGTCGCTGAATACGTCGCTGTCATCGTCAATCCAGTCAGCCATGGCGTCGACCTCAGCCCTGCTGGGCCCGACGACTCCGCTGGCCACGCCGCCAGCCGAGCCGGGCTTTGCCTTTTCTGCTGCTGTTGGCGCAGAAGAAGCCTGATGCGAAAGCAGCCGCGCCACGCCGCGCTCGCCCAACAGATACTGGAGGCATTCCTCACGGCAGTCGGCAATGTTAGCGGTCTCAGTGGCCTCGCGGAACACTTGGTCGGTCTGCGCTACGTGGTAGTAGTGCACGCGCTTGTCCCACTCAATGTCCTTGAGCGACATCGGCAGCTCCTGGAGCATGGCCCGCAGGCCGCTGTTTTCAAAGAAAATGTCGTCAGCGGGTATGCCAGAACACATTGACCCTGAGAGGCTGGACAACCCCGGCCTGCCCAGCGCTGCCTTTCCTGGGGTTGTCCAGAGCAGCTGGGGCGACAGAACTCCATCGCCGGCCGCTTCGGCCTCGTCGGCGGCCGCCTGCTCCGCCAGCCGCGCTGCCCTGCGCGCCCGCAGTCGCTCCTTCTTCATGTGCAGCTCGGCAATATTCGAATTACTCGCACCGGGCCGCAGCCCACGCGCCTCCACCCCACTGTGCAGCCGCCGGCGCTGCTCCATCAAAGCGCTGCTTTTGTCATCCGGCCCTGCTCCCACAGTGGCAGCGCGGCGGCGAGGGCTGTACATGCCGCTCGCCTCCTCCCTAATCACCAAATCATTCTGGATGCGCAGCCCCAGCCCCTCGCAATCAGACCCAATGCTCAAGCTCAGCGTACTCACGGTGCTAGACGTATCCGGGCGCACCTGCTTCTGCGGCTGCTGTTGCTGCTGCTGTCTCTGACGCAAGGTTTGCTGCTGTGCCGGATTCTGTGACCCTGCACCAACATCAAACCTGGTCGGCGTCTTAGGAGATGTAAACGCATTCTGCGCCTCGGTTTCGCGGCGCGTGTCCTGCACCTTCTGAAGCAAGCGCTCAATGCGCTCGGTGCAAGCTTCAACGGGCATATACGGGTCGGGCGACACGTACCCAGCTCCCCGGTACCGCTCAGACCGTGCCGACAATGGAGTGGCCTGCGTTGTGGTCGCCCTCTGTCTGCTATAAAAACTGTTGTCATTCTGCTCTGACCTGCCGGTGATAATCCGAAGCCCCAGGTTCATGTCCGCCGTTGCACGAGTGGGACTGCCGTACCTCTGAGCAAAACTGGACTCGTCTACATTTGCCGCGCGCCCTGCAGACTCATATCTCCCTGCCTGCTCATTAGCTGGGGCTCTGAACGGCCTGCCCGCATACGTCTGCGCCCGCATTTTGAATTCTGCCTGGGAATTATTATGGTCGGCTGCACACTGCGCGTCATCACCACCGTCGCTGTCATCCTTTTCCTGCAAAGTGTTGACCGGAAACTCGCAGACCTCGTCGGCTCTTGCACATGTCTCTGCTGTGGCTCTGCCTGCTGTGAGGGTGCTACAAAGCTGCCTATCGGGCTCTGCGTTGGAAACCAGAACGCCTTCTCGAACACGGTTGTTATTTGACATGGCTTCGCTTGCGTTGCCCTGCTGCTGCTGCTGCTGTTGTTGTTCTTTGGATATGGAATGCTTGTGTATAGTGGGAGATGGGGGCACGTGCTGTCGCTTCTGTTGGGTGCACGCACAGGCGAAATTGACGGATGCCCCGATGATTGACCCTCCCTCTCTGCGCTTGTGGGTATGACCATGTGTGTGCTGCTGCTGCGCAAACGCGAATCCTTGGGTCCAGACAGCTTCTCCGCCCACGCAATGGTTGTACACAATTGCCCTGGGCTGTGTCGTCAACTGCCTGGTGTGCTTGTTGCAGGTTGCGACGCACATTTTCACTGACGCTTTTACTGGGGCTGGTAAAGGACCTGTTTTTCGCTAATTTGATGCTGTTTTGGCCCCTGTCCTCACGGGGTTTCGGCCCACAATAGTGCCTGAGATGGCCGGCATTGCGCCCATTTGCTCTGGAGTTATCATTGGAAGAGGAGGGACTATGCTGAAAATATTGGAGTATTTGTAGTGCCAAAAATGCTTTCAAAAAAATGAGAGAAAAAATATAGCAAGAGCGTGTGCGTGTGTATGTGTGTGAGAAAATTGCTGCGCGTCGTGTTATATATGCCGACCAAGCAAAGGAACAAATTTCATTAAGCCACAATGAACAACCCTCAAGGGCGGCTTGTTTTGCTTGCGAGCTTCTAGGAGTAAATGATATTTTTCATTTCTATCACTTTTTTATTATTGGCGCGCGGTTAAAGGGAGACCGCACGATGTCTGAAACCAACCCAAATAAACAAATAAACAATGAGTTCCGGGCGGCAGCAAACCATCAATGAAAAAACTGCTCCAACTGTTTATATTTTCCAAATAAAGGCTTAGCTGTGGTCTCTGGCAAAGGCATGTCAAATAAAACAGCAAGAGACTGCGGTTGACCACACCCACACAAAATTGGAACATAGAAAAGGGGGAGAAGAGTATGTAGTTTGAGGGAACAAAGATGTGTCGAAATGCTAGCTTTGTCTTTAATTACAATGACCTTACTGCCTCGTAATAAAGGGAATGCAAAAGGAGGGGTTAACATAAAAACAAATTGCACAGTTTTGGCTTGTACTTACTGGGCGGTACGCACTCACTGTTGCGTCTGATAATATTAGAAATAGCCGCCAGAGACGACGAGCTGATCTGAACCTCCTCTGATCATGCTTGAACCCCTTTTCTCGCTCGGATCCGGAATCCGCGTAAACTCCCTCCCTCCACCTGCTGTGGCTCCGGCTCTGTCAACACTATGCACCTATCACTAGCGAAAAACGTCTCGGCTGTGACACTTTGGCACTTTGCGCTTAAATTCGGAATTTCAGAATGCGACTTTTGCAAAGTGGGGAGTTGGGGAGGCTTGGGTGACTGCGGTGAAATGAGGCTCTCCAGCTTTGAAAGTCCCGGCGGATAAGAGACACTGGGCCATTATTGGCTGAGGTGGGTCTTATTGGGCGCAGCACAGGTGTCTTCCGCACTAAAACTGAAGGCCGCCTTTGGGTGGAATTCATTATAGATGATATGTGAGAAGTGAAGAAAGAGTGGGCGTGAGGTGTTATTGTTTGTTATTTCTGGTAAGAACCAAAAGAACGAAGGCACAATACAAGAACGAGAACAAGAACTAGGTCAAAAAAAGGACGTGCACAAATACTTTCTTGCTGTCCTCAACTTGTTTTACACGTGGCGTGCGGCCATCAATAAAAAAGTATTGAGTGACATTATGCATACCAATTCCTTTGTGTAAATCTTAAATGTTTTGAAAAAATATAGACATGGCTGACACTTTATTTGTGGTTGACACTAGGTTTACTATATTTAATAATATTGCGGGTGTCATGGAAACAATGCTTTCGAGCACCAATGAAGTGACCACTTATGCCTCCCAATCTTTAAAATATACATGACAAAGAACGCAAGTGAAACCGATCGCTCGAGCTCGGACGTAGGTTCAGGCTCTGGTTTGGGCACATAACTGGATTTAGATTTAGCTTCAAAGTTAACCTTGGGCTCATGCTCTGGTTCAGACTGGCATTGTGCTGTGACTGGGAATAAGACTGTGGTCTGGCTCAAACCCTGACCCCGACTCTGACTCTGACCCCGACCCAACTCTGGTTCGGTGCTATTTTTGTTCTCTGGATCACGGCTGGCAGGGCTCATATTGCAATTATAAAGTCTAAAAAAGTTAAGGTAAATTTTAAATTGTAGATTTGAAAAAGATACAAACCTATGTTTGCCAGTTTGTATTTATACTTGTGAAAATGATACTCGCATATATTTATCTATCAAAATCACTATATTGGTGAAATGCGCATATATGAGCCATTTAGGACAGTCCATGAAAATAAATCAGGCTAAATAAAACAGTTGAATCATGGTTCAATTATTGCTTGATTAGCAAATTTATGTTTCAATATTCAACTTTTTAAAAGTATAAACAAGAATAAATAACATGCGTGTATTATAAAGATATTTCTTTATGTATTCATTGTTTTATTTTTACATTAATCTATACACCTCAACATACAAGCACACTTGGCATATATCGATGCATTGTGGAAAGGACTTACCCTTAAGAATTGCAGATTTGACATTTGCTATTTGACAGAACAGCAAACAATTTGTAAAGATAGCACAATAAAAAACATGCTGCCACAATGTAGAATTTGTGCATTAAGCTTGGATCTAGACATGCAGCGCATTGAATCCCCATTTAAATAATTTGTGTGCATATAATATATATAAAGGTTCATCTAATCATTCGTATATTTTAATGATGTAAAGATAAAATATGTAAGCAATTAATTGCTCTTGATTTGAAATCTTATAAAATCGAATGGTCAATATACAAAGCGGAAGCCTGGCTTGTCAAACCCATCTGCTGCTGTTGGTGTTAAATAAGGTTCTCTCCCATGTTAATGCGCACAACAACACAAGCCAGAATTCCCAAGGACAGATTCCAATGTTGACCGAGTGCCCAATGGCAAAGCGCGGCGCATCCCAGTTCAAAAACACATTCGATGCCACAAATCCTGACGAAGAGCCCATAAATATGTGAGCGTGGACGCGACAGCAGAATTAGCCACGGTCTGCGAATTTGCTGTGACAACCCACCCAGGCAAAATTCCTTGTCCAGCAAACGACCCAGCACCAACAAGACACAAGCCAAAGACCCGTACAGGCACACTGAGTGCAGCAATCATGATTACACTTCCCGTCAGGGCAACACTCATGACCAAGCACCCTGCAACCCAATGGCTGCGACACACCTTGACGATTTGCCCAGCAAATAATAGGGCAACGGTGCCACACGCCGAGGGCAGGGCACTCATGACCTGCGCTTGCGTTGGCGAGAATCCCATCTTGTTGATGACCTCGGGTGCAAACACTGACAATGAATTGCAGGCTGCACATGCTGCAAAAGTCCCAAATACCATGCACCACAATTGCCAGTCTGCCAGAGCCCGCTTAGTATCATTTATTGCCAAGTTCTCTGATCCTCCCAGTGTTTTCTCTTTGCGCTTATACGACACTATAAAATCTTCGCTTCTTGTGACAGAAACGAGCACTTTTCCGGATGATCGTGGAAAATAAAGTAGCCAAAAAACGCAACTACAATGGTGATGAGCCTTCGAGAATAAACACCCACTGCCAGTGGCTGATGGTCGGATGGTCGATGTGCGATAAGGCAGAGGCCAGGGGACCCGAAAACACATTGGCCAAGGGAAAGCTCAAATAAAAGAAGCCAACACGCGTTGTTAGCTTACGCTTGGGATAGAAAAACGACATCATAAGCAGAATTCCAGCTGTGAATCCCGATTCAGCCATGCCCAGGAGCAGTCGCATCACATAGAGCTGTGTTTTTGTGTTAATGGCTCCCTGCAATGTGCACACATACCCCAGGCAATGCCCAATGTTGGTAGCAGCCGAGATGCGCCAACACGTTTGAGCAAAAAGTTGGAAAACATCTCGAGTGAAAGAAACCCCGCCGTGTACAAAGTCGCGGCAATGTTAAAGTTGTTATTGACCATCCCCAAATCCTTTTCTAGGCCGACAACCTTGGCAACGCCAATGGAGCCGCGGTCGCTTTGGGCCAAAATAGAAAGAATAATAGCAAATATTAGAATGCGTGTGTCAATCTTCCGACAATACTTATCCAGATTTCGCTTTTTGCTGGTTGAATTGTTGTCGCTGTCGTTAGCTTTAACCGCCGTAAAGGCTTTTTTATCTACGAGCTCGCTGTCGCTCTCCAAACCCTTTCCAGTGCCCTCAGCATCGGTATGTTCAGGCTTGGATGACATAAAATATTAAAAATATTAAAAATATAAAAGTAAAAGGTAAAAAAAGACGCATCTTATAACGAAGGTCGCTAGAGAGCATTTGTGATCATTTTGTTGAGATTTTAATTTAAACAAACAGCTAATTTGGTGACTGAGAAATGGATAATAAAATTTCTACTACAAGATGTGCCTATACAAACTTATATACATTGCGATAACTACATTTATTCCACTAGTTGCCTTTTTCATTTTTTCTTCACATGGCAATAAAAATATCGAACAATGAGATTTGTCCATGACAAAATGATTAATGTTTTTTAAATTATGTGTATATATGTGCTATTCAATTTTCTTTTGATAGATCAACAGTAGTATGCCTCCTAAATTAAAATAGCTGTGAATGAGGCGTATATAGAACAAATTAACACATAATATGTTTTATAATGTGTGTATATCAAAGCATATGCATTATAATGTCAATAGCATTTCACGCAAGCCTTATTGCGGCTTATGTGTGCAAAAATTAAAACTGATATGAATCGAGTTATAGCAAACATTAGTTGATCACTATAATTTGTTCGAGCAGCTTTATAATCGAAAAACATATGTAAAATCAAGTACACGTGATAGCAACCCGTACTTAATAAAAAGGTGTAGGCAAATTTAAAAAAATGCCATTTTTTTTAGCGCGCGCTAAAAAATTCCACATTCACCAATCCGTAGGGGCATCCTGCAGAATAATTTATATATCCTTAATACATATTCCACAAAAATTTAAAAATCATGAATAATTTTGATGCCCAGCGCGAAGCATTTAAGAGGCGGATGGCCGACCAGCCAGTGATCCAACAACGACGCGCTCAGCCAAGCTCATCCATTTTCACCAACACAATTTCCACCAAACTATCCAGTCGGGTCACCCGGCCCACCGACGCCCAATCCTCGTCCAACACCGGCACAGCTGCGTCTAGATTTCACGAGGACGCGAGTATTCTCACGCGCGTGCACCAGATCATAGAATTTCTCAAAAAGTCCCAGCGACCTTGCACCACGGAGGAGATTCAGCTGCACATTCACGAGTTTAGCGAGGAAAGCCCAGAGTTCCAGCACTTATCGAATAACGCAAAAGTCATATATAGCAATCGAAACAAGACGTTTGCGTATAGACCCGAGTATGATATTAGGTCGCCCGAGGAGCTAGTTGAGTACCTGAGGAAGCTGCCGGATCGTGGCGGGCTGGAGGTCAAGAAGCTGGCGGATTCTTATTTGGCTGATATCCCAAAGGTTATCGCCGACCTGAGGAAAAACAGCTGGTTTTGGCTATCACCGAGAAGGACAAGGACAACAGGCCAAGGTATATTTTTTACAACCACATGATGCTGGACAATCCGATCGACGACGAGATGAAGGCCAGCTGGAAGAGTTTGGTTGTGCCAGAGGAGCCAGAGCTGGGCAAGGAGATGAAGAGGGCCGGGCTGAGGCAGATGAAGAAAGAGCTGCAGGAGGTCAACGACAAACCGGAGGTCAAGAAGGCCAAGCGCGCGCAGCGCATAACAAAGATCACCAACCAGCATCTGGGCGACCTTCTTGATCTCACGAAGGACTACACTCCAGACGCAAACTAAGCTTACCTTTCATCCTGTCCACAATAAATATAACATATAATGCGGGTTACGCTTGCATGCAAAAAGTTACTCGAAAAGAGGGATATTTTCCGACAAATGTATGAAAGCAAAATAGAAGAGAAAATATTTCACTATTTAAAACATTCTGAAAAGACACTGCTTACTCGGAGGACTGAGCCTTGGCAACCTGGACCGAGATGCGGTCAAGATCGCGCTGGCCGGAGGAGGTAATCTTGCGGCCACCGTTGGAGTGCTTCTCCAGAAGGCCGAGCTTCTCCAGACCCTGGACATCTTGCGAGCGACGTTGGTCGAGGCATCGGCGTGGTGGTTGGGGCGGGATCCACGGCGCTTGGCACCACCCTGACGCTTGGAAAGGGCACCAATACCGACACCACCGCGCAGGTAGATGTGGCGGGCAACCGAGGCAGCACGGACATAGAACCAGTCGGCATCCTGGGGGCACAGCTCCTTGTGGGACCGGTCTTGACGTACTCGGTCCAGGCGGGGACCTCGAGCTTACCCGACTTCTTCAGGTGAGCGGCGTACGCCTTGATAAAAGCTTGAGCGGAAACGTCCTTAACAGTGACTGCGCCAACCATCTAAAGTGTAGTCGAGTATTGTGTGGGTTTTGATTAGTGAAGGTGAGATGTTTGCAGTGGCAGAAGAAGCACAGCAGTGAGGGTAAGCATAGAGAAAGAGATGGAGATAGAGACGGCGGCGATTGTGGTTTGCGTTGGGGGTGCTGATTGCAGGCAATTCCAGCGTCAGCCAGTACGCTTTCTAAACGTCTGCTAAAGGTCTGCGAGAAATCCACCAAAAAAAGAGAACAAGGCGCGATTAAGAATAAATACACGCGCTGGGGAGATTGCACATAAAATATAAAAAGGTCGAATTGCCAATCCCAGTTTAATTTTTTAGCAGCTCTCCCAACGTGTATGGCAAATCTCATTCACCGCAAACCCTTCCCCTTATTTTTTGTAAGCTCCAAAGTCCTTAGTCCAAGAACGAGTTCTCTCAAGTCTGTCAATGGAAAATAGCAAGTATTAAACTCGGCTACCGCCTTCCACCCTATCTCGTTCCACAACAAAAGAAATAAGGCTGCGCTGTCTCTATCTCTCTCTCTATCCTCAAGCCTCGTTCCTAAACCAAGCTCCACAAGGAGCAAGGGTAGACATAGTTTTTGAATCTCGGAAAGGTGAGAATATTTGTGGCTCCGAGTACAAAAAAGGCTCACAGCGTACGCGCATAGGCTGAATCTGACGGCGCCAAAAAAAGTCGACCTTTTTATTTCGTACTGGCCTGGGTTTGTCTTCTTCGCTGCTGGCCAACTGAGTGACCCCCTTCGCCTCCAAAGTCCCTCCTATCTCTCTTTCTGAACAATAGTTGTCAAATTCGAAAAGAAAGAAATTGAGCGTAAAGCCTTACCTTTGAATATTTTAAATTTGAAAAGTTAAAAGGTATTGCTATATAGCCTGCTGCAAAGAGAAAAGAGGAGGTTTCCTTTGCTGCCATACACAGGTACGGGCCTCACATAAGGTGCTGGAATTTTTTCCTCTCCAACAACTAACACCCCCACAGCCATTAAACACTGGCAATGAATGAAGAACCAGTGAGAAAAAAAATTTCCAAGCTCAAAAAAGCAGCAGTTGGAAAAAAAAATCCGATGTTAATAGGCTCGAGCGAACTGAGGCGGGTTGTACGCTTGAGAAAAAGCAGGGCAAGCAGAGTAAAAAAAATCAAACTTGATCCGACCCTCAAACGCACCTAAGTTGCGGCTCGTGTGATTGGTAAATAATAGCTGGCCAGGGGGGGGGTGTGGGCCGGTTGGGTGGCTGAGTCGCAGCTCATATTTGTGTTGAGGGTATCACGTGTATAAATATAACATAATCAACCGAGGCTGGTGATAAATCAACGGTCGGAAATCCAAAAACGAAAAGCTCGTTGGATGTTTGCCAACTGAGCAAAAGAGGTTTCTTGTCGGCAGCTACACAAGTTGCCAAAAACAAAAGCTTCAACTATATGTGCTTTCAATTTCAATTAGCTTGTAATTTTACAATCAAAAATTATTACTATCGCAAAACACGCAAATGCAGGCTGCAACACTCAAGCAGCTGGGTCATAGTAGTCTAGCAGGCAAGACGGCGCTGGTGACTGGAGCCAGCGGCGGGATCGGGCGCGCAATAAGCTTCGAGCTGGCACGACGCGGCGCTCGCATAGTAGCCACAGGACGCAGCCGCTCTAAACTCCACGTTTTACGTGAAACCTTGAATGGGGAGCAAACCCTCGCAGCAGCAGAGCACATATCAATAGAGTGCGATGTGCGAAATAAAGACAGCGTGCGAGATTTATGCGCACAGAGCGGATCAGTGGACATTCTGGTGAATGCTGCTGGGGTATCGAGAGACGGCCTCTTGGTGCGTCAGCGGATGCAGGATATAGAGGAGATGTTGGAGACCAATTTGCTGGGCACTATGTTGTTGTGTCGGGTGGTGGCTTCGGGATGATGCGGCGTAGGGCGGGGGTTATTATTAACGTGTCTAGTGTTGTTGGGATGAGAGGCAATGTGGGCCAGTCGGCGTATGCGGCCACTAAGGCTGGTGTGATTGGGTTTTCAAAGGCGCTGGCTAAGGAGCTAGGGCCGCGTGGTATCCGGTGCAATGTGCTGGCGCCGGGGTTTATAGAGACTGAGCTTACACACGACATTTTGCAAAATCCAGTGACAAAGGCGCTAATAGAGGGTGTGCCGCTGGGTCGGGTGGGGTCGGTTGATGAAGTGGCCCACGCGGCAGCATTCTTGGCCGAGGCAGAGTACATGACGGGCCAGGTACGTGTTTATGTCGCTATTGTTATTGTTATTGTTATTGCGTCTCATGTGTAAGAGAATGTAATATTGATTCAATGCTTGTTTGGGTGTATCCTGCATATCTGTTGTGTAGGTTCTGGTCATTGATGGTGGTCTGTTTATTTAGACGAGACGTATTCATGGACGGCTGACCAAGTTCCAACGGCAAAGACGCCGAGGCCTAGGAGCAGCAGCACCGCGGATAACACCGATGTACTTGGCTCTGAGATAAACTCGCTGTCGCTCGCGCCATCATCAGCGACAGAAGCAGCAACAGGTGCAGGCAGCAGAAGTGCGGACTCGTCCTCAGTCTTCCGTCCCCACCACTTGTACGGTGACACCAGCTGCAAATAGATGACTCCAGGAAGGCCAAAGACCATGAGACTCGATGCCGCTGTGCCAATAAGTTTGAACACAAATCCCAGATCCTCGACAGCGACAGCCACGCCGACGGTCGCAGCGAACATGCCACAGTTATGCCATGGAACTTAGCTGGCTGCTCATCCACCGACACACACAAGGCATCGGCCAGCAGATCGCGCACGGGATAGAACTGCATTGGATACGTCAGTGCCAGGGTGAATGCCAGCAGGGCACGAGCCACGTTAGCCCAGCCGTCGTCGGAGGCAAAGTTGTTGAGCAAGTTGGGCTGCGTTTCCAAGCCGAATACGCGGTAGCTGATGATGGCGAAGGCCAAGTATATCAACAGTGCCGTGGCAGTGGCAAAGCGCGTGGCCCACGCCCAGTTTCCCATGTCTTCTCCCGCAACGTACCATATGATGGAAGCACGTCTGCTGGCAGGCGTAGGCGAACGCAATGACGCCGATGGCCGGCAGAACGCTGGGACCCCAGATGGGAGTGGGCGCCGGCTCCGGCTGCGCATAGGCTGCGCCGCGCACAGCCACTATGAGGACAATCATCGGCAGACACATGATGGAGAGCGCCGAGGGGCCGTGAGGGGGCCAATGTGCGGAAGAACAGCAGCGGCAGGGCCAGTGAGCAGGCCGCTGCAATAATAACGATGTTTCGCGAGCCCCACAGTGATCCAGGGCCGACGAGTGCCTGGACGAGCGATGAGCCCAGGTCGCCGATGATGATGAGATAGCTGATGCAGCTGCCCAGCGAAGTGACCGTCAGTGCGAATGCCAGCACATGATGTCCCCAGTGGCCCAAGGCTGCGCCGATACCGACTCGTACTTGTACCGCGATGTGCGCCGGCCGCTGTAGATGAGCGTGTTAAGGGAGAGGTTGCTTAGCAGTGCAACGGCTACTAACGTGAATATGCCAAAGTAAAACCCGGCTTCTTTGAGCGCATAGGGCAGGGCCAGGATACCTGACCCCACGATCGTGTTGACCAGATTGAACCCGGCACCCAGCGGCGACGATGAGGGCGTGATGACGACGGCGGCAGTGCGCCAGAGTTGTGCGGTGGCCGTGTCATTTGTATGCGACGATAGAAAGAGAGAGAGAAAAGGGTACTTTGAAATTTAGAATATATTTTTTATGTATGTGTTTATTAAAATATCATTAAGGAATGCAAGAAGCATAACCGCAAATTGGACGCACATGCAAATGTACTACACATCCGCTCGTTTTTTTTCGCGGGGAGCCTTTGCGCGACCTTGGCTATGGATGGCGTAACTTTCCAAAAGGAAATATGTGCTCCACTTAATTTAGTAATTCTTGAGCGAGCGCTCCAGAATAGCAGCGATCTGCTCTGCGCCGACTTGGCGTGGCGACAGCTTAAGCACGCGGTGCTGCGGAAGAATGCTCTCCACCAGAGCACCGATATCGAGTGCCCATACCCGAAGGCGGCAATGCCATTGGGTACACCCAGGCGCTCAAGGAACTTACGCAGGGCATCAGCCAGTACAGCGCCGGCATCCTCCTTGCGCGCACGAGTGATGTCTGCGCCCAGCACCTCAGCGATCTCCAAATGGCGCTCTGGGAACAGAGCGCCGGTGAACTCTGCGACAGCCGGACTAGTGACAGCCACGCTGATGCCGTGCGGACACAGCGGGTGGTCCTGTGGGTACTCCGGGTGGAAGTACGTCTTGTTGAGCCCTGAAATACCGTAGCTGCAGCCATGCATCAGATGGACGCCACCGTTACCGAAGCCGATGCCGGCGTATGCGGCAGCCAGTGTCATTTCCTCGTGCGCCTGCAGGTCGTCGGCGGAGGCGACCGAACGTGGAGCGCCTTGGCTACCATGCGCAGGGCACGGGATGACCAGATGTCGCTGATTGGATTGGAGCCCTGGTAGGCCGGGCGCAGGAGCGGATTGGTGGGCGCTGGGCCACGCTGGTGGTAGGGGATGGCAGTGTAGGACTCGATCGCGTGGCAGAGCACATCGAGCCCCGATGCCAGCCGCACCTGCTGCGGCATTGTGCGCGTGTTCAGCGGGTCAATAATACCCAGGAGTGGCTTGAGCGCGCGGTCGGCAATGCCAGTCTTAGCACCCTTAGACTTGAGGTCAAAGATCGCCGATCCCGTGCACTCCGACCCTGTGCCTGCGGTCGTCGGCACGGCAATCAGTGGCAGCAGAGGCCGGTCCACGGCTCTGCCCTTGCCGAGCGGCGCATTGACAAAGTCCAGCAGCTGCGCGTCGCCGAATACCGTGTACAGGTTGGCCGCCTTGGCCGTGTCTATTGTGGATCCGCCACCAACAGCGACAATCGCGTCTGGCTGGTACTTCCTCGCAGCATCGATTGCCTGCTGGAAGCTGACATCTGAGGGCTCCACACGGACATCCTTGTACACTATGTGCGGGACGTTGGCGCGATCCAGGGACTCGACAACAGTCTTGAGTGGCGCTAGCTTGAAAATATTGGGGTCGGTGAAGACCATTACACGCTTGGCGCGCAGATTGGCCAGATCCATGCCGATTTCGCGCGTGGCGCCGGCGCCCACACGTATCGTGCTGGTGGCCATTTCAAAGCATACTCGGGCCGTGGCGTCTCCTGCGTATTGTGACGCTTGCTGCTGCCTTTGCTGTTACATGTGTGCTTGTGTGTGACACCCATGCGGCCTGAGTGCGCCGGGCATGTGCATGAGCTGCCTACCATGCGCATTAGGTTGGTGACAGACTTTGCTGAGTGTCGAATTGATGAGGCCATGTCCAATCTGTATTTGCTTGACTTACAGCGTTTAAGAAGGAATGATGGAGGATATGGTGGTGCGGGTTTTCGGGTGTGGATAAGCGCTTGTCGGCCTGAGCGTTTTTATAGTCGATGGGATGCTCTTTCTTTCGGGGGGGGTTTTTTAAAATGATGTGTTCGGCCAATTTTCATTTTGGTTCACACACTTCAAATGGCACTTCAAATGATAGCCTGCATAATGGTCATGTGTTATTGCATTATTGATCCATGCTCTTGCGTGTGCCCTCATCCCAATTCCAATATCCCAGAGACAAACGCAGAAGGGCCCGAGTTTGGTTAAACAAAGTTAAAACAACTATCCTGCTTGCTTGCTTGCGCTGGTCGATTAGATACATGAATCAAAATCCAAATCAAATAAAAATAAACACGTTTTTATAAGCCCAAAAAAGAAAAAGATAAGCGAGAGAGAGAGAAAGATATATTTAGTGAGCGTCCTCGCGGTGGGAGATATAGTCAATAGCCTCCTTCACGCTGGTGATCTTATCAGCCTCATCATCGGGAATCTCCACCGAGAACTCCTCCTCAATCGCCATAACAACCTCTACAGTATCCAGGCTATCCAGACCCAGGTCCTTGTTGAAATCAGCCACCGCCGACATCTTCTCCTGGTTAACCTTGTCGAAATCCTGCAGAACCTGGAAAATACGGCTCTGAATGTCATCGCGAGACAGAGCTCCACCAGCAGAGTACCAGCGAGTCATGGAGGGCATGACAAACTTGGCGCTGATCGCAGTTTGGCGGGGCACAGCGACGCTAGTGCGCAGAGCGGCAGTGGCGGCAGTGCTGAGACGGAGAGACGCAAGGCGGAACATATTTTATAAGGATAGAAATTTAAATAGGATGGATTGGATTTTTATACAAGGATGTAAAACGAAATTCTATTAAAAAAATATGTGGAAAGAAAAGAAAAGTAAAAAATCGTATTATGTTTGCCTGCAAATTGAAACAACGAAATTCAAATTCGCAAGATTGCACGCTAAAAAAATAAATTAAAGTGTTGGCTGATGTTTTATAAACACAAGCACATTAAAGCATTGCTTGCTTGCTTATCACAATTCGCACTTTTTTCCATCTCAAAAAAATTAACCAAAACGTTAATCTTGGATTTGAATCAGCAATATAAAGGTCATGTGCAGCGAAGGAAAATATCCCGCAGCTTTGAGCTATATATATGGTCCTACTCTCCGAGATAAAAAAGCACATTCTTTATCATGAATGGATTGCCCTATACACCCTAATAACGCGCGTGTGAACAAAAGAAATATACACCACACAATTCCTGATTGCGCTGTGTGACGGTAAATAACGGAAGAGCGATAAGAAAAATAATCAAAACTTAAAAAAAAGAGAATATAACTTTCGAACTTGAATTATTTTTTCTGTATTTTATCTGACCGCACACACCTTCCTCCCCTTTCTTTTCTTGTTTTTCTTTTGTTTCTGTTTCGTAAAAAGAGTTGTCTTTTGTATCCCGCCCAACCTGTACTCTTCTTCAATTACACACACCACTTATATTTATCTATTATGTTATCCGCCGCTTTAAACCTGCAAAAGCAGCGCAGCCTCCCGATGTCACGCACCGCTATGCGGGTGCTGACTCCGACCACCACCCGGCACGCGGTTAACTACAGCAGCCAAGTAAAGCCTCCTCTTGATCCCGAGTGGGTCAAGCTTGCCACTAAGGAGTGCAAGGGCAAGGACCCCAAGGAGATTCTCACATGGGATACACTCGAGGTAAATATACAGCCAACGAACAAGCAGCACATGGCAAAGCAAAAATATTCAAAGGCAACAAAAACTAACAGACCATAGTTTTAATTTTCTTTCATATAGGGGATCCCTGTCAAGCCTGTCTACACCGCCGCCGACACGGTGGGCCTCAAGGCCGAGCTCCCTGGCGTCTACCCCTACACGCGTGGGCCCTACGCTACAATGTACACGCACCGCCCGTGGACTATCCGGCAGTACGCCGGTTTCAGTACCGTGGAGGAGAGTAACCGCTTCTACAAGGCCAATCTGGCAGCCGGACAGCAGGGTCTCTCTGTGGCCTTTGATCTGGCCACGCACCGCGGGTACGATTCCGACCACCCGCGTGTCGTTGGGGACGTCGGAATGGCTGGTGTCGCCATCGACTCAGTCGAGGACATGAAGATCCTGTTTGACGGGATCTCGCTGAAGGACGTATCCGTGTCTATGACTATGAACGGCGCTGTGCTGCCGATCCTGGCCATGTACATTGTGGCGGCGGAGGAGCAGGGCGCCGCACTAGACGAAATGAAGGGCACGATCCAGAACGATATCCTGAAGGAGTTCATGGTGCGCAACACCTTCATCTACCCCCCAGAGCCCTCGATGCGCATCATTGGCGATATCTTTGCGTTCACGGCCAAGAACATGCCCAAGTACAACTCCATCTCGATCTCCGGCTACCACCTGCAGGAGGCTGGCGCCAACAGCGTCCTCGAGTGCGCTTCACGATCGCCGACGGTATCGAGTACGTGCGGCGCGGAATCTCCGCTGGCATGACGGTCGACCAGTTCGCCCCGCGGCTGTCGTTCTTCTGGTGCATTGGCATGAACTTCTACATGGAGATCGCCAAGTTGCGCGCGGCACGCCGGCTATGGGCGCACCTGGTAAAGGAGAAGTTCAACCCGAAGAACCCCAAGTCAATGATGCTGCGGACACACTCACAGACCTCCGGCTGGTCGTTGACCGAACAGGATCCGTACAACAATGTCGTGCGCACAACTGTTGAGGCCATGGCTGCGACGCTCGGCGGCACCCAGTCGCTGCACACGAATGCCCTGGATGAGGCCATTGGCCTGCCGACCAAGTTCAGCGCCCGCATTGCGCGTAACACGCAGCTGATCCTGCAGGAGGAAGCTTGCATTCCGCGCGTGGCCGACCCCTGGGCTGGCTCATACATGATGGAGTCCCTGACCAACGATGTCTACGAGAGCGCGCTTGAGATTATCAACGAGGTCGAGGCGCTCGGCGGCATGGCCAAGGCGATTGCCTCGGGAATGCCCAAGATGCGCATTGAGGAGAGCGCTGCCAAGCGGCAGGCGCAGATTGACTCTGCACAGACCGCCATTGTGGGTGTCAACAAGTACCGCGTCAGCGATGAAGACGCCAATGATGGCAAGGTTGAGGTGCTGTCGATTGACAACCGCGAGGTCCTCAGGGGGCAGTGCGAGAGGCTGGACAGGCTGCGGAAAACCCGCGACGAGGCCATGGCGCAAAAGTCCCTAGATGCCATTACCCGTGCTATGGAGCAGCCCGGAGAGAACCTGCTTGCCCTGGCTATGGATGCCGCGCGCGCACGCTGCTCTGTTGGCGAGATCTCGCATGCCATTGAGAAGGTTGTTGGTCGCTACAAGCCCGAGGTCAAGCTGGTCAGCGGCACGTACAAGGCTGAGTACGCCAAGGCGCAGGACCCCAATGGCTCCGATCCCATCGCCGAGACCATCGCCATGTCTGATGAGTTTGCTGCCAAGTGGGGCCGCCGCCCGCGCGTGCTCGTTGTAAAGATGGGCCAGGATGGCCACGATCGCGGCGCCAAGGTTGTTGCCTCCGGGTATGCTGATCTGGGCTTTGACGTCGATGTCGGTCCGCTGTTCCAGACCCCTGCCGAGGCTGCTCGCCAGGCGGTGGACTCTGACGTCCATGTCATTGGTGCCTCTTCACTGGCTGCTGGACACAAGACGCTGGTGCCGCAGCTGGTCGAGGAGCTGCGCAAGCTTGGCGCCCCCGAGATCATGGTCATTGCTGGCGGCGTCATCCCCAAGCAGGACTATCAGTTCCTGTTTGACAACGGCTGCGCGGCTGTCTACGGCCCTGGAACCCGAATCCCCGATTCTGCCCAGGACATGATCCGCAAGGTCGATGCCATTCTGAGCAAGTCTGAAGCCTAGAGGCTCGAATAAAGTCTTTTCTTTCCGCTTCCCAACATATATACAAACAAAAAACAAGCAAACAAAAACAAACCACCACCTTATGTAAAGATAAATAAAGCTATTTTTCCAATTATTCTATTTGCAAAAGAATCAAAAATCAAAAAGACACCCTCTCTACACACGGCCATCGATAAACTTATCCAGGAACTTTGTCGGCTGAGGCACCTGCTCGTTAGAGTCAAAGTAACGCAGTACATGGCTGTACTGCTTCCACACGTTGTATGTCTCCTCGAACTCAATCCTCCCCTTGAACAAAAGCACATCGATGGTGCGTGGGTCTGACACAAAGCGGTTCTTCTCGAAATGCTCGCGAATCTTTGAGCGCACAACCGATTGCGGCAGGGACAAATGGTAGTCTATCATGATTTGCGGCACATTCTTCTGCCACAGCCGGTACAGGTGGATTGCCCGGAGGCGCGCTTCCGCCAGCGAAGACGATGATTTTGTGACCAACGGTTGAATGAGCGGCATGTTTTTTGAAACGAAAACGAGGTGGATGTGGTTTTAAAGTAAATAAAAGAAACTTGGATTTAGAGAGAGTTGAGCAATAAAATGAAGTAAAATGAAACGAATTGGACGCAATAAAAAGATAAAAGAGTGCTAAAAAAGAGAGAAAGCGTGACCATGATAACCACCAACTTTCACCTAGTACGACCCGCCTTTTTTAAAAAGATGTGATCAAAAAGATAATCTAATCTGGGAAAGGAGGGAAAGTGGGTTATGTTTCTCACGTTGTTTTTCCCCTTTCTTTCTCATAGCCGTTTCAAGTTGATCCGGCGGTTGTCCTTTTCCCGTTTCCTATCGGCAGCGTTGGATTTGGTATCTCTGGATCCAACTGGTGGCAATTTCATCTGCGCCGATACACTCTGCAGACCAGTCGCCGGCGAATCCAAGTTTCCCGATCCCTTATTAATTTCCACCGCTGCCGCTCCCGTAGCAACCGCGCCCCTGGTACCCCTTTTCATCGCATGTATCTCCGTCATCAACCTCGCATGCTTAGCGTACTCATCGTACCTTTCCAAAAGCAGCTTCCCAGCCTCCTCGTTCAACGCCGACTCTGGGTTCGGATATATCAACAGGCACTTTACAGTCACCAAAACATGTTCAATACCGTAGTGCTTCTGCCAGTCCTTCTTCAAAGTGCTCACACAAATCTCACCGTGTTCTGAAATATTTGGGTGAAAGATCTTGGTCATGAAAATGCCTTTGGGCGGTGTTTCGGGAAAGCGCTCGTCGATGGTTAGCCGGACGTGGAACTTTCCGCCCTCATAGGGTGTGTCTGTGGGTCCGTCAATGCACGCGTTGATCTCGGTGAGAGTATCCTCGTTGACGGTGATGTGGATGCCTTCGGGCGGGGTGGTTTGCAGTTTGTTGAGCTCGTTGACGAGCCGCCGGAGTGTCGATGCTTTAAGACGCTGCGACTAATGGAAGTGGGTGTGAGTGTGGATGTGGATGTGGTGGAGGGGCGCGTGGGTTAGCTGCTGGTGCTATGGTGTGCTGTGTTGGCCAGGTTGCGAGTGGCTGCGTGAATTGAACGACAAATTACCATTTTTCCAGCTCTTTGGGGTCTTCGTTGTGAATTAGGAAAGAAAAAGAAAAAGAAACAACACAAAGCTGGACTTGAACACAAGACCGATTGACCCTTTCCTGTTTGTTTTTGGCTCGCACGCTCTCCGTTTTATTGTTATTTTGCATTTATCTTGCATTTGATCAAGGGTGGATGAGTGACGCAGCAATAAAACAGTCGATTTTTCACCTTCTTTTCCGAAGCCAATTTTAAATTTTCCCACTTTTTCCCTGGCCTTTGCATTTCATAGTTACACCCTGCCGAATTCTTCTTTCTAATACCCCCTTTTGCTCTCTCCTTTAATACTGTCGCTCGATGACCACCTCCAACACAGTCGCAACGTTGCCAGAGGAGCTGTACATACTGGTTTTCAAGCAGCTTCCTGGATTCCGGGATGTCTGCGAATGCAGCAGGGCAAGTTTTTCCTCAACCCTCATTTAATTTTTTATTCGAGCTGAAATACATATTTTCCTTTTTACATAGCCAGCCGCTAAGCAAAATCAAGGATACTTCAATTTTTCAATCATACGATATCATATTAGGTGTGTCGACAATGGCGCGTGTTTGCGGACAGCGATCCTGTCTGGGGCGCGCTTCTCCGCCAAAACCTTGTCAACACAAGCGACGACGATCTCTGCAACCACATTGACGACAGCCACGCGAGGCTTCCCAAACACAAGCGCATATTCGCCACCTGGTACCAGCGCTATCGCGGATTCACAGACAGCTACACGCGTATGCGGCGGGCGGTCCAAAAGCTCGAAATGTGGGCGCACGACCACAGCCCGCAGCTCCTGCGCAGCCTGTCCCCGGGGCTCGGCTGGATGGGCAGCGAGTCCGTGCCTGTGAGAGAGCTCCTGCGTGTCGTCAGTGATTCCCCAGCCATGCGTGATTTCCTCATGGCCTACCATATGCATGACGGCCAGCGGCGCCAGGAGCGATTTCTGGATTTTGGGCTGTTCGGGTCCTATCTGTGCTATGGTGAGTTCTGCTCGCTTTCTTGGCTGTCTTCGCGTATGCTGCAGGTTGTCGCCATGGGCCAGTTCAAGATCCTGGTGTTCGCCTGGTGCAATGCCACGAGGAACTATCTGGGCATTCTGGTCGACTGCCCTGCGAGCTGTACGCAGCAGATCCTGCATCATGTTGTTCAGCTGCAGCCGCAGAGCTTCAGGTTTGTCGACAAGGGTCTGTTTGGCGACTTCTTCTCCGCATACGTCGATGCCCTGGCTGACGGCCACCATGACATTGACAACGGCGCCATCTGCATGATGCCGAACTGCGGGCCCAACACCAGCACCAGCGTCTCCCACGGTATCCGCACAACCGTCTCCGTAATGTTCTGCTCCGACGAAACCTCGCGTTTCCGCGTCTACCGCTACCAAGTGACATTTGAAATCGTCGATCCTGAGGAGCTTGGCTTTGATTCTGTGCAGTTGAAGGACCGCCATTGGCTTGTGCATTATAGCGACGAGCAGCTTGCGCAGAGTGGTGGACCTGGGGTTATTGGCCAGTTGCCGGTTCTTTCAAGGGAGTCGCCGTATTATAGGTATTGCTCGAGGATGCAGGATGAGGAAGGTGGGCCTGCGGTGGTGGCGTTTGAGGGCCATTTCACTATGGTTCCTGGGACTCTGGAGGAGCCGCTGGGCCAAGATATGATCTTGTTTGTGCCGTATGTAGAGGTCCCCATGCCTTTGGAGGTACTCTAGTCACTTGATATTACCCCCATACGTGTTACCTACTATGAGATCACCTTTACATTCTTGGAATAACTAATTTCTTCCCACTGTTTTTTCTTGTGGTAAAACTAGATATATTATTATTTTTAATTTTTGCATCTACCATTTATTTGAAAAAAGAGTATGAGCCAACGACCCTTAAACAGAGACTCTGATCCTAAGCGGGTGCGTTTTGCTCCCGGAAGCAGCTCCCGACCGCAGCAAACCCCCAAAGCAAACGTGTCATTTTATGGCAACGACATCCCAGTATCTGCGCTAAACGACGAGTACAGCGAGTACAGTGACGACAACGATGCACTCGAGGCTGACATTACAAGCAGCCGGCGGCGAGCCCGTCGAGTCAACATGGATGGCTACAACAGCGATGCCAGCGACCAAGACGAAGTTGGAAACCAAAGCGACCTCAGCGACGAAGCAGACGAACTAGGCGAAAATCCCACCAGAGAAGATTTAAATAACGAAATCGAATCAAACGATGAGGATATGTTTGTGGACTCTTCTGGTGCTGTGCCAGAAGGGGAATCCTCTTTGGCGGCCAAAAAGAAGCGCAAGAGGTTTCTTGATATTGCTGATATTGAGGGCCAGGAGATGAGCTCGACTTCGCGCGTGGAAGATGGGTTTGGAAGTTCCGGTGACCGCAAGGGTAAGCGGGCTGAGGGCGGGGATTCGGAGGACGATGAGGGTGAAGGGAAGGTGAGGATCGAGGCTTTCAACATGAAGGATGATTTAGAGGAAGGTCAGTTTGACGCCAATGGGAATTTTGTCTGGAACAAGAAGGACCCACAGACATACCAGGACAGCTGGCTCGACGGGATCTCCAAAACAGCCATTGAGCGCGCGCGCGAATCCAAAGCCAAACAAGATAGGGAACCTCCCCAAAATAATTATTCCAACAGCGGGTCCTCGACTGCTGTGCCCTGGGACACGGTATCTAACGATGATATTTCCCTGGCGATTATTAATTTACTGCAGCCGCGCGAAACCGTGCTGAATGCTTTGGCGAGGATCGGCGGTCCGAAGAAAAAAGTCAAGAATAAGTGGAGCAAAAAGGCCAAGGCCAAGGCCAAAGCGGCAACAGATGAGGACGGGGGTGATGGGGAGCAGGAGAGGGAGAGGAGAGGGGCGATTGAGCAGTTGACGGAGCTCGCTGACCGCGCAATGGCCAGGGGTCTGGTCAATATTTATGACGAAACGTATGAGCAGCTTGTGCGCCAGATGCGCATGGCTAACCGGATTGGAGATGACTGGGAGGTCGGGACATTTCTGCCTACGCTGGCCATGCCATTGACACCTGCAACCGCATATGCTCCCTCTGGTGCTGGTGACGGGGGAGAAGCCGGAGGTCTTCTTGACGACCTGGATGATCTCATTTAGGCAGTAATTTGGCTTTACGAGTAAAAATATAATATAGCTTTTGACAGAAACAATTGATATTACAAATAAAATTCATTACAGAAATAAAAAACACTGTGCACCGCAGCAGGTATAGTTACCCGTTGACAAACCACAAGATGAGGCCGGCGTATCTACAGTAATGATCGGCTTCCAGAACCTTGTTCACTTCGCTGTTCAGCTCGTCCCTGTAAATGCGGCCAACCTTGCATCTGGTGAATTGACGACAGGCAATCGCAAGCAGCGCGGCAATCTCGGCCACATTCTCCTTCCGAAATCCCGCGTCAACATGCAACCCCAAGTTCTGGAAATACTTGCCAAAAACGCCATTAGAAGCGTACATATAATTGACCAGTTCAGTGCCACTCTTGCCATCAATAGCAGGCGCGTCATTAGACAGCTCGCAGTTCAGACTGCGCAGATGAGGCGCGCGCTGCAGAACTGTGACAATATCTGCAAAATCCAGCGTGCAATCAGCAATGTGGATGATCTGAATGGTGCTGAACATCGAGTAAGTCCGCGCTGCGCTCATGAATGTGGATCCGGGTAGCTTGCCGCGGAATTCAAATCTGGCAATTGAACTGGAAGTGGTGGCCGCTGCCATGGTCTGAGACAAAAACGCATCGACATCGGACAATGGTGTCAATGTGCGGGCATGTGTGACGGTGTCGAATTTCTCGCCGATGGATTGCAGGCGAGCAAACCTGGTGGTGTCTGCGAAAATACAGTATCTAGTTGCGATGTCCATGAATTCAGAATCAATGCTGATGCTCAGCTTTTCGAGCGTATCGCTATTGCCCCTGAAAAGAACATCATCGTCGAACGGGTACCCACTATCAAATTCGAGCAATTGGAGCTTTGGAAAGTGCACTATGCGCCCAACGGAACGCCTCACCGGTTCTGTTGCTGCTGGAGTTCACCGTATGTCTATGTACGTCCCGCGATAAACAATGGACTCCAGACGCGGGTAAACCACAGGCTCTCCTTGGCTGTTGTAAAGTAGCAGTTCTGCATTGCCCTTGTTAAAATCCGAAACCTTCAGCTTCCTGAGCGACTTGGAATTTTGGCGAATGCACTCAATAAACCGCGTATTCTGAACTGCGCTTCCAAATGAAATATGAGTAATGTCGGAGAAACCTGGCTGAGTGAGAGCCAGCGGCCAGCTGGGAAACAAGTAGACCGGGGGATGAACAAGGCTGAATTTGATTTCAAGGTTGGCACAGGTCTTGGACATGAATGCGGAGCGCCAAGCGTGGTAGCAGTGGATGATGGCTGATGCCAGCCTCGGGTTGCTTTCATAGTCGGACCGGTTGGTATTCAAGTGGGATACGACAACGGACCCAATGATGGACCAGGGCAAGGTTTGGAATGTGGAATATGTACTCATCTTTGTTAAAAAATAAGAGTGTGGATAAAATGAATTGTGGAATAGATACAGAGAGTAGAGCAAGCACTGAGGAAAAAAAGGACACGGCTGAGAGAATATATGGTTTGAGAACTGCTGCTCTGCTGCGGACGAAAAAAAGGTCTGGACATGCTTCTTCCATGTATACTGGTGGTCAGAATTTTATTAAAAGAATAGCCAAAAAAGCTTTCATGTATTTCTATGCGCGAGCTGTTTACGTGTGGGGATCGGCATTATTGCAGCTCCGTGAACAATGCTTTTTTTGGATCTGTTCATTTAAACAAAAAAGGAAATTATTTATGCTTTTAGGGGCCGAAAGTCAGGGGTAGGAGGGGGCTTGTGCACATTTCCCCTGTTTTACCTCTTTTTTTGGGGAGGTCCGTTTCTCCCGTCATTTTTGTTTTTGCTCAGCTGAACATGCCATTTGGCCTGTCTGCAATTTTCTTGACGATATTGCGCGCCTGCCACATTGCGATCGAGTACAAAAGAAAAAAGCAAATGCAACCGGCCTATGGCCTATGGTCTGTGGTCTATGAACTTTGGATTGTAGACCGTGGACCATGTACTTATGGACTATGGACTATGGTCTGGTAGAATAAAATAATGATTTAGACTATAACCATAAAGGGGTTTTGTCTTAGTGTTTGTGCTCTCGATCATTGTTGTTTGCACTCAGAACAGAACGTGTTAGGGGGGAAGGCTAGTTTATTAACCATGTAATGCTAGCGTTGGGGAACATTGCGTGGCTTTTTTGTGCCGAACGCTGCATTGCGCAAAGCGATGGCGTGGTGAAAGAGGTGTTTTCAGTTATATTTTTGTAGAACAATTTATTTCTCACCCGCGTCCAAGTGCCATTTATTCAAATACAGCTCAAACTTTAACACACAAGAATAAAAATAGAATATCAATATACAAAGCGGAAACCTGGCTTGTCAAACCCTATCTGATGCTGTTGGTCGTCCAAACGGCGGTTCCTGCGTCCCATGTTAATGCGCACAACAACACAAGCCAGAATTCCCAAGGACAGAGTTCCAATGTTGACCGAGTGCCCAATGGCAAAGCGCGGCGCATCCCAGTTCAAAAACACATTCGATGCCACAAATCCTGACGAAGAGCCCATAAATACTGTGAGCGTGGACGCGACAGCAGAATTAGCCACGGTCTGCGAATTTGCTGTGACAACCCACCCAGGCAAAATTCCTTGTCCAGCAAACGACCCAGCACCAACAAGACACAAGCCAAAGACCCGTACAGGCACACTGAGTGCAGCAATCATGATTACACTTCCCATCAGGGCAACACTCATGACCAAGCACCCTGCAACCCAATGGCTGCGACACACCTTGACGATTTGCCCAGCAAATAATAGGGCAACGGTGCCACACGCCGAGGGCAGGGCACTCATGACCTGCGCTTGCGTTGGCGAGAATCCCATCTTGTTGATGACCTCGGGTGCAAACACTGACAATGAATTGCAGGCTGCACATGCTGCAAAAGTCCCAAATACCATGCACCACAATTGCCAGTCTGCCAGAGCCCGCTTAGTATCATTCATTGCCAAGTTCTCTGATCCTCCCAGTGTTTTCTCTTTGCGCTTATACGACACTATAAAATCTTTCGCTTCTTGTGACAGAAACGAGCACTTTTCCGGATGATCGTGGAAAATAAAGTAGCCAAAAAACGCAACTACAATGGTGATGAGCCCTTCGAGAATAAACACCCACTGCCAGTGGCTGATGGTCGGATGGTCGATGTGCGATAAGGCAGAGGCCAGGGGACCCGAAAACACATTGGCCAAGGGAAAGCTCAAATAAAAGAAGCCAACACGCGTTGTTAGCTTACGCTTGGGATAGAAAAACGACATCATAAGCAGAATTCCAGCTGTGAATCCCGATTCAGCCATGCCCAGGAGCAGTCGCATCACATAGAGCTGTGTTTTTGTGTTAATGGCTCCCTGCAATGTGCACACGATACCCCAGGCAATGCCCAATGTTGGTAGCAGCCGAGATGCGCCAACACGTTTGAGCAAAAAGTTGGAAAACATCTCGAGTGAAAGAAACCCCGCCGTGTACAAAGTCGCGGCAATGTTAAAGTTGTTATTGACCATCCCCAAATCCTTTTCTAGGCCGACAACCTTGGCAACGCCAATGGAGCCGCGGTCGCTTTGGGCCAAAATAGAAAGAATAATAGCAAATATTAGAATGCGTGTGTCAATCTTCCGACAATACTTATCCAGATTTCGCTTTTTGCTGGTTGAATTGTTGTCGCTGTCGTTAGCTTTAACCGCCGTAAAGGCTTTTTTATCTACGAGCTCGCTGTCGCTCTCCGAGCCCTTTACAGTGGTGTTGGCGTCCATGTTCTTAGAATTTGACAACATTGAATAACACAAATAGTTGGAAAAAGACGTAAAAAGATAAAGCTACGTGTGCAGAAATATAATGGATGACTGAGAAATAATAAATGTAATAAATTTAATGGAGGGAATTTGTCGGTTTGAAAGGAAAAAATTGGTAATTTCTGATCGCGCGCGCATTTTCATACAAACAATGATAAAGTAAGGTCGTTCTAATAAAAAATGTTTAATTGATAAACGATAGAAGCTAATAGGTTATTATCACAAGACGTATTATCAAAATTGAGGGTGATACTTTATCAAAGCTACAATGGTATACTATTCTTTTCATTTTTCAACATATAATAATGTAAATAAAACAATTAAAGTTAAAAAAAGGCAGTACATACTAATTTATTATATATAAACTGGCCCCAATTTACGCACTATTTGATTAACTTTATAAAACAAAATAAAATAAAAACCATAAATAAATTGGGAAATTGGGAAAATTCAACAAAAGGATATGTATTATTATGTTTTGAAAACCCAACTGTTATAATAAGAGGGGGGTGTGAGGAGCACTAGTTATCTAGTGTTAGAAAAGTAGGGGTGATTTTATAAAAGGTTTTATTACTGATGTTTCTAAAGTACTACTAGCGCCGGCCTTGTCATATATATGCCTTGTCGCCTTTGTTGTGCACATTGTCAATTGTGCGCTCTGTTGGGGAGAACTGGATCTTCTGCGAGCAGACCAGTATCTTGGCAAGTCAATGTTGTGGTTTTTGCGTGCGTACGCTCATGCGTGTGCATTGCAAAATGGGGAGCATGTTTGGGAATCAATGTAATGCCTCCCTAATTTACGCCTGCATTATCCAATTAGCGTCCTATCAATCGGCACGCAGGTGGAAACCTGTTTCGCGATTCTCGACCTCAACATCCACTTCCATATCTTCAGTCTGTGCAACAGGATAATCTGTAATTTTATCATGATCAAAATAATTAAATCTCCAATGGAGCGAGGGTAACTGTAACTGTAACTGTATATAAAAATAAAATTAAACTAAATATGAGAAAATTAAAAAGTATCTCGTAAGTATAATACACCTTAACTTGCTTTTTATTTGGTGTTTTTGGATCCTGTTTAACTAGATGCATTTTAAACTTAAAGCCATTCGAATTACTAAAAATAAAAGTAGCAGCTCTACCTTTGATTTCGTCCAGATTGAAAACGGCTCGGACTGGTTATCATTATTTAACAGCAAGTTACCATCCATCAGATTACTGTTAACCTCTAATTCAATTTTAGTAACAATATCTTTAGGTCTATGTTCACTCAAAGTTTTGTTTAAAAAACCAAAACGCCATCATGAGTTTTGGTCTCGCCTGTGCAAATTATATAGTCCTTTAAATGGTAATTCCCATCTGAAGAAATGCGTAGTGTGTTGTCCTTGTTGTCAAAAGTGGTTTTAGTTATGAGAAGGGAAACATAAATCTAAGAGCATTTGTAAATGCCAAAATATTTATTTGTTGATGGCGATCAACTGATTAACCAGTCTTGGCTGTTTAGTCACACAAACAATAAGTCACACAGTGACCAAAGCAATATGCTTTCTACTCTTCACCTTTCACAGTGCATAGCACTTATTTATTAAATACACTTTATATCATTATAGTTTATCTACACGTTCATAGAACGTTCCTATATTCCAACAATATTAGTTTAAAAACTAAAAAAAGTAGAGAAAAAGAATGAGGATGAATGATGGTTTCCAAGGCATTGGCCATAAAAAAATATTTTTGCTTGCATCATTAGCAGCAAATTTTTTTTAAAGAAATGCGCGTTGAATTAAAGTAAAAAAGGTCACAATTATACTTTATTAATAAGAAGAATAAAAGAAAACAAGGAATAAAGGGTCAAAAGTTTTATTTTGTATAAAGTTTTGATGACGTAGGGACTCGAAAGCAAAAACTATAATATAAGCAAAAAACGTGTGTCGTGCTGACTGCTGCTTGCATCAATAAATGGTTTGCTAACCCAAATTTCAATAAAACAATAAAGTATATTAAAACAACATAATAAAAAAAGTAAAAACAAACCTAGCGCAGCAGTGGGGAGATGACCTCCCAGACTTCAGACCGGTGGTGCTTGCTACCGTGGCTTTCTGGAGCTGAGGGTTATTACCGGTGGGGCTGCCTTCAATCTTGCCCACCTCTGGTGGTTTAACTTTGTTGTTAAGGGCAGGGTGAGCAGACAGGAAAGAAACAGCCGCAAGGCAGCATTGGATCCGCTATCCGCATCGCTGAGGCGGGATGATTTTTAAATAACTTGTCCAGGCCCATAGGTTCATAATTGGTCCCCACAAGGGGGTATGTTGTTTGGTACGCGTTCGATGTTTTCTAATTTTTTTCCCACTTAATTCGTTCCAAAATAACATTCAATTATTATTCAAGTAAAAGCAAACTATCATAGTTTTATTATATTATCCAATTGTTCGAGCATTTCTCGAGAGTTATTTCTAAGGCTTGAATTAACCAAATAGCTCAATGCCTCTTTGCTTAAATTCTTTGCTGAAATAGCTCTTTGCATTTTCGACTGTTCCATTCATGTTGCTGCACAATAATGTCTTTCGTATATGGTTTTTTTTTCGCTAAACGATGCTGTAAATACGTCATCCAAATTCGTCATGGCTTAAAATAAAAAGCAAAATAGAAAGGCAATGGTTAGAAAAGTCATATAACAGTTTGAGTTTATTCTAATAGTTAAAATGATAATAATTGAAGGTAGAGCTAAAAAGAGGCTTGGTAGTGGTTTGGGACTTAGGACAATATTTTTTTTATATTTTTTATCTCCCACATTCGAATATTTGCCCTCAAACTGAGTCCACTCGTTTTTTATTCCTTTACTAGGAGAGAAATGAAAAAAAAACTGTTTATTGCTTTTTTTGCTTTATGTTAAAAAAACCATTATACAAGCTAAGAAATAAATGAAAACAGGCCATTTAGAAGCAAATAACCAAAATAACTTCAATTTAATTTCCAAAAGCAGCTTGACACTGATACTTCCACACCAACCTACCCTCCGCATCCACTCTCCTTCGCTTAGCTCCAAAAGCCTCCCACTCCACTGGAGTTTCTGCCAAAGCAGCCAAAACCGCCGGTCTCATTGGATAATAGGGGTTTTCCAAGTACCTCAATTCCCTCTCGACAGCCACCGACGTCCCCCTAGCGCCAATCCCGCGAACCAAAGCCGAATACCCAACAGAGCCCATGCCCAATACAGCATTACCGCCAGCAGCCATAGCAGCGGAGGAAGCTTTCCTGGCATTTTCCTCCTCAACCATCCCACGCAGCGTAAACGGCGTCATTCCCTCCAACCCCTGAGCGCCCACCTGATTAATCACGGCATTACTGCCCAGAACAAGCGGCAAAAACTCCAGTCCACCCAAAGACCTCCAAGCAAACTCATCCGCACCCACAACATCCTTAGTAACCACAGTCTTTGTATCAAACGGAAACAGCCTCCCTAACGCACCCCCGCCACCTATTCCACTCCCGTGAAGTAGCGGCGCTACGGACCGTAAAACTGCCAATGTTTGTTTGCGCTGCTGGGGGGTTAAGCTCTCGTGGATTATCGATGCGAAATCCAAAAGAACACAGGACAGACTATCCTCAACTGTTGGAGCAGCAGCGGGCGGCAGTGGTGGTGCGAGAGAGAGGGTGACCAGGGTGGTTAGCCACTGTGAAAGTGAAAAGTCCTCCGGGTATTCGCGCATTAGGGAAGCCAGTGGCTGGATGGCTTGGAGCCGCCAGAGGACGGCGTGGCCTGGTAGTGTGTGGACGGGCACGTCAGGACTTGTGGGTGAGTCGGTATGGTCAGACGAAGGGTTCGGCGGAAGAAGGTGGGCGGCGGCGGTCGGGTTGCTGTACGCGGCGATGGCCTGGAGCTGGGCAAGAAGTGCATCAGCGAGCATACGCAAACACGCCAATGCCGCAGGATCCGCCGGAAGCCCTGCCGTTGTTTCTGCCGCTGTGGCCAGCTGCGTTACCAGCCGCCGCACCACCCTTGCGATCTCCGCGCCCCTCCCAACCGCCACCGCCCCGACCATATCCCCAACCTCCCGCGCACCACCACACTCCAATTGATCCTCACCACTGCCGCCGGCAGTAGAGCCGGTAGGAGTAAAGATCAAAAACACCGATTCGGCCAAAGTCTCCGCTAGCCGCACCATAACTGGCACCGGCAAAGTGACCAGGGCATCGGCCAGCATCCCGCTGGCAGCCGGGCCCAGCAGATCCCAGTACAGCAGGGCGTCGCGCACGGACGCCGACAGGTATGCGACGGCATCGGTGACGAAATGCACATTGGATTCGGCCAAATCGCCCGAATCCGACCCATCCTTGTTCGCACCCGCCACCAGCAAAAGCGCGTCCGTCGTCGCCTCGCTCTCCTGCAGCGCAGCCGAGGCGAATAGCAAAAGCGAGTTGAGGATTGCGGGCAGTCCTGAATCCCCCCCCATAGTCGTGGCCGTGGAGGACGAAGAGGAGGACATGGGGCAGGTAGTGGAGTGCTTCCAAAAGTTCTTGAGCGTTCGGTGCAGCCTGTGCGCAACCTCGGCGGTGGTCATGGCGGAAAAGCCGGTGGACTCAGGGTCGCGTTGCTCGCATAGAGTCAGGAGCACGCGCAGCAATGCGCGCTTCACTGGCAGCGGCACCAATGGGTCCTCCAGTGGGTCCTGCACGTGGCTGCGGTAAATGGCCAGTGGCTCCAGGTACTGCGCCGACCCAGGGTGCATTGGGATGCGCGCGGCTGCGTCCAGAATCCACGGCGCCTGCGCCAAATCCGCCACAGCGCCCAGAAGCGCGGCGGCCAGGTGGGCGCTGCCGTGGGCGCGCAGGTGGCCGGAGACTCTGGCGGCGGCAAAGAGCAGATCGACGACGCGCGCGTTCAGGCTGGCGGTGATTTTGTCGGAGCTGCTGCGGCGGCTGCTGCTGCTCCGCTGCAATGCTTCCTCCCATGCGGCCTCGGCCTCCATGCGGTCGCTCAGCGGGCGGCCGAGGGCGCCGAGAGCACGCGCAATGGCTGCCACGCCGGCACACAGCGGCGGCCGAGGATGGGGCGGCGCAGCGGAAGTGCACCGGTCGATCGCCCAGCCGACAGCGTCGCCGGCGTCCACCAGCCCCATAGCCACCAGCGCAGCCGCCCACAGCCCGACCACGCGCATGCAGGCGTCGGGACTTCCCACGGTCCACGCGTCCAGGGCCTCCGCCAGGCGCATAAGCAGCAGGCGGCTGGCAGCCACGGGCACCGCGCCGGTGCTCAGCAGGAACCAGCGCACGTACTGGGCGCACACGTCCACGTGGCACTGCAGCAGCCGCAGATCCAGGGGCGGCTGCGCCGCAGCCTGCATGGCGGCCGCCGTGGCGTCGCCCACAGCCACGGCCAGGGCTTGGTCCGGGGACGCCGTGGTGGCGAGGGTGTGGCGGGCGAACTTCTGGAAGCTCGGCTGCACGGCCCATTCGGCCTCGCTGGGCTCGGCGGCCAGCGCCAGCCGCGCCAATGCCGGGACTTCGGCCGCCAGGGATGCCGCCGGCACCGCAAGCGTGCTGGGCTGCGTGTGCGCGTGGAGGGCGTCCGGCAGGTTCTGGGCGCGGAACGCGTCCCACGCGCTGCGCACCACATGCGCCAGCGCGGCGGCTTCGGGCCACGCGGCGGACGTCCGCACCCACTCGGCGTCAAACGGCGCGGCGGCGGCCACCATGGCTTGCAGCGCGCCTGTGGCCGCCGGTGTCCGGCCCATCATCTGCCAGCACGCGCGGTGGCGGCGCAGCTCGCGGTGGGCGAAGCGCAGCACGGGCATGGCGCGGCTATGCGCCAGCACCCAGAGCAGAAAGTCCAGCAGCTCGCCGGGGCGCAATGCACGCGCCAGTATCCTGGCGACGGTCGCAGCCTGGCGGCGGTTGAGCAGCGATGAGCCGGGCTGGGTTATCACGCGCCAGTTGTCTTCGCCGACCTCGACGTCCTTGACGACAAACCCGCGCGCCATGCGCACCACCTGGGCGACCGCCGCCGTGGCCGAGCGCCGGCTACCGCTCTGCAGCAGCGCCGCCAGGGCGGGCGGCAGGTCCTGGCCCAGGTGCAGGGCGGGTGCCAGGGAGGAGTCGTCCAGGGGCGCCAGCCATTCTTTGGTGCAGGCCGAGCGCGCTGCTGGATGGCCCAGCAATGCCTGTGCTGTGCGCTCGGCCGGCATCCACCACGCTGCCGCGTCCTCGTCCGCTGCCACCGAGCGCCCGCCAGCGCGCGCGCGCGCCGGCGCCGCGCACGTGTACGCCACCATAAACGGCAGCAGCGTGGCGATTTCTGTGCGAATCTGCGCCTCTGCATCTGCCTCGGCAGCTGCCTCGGCCAGCTGCGTGCCAGAGTCGGCGTCTGAAAGCACCATGCGCCGCAGACTGCGCTCCTCTTCGGAGATGCACGAGAGCGCGCGCACATAGGCCAGGTGTCTTTGGGACCGTGGGGCCATCACGCGCGGCCCGAAGAAGTCGCCGCGCGCAGTCAGCAGCTGCAGATAGCGGGCGACTGAAAAGCACTGGGCGTCTGCCAGCCGCTCGAGCAAAAGACACACCGCCCATACGTTTGGGTGGTCAGCCAGGATGTCAAGAAACCCAGTGATTGCCGCCTGCAACCCTTGGGCGTCGGTGGTGGTTTCCAGGTGCATGCGGCAGAGCTGTGCGGCTGCGAGGGTGCGGAATGCTGTGGATGGAGGGTCCGGTGCTGTTGGCCGACTGCTGCTGCTGCCGATGCTGCTGCCGATGCCGGTCCCGGCGCCGCTGCCGCTGCCGGTCCCGGTCCCGCTGCCGCTGCTGACTGCCCAGAAGCATAGGATGCGGATGAGGTGCGCAGTGTCAGCGCCGGGCGTGAACAGTTGCTGGAAGACCGCCTGCGCATCAAAGCCTGGCGCTGCTGTGAGCGTGCCCAGCACATGCAGAGGCGTCGGCTCCCCCCGATCCGTGTCCTCTTCGCCGCCGCTGGCGCTGCTCTCCAGCGAAAATGCGCGGTTGCGTGCGCCCACATGGCGCAGCGCCGAGGCATCCGAGCCCTTGCAGGCAGCCGTCAGCGCAGCCTGGTACTTTGGCCACGTCGGCGGGTCGATGAAGGCATCCGGGTACGCGGCGAACAGCCGGGCCAAGTGCGCCTGCATGGCCTGGCTTAGGCTGCAAAGCGCCGAGTATCCGGCTGCCTGTTCGATGCGGAGCACTAGGGCGGCGATCAGCTTGCGCAGCGGGGTGCGCGCCTTGGCGATCTCCGCAGTGTAGTCCGCAAGCAGCGGTAGAAGCGGCAGGCATTGGGCCAGGGGCGCTGTGCGGAGCTGCGTGGCCAGCCAACTGACAATATGGCGCTGGTCCAGGAGCCCGGCATCATACTGCGCGTGCAGCAAGGTGCGCGCCCAACACCATCGATCGGCCCATAGGGGGTCTGCGTCTGCGTCTGCGTCTGCGTCTGCGTCTGCGGCTGTGGCTGTGGCTGTGGCCGCATCTGCGTCTGTGCCTGCATCTGCGAAGCTCTGCAGTGTGCGCTCGAGGAATTGCGTGTAGTGGCGGGTCCATTGGGCGGTGTACTGCGAGGGTTGCTGTAGCGCGTGGTGTTGCTCGTGCAGGCCGGCGAGCCGGATGGCCCAGAGTGCGCGGTGGATTGGGACGCGCCTGCCCACTAGTGCGTCGGCCAGCGGCTCGCCGCGCAAAGCCAGGGGCACGTTGCCGGCCAGGTGGCTCAGGGGCACTCCGGGGTTGGCCAAGGCAGCCAGCCAGTCGTCTCGCGACCCGTCGCCCTTTGCCGTGCGCGCACCAAGCCTTAGCGCCCCTGCGCCTGCCGCCTCCACTGCGCCTCGTGCGCGCTGGCGCTGGACAACGCCGGCGGCAAACGCCTGGAGGCCAAGGAGCACGCGGCTGTCGCGCAACCGGTCGCCCATCATCCGGTGCAGAGACTGGTGCTCGTCTTCGACTATCGCCGAGTCTACGAAGCCGTGGCGGATGCTGCGCTCCGAGTGCTGCTGCGACAATGCTGTGCAGCTGGATGATGGGTGAAAGTCTGTGAACCCGAGTATCGGCTGTGTTTGGTGCAGTGTGCTGGTGCCGGCGGTAGGCGTCGGGGTGTATTTGCGGAGCGGCTGCATGTCGTGCGCCCAGTTGCTGCGGTGTCGCCTGGTGTGCGCGGCTGCTGCTACTGCTGATGGCGTCGCTGCTGCTGCTGCCAGAGGCGGACCGCTGCTGCTGTTGGGCGTCGAGCTCATTGTGAATATAACGGAATTCAAAGGTGTGTTTTCTTTTTGCGAGTTGAAATTGAAATAGCTATAATGCAAAAATTAATTAATTTGTATTGAATTTATTCAATGCAAAAGTAGACCGTTGAAGTTCAAATTCCTTCTTGTTTTTTGATGGTGCATAATGAAACACAATCTCTTTTGGTTACTGCTCCAATCAGCGCCAACGCACGTGCCTTGATTTCTTTTTCTCCTTTTTTCTGTGTAGCTGACAAATTCATTCTGTTGCACACCCCTTTTTTTTTCTTCTCCCAAGCTGCCAAGAATAAGACAAACTAAAAAAAATCCAGCGTTTCGTTATTTTTTATTTGCACTTTGTATTTTTTTCTCTTTTTTCCCTTTTATTTCTTTTCCTTTAATTGCCACTCTTGTAATAAAAAAAACAGCCAATTCTATTTTATTGAAATTCTCTTTAAAGCCAATTAACTCAAACCCATTTCATAGCCCTCGACCCACTTCTCCCTCCAACTTTTACCTTTCATCTCTCTCCACCTCAACTTTTTTTCATACAATGAGCGCTCTTGACACCGCGGATACTCTCGGCGAAATGCCCCAGAAGCGCACCACAGCCTCTGGTAAGTTGCACATACGCTGTGTCTCAACGCCAGGCCCAACAATACTCCCCCTCAAACCCCTCCAAAAATCAAAGAAGAACGAAACACGTCTTCCCTTTCTTCGCTCCGCCCTTCCCGACCCTTATCCCAAATGCAAAAGGGACTCAGCCAAACAAACAATAAAGAAACCAAAACAATAAGCCTAATCACCCTCCCTTAAACTTCCCCTCTTTTTGAGTTGTAGATACCAGCGACGAGTCGCACGATGAGGCCAAGAGACGGCCTGGGAGAAAGCCGATTCTCACAGAGGCCACAACCAAGCGCACAGCGCAGAACCGCGCCGCACAGCGAGCCTTCCGCGAACGCAAACAGCAGTATCTGCGCACGCTTGAGGAAAAAGTCCAGGAGCTCACCGAGCAGCAGCAAAAGACAGAAAGGGAAAACCAAAAGCTCAAGAGTTTTGTCGAGAAGCTCAAGCAGGAGAACGTTACTTTGAAGTCTGCTGGATTTACGTTTGAGGATAATCCGGTGGAGTTTGATGTGGCCTTGGATGATTTGTTCGAGAGCCAACAGCAGAACAGCCTCGGCGCCGGGTCTGCCTCGGCCTCGGCTTCGGCTTCGGCTTCGGCTTCGGCTTCTGCTTTGGCCTCTGTGGGGACTGCGTATGCCGGCCAGCAGCAGGTGGGCGGGCGGAAGGGCAGTGGGTCGCCACAGAGCGTGCCGGTGCTGTACCCGTTTTTGTCCGGCGTTGGGCCGGCTGCGGGGTCTGCTGCGGCACTGGTCGGCCAGGATGCCTTGTTGGGGGGTGCGACCTTGCCGGCGGCGTTCTCTAGTGATATCCTTGGAGGCATCCAAATGCTCGCATCAAATCAAAACATCAGCTCGGGATCGTTTATGGACTTTTTCGACAGCCCTGCTGTTCACTCCACTGGCGCGGTGCCGCAGTCGCCTCCCCAGGCTTCTAACGCTGCGTCTTCTTTATTCTCGTCCTGCTCTACGGGCGGTGTGTTTGCTCCCCTGAGCGTGGACACTGCCGCTGCTGGCTCTGGCGTGGCCACTGTGGGTACGCCTGGTGATATGTTTGTGCCGCTGAGTAATGCGGGATCCGGCTTTTTCAACATGGACGCTTTTAGTGGGCAGAGTGGGTTTGCTAACTTTGCGTCGCTTGTTCAGGGAGGAAATCCGCCACTTGATTATGCCTCTTCTTCTTCTGCTACGCCGACGCTTAGTGAGCTGCTGGCTATGCCTGTTAGCAATTCATTTACTGATGGGTTGTTTGGCGTTGCGCCAATTGCCCAGACGGAGACTATTTCTCCTGCAGTGCTTGTCCAGCAGCAGCTAAAGTATCCGCCTGTGGCCATGGTTGGCGGCGGTGCCAACAGGGTTTCGTCGCTGCCGTCTCCCTTGCTGCCCGCTCATCTTATGGCGTACCGCAACCCGGATCCTATCATGTCCGCTGCTGATGACAGCGATAGGCTGGAGAAGATTTTGCTTAACAGCATATACCCTCCGAAACCTATCAGCAATCAACCGACAGCAGCAGCGGTGGCAGTGTCGTCTAGCCTGACCTCCACACCTCTGGCTGCCGCCCCTGCTTCTGCCTCTGCTTCTGCTGCCGCTGCTGTTGTTGTTGATGACGATGACGATGATGGAACAGAGTGCACATGCAGATCGTGCGAAACTGCCCCCTGTGTGCCGTGTCCGAAGCATGGATCGCCCGAGGAGCTGTCCGAGGAGCTGCGCGGTATGGCACCGCAGATGCTCGACTATGTGTGCAGTGACTCGAATATCATGGCAGATGAGGAGCTCAATGACCTGTGCAGCTTGATGTATAAACATGCCAAATGCTCGGAGGTTCAGCGGAGGGTGGAGATGGCGAAGAATAGGATTAAGGGCGAAAGGAATGCTGCTGCTGCTGCTGCTGCTGGTGCTGGTGCTGGTGCTGCTGCGGGTCAATTTAAGATGTGATAAACTCACTACTACGTGTCTTAATTGATATCCGATATCCCCCTTTCGTTCTTTTTTGGGTTTAATTTTAATTTTTTTCTACTTTTTTTATTGGTATCCCACAAAAAAATCAAATCATTATCAGTGTTTTTATTGGCTTTTTGTTGTCAGCCGAGACTGTTTAATGGAGGGAAACGCGTTCTTTTTTTAACTCACACACCAGAGTTCAATACCTTTTTTGTTTGTTTTTCTTCAATCCATCAAATTTCATTTCATTTCATTTCACTTAACAATCATGGACAACACGCTGAAATCTCCCGTGCGCTACTCGCTTCGCACGCGCACGCCAATCAAGCCCATAGCAGCACCCCCGCCAGCACCCCCGCCCACTGCCCGCAAGCGCGCACGCCCTGCTGCCTCCAGCAAAACGCCAACCTCCAAAAAAACAACACGAAAGCGGGCATTTTCCAATCCCACCAATACCACCAAACGCAATGCTTCAACAAAGGAACCAAGCCCCGAAACAATGGAGACGCCGGATGCCGCCGAGCTGTCCAGCGAAGACGAAGCATATACGCCGGACCAGCGCACGTCACCAGCAGCCATGCCGCCGCCGCCAAATGTTCGACGCTCAACAACGTCTGATGTTCCGGTGAGGCGTGGGCCGGGGCGGCCGCGGAAGGACGGGTCGATGCCGCAACCGCGCAACCCCCTGCGCACCCCACTCCCGGCACCTTCTACCACCCTGTCGGCTCGTCGAACCACCGGTGCTACTGTGACCTTTAGTACTGCATCGACTCCTGGTGGTGATTCGCGTCGCTTACCGGTGAACTTGACCAAACACGACCCGTTCAAGGTGGAGAATCTCACCGAGGCATCGCGTATAATGCAGTCGGTGGCAGTTAATGGAACTCCAAATGATGATCGATATGAGCTGATGAAAATGAGTGATGCGTTGAAGATGTGTGGGTATGAATTGGGTGTTGTGGATCCTGGAACGGGCGCGGTGGATGAGGTGTATCAGATTATAAGCTGGGCTGTCAGAGCCGCTGGACCTAGTGGACCGACGCATCCGCCGCCTGGGTTGAGTGAGGAAGGGAGAGGGGTTTTGTTGAAGTGTTTTGCTACTGTTGGAAGGAGGATACGTGAGGAAAGTAGGGATATGGCGGCGTACCATAGGAGGCATGCTTTGAGGAAATTGGCACTGGCCGAGAAACAACAACAACAGCAACAGCAACAGCAGCAGAAGGTGGAGGGAGAGATGGAGGATGTGGAGGCGGAGGCTGAGGGGCCGGATGCTGGGAAAAATAAACCCGCGCATAGGAGGAATCCATTGAGAATTCCTGGCCCGCTGGTGGATATTTGGAGAGAGCCATACAAGAAGAGCCACGATAATGAGCCTGCTGCCGGTCATGACTCGCAGGTTTCGGATGCGTAGATTATTTATTGACTACTTAAAATATTTATCTTTTGTTTTGTTTTATTTATTTTGTTTTGTTTTGTTTTGTTCGGAGACTTTTTTGAATGAGAAAATAAATACATTGAGCGAGATATACCAAGTAAAAAAATACAAAAACTAACGTTTATGAATGAGACTGACTGTTTACCGCGTTACCTTGCCCATCATAGGTTCTACATGGGCTACCATGCTACGCTTGGCTATACTGTTTGACTTTAATGTATTGAATGTCCATTTTGGCTAGCAAATTATTAAATTATTAAATTAAAAAAGGGTAAATAAACACACGTTTGCAAAGCGCTGACTGCAAAATACGTGGGCAGCATGTGGGAATAACGGAATAGAGTGAGTACTCCGAGGTATGAATTATTTTTATTTATTGTATTTCCAAAACCCTTTCTAGCTTGAAAAATAAAGAGAGGCAAAATTATAAACCCTTTGTTTTTTCTTTATAACAAACTTGCACTAGTAAACAAAAAATGCATGTAACATCATATGTCGTGCCCTATAAAAATGTGGGTCTAAATCGATATATTCAAGTCTTAAAAATTACTTAAGGAGCTGGAAAAAGGGGGCAGCGCTGTAAACATCATGGTGTTCCTTGATGTCAGCCAGCAATAACAGAAGTGTATATAGTGGCCATGAGGGCGATCTTGATTCTTGAAAAGGGAGGATAGTGGCTTGAAATGTGTGTTGGGCACCACATCATACAGTCGACTACAAAAACTTGCATACAACCCAGGTGAATTCAATTTTCCTTCTTTTCTTAACAAAAATACATCCTTTTTATTAATTTAAAACCTATAAACTTTAATAATTAACCACAGGTATTTAATATTAACAAATTATGCGTTCTACAGCTACAAAGGTATCACCAATATGTGTACATGGGTTTAAAGGCTTTTGTAAAAGGCGCAAGGGGTGGGAATAACTAACAGTAGCGCCAGGACCCAAATTTATAATAAGCATCATCACGGAAGTTGATAATAACAATGAATAACAGGTCATGGATAATGTAGGAGACTAGAAATATTACATACGTTAGTCAATATGTCTAAGTTGTAGGGTTTGGCTGTTGTCACTGGTTGAGTTGTAGTCAATTACTAAATTTATGACATAAATAGTTTTGTTCAGCTAATTTCTAATGCAATTTATGGTTGGTTTTTTGTTCAATTCAGTGGGTTCAACAAACTCTTTAATTTTAAACTCAATTACATATAGCTTCTTGCTTTTTCAACTATAGCATATGTAAGCCTACATTTTTAATTCCATCCGGAAGAAAACTCTTAATGGTTTTTGTTCCAATATCACTAACTTTTATTATAAATGATTTTCCGTTATTATAATACAAAAGTTCAAATGACAGGCATTTTACAACAATAATCCATATAATTTTTTATAAAATATGGTGTTAGGTCGGTATATATACACGTAACTAAACCTACTCTTTTGTTTTTATACAGCTTACTTTTGATTATACCTTTAAAATATCGAATAGTTTAACACTATGTTTTTCAAATAAATAAGCAAGTACATTATAAAATAGTAAAAGAAACTGTTTTTATTGGGCAAATTTTGCTTATTGTAACGCCAATAAACAACACCTACACCTGAATTTTTTTGCCGTTAAAATTTTCTTTTTATTTAAATGTATAGTCACGTGAACTGTTTTTTGTGGGGGTATTTATAAAAGAAATGATAAATGGTAGAAAGCCACAAAAAACAAAAGCAAAAAATTGGTCTAGATATATATGTATATATATCTATGTGTGTGTTGTTGAAAATAATTTATGATCAAGTAAATACAAAGGATATCTATAAAACCCAATCCTTTAACGGAATTCGCTTGTATTAACCTTGACAATATTCATGGGCTTAACAAGTATGCAATCAAAATCAAATTTTTCTTGCTCGTATTCGTTTCAATTCTGTATTCAAAATTACATTTACTACGTCCAAATGGAAAAAGCGCGTCCAATGTGTTCTTTCTAAAGCCTTTAACTTTTAAGCTGACAAGTTTTTCCTTCGACGTGTAATATTTATACAAGCTAATAAAACAGCGCCCGGAATAATTTCACACAAGTAATCTTCGACAGCCACTAGCTTAAGTGAGGGATTATTACATGTAACTGTTTCCACCTCAATATTTCTGTCTATCGTATGGCTAAAATCCGCGCTTCCATTGTTGTCGCTCATGATGAAAATATGTAATATTTAAGTGTATTATATAAATATGAAAAGCGAATTCCCAGCGAATTAGTATTGCGGATATACCCACTTTTTTCTTGGTTTTTTATGTATTAAAATGTACGGTTTTGCGCTTTGCACTCTGCACTTTGCGTTTTGCACTTTGAATTTTGAATCTGTCTTTATATAAGAAAGCTGGTAAAAACAGGCGATTGAATTATTTGATATATCATTTAATTAAATTAGGCAGAAAGTTTTTATTAATAATTTACATGTTGTCCGCAACCATGCGTGTGTATGTCAAATAGACAGACAATGTGTTTTTGCAACTTACACTTATTTATTCTAAGGTAATCGTTATTTTAACTTTTAAAAAAAAAAACAGAAAACCGCTGGCAACCTGTTTTAAAAAACCCCTAATAAATCATGCTCGGGTACTTTATTTGTAGGTTAACTTTAGCCGTCTGGGTTTTTTCTGACCCCTATAAGTACCACTGACAGTGGCATTGCCAATGTTGAAAACCGGTGGTGCGTTTTTCTTGACAAGCTTAGCTAATTTGAGTCGCTCGCCAACAAGACGCAATGGCGTCAGATGCACTGGTTTCAATTGGGCGCCCTGATCCCGCACTGGTGTCACAATCGGAGCAAATTTAGCTGCCTGCATGACCAAATTTACACCAGGTTTTGCCCTAGAGCATTTCAATGACAGCGGCGGTGTTGGCTCAAACGACAAAATGACCTTATCGACATCAAGCTGCGGCGGAAGCTTACAAGGAGATGATGGCGGCGATATAGAATCAACCGGACTCCAGGCCAGTTTACAAGGATACACATGCTGGCTCTGTTTGGAAGCTGCTACCTGTAATTGACAAGCCACCTTCTTCGAAGCATGTGTCACTTTGCGCAGTGTAACAGTAGGATATTTGCCGCTACTACTGCCACTTTCATTATCATTACCAGATTTCAGCCTGGTTTCGCCCTGAATGAGTGACTGGCCATTGTCTCCCGTTGATCCGTCACCAATATCTTCAGGCCGCAGGGATCCACTGCGCTCGCTATAATTGTAAATCGACTCTCGCGAGCAGTGCTCCTGAGACAATGCCCCCTGTTGCTGCTTCTGAGATGCTGAGCTGCTGTTTTCATCTTTTTCAGCTATGGATGCAAAGGAGTAGGGGCTCTTGTTGGTCTGCAAAAGGTTTATCGACCCTACACGCACAACCCGGGTGCCATTATAGTACAACTCGCGACGAGAAAACAGGCGACGACGGCGCTTTGTGTTTGGTGTGTCACTGTTGTCGGTATTGCTGCTTCCTGCCAATGACGGATTAGGATGAATGGGCATTAAGTAGGGAAGTGCAAGATGAAATGTCGCTTTCTGTTTAATCAAGAACAAAAAGAGAGGAGAGAAAATTTAAAAAAAGAAAAAGAAAATTAAATTGCAGAAAGAAAAAAGTGGTTGGATCAATTGCGCAGCAGAAACATCCCCAAATCCACTCCACTCCTATCAATCGGACCAAACCAGAGTAATAATTAGCGGGAGCCAAAAGCAGCAGCCACTGCGTTTTCGCACTCCACCCGCAAGCGCCCCAAAGCCATCTTGGCCTCCTCGAGCTTCAAATAAGCCAGCGAAATGTCCGGCGGCAACGCCTTATATCCGTCCAGCGCTAGCTGCCTCCCCTTAACGGCCGCCCCAAGCTTCCCAACCTCACCATCCAACGCCTTAACCTCCGCGTATTCGCGTACCCTGCCTCTCTCCTCGCTCATCCCAGCCAGCTCCTCCAGCCGTCGTTCATACTCCCGCGTCTTGGCTGCTATAACCTGAGAGTTCCTCACCCACTCCCTAGCCTTCTGCTGCTCCACGGGGGCTGCAACCTTTCGATGCTCAAAAAGCTTCCGCAATAGTCTCTGTCTCTCGCGCGACTCTTTTGTTTTCCTGTGCACTGTTTCTGTCTGCTCTACGAGATTGTGTACTAGGGTTTGGCGCTTGAAACCGTCGATGGTGGCTGCGGCTATGGCCCGTTCAAAAGATTCCGGGTGCATATCTGAGAGTCCCAGATTGCTGGCCGTTTTGGATAATTCGGCGAGGGCGCTGGCTGTGGGGTGTGGGAGGGCGGAGGTGGTGGATGGGAGACCGGCGTGGCTGAGAATGTCGGATGTTTGCTTGGCTAATGCCTGGTACTCGTTGGTGGCCTCGGATTGCAGCCGATGGACAATGCTGTGGGCATTGCGGATGCAGGCGTCAATGTGGAAGAGCTGGCTTAAATGGCCCTGCATCTCTACCGTTCGATTGGCGAGCAGTGGCGGAAGCGAGGGTGCGTAGAGCGACTTCAGCCATTGGTCTAGACGCGCCCAGTCTACGATCTCGCTCTCGTTGTTCTCGTTTTGTGAGCCAAATAAGGACTGGTCCATCGAGGTAAAAAGCTGGAATGTGTGAGTATGAGGGTGCGAATGTGTTAATGACGATTAGGCGCGCGACTCAAAAAAGTGAATGCAAGAAAGACGTGTTCTGATCAAACAGCTGCAGGCAATTTGGTGGAATTTGAATATATTGAATGAAAAACAAACAACACCCCTTGTGGGGACCTGGACAGCTGCGGGCAATTTTTTTTGTTGGGACTGGGAAATCATCGCTGGCCTTTTTCTGTATGGGAAGAAGAGGGCTGTGGGCTCAAGCAAAGAAAAAAGTTTGCTGCTTAAAACAAACTGCGGATTACAATGATCAGTTTCGTTTCTTTCAATGCTTGTCCAAAATGGATCTTGAGCGCAAATAAAAGAGAAACGAATGAACGCAACTTTGCTTTGTTCCAATTTCAATTTCAAATTCTTTTATATTTCCAATACTCTTCTTATTTCTCCCTTTACCTTTCTTATTTTCCCATTCCACAGCAGAAATGCGAATATTGTGCGTCGCTGAGAAGCCGTCGCAAGCAAAAGCCGTCGTCCAAATACTCGGCAACGGACAGACCCGATCGCGCAGCGGAAAGAGTAAATACAACCTAAACTATGACTTTCAATACCGCGTAAACGGAACATTTGTGCAAGCAACAATGACGTCCGTGTCAGGCCACGTCATGAGCACTGACTTTCCTGAATCAATGCGGCGATGGAAAGCCTGCGACCCAGTGGCCCTGTTCTCCGCGCCCATTGTAAAGGGAGTTGATGATAAAACCAAGGACACAGCGTCCAATATTAAGCAGGAGGCGCGCACAGCAACGCACCTGTATATCTGGACCGATTGCGATCGCGAAGGCGAAGCCATTGGCGGCGACATTGCCGAGCTCTGCAGAGAGGCCAATAGCCGGATAATAGTGCGGAGAGCGCATTTTTCATCAGTTTTGGCGCAGGAGATCCACCACGCTATGCAGAATACGCGTGAGCTGGATATGCGCCTCGTGGATGCCGTAAGGGCGCGGTCCGAGGTCGATCTGCGCGTGGGATCGGCTCTGACCCGGTTCCAGACCCTACGCCTGCAGTCGCGGTTTCGTGCTGTCGAAGGCATGACCGTGAGCTACGGCCCGTGTCAGTTCCCGACCCTGGGCTTTGTCGTTGACCAGTTCCTTCGCGTCGAAAATTTTGTCCAAGAGCCATTTTGGTTTATCTTTATGCAGGACGTGAGGGCTGACGACTCGGCAACGTTCGCATGGAAGCGGAATCGCTTGTTTGACCAGGAAACTTGCTTGGCGCTGTACGCTCAGTGCTTGCGTGGCGAGAAAGCAAGGGTGGACGCCATCAGGTCGCGTGAAAAGCAGAAATGGCGGCCATTGCCGCTGACCACAGTTGAGTTACAAAAGTGCTGTGCGCGGTATTTGCGCATAGCGCCGGACGTGGCAATGTCGGTGGCCGAGGGCCTATACAACCAGGGGTTTCTCAGCTACCCGCGCACAGAGACGGACCAGTTTGATGATAACATGGATCTGCGCAGCATTGTCACCAATATGGTGCGGCTGCCTGATCTGGGTGGGTTCGCACAGCGCTTGGTCGACGGCGGCTTCCAGCGGCCGCGCAAGGGTCGTAACAACGACAAGGCGCATCCGCCGATCCATCCAGTGGCGGCTGCGACCGGGCTGCAGGGCGACGCAAAGCGTGTGTACGAGTTTGTCACCCGGCGGTTCCTTGCATGCTGCTCGGACAACGCCAAGGGCCAGGCCACTGAGATCGACGTCAGCATGGGCGGCGAGCTCTTCTCGACCAGCGGCCTGATGATTACTGCGCGCAATTACCTGGACATCTACCCGTACGAGCGCTGGTCTGAATCGACCGTGCCTCTGTATCGTGCCGGCGAGCTATTCGGGCCCAGCATTCTGGAGCAGCGCAGCGGCATGACCACTGCGCCAAAGCTGTTGCGCTACAGCGATCTTATCGAGGCCATGGACAAGAACGGGATTGGCACCGACGCCACGCACGCCGACCATATTAAGAAAATCATCGACCGCGAGTACATTTTCAAGGCCGCCGATGACTCGCTGGCGCCATCATCCCTGGGAGTCGGGCTCAAGGAGGGCTACGACGCCATTGGTCTTGAGCTCTCCCTGTGCAAACCGCATCTGCGCCGCGAAATGGAGCGCGACCTGCGCCTGATCAGCGAGGGCGTCAAGACCAAGGATGGCGTTCTGCGCGAGAGCCTCGACTTGTACAAGGCAGTTTACAAAAAGGCTGTGCTTGAGGTCGAGAAGCTCGAGAATGCGCTGAGTCGCTGCATGGATGAGCTGCCATTCAGCTCTGTCAATGACGCGTGGCGGCCGCAGGGCGAGCCGGAAGAAGTGTGCAGGTGTCCGGAAAATGACGGCGGCGTGTGGACACTGCGCGCTTTGCATAACAGACCCGGTTGGATGGTCGGGTGCAATTGCTATCCACAGTGCCGCTATTCCGTGTGGCTCACCGACTGTGTGGATGCGGTATCCGTCGGCGCCACGAACTGTTCCACATGCTCACACGAGCCGTCCGGACCAGCAAAGCTTATTGACGTGAGCTTTAAACCAGGATCGGTGCCGCCGGGAGTGCCCTCGATGTACAGTGGATGTGTGCGCGGCTGCGACGATCTTTTAAATGAGCTGTTCAATGTTCGGCCCATACAGAGAGCCAGCAATGTGGCTGCCAGCAGACAGTCAACCAATTCCAATGTTGGCCAGCATTCTGGTGCACCAAACCAGAACTTTTCGCGCCCGGAGTCGACGCAATCATTTCATCAGCAACAGCCGCAGCCGCCGCCACTGCCTTCTCGGTCTTTTCCTTCTCCGTCCGCTTTGTCTGCTCAGCCGGCCTGGGTAGCGCAGCGGCCGCAAAGTTTCCAGCAAGCGCCAGTAAGCAGTGGCGGACACAGCTTTCCGGCTTTCGACAACCCATTGTGCAAGTGCAGCACCATCTCGGTTCAGCGCACGACGACAAAGGAGGGAGCAAACAAGGGCCGCACCTTTTTTGTTTGCTCAAAACCACAGGACACGCGCTGCGACTTTTTCCAATGGACTGATCAGCCTGACGGGAATTCACGGCAAAACAACAAACCTGCAGGATTTAACTTTGCATTCGCATCATCCTCGCACGCAGACCCCAATGCCCCGGTCAAGCCTCAGTGTAAATGTGGATTGTACGCTACACTTAAGGAGACGGTTACAGCGGGACCCAATTTTGGCCGTGAGTATTTTTTTTGCACAAAGGCTTTTCAGGGATGTGGCTTTGTTTGTTGGAAGGATGAAGTGGATGAGTATGTTTTAAGAGTGTCTAATCGATCGTCGGCTTCAAATGATATGTCAGGCGGGGCGGCTTCGTCTGTGTGCTACACTTGTGGAAATACAGGACACTGGTCGCGCGATTGTCCTAGCACTGGCGGCAGTGCCGGTGCCGGTGCCGGTGCCGGTAGTGGCCTTGGAGGACAGTCACAGCCGCAAACCTTTGTACAGATGGCATCTGACATGCATAGTCGATCTGCGGGTGGAGCGACGAGGAGTGCGAGAGGGCGCAGAAGTCGGGGTGCGAACTCGGGAAGATCGAGGGCGCGTGGGGGGAGAAGTGCGCGAGGTCGTGGCGGTCGGGCCAGCGTTGTTGAAAATGATGCGTTCATGAATCCAGATCCAGATCCAGACTTTGAATTCTGGACGTAAAATATTTTACTTTGACGAGCACATTTATGATATATATACACAGTAGATAATTTGATACGATTGACCATTTCTAATTGCAAACACATGCATGGGTTTTATCAATATTGATGTTTCATTATATTGCAAAGGGTAACTTGTAAAAATTTTTTGTGAAATTCGTATCCGCCGGTGCTCGCCTCTATCACCAATCAATGTTGAACCACTGGAGTCTGTTGGCGTATCTTGAAAATAACTCGCTTGTCGCAATCCTTCTCAGCTCGCTGTAAAGCTCGTCCTTATAAACATTGCCAACATCAAATCTGGACAGCAAAGGACAAGATATAGCCAAAAGAGCAATACATTCTGCCGCATACTCCTTGTAAAACACATACCCAATGTCAATGGACATAAAGTATCTGCCGAAATTATCACCCACAGTGTGCATGTAATCCACAAGTTCAACGCCACTCCATCCATCAATGGCTGGCCTTTCGTTCGACAGCTGGCAGCGCAAACTGCGCAGACAAGGCGTATGCCTTAGAATCGTGACGATTTCTGCAAATCTGAGAGTGTAGTCGTTCAGGATAATAGTATCTACGCTGCTAAATAATGAAAGCCTTTTGACGGCTTGCAAAAATACATTGTCTGATAATATGCCCTCAAGCGATAATCTGCGCACTGAACTAGAGAAGCTGGCTGCTGACAGAATCTGGAGTAAACAATGTTTGATCTTTGGATGCACAAATGGCATATAGTCGAGCTCAGGCAAGTCAAATGCCAAGTCGATGCGCTCCAGATTCGGGAACTGGTTTGTTGAAAAAAATTGGCATTCAATTGCCATATCAACGAATGCAGAGTCCGCAACGATGGTAAGTTTTTCAAGTGTGCAACTGTTGCCTCTAAAAAGAACATCGTCGCTAAATGGGTACCCGTCGTTGAATTCAAGCGTTTTGAGATAAGGAAAGTGCACAAAATGTTTGAAAAGAGGTGTCACTGGCATCAGCGTTGGGGTCGGTGATGATATTGATGTTGGTGCCAGCGTCGGTAACATTGTTGGCGACATTATCGGCGTTTGCATGCCAGATTTGCAATCGGCCACTTGGAAAAAGTTAATAAGCTCCAAGCTAGAGTAGACTATAGGCGCGCCCTGGCCGTCATACAGCAGTGCGATGGCGTCAGATCTTGGCAGAAAACTAATCGACAGCTCTCTGAGCCAAGCAGCATTGCGACAAGTACACTCAATAACCTGCGCATGCCCGTATTTCCCAGTAAACTTTATGCTTGTAATGTTTGCAAAATCAGTCGAGACCAAAAAGGCAGAGAAGGGGTCACATCCGACATCATAAAAATGCACCCACTTTTCATCATCGTAAACATCCGGCAATGTGCTCTCAATAAGACTTTTAAAGCCCTCATTGAGTTGGAAATTGACATTGTCGTTCCACTTAATGTCAATGTTGCAAACAGCGGGAGTCATCTGTTTGACTTTGCGCAAGATGGAAGCAACATTGTGCACCATGATGGTGATTAGCGCACCTTTGTGATGTGGTAAGAAGTTAATGCCGCCAACATTAATAACAAGCGTGTGTGCTTGTGGAAATGTAAAATTTACGTGTGGCGAATGTATAAACACAGAGTCCCAAATATTAGGAGCATAGGCCGTATATTGGGGTGCGTGAAAATTGATGCATTTGACAAGATGACTCGTCGGGAAGTTGGGCTGACCGAGGGCCCTGGGCCATTTGTGGTAAGGGTAAGTAAGGTCATCTGATGTGTGCAGATACAAAGTGAGCTGTTCACAGGCTTTGATAACAAAGATTGTGCGCCAGCTGTGACAGCTGTGAGGAATAGCCGCTGCAATGGATTTGGGTATGTCGCAGAAGCAAAAATCCTTGTCCAAGTAATAGTCAACCACGGAATCAATAATCTGCCAGGGCAGGGTTTGGAAAGCCGAGAGCGCACGCATATTTAGATAAAAAAAACTAGAAAATAAAATAAGGAAAGGAAAGGAAAGGAAAGGGGAAATGTGTGCGATTAAACAGAGAGAAATGAAGCCGAATATAATTGAAAAAGGAAAGGGGGAGGGAGGGGATAGGGAAAACGGAACAAAATCGGACTAGAGAAACAGAAAAGGGCTGTTATATGGCTTTCGAAATGTTGGGCTTGAAGAACAGCTTTTATTTTATATGAATCCAAGACATATCGGTGTACCACTGCGCCACTCGCCAATATGCGAAAAAGGACCCATGCAGTGATCAGCGGCGTAATATGCGCATATGAACAATGCTATCCGCGGATAAGTGGAAATGTCCTTTGCTACTCTTCATGTGCTTTTCATACAATGTGTTTATAAAAGTAGCGCGTGTTCTGTCGGATGCTCAAATGGTTATGAATGCGAACTAACAATATATATACGCAATACACTAAAGAAAAAATGAGACCACAAACATCCTGCAAATCGACATCCCTCCCATTCAGTTTGCATAGCAACCTGACAGGTGTTTAGAAACTAGTGGCAATAGACCACTATGGTTGACAATATTATCCAGTTTGTTGCTTCTTGCAAAGAGAAAAAGCAGGGGCAGATTGATTCTTGCACACATGCTTGGTCTTGGGCTTTGACTCAAACAAAGTTTAAAAATCTGCTTAAAAATCTAGAACTTTGCTATAAATGTCTAGAAATTCTAAAATACATTTACATTAGCGTATTGTAAGATACGCACACTTGTTTGCCAGAACGAAAATTCAATCCTAGAATTTGGATTAAATCAATTGAGTAAGGAATAAAAATGTGGGCTGTGTATTTGACGTTAGGTAGACTCATTGTGATACAAGAAATTGCGGCTTGTCTCCGGCGATTGATTAATGAATCAATCGCTAGTTAATTCCCTACTTGGACATGCGGGAATTCATACGCGCGCATAAATACCAATGAATATGAACAGCCTCCACTGTTCATCCCTTAGCTTTCTTTTAGTTTATTTATTCAATATATATATTTATAACAACACCCGTGTTGATTTGCCCCCAGTTTTGTTTCCTATAAATAAACATTCTAGGCGCAAATTGTCGCTGCTTTGTGAATATCAAACAAGTGCGGAATTATGTATAGCTCATTTATTTTTATTATATATAAAATCAAAGGCCTAGTGATACTTCTGCAAGAAAAACCTTATGCAAAGAAATGCCGTTTTACAAAAGAAAGTCAGCTTGGACAAATAAAAGCGAGGATTTTTGGCATTACCTTGTTTAATTAAAGCTTTTTTATTTGAAAAGCAAAAAAAATCAAGTCTCACTCAAATGTATGTAGTGCACTGCTTGTTGGAAATATAAATAGAATTTTGCAAGAAATAATTTAACAGCAAAATATATTTGCGCTATTTCAGCCAGTATAAATAGCTGTTAAAGTCCCATTCCCACTTCCATTCCCCCTTGCATTTTATTTTTTGCTACACTCCCATATTTTAAAACAAAATATATTATATATTATATTTTTGTTCTTTAGCACTCATTTATATACACTCACTGTTTTTAATAAAGGAGAGTCACGGAGCCAGCTAATTCAACATGTCCAACACGATTAGCCTTCCCACCACACCCAAGCTATCTGAGCCACCAAAGTCAGTAGTGAGTGCCTATGCGTTTTCGGCAAATAACCCATTAAAAATTATGATACCTCAATTGACAGCAAACAGATATATTCTATTAAAAAAGAGACAACATTTAGGCATTTGTTTGAATTTTTTGAGGTAAAATTAAATGAAAAACTAAATGATTATCAAATATATGGGCTAACTGCCGACCGCATATGGGAAAAATATTAAACGTTAAGGAAAAACCAAGCTTATTGGATATAAAACTTTCTGACAAAATAATAAAAAATTATTTATTGAAAACCTTTTTTAAGATCAACAATCCAACTACTTTTAAAGTATTATATTTAAAGAGTAATCCAAAAGGCAGTTTGAAGGAAAAAAACTGCCAATCGAATTTGTATAAAGATAACATTTCAATGAGAATGTTCAGATATTGAACAATATCAAATGAATATTTATAGTGGTAGTTTTATGCTATTTAATTGATAAATTGGCATTTTCAATAGTGACAATATACAGATGTATGTAAAACAAAGCGGTTGAATGGTTTGTAATTTAATAATTAATGTTAATTATGTGTTGGGTTGGGTATATTTGGGTTTAAGATATTTCTAGTATTATAATTTAAGCATGCAATTGTTATAATAAGAGAGGGGTGTGAGGAGCACTAGTTGTCTAGTGTTAAAAGTTAGGGGTGATTTTATAAAAGGTTTTATTACTGATGTTTCTAAAGTACTACTAGGGGCCGGCCTCATCTTATATATGTGCCTTGTCACCTTTGTTGTGCACATTGTCAATTGTGCGCTCCGTTGGTGAGAACTGGATCTTCTGCGAGCAGACCGGTATCTTGGAAAGTCAATGTTGTGGTTTTCGCGTGTGTACGCTCATGCGTATGCATTGCAAAATGGGGAGCATGTTTGGGCATCAATGTAATGCCTCCCTAATTTACGCCTGCATGGTCCAATTAATGTCCTATCAATCGGCACGCAGGTGGAAACCTGTTTCGCGATTCTCGACCTCAACATCCACTTCCATATCTTCAGTCTGCGTAACACTATGTATTTGCTAAAGTGTATACAATGAGTATTATGCACTGGAGAGCTAAGATAAAAAAACTATGTGATGTGTGTCACTGTGTGACTAAAATAATAAGCAATCTAATCTGATAATGCCTGGCTGCATTCAGCTCCAGCAGATCAACAGCAATAAAGGCCGGTTGATCAGTCAATTATAATTGACTAATAAATAATGTGTTAAGATTGGGTTAAATTAGACTATGATAGTGGGACTATCAAATCGGCTTATTAAGACTAACTTTTAGAGAAACACGTTCCTGTTAGTAAACAACACGTTGATGGCTTAAAATAGGAGCTTGCGGATATTTATGTGCTGAGGAATATTACAGTAAAAAGATGCAAAATAAACAAAAATAGTTGAAATATTTATAACAATAAAATAGTATAACAATTTACAATACTGTTTTATATAAATAGATGTGCCAGGATTGAGCATTAACTTTTATTAAAAAAAATTGTTTATTTACAAAATGTTTATTATATAAAGCCAACATTTTCCATTTACTCCATTTTTCCATTTACTCAACTTTTTTATATAAAAATGCGGAATAGATATACATTATCAGTATTGTTGCGCAGACTGAAGATATGGAAGTGGATGTTGAGGTCGAGAATCGCGAAACAAGTTCCCACCTGCGCGCTGATCGATAGGACGCTAATTGGATAATGCAGGCGTAAATCAGGGAGGCATCACACTGATGCCCAAACATGCCCCCCATCCTGTAATGCACACGCATAAGCGTACACGCACGAAAACCACAACATTGACTTGCCAAGATACCGGTCTACTCACAGAAGATCCAGTTCTCACCAACGGAGCGCACAATGGACAATGTGCACAACAAAGGCGACTGGGAACATATATAAGATGAGGCTGGCCCCTAGTAGTACTTTAGAAACATCAGTAATAAAACCTTTTATAAAATCACCCCTAACTTTTAACACTAGACAACTAGTGCTCCTCACACCCCCTCTTACTATAACAGTATCTATACAACTAAATACATCCAAAATTAGGTTTAAAATTTTTTATTAACCCTAAATCTAAATGTATGGCCAATATTTTTTCACACTATCATTGCTATATTTTATTATTGTATAATTAACACTATTTACAAAAAGCTTATACGCTTTTGGTATAAAAACAAGCAAAATCCCAGTTTACCAAACCAAAAAATACATACAGCATCATTAAGCACCCAATATAATTAACTTGGAATTACCACAGCACTTTACGATTAAGTTATACAAATGTCTTCAAACAATATTATTAACAAAAATCTTGTATTATACCAATTTTACAAAGCTGACACGCCCCCACTTAACAATGCTTGGTTCGACATTGATATTTCTCCCAACGATACTATATTAGAAGTTGTAAAAATATTGTATTAAAGGAAAAACCAAAACTCACATTAAAAAAGATTAATTTTAAATCTATTTCCATTAATAATAATAAAATTAAAGATGAAGATATTAATAAAAAAATTATAGATAATAATAATAATAGATTAATACCAATAGTAATCATATATAATGAGAAATGCTAAATAATATGACAATATAAAAACTTCTTATATTAAGCACCATGGCATTGTTGCACAGACTGAATATATGGAAGCAAATGTTGAGGTTGAGAATCGCAAAACAGGTTTCCACCTGCGTGCCGATTGATAGGACATTAATTGGACCATGCAGGCGTAAATTAGGGAGGCATTACATTGATGCCCAGACATGCTCCCCATTCTGCAATGCATACGCATGAGCGTACACACGCGAAAACCACAACATTGACTTTCCAAGATACCGGTCTGCTCGCAGAAGATCCAGTTCTCACCAACGGAGCGCACAATTGACAATGCGCACAACAAAGGTGACAAGGCACATATATAAGATGAGGCCGGCGCTAGTAGTACTTTAGAAACATCAGTAATAAAACCTTTTATAAAATCACCCCTAACTTTTAACACTAGACAACTAGTGCTCCTCACACACCCCTCTTACTATAACACTATCAAAGTACAAATATTCACAAATATTTACTTTGCCTTTTTATTTATTTGTATTTATTTTAAGGCTGCATTAATAATATGAATTCGTATAAAACAAAATGTATACTTTCTACTTGAAATAATATAAAAAAATATTTTTTAGCAATTTTACAATTATTAAATATTTGCATTCGCATTTTACTAATTATATAAATTGAAGCACAATTCTCATGTCTGCTAAAACCCATCATTTGTAACCATACATCAATACACCATTTTAATTTTTCATGTTTTATTTAAAAAATGGGCACCCAAAATATCTTAGACGACGTGACAATAATGTACCAGGTGAACTTTCCAGACAAACGTGCACATTCTAATGAATGGCCCAGCATCTTTGTATTACCTGAAAGGATACTTTTTTTAGCAAATAATTGTCAATAAGGGAAATAAGACTGAACCGAGAGAAAAATACGTTTTCAACAGTAACGAAATTTTAATAAATGAAAAAAGCTGATTCCTCCAAGTCATATGCCCATTTATGCTTATCCAAATGGCCTGTCGATGTTAAAAGTGGTTTTGAAATTGGAGTAGTAATGTCTTTGTTTAAATTTATTTTATAGTCCCTAATTTTTAGATATATAGCAAAAGTGTGTATTGCAAATTTCAGTCTCAAAAGAAAAAATACTACCATTAACTATGTTTTACGACGTGCCGGCAGAGCTGTCAGCCATGATAGACTTTTTGCGCTCCTCTGTAGCAATAGTAGCAGCAATATCCCGCAAGCTCTTTGCACCGCCAGACTCACCAGCACTGGCAGCATTGGCAGCAGCCACCGCGCTGCGTTTGCGCAGAATCTCTGAAATGAAAAACTCACCCGCCTTATAAGATGACCTCACCAACGGACCACTGGCAGTATAAAGGAATCCAAGCTCATTACCGACCTGCTCCCAATGCTTAAACTTTTCAGGAGTCACATACTCGTGCACCTTCATATGGCGCTTAGTCGGCCGCATATACTGCCCAAGGGTGACAATATCGACACCAGCCGAGCGCAAATCCTTCATGGTCTGCAACACTTCCTCGTCCTTCTCGCCGACACCCAGCATGATGGAGGATTTGGTCAGAAGTGTGGGCTTTGTTTGCTTGACATGCTGGAGCACAAACATGGATTGCTTGTAGTTGGCGCGGTGGTCGCGCACCATGCGCTGCAGGGACTCAACGGTTTCAATGTTGTGTGCGTAGACATCCAGTCCCGAAAGCGCCACAGGCTCAATCAGCTCCGGGCGTCCAAGGAAATCCGGCGTCAAGCACTCGATCATCATCTGGGGTGCCATCTGGCGGATATTATTCACCGTCGCGGCAAAATGAGCCGAGCCAAAATCAGGCAGATCATCGCGATCAACCGACGTCAAGACAACATAGTCCAGCCCCCAAGCAGCCAGCGCCGTCGCCACATTGGTGGGCTCCAAGGGATCCAGAGCAGCCGGGTTCTTGCTAGTCTTGACCGAGCAAAACCTACAACCACGCGTGCATGTATCGCCCATGATCATGATGGTTGCCGTTGCCGTGCCGTGCTTACCCCCGCCCCAGCATTCGCCCATATTGGGACACCGCGCCTCCTCGCATACTGTGTGCAGCTTAAGGTCGCGCAGTGTCTTGCGGATCTTCGTCACGTTGCCGCCCGTGGGGATATCTGTTTTGAGCCATTGCGGGAGCCGTGTGTGCTTGCTCGCTTTGCTCTGGAGCTTGCCTTGTACCTGAGCTGCCTTCTCCATGGCCTGCGAGGGCTTCAGGGGCTCATCCATGCCGCCGACAAAGTCGGAAAATCCTGGCCCGCCCTTGATCTTGTCTGCAAAATCCTTGCGTACGCGCCGCGCGGGCTTGTCATCTGCAGAATCAACCTCGGTAGCCAGGAAGCGCCTGCCGAGCAAAGAAGCAGCCTATGAATGTATAATTGTGCTTATTTTGATTATTTGGTGAGAGATAAGATATTGTGAAGTGGCACAGGCTGTAAAACAGTGAGATTCAGTATTCTTCGAATTTAAACGTTTGCATACCTTTGCTGAGTGCCGAGTGCCAGCAGCAGCGACAACGCTGGCGACAGTGGTGGTGGTTGTGAGGCGGAGTGACAGCGCGTTCATCGAGTCGAGTATTCGATATTAAATTTGGGTATTAAGCATAAAAAAGATAAGACGAAATAAATAAATAAGGAAAAAGAAAAAAGAAAAAAGCAGTGTGGAAGCAGATCAAAAAATATTGCTTTGGAGGGCGCAGCCCCGCTATTATTTCCTTTAGTGGTATTCACATTGGGATGGGAGGCAAAACCACTCTGCTCACTGAACACCAAATGAATGGTCGAATATCGCCACCATCCTCCGCACTTAGTTCCTGCCGACTACTATATAATTTTTTGTTTTTTACACGGTGGAAGAAGCAATAGCAATGATCGACTCTCACCCACCCACGCCCAGTCGCTCCCCTTCCTAGTTACTGGATGATTCGTTTATTCCAACCGCTCAAGCTCAGCCTTGATCTCTTCCATCTTGGTTTCGGTCTCGAGACGCATTTCGTCGGAATAGAGCTTGCTCCATACGGCTTGCAGCGTCATATACGTGAGTGCGCTCCACAGGAAAATGGTGGAAACAGGTTTTCCGTAGGCTCGTAGTATGCCAATGTTCTCTTGCTGCGGCGAGCTCTTGGGCTTTTGCTGTGGTTTTGTGGCGCTGGAAGAGGACGTGTGCATTTGTGTCGAGTACGGCTGGAGGCGCCTGGGAGCTGGTGTGCGGCTGGTGAATCGAGAAAGGAATGCTGAAAGTGTCATTTTAAAATTGGAAATGTGAATCGAGGTGTGAAAGCAAGTACGAAAGTAACCCAGGCAGAACAGACATTTTGCGCGGTTAATCGCAACTGAGATTTGGGTGTGTTCAATCCCGAAATGATAATGAGCTTAGCTTGTGATCGCGGCGGTGATCGATCAAGCACCTAAGAAGAAAAAATTTAGAGAAAAAAACGCGGCATGGAGAGAAAAAAAAAGTTCAAAGTTGGATTTCTCACATTGTACTGACAAAAGTGTAAGAGAGATCGGGTCAATTTTTTCTTATATTTTTTCCTGCTTGTTGTGCATAGAAATTCACCCTTTTTTGTTTTATATATAATTTCTTCCATTCATTCTCTTTCTTTCACACGTTTTCTCACTCTCTTTATCTCTCTTTCGACTACTGTCATTTAAAAGAGACTCACAAGAAGCAAAAATGGCGACCAAGGAAGCCAAGAGCCTGAAGAAGGGCAGCGGCGCAGCCTCAGCGCCGGCCAAACAAAAGACAAAAAAGACAACCAAGGCGCCAAAGGAGAATACGTCAGAAGCAGCCAAACAAAAGTCCACAAAGAACAGCAATACCAGTAGTGCTCCCGCGGCCACAGGCACAGCCACAACTACGGCCACGACCAAGACTTCCACGAAGAAGCGGCCGCCCAAGCTGGTCATCCAGCACGGACACAGCGACAGCGAGGGCGAGGGCGAGACATCGTCGCACCCAATGACACCGATGACGCCGATGGTGCAGTCGGCGATCGCAGTGCAGGACACAGAGGCGTACCGCGGCATCGAGCTGAAGCTAGTGAGCGGCGGACTACTGACCAACGATTCCGTAGTGTTCAGCAGCGACTCTGCTCTGTTCTACGTAGCCAAGGACGACGCTGTGGCCGTGTACAACGTGCAGAATGGCGAGATGGTGCAGAACTTCTCGATGGAGCGCAGCGGCACCGGTTACCAGCCGACGGCTGTGCATGCCATCGTGGCCGGCGAGGCACGGCGCGTGTACACTTTCTCTGCGGACGCGCGTGCGCGCTTGTGGGACGCCGACAGCGGCGCCATGGTGAGCGAGTGGGATCTAGGCGAGGCCGCAGTGTTTGCGTCGGCAGACCCGGCGCGGGCCGGCGCGTTCTACTGCGCGGTGCGGCGCGGACCCAAGGCCGTGGCGCGGCAGGGCAACGACAAGGTCAAGTACGCCATCTGCCACGTCGTGCTTGGTGAAGGCGAGGCCACGACCGTGCGCGAGCTATTCGTGGCCAGCGGTGCGCTGGGCCTGGTTGTGCGGCCCGGTGGCGGCTGGGTGGCAGCATACTCCAAGTTCCGCGTGTTCCTGGCGCAGATCAAGCCCAGTGGCGCCGTTGTGCAGCACAAGTGGCGTATGTCTGAGCGGCTCTCGGCGCTAGCGTTCCACCCGACCGAGCCGGTACTGGCGGTCGGCGACTGGCGCGGACGCATCATGCACTGGTTCTGCGTTGATGGGGACGCAGTAGCCAGCGAGGACCGCAGCATTGTGCGTCGGCCACTCCATTGGCACGCGCACAAGGTCAACGCTGTGGTGTTCGGCAGCGACGGGCGGCTGATGCTGTCGGGTGGCGAAGAGGGCGTGCTTGTATTATGGCAGATGGGGTCGGACACGCGCGAGTTCCTGCCGCGCCTGGGCAGCGACATTCTGGGCATTGCCGTTAGCCCCGACCAGATGATGTACGCACTGACGCTGCGCGACAACACTGTGCGCGTCGTGTCTGCTCTTGACCGCTCGATGGTGTCGACGCTGCAGGGGCTCAAGTTTGCCCAGCGCGGCCAGGCCGCCGGCCTGGCCATGCAGAACGGCTCGCCTGAGCGCCTGCGCCTGGCGCGCCGCCTCGAGCCCGACGCCTTTACGACCGGGCTGGTCGTGCACCCGGCGACGCACGCCCTGGTGCTCAATGGCGAGCCCGGCTATCTTCAGGTCTTCAACCACGCGACCGACCGCCACCTGGCCAGCATCGAGGTCGCGGCCTTCAACCGCATCTCGGGATCAAACGCTGAGCAGCAGCAGCCGCACGTCGACATTGTGCAGTTCAGCTCTGATGGCGTCTGGATGGCCACGGCCGACTCGCGCGGAGCTGACTCGCCGCACGGGCCGTCGGCACTGGTTGAGACGTACCTCAAGTTCTGGCGCCTGGACTCGAGCGACCAGTCGTACAAGCTGGTGACGCGTGTCGACGCACCGCACGCGCACGGCGTTCGCGCCCTGGCTTTCCGTCCGGCACCGCGCCGTGCACACGGCCGTGGCGACGGGCTGCTTTGTGTGAGCACTGGCCGTGACAGCGCCTTCCGCGTGTGGGAGCTGGAGACGCGTCAGGGCGTGCCAGGCGCCGAGGACCATTACGTGTGGTCGTGTCGCAGCACGTCGCGCTTCCGCGGTCTGCAGCCGAGCGGGGCCGCCTTTTCGGCCGACGGGTCGACGCTAGCCGTGGCCTTTGGCGGCGTTGTGACGCTGTGGGACGCCGACACGTGCGCTGCGCCGGTCTTTGCGCTGGTGGCCAGCGCGGCGACGCCCGACCTTGCGGGTGTGGCCTTCATCGGGTCGTCGAACTATGTTGCTGCGTGGTCGGATAACCGCCTAGATGTGTGGAATATGCTGACGGGCTCCGTTTGGTGGACGCTGGCAATGCCCCTGCAGAGTGTCTACGCGCACCCGCGCGCCTCGCTCTTGGCCGTGGCTGCCAACCAGATCCCCGGCCAGTCGATTGCGTCGATTATGGTTCTGGACCCACAGTCGCCCGTGCCCCTGGTCACCCTGCAGCATTCTGGCGGTGTCGAGGCCATTGCCTTGGCCCCCGCTGCGACGTCGGGAAAATCCGGCCGCAGCCACCCCGACACTGAGCGCGGCCTCCTGCGTCCTGACCCCCTGCAGAACAACTCGCTTGTCGTGCTGACCCCCACCGGTTGCTCAACGTGTACGGGCCGAGTCTGACGACGAGGCCATTGCTCGCGCCATGGACGCTGCCCCTGCCATATCGGTCTCCACAGCCGCTGTGCCCATGCAGAGCTCGGCATTTGCCAGCATCTTTAGTGTCCAGAACAAGCCCGCTGCTGACTCGGTCGTACCCTTGGTGTCGGCCAACCCGCATGTGCGCTCGGCCATGCGCCTTGTGCGGTCTGCTGTGCAGTCTGCTTACATCAATGCCCCTCACCACGTCCTTCCCCCAGTTTCGGCGCTCTACGACCAGTTTGTCAAGGCTCACCTGGCGCCCAGGGTCGATATTGCTTTGGAAGATACCGCTGCTGAGGAGGACCAGACGACTCCCGATTCGAACAAGATGGATATCTCTTCGGATGACGATATGGCTGCCCAGTCTGTGCCGTCAGTCGATGTCGAGACTAGCTTCTCGTTGGGTTTCACAAAGTCTTTGTGCAGTGGATTTGCCAGCAAGGCTCATTAACCAATTTTTTCTTTTCTCTTTTCCTATCCAATCTTTTTTACAATACACACTAAATATTTAAAAAAAATTAAGTTTTTTATGCTGTGCACTTGCTGGCTTTTCATGATGCGACTAATAATTATGTGTATTTTCAAAACAGTAATATGCAAGTTAATGAAAAATACATTGAAAATTAATAATTAAAAGGTGCTAATAACAGATTGCTTGCGTTATGGATAATGTGGCTCTATCCAACTCTTTCAAAACATCACTGACCATTGTACGTAAAGTCTATCGTAGTACACACTGGTCATCGTTATTTGCAATTTTTCCATAAATAATGAGTAAAGAAATAACAATAGACATGTTAGGCAAATTTTGCAACATGTTCAGATAATTTTAAATTTCCACTGTATACTCGAATTCAAATTTTCATTAGCTATATTTTTAACCTTTTTACTCGCTAGTTTTTTATCACACTTAGACAACCAACTTTTTTACTGGTGTCCTTTTCAGCATTTTTTTCATTTTTCGGAATAAATTTCAGTTTATAATTCTGTGGGTATTCTTCAATAGATGGGTCATTCTTTTTGATTTTCTTCTGAACATACCTTTTAAATTGATGATCTCCTTTATCTTATTAGCTGATCCAAAAAGATATCTGTTTCAAAATAATCATTGCCATCAATGGCCATAATTAAATTGGTGTCAATGTAATCTCAGCATAGATAAAATATACACAAGTATAGTTCAAATATTTCCGTAAAAGCTCGTCCATATTTTGAATGTTGTGTCTTCGTCGATAGTAAACTCGAGGTTTTTTTTGAAGTCTTTCACACAATTTATCAATGGGTTTTTGGATGACATTTAACAACGGGTTTACCTTTGCGAATATTAGCTGGTTTGTGCTTGTCAAATTTTTGGGATACAGAATTCATTTTGTTCTTTGCTGTGTTTGTCATGGATGTCGCCTTGTTTGCTGCGTATGCTCCTAATTGATTTGCCCCTTTAGAAAT